GTAGTAGTAGTAGTAGTAGTAGTAGTAGTAGTAGTAGTAGTAGTAGTAGTAGTAGTAGTAGTAGTAGTAGTAGTAGTAGTAGTAGTAGTAGTAGTGACGAGACGTCATCCAGCCATACCAACTGTGAAGTAAACGCACCGTCACGAGGCTTCCACACCTCCGCTGGCCATGGTATACACCATAGAGATTCAGACTCGCTGGCCTTCTTTTCATACCGTATAATGTGTACCATTTCTACTCATATGTAGCCACTCCATATCCAACAGAGGAGCGACGCTGTCGTGTCTAATCAGTCCGCCGAAATGTCAAATCCTCTCAAGAAATCACATCAACAAATGCGTTCCCGACACCTCGTTATCACAGCATCGTAAGCATCGTAATATGGTGTCCTCCATGCAGATATCTCTCCAATACCGCCGGATCACCCACGCCAGACACTCCCTGAGGCAGTCCCCCTATCCTCCGGCGCTCGCCCGGCTGGGTTGGCGCCGCCATCATGTAGTATGCCGGGCTCCAAAAAGTCCCAAGCCAAGAGGCGCCTCGCTTTCTTTCCCGCTGCCATTGTCCAAGACCTCCCATACTCGAGGCCGCCAATCTCCTAGCACGCCCTTTCCTTCCTTGACCATTTGCAGTCCCTGGCCCAAATCGCGTACTTGCGCGGATCCCATCACGTTGATACTGCCGAACAAATATTTCATCCGCCCGTCCTGTAGCTTGTCTTTGAGAAATTTGGCACTCATCATCCTCGCCTCATCGCTGACATCGTCGACAATGGTTGCAATGACATCCAATGTAAAGTCCCGGACTTCCTTCGCCTTCTGCTGATCTTCCTTGCTGAGCAAGCTTGTCGGCGCCGAAGTCATGGCAGGGTGAGTCGCAATCAACGCTAGGCGCACTAGAAGCTGTACCTCTTCAGTCTGCGCTTGTTTGAGATTGGTCCCGGTGTGCCCCGCAGTAGCAAGTGCCCGGCGTTGCAGACAGATCATCTCAAGTATGTGGCTGAGATAACCCAGGATCAATCCCGGGGTCACGCCATGTCCGCCTTCGGAATTGGTTGCTGCCGGGCTCGACGTCACAGACATCGTCTGGGGATGGGTCATATTCATGGGGGATCCAGAAAGTCCCGTCGAGGCTGGCACGCTCACCGCTGAAGGATTGCCTCCCAAAGCTTTGAGATGTTGGGAAAGCTTATCAATTAGTTGAACCATGAAACCCGGGGTCGGACTGGTGGACTCGGTGCAGAGGAGATAGGCTCGTTCCATGATCGATGAGAGGTGGTGGACGTCGCTGGAGAACATGGCCGTCACTGGGCTGGTCCCCTTGTTGAATTGAAACTTAGGCAAGGCGTCCAAAAACTCGTTCTCAACCTGATGACGAAGTCGGTTTCCGACATCGACCTCGACCGCTTCGAGCAGCTTCGCAAACCACATGGTGGCTTCCTTGTTGCCAGCGGGATTTTGAAGCATCTGTTCAATCACTTCGGAGAGGACCCTCACAAGTTCATCTTCGTCCGGGGATACGCCGTTCTCCAGCCGAGATCGTGAAGTAAGCCAGAAGCTCAATTGAACAAATTGGTGAGAGAAGAAGTTGATGGAGCTGACAAGCGTTTTGATGTCTCCACTGCCACTTAAATCACCTTGACGGGAGAGTAAACGGTCAAGTGCCTTGAGCAGCCATTGTTGAGCGGAATCAGACATAGGCGACGATCTGATAGTGTCATCTTTGACGAGGCAGGCCAGCAAAATCTCCTGCATCGAATGTAACGCCGACTCTAGGCCCAGGTCGCAAAGCAACTCCAACGCAGCCCTGGCCTCCCGTCGGACGTACTCGAACCATCGGCTCCGGGTTCGGTAGAAGATGAGATCAGCCAACAAATTCTGTGGAGGTGCGTTGATGTGCTCCAGAAGGAGCCGGACGGCGGAACTTCTGCGTAGTTTTGCATTGGAGACGGCGTCTGCCCCGAATACGCCAGCGAAGGTCATGCAACCAGTGCCAATGAGGCTTTGAAGCAACAAAGACCCATACTTGGCATCGACAGACGGCACGAGTCGTGTTATCCATCTATGGAGCAGGAAATCCCCCTGACCTTTTCGGCATAATCGCAACCGGCTCAGCAGCTGGCAGAATGAGACCACCGTTTCAGTGTCGTGGTCAAACTTTTGCTGCTTTTCGATGCGATCCGCCAGAACCGCAAAGAGTCCGTTCATGGTTTGTTCGTTCATGTTGGGTTCGGATTGTAGGATAGCCTCAAAGTCCTCGACAAATGTCGCCCCAGCCTGTTGCAGGGATTCGGCGATACCATCACTGTAGGGCGAACAGGCGGCGACCGCGCGTCCCCGATCGCCTCTAACGAAGTCCTGCTGCAAGAGTCTGGTTGATGGCGCTGTCACTGGGTAAGTGGTGCATAGATCTAGCAGAGTTGACGTCAGAAGCGGCATTGTTGGCCTGATGTTACGCCAACTCATGTAAATCTGGCATATCCGCCTTTGCAGCACCTCCAGTGCACCGATGGCGGAGAAGGTATCGGCATGAAACTGAATTGTTGCAACGAGAGATGCGACCAGGTGGTCGTCTTGTGAGCCGCATAAAATCCCTATGACATCGGCCAGCACGGCCACATCCTCCATACACTCGAGGATGTTGCAAATAAAGGCGAACTGCTCAACATTGAAGATTCGAGAATCAAGAAGCGGGACACCGATGGGGGCGCCAGGCGCACCCATACTCACTCTCGCCGTCTCAGCAACGCTCCTTCGCAACCACATGGCGAGACGGGACTTGATGGTCCATGGCAGAAATCCGAAAGCAGGTTCGCGTTCACTTGAATGCGAGGAGGGCGGTCTGTAGCCTAGATTTCTCAGCTTTTGCTCGATAAAGTGGATACTGTCCTGGAAGATATCGTCTTCCACCTCGGGATCGAAACCGCAGCCACGCAAAATGGAGCTTCGCAGGTTGATGACATGTGGCTCAACATTGTGCAAAGACACATGAAGCAACAGCTGGCTAGAGGCTGCATCCACTCCAAGGGTACGAGGTCCTGCACCACGTCGAATAGAGTGCGATAACGTTTCCATCTCCCCCCTTTTTGGAAGCCCTCGGACCATGAGCCATTGCATGTATTTGCTCAGAGGGAACAGACCGGATCGCGAAAGATGGGCGGCCAGGTGTTGCAAGGCATTGCACTCGGCGGTAGTGTCCCCATTCCTGCAGGACGAGAAATAATTCAAGATGATGTTGTCAACGTCGTGCCCTGCGCGCTGCCAACGTCTGGCCAAGCGGGCGAATAGATAAGGGCGTGCCTTGGACTGTCGGAAACGTGTACATGCCCACTCAAGGCAAGTGGAAATTAGCAGAGGAGAGTCAGCACATGCTGCGTCGAGATTTTCTGCAAGCCTGGGAAGGTCATATGGAGCTTGTGCAGCATCCAAGATTTCCACAATCACTTGATGAGCAGTGCGCTGCGCGGTGAAAGCTTCCTTGTTATGGCCCATAGCCCTTGCATTGACACGATTGAGCTGATCCAGAATGTAGCGCTCCTGCTGAACACTGTTGTCAAGGCACGTCCGGACAGATTCGACGACTTCTGGCCACGTCTCCGGCATAACAAAATTCATCGGACGGGACAGGAGTAGCCACCTGATCATGTGGTAGAGCTTTTGCCGGACCGAAGATGTGCTTTGATCAGTGTATCTGCTCGCGAGCCGGAATTTCTCAATCAAGACCTCTGCAAGCCTTTTCCCCCTTCGGCGATAGTGACTTAGATCGTCTTTCAAAATGTGGATGACCATGAGCCAAAAAGGAACATGGGGTAGGTCCGTGGTGTGGAACGAACGCACTATCCAGTCCAAATAGTGATCCCGGTCCAGCAAATTCTCCATGTAGAGGCGCGTGGTCAAACGAAGGGCATATTGCATCTCTGCCCGCCAGTCCTGCTGCTTGGCCCGTCCCAGATGCGCCTCTATAAATTGTTCGACACTTACGGTCCATTCACGAAGCCACTTGCTTTCGGCGCCGACGGCGACGGCAGGAGTGGTTCCTTTTCTTTTCAACGTCCGGATCTCGTTGGCGCAGACACATTTCACGAACCAGATTGCACGGTTCAAAGGCACACAACTTCGCAAACACAGGTCCAGAAGTACCTGCCCTCTTATACCCTGTGGAATGGTCCGACTCAGTCTCCGAAGCGGAACCTCGGCGTTGGCCAAGTCTGCGATCCAAGATTTCCGTTTGGCCTCAGTCAACGTGACTCGAGGTGGCGGTCTGAAAGTGGAGGCTGAGCTGATCAGGCCATGCTGATTCTTCTGATCTAGGATGAGGGAGAACAATATGGATAGATTCTCAACGCCGGACTTATGTTTCAATGCGTTGTAGAGCGGAACCCGTGCAGTATTCAACTCCTTGTCTAGTGGGTTTGGCGGCTTATCGAAGAACCCTTGCTTGACATTGACATCGTTGAGGACATCCTCAGGATGTTTGCCTGTCCACGGGAAGAAGCCGGCGGGCTTCTTAGGGACAATGTAGGGCGCCGATGAAGGAATTTGCAGCGAGTCAGGCGTCGTTGGAACGGGGATCTTCACGCGTAGCCGGTGAGTTGGCTTGGGGTCTTCGGTGACCTTGGACGACTGCGCGTGGTGCCATGGACGTGTTGGGAGGTCGGGCAGTTCGGCGTCCACGCATTTCGCCTCCTCAGTCTGGTCGTCTCTCCGGGGCCCGCCGAGGTCCAATGTCGATGGTTTGAGCAAGCGCAGATTGTACCCCTTTGTAGTGGGCGCCAACTCGGGGCTTTGGGATGTTGGGGACCCATCACCGGTGCTGGATGTTTGGCCGGTGAACCCATCTCCTTCGACCTTGCGCCTTTTCGCAGGACGGTCATCTCCAGGCTGTACAATGTGCCTCTGTAGACCCAGGACTCTTCTATCATGCGGAGGAATGACTTTGGTCGAGGAGCGATCGAAAGAAGGCCGATGGACTTCGGGAGGCCGTCGTGGTGGAGGAGGCCGCGGTTCGGCCGGAGGGTTGAGTGTCATGACCTGATCATTTTGACCGGTCGATTTGAAGCACCGGAGCCAGACCGGCCGCTGAGAAGAAGCTGGTCAACAAAATCAGGCTCTCCCTTTGCATATATGAATATGGGAGGTCGTTAAGCGCACTGCTTCAAGGTCTGGGAACCGTGGTGTGGGTTCGGCGGTTTGGCAGAGGTGCAGCGCGACCAGGACCCCACGTAGAGGTAGGTATATGTGGTTATATTGAGATTGCAATGGTAGTTGACAAAGTTGCACAAGGATAGATATGAAACTCAAGGGAAGTTGTCGCAGTAGTACGAGAAGAGCAAAGTAGTCCAAGGAGTAAGAAGGTCGGACTTGACTGAGACTGAGTAATGAATGAGTCTGGAGCAGGTAGGGTGCCGGTATTAGGCTCAGGCGGAGGCAGGTTCGCACAGGCTTCGGAAGGCAGAGTTCGGGCACTGCGCAGTCCAAGGGCTGAGGCTAGAGGCTAGAGGCTAGAGGCTATCAGTGTTGCCAACTCAGCCGGAATGACGGCGACGGGCCCTTAGGCCTGGAGGGTCGAGGTTAGAGGTTTAAGAGGTTAGAAGCTCGGGGGATGGGGCCGCGTGCCTGATGATATGTGCCCTTGGGCAATACTAGTAGTAGCTGGATGGGGAATGCCTATGATAGGGAGTCGGAGGAACCCTAGGAGTGCCAGTGTGATGCAGTGATGATTGTGCGCCGACTGTGCTCTCGGGTGGCGCCCCCCGAGTGATCGTTTGGTTGAGGGTGGTACTTTGGACAGAGCCGTGCTTGCTAGTGGAGGGTTTCGGGCCCTGAAGCTTAGGGCCCCAGCGATGCCAGCGATGCAGTGTCCGGGTCCGTAGCTAATGAGAAAGCGGAAACAAGGGTCTTTGGTTCTTGGATATGCCACCGTCCGGTATACCGACCGATTCCAGGGTTCAAGATGTAATAATTGAATCCCTTGATTCGTTCAGTTCTACCTGGAAGTTCTTCGGACAATCTATCCACAGTCTTACAGGCCAGTCCAGGAGTCGCAGATGTGACCGTCGGTTTTGGGGAGATAGCTTAGGTATGCAAGAGACTACATGACTGACTGACTGTCTACCACCTAGCTACTACCACTGACCACTCCGAGTCTGATGTGTGTGCTGTAATGAAACTTGATCGGGATCTGGGCGCGCCTACGTGACAGAGAGTCAGAATGAGGTGACCAGCGAGTATTAGGTAGGTACCTACTCCTAAGGTCCTATCTGATAGGGATGGAGTTCGGTGGGGATAACATTCCACTGCTATCTCTTGAACGCCTCATCATATCTTTTTATGCTCGCAGGCACGCTTTTACCAGGTCCCGACACATATCCAACAACCAACTGATACTGTGTATCATCACCACCCACTGCTGCGCATATACTCTATCCATCATCAACTGATTAGTTGTTCTCCTCCTTCGGCAATCCGTTTCCCACCTCTTCTACTCTGCTACAATCATCATCATCACCATTCTCATCATTATCATGATAGATAACCGCCCATTTGTCCTAATCCTAATCCATAGGTACCGAGTCACGTACTTGGGTCTTCCTCTTCGGCATCTAACGCACGGAGACTGTGTTCGGCGAAGCCCTATCCCGAGGGAAGAAGTTGTTCGAGACCCTGTCCCCATCGGAATGGCTAGCTAGCTCCAACCACCAAACGATCCACGAGACGCAGTGTCGGAGACGGTGATAAAGATGGAGAAAGATGCAGCTGCGGATCACCATCACACTACCTTTTACTACTTAGTACTGTAAAATCCTATATCATTCCTCGGACCGCCGCGGCTCTGTACCTAAAACATTGAGATTCAATCTTCTAGGTACTGGTAGTATATACAGAGATATATTATATTATTGTGTGTCACCGCAATGGAGCGTAGATGCACAATGTCTGATGGGGCGGAGATTTCTCGTTGTCGAAGTGGCCCAGTAACTCCCGTATACCCGTACTCTTAGTAGGACTCTAGTATAGGCGAACTCGCCAGGAAGAAAGAAGAATGCCCTGTTCCGGTGCGGACTATCTCGAAGAAGGAGTACGCAGATAGCGCCATTGATACAATATTACGGCGATCATTCCACGTCTGTTATCATCATTCTGGCCCGCACAATCGCCGTGATTCTTGATAAGAGCTTCCCTTATCTTCGAGCTCTTCTTTTGCCTCCTTTCTCGGGTGATGTGTTTCATCCAATCTTGTTGGCCTCCCGAACACCGGCCAGATCGCCGGAGATCGAAGCTGCGGCTAGCAATCTAGGGTGCGCCGGCATAGACAATTACTACAGGTACCTACGTAGTACTACTTCAGAGACCCTACTGAGTACTCTGTACAAGGCTCCGGAGCCAAAAAGGAAAAGACCGCCGCGGTTCCCACTTTCACTTCGGCAAAGGCGGCCTTCTCGAGTCGCTAGCATTAGTTTGTATGGATACATACTCTGTAGATACCTTATGTACTGTGATATATGGCTGATCAGGCTGATTGAGGCGCCACCTGACACATACAGCCAAAATGATATTCCGTTGCTATAGGGTCGTCTAGGAGGTGCCAACACTGGCCGTGGCCACGCTGGTCCACGCTGGTTCCATGCGTTCGAGTCGCGCCGGAGCCAGCTTCATGAAGCCTGAAGGCTCCAACTCATCAAGTGGCACCCAGGAGCGGTACAGTGTCATCATCAGCCAGCTCACTTTCATGGAATCTGTATTGGCTTCCTTCGACAGCACCGATGCCTTCTTCGATCGTCGTCTTGCAAAGTTGCGGACCAGCCGAGATACTCCTTCGCTTCGCATGCCTGCCGAGTCCAATCATTCCGCCGTAGCTGCTCCTTCTTCTGCCCCAGCTCCAGCCTGTCTTGTCGTCTGAGCTGTCCTGGACGGCCATGCCCGGGTGCTCAGACGCCTCCCCTCCCTGCGCATGCCATCCAGGGAAAGTATCATGCAGTTCCCGGCTTCCAGTCGTGTTCGACCGACTGCGGAGAGGAGGGAAGAACTCCACGCCCCCGTCTTCTGCTTGCGGCCCCTGTGGATCGATCACCATCTGTTGAGTGATATTCATTTCCGCCGTGACCGGAGCCAGGGTCATCCTCGAACCTTTGGAACGAGGTAGACTTCGAAATGCCGTTTCTTGTGCAAGCCTGGCGAGTTTGGGACTATCAAGCAGATCAAACAACCCCTGCGCATATCTCATCTCAGAGCCCGGCCAGTAAGATCCTCGACGGCTTGCTTCCCCCTGTACGGAAGCTCTTCGGGACTGCATGAGAACTCTGGAGAGCCGCCTTTCCAGGCTTTCTGTCTCACCGTGATCGCGGCTGGCTAGTGCCCATTCTCTACTCTGCGGAGTCGGAGCCGCGCCCTCAGAGGTGGTAGTCGATGAGTTCGGGTCCCAGATGATCTCATGCATTCCGTCGTCTGAGATGTACCTGGTAGAGCACCGACGAACTGTCTGCGTAGTAAAAGCCTGCCCTGGAAACGAGAGCTGTGGTTCTACAGTGACCACTTCAGTGCGAACTGGGGGGGCAATAGTACTCGTACTCGGGCGCACCTCGCTGCTGCTGTTGCTGATGGAGGCGGATTTCGGTGTGCCTGGTCGCTCGCTCGTCTCCGAAGCCGCAGCAGCAGCGTCAGAGTGTCGGGTCGTGATTGTGTTGAGGATGGTCGACAGAAAGCCGCTGCTCTTACGGCCGAATGTTGGGGGCGGAAAGGACGTTAGTGACAGTCGGTGCTGAGCTCCAACTGACGTTGCGCGGCGGAGGGTAATCATGGCAGGACTTGAGGACGACTTGCCCTTGGAAGAGCGTTTAGAGACGGCTGTCTCGATAGGGACGACGGTGGCAAGCGCTCGGGTTGAAACCGCCTTGGAAGAAACTGTCCATCGTCGTGCTCGGGATTTCGGGTTCGAGGACAATTCGACACTCCCGACTACAGACCGAGGCGCGATGGATGGCTGGGACTGAACTCTTCGAAAAGGGAGGCACGAGGACTCAGGGCCTGTCTTTCGGCTGCTGCGTGGCCTGCGGTATTTGGCACCACCAGAACCGTTGCTTGAATCGATTGCTGGTTCTGGAAACGGTCGCTGGCGTCCATGTCGGTGACCCTTCCTTTTTTTCATGTTGAGGCTGATTCGATCATCATCATCCGCCTTGAATGGAACATCTTCAGAGCTGTTGTGTGACCGTGGCGGACTCAGCAAGGGTTCACTTCGAAGGCTAGCGGCCGCGCTCGACGGAGGTTGGAAGCTGATTGGCATGGTTTGCGTGCGTGAAGTCTCAGGACGGTGGACTAAGGATACAGCTGGTTCGTGGGCGATAATGATGGAGTGCAGGGTTTGATAGGCATTGAGACTCCCCAGATCGGTGTGCCAGGTTCAGGCGGAAAGAAGCCTCGTGCTGTGGGACCGAAGGAGCTGCTTGTGCAGCAAGAGCGCCTGTCATCGTCTCTCCTCCGGCACTGCATAACATCGTCCGAGTTGTGCCAATCTCAGGAGAGGGTCATCAACCCTCCCTCGGAGATCAGTATATGAATCAAAAGACTCTTTTGCCCTGAGGGGAGCAATGTGGGATTTCGCGTGAAAGAAGCACGCGTCACTGTCACCTGTGGCCATCAAATGTTGCGCCTTCCTGGAAAGCGAGCCCGACCTGTTTTCTAGGCCAGTCCAGATACGGCCCCCAGATAGGGTCCAGAAGACTCGAAACCTCGGCCACCAAACTGTACGCCCAGCCTGTAGCCCACCAGTGATGATCCATACACTGAAATATGGCGGCCCAGTGAGCGAAGAGAGCCAGGGCCATGGGATTGCCTTGCTTCAAGCAATGAATAAATGGCAGTGGTGCCATGATCAACCAAGAAAAGATGTGTCCATCCCATTCGACCACAGAGCGGCAGCGAGAGATGGTACGCAGCCGTTCCAGTTGTTCAAGACAAAGAGATTTCGTGCTGTTGGAGCCCTCATGTTCCAGGAGCGGCGTCAGGTGGGGATCGTCGATGGCTCTGGCAAGCACCTCAAAGGCTTCCACCACGTCGGCAGAGTGAGGAGGCAGGTCAGCATCCCGGGGATACCGTAACAGTTCTTCGATATCGCCTTGGAGCCAGCTGTCCGTCTCGCGAATCACAGCGTGGATTCCCCTCAGGATCATGATGATCTCAATGAAATCGGCGGTGGGCGAGTGTAGGGGCAACGTGATCCCTGGGGACCCATCTCCTTGATCAAACTCTAGCTTGACACTGTTCAAGCCCTCCGGCAGCCTCTTCGAAGCAAATGCCCAAACTGTGAGGAGGAGGGAAACCGAAAAGAGCGCAATGCCGTTGTCTTGGGTGGGCTTGCTCACCGCGGGTATATAGCCGGCGAGCGCGGCGTTCTGATGGGCCAACGCCACTTTCGAATACTCGGCGTATGCGTCCGAGGTTTTTGGCTGCATGGTTGCTTTGTGCAGCGCCGAGGTGGCCATCAGGCCATGGAGGAGAAAATCGTGGCGCAAAGCCTCTGCGAAGATGGTGTCGCGCCATACGACATGGGTGGAAAGTCTCGAAGACATGGTCATGTATGTCCGAGTCGAGTAGTGCTGGATTAGTTCGAGGTCCAACAAGTCGAACTGTTTGCCTCCCAGCGAGCCTTCTTCCCCTGCCACGACACCCGACTGCGGTCTCGAGATGGGAGTCGATCCATGAGGCAGCTGATCGGGGTCTGAATCTAAACCTGGGAGAGGCGGATAGTCGAGAGTTTTGGTTATCCTCCTGTCAAAGACCAGAATGTTTCCCGATGGAGTAGAGAGCCGCTCCGGGCCTTCGTCGAGGAACGAGCAGGTAATCTGTCTCTTCACACAGCGCTGACATTGTGGGCTCGTTTCATCGCACTGGCAAATCGAGTCAGATGGCGCGAAGATCGATCAGAGGATGAGTAGTCCCCCTCGGACTGGTCAACGTGCAAGTTGGATAGAGGGGCTGACCTTGACTCTTCTGGCCTTGCATTGTCTGCACCCATGATGCGACTTTGTGTGCGATCTGCGGGAAGGCATTTGACACTGATGTCTCTCGGGCTTTCCTACGCGGATTCATTGGGCAGATATGATGTCTTCGGATACTTCAAGCCACAACAAAACCTGGACATGCTGAGATGGAGGGAGTGTAGCCTGAAATCAAATCGAATCCAACAGCGCGAACGCCTTCAAGGTACCTTGCTTGCACTGCAGCTTCCGGAATTCGGATACGCCTGGCGGCAGTTCGTATTTTTTTTCAGTTAGTATTCGAGGGATTAGGTGTGTCAAATTTCAACAGCTGTCTCGCTCGGAAGACGGCGGACAGTCAGCCTCATCAGCCTCGTCACCGCTCGGGAGGGAACCGTTCTGTCTACAAATCATGATATCCGATTAGTCCGAAAACTAGAACACGGGTTTCAGAAGCATGTTAGTACGTGTGGGGACTACTACTACTAATGTGCTACCAAAGTATGTCCAGGTCAGGTGAGAAACAGCGTCTGCTAACTTTAGGTAAGGTCAGGTACATCCCTCTGACAACCCTTTTGTACCTGACTCTATATACCTTGCTCTTCCCCGTACTACTACCGGTACTACTCGGATTTCCTGTTGGGTAGCGGGGTACCTAGGTAGGTACATGTGTCTTGTTCATGCCATACACTTGCTCTATCTCTGCAGCCTTCTGGGACATATCTATCACTCCCTGTCTCTCACACATCCAAAAAGTTCATCCAAAAACGCTCTCATTTGATGGTCAATCAATCAATCCTTTCCAGGCTCGCATGTTGATGCCAAACGCATAAATAAAATCGGTACGAAATCCTCTCAATTCTTGAATTTCCTCATTGGCTCGAAGAAGAAGCCAGGGTGCAACAGTGTCATGACCACGGTGGCGATGCCAACCATCCTGAAGCATTTCAAGTCAGCATAACACCCGAATTCCAAATGAGACAGCAACCTACATTCCATCCAGGATGAGAAACTCGGTTTCATCCTGCATGAGAGGGTTCCCCCACCCACCAGCCATCTCGGGGAGACTATTGCAATCCTTGGTCAGCATAATTGCGCAGACACCCTGCCACCCCCCGTCAACACGTACCGATAGATACACCGAATGAAGATGGTGACGAAAGCCAGAGCAATGCCGAAACAGAAAATGCGGAAGTTGCGCGACGGCTTCTGCAGGCCCTGGTTCTTCTCGTATTCGCTCTCGGAGTAGGTGGTCGACCGGGCCTTCCTGGCCCTCTGAAAGCGGATGAAGAAGTCCAGCATCAGCAACCCGCACACGGCCATGGTCGCAACTTGGAACGCGATACCGGCCACGATCAACGCATTGCCGGCGTCCAGCAGCTTGCGGCCGCTGTCGGTGGGGTGATCACCAGCGGCCGCCGCAATACCTCCTCCAATGGCCTGCAGGACGATCGAGCCAAAGTCACAGCCGATGAACAGCCAGGGATACAGTCTCGGCTTCAGTCTCGAATTCTCGGCACCACAGTAGCTGACGAGGTGCTTCAAAGTCACGTAGATGCCGGCGGCGAGGAAGCTGGGCGCGAGCACGAGGCAGCAGATCTGCGTCTTGAAGCCTGCCCCCGACCACGGATTGTTGTGCATGAGTATTCGTCCGATATAGCCCACGGCCTCCCCGAAGCAGCCTATCACGACAACCGCCATATATGTCCACGTCCGCCGCCAGATCCCCATCCCCAGCTGCAGAAACATGCATAGGCCGAACAGCGCGATGAAGAACGAATTGACGCTTAGATTCGGATAGTATCCGTACGTGGTCGCCTCGACCGGACATTGCGGCGTGACTTTGGTGCAATAGTCGTGGGCCGCGTGTGTCGCGTTGGACGACATGATGGCCGGTGTCAAGGCCGAAATATCGTATTGTACGAAAACAGACGGTCAAAGCCCTCCGCAAGAATGGAATAACAAACGCGAACCAGACGATTCTTGAAGATCTCTTTCAGGCTGGACTTCAGACTTCAGAAGTGATAGAAACGCCACGCAGGACTTGAAAGCCGAATGTCGTGGGAGATGGGATTTGTACTTGACTTGGGCGGCCCTCCACTGCTTCAACTTCATGAGTCCTGCCAATGCAGTGGGCGGTGCTTTTGGCCCTAAGCGCCTAAGGAGCCCAATAACACGACTCCTTAGGCTCTGGCAGGCCGCCTGATGGGGTCAATTGCTGTAAGCGAAGTGGCTCCTGAGACGGTTAAACGAGCTCTCTAGGCGATATTAGGCATAGGATACGTTCCCGGATCTCGCACGTTCCGGGCTTGGCCAACTTGAACTTGAAGTTGAACACCAACAGAACAAAGCGTGTTATCAACACTACTAGTACGGCATGCAGTGGTCATTCATTGTGCTCGTCATCCATCTCCTCGGATCTCGTCTGCTCGCCGCCCGCTGTCATTGTTCCTCGTCATGTTGACAAGGAAGAAAGTATCCTTGAATGACCCATTTATCTTCGCTCTCTCCCCCGTGGGGCAATGGCCATTATACAGTGATGATGGTTGACAACACAGCCACAGCAAGGCCGGCCAAACCTCGTCACCGTCACGACAATCAGGGCGATAGTGGAAATTGAAAAGACATGGAGGCCCTTGTTAACCGTGGAAGAGTTGACTCCAGCTTCTTATACTCTGCCAGGTTCCTACAGCTTGAACTGGAGTGAATAGCCATTCCCCTTCTCCATGCTCCTCTTCCACGCCGGGCGGTCCTGACACCTGCGAGACCAGACAGCCAGCTTGGGATATTTCTCGAGGTCTACGAACTGGTTCTGTACGCACATATCCACCGGCCATGAGATGATGAAATCGGCGCGCCCTGGTGAGGTGCCCATGAAATAGTCCTGATCCCCCAACTGGTCATTCAAATATTGAAAATACAGATCCAGCTCGGGTCCCGTGAAAGCCTTGTAGACTTGCTTGTGAATGACTGAAACCAAAGGGCGGATGAAGAACGGAGAGGATTGAACAAGCAGGTTGAACACGAGCTCCAGGGTCATTGGAGCACTGATTGTGGCAGAGGCGAGATTGCATAGCTCGTCGTCGCGGATCCAGTCGTTGGCTGCGCTATCTCCTCGGAACTTGCCAGACTTGTCGTATGTCTCGATGAGATATCTTGCAATCACCAGCGATTCCACAACCACTCTACCATCGGCTGTTTCCAACTGCGGCGCCTTGCCCAACGGATGTGTTTCTTTCAGTTCTGGCGGCGCCCTTGCTTTGTTCGGACCTGACTCGCCGCGTTTATGAAGAGAGAGGTTGTAGGGTATGTCGAGTTCCTCGAGGAGCCACAGGATACGTTGCGATTGCGAGTTCTAGAGTTGATAAGCATTGCTAGGCAGAGACCTTCAATTTTAGGAAGCGCGCACATTCAAATGGTGCAAGGTAGGTTTCAATTCCGAGTCTGCCATTGTCAGTTTTGTAGGTGGGCAGCGATAGCGAGTCAGTGCAGGAAGATAGTAGTGGAATGATGTGTGGAAAGAAAGAGGAATCGCTGTTGCTGCTCTGAACCTCCAGAAGCTTGGAGACCAGACTACAGAGTATGTAATTAGCGTGGACGCATAGGACCGGGTAACAGTGACCAGATTCACTGAGTGTCGAGCTGCTGGCTCGAACAACATAGAGCCGGCGTAAGGCACGACTGAAGAGCCAGTCATCATCTTGTTCGGCTCAATTCAAAGATGGGATAAAGATGCCTGGCATTCAGTTCAATATTGGCAGAGAAACCGAAGTGCTAGGTATCCTGGTACGCGTTGGCTCACAAATGGGCTTAGCGCAGATCTGGCCGCAATTCCTCCACTGGCACTACGATGCGATGTTGCGTTTCTTGACTGCGGCATCAGGGACGAGCAAACCACTGTGATTTGGGGACATCTGTCAACACCACACATGCACTTGATGCCTCAATGACCACACGGTACCTACGAGGTCTCACAAACTGATGACATGGAATATTCTTCTTCTGCACCTCTCTATTGTCGCCGTCCCCTTCAAAGATCCTAGTCCACACGACCAAGCATCGCCGCGCGCACTGTCGGAATCCCATTGAATAAAACCCACCATTCGACTGCACGATGCGTCTGGACGTGAAGCGCCAGCTCTTTGCCCGTAAGTTGACCTGATGCTGACCAGAAGACCTTTACTGACGTTCCAAGGTTCGGAGCGGGTAAAGGGCATTGACTTCCACAGGTGAGTATCCCATGCGTGCCCACCCCTATTTGGCGCAATGCAACTCAGCTTCTAACAAATGAGCAGTACCGAACCATGGGTAATGCCAACGACTCCTTCACGAAGACTCTTAAGACTGACTGCAAAAGATCCTCACGACGCTGTACAATGGCCACGCCCACATCTGGTCCTACGAGACACAAGCCATCATCAAAACCTTTGAGCTTACCGACGTCCCTGTCCGGGCAGGGAGATTCATTGAGAGGAAGAACTGGATAGTATGTGGTAGCGATGACTTTCAATTGAGGGTTGTCAATTGGAATACCAGTGAAAAAGTCAAGTCTTTCGAGGCGTAAGTGGACGGCAATCTCACGGTGGACTAGAACAGTGGGCTTATTGTGCGGAAACAGACACCCTGATTACATTCGCGCCATCGTGGTACACCCTGTGCTCAGCGTTGTCCTCACTGCCTCAGATGATATGACGATCCGAATGTTCGACTGGGAGAAGGACTGGCGCTGTGTACGCGAATTTGTGGGACACCAGCACTATGTGATGGGACTGTCTATCGTAGGTCATATCCAGCTCCAAGACCGTCGGGATTTGAGGTTGACATTCCTTCCAGAACCCCAAAGACACCAATATTTTTGCATCGGCTTGCCTGGACCGAACCATCAAGATCTGGAGTATCGACAATGCCTCGGCCAAACAGACAATCGAAGCCCATGAAAAAGGGGTCAATCACATTGACTACTATCCGCACAACGACAAACCGTACCTGCTCAGCACATCTGACGATAAAACTGTCAAGGTTTGGGACTACACTACAAAGGCACTGATTGCCACTCTGGAAGGACATACTAGCAACGTCAGCTTTGCCTGTTACCATCCCGAGTTGCCGGTCATTATATCCGGCTCAGAAGATGGGACCATCAAGATCTGGCATGCCAATACGTACCGACTAGAGCAGTCTCTGAGCTACGGTCTAGAGAGAGCATGGTGCGTTGCTTATCAAAGAGGGAAGCAAGGGGTCGCCATGGGCTTCGACGACGGTGCTGTTGTCGTCAAAATGGGCAGAGAAGAGCCGGCAGTATCCATGGACAACACCGGCAAGTTGGTCTGGGCTCGCCATAACGAAGTGGTCTCTGCGATCATCAAGGGAGGAGATGCCAGCATCAAAGATGGTGCGCCGATTGCCCTGCCCATCAAGGAAATGGGGACAACAGAAATGTGAGCTCATCTAGCCCAGGCTCGATTGATACACAACTGACGTTTATCATAGATACCCTACGACATTGTCGCATTCACCCAATGGCAGGTTCGTCAGTGTTTGTGGGGATGGAGAATTCATCATCGTGAGTATTATATCCGGTCATCAAACGGGACAGGCGTTGACCATGTCTAGTACACTGCTTTGGCTTGGAGGAATCAAGCTTTTGGTGCAGCACTTGACTTTGCATGGTAAGGCCACTACGTCCCCTGGCAAGATTGGGAGTCCATTAACATCGGTTTAGGGGATCGCATCAGAATCCCACCGACTATGCAATCCGCGAGTCCGCTACCAGCGTGAAACTATTCAAGAAACTCAAGGAGAGCGGAAACCTCGATGTTGGGTTTCAGGCTGAAGGTCTGTGCGGCGGATTCCTGCTAGGTGTCAAGGGTCAGGGCGGAATCGGAATGTTCGACTGGGAATCAGGAAGTCTTGTCCGACGGATTGAAGTCGAGCCTAGAGAAGTGCGCCAAATCCAAATGCAAACTACGTCCATGGCGTTACTGACGATCGTCAGGTTTATTGGAGCGAATCAGGCGAACTCGTCGCACTTGCGTGTGCCGATACAACTTATGTCCTCCGCTTTGATCGAGAAGCTTACCTCGAAGGCCTCAACTCCGGGGAAGTCGACGAAGACGGTGTCGAGGCTGCATTTTCCGTGGTCACCGATTTGCAAGAATCCGTCAAAAGTGGTGAGTGGGTCGGCGATGCGTTTCTGTTCACCACCACGAGCCGACTCAGCTACATGCTTGGCGAGCAAGTTGTGCATATTGCACAGTTTGACCAGCCTATGTACCTCCTCCGCTATCTCCAAAGAGATGAGCGTGTGTATCTCTGCGACAAAGACGTCAACCTGGTGAGCTATCGACTGTCGACAGCCTTGCTCTCCTATCAAACTCTCGTATTACGGGGTGAGATAGAGGCCGCCCAGGAACTACTACCTGAAGTTCCTGCAGATCAGATGAACAAAATTGCCAGGTTCCTTGAGGCCCAAGGACACAAGGAGCTGGCTCTCGAAGTCGCGACCGATCCCGAGCACCGCTTTGAGCTTGCATTAAGTCTGAATAACCTTGCAGTGGCACTCGAGCTCGCTCGCGAGGCCGACATGCAAGCCAAATGGTCTTCAGTGGCAGATAAGGCGCTCGAAGCCTGGGACGTGAAGTTGGCCGAGGAGTGCTTCCTCAATGCCAAAGATCTTGGCAGCTTGCTTCTGCTGTACACCAGTTCAGGCGACAAAGCAGGGTTGACCAGACTCGCGCAACAGGCCGAAGAGATGGGCAGCAACAACGTTGCTTTTGCCAGTTGGTGGTCGACCGGCAACATCCCGGCCGCCATCGACTTGCTCAAGCGCACCGGCCGCATCAGTGAGGCTGTATTGTTCAGCCAGACATACAAGCCCTCGACGACACAACAGCTGGTTCACGAGTGGAAAGAGAGTCTGGAAAAGCAGGGCAAAGGCAAGGTCAGTCGCTTGCTCGGCGTGCCAGGGGAGGACGATGATTTATTCCCCGAATGGGATGAGTACATCAAGATCGAGGAGGACCCCAATACCAAAGGCCCGGCGACCGTCGATCTCATGGAAGTCAACGGCGATGAGGCTCCTGCGACCAATGGCACGACCGAGGCCGACGGCGAAGATGCCGCTGAAGATGCTGCTGCAGAGGCACTGGCGGAGTCGGAGGCTGAGGAATAGGCGATGCGGTGATAGCCTTTCATTGGGTCAAGAGGCAAAGGCCTCCCCTCCACAAGGAACCGGCGACATGACTGAACAAGTTCGGAACTGTCTGGTGTTGGAATGTTAGAATGGCTCAAAAGGCCAGATCAACCAGGAAAATGGGACTTTGATGATGTTGTACCAGGTTCTCAGCATGGCTAGAGTGATTCATTCCTCTTGCGTATATCCATCGAAACTGTTAAATCATGCCTCGTGTGAAGTAACTCCATATACATGAGACGGGAGTATCTATGTTCTCCGCATATTGTGCAAAGCATGCCGGCGTCCTTCACTCTTGCGGCTTCAGCCATCTTTTCTTCAGCGCCGAAGGACGCCGTGGCCTACCTGCTGCTTCTGTGCACCATTTCGTGCGAACCCTGACATGAAGGTGCCCGCAATGGGCCCCTGGGTAAACCATCCTCTGTGGCAACCGGTATCCCCCCTCGTATATTCTGTTCTACTGTTGTATGTGCCGCTGCTGTCTCCCATCAAAATCAGACAGCTCCGCCTTGGACATTGCCCTTGACGCCCGGGACATGCGTAACCCGTTGCCAATGTTCGACTCTGCCCTCGAGCGAGCGAGGGACGAGGAAATACAGCTTCTGCGGGTCGTCGAGGCCTCTGAACTCGTGGTCGCCGAGCAGCCGGACCTCGAACCGCTGGTGCGTGAGGTTTCGCTGGCCCTTTTTAGAGCGAAGGATGCCCAAGTCCACGGATTCGTGCTCGTCTCGATTCTCGGTTCGGGTTTGGTCTTTGTCGCTGACGCCGACGCCGACGCCGACGCTGGCCCTCCCTGTGTCACCGGCACTGCTGCAATCATCCGTGACTGTAGTTTGGGATTGCTGCGTCGATGTTTGCTCCTCCTGTCCAGCATCTGAAGGTGACTTGACCTCCATTTCCAACTCTCCCTGAAGCTGGATCAAGAATTCCTCCGAGACGACGATCTGCCCTGCCTCAGTGGCCTCAATGAACCGCGCGGCCCGATTGACCATCGGACCCAGATAGTCCATGCGCTGAATCACATCGTTCCAATTACACACTGGACGGCCCCAATGGGCGCTCATGCGGAGCTGCAGGCCACGGAATAGCAAATGGCCGTCGGAGTCCTTGGTCTCCTTGCCCGGCGTCAGCTTCAGGATCTCGCGCGGCCAGTTCTCGTCCAGCAGCTGTTCCTGGACGTCGAGGCAGAATTGCACGGCCGCCGTCGCGGTCGGGAAGGCGATCATGAACCCGTCGCCGTTCTGCTTGACTTCGTAGCCGTGGTTCGCCTCGGTCAGGTGGCGCACCATGTGGTCGTGCAGCTGCATCGCCTGCATCATCGCCGTCTCGTCCTGTTCCCAGATCGCCGTCGATTTCACGATGTCGGTGAACACGATGCTCAGACTGCCTTGAGGAGGCGGACTCGGTTCTGTGTCTGGCTGCTTAGCGGCCTGTGCGCCAACTGCAACTGCTGGCTCACGGTGTCGGTGTCGGTCACCTTCTGCTTCATCGTGCTTCACCGGCTCACTATTCGAGTCCGCGTTCACGCCACTGGTGGTGGAGTAGTGGGTGTTTGATTGATGATATCGTCCACCACCTGTCGTTGACAAGGCTCGCGCTCCTCCTGAGACCGTCGATCGTGCGAGCATCACATTGTGGTCAAGGTGGACCTGTCGCGCATGAGTCTGGAGAGGCAGCGAAGCCCGTCGCGATGATGATGTTCGTCGAATGGCTCCTTCACGGAACACCGTCCGCAAACTGGTCACCTCGCGTAACCGGATCCTCCCAGGCATTCCCTTGGTATACAAGCGATATCGGTTAAGATCGACTCACGCAGCGATCCGTGGCAATGGCAATGCCGGGCTAGCAGGTTGCCGGATTGTCTTCTGGAATCCCCAACAAGTTTTCACGCTGCATGGTCAGAGCAATACTCCTGATAAGCCTGTCTCGGTCTGTTCTGCCTTTGTCTAGAGTACTGGGTTCTTGTTTGGTGGGCAGTTCGTGCCCGGTGTGTCGTCCGTTCCTGTTTCCTGAAGCTCGCCTCGCGTAATCTATGTGAAGTCGATCTGGGAGACTGATGTATGTGGCGTCTTGCAGTTGCAACAAAATACGGCGAGAGCGGGCTTGACCTGTTTAGCCGTCGATCTGGTCCTCTCCGTCATTGGTGGGAGAAAGTGTCCGGGCGTTGGCTTGCCTTTGATGGACTTGCAAGTCAGCTCTGGATTTATTCTTGTAGTATGAGGAGGTGCTGAGAACGGTATTGGTATATGAAGAGCCACGATCTCTTTTCAGGTATGTTTGCCAGACTTGAGAGATATCTTGGTTGGCTGCTCACGAGAATGCTCAACGCTACAGGTATGGGTATCTAAGGAGCATAGAGGCCCAATGCATCTCCATTCCTGGTGTGTTCGATGTATCCAGATCCACGGATATGTTATAGTCAAGACGGTTGGTTAACGAAAAGGAATCATGCTCGCACATTGAGCGACCTCTGTCGTCCCAATGTATTCTTCATAACGGTGAGAGGTACCGGAGAATCTGTGGGCGCCAAATCAGTGCCATCATTGTAACATCCGATGGCTGAGGATACAAGAACCCTATTTATAGCATCGAGTTCGATCCATTGCACGACGAGGAAGTCTTGTACTCCAAAAAGACGTCGATGGATGAGGAAGTTCAAAGCATCAAGACCACTGTCCCAATGTTCCGCCCAACGAAGTTATGATAGAGAAATGCATCTCTCTTATTGCTCCATTACCTCCAGGCCGGGGACATTTTGGTCAGATCTGAACTCAACTCGCACACTTGATTCAAGGGTCACGGTACGTACGTCCAGCTTGTCTGAGCACTGTAACGCATCACCTCCTTTTTGAGGAGCTTGAGGCTGAATAGGCGAATCTGTTGACATCTCCGCCGTCAATCCTCTCTGACGCTATAGTGATGACATGTCTGAAGGTGATATGGGTCAGCTCTGGGTGCAACGGCCTTTACCTAATCAATTGAATCATTCATCTTCTTGATCTTCTTCAGTGTCGCAGTCTGAAAAACTTCAATAAAGCAACAGCCATCCCTGGCCTGCGACTTCGGACCCAGGTCATTGCGTCGCAATTGTTTCTTGGGTGCCATCCAGAGAACATCACGGCACATCAACCGACATTGTTGACGTACCAACGTAGCAACGACAGATTTTGAGTGGTATACGACGCCGATATCTGGAAGACGAACGGACATAGGAAGCGTGATGGCGGTGACTCAGTTGTCAATTGAGAGAAGCTGATAAGCCCAAATTTTCCCATTGCGGGGAGGCGAGGCGAGACAGTCAACTGACCAATCAGAGAGAGGCTGTAGTCATCCAGCCATTCCGATGTCGGCATCGCACTCACATTTCACAGTCTGGCTTATATCCTGTGTCCTTCGATTCGAGGGATTGCGGTCGTGCTTCGTCTCATTCATCTCGCATCAAGTCCTTTCTGTGTCGATTTGTTGATCTGGTTCCATTGTTCAAGATGCCTTCAGCAGACACACAGCCCAGAACCCTGTACGACAAGGTCTTCCAAGACCATATTGTCAATCAACAGCCAGATGGCACTGTTCTCCTCTATATCGGTACGTCTTTGTTCCCCCTCACTCTCTTGTGCAAGTGAATCTCGCCTGACATTCAACAGATCGACATCTCGTGCACGAGGTGACTTCTCCCCAAGCCTTCGAAGGCCTCAAGAATGCGAACCGAAAAGTGCGCCGACCGGATTGCACCCTCGCCACTACCGACCACAACGTGCCCACCACACCCCGCAAAAACTTCAAGAATGTCGCCGACTTCGTTAAGGAGGAAGACTCGCGATTACAGTGCATGACCCTCGAGGATAACGTCAAAGAGTTCGGACTCACCTATTTCGGCCTGGGAAACCAGAACCAGGGGATTGTACACATCATTGGGCCCGAACAAGGCTTCACTCTGCCCGGCACTACTGTGGTCTGTGGTGACAGCCATACTTCTACCCATGGAGCCTTTGGCGCCCTCGCCTTCGGTATAGGCACAAGTGAGGTTGAACATGTGTTGGCCACGCAATGCTTAATCACCAAGAAGAGCAAGAACATGCGGGTGCAGGTGGAAGGCAAGCTGGCTCCGGGGGTCACCAGCAAAGATATCATCCTACATGTAATTGGCGTCATCGGAACCGCTGGCGGAACCGGTGCAGTCATCGAGTTCTGCGGCTCAGCTATCCGTGAGCTGAGCATGGAGGCTCGTATGTCAATATGCAACATGTCCATTGAGGGCGGTGCCAGAGCCGGCATGATCGCTCCTGATCAAATCACTTACGACTACCTCAAAGGCCGACCGTTAGCGCCCAAAGTCGACAGCAACGAGTGGAAGAGGGCGATCAACTACTGGAACAGCCTCAAATCCGACGACGGGGCCAAGTACGACATTGATGTTTTCATCGATGCAAAGGATATCACGCCTACGGTGTCGTGGGGAACGTCGCCTCAAGATGTTGTACCCATCACCGGTGTCGTCCCAAGTCCAGATGATTTCGAAGACCCAAACAAGAAAGCCAGCTGCGAGCGTGCTCTTGAGTACATGGGCTTGACTCCTGGAACGAAAATGGAAGATATTCCCGTCGACAAAATCTTCATCGGGTCTTGTACGAATGCCAGAATCGAGGATCTCCGAGCCGCGGCCAAGATCGTGCAGGGTAAGAAAATCGCTCCCAACATCAAGCGGGCCATGGTCGTGCCTGGTTCGGGAAACGTCAAAGCCCAGGCCGAGCGGGAAGGTCTCGACCAGATCTTCGTCGACGCAGGCTTCGAATGGCGCGAGGCTGGTTGCTCCATGTGCTTGGGTATGAACCCAGACATTCTATCTCCCCGGGAGCGCTGTGCGAGTACATCAAACCGAAACTTCGAGGGCCGACAAGGTGCGCTGGGTCGCACGCATCTCATGTCCCCAGCCATGGCCGCGGCCGCCGCCATTGTTGGCAAGCTGGCCGATGTGCGGAAGGTCACTGGCACCGATAACGTCGCTCCAGCCAAGGGATCGCCCAAACTTGACGTGGCGCCAGAATTTGCCGACGTCGATTCCGAGGAGGAGCTCGACCGCATCCTCGATATCCCCGCCGATGTTGGGCCGCATGTGAACCACACCTCTGCCACGGGAGCCGGCACTTCGGCCGGCCTGCCCAAATTCACCGTGCTCAAGGGCATTGCAGCACCCCTGGAGAAGGCCAACGTGGACACGGACGCCATCATTCCCAAGCAGTTTCTCAAGACCATCAAGCGCACTGGGCTCGGCTCGGCTCTGTTCCATCCCCTGCGGTTCAACGAGGACGGCAGCGAGAACCCCTCGTTCATTCTCAACCAGGAGCCGTATCGCCGGTCGAAGATCTTGGTCGTCACCGGCCCCAACTTCGGCTGCGGCAGTTCGCGTGAGCACGCCCCCTGGGCGCTGCTGGACTTTGGCATCAAATGCATCCTGGCTCCCAGCTACGCCGACATCTTCTTCAACAACACCTTCAAGAACGGCATGCTGCCCATCGCCATGCCGGACCAGGCCGCGCTCGAGCGCATCGCAGACGAAGCCCGCGCCGGCCGCGAGATCGAGGTGGACCTGCCGAACCAGGTCGTTCGTGACGCGGACGGCAAGGAACTGGCCAGGTTCGACGTCGAGGAGTTCCGCAAGCATTGTCTGGTCGAGGGCCTGGACGACATCGGCCTGACCATGCAGATGGAAGACAAGATTGCCCGCTTCGAGCAGAAGCGTACCCTCGACACCCCTTGGCTGGATGGCAGCGGCTATCTCAAGAAATGGCGCAAGGGCCCCGTCAAGATCGAAGCCGCCCCAGTTCCGAAGACGAATCGCGGCGAGGTCAAGACTGACCCGGTGGAATGGTGAGAGCAGACGGGACCAAGCTTGCCAATCGGTACGCTGAGAGATCGTCTTTAAAAAGCCAACTTGCTCTGAGGATTCGACCGTGGAGCATTATGAGGGATATGAAGGTCACATTTGTGTGTGTATTATTTGGGATTGCAGGGAACCGGGAAGGCCTACGTGCCATGCTCAACGTTGATGTTGGTCTTAATACATGAAAGCAATGAGTCTACAAACAACAGACATTGTCTGCCTTCTGTTCTGCTTCTGGAGACACACATGTACTTCCGGTGTTCAATTTCTCGTCAATCTGCCCTAAATTCCAATGCAAGTTGTGGGGGCTTCCTCCCGAAAGATGTACGGTGACTTCCATTGGCACCTTCAGTGAGAGCTTGGTGGGCTACGCGCTGTCGCCAAAGGGTCTTCTCAATGTCGCTGTGCTCGATCGAATAAAGGCTGATATCCTCGACTGAGAAGGCGGCTGCTCCCCCGATCCGTCGTGGTTTGGCTAGGCGGCCTTGCAAGAAGCTCGCTGCACGCCTGATCATACTGCAACTCACCCTGGACCTTTCTCCGTGTCCGTGGGGACCAGAGGTTAGAAGTTCCTCCGCGGAACTTCAATCCCCAATGAATGAGTGTACCATGCCGGCCTTGAAAGATGCAGATACGTATTTTGCCAGACATGATAAACTGTAGGACCTGGATTTTCGCCATACAACTGGGCCATGTGCCGGTAACTCATGCCGACACGATTGTGACATGCAAATCGATTCCCTTCGGTCCGGCCACTTTCAGTGTAAAAAGGAGTGTTTTGCCGAACCGCAAAAGTCAAAGGCGGCTCGGCGGCCGGCAATGGCTTTGCAGTCCTCGGGCAAAAGAAAAAGAGGTCCAAAGGGTAAACCTGGCCGGCCCGTGTGGCGATAAAGCCAAGGTTCAATCCTTTGTAACCTTTTACAGGCAAGACTTCGAAGTTGTCTGGCGGTTGTAGAGTAAGGACTGTCCATTTCAACCTCGGTCTTCCCTCCCAATAGCTGGACGCCCACGATGGGGGTTTAAGGGTTCCCGCGATATCGATGGTCACAGCCTAGACCTAATATCAGTCTAGCTCCTTGATTGCAGGATGGCCGAGCTGTCCTGGCTGATAGTAACAAAGACAGGAAGGTTGAGGCCGGCGGAGGAACGTTCCGTTGAAGGACCCGTGGCGTTTCAGTGATCTGTGCGGTTCAATTATTTATTGAAGCACCGACGTTCGCACACAATCGAGCCCAGCCCCGTATGAACGCGAGCTTCTACATTATAGAAGCATCGTTGAGCAATCATTCGATTTGGCGAAGTGGGGGTTTGTTGGTTTCTGGCATCTCCTCAGACATATAGTGAGGAGACTGGTTACGTGCACCGAGTAGAAATGCCGACCTTGAAGTGCGTGGGCCGGTATCGAGCAAAGACTGCTTAGAACATCTAGGTGACCCGAAAGAGGAGGCACCAAGTAGTTGTTCTTTCAGAGCAAGGAGAACCAGAGATATCACCGCACTTGCAAGTTTTGCCGAAATTTCATCACATCAGACCAAAGCCAAGGACATCATGTCCACGAACAGGTTTTTTTCCTCTCAGACAAGACCACCTCAAGATGCTGGTGCTTGATCCGTGAGGCCGAAACCGTGGCGCTAGTGAAGAAGATAGATTCGATGCTACGTAGTAGCCCGTGTACTATCGTGGATGAACGTGACAAGTTTCGAGGGTGGGACTAGTATAAGACCTGGTGGGCTATACCTAGACTGTGGGCTGCAGCTCGAGAGACACAGCAGCTAGTAGAAAATTGCCTCGTGGCAGCCACAAAGTAAAATCCGAGATAACGAATGAGCTCGGCCACGTGTTGGCAGGGAAGAGATCGGGGGCTAGGGAATAATGGCTGTCGTTTGTTGAGTTCGTGGCAGGGTCTGGCGGCAGGGTTGCAGTTGGGTATACGTTCTGCTCGTGAGGTGGGACGGGGTGGCGGCGTCAGCGGCGGCGTCGGCGACGGCGTTGTGGCAGCGAGTTGGCACAGGCTCGTGTTGCTCGACTAGTAGGAAAGACATGCTTAGGTGCGGCCGTGGGTGGATTCGTGGAGGTGCGTAGTACACAGTAGGAGAAAAGTTCGGGGCTTGCAGCGCGGTGCATGGTTGACACATGCATTTTGACAGCAGACTAGGATGGCTGCGATGAATCGGGGAATAACAGCTCCCGGAGTAGAAGTGCCGAATGAGGAGAATCTGGAGGGCGGTGGTCGTTGCACTCCGGACAGAATAGAGGTTGAGGTCGGAACATTGAACAGGATAATGATAGAAGGGTCAAGATGTGTATACGGCTAGTTTGGATAGCATCCCTACTGTGTCGTGCCTGCCTTCAATCAGTTGAGGCACAAAGGCGGCAGGCACGTCATCGGCTGCGTTCTTTTAGGTATTCCTTAACGAACGCACCTTAGATAGGTAGATAGGTAGATAGGTACTTCACGTACACTATACCTAAAACAGTACATTTACTCCCAATCCTACCTAGGTAGCATCTAGTTTTGAGCGCGAGAGTCACGACTTACATACAACACGGCATGGCACTACAGTAGTACTACGTCTAGAGAAAGAATCGAGACAGTCGTAAGGTATACCCATTCGCCAATGGCGGAGGAAGCTCACTTACTTGCCGAAGGGCCACCCTCAACCTCAACCCTTCGGTTCCGGCCCACTCATCACTATCTTTCCGATTATCGATTGAGCAGCCCCTCTCCCCGACAGATTCCTGAGCTCGTATGTGGTATTCTCATCACTTCGTCCCTTCGTGACCCGCCGGCGAGGTCGACGAGGAGAAACCCGAGTGACCCTCAGGTACTCTTTGCAACCGGCTCTATAACGCAGGTACTACCTAGGATGGAAGGCCAAGCCATGCTGCTCGCCATTCTTCCCTGCAGAATAGTACGTGCCCAGGCAAATCATGCAATGGGAGAATGGGATGAAACGACAAACTCGATGCGGCGGATGCGGAACTTGAAATGTGAAATGCGGATTTGCCCGGTGAGGGGAGCAACGGCCCCCCTAATGATTGGACACTGAAAAGAGAAATTGGCGGATCCGGTGTAGGGGCGGGCTGCGACACGAATGGAATGTCGCAACAACACGATGGGCTAATCATGCAGTGAACAGGTCGCAGCACAACTAGGTGAACAACACATACGACAAGCACTTCCGACAAGAATGGTAAGAACTGACTGGTTCAACTAGGACGAAGACTTCTGCAATATCCTCGGTCTAACAACACATCCTCAATTTGCCATTTGTTACCCGGCTATCTGCCCGGCGCCCTGGTCTGCTGGAATCTGCCGTCAATCTGAGATCATACATGTACTAGTATCTTGTAGCCACTGCATGCCAAGCCCTCTTCTGCTCACACTGCAGTGGCACCTGCCAAAGTGACATTTCTTCTCGGTTACGACGCTGTGTAACGGCAGTTGCAAGGCTTGCCCAGCATGTGGAGCGGCAGAAAATTAACTTGCTTCCATTGTGGAACTTGGAAACTTTCTCGAAGGTGAAGAACACACCGGCCCCTGAGCGCTCATCGGAGGTTGCTACAGACTACATGGGTTGAAATTGGAGACTTGACGCTGGCCCCTTTGAGAGTTCTCCCAAGTTTCTAACATTTCAGGCCCCTGCAAGTTGGCCAGTCTTTCTTTAGCTGCGTGGCAGGGATCCAGCCTGACTTCATCCATTCACTCTTCCACGTGGACTCCTGGATATGGGTCCCCTGCTAACTCGTATCCAGTCTACTGCCCTTTTTGACTTTGCGCCTTCCTCCACCATCCCGGCGCCACGTCCGTGAATGGTTGGCCGAGACAGAAACGGGCTAGACTCAACCCGTGTCCCACTGCCTGCTTGATTCGAGAAGGCTTTTTAGTCACTTTAGTTCGTTTCATGTCTGGCGGGGCGAGACAGTGGTCGGTCGGTGAGCGTGATTATTGCAGGTGCTTCTGAGATAGGAAGGCGATTGACTTGACCCTCGCGGTGTCGTTTCCTTCCCTCCGTCCGGTATACCGCGTACTCTCGTTCTCCTTAAGATATGTCGCTTCATCACCTCCGACGACCTCATTGAGATTCATTCTGAAGCCGATTACGCACCCAGGCTTCCATTCGAATTTCACATTGAGGATTGTGGTGCCTCCTTCGATTCTCGAAAGACGCCCTTGACCGCGATCAACGCCGGCCAGCTGGTCGCAATCCCGGTCCGGGGGTCCGTGTACTAGTACTGTTAGAGAACCGGAAAGTGACCGGCACCCAGCCCACTAATCATTGTTTCTTCTTGGGAGTGACTGTTCCACTTGCCTTTTTTGCATCTGGGACGGGACATACTCGTCTTCAGCGTGTCAGGTAGTGGGAACTTTCCCCGTAGTCAACTTGCAGTGTGTTATCTCCTGTGTCATATGTGCAATCGCCTCCGGGCTTCCGAGACCACAACACCAATGCGCAGCACGTACTAAGTGAGGTATGTATCAGCGAGGTGCGGTATCGCAAGAAGTAGGTTAGTAGCCACGCCTCGATAAGACTTGCCTGCGGATTTGTACTGCCGGGGTGGCACATTGAGGCTGGAGGAAGAAACAACCTCAATAATAATACCAATGATGCGGAATAATGCTTTTCCACGTTCAGGTACACCGGCTCTTGATCTCGACTCCCAGGAACAAGGGCTCCAGCAACCTTGGGGAAAACCGACGGCGGCACCACCTTCCACGTTTGAGCGACGTCGACTGCTTCGATGAACAGCGAGTCGCATGAATTCTCCTATGCGTCCGAGTGCTCTCTCTGAATCTCGATCGCTGTCTTTGTCCGTGCGGGTTATACAATCCTCACCTCAGCCGTGCGATACTAGTCGTGTTCAGTCCCTACTACTCGAAGCGCAGGTGACTCTACTGTGAGCGTTGACAGGTTCGGAGTATTCACCATGGGGTCGATAGCGAATCGAGTAGTGGGTGAGCGGATCAGCGATCAAATTGGCGTGCAGTGACCTTCAATTGAACCGTCCGCAGAGCTATTCACCTCCGCCAATTCTTTCCTTGCCCATTCCTAAGGCTGGTGGGCTCTGTATAACAGCCCTTAGTACGGGAGTAAACTTCAATACTCCGCAAATGGTGGCAATAAGTTAGCTAATATGTCATGTTCCTCCCTCCAATATCGGACGCAGGCCTCCTGCCAATGCTTCGGCCGCGAAATAGTCGCCCTGGTAGTCTAATCACCCACTGGCACTGTGTTTCCGAGAGACGTCAAAACTGCGCCCCCACGCCCGAACCGGAGAGAAGGGAATAGACATTTTAGGCGGTTGCGAAGGAAAAGTCGGACTCGTGATTGTCCTGGAACACCAACAAAGCGCTAATGCAGCCCTGGAGCATGCTAATGGTGCCGAGTACGTACCATGTGCGCTTCGTGAAAGGCGTTGGGCTCTGCAACCTGGCACCCTGGTTAGGCTTTGTGCATTGAAACACCTCCCGGAGGAGGATCCATGTAACGACGAGTGGATGCGATTAGTACCTCGCAGTATGAGGCTCTGACGAACATACGTAGTAGTGGATGAGGAGTCAACCACGGTATTTGGAGCCATGTTGCACTATATGTCGGCACCGAGTCTTGGGTGGGGGCAGGCGTCTAGACGACGGAGGCGTCAAGGGTAAGGTACAAAGTGAGTAACAAGATAAAGTAGGTAGTTTCTACATTCTTTGTAGTGAGTGTAATTGAGGACAAAATAGTAACGATAATGTCACCTGCCAGCATGACCCTGGGGCACAAGCTGTCACTGCCAAAAACTGCAGGGTCACAGTGTCAGTCCCCAACTCCAATAGTAGTAGGTACGTACCTACTAGTGATGCCCAATTCGTCAGATTGCTTCTGCGCTGCGCAGCGTCCTTCAAGTTTACCACGACTTTCACCTGCGCTCCGTTTTTCTCTTTTTACTTGTAACGACGACATCATCTGGTTTGACGACATCATATCATCTTAGTTATGTACTTGGCATCCCATAAGCACACGATCGATCATCCGCTGAGACAAGCTGTTGTTTGGTGTTGATCACCTTCCAGCCTCTCTGCCATCTTGTACAGGACTGAACCAACCGGCCAACAGTTTTCCTCCTTCTCAATCTTGCCTACTCCTCGCATGATCTTTGCCTAGCACGACCGAATCCTCCAACGTCCGAATCCTCTGTTTCGTTCGCTGCGACCGCCGGGCCGACGAGATCGCGCCATAGAGCTGCCCTACGAGGCGTGGAGACCTGACCAAAAAGAAGAGTTGTTACAAGAGAATCCAGGCAAAAGGTTGAACCAGGGAAGCCTACCAGCTATCCCAGTAGAGGCGTTCTGATACCCGTAGCGGTGGAAGATCATTTCTTATCATACGGTCAACCCAGAGCCGCCGCCTGGCTCGTCAAAAAGTCCGGTCTAAGTCTATCTGCCCAGGCCCCGCCCTGTCAGCAACTCCTGGCCTAAGACACTACCGACCTAAGGCTCCGAGACGAACTTCTCGAATTACACCCTTACCCACTCTCGCACCCTTGCCAGGGCCGGTGGACCCGGGGCCTGGTATAACCTGCGCCCTAACGTGCTCCACACCCTCGTGGTCTCGTGGTGCAGTGAGCAATCCCGGCTCTTGATTGTGGATTGCGCCCCGTCTGCGTTTCTGCTACCGTCCCAGGTGTCGACCGCCAGTCTTCTGCGATGCTCGCAGCGCCCATTCAAGTCCTGAGGATCTTTCCCGTATGAATATCAGTCTTTCCAGTCATGCCAGAGTCAAACGATGCGCTTGTCGTTGACTCCATGACTTCGCCGACTTACAACTTACCTACCTCGATCACCCTGTCCGCCACCGTTGAACAGCATCCTCCGCCCTCGAACCTGTGCCCTACGGAACCCTCTCGCCCGCCTCACCACCACCATACAAGTTCGACAAGTATCACGCAAGCCAGAAGCAGACGCTCGCTTGCGTCCCTTGCCAGAGAAAAGACATCCCACGCCTTTGCCAATTTGGCAGCCATAGGCACAACGCCTACTCCAAGTTTGCGGTCTACCACTTCCACAGGCAGTCTGGCGAAGGAGCCCGCCTCGACGGATATCGTTCGACCCGACCTTCCACGTTCACCTACTTCACCCGAACTCCACAGACCGGCACCATTGCGACGAATAAGCGGATCTCCCTTGCCCAGTCAAGAGTCAAGGAACAGTACTGTGGTGCCTCAAATGCCGAACTCAGACAAGAACAATGGGAGGATGCATCAGACGTCCTCCAAGATCTTGCGCATGACTGATGACGAGAGACCCTTCACACGAGACTTCAATGACTTGTTTTCCACCCTCATCACCAGTCTACCTCTGACGCCACATCGGGTGCGGTTCTCCAGGGTCGAGGAAACGTTCTTGTCGGAGGAAGCCATTACGAACCTTGGGTCCCTGAAGTTCTCCCAGTCGAATCGCATACCTGATCCCAACAACCCCTCCAGATGGGTCGTCACGACTACTACCACCACCTTTTCCATGGCCAGGGAAATGGCTCGTTCTGTCTGTCAGCGCTTTGTAGATGCGAGGCTGATCGAATCAGCGGAATCCAGGAGCATCACCATCTTCCCGGCCAAGGGAGGGGTTTGGCAACTGACGCCCAAAGGGCTGGCGATTCTACATCGCTTTTGCAGCAAGAATGGAATCAACGCACGCCACCTCGAACCTCTCCTCAGGCGGGCGCAGATGCAAATCGTCGCTCTGGAGAGAGATCCCCAGACAGACAAGCTTATTCAGGATAGGGCAACCATCGAGATCATCTTCCGGAGGTTTATGGGTGCCGAGGGCCCGAATTTGAAGAGCTCGACCTCCTTATCCGACTCAGACTCAGTTTCCGACTATGCTAGCGGCCTCGTCGGTATCAAGATGGCCAGAGAGCGGAGGGTCTTGGACAAAACCGTCCAGAGCACCTTTACGGGTAAAGGTGCATCTGACTGGTTACTGGACTGTTGCACCACGATCGATCGCAGAGAGACCTACGAGATTGCCGAGTTGTTTGTCAAGTGGCAACTGATGACGCCAGTCGTCGAGGATAGATCATACGTGCGCCTAAACCCGATGTCGTCCTACTTCCAGCCAACGAAACACGCAATCTACACTGTGACCGAAAGAGGCCAGCGGGTGTGCGGCTGGATCGCCCGACCGCCCAGCATGGAGAGTGAAGACAGTCATGATACTCGGGACAAAGGTCGTGTCGCCAGAGATTCAAATGTCAGCCGATTGAACGTGATATTGCAGGACGCTGCGCTCCGGTTGTTGTTCAGAGAATTCCTGCGGCAATCCTTATGCGAAGAGAATCTGCAATTCTATTTCGACGTGGCCGACTTTACGAACAACTACAAACAATTGGACAAGTCAGGAAAGCTCGAGCGCCAGGAGGCTATCAGAGAGACCTTGGCCGCCGCCTATGGTAAGAATTGCACACTCCCCGGTATAATAACCACCCACTAAATGCCTCTAGGTCTTTACAACTCGTTCCTAGCGTCAGGAGCACCGTCCGAGCTCAACATCGATCACTCGCTGCGGAACCGTCTTGATAGCAGGATGATCCGGACCAATGTTGACGACGAGTCTATGCGACAGTCTCTTGACGAAGTCGTGGAGCTGTTCGAGCTTGCCCAGGCTGCTGTGTTCAAACTCATGGCAAGCGTAAGTGGTCCCTTCCGCCGAAAGGATACCGTGTCTGACTAGATCGCAGGATTCCGTCCCAAAGTTCCTCCGAGACCCAAGAAATGCAGCTGTCCTTCGAGATCACGAAGTCGATCTGATCGGTTCCAACCGCACAATGTCTCCTGCTCCTGATCGTGCAATCAGTCGATCGAACACACGGTCATAACCGAGCTGTCCGATCGAGTAAATGCTGGAAAAGTGAATGTATAATATTCTGCTCCGATCAGCCAGCGCACACTTCAAAAACGATGAACAGATCTCGCCGCGGATCTGATGTACAAAAGCGGCATTTCGTCTATTAATGGTGCGAGTTCGAATCTTGTTCGACCAAATCGGGCCACATGCGGCTGGCGGTAAGACCGCAAGCCACAAAATCTTGCTACGGAGGTTTACCGTAGCATTTCTTCATACAGTCATGTTCGAGTTCTGCATAGCGTGGTCAAACGGGGTGGGTGGCTGGCCATTTTCATCATCAGCATCTTCAGCGGCATGCTCTCCCTTCAGCATTTGCATTGGAAAGATACCCCAGCGGAGGATCATTAGTAGCATGGAGGAAGGAAGGCATATGGGCTGAATTGCATTTGTCATGCTGCGCAGACAGAATATTCCCCTGAGTCATGGGACTATTGGGGATGTGAATAACTGTGTTGGAAAGAGAGCTGAGCTCAAGCGGAGCTGAACATACCACCGAATAATATTGTCCTGTTCTCTCACTGGTTGTCACTTGGGACATGATGGTCAACTTGTAGATTGTAGGCTCCTCCCGCTGAGGCTGAAGCGATATGATCGTGCCATGGCCATGCAAATCCAGGTCTGGCCTGTGGCTTGACACTGGGTCAAGCGCGTGATACCGTGATGAGGGCAAAAGCTGTGGTGAACAGTACTGCAATCATTGTTTGGCGCTCAAAGACAAAGAGTGCCGTGCTAACGGAACGCATACCTCCATGGGTCTCAGCGTGGACTCTACAGAATATATACAGAGTTGTAGTAGAGGGCAGCAGGGGTGTCAAATTGGGTGCCTGCAGCCAGAAATGGTAAACTAGCCGGGTCGGAGAAACGATGATCCCAACCTCCTCCCGCCCAAACACAACGCCTGCCAGTGCCCTTCCTGTCCTTATACCACTACAAGTGCGTCGCGAGCACAAATAAAAAGTCCAACGTTAACTCACCAACGCACACCGATATTCCTCAGTCAGATCGCCGCATGGGATGTGGTAGATACAATCTCTGACCCTTTCTGCCTCGGGAGGGCAATCCTGACGAGATGGCCACGCCAGATGTGTTGCAGCTTCTGAGAGACTCGATCGCAGCATCGAAACCGCCCATCCTCACCAAAAGCTCAGATCCAGACACGGCGGAGGCAAACAGAACGGACTCCTTCGTGGAAGCGACACATCTTTACTTCACCTATCCGTCGCCGCAATGCCTCCCTCTAGAGACGACCACACGGTTCACATCTACAACCCCGGACACCGCTCAAGTTGATCTGCGTAGTATATTCTTCGCCTGGCAGCATAAAGATGTGACTGTCCCAGAGTACATTGCGCTCGCAGCCGAACTCGACAAGCAGTTGCCGGAAGGTCAAAAAATCCGAAATCTGGTCTTCGTCGAACGTCTGGACTTGATCACCTGGCTAGAAGGAGCGTCAGAAGAGTCGGAGTATATCAAGCCCATTGAAGGCGCGGGCGCGGTTGGAGACGCCGCAAACAGAGCTGCAGATGTAGCTGGTGGCGCGGCTGTACCTACAGTGGGTGGTTCGGGCATCGGCGTCACTCAGACGGTTGGTGGAAGACCCGTCAAAGTGATTGATGCCAGGCTTCAAGCCATCTACAATGGCGAACGAAAGATGGGCGACCATAACACCGTGTTGAGAGGAATCAAACCCACGGTAGGTTCCAAGGTTGAATTTGAAAGTCCATGAGCTGATTCCTATAGGATTTCTCCCACGTGCGCAAGCATGCAGAGACCTTTCTTGGCCGGCGCAAAGGTGCTCCGTCAGCGAGGCCCGGTCAACCGTCGAAGACTGCAGCCCTTACAGCTCGTCCAGCTGCAGGCCTATCCAAACCGTTACACTCGGCCGTCTCCTCCAAACGATCCGATCCCATTATTCTCCTCTCGCCCTCGGCATCGTCGCTTCTACGCATGTCAAACATCAAAACCTTTCTGGACACCGGTCTCTACGTGCCGCCTGACCACCCAACATTGTCCTCACAGACAACTGCCAATCTCCTACATATCACTCGAACGCTTCATTCTCTGAGCGAGAAGCCGTACCGATTCATCCTTGTTGACTCCCCCGAACAGTTTAAGCCCGACTACTGGTCTCGAGTGGTCGCTGTCTTCACTACCGGGCAGATATGGCAGTTCCGTGGCTACAAGTGGAGAGAACCCCAAGAGCTGTTCGGCCATGTTCTAGGCATCTACGTTGGCGAGAAAGGCCTACCAATTCCAGCAGAGGTCAAAGGTTGGGGAAGCAGCGTCAAGACCTTTGCTGTGGAACGATGGGATGAGAGAGCTCATGGTGCCAATGTGGATCAGGATACAAGAGCTTCGAGGAGGTGGAGGGACAGAGAGACTGTTGAAGAGGTGTGGAGAGGTATAGAGGCCTTCATGAGAGGCCGTGGAGAATGGAGGCGTTGATTGCGACCCGAGGATTGATACGTCGACTCTACCGAGGGCAGTGCTGTTCTGTGCTCGTCGCGCCGCATTACCCCTGCCAGACCTGAAGCCATGCCCTCGTTGCCACTCCGCCATCAAAACCTGTTCAAGAGCGGACGCTAGAGGACGTGGCAGCAATTTTGTCTGGCTTAGAGGTCGGTCCAGGCAGTCGCCTCACATTTGGACCATATGACCAATCTTAGTCGCGATCTCATGCCGACATGGGACGAAAACTCTTTATCCTCTTCCTGTTTCTGGGAACGTGCTGGCTGACAGGGAGATCTGCACGGATCTTGGAGGCTAAAGCAAGTCCTGCGCGCTTCTAGGGGTCCTTCGTCTGTTTGGGGACTGCCGAGGCATATAAGGGAACGTCTGATACACCAATCGTGACGCCTCAAGCGCTGCAAATAGCACAACGAGGGAGTTTAGCCTCGCCCCAGAGGGCTATCCCTGTCAAGTCGAGAAATAGTATTCTTCCAGAAGAGTGCTTTACGAACAGAGGTTGCATATATATGTCTTCACTATCCTGCAATCCTTGGATAATGCGATGCGCATAGCGGTTGGACTCCTGTTCGTGATTGCAGTCTGGGGAAATCGTCAACATTATATCTGTCTACTCTTTGACTGTCTGGAATCACTGATCAGACACCAAGGATAGTAACATACCCAAGACATCCCCATCTCATCCCTTTGGCGACTCTCCATGGGGTTTGTCACGAGGCTGAGCGACTAGCCAGAAACAGCTTAGTGGCCCCCTAGCCGGTCAATCGGAGAATCGCGTCATCGGAACCGGGCGAGAGGCAAGAAAATCATAGTCTGCGTGACGGCTGTGACCTCGAGCCACAAGCCACCGGCAGAGGCTTTGGCAATCATTAGTCAGTCACCTTCAAGTTTCCAGAACCTCGACTTCTGCATTGCTTCACCACTACACAGTCGTAGAGTTGAACGACCGGCAAAGACTTCCTCTCCATCTTCGCACGCTGACCGCAATCGCATCTGCCCCGGAATCAGAAAACCCTCACCATGGCACCGCTCTCAGAGGTCGGGTCCGAAGCCGACTTTGAGCAGATCATCAAGACCGCCTCCCCATCCACGCTCTTCGTCCTCTACTTCCACACACCCTGGGCGGCGCCATGTGCGCAGATGAGAACCATCCTCACCACCCTTGCCTCCACATACCCGGCCGACGCCGACCTTCGCTTCCTCTCCATCAACGCCGAAGAACTAGCCGACGTTTCGGAGTCGTACGATGTGACGGCCGTGCCGTTCCTCGTGTTGCAAAAGGGTGGCAAGGTCCTTGAGACCGTGAGCGGCAGCGACGCGAGCAAGGTTCGCGCCGCGGTCGAGAAATACGCCGGGACTGGCAGCGGCGGCGGTGGCCAGGCCAGTATTCCTCCACCTCTGCAAGCCACTCCGCAGCAGCCCAACGGCGCGCCCACCGCGACCAAAGATCTCAGTTCCTATGCGCCCACGTCTTCGGATCCTCCCACCGCCCCGGCGTACTCGTCGAACCAGGAGTCGCAGGAAGAGTTGAATGAGAGATTGGCCAAATTGGTGAAAGCTGCGTAAGTCACAACGAAGCATGTGGAGTCACCGTGATTGCGCATTTGATGGGGGTGTATCTTGTGCAATATCGCTACGCTGGGAAAAGAGTTTCTTTTTTTTTTCCGGTTCGGGGCCGTGGTGGGCTGACATACCATCTTTGCAGACCGGTTATGCTTTTCATGAAAGGCACACCTAGCGCTCCTCAGTGCGGGTTTAGTCGACAGTTGGTCAGCATTTTGCGGGAGCACCAAGTCAAATATGGGTACGTGTTGATCGCCACTTCACTTCTGTGTACCGAGATCTCTGGTACATCGCATAGAAATGCGGAGCCATTGTCTGAACAGAGAGTTGTCGAGACCAGTATTTGCTAACTTGGTCTGTGTCTGCCGGCAGGTTCTTCAACATTCTCGCTGATAGCGACGTTCGTGAGGGCCTCAAAGCCTTCTCGGACTGGCCTACTTTCCCGCAACTATACACTAATGGTGAACTGGTCGGTGGGCTGGACATTGTACGTTATAACCCCCTTTCGTGGGCAATGCGCATTAGGTTGCGCGTTGCTGGTGTACTTTATTTGGTTGGCTAACGTATTTTGCTTGACGATACAGATCCGAGAAGAACTGGAAGCGGACCCGGACTTTTTCAAGCCCTTCGCGGCGCCTAACCCAACCAGCGTCTAGGGTGGATTCGAAGGAAAGATACAGCTCGTCTCGAGCATCGGTCAAGCCTTGACCCGTCATGGCTGACCAGTTTCCTTAATGTACAGGCAATTGAAGGGGGAGTCAGATAGGCGTGTGCCCAGGGTGACTGGTCTGCGACCTATACATATAAATGCTGGTACGAAAAGTGCTATGATACGACAATACCAATGAATTTAACTTTCATGAGGAGACGACAAGTTAGGGCACGCAGTCCTAGTATTGTGTGCGCAGATGGAAGAATCTTTTTATGTAGAAGTGGCCAAGTACAGACTCATTTCCTAATCTCTGGCGCTATGGACAAAGCTCATTCAGCGGTCTTATATAGTATTGGACGATTCTCTGACCGGGTGAAGGTGTGAGTTTCGTGAATGCAGCTGTGCTTTCTAGTCCTCATGATCAAAGTCTTACTTAAGGACGTCTAGAATGACGATGCCCAAAGTACCATGAGCTAGAACTGCCTTTATAGACCTCGGACCAACAGTCTCAAGTCCTTGTGCGTGCGATTGGACATGATGCGGGAATGGTATGCTGAGGAAGCTAGCCTGAATTTTGCGAGTCAAATAGATCATTCGAGGTCAGCGTCCACATATCGAATGAGTGGCATCTGCGGCATCATGGCAACGGCCTTGCTGATAAAGTCCTGGCGATTGAGATATGCACCACGTAGCCAGCGCCTGCCTGAGTTGACGTCAAATGCATTCCGGGCGTGGACGACGCGCAGATTGTCGAAGATGACGCAGGTGCCGCTATCCATTTTCTCCTCGACGACGTTTTCCGGCCGCTCCATGATCTCGGCAAAGGCCTTGCTGCTGGCGACGAAATGGGCCAGCTCGTGATGCGTCGGCTGAGGAGAGATATTGCCGACGAACGGCGGCGACCAAAAGACATGGCCAACGTCCTTCATGGCGCGAACGTGGCGGGCGTCGATGGTGACGCGGTGAGGCACGCGCAGTTCCTGTCTTTTCAGGATGGTCGGTTTGGCGTCCGAGTAGAAGAAGCCGTCGTTGTCGTACTCGTAGCGCACCGGGTACGTCATCAGTGTGCGCACCATGGCGCGGTCCTCGTCAAACAGCGTGTCGACGGCACGGAACGTATCGGCGAACCGCGACTCACCGCCCATGCTGCTGTTGTGGACGCAATGCAGGAACTGAAACCCGGGCGGGTCGCGCATGTACAGCAGATCCATATGGAACCCCAGGTGTTTGGACGTGTAGGCGACGTTCTTCGCATCTGGGACCGACCGCACGTCCCACGTCGGACCGTAGAAGGTCTGTTGTAAAGGCCCGATGCGGTTGACGATCGCGCCGACGGACGACTCGGCTTCAGGCACGCCGTCGATGAAGACCAGGCCGTCTCGCCAGAGCAGGTGCAGCGTCTCGGCCAGCGCCCCTGGGTCGGTCATGTAGTCGTTGAAGTCGATGCGTGCGGTGTCCCGTCGGAAGGACGATGCGTCCCACAGCTTCTGTGGTCGGCGGTACAGAGCCCAGCGTGCGGCGTTGCGAAACTCGCTTTTCAGGCTGGCGATCGTCTCTTTGCTCAGGATCGTCGTGTCGCCTTTCACGTGCGGCGCGCAGTCGTTGAGCCAGCGCACGAGCGTGTCGTCGCGCCCTTCAACCCGCGTGATGTCCCGGAACGCTATATCGTGCGGGATGTCGGCGTACGAGAAGTTGCGTTGTCGATCGGATGGGTCGATGCATTTCGCGCATTTGCACGCGTCTCGTGCTAGAATGGGAGACACCAGAGGCTTGCCATCTTCGAGGAGTTTGCCTTCTTCTAGCTTCGCGCTGTTCGACCATTTCAAGGGATGTCTTGTCCGGAAGCCGAGTCCGCTTTCGGTGGATGTTGCTGGCGCTGTCGATGTCGGTCTCGATGTCGATGTTGTCCTCGTCGCCGCATTGCTCCCAAGTTCTGATTCTCGTTCTGCGGGTGACGGGGATTCGGGGACGGACCCGGTTTCGAGTATTTCTTTCAGCCGGAGCTTTCGTTGGGAGGCCGCTCCCCGCTTCTGTACTTTGCCATAAGGGGATGAAGAAAGAGCTTGGTTGACCTTGAGTCTCTTAAGGACAGTCGCCATAATGACATAAATTCGTTCGATATCGCGAGAAGCCTGTGCTCAGGGTCCCTTTTTTCAATCAAAGATTTCAATCCGAAAGGGCGCTTTGCATCTGCATCGGTCGAACGGGCCACCAAATGTCTCGGTGAAATAGTTTATAGTGGCGTCAGGGGGTTGAATTACTCCATGAAAGGCTCAACACTTCAAAAAGGACGCCCGGAATTGATCTCTTCTATAAGATATATGGTTGAAGGTAGTTAGTTGATCCGAAGAAAAGGCTTCTTCATCCTGAACGCAAAAGGCCAAGGGAGTCAAGGCTGACCCGAGGCCCGCAAGGCTGTAATGATAGAGATATCGATAGCGATATACTAGATAGCGGTAGCGGTAGCGGTAGCGATAGGGGTGAGAAAACATCAGTTATCGCAAGTCCGATCCTTGGCAAACGATGACATAGCGGCCTCGCAGTCACGTGCACAGACACCGCCAACAGGGCTGAATGCTGGCTAGACTTGCTGGCCTGTGGACTGCTCTGTGCTGTGCGCTGCTAGCTGCTAGAGCGTGATGTGACAGTGTGTTGTTGTGCTGCGCTGTGCTGTACAGTGGTGGCTGGTGGCTGGAGAGAAGAGGACATCATCATCATCACCGTCACCCACTTCCAATACCTAATGCATGTGTTCTTGTGATGGGTACCAATAATGAAGGCTATAGACTCTCTGTAGAACCCTAGCACATGTAGAATAGTGGCTCAGGGCTTAGGAGGCGGTCTTCTAAGGTGCTAGAGGCATCATCTCTCCCCCTAAAGCTTGGAGTGATAGTGCAGTGGTGCAGGTTGGGGATTGCACCTGCCCTTGCCTGCACCTCCCCAGAGAAGCTCTTCTCTCTCTGCTGTCCACCTTACCACTTCTACTAATCACTACTACTACCTGACATAACATCCTGCCAGTGTGGTACTAGCACTACTGCTACTACTACTAGTACTAGGGCGTTAATTAGCTACCATCCGCACTTATTACATCCGCCTTGTATCTTGCATGACTGCATCCTCCCACGACCACAATCCCACCACTCATCCCTGCTGACTCTCGATATTCTTCATCTTCTTCCCGCACCCTCTCTGGTCCCGTCACGAGTCGACTTCTGGCCTCTTCCATCAACCCCCAATCTTCGCCATCATTGCTTTGTCGCCTCAACCGCTACCGCTGACAAAGGCCTGTTAGAACCTGACCACTTCAACCCGCCCAAAACACGTCCTGTCCTTACCACCATCACGCCCATCTCCCACTTTCTACTCGAGCGCAGCCGCTCCATGCCACCGCTGCGGTAAACAAGTTGCAGTGATCTTGGGTGTCTTGTCTTTGGTCCCGCAAGGACAACGTGGACTTCCCTGCGCACAGGGTGAGGTCATGAAAGATGGTGGAAGCCGAACACGGAACTCCCACATGGAAGTTCACCCAATGCTTTGGCGACAAGGGCGACGTGGAGGACATCACGGAAGCCGACATCATCTCCACGGTGGAATTTGACCACACGGGCAACTACCTAGCGACCGGCGACAAAGGTGGGCGTGTCGTGTTATTTGAACGAAATGAGACGGTCAGTATTTCCCCTAACCCATCTGTCCCTGCACGTTCTACAGTGGCAGCGACTGACCCTTTCTAACAGAAGAAGACATGCGAGTATAAATTTCACACCGAATTCCAATCCCACGAGCCAGAATTCGACTACCTCAAATCCCTCGAGATAGAAGAAAAGATCAACAAGATCAAATGGTGCAAGCGCCAAAATGCATCCCACTACCTCCTCTCCACCAACGATAAGACGATCAAGCTATGGAAAGTCTTCGAGAAGTCTCTCAAAGTCGTCGCCGAGAACAACCTGTCCAATGAGTTGACCCCGGCTGGCGTTCCAGGTGGAGGGGCGCCTCGTCCATCGCGCCCCCATTTCACGGATGCCTCGCAACTCAAGCTACCCCGGATGACCCATCACGATACCGTCGTAGCAGCTGTGCCGCGACGGACGTATGCCAACGCTCATGCCTATCATATCAACAGCATCTCGGTCAACAGCGACCAAGAGACTTTCATCAGCAGTGATGATCTCCGTATCAACCTGTGGAACCTCAACATCCAGGACCAAAGCTTCAATATTGTCGACATCAAGCCAGCGAATATGGAGGAGCTTACCGAAGTCATCACTGCCGCGGAGTTCCATCCCATCAGCTGCAATTGGTTCATGTATGCCAGCTCGAAAGGCACAATCAAGTTGGCGGACATGCGTGAGAGCGCACTCTGTGACCAGCATGCAAAGCGTACAGTTTTTCCCGTCGCGCCAGCACGTAATGTTTGACTGACTTGTGATTTGCAGAATTCGAACAAGAAGAAGACCCCTCTACCCGATCATTCTTCTCCGAAATCATCTCCTCTATTTCCGACGTCCGGTTCTCACACGATGGCCGATATATCCTCTCGAGAGACTACCTGACAGTCAAGATTTGGGATGTCAATATGGAAAGACAGCCTGTCAAGACGATACCGATCCACGAGCACCTGAGGCCACGGTTGTGCGACACATACGAGAACGACAGCATTTTCGACAAGTTTGAAGTGGTGTTCAGTGGAGATGGCAAGAATGTCATGACTGGAAGCTACAACAACAATTTCATGATCTATCCCTCTGACCCGGAGCAAGAGACGGAAGTGGTACTCCAAGCAGACAAATCGGCCTTCAAGGCTAAGAAAGTTGGAGTGCCGACTCCCATCAATTCCACCAGCCCCAACGGGAACAAGAAGGGAAATTCAAGAGCAGCCAGCCCCGCCGCTACCGGAAGCAGAATGAGGAAAGAGACGGATGCCGACCAGATTGACTTCAACAAGAAGATTTTACACATGAGCTGGCATCCATTCGAGGACAGTATTGCTATTGCTGCCACGAACAACGTAAGTTGCCTGCCACATGGCACCCGATTGGCCGTTTACTGACCTTTCTTCAAGCTGTTTGTCTTCTCTGCCCTATAGAACCGCCCTACCACTCGACTGCGCCTCTCCGTCTTCCACTTCTCATCAATGCAGACAACCCGTGCAGATCAAACGATGCCCAGCAGAGGTGGAGCTACGTCGAGTATCCTGATGCAACAGGTCAGATAAAGCAGTGTGCCATGCTTTTCGCTGTCCGATGGATGAAGCGCGAGCCATCGCCGTTGATGTGAGGATGAGTTGTTGCTGTTACCGAGACAGGCCTGGGGTATCCATCTCCCACAGTGATGGACGACCCTTTGCGACGACTGTGGATTGAACTGCGGCTCAAGAATGATCAGCGGAATGATGGATGACTTGGGAGCCCCTGCGTAGATAGATACTCGTTGCTGTTTTTGTCCCGCCTGATGGTTACATGCGACGGGCGGCCTCTCTTTCTTGGACTTCTGTCGTCGGCTTGAAATTCCGCGTTGCTCGACAAAGGCGGCCCCTTCGCGCGTGATGTGGCAAGCGATGAGATCAAATTTTTTGAAAGGATTCCTGTGACTAGCAGATGGATCTGTTGGGCATCAAGGCGGGGTGTTGCTTTGCTTTGCTACGAAGTGAGGAGGTAGACGGCAGGAGTGCAAGGCAAGGACGCAGCGGGTCTTTCAACGGAGAGAATCAGCAGGGTGACATGAACCCGAGTGGACGAGCACAGTCGAAACCGAAGTAGTCGAATGAAGTAGCCAAATGAAATCAGCTGTAAAACAAAGAACATGTACCGTCAGCCATAACTGCCGCCGAGTCGGCTTGAGAGTGATTTCGCGGGCCTATCCTATAGTCAGGAAGATATTCAGAACAGGCAGATGTCATGTGGTGTATGTGAATGGTTCTAATATTGAGTCTATGCTGGCCACGTTTACGACCTTTCAGCTAGACAGTATTTTCAGGGGTATTTCCGAATGATTCCAAGCCTCTCTCAGTAGTCGTCGTTGTTACAGGAAGTTGCACGTGGTGTCCATTGACATCAGCAGGAGTACCATTACTCGTCGTACTGCCCGGAGGAGTAGTGATGGTGGTGGTGGTGGTGGTGCCATTCGCGCCTCGAGCCTTGCTCCAATGTTCGCTGGTCACTCGTTCCAATTCCCTCCCAGCCTCCTCCAGACTGGACTGGATATGCGCCTGGCTTGCCTTGATGTCGGCCTTTTCGTGCACAATATCCGCCCGACGCTTCTCGATGCGCGCCCGTTCGTACTCCAGACGCGAGACCATGTCGCGCAACCTGGCCAGGCCGACACTGAGTTTGGGGATGGGGGTCGTGTGTCGCGGCTGTCGCGGCCGATTGGCCTGGCGTGTATGTTCTGCGTGCGCGGCCAGACCGTCCATGGCACGGTGTGTCTGGGCCGACTCGTACAGCTGATGTCGCTCATACTCGGAGTCGGAGTCGGACTCGGATCCAGGATCGTCGGAATCATCGCCGTTTCCTTCGGACAGGGTTGAATGCCCGCCGCCACCGCCACCTCTTTCTGCCTCTTCGATCAGCGAGCGGATGGCCTCGCGCTCCTTGAGCGTCTGTTCGCGCTGCGCCCTGCGCGACAGCAGCGTCACGCGACCGGTGTCTTCGACGAACTCGTCGAATCCTTCTGCAAAGTCCTCGTCGTCCCGGACTAGACGCGTGTCTTTCTCTCTATCCCGTGATGACGAAGAAGGGACATAGGAGCCGACTTGCATGCGGCGGGGTTTGAATTCGCCGTCTGAGTCGTAGTCTTCTAAGGGGATAAACCCGTCGTCGTCGCCCGTGTCGCCAGTAGTGGTCATGGCATTCGCCGCCTGTTCTTGGGCGAGGCGGGCACGCCGTTCTTTCTTCTCGCGGATCTCGGCGGCCGTGGGGATCCGCGAGGAGGAAGAAGTAGCGCCTTTGCCGAATTTACTTTCCAAGTCGAGCGCGAGCCCATGCGCGCCCGTATGTGAAGATGACGCCGAGGCGGAGCCGGTTCCTTTTTCGACAAGATCGAGCGATGCTGGGCTGAGATCGCGTGACGACGAGAGCTCGCGCGGCGTCGTGGGCGTCGAGTTCCGCAGTTCTTCGAGATATGCTTTGCTGTAGGTCGGTCTGTCTGTGCTTCTGTCTCTGTCGTGGTCTTGGCCGCCAGGGACGGCGTCTCTTGATCCCAGTGATGTGCGGTTGAGCAATAGACTTTGCGCCGCACTTGACAGACCTAGTCTCGACGGTCTCGACGATTGTGATTGTGATTGTGATTGTGATTGTGATGATACCGCCTCCTCTCCTGCTCCTCCGGTCTCTGTAGGGTTCTTCGTGGTGACGGTCGTAGCATCTTCGTCGCCAGGGTTGAAGGATACTCGGAGTTTGGATTTCGTCTTGGGTGTGTTCGTGGTCGGTCGTCGCACGACGGGGCCGGAGTCTGTGAAATGTCGCTCATATCAGCATGGATGAAAAACAACTAGATGCATGGAAGAGAGCAGTTGTCAGAAAGCATAGTGTCTTGGACATTCGGTAGTGGTGATGAGCAGCAATGGGAGTGGGAGTGATCATTCAATACCTTCTTCTGCGTCGTCTGCTTTGGACTCTGGCTCGTCTCGGACAATGCGTTTGGGTTTGCGCCGCGCCGTAAATAATGTGGCCATAGTGGGATGGAGGAGACGGTAATGTCAAGACAGTACGGGCTTTCGGCAAGGAGGCAGGAAGCAGGAAGCGCCGTGTTCACATGTGGAAATGGTAAAAAGGTCGAGATGTAGAGCGGAGAGTCGGTGTCGCAGCCTTTTCCAGAGTAAATGGAGAATGACCGGAGCCTCGTCTGACTGGCGTCCCCAAGCCGAAAAGCGGGGTGCAGTAGTGCTGGACTCGTGTCAGACTGGAGCATTTTAAGTCTCAGCCTTGCGACCGACGTTCTCGCATGGGATTGGTGGAAGTCTTTCTTCACGCACTCTATACAATTTAAGTTATCTGATGTACCCTTTCCTATGATATTTGATCTATTTTGCTACCTATCCTGCTCTCCTGGATGACTAGAACTACCATCTCCTTGCTACCAGCCTCCTCATGAGCAAGATGTCGAGAGCTTGCGCTATGCTCGCCTCACAAATCAATCCTTTTCGGTGCGTTATATCTGAAGAAGTATCTTCATCCTACGTACCCTGAAGCTGTCCACTGCTACTAAGTAGGAGATAATGACGGACGCCTCGACCATATACATGCAGAGGCAGATACACCAGCGTATCGCTCCCCAGGCAAGACAAACCACTTATGATGAATCCGGAAGGCTCCTGAAGTTCAACAGAGGGGGTAGTATGTATTCTGCTATTGACGCCGAAGGACTACCGAAACACAGAGCTGTATGCGAGTGATATATCTCGGGCAGCAGCAAACAATGCACGCTAAGTGACACATCCCCTGGATGCCTCTGACACCACTTACACCCCGGTTGGGAATGTATGCGTTGGCCATGCGGGCGCCTGTTTATGGGCTGGGCTGGCTTCTTACTCGAGAACCAGGTTTGAATCTGGACTAAGGGTCCGGGGCAGGGGGTGGCGCGCCTCACCTTTGTCCATGCAGACATGCAACCAGTCTGGTACTCTGCTATAGTTACAGGGAGAGGGAACGGACTCGGTAGGGGAAGGACAAACGGGCGAGAGTACTGTCAGCCTTACAGCCTGTTTGCTGTACACAAACGAGCTTGATGGCCAGGACTATAAAGGAACAACACAGCGGCAGACACATCTTCAGGAATACCACCAATTACTCGATTTGGCATATTCTGAGTATCTGGAGAGTATCAGATATACAAGTGCCTTACTCTCACATACAACGCGCAGGCGGCGTTCAGCACTCCAGCATCTTAAGCAATAGGAAGCGCTGTTGCGTTTATCATAGACTTGCAAATTTGTCAAGTCCGTTACCATGGCGAGTCCTCCTGGCCTTCATCTTCCTTGTCGGCTGTTAACCTTGCGGTAGACGGCAGCTTCATCCGGTCGCTCTGGTTGGTGCCAGGTCTGCCAACATGCGAATGTGGTGCATCGATACACGACGTGGGCTGCCCCCGGGTGCCGAAAGCAATGGAAAGTGTGTCGGTCGACCAACAAGCATAGCCTATGTGCTGATTGTCCGGACCATCCTGGAGGGGGCCCCGAAAAAACAGGGCCAGGGGGTCAGATCAGGAGGAATGCAGCAAGTCATGGATGAATACCTTGTGCTACGTACTGCTATCAGAGGGCTGAATAGCGACAGTTGCGGTTATGAGGGCAGTGTGCGGCAGTCATCCGATTGATAAGGTTCATCCTCATCGTCCTCCCCATTGACCGCTTCAATCAACCCATCCAGCCACTCATGCTCCCACATAGCTAAGTCCTCCGGCTTGACTCCGTCCCCAAGACTCCAGGTGAATACATCTCGAGTCGCCTGCTCCGAGAGTTTCTCATCACAAGAATCTCCCGCTGATGTCCATTCAGAGATGGCGTGACCGGGCTGCCAAAGCATACATAACTTTTTTGGTAGCTGAGATAGCCAAATCGGTATCCGATAAGCATGACTTTGCGCAGATATGTTCTTAGAATTGCACGTTGTTCCCGGGTCGTCGATTGATTGCTCGTCCTTGTTCTGCCGAACCCAGTGCCTGTAGACAAGCGAGTGTCCGCAAAATGCATGTTTTCGGACTTCGATGGTGGCGCTTTTTAGAGCCGTGGAGCCAAATGGTGGAAAGGGGGACATGTGCGGTATCGTGTAGCGGGACGACTCCGTTTCTGTGAGGTAGAGCAGACGCCACTCATCTTCTCTGGAGATGAACTTCTGACCATTTCGATCCTCTGGTGGCTTCATCTTTCCAGAAAACTGCAGATCCATGAAAGATTGGATCGATGCCGTCCACTGCGCCGGTTCCATGCCACTCCATGTATAGTCTACCCATTTGAATGTCTCAGGCAGCAGGCCTGTCATGGCGGAACCTAGCCAAAGCGGTGCAAGGTTCGGTCGACGCAGAGCCATCATGCAGACAATCACATGAGCTTCCTTGTCACGCAGTAGATTTGGAATTAGGTCTTGTAACAGAGGGCAAAACCACTGACTAACAAGGTTGCATGTCACTCCAGGCTCCCACATGGAGCTCAAAATGCAGTAGTCCCTGTGGCAAAGATGCAACTAAACGCCATGAAGTGTGGGAGAAGACGTTCTGGAGGTATCATACAAAACAAGGTGGACTGTGCCTTCTTGCTGGCCGCGAGCGCATGTCCAGGCCTGGGCAGGACAACAGGCACACCATGTCTTTTCTCCTCAGGAATGGTCAAGGTAGCGGTGAGTGCTGCTAGAAGTCGGTCATAGACGTTGTGCAATCTGGCGAAGTCATGAAGATATTGTAACGCCTGCGCGGAGGACGGCGGACAAGCAGACGCGAACGCAGAAAGATCGACAGGCTGATCAAGATGGATCTTGAACTGCTCTCTATCATCCAGATGACAGGACCAGGCGGGATAGTAATCGTAGTCAGAGCGATGCAGAACAGCTTGCCAACCGCAGCCAGCAGCGAGGATAGCTGCCCACCAACGGCATGCCGCCGCATCTGCAGAACCGATCGGCACGACAAAGCCATTGCTCTCCGCAACTGGCTTTGCATCACTGAGTAACAAGGCCTTTGCCTCGGTGTAGAGGACTGTGTCGCTGTCTGATGTTCGGCGGAGTTCGACTAGACAGGCAGAGAGGACATATGACCAGCCCAATACCAATGCAGAGAGATAATTCCCCGTTGAGCCCTTGCCACGGACTCCTCCAAAGCCAGTCCAATTAGAGCCAAATTCTTCTGAAAGAGTGCAGTACTGTGGTTGGCGTGTCGCGATCACCACTCGTGTCCGAGACGAGTTCCTCACTTCACCAGCAAGGTCGCATCTGGTTGAGCCAAGGCCCCAGACACCAAATCCCCCTAGTTCAACCCATTTGTCTCTGAATACGACCTCCTCGACTTCGGCGGAAGAAGGTAGAGCAGGCGTGTTGTGCAGAAGGCTATTGATGTTGGCGCAGGAGATTGGAAGACCGCTGGCGGAGCGAGCCTGACCCAAAAGCCCACCCCAGGTACGCCGAGACTTTCTGAGAACCCTCGAAGCTTGCTTTGGAGTAGGGCGAACGAGGTCCGGAGGTTTATCATCGCCCGAAGGCATGATAGTTGAAGAACAGAGAAGAAAGCGCGATAGGCTGGGGTTTGTTGATATTTAGCTCGAGTTCCTTGGTGGAGCAGACTGTGCGGGCGTCTAGTGGAGGTGGAGGTGGAGGTGTGGGAGAAGGCGAGACTGCAATGAGAGGGTGGGCGGTTGCGGGCGGTGTAGTAGTAGGCACAGAATGGCTGTGGCTGAAAGAAGCGCCACTTCAACAAGCCACAAGGGCAGGCTTGGCGACCGCAGGCAAGACGGAGGGCTGGGACGCGGTGGTATTGAAAGGATGTGTCGTTTGCAAGTCGATTCAGAGCGTTTTTGAACCTCGCGGACTATCGCACCTAACAATTGATTTTGTACTTCCGACTCGAATACAAAAGCTTCGACTCCGGCATCTGCGGGGTCTCCGCAGGTGTGGAGGCTTTCAAGAGCTGTCAAAAGAACAGATTGAAGGAATCACCGGGATAAGAGACCCTTGACACTTACGCTAACAGGACTGATACTGTCAAATCAGTAACCCGTTGATCGACGAGTCTTCCGTTTCTTTGCGCCGTCGAAGGCACGTTCTATCCTAGCTCACGCGGCCGATGAGGTGAACGCCTCGAAGAGACAAGAGAAGATCAAATCGGCACCAAGCTGTTTGTCTGCTTTATTGCATAGGAAAGGTATTTGTGCCTGACTGCCACATCAGAAACTGGTCAGAATCCTCGGCCATGAGAGCATCTTGGAAGTAATTCCGGTAGTCCTCCTCGATGGACCAGGAGAAAGGATTCTGAGACCAATCAGCCTGAGGCTGGGTGGTGGCGGGCCAAGGGGCACCGTGGACGACAGCAGAAGTCCCGTTGGACTGCGCATTGAACTGCTGATCCATCATTCCTAAGGCTGAATCCATCGGAGCTTGCAATGCCTGCGGAAGGTGTGCTTCTGATGCCGGCGCTCCCTGTTCATTGCGTCGAACATGAACGGTTCCAAGAAGCGGTACTTTCAATCTCAATTGCTGGACGTCGGAGCCCTGCCAATCTTGCTGAAGTAATGTATATAGTGATCGAATGGTAACGAGGCCACGTTGTGTCAAGCTGGACCCGGGTGAGTCTCGACACTTTTCTTCCAACAGATTGATCACTTCCAGAACTCTGGCTTCAACCCGGGCCTTGTTGGCTTGCATGTCGAGTCGACCTGTGGAGGGATAGCTATGGGACATCAAGATGAGAACAACCGTGGCAGTAAACGCCTGCAAATCCAGTATCCGAGAAAGAAACATGCCTGAAGGAAAGACCCGCCGGACTAATTGATAGCGGCGCGCCACGGTTTCGCATGCATCCAAACAAGCGAGTCGGCTGAAGACGTATTCGTCATCCGGATTTCCTCGCATAGTGAAGGGCAAGTGCACCCGCATCATGATGTAGAAATGCAGATGCTGGACTATATGCTCTGGTCTGACATTCCCCGGATCTTCGTCCCACCAGGACTTTGGCGTGTGAGATGCAAGAACTCTCAGCTCCCTGTCGAGCTCCAAGGCTGACGCGTATACGTCGGCAATCGAGCCTTCTGCTGTGCTAAGGTCGTCCAAAGACTGCAGTCTGCAGGCGATATCGGTCAACTTGGTCAGGTAGGCGTGGACTTGGACCACCCCGTCGACCACCAGTTCCTCTCTGGCGGTATGTTGAAAACGCCAGGTGCCCGGTGGCAGATTGAGGATCATGGCCAAGATCCTATCGATAGAACATAACATCTCCCACAGCTGAGCGCTTTCAAGCTGGCTGGCATCCGCAGCTCCGCTCCCTACAACGCGCTGAGCCGCTCGTGCCGCCATGGGGATTCCTACAAGCTCCGCAATTGCGATGACATGCCGCAGTCGAAGCCACACTTTTTCGAACTTTCCCTGGCACAATTGACTGTGGTTGTCGTTAGCTTACCGGCCTGACAGTGCAACTGAGGGGAGGCACTGTACTCACAGTCGAATGAGACGGACTGCCATGCCCAAGCCACGAATTGAGCCTGCGAGTCGATGATGGGACAGAATGGTCGCATCAACTGTGTCAGATACTGCTCGGGAGAAGGGTGAACCTCCGTGACCGTTCTGGGGCGAGGCGGCGGGACTAAGAGGTGGCTGCTCCTGTCCACTTTGCAGGGAAATAACAGCAAAGTCGAGTAACCATGAAGCCAGATCGATCGGATCGACATCGGGCTGTTGCATGATGTGGTGGTGTTCAAGTATCTCCTGGTAAGACTTGACTGCAAACGGCATCGGGAGCAAAGCTTGCACCAACACAAGCCACCCGGATCCTGAATTGGCATGTTTGGCAATTTCATCCAAAGATGGAATCAACTTTCGCAGTGCTTGCCTTGCGATGTCCAATAAGTGGACAGAGGCCTTTGCCTTGCTGTTTGTGAGCGGATCATCTTTGTCTGGCGTGTCTAGACTGAGCCACTCGTTGTGGAACAGTGATCGCAGATGGGCAGGTTGCTCTGCTGCAAGTACATCGGAGACACTCGAGTCATCGTCGGAGTCATGGTCATGGGTGTCGACGGTCGACCCTGAGTCAGCGACAGCTGAATCCGACACGGCTGGTGGTCGGTATCCCAGGTTCTGTTGAATACCGCGTACGGCTTCTCGTAATTTGGTCACTTCCGATTCTAGCTGAGCTATCCGGTACCGCGAAGGTAATCTCTGTTCCCGAATTGGTCGAGGACTGCTGACATGGGGCACACATATCGTTCCTCGGTCTTCGCAGCTTCGACAAGCTGCCGCGTCGGGAGGAGTCCGTATGCAGCGAACCTTGCGCCGTCTGCCTGTTTGCTGTATTAGAAATGCGTACCCGATTCCTGAGCACGTTCGCGATCGAGCTTACACTCAGTACAGCTCTTGGCCACTCTTTGCACCTGCCTCCGATCCTGGGCCTCCGACATAGCGGCATTGGTCAGGAATTTGTGCAGCACATATGCAGATGTTTAGCTGCGAAGGCGTAGTAAAAGATTCGACGGCGTTGATGGACCATACTGCTAGTAGTAGTAGGACACCTGTGGATGCCACTCTTCGACGTCAATGGCGGTTTTCGGACCGGACGCAAATCCGGCTCCGAGCCCGAGTTCTGGGCCGGCCCCGTGCAGCCTTGCGTGCTTAAAGTGTAATAATTATATAGTAAGTGATCTATCTCGGGACTGCTTACCTAAGGTAAAGTAGGGTCCGGTAATCCGGCCGCATTAACCACGGTCATCATTTTACTAGTATGCCAGGCTGCGCACAGGGCGGCGTCACAAAGCGCCCGAAAGAGAGTGCATTCGATCGAGGTGAATTCATCTCGTCTTGGCAGTCCGAAGTGCGCAGACTGCAGACACTGGCACTTGCAGCAAGTTACGGTACAGACAATTGTATACATAGACAAGTGTGACCAGCACCTCCAATACTGCTCTACACATCCACTTCCAGGTCTCAGACTTCCAGTCATCTCGGTCTGATAGCTACCTTGCCCTGTCTTCGCTCCACAACAAATCTACATCGCCCGCAACGCAGTCGCCAACACAACCGCGACCATGCCTCAAGCGCAACCCGAGCTCAGAAAGGTATGTCCGCGGCCAGCTCTTTCCACTGATCTCACCATATAGATCTTGCTTCCGTTAGTGATCATACTAACGGCTGTCTTTCTTGGTGTAGTACATGGAGAAGCGTCTCTTCGTCCAGCTGAACGGCAATCGCAAAGTCATTGGTATCTTGCGTGGTTACGATGTATGTGCAACCCCAACGTTTCCATGTACACACCCTTGCAGAAATTCGAGACGCACAATGCGGCAAGAAACAGTTTGCCTCGAAAATTGAGAGACGGAGGGAATTTGGCAAGGGCGACGCGCTAACATGCTATCACAGGTTTTTCTGAACATTGTTCTCGATGAAGCAGTTGAAGAGAAGGCCGGCGGTGAACGAGAGCGGCTTGGCATGGTCGCCATCCGGGGGAACTCGGTGGTGATGCTCGAGGCGCTTGAGCGCGTGGGCGACGACCGGCGATGAAGAGGATGAGAAAAGAGAAGCACAAAACCAAAAAAAGTCGATGGGTTTACAGAACGCGCTAGCATGATACCCCTGGGTTCAAGGCAAAAGGGAAAGGGTGATGGTTTCTGTTCTACAGTATTCTATTTGGTATCAACGATGCATCCAGCGCCTGGCGTCAATCCCACCGAGATCTTCGACTTAAAGCGCGTCCGACGTCGGGACAAGAGCCGCGCCCACCAAGGATTCAACCTGTTCCCTTGCGACACGGCGAGAGGCGCTTCAACGAGGAAAAGCGAGGACTCATCCCTTGGAGGCTCCCTTGAATTTCAGAACAACGCGGCCTGGGGCAGCGGATGGTGTGGGGGATTGCGTTTGTGCCGGCCGCTGTGACGGTAGAGGTGGAAGCGGAGGAGTAGGTGTTGGGTTTGAAGACTGGGTCGAGCTCATTTTGAAAGTCAATTTCAAGCCACTGATACCGGCAACAGGTCGGTGGACTGGACCTGCCGCTGGCGCTGGTCGAGCAGATTGCACAGGCACCGGCGGCTGCCACTTCGGCACAAGCTTCGATCTGACTTTGCGCGTTTGGGTGAACTTGAGTTTACCCTGATATCAAAAGAATGTTAGAAGGCGGCCCTGGGCTTGAAAGCAACACAAAAGAAAAAGCAATAAAGACATCATGGTCATCCCGACTCACCTTGCCTAGATTCTCGACCTGCCAGTACCGCGGCAGCCGTAGCGTGACCTTCATTTGGTCAATCGGCTCGAACAGCAGTCGGCAGAAGTCTAGTAACGTCTGTAGATCCTCGAGCGTGATTTGGTTGTAGCAACTGGCATCCCACAGAGCCGACTTCAGCGCTTCGTGGTCCCCAAGCTCCTTTTTCAACGCGGCCATGGCCCCCTCAATGGTCTGTCGTCTGGCCAGGTCGTGCTGGCGCGCATCGGCTCCGGCTGCCGTGTCCTCAATCACCAGGCCATCAGTGGTAGGTCCCGCCGCTGTCGCGCTGTGCTTGTCGCCGATTGCTCGCTTCGCAAGGACCTTTCCAAACGCCCGCTGCAGGCTCTGCCGCAACCACGGCGACGCGTCGGCCACCATGCAGTACAGCACGTAGCGAAGGATGGATGGATTGTCGAACACGGTCGGTGTGATGAGGACATTGTATGCCGTCTCGCGCAGCATCTCGTAATTCCCTGGTCGGGTATACTGCAGGAAATGTAGCGGCGAGAACTGCCCGATGCCCGTGGCGGCAAGCATGGCCTGGCATTCCAGGGCCGTTCGGGAATACAGGTTCTGGTACGAACTGGTCCACTCGTCCATTCTACGGAACCGGTCGATCTCGTCCAAAACCTGGTGCTCCAGCTGGCGCATTTCGTGCATTTCGTCCTCGAGATCCAGGTCCGCATTGTCCATGCCGCTGACCATGTCCAGCTCCCCATTGCCGGCCGAGTTAGCCGGTCCCATCTGGTGGTGTGGCTGCTGAGGTCGTGCAACAACGGCTTGTGCGAGCGCCTTCATCAGCCTCGCAATGTAGTAAGCGTCCGAATACTCGTTGACCGAGTTGTCGTTGAACTTGAGCTTGTCGAGCAGAAACTCCTTGACTTCCTTGGGGGCGTGGCCGCGGCTGTCTCGCACTTTACCGATTGCCTGGATGATCTCGCATTGCAGCATGTACGCCAGCTGGTCGGAGAAGTCGTTGGGCCGAGTCATTGCCGAGCCACGTTCATCCCGTACGCAGTAGAGTTCTTCGAACGCTTTCTTGAGATGAAACAGACCAATGTACTTCGCCTCGCCTTCATCTTTGGCGTGCTTGACCAAACACTGTGCGGCCATCGCCCGGACGCCATGGAAGTAGCGCCGATCCATCAATGTACGGACGAAAATGGAGGACACCAGAGGTGCAGCTGGATATACCGAAATGTGTCGGAGCGCTTCCAGCTGCGCAACAACATCTCGGTCCTGCTGTAGCTGCGAACTGAACATGTACCCGGGCATCTGTAGGTTAATTCGGCAGATCCATTCGAAATCCGCGTCCAGCCTGATCCACTCATAAGACTCGGCGTTCATTCGTTCTTCATCTTCCGGGGTCCATTCGGCGAGTCTCCAATTAGCAACTTCCTCCTCGCTCTGAAGAACGTCGCCCAGACAGTAGACGAGAGAGTCGTTGTCTTCGTCTCCTCCTTCCGCGGCGGCTTTGGCAGTGGCTCGAGCTCGTTGTTTCTTGCTGCGCTTAAGACGCTTATACTTGGTGTTGTAAGGGATGTCGAACGTGGTACTGGCATCTTTGATCTCTACGATGTGCTCGTAAGGTGTTCCGTCTGCTTCGTGGATTCGGATCGTCATTGGCCCTGTGAACACCGGTTGCGCCGGAGCAGCGTACACGTTTTGGAAGTCCTCCCGAGCGTCTCTCATGAAAGAGTCAACCTCGAGCTCTCGTTCCGTTGTCACTGTCCCTTGGAGTTGCTTGATAAGCATCTCAACAACCAGTTTCTTCTTGTTGAATCTTTGAAACGCCTGGAATCTGGGGCAGCCGGCGCCTTTCACCCATTGAGCAAGAAAATCGTCAATCTTGATGTGTCCCATACGCTCGGCTGTTTTCTGGAATAGGTCCGTGGACAGTGCATTGTTGACCAAGTCGCCCGTTCGAGCTCTGGTAAGGATCTTCGCAAGTATGCCTGGCATTTTTGACGCACCTTGCGTTTTGGCTATACGGCGGTCTAGAATGAAGAGTACGACTGGTGCCTTGATGGTCAAGAACTCGTACTCGGCCGGGTCGACATGTAGCAAAGCGCCCATATCATAGATGGAGGGACGGTCATGGTCCAGCTCGTAGACCCGGTCGGCTTGCTGTTTCATGTGATAGCGGTACTCGTTGTTCCCGCAGAGATCTTTCATAAAGAGGTTGGTGATGAAATAAGAACCTCCGATAATAACCCAGTTATCTCGTGGCTCTTCTGCGACAATATTGATCCCAATCCATTGCGAGACAATCGCGTGGACTAGCTGCCTGGTCACCTCTTGAGCCGGGTCAATGACTTCTTCGGGATACAATAGCCTCGTGCTGCACATTGTCAGGCCCGCGAATATGGAGACGTCGGAAGGCATGTCTTCCACAAAGACCATCGAGTACGACTTGAACGGACAAGATATATACTTGTGGACCACAAAGTCCATGGCTTTCGTGGTCGGAAGACAAGTATTCTTGGTTTCTTCGGCTCGTCCTGGCAGGCAATACGCCAGCATTTCAACTGCGTTGCGGCCTAATTCCTCCAGTTCCTGTGCATCTCGTAGTTCGCCTAGGTTGACTTGCTCAAATGGTCCAATAGCGAAGCCAATCTGCTCGGGGGCCAGTTGCTGGGAGCAGGAGAACGACATGGTCTTCCTCGACGAGTCAGCTTTGTCCACGATCTCGTCTGTAAGCTCGCCAGAGCATATGACAAGCATTTCTTTTGCCTCGTAGCTCTGACCTGAGCTCTCTCTAGAGGAGGCTTCTAGGGTGAGGTGGGACAGGTCAAGCGGCATGGCCTGGTTGAGCGCATCGCCGACTGTTCTCGCACATTTGATGGAAATATCCCATGTACATCGACTAGTTGCGACATCGACACAAGGGAACAACGACGAGGCTCCTCCAGGGCCCAGCTTTGATCGAGTATATGCATGTGGCCAACGCCCACTTCCTCGTCTGCCGGCAACGAATTGCAGCGACTCTCGAATATGACAAGAGTCGAACTCTATGACCACGGTCAAAGGAGTGAATCGAGCAACCGTTGTATCTGACAGCGCTTGCGTGGCCTCGGCAGCAGCTGGGCCGCTGGTCAGAGGGTCCTGGATCTTGATCGAGCCAGTAGCCTGAGTGTGGACTTCTGCAACGTCAACTGGCACAATTCGCAGTCTTTGAGGGAGAGTAATGGTGATATCGGGCTGGGGTTCAGGGCCAACCGATCTTGCCAGCTTTTCAGCCAGTATATGATGTTGGTGGACGGTCGCGTTGGAGTGAAGGGTAAGCTGGTCGCAAGGATCTTCATGTCGAACCGAAGACGGAGGAATGTTGTTCACCAGAACCTTCTGGATGGTACAGATTCGACCATGGAGTCTGATTTCTTTGAGGTTTGGAGAGTCGGGATAAATAGTGATTTCGGTCCTCCCAGTTACATGTTGGTTGAAGCTGACCTCGAGCTCGACTTTCTGGTGAGCGACGGTGAAAGAAGGAGCCGGAGGCAGATTGACGGGATGCTGGGTTTCTACCCCCTCCATCGCGATGGCGGGTCGATATGTTTCGATGTGAGATTGTCATCGACCATGATCGCCCCGATGCCGTCCATGCAACTCCTCAACCCAGTGACATAGCAAAGACGCGATGGAGTCTGCGGCGCGCAGGGATAAGACTTCGACCAAGGAGGCAGAGGTGCCTCGGGCGACTGGAAAGGCAGGTTGAATGGGAGTGGTGTGAAGGATCAAAGACAGTGACAAGTTGTCGAGTCGCCGCGTGAAAGTTGAAGGGTGAAGTTGAAGTCGCAGATCCAGTTAAAGCGGCGATCAGCCTCCGCGTAAAAGCAGCAAGGAGCCTTCGCGTAAAAGCAGCAAGATCCATCGTCATTTGAGGAATTTAATCTTCCATTTTCGACGACCTCCCACTTTGACTCACGCTTGTCCCTCTCTCTCTTCCAGCTGCATACTATACAATAATGCAGGCGGCTTTCCAACAGTCACTCTCTTGACTTGGTTCACATCGTCGCCCAAATTAGTGCCATAACTGCCGTTGTTACAACAGGAGGCCACGGATGAGCTTATAGCTACTGTTCCGCTGTTCCGCAGTCCCGCGTTTGTGCATTTTTTTGCTTCCTCCCAACTCTCCCAACGTTCGACGAGGCGCGCAGATTGCTGTCTCAGAACGGCGCAGAATGGCGAACATGGTAGATTCCGGTAGGTCCAGGCCATCTTCAGCATGATACGGCTGCTTCACTCCTACTCGCTGTCATTGCGCTCAGAGACTCACCTATGTTGCATCAGCCGACCCTCTCTCCGACCAGGCGATGGCCCATCTAAAAACCTACAAGTACCAGAGTGTGGACAAATCTTTCATTTCGAACTACATTCTCCGTCACTACGTAAATACTCTGTCCCTGAGTCCGCTAATCTGACGTGCCCTGGCTCACATGTTTCCAGTGGAATGGTGCCGTCAAACTTCTGCCCAAATGGCTCGCCCCGAACATGGTCACCTTGCTGGGCTTCTTCTGCATCCTGATCAACGTTTTGTTCATGGAGATATTTGTGCCAGACTTGGTGGGACCAGCACCTTCGTGGCTCTATTACAGTTTCGCGCTGGGCTTATGGATGTGAGTAACTCATTATTGGAACGGAAGGAGCCCCCTAAATGAGAACATCGTTTGCATAATCTAACCGTTATCTCCTGCTGAACAGGTACTCGACCATGGACAACATCGACGGGAAACAAGCCCGAAGAACAGGTACATCCAGCGGCCTCGGCGAGCTGTTTGACCACGGCATCGACTCCTTGAACTGCACGCTGGCCAGCCTGTGCGAGACCGCCGCGATGGGCCTTGGCCCCAGCAAGACGGGCGCTTTCACTGCACTGGTGCCGTGTCTGCCAATGTTCTTCTCGACCTGGGAGACATATCACACCCACACGCTGTATCTCGGCGCGTTCAATGGCCCCACTGAAGGGCTCATAATCGCGTGCCTCGTCATGATCATCTCCGGCTATTTAGGGCCTCAGATCTGGCAGTACCATGTCGCTGACTACGTTGGATACCCGGAGATCCTGGGTGGCTTGACCTTCCGTGACCTCTGGGCCCCAACTATCCTGGTGGCCTTCTTCACCGGTCACCTGCCATCATGTATCTGGAATGTCGCAAAGGCACGCCGCAAGGACAACTTGCCGCTGTGGCCGGTATTCTTCGAATGGATTCCCATGATTGTGTTCACAGCCTCGTGCGTCGCCTGGCTCAGCTCGCCATACTCGGTTCTGCTGCGCGAGAACCACCTCCTGGTCTTCTGCCTGACCATGTCCTTCGTCTTTGGACGCCTGACGACCAAGATCATTCTGCACCACCTGACCCGCCGTCCGTTCCCGTACTGGACGATATCGCTAGTGCCCCTCGCCATAGGCGGCATCATGGCCTGGCTGCCCTTGTTCGGCTTCAAGCCTGTCCCGCCGACCTTCGAGAGATGGTACATCTACGGCTACCTCGTCCTCGCCATGATACAGTACTTCGTCTGGGCCGTACGAGTCATCAACCGCATCTGCGAGGTCCTCGACATCAACTGCCTGACCATCAAGAAGAAACCAACCGACCGCAAAGAATCGGCAGGGTTTGCGATCGATATACAATCCGGCACCAACGGGGATGTGCGCAAGACCATCAAAGAGCTCTGAACAGCACGTCGTATATAACACATTGCTTTCAACAAGACATGATTACCAACCCACCCACACATACCAACCACAGACATCAAGCTTAGATGCGAAAAAGGCCTCGCTCCACTGCATGACATAGGAATGATGGCCACAGACAAAATTGGATAGAGAAAAACAACTAAAAGTCTCCGTGAAACAACACCACAAACCACATACACCAAAACATAACAATAGAATAGAATAGAGTCGATCCAACCCCAGTTAACCAACTCTCGATCCGTAAGACGTCTGCAATGTAGGTAGCAAGGACTCGCGTTTCTTGATTCTATTCAGGCTGCTGGTCTTTATATTTCTCCCTCAACTCAGCAACCTCAAACCCACACAACTCAGCCTTCGCGACGACAGCCCTGGCCTTGCCCTCGACCGGAGCATCGATCATTTTGCCATCCATAGCCCAAGCACCTTTGCCCTGCTCCTCGGCACGTTTCTGGGCAATGGTGATTCTCACCGCCCACTCGACCTCCTGGGGACTCGGGCTGAAGATTCTCTGCACCGTCTGCACCTGACTCGGATGAATACATTGTTTGCCATTGTACCCCATTCCTTTCCCCTGTTCGCACTCGTTCACCAACGTCTCTTGGTCTGCTTCGGACTTGAACGCCGTCGTGACCAGGTCCAGCGTGCTGGGCAGATTGTGGGCGCGCGCGGCCGTGGCGATCATTTGCCGCGCATACAGAAACTCCATCAGGCTGGGCGTGCGCGTGATGCTCATGTCCAGCGCGAAGTCCTCGGCCGCGAACACCAGGCCCTGCAGCATATGTGGGGTCGCACGACATATCTCTTGTAGGTTCGACAGCGATCGCGCAGACTCGATCAGGGCGAGCACACCAATTTGCGTCCCACCTTTGGTCTCACTACCATTGTGCGAGTGAGGTTGCATTTGAGTCGATCGCGTATGCGCCAACACGTCGCTGATAAAGGTCAAGTCGCTGGCGCTTTCTACCTTGGGCACCACCAGGGTCGTCAGGTTCTGCGATTTCGCCAACTCTTGGAGGTCGGCCAGCGCCAGGCCGGAGCCGACGCTGTTGATCCGCACGGCTCGCTCTTTCACGCCGCCGGGGGTATCCAGGTCAAGGGCTTTGCGGACAAGGCTTCGCGCTTCCGCTTTGCGGTTTGGCGTCACGCTGTCTTCTAGGTCGTAGGCGATGCAGTCGACGTTGAGGGAGCGCGATTTGTCGAGGAATCGTTGCGAGGAGCCCGGCACTGATGGCGAAGAAAAACAGAACAGATCGGTCAGCGGAGAGCTTCGTAGGATGTTCCCTTCAGGCACAAGGAGTAGGTACCGTAGAGCATTGCTCTTCGCAATACATTCTTCGCAGCCATGGCGGTCATCTACGTAGGTACCTGATTCAGCGTCGCTCAAGCCAACCTCGAGGGATCAGTGTTGTTGCCCGCCGTCCGAAGCGAATTGCACATCGTAGACGTGCAAAGAGGGCGAGTGATTTCACGATGCCATCATAAGTATTCGATATACCTGTAGACGTACGTACTATCACAGGCTGGTCGTGTTCAACTTGAAGTCTGCAATTGTCAATAATGCCGCTCGCAACAACAACCGGCGCATGCGGGGAAACCAGGGCCGGTCATCGGACTGTCAAGCTGCGGAGAACCGAGCCGAATCACGTGATGCGTCTTTCATCGTTATGTCAGCGGTCTGAGAGAATAGAGGAGACGGACAAGAACAATAGACATGGACGTAACATCTGTACGAGTTATCGTAAGAGATGGGGAGGCTGGGAATGGTCTCATGCAGGCCAGCATTTGCAACAGCCCAACGCTATGGGTTGAAGTACATCAAGCACGCTTTTGCTGGATTTTTTGGCTTTGATTGACCATGTCTGCCGCTCAATGCCTCGATGGCGTGGGCTCTACTGCCCTCGGATCTTCGACCCACACTGAAAAGCAAGCAAGCAAGCTATTTATCACCCTGTCCCCGAAAACCCCAGTCTTGTTCCCGCCCTGGGAATGGTGGAGGTGGCAGTTAATGTCACGTCGTTCATGCAGTTCATCGCTCATCAAGAAAGACCATGGCTGATCTATCGGATCCGGTCAAACGAAGGATCTCTCACACTTCCACCTGCATCGCCCAATCCAGCAACTGGCCGGTTGTAAGACCAGCCGGCAAACTGTTGCTGCATAGTTTGGGACAAGGCTGGGCCCTCGACATACGAGTCCTTTGGCACCTCAGAGGTAAACTCTTTGTCGAAATTTGCGGTATCCATCGCGTCAACCTGTGATAGATGTCAGTCATTGTCGGGTTGGATTAGACAGTTCGGTACGTACCACATTGGGCTTGAAGCTGGGCTCGTACTTTCTCTGCAGCAACTTTCTCCAGTCAATGCCGGCAAAGAAGTGGTGAGCTTTGATCTCTGCGGCACCGCCAGCTCCCAGCCGGCGTTCAGGGTTGCGGTCGAGAAGCTTCTGAAGTAGGTCTTTCGCCGCCGCCGGGACAATCTCGGGACCGGGGAAGTGGAGAGGCTCCTGGAGGATCTTGCGATACATCTCGTTGGTGTTTTCGTCATAGAATGGAGGCAAGCCCGTAAGCATTTCATAGAGCAGAACACCCAGAGTCCACCAATCCACAGTCTTTGTGTAGCCATGTCCGAGCAGAAGCTCCGGGGCAAGATACTCAGGTGTGCCACAAAAGGTGTTGGTGCGATCTTCATCCTTCATGTCCAACTTGCATAAGCCGAAGTCGCACAGGGCGATGTGACCAGTGTAATCAAGCAAGATGTTTTCGGGTTTCAAGTCTCTGTAGATGACTTTGAAGCCATGAAGACACTCCAGTGCACACAGCAATTCTGCAGTGTAGAATCTTGATCGGTTGATATCGAAGCGTTGTTCTTTCTGAAGATGATGGAACAATTCACCGCCATTAACAAATGCCAGAACAAAGTAAAGCTTGTCAGGCGACTGGAAGGAGAATTTGAGAGGCGTAATGAAGGGGTTGTTGATCTGTGCCAGCACTGATCGTTCGGCCAGCGTATGCGCGACTTCAGATCGAGAGATGATGTGTGCTTTGCGGATCGTCTTGAGGGCGTAGATTCGGCCGGTGTCCTTCTTCATGACCTGCATGACTTTGCCGAAGCTGCCTCGTCCGACAACTTTCAGGAGCTCGAAGTCATCAATTTTCAGACTGCCCTGACGGTTTTCCACATAGTTCACCCCGACCTTGATCGAACCAGTGCCAAACTGGATGTCCAGCCATTCAGTGCCCAGCTGACCTGCCTGCTTCTCCTGAGCTGCGAATGCGGCTTCGGCCTTCTCGTTTTCCTTCTTGCTCTTCTTTGGATCGGGGACATATTGACGAGCCTCGTCAAATCTAGGCGTGACTCTGGCACCACCCAAGAAGATGTCTTCACTTCTGCCGACACCAGGTCTGGCAGCGGGATTTCTCAGATAAAGCTGAACGCTGAGTTCGCAGACCCTTGAGACATCAAATTTGAACGATGTATTGTCGCCAGCCCACAAAGGATTCTCCGGAGTACCTGAAACCGCATCCACAAAGACCTGCAGCTTATCGAAGTCCAACAACGCATACGGGAGGTATTTGCTGTTGTATCGTCCGTGAATGGTGGGCGCGGCGTTGATTCCAGCATGAGTCGACATAGGTCTATTTGATGGTGCATAGGAGCCTGCCAATGAACCACTTGTGTATGAAGAGCTTGGTCTCACGGATCCTGCTGAGCCTCCAGAACCATAATAGTTGTTGAACACCGACTGATACTGTTGTGGCAGAGAGAATCCTCGTCCCTCGTGCAGCGTCACTATCAAGATTCCCGGCTTCGTGGTCTGAACAGGTGGTGAAGTGAGGGCCTCGGACGCAGCTGGCAGGAGTAAGCGCCCACACAGTTAAAGTCTCATCAGACCAGTCTCTCAAACTTACCGATACCATTTGCTGTGGTTGAGTGCGTGCTGGCATTGCTAGTAGTCGCCGAGAGTTCAGGTCCATCCTGCGGAGTAGTAGGCGTAGTGGCAGAGTCCTCTCCTTTGATGGTGGATGTCGACGTTGAGCGACCAAATCCACTCGTGAGAGGAGCAAGGTGAGTCTCCTTCAGTTCTATGTCTTGTCAGTGAGAGTCCAAGAGCGGTTGTCTCAATCCAAACTGGTGCTCTTGAAGTCCAGATCAACATACTCTTTGTCAATTTCCACGACATCTTTGATCACCTGCCGATCTATTCACAAGAAACAAATATGGAGGAGAGCCGCTGAGCACAGCTAGAGGCAAGACCTGGCAGCTTTGAATTGGAGGAGGACGTCGCAGTGAGTCTGGCGACGGTGGTGGAATACGATACTCAAGGAGTGTGGGTAACAACGGTGAAGGAGGGGCAGATCGTGAAGCGACGGTGAGGCGAGACCGTCCGCAGGGTCGAGGAGAAGTGAAGGCTGAAGGGGCTGCGTGAAAAGGAACAGGTTGGAAGGACTGTGTCGTTGAACAGTCTACGGGGGAACTTCACTTAGAAGTCGAGGACTGTTTTGGTTGCAGTCCAGTGCAGTGCAGCAGAGGGAGCGCCAGAGTGATAGGTGATTGCCGGTAGTGACGGGTGTAACTGCGGGCGCAGTCAAGTCGAAGCCGTAGGCGCAGGCGGTTGGAGGCGAAAGAGCGGCGGGCTGTTTCAAGTGCCTGCAAAAGCCCCCGGGCAACTTCAAGCCCTCAGCTCATCAGGGTTTCGGCTCGGACTTGAAGTCATCCGCAGCCGGTCACGTGCAGCAATGGCGGTGGCAGAACAACGAGCTCGGCCATTGGTAGTCGCTGGAGGCGCGGCTAAATCGCCAAGACGCGCTCGTGGAGGCGCTTATTCGTCTTCGCCTTCGCCATCGCCGAACTTGAACGTCAGGTCATCTTCGCCGCATCGACAACCCCTGCTCAAACGACCTCTATCTCAATCTACCCGTCCACGGAAGAAAGCCAGACCTATCCGATCGACTCGAAACCCTGTGTGCTATACTATCCCAGAGCCCGACTCGGACGACGAGCACTACGAATCGCCCACTGCGATCGTCTTCCCCCGGGATCCACACGCCGACTCCGACCGAGAAGACGCGCCTATACCATATGACTACGCGCAATACTTCTCCTCCGATTCTGACATAGCGGAAGATGTTCGAGTCGAGAAAAGCATGGGTGTCATAAGGAAGAACACAGCCTCGAGAGGGGGAGATGGCGGGACCAAGTACCACTGCGACGTCTGTTCCATCGACATAACCTCCACTGTCCGTATATCTTGCGCCAACCCCGCGTGTCGCGACTACGATCTGTGTGTGCCATGCTTTGCGCGTGGCGAACACTCCAAGAACCATGATCCTCGCACTCACGAATACCATGTGGTCGAACAAAACTCCATCCCCATTTATACGGAAGACTGGGGCGCCGATGAAGAACTGCTTCTGCTGGAGGGCTCAGAGAGATATGGTCTCGGATCCTGGGCTGATGTAGCAGAGCATATTGGCGGGTACCGGGAAAAGGATGAAGTCCGCGACCACTACATTGATACATACATCAACAGTTCCTTATTCCCCTTACCGGAATTGGCCGATCCAACCGATACGAGGCTGTTTGAGAGAATCCCCAAAGATCAATTCCAGGCTCGGAAGAAACGACGCATCGAAGAGCGGAAAGAGGCAGCCAAATCCGCGCCGCCGGCCACGCCCAAGCAAAAGCCCACTGCCAGTGTACCCGCCTGTCACGAAGTGCAAGGCTTCATGCCCGGACGTCTGGAGTTTGAAACCGAGTTTGCCAACGATGCTGAAGAAGCCGTCCAACACATGTCCTTTGAACCTGGTGACGGCATTGACCCAGTCACAGGTGAAATGGACGAGGAGACGGCACTCAAGATGACGGTATTCGACATCTACAACTCCAGATTGAAGGCTCGGACGGAACGCAAACGAATCATTTTCGAGCACAATCTACTTGATTATAAGAAGAATCAATTGATCGACAAGAAGAGGACTAAAGAAGAAAAGGACTTACTGCACAAGGCCAAGCCTTTCGCTCGTATGATGAATCATGAAGATTTCGAGGCGTTCAACCGAGATCTTCTGCTTGAGCACAACTTACGGATTGCCATTGCACAACTACAGGAATGGAGGCAGATGGGTATCAGCGACCTGAAGGGTGGCGAAAAGTACGAGGCCGACAAGCTGGCCCGCGCACAGCGAAACCAACCGCAAGGGCAGTTCGACCGGATGCCACAGATCCCTAAAAAGGGCAGTCAACTGCAGCAATCGGAACTCCCTACCGAGGCATCGAAACTGACCACGCCTGAGCTCCCGCTGCGCTTCCAACGAAAGCCCAAAACTGTTCCTCAGTTTGTGGACAGCCAACCGGTTGTCGAGAACGACTTCGATAAGCTCTTTGCCGAGACGACCGGCCCCGACAGTTCATCGGGCCCCAAGCCTAAGGTGCGCTACGTGGTACAACCATTGAATGGGATCACACCCTGGAAACTGGAAGACGACAAAACTCTGGCCCCGGATCTACAACTCCTCAGCGAGGAAGAAATCCAACTCTGCAACGTGCTTCACATTCGTCCCAAACCATATCTGGCGCTCAAAGAAGGTCTTCTGAAGGAAGCGATGAAGCAGGGTGGACACATGAAGAAGAAAGAAGCCCGAGGAGTTTGCAGGGTGAGTAATCTCAATAAGCTTTGGGATGACGGCTGTGTACTGACACTTGTGCCCAGATTGATGTCAATAAAGCCAATCGCATATTTGACTTCATGATCCACAGCGGATGGATTGCGAAAGCATGAACGCCTGATGCTTCACAGATTCCTTGCACAGATTCAAACGTTGGGTTCATTCCCATGGTGCTACATGCCGGTGGTGGGTGCTACGGGTGATTATCAGCATGAAATAATTTCAGCATCAGCGTGAAGACCAAAGTCCTTGATTGCATTTCAGCCAGGCTCAGCAGGTGTGCATTATACACCGATCAACTCAGTTTATTGACACCAAGATCCATACGTCTTGCCTACGATCAAATGTAGTATCCATCAAGCCATTCATATAGACACGTGACCATCCGGCGAGGCTGAGCAGAACGGGGACTGCCATGTGTTGTTGTGCACTACGTCATTGCCATCCAGCCCGGTATCAATCAAGCTGCGAAGAAGTCGACAATCACATATTCCGTTCCTCCAGTGTCGTCCATGCTTCGAAGTGAGCATGGGCATCCTGATGACATACCACCACAGTACAGAGGGAATGGAAATGGTCTGTGTTTCTTGAGATGGAGACTGCTGGGGCAAAAACCCACGGGCGGGCGGCTGTTACCGTGGTGTAGTCTGTAGACTCCATCTTGTGGGCATCCAAATCCGGAGTATCTCGACTCCCTCCAACGTCTTGACGCGTCTCATTGTTCGGGTGCGTTCCTGTCATAACGTTGGCGGACAACCACAGAGGAGATAAGTTCAGCCACCTCATCATCGCCTGCCCGCCAACTGTCAACCGCCTCGCATGGACACCACCAGTTGCCACATCTCTTACAGTTCATCGATGGGACGATTGTGAATACAGAGGTGAACAGCCTAGTCTGGCAGGTGAGACATCTCCCCAAGCAGTCAGGGTTCATGCTTCCCACAACCGATCGTCGAGTATGTGGCGTCATTTGGCGTATGTTTGGGCCAACAAGGCTGACGATCACATCGAGCCTCGCCCCCCTTGCTACGTCACCCCCTGAGGCCAGCACCTTGCACCGAAACCTGATTCAGGGCAATGACGGCTGATACACCACCAGTTCTGGCCATGCCAGCTACTTCTATATATTGATGCTGCATGCGTCTCATGAACACTCACATCATCGCCTCATCAAGCTTCCCAAAGTCATCAGTCATCTGCAAAACAACTTCCACGCTTTCCCCACACTATCATAACCAGAGCCAAGATTTCACACTCTCAAGTTCTCAAGATGCCTCTCTTCGGTCACAAGAACAATGACCCAGTTCAGCCCACTCCCAACGCCCGCACCTCCCATGGTGCTCGACATTCGACATCGTCTTCCGACGCCAGCAGTCCTCGGCATGGATTTTTCGGCGGCAGCAGCGGACGTCGCTCCTCCTCTTCAGACCTCCGGGACTCTCGTCGTACAAGCACCAGCAAACGAACCGCCGGAGGCTTGTTCAACAAAAACACCGAAGATCCTTCCATCAGCGATGCACGTCAACGAGTAGCCTCAGCTGAGAGAGCCGAGCAGGAGGCCGATCGAGCATTGGTTCAAGCCAGGGCTGCTGTTCGAGACGCCAGAGATCATGTCAAGATGATTGAGAGGGAGGCCGCTGAAGAGTATGTCCACCTACTACCTTCCATCATATCACCCCCTTCCCTGTTGTTGTGTCAGTCCCTAGGAAATATCTACCACTCCTCCCTCCCCCTTCATCACAAAGCTTTGAGAGATTCTCTTTGGACCCATGATGATGACCTGAACTCACATGATGCTTCTACAACAGAGCACGTCTAGCAAAGATCAAGCAACAAAACGCCAAAGATATCTCCAAGAGAGCCAAGCCATTGGGCCGTAAGTGATGTCCTTGTTCCGCTTGCAAGATTGATACTGACAGATTTGACTGCAGGACATGACCGCCATTAGATTTTTGATGTTGACATGAGTGAGCGTTCGTTGTGCATTATATCCATGTCCTTGTATGATCATGAAATAGCTCGCCTAAGGTTCGGTTGTGGTTGTGATTATTGAGCGAGCATATCAGCGTGGCACTGTATTTATATTGCTGCTTTATGAGCACTGACAAGTACAACTTGTCCTTGTATCTATATTACCATGGTTCTTACACTATACCTGTATCTACACTGTTGGGAACGACCTGATTTTCAACATTGGATGGAAACCCACTAGGTACCGGTTGTTTCTGAACCTAATAAACCTGCCTTGTCAGACAAATAAAGAAACTATAGTAAGAGAACTTCCTGTCTAGGTACCTTGACCAGTCGCTGCAAAGTGGTAACTCTATAACTAGCCTTGGACTACAGATGGAACATGAGCCCTCCAGGTCACTACAATGCTTCCCTCCAACACAGGTCCACAAGTTTACTCGCGAAGTACTAATCGGCAACGGAGTTCCATCCGAAGCAGCAGACACCGTAGCAAAATGTCTGGTTGCAGCTGATCTTCGAGGCATCGACACCCACGGGGTCAACCGAATCCCCTCATACCTCGAGAGGATCCGACAAGGGGTGCTCGACCCAAAAGCCAAACCGACCGTCCATCAAGTCACTCCGGTGGTGGCCCAGGTGGACGGGAACAATGGTTTCGGATTCGTCGCCGCATCGCTGGGGATGGACACGGCCATAGAAATGGCCAAGGTCTACGGGATCGGCATGGTGAGCGTCAAACACTCGAACCACTTCGGGATGTCGGCGTGGATTGTCCAACAGGCCATCGACGCTGACATGATGTCGTTGGTCTTTACCAACTCATCTCCAGCATTGCCCGCTTGGGGGGCTAAGTCGAAGTTACTCGGTGTATCCCCCATCGCGTGCGGTGCACCTGCAGGCAAGACGAAACCGTTTATTCTAGATATGGCTCCGAGCATCGCTGCGCGGGGCAAGATCTACAAGGCGCAAAGAAGGGGTGAAAAGATTCCTCTCGACTGGGCGCTGGACGAGAACGGTCGTCCGACAGATGACCCGGCAAAAGCGTTGCAGGGCGTCATGCTGCCCATGGGAGGTCCGAAGGGCTCAGCGCTGGCGATCATGATGGACGTGTTCTCTGGAGTCTTGTCGGGTTCGGCGTTTGCTGGTCATGTTACGAACCCCTATGATCCGGCCAGACCGGCTGGCGTGGGTCATTTCTTGATCGCGATCAAGCCGGATTTGTTCCTTTCGCTGGACGAGTTCAAGGAGAGAATGGATTACTTGTACCAGCGTGTGGTTGGTTCTGAGAAGAGGGATGGCTTCGAGCGCATATACTTTCCGGGTGAGCTGGAGCATCTGGAGGAAGAGAAGCGAAGGGTTCAGGGTATCCCGTATACCACGTCGGAAGTGGACTGTTTGAACAAGGAGGCTGAACTGGTGGGAGTACCTCTCTTGAACTCCTAGTATGGCATCCAATATATGTACATATTCATATTGAATGCCCCGATTGACCTGCAGCCCCTTGGAGATCTGTGTACACTTCAGCAACGCTGGACTAGATAAAAGCGTCCAACTTACTATAAGAAGTCCACTCATTGTCGTATTTGTGGTATGATGGTTGTCTCTGGTACTGACTGCAATGAGGCTTCAGACAACCTTGAAACTTGAAAGCGGGGGAATGCGCTAACGGACATACGCGATACGGGTCATTACAAATGTTGGAGACAAGGCAGGCAGAAACGATCACAATTACCTAAGCGGATGATGATTGGCTTCAAGGCCATATCAGATTATCTGCGGCCAGCAGTCCGCCGGCCTTTCTACGCGAACCACCGTCGGACCGCTTGTCGCAGGAGAGTATCAGTCAATAGAGCAGAACAGGATCCACCAGTGTGAGCATTTCTGGCTGAGATACTCTGACTGTGTTCAATTTTTCCTTCTCTGTTCTCTGGCAACTTGCTGGACGCGACAGTTGACATGAGATCGTAACCGGCAGCCTGCAAAACAGTCGCGATGATGGCTACTCCCGTGGCGGCGTATTCACGAGCCCGTCTGCCCGTCACGCGATTGCTGCGATGGACACCTCAACGCATCGATCCTTCTCGACTATGTAGGAGATGTCTCTCGGTGCAACAAAAGCGACAGCAAAACGCTCAGCCAGCCTCCCATCAAGGGCCCCCTCCCGCCTTTTTGGAGAGAGATGAGCTCTTCAGCCAGCGCCATATCGGTCCCTCACCGCATGACGAGGTGCTGATGGTGAAGGCGTTGGATCCCCCTGCGAAAGACCTAGACGATTTCATCCGCCAGACTCTCCCTCCAGATATCCTCGCCGGCAGTGAACTACATCTGCAGAATGCATTCAACAAGGACAACACGCAAGGGGTGCATGAGGTGGGCATTGAGAGGGAAATGCTCACTTTGGCGCGGGAGAACAAGAATTACACGAGTCTTATCGGCATGGGATACTACGGCACGAACACGCCGACCGTGATCCAAAGAAACGTCCTTGAGAGTCCTGCGTGGTACACAAGCTACACCCCATACCAGGCAGAGATTAGTCAGGGCCGTTTGGAATCGCTGTTGAACTTCCAGACGCTTGTGACAGATCTCACGGGCCTGACAATCGCCAACGCTTCGGTGCTCGATGAAGGCACTGCCGCTGCAGAAGCCATGACTCTGTCAATGAATGCCCTCCCCACTTCGCGACAGAAGAAACCAGGAAAGGCTTATGTCGTCTCGGATCTCTGCCATCCTCAGACCATCGCGGTCATGGAATCGAGAGCGTCGGGCTTCGGCATCAATGTTATCGTGGGCGATATCCTGGCAGACGACTTCAAGCTGGTCAAAGAACAAGGCGACAATCTGATCGGCGTGCTGGCACAGTATCCAGATACTCTGGGAGGAGTGCACAATTTCCAGAAACTTTCGGATCTTGTACACGCGGCGGACGGCACATTTTCTGTCGCCACGGATCTGCTTGCTCTCACCCTTCTTAAAGCTCCTGGAGAGTTTGGGGTCGATGTCGCCTTCGGAAATGCCCAGCGCTTTGGTGTTCCTCTGGGCTACGGTGGACCCCATGCTGCCTTTTTCGCCTGCAGTGAAAAGCACAAACGGAAGATTCCTGGTCGATTGGTTGGCATCTCCAAGGATAGATTGGGCAAGCCCGCTCTTCGATTGGCCCTGCAAACTCGCGAACAGCATATCAGGCGAGAAAAGGCCACCAGCAATATCTGCACTGCCCAAGCTCTGCTGGCCAACATGAGTGCATTTTACGCCATCTACCACGGGCCTCACGGCTTGAAAAAGATCGCCAACCGGATATGGGCCATGGCCAAGTTCGCCCAGGCAGTGCTCAAGCGCAAAGGGTTGAAAGTGATCAACCAAGGTGTTCGTGAAGACGGCGCCGTGCTTTTTGACACCGTGGTGGTTGAGCCGGCCAGTGTGCAACAATACAAACAAATTCTGCGAGTTGCCAGCGAAGAACACGTACTCCTGCGGACCAATGTCCCCGGAAGCACGCCCGAAGCCCCAAGACTTGCATTCTCCATCGACGAGACCGTGAGCAGCACGACTTTGAGGAAGCTGCTCCAGTGCTTCGGTGTGAAGTACGATGAATACATTGGTGGCTTTTCGGATCCGGACATCATCTCAAAAGTGAATGACGACTCTCTCCCCGAGGGTTTGCGGAGGCAGACATCTTTCTTGACTCACCCGGTCTTCAACCAACATCATTCGGAGACGGAGTTGCTGCGGTATATCCATCATCTGCAATCCAAAGATTTGTCTCTGGTGCACTCCATGATACCGCTAGGATCTTGCACGATGAAACTCAACGGTACCACCGAGATGATGGCTATCTCATATCCGGGATTCTCCAAAATCCATCCGTTCGCCCCCATTCACCTGACCACAGGATATCAGAAATTGATCAAACGATTGTCTCGAGCTTTGGCGGCCATCACCGGCATGCAGGAAGTCAGTCTGCAGCCGAATTCCGGTGCACAAGGCGAATTCGCCGGGTTACGAGTGATCAAAAAGTATCTCGACCATCAGGACAGTTCGAAAAAGAGAAACATCTGCCTGATTCCTGTTTCTGCGCACGGGACCAATCCTGCCTCAGCTGCCATGGCAGGGATGAAAGTTGTTCCTCTGAAGTGTGACACCAAGAGCGGCAACCTCGACCTGAAGGATCTGGAGGAGAAATGCAAAAAGCACAAGGACGAACTGGCCGCGATCATGATCACCTATCCCAGCACTTTTGGCGTGTTCGAGCCCGGCATCAAGGAAGTGTGCAAGATTGTGCACGAACATGGAGGTCAAGTCTACATGGACGGTGCCAACCTCAACGCCCAAATCGGCCTATGCAACCCCGGCGAGATCGGGGCCGATGTGTGCCATCTCAATCTCCACAAGACGTTCTGTATTCCTCACGGTGGAGGAGGTCCAGGCGTGGGACCGATCGCGGTCAAGGAACACCTGCGACCGTTCCTCCCCATGCATCCTCACGTTGATCCGCATCCGGGCGGGGAAACCCGAGCCACGACAGCCATCTCTCCAGTCAGCTCGGCGCCTTGGGGTAGCGCGTCCATCCTGCCCATCAGTTACGCATACATCCAGCTGATGGGAAGCGCGGGTCTCAAGCACGGCACCGAGATTGCCCTGTTGAACGCCAACTACATAATGTCCCGGCTCCGCCCGTACTATCCGATCATGTACACCAACGCGAACGGGCGCTGCGCGCACGAATTCATCCTCGACACGCGCAAGTTCAAGGAGACGGCAGGCGTCGAAGCCATCGACATTGCCAAACGGCTTCAAGACTACGGATTCCACGCCCCGACGATGAGCTGGCCCGTGGCCAACACGCTGATGATCGAGCCCACCGAATCCGAGTCCAAGGAAGAACTCGACCGGTTCTGCGATGCGCTGATTGAGATCCGCAAGGAAATCCAAGCCGTCGAAGACGGCAACGCGCCCCGCGAAGGAAACGTGCTCAAGATGTCGCCCCATCCCGCCATCGATCTGATGCGCAGCGCCTGGGACCGGCCCTACTCGCGCGAACAGGCCGCCTATCCTCTCCCGTGGCTGCGGGAGAAGAAGTTCTGGCCCAGTGTGGCCCGTGTCGATGATGCGTACGGAGACACGAATCTCTTCTGCACCTGTACTCCCGTTGAAGGGTACGAGGAGGAAGGCATCACAGGTCACCAAGCGCCCATGTCGACATGATTTGGGGGAGATGTCTTCTCTCTTTGTCTTTTCGTTCTAGGTCACCAGTCTCCTCGGGATACTGCAGGGTAGAGATGGATTTGTCAGTTTTCTGGTAAAGTAAAGATCGGAGTTCAACATTCTGGTCTTGAGATTCTTGGATGGATGGATGGATGGATGGATTAGGTACTTCTTTACCTCCTCATAGCTGAAGATTTGGATGCCTTTGGGGGTATCTAGGAGATCTAACATGTCATGTCATGTCATGTCATGTCATGCCAATTTCTCTCTCTCTTACTTTGTGTGTGCGCGTGTGTGTGTATGTGTCTTTTGTAGGCGTGTCTCTCCCTCCGTGTCAAGAGGAGCAACGATAGATAATTAGAGAATTCCGTTATACTCTCTCATGACTTCGTTTCTTTCGTTTCCTTGATTATTTCCCTTCTTCTCATGATTTGACTCGTATGGCCTATAAGTACAGCAAGTACAAGTACACCACTACTAGCAGCCACCGTACAGTACAGCCGCGTTACTATACCTGACCTGGTCCTTTCTTTCTTAGGAAACTGTTCCTAGAGTGCTCGCTCTTGTCGTTGTCGTCATTATCGTTATTGTTGTTGATTGTTATTGTTATTTGAATTCAAAACCGTCTCGCTCCGCTCTTCCACTCTCCAGCATCTTCCACCCCCTGCGCGACTTTCCGAGTCCCGTTCTCCACGCCCGTCGCCGCATTCGCCAGGCCGTCGCCCACAGGTCGGCCCAAACTGCCTGTGGCGCCGGTGAGGGTTTCGCCGATCCCGCGGCCCGCTGCGCCGGTGATGCCGCCGACAGTACGGGCGAGACCGCCGACCGTGTTCTGTTTTGGGGGAAAGGAGGATAATATGTTAATTATGATCTGGATGGTAATAGTGATAGTAATGGAATGGAATGGGATGGCCAGCTGACAACGATAATGGTAACGATATTATGTGATAAAAGATAGAAGATATATGATAGACAGTAGAGATAGATATAGATATCAAAGAGAACTAAGAAATTAGAGATAACATACACCGACAGTCGAAGTGACGAATTTGGCAGCCCCCGTGGCGCCTTGGTCGGATGAGGACGTGGTCATTGGCATGTTCGATCTGATCTGTCGTACAAAGTTCTGTTATAACAAGTACTTGGAGTGGAGGGAATGAAGTGGGATGATTCGATTTCAGGATTCGACAAGTGGAATGTATACTGAGTTGTTCACAAGAGTATAGCTATACCAGGTATATCCAAGATATTCTGTAGAGTATCGTGGCGTTATATAACACATGTGATATATATAGAAGATATGTGTAGGATATAATAACAACAAAAACAACGTGTCAGCGCTTGTCACTCTCGATGACGTTGATGGATTGGATTGTCTCTCCTACGTGTACAGATAGCAAGGGTCGATTAATACCTAGGTATGGCTCCTGTCTTACGGTCAGTGTCTCCCTGACAGCACAGTCAGTGGTCAGCAGACCTTATGCCTCAGGATCCCCTGTCCCTGATCCCTGTCCCCTGGTTTCATGTGAACTGCTAGAAGGGGTGTTACACAGATCAATAGAAGAACAGTAGGCCAATCGGGGGGAAGATGGGATGGCCCTACTAGTATGCCAGAGGAGAATCAATCGCAGAGAGAACGGTATATTTCATCAGAACGTAGGTACATTCATCATTCCTCTCTCATCAATGGGGATATCATCTTCGCAGGACTTCCTCGTCGTGCAGCGGATAGATACCTCCATGACCATGACCGTTTAATGGACCGTCTCCCCAATCTTGGGAGCCCGATTCTTCAACCACTCCGTGGCATTGTTGACATCGCCTTTCTCCTCCTCCAACGCCTTGACGCACCACTCCAGCTCGTATTCTCCTGCGCTGCTCATCATGGATGCTAGATTCCGTCGATTCTGACTGGCTTCGTCCACACAGAACACCAACCCAGAAGTCACTCCCTCCGACAACTGGTCCATGATGGGCTTGATCATGGGCAACCCATCCTTTGCCGACACGACCCTATCTTCACCCGTGACATTCTTGTGTCCGGTCTTACACAGGTCACTGTTGCGGCACCAGGGTTTGCCACATCCGCCCATGATCTGCTGCAGGAGTCTTCTCTCGATCCTCCTCCGTAACATCTTGCCTTCGGGATCGTAGGTGGACACATAGAGTGGGCCAAAACATTCGTTGCACAGCCCCAACTGTTCCTTCTGAACCCTCATCTCGTCGTCAGGTCTGATGGTCCGGCCACACAAGCCGTTGGAGCAGAGTTTGGGCTTTGGCCGGGAAAATCGTTCGCGATCATGAAGTCGAAGATGCGTCTTCATGTCCCGTAGCCTGACTATCTTGCCGCACAAATGACAGTCAGTTGTCCTGGCACCATCGGCCAGTTCGTGTGGAGTGAGTCCCGACATCAGGACCTCAGGGTCCGCAAAATCAGGATCGTCAGGCCCTTGTTGAGGGACCACGAGGTGGCAGAACTGACACAGTATCTCCTTTCCTGGACAGGTGGTTGTGCGATGCTGAGCCAGAATGGGCACGTTGAAAGCCTTGAAGTCACAGCCAGGGCATGGGATCGGTGTAGGTGGATGGAACAAGGAATCGTGCTTCTGTCGGGACACGGCATCATTACCATGCTCCTCGTCGTGAGGACAGTGCCAGTGGTTTTTCCATGCTTCAGAGGTTTTCAGAAAGACATTGGAACATTTGGGACAGAGAATGTTATTGCGGTAACAGAACGCCTCGTGCAACGGTAGCGTTCGTTTGGGTACAACCTGACGACAATTCTTACAGACCACGTCGTCAGGCGAGAGCTCAGATGGGCCGCTGTCTGAGGTATCGGGCTGTATATCGGGCTCTGGAGCTGCTGTAATTTGGAGAGTGTATGCGATCGGCCGGTTTGCGTCTGTGGACTCGATTTCGGCATCGCGCCAGGCGTGCACGGCCAGATTAAGCGATTCGGCCTCCTCGAGATCAACACTTGTGTGCGAGAGCTTCAGCCGCTTGTTCGGTCGCCCACTCAAGTCTCCAAAAACGTATTCATCCTCTCGAGGCTTGGACCGCTGGCGCGACGAAAACGGACTAACCAAAAGATCGAGGCTGCCGTTGTGGTCGGGGACCTCAAGGATGACTTGGAGTTCTTGACCACGGTCCCATTGCTTCAATTCGTAGTCCACATAATCCCCCGGGAGTACCTTTCCATGAACCTCATGTTCCAGAATGAGAAGGCCTCCAGGCGAAGTACCCTCTGCGGACTCCTGCTGCCGCTTCTTCTTTGCCAGCAATTGGTTCAAACTCTCTCGAGCCTGATCCTCGTTCAGCGGCTCGATATCCACCTCCAAGTCAGTATCGACGATACATATTCCATCCTCGTCTGGTTCAAACTTGTCGACCAAGAAGCGAAACCGCTCATGGCGTGGACCGGGGACTACGAGGATTTCACCCCGAGTAAGTGTGGTATAGTTGTCTCGGAGATACCGCTCCAGAAGTGACTTCCAATCTTCAGGGTCGTAGCCGGCCTCCAAAGGCCTCAACTTGACGTATGTTCCCCTGGGCAATTGTTTCGCATGTATCGTGACGGTCTCCGGCTTTGGGCTGTCCGTCCCATTGACCATAGGCACATCGCCACTGGGCGTGCTTTCTCTCGATTGTTGTAATGATGCTCCATCTCGAAGACCCAATGCCTCCCTTAGACCTGCACTCAACCCAATATCACCCTCCGAGGCAGAGAACTCCTGAATTCCCGCATATACGGCTCTACCATTTCGAGGGTTCACGATGCGAAAGGTGAGAGGATGAGGTAGTTGCTGCTGACGATCTTCGAATACGGCCCGTGCATGACGTTCGGCGGCGAAGGAATAAGGGTTGAAGGGGTCGAACGCGGATGTGAGATTCCTAGAGGAGCTGTTCTGAACAGAAACAACGGGCGCGGCGGCGAGAAGGGCTTCGAGGGCAGATGGTGGCAAGGTGATCTTGTCTCCCACCAGTTTGCGATTCGAGGGGGAAACTTGAAGCTGGGATGACCATCTCAGGGTGTCTGACGGCGAGGCCATTGCTGTGGAATATGATGAGGAACAGAAAACATTGTAGAGAGGACAAGGGCATGAATTGAAGCCATGATGAACCTGGCGTCAGGCACAAAAGTGACGCGCAGTCGCAGTTTTCGAGAAGCGTCGATAGCGAATTGAGCCTGACAAATTGACCGTCTACAACTATTCAACTCGTCCGCTTTAGGGACACGGTGGCGGACTCTGTAGGAAAATACTGAACTGGTCTGTTGGCTCTGAAGGACAACAGTCGCTCATCATGGTGATGAATAGTACAGTATGGATTGCTGTGTGGTTGTTGATGCTGGCTACAACAAACGTACCTACTGCGCATCACCTGCGATCATCTCCTCTCACTGAATGTTGCCCTCCACCGCAGTCTCTCGCTCAAACCCAACATCCTCCAACTTCCAACCTCTTCGGCCACCCCTTGAATATTGCCTCCATCGTCCTCGTCTCGTCTCGTCCTCGTCCTCGGAGCTACAAATGCTGAATCTGCACAGACTCACCCAGCTCGTGCAAGGGCCTCCCTGACAAGAAGAACCCTCGATTACATAACCGTGTGATTCTCGCCCCCGTCGGGTCTAATTTCTATGATTGGAGCATCTCAAACCTCCGCGGCTGCTGGCGGATGTCAACAAAGTCTTTCTGCCTCAAGAGACGTATAAACCAGAGCAAAGACTCAAAGAGCCTGTGCCAGCTTCTACCGCTTTTCCTATGATCAGGTACTGTCGAGCGTCAGCACCATTGCACTCCTGTTTTCCTTCCGTGACGCGTTTTCTCGCCGCGTTCGTTGACAACAGTATCTTATGACATGTAATTCGCGCTGAACCGGATCAGAACCTTCACTCATTTTCGCTGACTGAAATGGATGGCTAAGAGAGGTTGTTTGAAACTACAGCTTTGGTCCAGTGTCTGTCAAGATGGGCGAAACCATCTCAAGAAAGAAATCTTTTGGCTTTCTGAATCCTTTCAGATCTAAAAAGTCATGGAGTCCAGATTCAAGAACCACATCTGTCTCTGAATACAGCATCGACGAGCTCAAACTCGAGCAAGCCCCTTCTCGGCCGGGCAATAAATTAAGGAAAAAGTCTCTGACGAACCTCCGGGCGACACCATCCAGCAAAAGTCTTAGAAAGAAAGCCCTGGTCCAATCGAAGCATCCTCCCCTCCCTGCAACCAGAGTCGAGGATCCATACGATCGAGATGCTCAGACCGGTGAGCGAAAGGACCACACGGAGATGCTGCATAGTCTGGCCGTCCGTGGATCTTTAGAGTCGCTTGTCGAGAAGACCAAAATACTCTTTGCCGGAATCCCGCCCGAAACTGGGGAGCAGTTCTTGTCCAGGTTTCCGCCTGGCGCCTGGGAGCGTATTGTCGACCATCTGGACCTCGCAGATGCAGCCAGCCTCGCTTTCTCGTGCAAGGCTTTCCGAGATATTGTTGGAACTGAAGCCTGGAGCAGCCTGAACGCCGAGGAGAACCACGACTACAAAACAGACTTTCTCGGTCGGCTCGACCCAGACCTACCCGACCACTTACTCTGCTTCCCTTGCGCCATCTATCATCTGAGAACGCAGATGGGGCACGAAATCCTCCGCCCGACCAACATCGCTAATCCCATTTTCAACTGTCCCAACGCCTTCAACCTCGAAAAGAAGGTCTCTCGAACCCGGCTGGTCGTGGGTCGGACATTACCCTTTCCATTTTTGCAGCTGATTCTCCGGGGTCAAAAGTATTCACTAGCTCACGGCATCCCTATCGAGTCGATGAACCGTCGATACAGAGACAGCAATAGCGAATGGTCCCACCAGTTCCGTTTTGCTGTTGTCCACGGGCATCTGCTGGTACGAGTGATCAGTTCGGCATTTGCAGAGCCTGCACTGCCTCCTGCGGGCCTACGCAAGCTGCTGTATTCTCCCAATGAAAGATTCACCCCGTACTTTTCCGTCTGCGCGCATTGGCAGGATGGCGAATTGATGCCGTCGGTGAAGTGTGCCCTTAGCCACATTCCTAAGCCGTTGGATCCATTGGATGCAAGCGGCGTCGCCGGTGTGGCGGCACATGTCAAGTACAGGTTGCATCGACCTAGTCCTCTTATTACCCTGTGTTCTCAATGTCGGCCGATGCGGCGATGTCCAAAATGCCCTTCGGAGTACCTGATTGAGTTGAGGATGCAGGAAGACCGGCGCGACCCGTCCAAGTTGTTCAAACATGCCATCGTTTTGACCAGATGGTTCGATCTTGGAGACGGTTCATCTCCTCGAAGCCGCGAATGGGCGGCTTGCAACGGAGATGCGGAATATGATTCCTTTGCCGCCTTGGGACGACGTGCAATCTCGGGTACATTCGAATCTCAGTTCACCGTCGACCAGATACCGGGCCAAAATATCATTTCCATGAACCCTGAGGGGGAAGATCGTGGAGAGGCCGGCCATAACTGGTATTGAAACCAACGAGCATGGCCACCACGTATTGAAAGGCGAGGGGCTGATCATGGCACTGTCGATTCCGCGGAATCAACCTCGGCACACCTGGTATTTATTAGTATGGCGCCCCAGGCATAATATCATTCCGCCACGCGAGGTCACGATGCCTTCTCCATGGCTGGCGAACAGCGGATTCGCCTGATCGCGTCGACTGAAAGTTGTTGGCGCCCACGGAGACTCTACAGTAATGTCCGAAAAGCCATCCAATGTATCTGGCGGGGGATTTTGCTTCGTTCTGTCCAAGGAAACTTCACCGGAACTCACCGGTATAAATTGTCGACGTCAACCACACTCTCAAGTTGCATGGATAAGATCGCGACAGAGCGGACGACATAGCCACCTTGCCGTTCAATGGATACATCGTCCCCACAGCCTTCTCTGCTCTTCTTTGTGGGAGAGATGATCTACCAAAGTATTGCTGGAAACAGCAATCAGACACGCGGCACCCAGGACTGAGCTGCACTGCAACCGCGGTTCTTGGAAGTGCTTCGTATATCTTGTCCATTGCTGCGGCTCCTTGCGAACGATCATTAGTGTTATCCACACAGCTCTGATCTCCGACCAACTGGAGCACATGTCGAGCATTGAGGCGCAGCAGGCCCTTGCTTAGCGCATGACATGGGTGCTATCTTATCACAAGCCTCTTCCAACTACTTGTGTATACACAGCAAATTCCCCGGTTATCACCATCCGATTCGGCATCCTAGAGGTCGCAATGCTGTCGTCGCCAAGATATGGGCTTCGCAAGCTGACGTATCAAGTTCCACTTCATGGAGTTGGACATGGCATTCCTTCATCAGCCTTCCATTTATCTTCCTGGTTTATCATAGTACGGTCGCATCGTCGCAAAGGTGGGCATATGCCAATATCGGCGACCCAAGACCGTATTTCCCCCCAGGCACACTACTGCAACAAGTGGTGGACAGCATCATGCGTAGCGTGAAGCCCTGGTCTTGGAGGGTTTCCTCAATCACGGCCCGTTTGGTCAAAACGCAACAAGAACCTGGCTGAAGCTTTGCGCCTTTGTTTCGCCTGCCGTTTTTTGCAGCTCCCAGTCGATAACCACCCAACGACGACTCTACATGCAGAGAGATGTGGCAGTTGCTCCCCGTAATCTGGTTGTTGACTCTAGCACTCATCGTCTCACCCACGATCAGTGTTCGAACAGCTCCTCCCGACTATGGCGGGTTGACATCGAAACTCTACGACTGGGGAATGCGCGGGCTCGTTCCCAGACAGACATATCATTCGTTCAGGTTGAAAGCTCCTCAGCTGAACTATGCGCAATGGGACGAACGATGCGACGATGGATACAGCTTGATATCGCCGCGAGGACATCACGTGCCTCATCCAGGACCGATCATCATGGACTCTGGGGGTGAATTGGTATGGATGGAGGACAAATACGGGCAGGCGATGGACTTTAAGGTCCAGCAGTACCGCGGTCGGGATTATTTAACCTTCTGGACCGGGACGGACAGCGGCACCTTTGGAACTGGCTCATATGTCATGGTAGGAGTGACGCGACAGCTGGGCATCAACCACGACTGACGAAGATACAGCTCGACTCAAACTACAAGCTATACAAGAGGGTGTCTCCCGCTCACGGTCGGAGTGGAGACCTACACGAGTTCAAAATCACGGAAAATGGGACAGCGTTGATGACCATCTACGAACCCACCCCAGCAGATCTTTCGTCCTTCGGCATTGTATCGCAAGGCTGGATCTACGACAGCTTGTTCCAAGAAATCGACCTCGAGACAGGCGAGTTGATCTTTGAATGGCGTGCGTCTGAGCATTATCGAATCGACGAGACTTTCCACTCCATCGAAGCCGAAACGCGCCGACCAGACTCATCAGGGAACCGGGTTGCCTCGATTGGTACCCGGCGCGATGCGGCGTGGGATTTCTTCCACATCAACAGTGTTGATCAAGATGATCGTGGGAACTATTACGTCTCCTCTCGCTACATGCATACCGTCACATGCATCAGCCCTACAGGCGACATCCGCTGGATCCTGGGCGGCAAGCGGAATCAGTTCACCGACCTGTCGGATGGAGCAGCGACGAGCTTCTCTTTCCAGCACCACGCCACCATGCATGAAAACAACACCCTGACGATCTTCGACAACGGCAAATATGACGCCAACTCGAAGAATGCCAAGTACAGCCGTGGACTCATCATTACGCTGGATACCGAAAACATGACGGCGACTCTTGTACAGGACTTTGTGCATCCGGATCATCTGCTGGTCGGTAGCCAGGGTTCCATACAACTGCTCCCAGATTCAGGCCACGCATTGGTGGGCTGGGGTTACGCGCCGGCGTACACGGAATTTGACGCCGACGGAACAGTGCTGTGCGACGTGCACATCGCCCCGAAAATCGTATTCGGGTTTGGATGGGTGAAGAACTACCGAACGTTTCGCAGTTCCTCTTGGACCGGCAAGCCGACGACGTCTCCCGACGTGTTTCTCCGACCACGGGATGAAGTTCTCTACGTCAGCTGGAACGGTGCCACCGAGGTCGACCGTTGGCTTCTGCAGGGACGAGAAACGGTGAAGTCGGCCGATAGCGACAGCGACAGCGACGATGAAGGCGAGCTTTTCGTCGACCTCTCCTCCACCAAGAAGCAAGGGTTTGAATCTTCCGTCGACATTGACAGTGACATGCCGACCTACATTCGCGTCGTGGCGGTGGATCGCAACGGCAATGTTCTGGGATATAGTCAAGTCCTGAATCGAGATGTGGGGAATGCGCCCCGGGAGATTCCGCTATTTGCGATTCTGGCTGCCGTCTTGTCGTGTTTCGGCTTTGTCATTTGGAGGACGGGAAATCCGATCTCACGTGTGCACGGGATGAGGAAGGCGGTGGTGCAGTTATATCGACGTACGTCGGTGACCGACTACCTCAGTCTTAAGGAGGCTTTGAGGGTTCAGGATGATGACCCGGAGGAAGATGGGGATGAACGAGATCTCGAAGGACAGCTGGGATACAGTGATGATATGTCGTTGCGGAATGTGTCGAGGCGTTTGTTGGCAGCAGACACAGATCATGGTACTAGCCATGGCCCAACATCAGCATCAGACTGACAGATAGTCGTATTGACATGTATCATGAGGATAAGATATGTCGTGTTAACATGTATCATGGAGGCTAAGGTAGTTCTGTCAACACTCACAGTTGAGTGTGCATTCTTTGTCTACGACTGAAGATCATCATCAATCTAAAATGCCGTGTCTTGAGTGATGTGAGTGAGATTGTTATGTAGTCTGTCTAGTCTATTTGTACAAGTAGTATGTTGAGTGGAAATGGGAAAGAGATAGGAGAGGGATAATTTCTTGTTTCGCTCCTGAATCACCATCTTCCTCCTGGATCACCATCACCTTCTCTCTGGGCGTTTCAGCGTTGTAGCCTTGATCCAGAGTCCTCATTGAACCTGAGTTTTCGTCCCCCCCCCCCCCCTCATCAAGAGGCATTGAATCTCACCTTGCTGTTCCTCTTCTTGGTGGTGACCAAGCCATACCATACCATACCATACCATCCCATATCGACTTGTTCTCTCGGGGATGATGTTTTTGATCGAGTCTATGCACCAGCACAGCTGGATATTAGTACACTGGAACTTCGGTCCATCTATTCAGCCCATCTCTCTGTCTCCATCTCTCCACCTTGTCGTCCATTCATCTCTCCGTCTCTCTGTCTTCATCTCTTCATCTCTCCGTCTCTCCATCGTTCCTCTCCATCGTTCCTCTCCATCCAGTCATCCATTCTCCATTCTTGACTTTTTTCAAGTCAATACAACCCCGGAACCGGCTCAGGCGCCTCAGCCCCCAAAAGCGGCTCGAACCCCGGATCCCCCTTCTCCATGGCCGCGCGATACGCGGGCCTCTTACCGACCCTGTCCAACCAAGCCACGATCCCCGGGTATTCCGTCAGCGAGTAAGGAAAGAACAGACGCATCGTGCTGAGCTGGAACACGGACATGATATCCGCAGCGGTGAACTCGTCCCCAGCCAACCACGGCACGCGGGCCAACCGGTCGTTCAGCATGGCCAGGACTTTCGTAAACCGCGCGTCCGCGCCCTGCTTGACCGGGTTGTCGGCCGGTAGACGCAGCAGACGCAGAGTAAAGGCGCGCATGATCGCCGGCTGTAGCGTCGCGTTGGCCATGTGGAACCAGTACAGGTAGTCGGCGTAGGCGGGGTGGGTGGGCGGTAGGGCGAGACGGCCTTGGCCGTGGCGGTGGATGATGTATTCGACGATTGCGGAGCTTTCGGATAGAAGAAGCTTGGGAGAAGAAGAAGAAGAAGAAGTAGAGGTTGAAGTAGCGGTTGAGTCTTCAATCACCGGAGCGGCGCCCAGTGGTGTTAGTGCTTTCAGGTCCGGCGGTGATAGGAGAGGATCGCGTTTGTAGTATTTCACCTCGTAGGGGAGGGAGAGTTCTTCGCAGAGCCAGAGGACTCGTTCGCTCTGGCTGCGTTGGAGATGGTGGATGGTGATCATTTTTATGACTTGTGGTTGGATGTAGATGTGGATGTGGATGAGACGGGATAGGATAGGATAGCTTTGTTTCTGTTGAGGAGGAGTGTTGAGTGTTGAGATGGAAGAGTCAAGGTAAGTGTTCTAGATGAGGATGAGTCTGATACCCTGTAGAATGAAGACGAGGACGAGGATGAAGGTTGAAGGTTGAAGGTTGAAGGTTGAAGGTTGAAGGTTGAAGGTTGAAGGTTGAAGGTTGAAGGTTGAAGGTTGAAGGTTGAAGAGCGAAGACTGAAGGTGAAGATGAGGTAGAAAAGGGAAATATATACTTTGATACTCAAGTCTAGAGTAGATATCCATCCATTTCAAGTAGACATACAGTGTGGATATGGATAGGTGGATAGATAGATAAGATGCTGCATTCCCCCATTGATTGTCGTGGTCATAGTCATAGCTGTTGTCAGTATTGATGTTCAGTCTCCTTCAACTTCTGATCCTAACTTTCGTCGTTTTCTCCTCGTCCTCGTCCATTGATATTTCTGTACATATATTAGGTACCTAATATGATATGCGTTCATTGCTTGCTTGACCGTCTGAGATATACATAACCCCCCCGTCAAGGTAAAGCTGTATCTATCACATCAAAGACAAGACCCGGTGTGACAATCAAGTTGAGTTATGTAGTAACAACTGCCTTATGCATACCTTAGAGTGCGCTGTGCAGAGGATATATTTGTCAGGAAGATGTCAGCCTGCAGAGTAGATGCCATGTTTTCATCCATCTTATCCATCTTATCCATCTTATCCATCTTACTGGTACTAGATACCTAGGTAGGTATCGACTAATAGTATCGCCTGATACTGGTCATGTACCTACCTACAGAGTAAATTGTCTAGCGGTCTGTATTAGGCTTGATAAGGATTGATTATGCTTAAATTATGCTTGATAATATTGAATAGATTAGGCACTGTACCTCAGGTGGTAATGTATTATTACTAATGATACCTCGACACAACACTGCATTGGGTACCTAGAGACCTCTATACCTTAGGTACTCACCCTCACCAATCTTCTCAATCTCATCAACGCCATCGAGTCATCACAGCACATATTCCTTGTTCAGAATATACGTTGGGATGTACGGAGTCGTCGGAATCTCCCCGAAGATTTATATTCTGCATCGGATCAACTGTCTTCTTCCAGGCAGCAGGGACAGCATAGGCAGCAGGGCATCTATCTATTTACATGGAAGATACCCACCTAACCTGAGGTATTTACCATGGCGCTTAGCAAGTGCTACTGCTAGGTGCCTGTCGTGGGTCTGCCTGGTCGAGTTCACCCCAGGCAGAAAGTCTGAATACGGCCGTCCCCTTCTTCACAATGAGTCACAACGAGAGAGGGAACAAGACGGTGCATTTTGACTTGACTATCTATAGGTAGGAAACCAAGCTCCTCAAGGCAAGGTCCCGGGCTCCCAGCCGACTGACGAGTTCACCACCACGCTGACCTTGACACATCCTCGTCCAGTCTGGGCCGCCCTTCTGTCCATGATCATTCTTCAATGTATCAAAACCCGTCTGCTGGCCCCTGCAAGTTGATCATCGACCTGCTCAAACTTCCCATCCTGTGGCACACAAGCCAATCCGCTCTTCCTCGCCATTAGAATCGACGTCCCATTCCCAATCCCAATCAGCCCATCCGTCTTCGCTTGGAACCGCATTGACCATTTCAACATCGCTGTCATCCTCATTGGCGGTATAGTACGCTTCCTCTGCTTCGTCTTCGGCGGCATGATCTTGATTGTCTTTGCTATCGGTGATTTTGTCAACAGTCCCAACGGCAGACAAGGCTGGGTCTTGTTTAGTATCGGTCTGACCCGCCCCATTGACCTTTTGGACGGCATTATCGAATAGCCGGTCCATGAGTGCTCGTGACGCCTCATGACTGGATGACTCGCCAGGGGTTTCCGGGTCTATTGGATGACTCAAGCCTTCCAACCACTCAGCCATTTTGGAGACCTTCTTCTCTTCAGATTGCTGGCTATCCAACCGAGCTTGCAGCAGACGAGAAACATGTGGAGCACTGTCAGAACCATCGGCTTTCGGAGACCACCCAGTGAGTTGGTGCCGACCGAGTTTCGCTGATACAAGGTCTGTACGGTTGCCTGCATTATGATATGCAACCTTCTCTGTGGTATTGTCAGGATTGAGTGAAAGTGCTGCACCGTGTATCTTCAGACATTTGACAGCATCATAAGTGGTGCTGGGAAGCTGTTGACCGTCGGGAGTGAGCGCTTGTTCTTTAGCACGGTCGAGCTCCTCATATGGGTGTGTTTCGTTGCAAAGCATGCTAGAGATGGTAACTCTGGTCTTGACAGGCTCATCACCACTGGCAGCTTGATTTGCCCAAGGTTGGACAATATTGTTCGCACTGTGACCGGAAGAAACGGTGTCCTCAACAAAAGCCGAGGGTAGAATCTTTGGAAACACCACAGTATCGTCAACGGTTCGTCCCGTCTGACAGACTTCCAGAAGTGGATTGGGATATGGTAGACTTGGCCACGCAAGATTACCGATGCCGGGACGACATGGACGAGGCACCACAAATTGACCGATATTCGGGTGACCGGATTGGTCTGATGGATACCAGTTATTGGTGCTGTTCATAGCCCAGGATGGATTTCCCATCGTTGGATATTGGTCACGCCGGGTAGTTATGTACTGTTGCGGCCCTGCATCTTCCAGCAGTCTGTCCGTGTCTCCTGAAACCCGGTAGCTGGTAAAGTCTGGCTCGGGCCTAGGCTGGCTGTAGGCCAATTCGAAGCGGGGGAAATCGCGTTCTATGGATATCGCAAGCCGTTCTCCGCTCTGCGTGTGATATAGTATTGGACTTGGGATCTGAATGCCATCCAAGTAGCCTGATTGATATCGGTGAGAGTCTTCTTCCCTGACCGGCCCTGGATACGAGTCGGGAAATCTGACTCGCGGAGCAGCATCCGGAGTCGTGGGTATGGAGGGCAGCACAGGCGACGTAGGTCTCGAGGTATCTGCACCAGTATCCCTTTCAGACGGCTTCCTCACCGCGAACAAACCTCTTCCCGTCTTGGTTTCGGGACCTTTCGCTGAAGAATCTGGGTCAGGATGCATCAAGGCTGCGCAGCCCGGCGGCGAATTTGTGATTCCGGAATACGGGCCTTCAACAACTGCTGTAGGGTCGGTCACGTCAAGATCAAGGAGCGAGAAATGGTTATCTGGCACGAGTTAGAGACAACGAAAAAGAAAACCAGTTCCAGGACACCAGCATACCATTAAGCGAGACGCCGTGTCCCACCCAAACTTCTTCGTCCAGATGATAACCCTGGTCTTGACAATCGTACAAGCATTCTTGTAGGTTCAGCGACTCTTGGTCTCGGAGCCGTCTTCGCTTCGCCGGGCGTCGACTGGGAGGAGCGGGAGATGGCTGTCGCTGGAAACGTCGAGCGTGGGACCGTCGTCTACGGGTTCGACGGATTCTTCTGTGGACGGTCGAGCCCTGAGCAGCTGGCGTGAATGTAGGCATTGGAAACAATCTGTGTTAAGTACGGATATGTCTTGAATTTGTTTAGGGCTGTAGGGAGCTGAAAACGCTTGTAGGAGTGTTGATTGCAGATACTATCCTCAGTATTGGATGTTCGAATGAAATAGTCTTTGTTTGCGCTCCTTCCGTTGTATTTGTGTTTGTTGCGCAAGACCGACCGACCGCACCCACAAAAAGGGAAGTCGCACAATCTCGTCAACAGCAGTATCGTAGGAGTACTTGGCTGTTGAGATGAGGCTTGAAACCATTCCAGGGTGTGCCTCAAGACCAGTGCCAGTCTCGGTCAGACAGCACTTCTCGAGGCCGCCGGCTTCCCCTTCAGGATGTCGACCGAGACCTGTTCAGATTGTTCACCCAGACCCATGTCTCTTTCATGTGCCTCTCTCACTCTCCGTAGAGCCCAGAAATTATAGATGGCAAAGAAGAACCCAGCGGCTCCAACGCAAGCACCGGTGACAATGGCGGTGATTTTGGCCGTCACACTCCAGATTCCTTTCTGGGCCGTGTAGACATTCACAAGCGTTGTGATCAAGCCGGCGACCGAGTTGAGCGTGACAGGTCTATATGTTCGTCAGTCAGTGGCACGAGTGCCGATTCAGAGATAGGACTTACAAGAAAATCCGGTTGATGAGCCAGATGTAGTTCTGACGCCAGCGGAACCAAAGCCAGAGACATCCTAGCCCTCCGACGACGCAAAAGGCCCCAGCAAGCCACAAGAGACCTATATTGGCGACGGTGTGTACAATAGCATGGGCCACTTCATTGCTATCATCGTCGTCCAGGTCTTGGAATGTTTTTGTTCTCTTGAACGTCGTAAAAGTGCCCGGGACCACGAGGAATCCGGCCAATATGATCCAGCTGAACAGCGCAGCCACTATGTTGTACGTACTGGAGATTTCGTCTAGATGCAAGAGCATCTCCATGTACTTGGTCTGTGCGGAAGGTAGTCGCGTCAATGTAGGCTTGGGTGGTGGTGATTGATCTGATCCGTTGGGCGTATTGGAGTGGTTGACGTCTCCAAGATGGATCGAGGATGAGGTCCCAGAGTTCGAAATATATGATTCGGTACCGACAACGGGCCCTTTCTCGTAACGTGGACCATCCTTCCAATCGTCAGAGTCGGGTGGGAAAACGTGCTCGCGTCCCCTGGATTTCTCGGAGCGGTCGCGGTCCATATTGAACATGGTACTTGAGGTGTAATGTTATCTTCGATGGTGTTTGGCGGAGGTGGGAAGAAATAAGAAGCGTAGATGCCAGAGGGATGGGGTTCGAAACGCAAGAGACGACAAGTAAGTGCGGGAGAACTGAGAGAGGCAGCAAACCCTTTCGAGGTGGACAAAGAAAGAGTCGGTGCAGAATATAAGATTCAACATGGCTTTGTTCGAGATCCAAACATAGACACAATGGGGCTTCACTAACAGTCCAAGGTGAATCTAAGACAAACGGCGTGACACACCAGTGAAAGAGAACGCCCATACCGTCAATACCTACCTAAGCATCATAGGCCTCGACCGCGACGACGCAGATCGATGGACATTAACTTGAGACAATCCAGAGATTGCCGGCAACTTGCTTCAAAGTGCCTACATATTGCGCGACCCGGTGTAGCAAAGTCCTTCTCTTGTCAGGTGATAAATGGCTCGATGGAGGTTGATTGATGATGAACAACAGCTGGCCCGCTCAGCGCGATGGACGTGTTTGATAAACGACGATGTCGCCTCGCCGACAGACCAGCCGATTGGAGATCGAACGAGGTCGGCACCATGCCTCTGAAACAGGGCTGGATCCTGGCGCGCATGGGCGCTAGATGAAGTACGATCTGGGCAACGAGGCGCGCTGTATGAGGTCCCAGTTCCAGTTCTAGTTTCAGGACCAGGTTGATGAGATTTACGGCGTCAAATTTCAGGCGAGTGGGAGAGAGTGGTCGAAGACACAACCTCGTCACATGATCTCAGACAGCCACGTGCTTGAAATGACCAGAAGTGTGCTTCATCAAACCATGTCATTTATGTCATTCTAACGTCTATCTTAAGCCCTCCCTGTGCTCCCATTTCTTCAAACATGAGAGACTCAGAGGTCCGTGTTTCGATTTGCCCCATTCCGCCGTGGTCAATATGCCACTCCTCAGGAGACCGCTGAACACATCAACATGGCAAGGCCGGGTATCACCATCGCTGCCCAGTTTCTGAGGGCAAGCACCAGCAATCTGTCTGCCAACGCCGTACCCGAAGCTTTGTATCCTCTTATTCGAAGACCGCTTTGCCGAACTCCCAAAATCAAACCTTCTTTAACCTTGTGTCCCACATCCCTCTGTCCGCGCTGTGTCTAGGGTATCTCGTTACAGCGAGAGATCAAATCTGATCCTCGGTATCAACAACCGTGATGTCAACCACGTCCGGAGCCCTGTCCTCAGATGGATTGTCCATACAAGGCAGAATAGATTTGACGACGGTCGTTTCGCTCTTTGCTCTTGGAACAAACCACAATTGAACAACTCCGACAATGGCCACTGCGCCGGCACTCCACCAAGCCAGACCTGTAAACCCAATCCTTGAACCCCAACTGTAGAGCAAACCCGCAATCGGCGGGGAAACAGTGCGACAAGCTGCACCGGCCGAAGCGGCCAGCCCATTAATCCGTCCCAGCAATGAAAGAGACGGACTCGCTTGCTTCAGCAATATCAAAATAACCGGATAATCGAGAATCGACAGAAGATTGCGGATGGTGAGGCAAGTGTAGATGCCTGGGTAGAGTAGATTCTGCGGCAGAAGAGCAAGGTAAGGCACCATGAAAAATGCCACCGGATGCAAAAGAGTGACGAACACAAAAGTCCGCCAAATGCCCAGCCGCTCCGCAGCGAGTGGGAAAATGACAGCTTGGATGAAAAGTGCGATAACACCATTGACAGACAAGATGACACCAACGTCCTTCGTGGACAGGCCCAATCCGCCCGGGATATGGACAGGACTGGCGCCCGACACGGTGACGGGGATGCGCTTGTCTTGAAAGAAAATCGGGAGAAGGTGGTCGTAACACATGGAGTGGTAAGTGTAGATACTAAGCGCGAGGGTCAACATGGCCACCTTCTTGGTTAGCCATGTCTGACGGCTCTTTTCCGACAACGAGGGGGTTCGGGAGGTGCCGTCTGGATTGAGTTCCCAGTGCTGGGTCCTGGGCATGTCGACCTCGTTGAACGTTCCGAACGAGTCCCGTCTCAGGTCAACGCCAGGGTCAGCCGTAGCTCCAGCGGCGGTGATCATGGGCGTCTGTTCGGTCACATCATGGTGGACCGTCGAATCAACTCCCGGCTGGAAATCTGGATGAGTCTCTTGAAGCCAAAAGAACCCACTTATGATACTGATGAGCATGAAACTGGCACAAACTAGGTTGGGCAACAGCCATGGATATCGACCAAAAAAGCCATCTCTTGAAAAGTGGTTTGGATACGACTTTGCCGGGTCTGCGAGGAGACCACCGATGGCAGGACCTATAATCGTGCCAATTGACCAGACAAAAGGCATGATCGAATAGGCCTTGGCCTCATATTCCGGGTTGGTGACCAGTTCGCCCACAATGCTCTGGATGACGCCTGCTATTGTTAGTCTATTGGCCTGTTCCATCTTTTGTTCTGTGAAGGTTACCGATATTTCCATTCAACGCTCCGCCGATGATTCTTCCGGTCAGGGCCATGGCAAAATTGGTGGAGAATCCGACCATGAGGAGGGATAGCATGGTGCCGAAGCAGCCGAGAAGCAGCACCGGTTTTCGGCCAACCCGATCCGAGAGGCCGCCCCAGAAGAGGCTTGTGAGGGATTCGGAGAAGGAGAAAGAGGCGATGAGGATGCCCGCGTAGAAGGAAGAATCATCCATTCCAAAGCCCTTGACCATGAGCCAGGCATAAGGAAAGATGGCGGTGATGGCGATGGGTTCTGCTATACGACATATTGCTGCAGATCACAGATCACAGGTCAGTGGGAAGTGGTGGGTTGGAGGAAGTCTGGGTTGGTACTGACATAAGATGAAGAATTGAGTGGCAGGGAGACCGCCGTTGTCGGGGATAGTATTGGTCTTTTTGCGTGTAAGTCTCATCTTCTGAAGGATTTCTCAGTCTCTTACGACCTGTCCTCCGACCGCCCGTAGCCTTGGGTCACGGATAGGGAGGCGTCGAGTCAGAAAGAGCGATGTGTTCGTGATTCCACTAGAGAGGTTGTTGTTGTGGAGATGATGAGAGAGGTGTCCCAGGACGCGAATCCGTTCAGTTATGCGGCATATGACAAGAGAGAAATAAAAAAACAAGGGAGCAAAGAAGAGACAGTGGAGGAGAGAAGTGAAGATGGCAGGCAGGAGAGGTAAGAGGCAGATCAGATCTGATTGCAGGGGGCAGAGTGCGCGAAGGAGGTGCCGAGATCGCGGTCAGACTTTTGGAGGCACAATAGCTGATCTGTTTGAAGTCCAGACTGCATAGCACCGCCAGGAATGATCCTATTTCTGAGCAAGGACAAGTTCTGGAGGAAACTGTGACATTCAAGAGTTCAAGACCTCGCACGGTTGGAGATTCATGCAGTGTAGATGGCAAGACACTACGAAGGCATCTAGTGCAGGTACCTTACTCACTGCATCAGGCACTGGCACTGCATTCCCCCGGCCAGGAGAGAACGATGATGAAGTTGAAGGTGCAGCCAGCATTTTAAGGCGGGGAATTGAGATAGTGAGCAAATCACTGGCCACAAACCTACTAGTAGTATCCACTGTCCGCAGATCCGGGGGCGGTGAGGGTCAGCATGAGGTTTCATTGGCTAGAAGGATCGAGATAGCGGCCGTTGGGGAAGCCATCCACATGCACATCGTCATACTAGTAAGTCCGGGCATCGGTGACGAGATGCGGTTACTACTAGTACTACTACTACTAGTCGTTGTCCCCCCTTACATCTGCCCTGCACTGCAGTGGAAGCAATTAGTTTCCTTCCTGTTGTTCCTGACCGCCATACTACTACTCAGGTTGTATGCAGGCGACATCTCAAGTTACACCACTAATACCATCCATCAGTCTTTTCAGCGGTTATCGTCCCGAGAGTCGAGGAGCATCCCAGAAGCAGGTACAACAAAGGTAAAATATCGACTAGAATATTCAAATATCGACTAGAATATTCAAATATCGACTAGAATATTCTGCCCGTTGTTTACCAGGTATGCCAGGTGTTCACGGCTCAAACCCCAGGCGATGATAATGTGGTGGCGCTTCTCGATCAGGTCACAACTCTGACGACATCTAAGAGTTGCAGATGAAATGCCCAGAACTCACATCCATGCGCGATCCCGATCAAGGTTCTCTTTTCGCGAGTCGGTGAAAGTATCTTGGCCTACACCGCAGCCGGGTTCAAGGGCGTCAAAATAATACCGGCAGAATTTGCCAGGTACTAGGTAGGCATCTCGACATGAATGGCGGCATGGGCCTTTGGCCCGAGTCCAACTAGACCTGAGCTGACTGATTAGGTTGAATAAGACGATGTAGAACGGCTGCTCGAGATATTTCTCCTGTCAGGCCCTGCCCCGGGCGTGCCAGTCGTATAGGGAATAATTGCAACAGCCTTGCATAGCCTTACCATAGTACAACGTGATTCTACAACGTACGACCAATTCACCAACCCTCCCACCCGCCAACCGAATCCTACATATCCGTCAACTCCTTCTCAGTCTCTGTACCCTCACTGACTGCTGCATGCTTCTCAGAGTTCTCCGGCCGCTTCATCTGTAATCCAAGGTCCAACTCTCCACGTAAAACCTGGATCAACTTCAATGCCCCATCCTGACCTGCCGCTGTATTCTTTCCTAGGTCGTACACCACGTTGACCAGTGCCAGAGATGCCACAAAGAGCCATACATCACCTCCACGGATCCCCCTCCACCACCCATGTTTGACGCCTACCTTCCACAACGAGGCCACGCTGGTCCGAGCAGCATACATCGAATTCATGTGTCCTGCTGGGGTGCGATCAAACAATTGGAACAGTCCCGCAAGTAGCCCGCCCAAGAAGAAGCGGAACTTTGGGAGGAATGCACGCGGGAAAATGGCCTGAAACAGGCAGATGCTGCCCCACGCCGCGCCAATCGAGCCCGATACGGCCACCGTCGACCTCAGAATGGACTCGGACAATTCGTTGATGGAAGTCACAGGCGAACTCATAAACCCTCTGAACCGTATCAGAGCGAACGCTCCATAGTACATCGTGTAGAACTTGGCCATCTGGGGGAACGCGATGAGATTATGTCGTAGATATGCCATGAAGCATGACGGGTCTGATGGGTGGATCAGAGCACACGAGAGCTTGTGGATGCCAGGATGCGCGCGAGAAGTGACGGGGGAGATGATAGGATTGATCCCCGCCGGCAGCGTGTTCGGGTTTGTGGGTTGGAGAATGGGTGACATGAACGGCGGCCACTTTAACCTGGCCATGTCACCCAGGGCGTCCAGAATGTCGTCGGGTCGAGGCCAGCTCACCTTGGGCGAGAGGCTGTCGGGTGGACGCTGGATGTATTCAGGTGTATAGCCGAGAACAAACGACCCGTAGGTCGCCGGAAAGCAATCTCGGTCGAACACAAATGCATGCAGCAATTGGCCTTGAGCCAGAGTAAACAGAACCCAACTCCCGAGCCACGAGGGTTTGTTGGCCATCAGCTTCGTGTGCTGGATGGCAGCGTACCCAATCTCCAGCGCCCGAGTGGCTACATATATTGCCGCCGTGACTCTAAGCTGGTCGGCGGGACAGATACCCAGAGCCAGTCCCGACAAGCTGGCACCAACGGCTGGAGCGATGCGAGAAGTCAGTGCCGCGTAGATCTTGGGGTATCGCTCTTGAATGCTTCGAACTTTCTCATGGAGGAGTCGCAGTCTTAGACGTGCAAGCATCCGGAAGAGCACTGCATGCAGGAAAAGAAGCGATGACAACGACAATGCCAGTCTGGTTTTCGACGCCACTATTGGCTGTCTTGCCTTGGAGCCAGTCTGAGTCTGAGATTTGCGAGATGCGAGGCGCGACAAGATAAGCTCGATCGTCTTCAAGGACCCCAATGTAGCCACGAACACGCGCGAGGCTGAGCGAAATGCGGCGGCGTTATGGTCGTCGCGTCGGACCCCAGAGTCTGGGTCACTGTGCGTCTCCCGGAGAGTCGGATCCCCTTTGCCATCACGCCGAATTTTGGCTGACGCTCGGAGGACATGTTTTCGGATAAGCTCATACTCTCGCTCGTTCAGCACAAAGCGAAGAGGTCGTGGCTCAGATGCCATTGCTCGAAATACTCTCAGCGATGGGGCTGGGCTTGACAATCAATGTGTCGGTACACGGCCGGCCCGAGATGGACAAGGCTTGCACGCGCCTCTAACTCCCATGTCCGAATGAGACTATGAGGAAGAGGGTGTACTTCGATGGAGAAACCAGAACAATCAGGTAATGCCGTGGAAGCGATGATGCTGAAAACAAACCGAATCCTGAAGCTGCCTCGGCTGACACGTGAACTCGCCATTAGCTCTCTAGCTCGTTGCGGGGAAACTGCTCCAAATGGATTATTTGCTCCACGGTTTATTTCTCCTTCAGAGTACAACTCCAATCAACCGCAATATTGCGCATGCGCAAGGCTCGACCATCCACGTCCGACACCTCGACCTTGAATGCGACAGTCAGTTGTCAATTGTCCAACACCGGGAGCCGGAGCCTCGCGATGCTCCTCCCACCGCGCCTAGCGCTGTTCGCCCTCCTGGCCCTCCTCGGACCGTCCTATGCGGCAAAGTCTGTGGCCGCATCTTTCTGCAAATGCATCTGCTTCAACAACAGCACGATTATAGCCCTGAACCCACCGACGTCCTCGACACAGGCCTCCTCCCTCCACAGACTCGACATACGCTCGTCACCTGGCGACACGGCCCTGAATGCCGATTCATCATATACCTACGCCGATACCCGCCGGGACGTCTGGAGTGAATACTCACCAAATCACGCGGAGAAAGACAGGAGAAGTCCTGCGTCAGGGGACAGCGAGAAAGAGGATGGGGACGAGGCCAAAACGCCCTCGACGGGACACTCGCGCCCACACCACAAGCTGACCTGCACGGACTGCACGCGCGCGTTCTGTCTCGACTACAATCTGCCTATATGCAAGAACGCGCGTGAGGAGGATGTGTTCACCACGTGTTTCCGTAAGTCATCTATCTCCTCTTGCCCTCTCGGAAACCCCCTACTAGTACATCCCGACCATGCCCTGTGTTTGCCTCAGCGGGCTTTACGTGTCAAGGCAGATCTATTGCCAAGATTGTCTTTCGCACAGAGGAGATCTGGACAGTGAGACTTTCTCTCCAAGAGGCTAGAGGCAGGCCCATCTGAACACGACCGTCGACCATTTCCTCCCCTGGAGAAAAGACAACTCTCCAAACCCGGATCAAAAGAGCCTCGTTCAACGATGCGAGTCTGTATCCACCTCCCACAAACAACAAAACATACCTCTCTCTCTCTCCCGTCAGAATCCACAGTTCTCGACTTCAAGAGCCACCTCTGCACCCATCTCTTCCCTATCTCCTTTTCACCTGGTTTCCCATTCCACATACCGAAGCAAACACACCCACTCATTTAATCTTCTCTTTTTCCATCCAGAACGTGATTCCCTCAAAGACGAAACGGTGGTGGTCGTCTTCATCTTCGCCACCGCTGGCCTCCTCGCATGGGCCCTGGTCAAGCCATGGATCGACCGCCTCCGAGACCGCTCTCCGGCATTCATCCCGCTTACGCAACAACCCAACGATGATCTTGCCAGGACAGGACAGACCGCTCGTTCGCGATTGAACCGCAATACATTGCATGGCGCCGGTGGAGGAGCTACGGCTACAACGAGTGGCAGTGGCAATGACAATGCCATCGGCGGTGGGAACGGGAGTAGGAGCCGAAGCGGCGAAGGAATGGGACCCGGTCAAGGGATCAGCCTCCCAGCAGCAGCAGCAGCAGCAGCTGCTCCCACAGAAGGACTGCTGTTCTCGGATCCGTCCGCTTCCTATTTTTCCGAGTCTCCACCACCACACTACGGCAGACCCGGGAATGGACTACTACAGCAAGTCCATGCAGACCACGATGCCGTTGATATTGTATCGTCTGGATCGGGGGTTTGACAGTACTAGAAAGGCAATAACACTCACACTTTTCGGACAGACCATTTCCTTTTTGTTGCCCTCCTGCCTGACGGTGACAATTCCATGTCCCCCACACACAATTCCCTGCTTCCCTCGTAGTAATGCAGGTAATCTAGTCACGTCTATTTCAAACCCCAAAAATACCGAGAAACTATAGGTACCTCAGCCAAGATACCTTAGATACCTACGGTAGCAAACTCTTTTTACTCGAGCACCTGCTACCATGATCTCACGCTCACACACTGTCGGACACACAGAGGTTGAAGTCTCGTAGTTGAACTTTATCTCTTTTCTTCATAATCATTACACATTCGATGCAGTGCTGCTGCTGCTCGTCGTCTTCCATGAGGATGTAGACGTGGAAGTGGAAGTGGATGCCTTGATACCTTTGCCTGTTGCGAGCCATGAATCCAAGCCCCCATTCCATCCGTGCATCCATCCATCCATATTTAGTTCAACTATTAGTGGCAGCAGAGACCGTCAAAGCTTCATTCAATATGGCGTCAATCGTCCGGCCTGTCGTGGACACCTGTTGCCCGTCTTCCGCGGGTGAAGGTGACGAATAACCGGACCTAGCTGTTTATGCCGCCTCAGCTCCTTGAATTAGACCCGCAGTTGCAAATTTGACACTGTTCCCGATTTTTGGTTTCCCTTTTCCGTGACCCCATTAACACCCGAAGCTCCCAAGCCCCATCCCGTGCCATGCAATGCCATGCCGTGCCATTGTGCTGTGCTGTTCTGGAATCAAACATAAAGAAGCACACAAGCTCGCCTGCTGAAAACGAACAAGGAACAAAAGAGGAAAAAAAAACTGTCGCTCATTCACACTGAGATCTGTCGTGATCAATTATCGTGCCCGTCACCATCACCGTATCGCGCAGTAATGCTGTTCAGGGGCCGTTAGGTGTCCTGCTTGGAGAGCAAGAAACCGACGCGATCTCTGATGAGAACTGTCCCCTTAAGAGACTCTCGCAATCCAACGGGTTCCCACAGGGACGAGTTTTGCATGCGTTCTCGATTCGGGAAGGATTGCGCACTTATGACTTTCTGACGGCGTGTCTCCCGCTCGGCTACAACTGCTGCCATCAGCTTGGCGGATGCAGGGTTGCCACGTGCACGGAGGAGCTCGTTGAAGAAATTGAGATTCTCGAAATCGACGTTGAGAAGTATGTTGGACGCCACAGTGTCTGGGTAGCTGGGTGTGATGGGCGCGGTGTCGGATTGTGGCGGAGAAGGAGACATGGAGCCAAAGACCATGGATGCCAATGCAGGATTGAATCTCGGACGGCCATCATCCAACTGTGGGAGACGTGGTGGGAAGACGGTGGAGGGGTTGTTGACGTCGAGGACAAACTTGTCTACGTCGATGTTGTGGGCCAGAAATTGTAGGACTTGTCGGATGACCGAGTTACTGGCCACGAGATAGTCCGTTCCGGTCATGTGCTTTCCAACCGACAGGAGCGGGGAGTTTCCAAGCTCCAGCGCATGTTTGTAGGCGGCCTCGACGACATCCCATTTCAGATATTTGGCCAAGAGGGTCTCGGCACAGACCGACACCGGTTCGAGTCCAAGCTCGATGCCAGCCACCCAATAGGACAATATGTAGTCCAGGTTGTGTAGTCTCGTAGCATGATGGTCTGGTCCAGGCAGGACGTCGAAGAAGAAGTTGTCCGACAAGACGGTATCCGAGTACAAGAACCGTAGTGCCGCTTCAAACGCATGCGGGAGAACCTGACAGGCAGGAAACAAAGTGACGAGATTGGCAGCATAGGTTTCCCCCTTCTGGCGGTCCATCAATTTGCGCACGCGCAGGCTACGACACACGATGAGAGAGTGAGCGAAGGTGACGAACGGTTGCCCAGTCGGTGGGCTGACTTGGATAGCCCAGTCCGCTCCTTCCTTGGTGGAAGCGATTGAGAGCAAGTGATCGGGGAGACCCACCAGAGCGTTGAAATGTCTGGGTACAGGTGTAGGACGACTGGATGTAGCAGTCGAGGCTGTCATAGGCGGATCGACGCCGTTCGTGGACGGTCCATGGAGCACAGACGATGCAGTTGATGCTGGACCCGGTTCGTACGCAGCGTGGATCTGGGACTGAGACACAGGCGACCCGCCGTTTTCTGCTTGCAACACTGGCTGTGTACCATTCACGATGTCGTGGTCTGCCAACTTCTCGGCGGGAGGAGAAAATCCTACTGATGGACCAGGGCCGGACAAGGCTCGTCGACTTCCGATACTAGTCGTCATACTCAGTGGTGCAAATGACTGACTGTATGGTGCAAAGGTAGGATCTGTGACAGCGCCGCCGCCGTCTGGGTCGCTCCCTGTCATTTCACCCTTGGACTCTGGAACAGGAGTGGGCATTGTGTCCTTGTCAGTCAACCCGACTTCAGTGTTGCTGACTGGTTCATTCTCGGTTGCGGCAGCTTCTTTCTTGCTCAGTTCGGCATCTTTGGCAGGCTCGGTTGCTGGTTCTTGGGGCGCAGGCGAGTGGTCTTGGGTCGGAACGGAGGATGTGTCTGAGCTCAGTCAGTCAAGTGAGGCTTGCTGAGATTGGGATACGAAACTGACCTGTAGGCGCAAAGGCTTCTTGGTGCGCAAGGGACTCATCTGAAGATTGGGTTGGTCGTCGCGCACTAGAGAGTGAGAAAGATTCATTTGCTGTTTCGGCCAGCTGAGGGTTCGCGACAGTTTGCGCGGTGGAACTCTCTTTAGTTTCTTTGACCTCTTGTTGTGCGACAGGCTTGGTCTTGCTTGTCTTTGCGCTGGTGCGAACTGGCAAGATCGGCAAGGCTGGCTGAATCATTCGACCATACTGATTTCCAGCCCGATGGTTGTTGCTAGACTTTGAAGCCATGTTCAGGGGGACTATGGCGCAGAGAAATGGCAGCGACACCAGATCATGGAGAAGAGGATGAGGTGAAATTCGGAGGAGAGCGAAAGGCTAGAGGTGAAGGGGAGAAAAGAGCCAGCCAGAGCTGTTCCCAAGGACAGCATACACCACAGTTGAAGGGTATGTGAGCAGGGAGAATACAAAATAATGATATTAGGGACGTCCCTCTGTCGCGCGAGAAGGAGGATTTGGAAGTAATAGTGATAGAATGGAATAGTAGTTTGGTAGCTATGACTGCGATCAACTTTCTGCCAGTGTGAGTGAGGCTTTGTTGGAGTTCTTTCGTCAATCTTCTCCGCACTGCCATGCCAGTGCCATTCGACTGGCCAGCTGCAGTGCTGCTGACACACTGTCAGCCTTGCCAAGCATGGAGAATCACGTGGATAACACAAGGCTCTATCGGTCGGAGAATTGATTTTCCGTGTCTACGTGATCACCTCATCCATACCTAACTCTGTAAAGCACTCGGACAAAGACACACAACACTGCCTCACAGGATACCTACCTGGTAAGCACTGTTCTGAAAGGCAGTCTCATGTATCGGACAACTCACGCTGAACGTGACAATGTGCTATCCCTCTCGCTTTGTAGTGCACTATGTGAACGAGTTGTGTGGAGGTGTGAAGCGCCATTGATGAAATATAACGCTAAATGCTTCTATAGGTAGATACTCCTGGGGAAAGGAAACGCTAAGACCCTCGGACAGCATTTTGCCTCAAAGAAGTTTCGAGTCCCTTGCATTCGAGGACTTGCCGGAAAATATTTTCTCTAGACAGGTCGGACTGACCATGTCGGCAGATGAGTACCGGCAGAATTTCCGGAGCCACTGTCTGTGCAGAACGCTTGTGACAACTTGAACGACAACCCAACCAAAACTACCGAACGTATGGGGAATCAGAGCTAGAACAGGGCCTTTCTGACGAGGGCCCGAGGCTGCGATTCGTGCATAGAGGGGCACACTTTTCAGGTGATAATTGCACGGCCAGAACGATAGTGAGCCAAACAGATTAAGGACGTCGTGCCCGGGCTGAGGTTTCATGAAAGCGAGAGTCATGCAGCGAGGGTATGTAGCCTTCAATCACCCAATTCTCCGAACTAATGTTCGCTTAGTTCCATGTGGGCGACGGGGCGTTATTGACGACCGCTGACAGCAGCAAATTGTCCGGTGATGAGAGGGCCATGCAGACGGCGCACCATATTTACGTACGCACTTGTGATGCAGAAACAGAGCAAGGGCTGCCGACAGCCGAGGGCGTCATTCGCTAATTTCAATGGCGAGGTCCGGTGTCAAGACACGTCAAATTGATGCCAGAAATTGATCATGATGGATGGATGATGGTGAAATTGAACAGCGCGTGGATCCCTGGACGAGATGACAGTATAAGCGGGGGGATGCTGGTACGCACCACAGTATATGGAAACATGATCCGCAGCAGAGTTTAGGCCTCTATCAAACCACTGATAGCGGGAATATCATTGCACAGCCTCAAGCCTGGACTCGATGCGGGAAGAAGATTGCAGTCGCGCTAGAGATACACGCTTGGTGACGACGGTGGCCGGATGGAAATTGAGGCCAGCTTCAGGACGCGTCTCAAGTCGCGTTTTGTTTACCAACCTACGTCAGCGAGGCTTTATCAGTCCGAGGTCCCCGGCTGCATGATATTGGCGGAAGGTTATAGGCGCGTTTCAGACCGAGGAAAGAGGATAAGCAGTAGTACCTACCTAACCTAGATAGTGTAGGTGTATGTACCATGTAAGGTAGGTATGTAGAAATGTAGATGGTATGGGCCGTGTAGTCTGACCAGACAGCTGCTGAAAGAGAAGGCAAGTGACAATATGAGAGACATACCGAGCTACATCTACCATAGAACTCCATCACACTGTCAAGTAGTAGTAGGCGCACTGACACTGGAAGCAGGAATACACTGTAGCTAGGAGAATTCTCTCTTCGATTGGCCGAAGAATAGTATAGAGAAGGCATTGACGACAGAAATAAAATCCGAAGAGGAAAATTGGCAAGATGGGGTCGAGACAGTGAGTGGCCAAATTGGCACAATCACAAAACATGGAGATAGAGTTCAAGTGGATGCGGGACAATTTCGCAAGATTTCAGGTTGCAGGGGGGAGGGCACAGGCGTTATAGGCGGTACAGGCTCTGATTTGATGGCTCCCTAGGCTCCTGGTAGGCCGTGGCACCCCTAACCAGGCTTAAGGTTGTTCCCGGGCGCCGCAGAAAGACGCCAGACCTGTCAGTTGCAACGGCGCACTGGTAAACCAGCATCTGCAGGGGCTGGAGAGGCCCTGGGGCGTATCTTCTACAGCCAATAATAAATCATAGGGTTCAAATTATTGTTCAGGGCATTTACTAGCTGTACTGATGGGTACAAGTATCAGGTACGGGTAGGTAGGCATATTCATATGGTGTTCCTTTCCATATGTCAATCCGAAATTCTCCTCAGGCTCCAAGTAACAAAAGTATACCAATGCTGATTTACAAGCTGTTATCAAGCGAGAGCTTCCGCTGAACCGAAGTGCTGCGTCAGGTAGTAGGTACTCCGGTACTCAGGTACTCACATGGGAGCATTGACCCCGGGCGAACTAGTAGCACCTCATTATTGTCAGAAACGTATCTTGATGCATCTGCTGAGCACACAAGGGTCAGGTAGTTTAGGTGCCTGGTAGCTACCTAGTAGTATTTTCATTGCGAGGTACATGTACATTATCGCGGTCTGCAGTGGAGAAGAAGAGAACTGCGTGCCGCGAGGACGTGTTCCACCTATCGGTTTTGTACGTACTATCCTCACCCTGTTCCCCTGCAGCAGCTCTGGCTGAATATGTCGGGTTGCACTGCTGCAGGATCATCCAATTGATGCCGAAAACGTTGCTTGAGTTCCGAGTCCTGTGTTACCAGACTGATTGTGGCCTGCATGTAGATACACCGGACACTGCCTCCTCCTAAGTCGGCGCCTACCTGCAATTGTCTGCGGTGGACTGCGCTGGCTGCGCTGACCAGACCTTTGCCAGTACCACTGCAGCCTACAACCACACTCAATATTACTGTAGCTATCTACGGTATATGGGTATCCTTTTTTAAACCATCATCTACTCTGAAGACCAACCTACACGGACACAGTACATACTTAGGAGGTAGGTACTGGTAGTCTCGCACATCCCTGGCTGCACCAAGAACTTGAACAGCACCTGCGTCAACTGGTGCCTCGGGTTGCTCCCAATCTGGCCGCCATCACACAACCTGCAACACGCTAATACGATCTGTTCTTCCATCGAGCCTTGAGACTCCTGGATCTCTTCACTCCCTGTCCTTGTCCTTGTCTCTGTCCCTTCCGCTTCCGCTTCCGCCGGCGTCATTGCCAGCCCCGAAAAGGCTCATTGAACACAGGACCACGAGGAAACATCCACGAAGCGATCCCTATCCATCCATGCCTGAAGCTGCTCGCTTGCTCCTGGATTGCTCGGCCAACTGTGTCACCACAACGATTGGCGGTCCCTCGAGTCGGCTCCTACTATCACAGTATCACACCTCCTAGCCCCTCGTCCTCCTTTCCAGCCTCCTGCGACACCCGCCTCGAGAATTGTCCTTTGTGCTACAGTCGGTCGTAACTCTTCTGATGGAGGCAATGTTAAATACGGACATGCTTGGCCACATTCTACTATCAAGAGTCTTGACATCTGTCAAAGCTGATCATTATACCCACACTCTCCACCATCGTCCACCTGCCGTCTCCACCGAGTCCACTTGGAGACCCAAACTACACCCGCGACACGCATTGTTTGATTAGCCTCGCCTTGCGATCCCTCCCATTTCGCTCTCACCACGCTCACTCTCTCCCCGTAACCCTCACAATCCTCAAACACACCGTCAAGGCGGCTCGGACGCCCTGAACTGTGCAGCACTGTAGCGCCCCTAGGAACCCAAAAGCTGACCTGGGATAGCCTGGTTTTGCATCACCACCTCGCGCCTTGGGTGTTCAGCCCTTTGAGAACCTGGTCAATCTTGCGAACTCATGTCAATCTTGTTTCTACCCGCACGCGCTCAATCTGATCGGCTTCCCAGTACCGCAAGATCTGTCAAACTGCTGGACAGGATCCACCGCCCACAGTCTCTCTCTCTCACCATACCCAGAGACACACGGGCAGTGGGCACACACGCTCTCACCACAATTCTCTTCGTTGAGTGAAGCGGACGCTGGCCTTCGCTTCTCTCTGCCTATTACTGGTCACCGCGGCCATTTCGTGGATTTCATTCTCGTCGGAGGGCGTCGCGAACAGTCTCAGCATTTCTGTCCGAGTCAAGATTCCAATCCAGCACGAACGCTTAAGGTTTACTAGCATTCTGCATCGGAAATCTGCCTGCTCCGCAGACTGCAGCCAGCGCGACACTGTATTTCAGCCTCCATCCTTGTCCGTGACGGCCGGTGGAAAGTGACCAGCAACCCATTCTCGCTCATGCGGACTACGACTACACGTCCAACCCTCGATCTGCTTGCATCTTCTGTTGCTGTACACGCTCGTTCTTCCGACCAACTTCCTGTCATTCTTTTCAGACACTCCTTCGACCGGTCGTACTCAGCGGCACATATCACGATTACACACAGCGCCCTCACCGTCCCAGGAGATCACGACCTGGCTACAGCCTGAGACCTTGACAAAAAAGAGGTGGGAAAGGAGTATTCCAGAGCAGCGGGAGTCCTTGAGAACTGCAGACACTCCTCAACCCTCAAGCAAACTGGCGTCCGGCCAGTGTCTCACAAGGCTGTCACTTGGATCGATATTTTTACCTTCAGACACAGTCGAGGGCGTTCTATTGACGTGCCGAACCACCCGTCAAAGGCAACTGCGGCCTCCAGGGTACTGCCGACAACAGTATCGTAAAGCAACGCCTTCCTCGATGGAACGATAATAGCCTGTCACCTCACTCAAGTCACTCGTTTATTCTTGTACGACCAGCCCACTGCTATTCTGCCGGGTACTTTGCTGACCTCGAGACAACAGTTTCACACACTCATTCAACCCATTTCCATTAACACATTCGAGCATGAACGTCTTCAGAAAGAAGGGCAGGGCGAAGGATGATGCTTACATCATTCCGCCAGCGGTGCCGTCGGAGTCGGCGACGTTGGCAAAGATGTCTCGGAGTCTCAAACGAAAGCAGAAGAATGTCGCAGAGCGTAAGCCTGAAATCGACCTCTCAACTGCTCTGCCTGATAGCAACAACTTCCGCACCAGTTTACTCATGCCTGGTCTCTCAGCCCGCTTCAGCATGCTTCGCGAACAAGACGATCCTAGTACTCTAGTGGGCAAAGCCAGTGATGACAGCGTCTTGTTCCCTAAACGGGCGTCGCGTCTGAACCTCTTTTCTCACAACCCCTTGACTGACATTGCCGAGGTCGGCTCCATTCACACGACCATCAGAGCACCCTTCGCCCAGGCCGACAGGTCCCATTCTTTCTCTGAAGGCGCCGGTTACAAGACCGACGACGACGCGGGAAGTGTCTCGGCCCGGTCAAGAGCGACTGACGGCAGCAGTCTCTTTGGCGGTCGTCCGCAGATGTACAAACTTGGAAACGGTGGCTCCTCAAGGGATTTGATTGAAGGCGCCGCTCCTCCAACAACCTCGAGGCAATTGTACCAGGATGATGCGACGCGGACACCTCACTCTGGCACGCGCGTCAAGGGCCGAGAAGAACGAGAACCAGATGAGTCGGGTGAACGGCCGATTAGCGCTGCTACCGAGGACCATGAGCGCAGCAGCGTTGTGAACACTCCGTCTACTGGTTTCAGTAAGAGTAGAGGGACCATCTCATCTATTGCCTCCGGTCCTTCAAACCGCCGGACATCCACTGCTGCCACCTCGGTCATCTCTGACTCTCCTGTTCCCCGGCAGAGCAACATCAGTTCCGGCTCTAACCCACGTGTGCGGGCACCTGATTTTGGCAACGACGGAAACTTGTTAAGACGAAACTTATCCTCGGATTCTCGCAAGCCTGGCCAGCCATCAGATAACCAAAACCAGCCGCCTCTTCCGATATCCCCGATTCCCAATCGCCAGGTCTCACTCTCAATAAGTCCAACAGCTCCTCCGTCAGACAAGCACGGCGTGGAAGAATCTCCCCTAGCCACTGGCCCTCTGCGACGACCGAGCCCGCCACTTCCCGCCGAAGAGACGCGTATCTTGATCCCGTTGGATTTCGGCCTCAAAACTACGAAAAGTCAGGTGCGGAGATACCAAACTGCCTCTCCTACGAATGACAATGGTGACACCAATGTGTATCATCAGAGTCTTGAGCCAAACGACCGAGGCAAGGCCACAGCTATGGGGCTGTTCAACCGGCCTCGTCAGCAATTTGACGAACAGAAATTCCAAGAGCGGCAGTTGCAGATGCATGAGGGAAGGATCGCACCATCTGCACGCAACAACCCGGAACACGACGGAATGCTAGAGCAACAGCGAGAACCGATCAACTCAATGGCAATTGGTCCGTCATCGCCCTTGAACAACAACTTCGATGCCTCGAATTTCAATCGAAGGCGGGCACAATCCAACGCCTCCGTCAAGCCTGCGCAGGTACATGCGAAAGTTGAAGAGCTCATCAAGCGCCAGAACGAAGAGTACACGGCCATCCAGGCATGCAAGTCCGAGCCCGCAAAAACAACCGCTTCGGTTTCGCAACAGAAAGATCTCACAGATCAAGTAGCTGCGTCTAATGGCACTTTCCTTGACACCTTTGATGGTAGCGATGACGACGCAGAAGCCGATCTTGATAGTCCAATGTTTGGTCGTTATGAGCCCGCACCGCGCCTCGCCGCATTAGACATTCACCCTGCACTCCGGAATGGGTCCCAAACATTTGATTTTGGGGACCAAGTGACTTCCAGCTCACAGCCGACACGACCACCGTCGAATCTCTCAGTTCAGACCTCTACTCCTTCCGGCCTGGATGACAAAGATGTCCTAGATACGACGGATTTGTTGCATCGCAGTGCGCAGATGAAAGACACAGACTCACCAACACTGGGACCTACAACTGGACTAGGATTAAGTGGGCTGATTCGGACTCACCTGCGCCATGATAGCGACAGGTCGTCGTTGATGCCACCTCCTTCGCCAGTGCCACCCACCAGGGCACCAAGCCGATTCCCAGGTTTCCGTGAGCGGGAGTTATCAGTTGCCTCAACTGCTCGCACCCTCAATCCGCCGGCAAGCACTCACAGCGATCCTTGGGAGTTTGACAACGCACACAAACCCCAACGCAGTCCTCTGGAGAGCCCTTCGAATGAGCCCACCTCGCTCATGTCGCAGAAGGCGCAGCAAATCCTTGGTCAAGCGATCTCCCACCGAAACCAGGCCACGACTAAGGTTCAAGAAGCCATAGGCACTGATTCTCCGGCCAGCGATAACCACACGTCGAGTCAGCAGTGGCAGACGGACCTAATGCACAACCACCAACGTGGAGAGAGTACAGAAACGCAAAAAGAGTTCGGCAACGAGCTTGCTGAACGTGCAAAGAAGATTCAGGAAGGCTTGAAAGGCGTCGCAGAGGTGGAAAAGAGCTCCCGGAGTCCGGTGATGACGCACGATCGTCATCATCCTGCCGCTCAGGCATTGCAGGCGCTCCGTCATAAAGCGAGCAAAGCTTCTCTTGCTCCAAGGTCGAACGAGCCTCATCCAAAAGCGATGAAGATGCTCGGACTGAGTGGGCTGCCGAGACCAGAAATGGTTGGGCGATCACCAACTGTAGGTGCTCGAGGCAACTTTGCTTTCGAGCAAGGCTTTGACGATCATGGGATTGGTTCAAATTCAAGAGAGCGGCAGCCTGGATACCAGGCCCCCAGCGGCAGACGAACACCAGGTCCGGGACTACCCATGCCGCATGGCAATAATCCGCATGGAGACTTTGAACGCTCCAGACAACGGTCTGCCACGCCCACTTCCGGTCGGACATCAAGACGCGATCGAGGGGGAGCTGACCATGTCGATCGATCCCGGAGCCGCCCGGGTCGCCGACGGGAGGAGCACCAAGTTGCCGGCACTGATCGCGGCAGGCATGGTCCCCCGCCGACCTGGGAGCATCAAGGCTCTCGAGGAGGTGCTCCAGGACAACCCGGCCAGCATGGTCCGCGAGGTCCATATCCAGGTCAACGTGGGCCGCCTCCCGTCGACCCGCGCAATTACGAGAGATCTGCTTCAGCCATGTCTAATAGCCGAACAAGTGGTAGTCGACCTGAGCCATCTGAACCCTTGGAAAGTCGAGCTTCCACCCCCGCCCTGGCCGGTACTCCTCATCTCGGGAATGGTCAGACGCACCCTGTGATCAATCCACCACGACCATCTCCTCGCCCGCCCTTTCCACACTCTCCAATGAGTCCGTTCGGCCATCCAGGCTTGTCCCCAGGCTTCTCTGGTCCTGCCTCTGCAGTGCAGTCTGCTCTTCCATCACCGATTGGACCCCTGCCTCCCCCACCTAGTACCGGCCGTTCGACGCCTGTGGAAGGCCGACCTACTGGTGCCGGGGCTCGCAAGAAGTCTGTCACGAAAGGAATGATTTCGGAACCGACCTTCATCTCCAGCACTTCCTCGGTGCCTCTGGTTGGTCTTCCAAGAGGTCCACGCCCGACTCAGATCGCAACGCCTCCGATACCTGCCATGAACCCTCGGCGTCGTGGTACTACTGTGTCGGAGAAGACGGATGTCCAGCCAAGCCCTCTCATGATTCAATCTCCCATGTCTCCATTCCCGGACTCCCCGGGAACTTTTACGGTTGGTGGAATACCAGACCAAAATCCTTCGATGGAACAACAGCAACAAAAGCCCGTGCCACGTCAGCGCAACAGATTGAGAAAGATCAGTAGTGAGGGCGGCAACTTGGCAGCGCGTGCGAGGCAACAGGCGATGATGTCCGAATTCGGTCATGAACGACTTCGAAGCCCTGCATTGCCAGTGTTTCCCAACCGAAGCGCCACTTCTTTGGGCATGCACCATGATGGTGGCATGTTTTAATCTTCTATCCGAATTCTCTATGCCCAATGGGCTTATGGTTTGCCTATGTTCTACGCCACCTTAAACCTGAATTCATTACTCTCGAATCATATCCTTGATCGAAGCTATGGCTAATGCAAAATCACGTTTGTCTTTGAATACGAAGGCGTTTTGCGAAGGACCGTGTATCGGTCTGACCGGATCTGGAATGTATAGAGACGGCCACTTTGCCACGGAGTCCATTTATCTTTACGTTGACGAGTCTCCGCGGTTTCTGGAACCCAATTTGGTCTTGTTTCTGTACCTTGACGCCTTATTCACGGCATTGTTTCTTTCCCAATAGGGCCACAGCTTGCTCGCCTTGGACGACTGATCCGAAAATGAAGGCTGGACTTGTTCTTGAGGCGTCGGGAAATCAAAATGTATAATCCCAAAGGGTTTGGGCCCTTGTTGGGACAATGGGGTCCTGTATACATAGAAAGAATACATGAACTGGTCTTGCGATTCTGGTGAAATACAATATATGAAATATAACACAGAGTGCGACCTCTTGCGAGATGCGATGGCTAGGTCGGGAGAATGGACTTGCGTTATCTCTGAATCGGACGATACGTCTCCCGGCTATCCAGGCCTTGGGCAGAAAGACATGGAATAACACGTTAACTAGCATGCACTTACGGGCACTCACTCTAAAGCACGGAATCGTACTGATGGATGATATGAAACCCAAAGACCCTACGAGTGCAACTATCGATTACTCGACGTCTTGAACCGCGGTCTCGGCGGCTCCCTTGTTGTCGCCTTTCTCCAAGCTGTACGAGGTCTCGATTCCCTCCATAGCTTGACCGAGCGTGTGGTTCTTGGCTGTCTTTGCCTCCAGATACCTGACGACGAAAACTCCGATCATCATACACGAGCCGGAGACGATCATGGCTATACTCCCCCGGGTCCATTTGGGTGCTTGGTCTGCTGCGTAGAAGCTGATGGACCAGAAGGAATAGAAGATGACAGCGACCGTATTCATGGCTGCGAGGATGATAGACCGTTTCGGAGCATCGTCCAAGGTGAGTCTGTTCGCCCAAGCAAACATCACCGTCTGGTTTGAATATTGGATGCCGTTCAGGTAAAGGGCAAACATTCGAGCGGCGTCATTGGGAGGGCTCAGCATTATGGCACCAGTGATGATGGCCGTGCACGATGTCAGCACGCCGACGTGCCATGATCGTCTGGTGAAGTCGGAATACCATCCTAGGACCAGAGTGCATACAATGCCGACCGCGCTGACGGCCATGGGCATGTAGTTGACCAGCTCGACCGAATAGTCCCCCGTCCATTTCAGGTAAAGACTCAGAATGGCGTTGGAAGAGAACATCTCGCAGTTGGATCCCATGGTCCAGATGAAGCAGAACTGTTGATCTGGATCAGCAAGTGGACAACCTATTGAAATCATCTGCGCTACTGGGGAAGGTACTTACACCATAGACTTCCCAGCTACCGAAAATCCGCTTGAATACGGTCGTATCGATCTCTCCATGACCGTGGTTGGCAGAGTGGTTGTCCAGCCTGGTCACGGCCAATTTTTTTTCATCTTGCGTCAGGTAGAACGCTTTGGTCGTCTCCGGTGTGTCTGGAAAGAAGATGTACACGAAGACACCGATGGGGATGGTGATGAGGAAGTCTATGACGAACATCCATCTCCAACCAGCGAGCCCCGTCTTGCCATCTACGAGTGATGGACGTCAGCACAACTGGAGCCTGATGGCAGCGGCATGAGATTTGAAGCCACTTACTCAGACTGTCGTAGATGCTCCCCTGGAGCAGACCGGAAAAGAAAGTCCCGGCAAGGCCGCTGCTGGTGAAGATGCCCGTCCGCTTGCCGAGTTCCTCGTCCTTGTACCAGCTGCCCAGGAGATAATGTGTGCCGGTGAAGGTTGACCCTTCGAACAAGGATTGCGCGAAGCGAATCCCCATGATGGCTTCTTTACTATGCACGAACCCGGTGCCCAGGGTCAACAGGCCCCACGAGAGCATGCAGAATGTCATCCAGTATCGAGGACGGATGTACTGCATTGCGATATTGTTCGGGATTTGGCCTACGAAGTAGCCACACCAGAAGACTATGAGTGAACAAGGTCATGTCAGTCTGTTGAAGGCCACGATAAACGTGAGAGAAGGAGGCATACTTGTGTTGATGACATTGAGATCATCGCCTCCCATGTTTAGGTCTTCTTTCATGCCGCTAACATATGCGCTGTTCAAGTTCGAACGGTCGAGACTGGCCCTGGGTGTTAGCTATCTGGTCTGAGCGAGATATCGGAAGGGATATTTCCTCACTAGTTGACCCAGTATTGCAAGCAGCAGGATGTCAGGATGAAGACGTCAATCTTGCGAATCAAGGTACGTTCAGCCTTGGTGGCAGCCGGAGCACCCCATACTGCCGTCCGGATTGGTGTCAAGAGACCCATGGCTGGAGACTTTCAGAGCAAGACAGACTCGAGCAGGCACGTAAGTTTGGGTCAAGGTCGCGTACCACTCTCACAAGGGAGAGACAATTCACAGCCGCTGGCAGTGAGCCAGGGCAAATATATACACCAGTCAACCTGTGCGAGACCAACTCCTCCAAAAGGACGCGGTCAGACATTCCGGGAAGAAGATATCGCCCAAGGCAATCACGACGAAGCGAGCTATGATGGTGGGCGGCAGCATATCTGACATCGGACCAGCGTTATCATGAGGCCGTCAAGCCTATGATCAGCCCCTGATACAACGCTTTTGTGGAGTAATGTGTCGCAACTTGTTGAATAGCGGTGCCCCAGACCCCCTCCGTCAATGATGGGGCAAGATATCTATCTCGTCCAAGTCCGCCACGTCTGCGGATTTGGTCATTTCCGCATCCCCGCCGACCTTATCCCAGGTGAGACGGCTCACTTACTGATCGTCGCACCTGGTATCACTGACCTCTTACGTGCGGCGTTGGTGAAGAAGCGGATTGAGAAGCGAGGCGCGGATTGTCCTGGAGACAGCGGACCAGATGCCGACCCGAAGAACGCGTACAGCTATGCTAAGAAGCTATTGCTAGGCTCTTTCAGCATGCCGCACAGCCAGCCGGGGGAGGAAACGTATATTCAGAGAAGCCTATCATCCTCAAATGCTGGAACAAGGGACGGTCCTTCAGATACAACAAGATGTTCGACTCCTTTCCCGGCAGTTTTTTCTACATCTGCGCCGTATTGACGGTCGTGATATGCGGCCTTTGGCTGGTAAGCATGAGAATTTGAACCACCAAAACAGGGATGCCAGCTAACGTGTCAAGTATGGCACCTCCTCCGACATTCCAAGGATTCATGGCATCCCTGAGATGCCCTCTGCGCTCCCTTTCATCGGGCACCTTCATCTTCACGCAGGGACGTCAGGGGTCAACGATGCGAGGCTGTGGGGCGACTGGGGAAAACGATTCGGCTCAGATCTTCTGCAAGTCAAATTCGGCCGGAACAGAGTCGTGATCGCCAACACGGTCGACTCAGTGCGCGAACTGTTTGTGACAAATGGACACCTCACATCTGCAAGGCCCAGGCAGTACGTCTTCGAGAAGTACATCGGTACGTGTGGACAACAACAAAAACCATTCCCCCCATATACTGATACTATGATGAAGGATATGACCTGGGCTCCCATTCACTGGACGCGAACTACAAACAGCAACGGCTCGCAGGCATCAAGGCCCTCAAGCCGATTGAATGGCCAAAATTCTTCTCCGGCCTCGACAAGGAGGGCGACCGCCTGATCATCAACTTGGCCGAGCAGGGCAACTATGGAAAGACACCCATCAACCCCTTGAAGATGATGCAGATAGTCGCCATGAACCTCCTATTTCAGATCACCTTCGGGAAGAGGTTCGAAGACGCCAATGATCCTTGGTTGAGGGAGTATATTGACAACGCCTCGATCATTACCACCGTCCGTGGAGCGTCCAATACATGGTCCGATTTCGTCCCGATTCTCCGATTGAGTCCCAAATTCCGCCGTATGGCAGAAGCTGGAGAAGTGGCGTCCAAGAAAAGAAGCCAGATGATCGGCGAGCTTCTTCAGGATCTTCAGACGAGGCTGAACAACGGGGAGCAACCAGACTGCATTGCTGCCTCGGTCTTGAATGATAAAGACAACAAACTCACTCTTCGTATGGAATGACCTCTGAATACGACTCACCAGACAAGACACAGACCGCTGACATATGACTTCTGACAATAGCTAATGCGATCAAATGCTGTACGTCGATGCTTCAAGGGGGTACGGAGAGCTTGCCCAGCCATATCTGTGCCGGATTCAGCGGGCTGATCACTCCCGAGGGTGAAAAGATGCAGCAAAAGGCCTTCGCGGAGATCACGGAGCAGTACCCTAATGGAGACGCGCGGGAACATGCTTTCAAGGAGGAGCATGCCGGGTATATCGTCGCCTTGTACAAAGAGATGCTGCGCAACTATGTGGTATTGCCGTTCAGTCTGCCACACGAAGCTAACGACGATATCCGGTTGAAGTCTGGAGTGGTCATTCCGAAAGGGACGAGGCTGTACATGAACTCAGAGGCGGCCAATCATGGTAAGTCGTAACTCCCCTGCCCCAGTCGTGAATGTCGCCATCCAACAATATCAATAGGTTGATATGTTGATGTATGGAAATTCAACAGAAAGCATGGCTAACAACAATAAACCGTACAACAGATGAATCCTTTTTCGGTCCCTCAGTCGACGACTTCGTGCCTGAACGGTGGCTCGATCCCGAGCTCAACAAGATCGCATTGAATTTCTTCTCCTATGGGATCGGGCCTCGAGTGTGTCCTGCCTGGTCGATCGCCAATCGGATAATGTACGGATTACTCCTGCGCATGATCTTGGCCTTCGAGTTGAAGATGGATCCGGCCGATCCGCCGCCGACCTCGTGGAAGACGTTTGGCAGGACTCCGAGTGGTGTTTTGAATGCGCCCAAGATGTTCAAGGTCCGGTTTGTTCCTCGCGACGAAGAGAAGTTGAGGATTGAGGTTGAGGAGATGAAGAACAATTTGAAGGTGGTGGTTGAGGAGTGAGTCCTGAAGGAGGATACGCCTGTCGGACTTGCGCAAGAGGTCCACTTGTTGAGAGCTTGAGACAGGGTGAAGTTGACGAAGCTGAGGACTCGAGATTTCCGCCATGTGGAGATGGGGCGGTAAGTTGAAGCTGTTGCCACGCTCTCAATAGAATATAGCATCGTTCTTGTCCTTTATCAGATCAAAGTGGGTCAGATTGAAGACAAAAAGTCACGAGTTAAGCCGTAAAGGAAAAGCTGGAAAGCCTGCTTTGGATATAAAGGTGCCGTTCTTCTCTATCAAGGCTTCTAGAGAGGGGTTGGATTGGAAACAACAGATCCCAGGGAGAAGACAAGGCCCGAATGTGCCTCGGAGCGCCCCAAAGGCTTTAGGAGCTCTTCCATATACTCTGTAGTAAGCATCATCGCCAGCGGGTGAATCTAAACACTATCGGTGCCATGAGAAGGAAGCATTATCCCTTGTTTACCGTGTCGGATTTGAAGGTGGTTAAGACTTAAGCCCTCCGAGTGGGTCCCTCCCCAATCTCACCAATAGCAGCTCATCAGGCTGGCAACCCCTCGACGATAAGCCTAATCAGTCTTCAGTCTTCCCGCGCTTGTCCCTCTATTCTATCATCTCTTGTTATCTCGGTAAGGTTTACATCTGGTCGCACCGGAGATTACGTAGCCTCAGGGTACGGACTATAGAAGCAGCGGTCGAATAGCGCTCCCTTTTCTTCCCTCTGTAGGTTGCAAGAACGAGATTGCCCTCTTCAACTCCAAATCTTGGCCAGTACCATGAAACGTACAACGTACGCCTGTTCGCGGTGCTATCGGATGAAAAGAAAGGTATGCATGCGGTGCACAGTCCATGTTTGCTGGTTTTCTAATTGCTTCTAGTGCGATAATGGCACCCCGGCATGTGCCCGATGTGCGAGGGCTGGCGTTGCATGCGTCGGTCTGGACAGGACTACAACCAAAGAACTTCCCAGAAGGTAATACACACCATAAGCTGTTAGACCGGGGAGCCTGCTTAAGTCTTGTTTGTGGCACGCAGCCTCGTCCAGTATCTTGAGCAGAGAATAGCACTGCTAGAGTCTACAGCAGCAACACCACCACCTCCTCCTCCACCCAGGAACAGCGGAACGAGCAGTGGCACTAGTGCTTCAACATCGAATGACACTACGACGGCCAGAGACACTGGAACAAGTCGTCGCCTGTCAGCAAAACAGAATCACGATCGAGCGGCCGCGTTAGCCAGCCAGGCTGAACGAAGCTCTCACCAAAGAACTATCATCGGATTCTCTGGCCCCTGTTTGCTACCACTCATCATGAAAAGTTCCATCCTCCCGGCGTCTGTCGACATTTCCCCAGGCGACTTTGACTCCGCAACAGCCAACGAACCGGAGTCTGACCCTCACGACATCCTGACACTAGATGCGGTACCGCCGAACGTGGCTGATGCCTTGATCAAGGTCTACATCGAGAAGGTGCTGCCCCAGTATCCATTCTTTCTCGAGGAAGATCTATATCTATATCAAGCTCTCGTCTACCACGGAGCAAAGACCGTCAATGCTGACCTCCAGCGTCGGGCCGAGTTTGTCGTGACCATGATGATGGCGATTAGCACTCTGACCTCCAAGTCGCCCAATCACCACCGACTTATGTCGTTCAGCCAAAGTCTGTACCGGTTCGCAATGCAACGGTACGATACGCTATCGGCGTCAACCCTCTGCCATCTCCAATGCACCATGCTGCTCTGCCAGTTTGCCAACTTCTGTCCTGCAATAGCAGAAGTCTGGACTCTGAAGGGAATGGCAGTGAGAATGGCCATCGCCCTCGGACTACACAAAGAGCCTGACGCCGCCTTGGGGATTTTTGATCAGAAACAATCGGAGTTACGTAGGCAGATATTCTGGACAGTAAGTCGGGTTCACCTTGTGCTATTGGGAGGGCACCTCTGACTGACGACTTTGTCCAGCTATATTCGATGGACCGATCCATTTCCATTACCGCTCACCGCGCAGTCAGTATCGAGGACGATCTCGTTGATGTCGGATGGCCTTATCAGAACCTGGACGCCGAGGTGCTCTCCTTACGTCCTGGACGGGAGACGCAGACCATACGATTTCTCCGCCACGTGCGGTTTCGACAGATCCAGTCCGAGATCTTCGCGGTCAACTTCCAAAGCAAAGACCCCAGCATCCTCCCGTACAGCGAATGGATGAAAGCCAAAGATGCAGAACTGATGGAGTGGCGGCGGAGTCTGGATATGCTCCACGACACCGGCTTCGACTGGTTCGACTTCGTCACCTACACGGGCCAGCTGTACTTGCACATGCATTGTCCTCGAAACCCGCATCCAGACACAACTTCGGTGCTGACCGGGTTCGATGCTGTCAACGGCATCGCCGATGGTTACCTCCGGATGCTCCACAGAGGCTTCCTGAAATTCGACTGGCACTGTGCCCATCAAGCAACCGCTGCCGGTGTTCTTCTTATTCGATCGGTCAAAGACCACTATCAAACTCTTCTGCGCTGCCATTCGAGCCGGGAGGTGAACGATGTCCTGGACAAGTATTCTGAAATCCTGGTATGCTCGCCAAATCTGTAAACTGTTACTCAGGTCATCACTAACTGTCTCAAAGATGCTCCTTACCGACCGCTGGCCCACTGCTTCTGTCTGTCAGCAAAAGTTTGAGGGTTTGAAACACGACTTATTCGTCGCTTTCTCGCTGTCGGCAGATATCCTGTTGAACTCTGGGGCTGCTGCTCAACGAATCCCCAGCGGTGACTCGGTGCCGACCAGTCTGACAGCACCTGGAGAGTTACCTTTAGCTACTTTCCCCTTGGGACTCGCAGCCACTGGAGAACAGACGGCGACCGATGCTGACCAAGTATTCGACACCACAGATCTGGATTCGTGGGCTTATACCATCAATGTTTTCAGAGATTATACCGACCAGGACTGGGATATCATGGCCGGGCAAGCCGAGATGCACTGGCCATTCTGAACAAGGCAAGGAAGCGGGGACCAGAGACAAGTGATAATGCAAGAACAGAAAAAGCCGACTGAGGGCAACACGACGCCGACGACGACGACAACGACTCTTGCATGAGGTATCACGGACAACCATTCACCGCATCCATGCTCTTACTATTACTCCCCACCTAAAGTGATCACCGGCCCTTCTTCGCCACTACCCGGCCGCCCCCAGACCACTTCGGCCGTCGGTTTCAGGCCATGACCGAATTTCATCGCAATGCAAAACAGAGTGCTGCTGCGTGTCTCGATCGGCCTGGCCGGGTCCTCCTGACAACAGATCGCCTGCGGGGCGTTGAATGTATCCGAAAAAATCTCGTTTCTCAGCACATCTCCCGTAACGTCTGTGCCGCTTGGAGTTGTTCGCGCGACTCCCGCACTCAGCTTTCTCATTCTGCCCAGCCGGATCGGCGACCCCGCGAGCCACGGATACTCTTTGACGTAGCGGTTCTCGAGCAGATGGTTCGTGTGGCAGACAATGCCGTTGTCTCCGTCTTTCGGTCGAATATGCACGTCCCCACGCGGCGAGAGCTCCATGCTGATCGGACCCTCCGCATCGGCGAGCAAGATATGTTGCGTCGACGCGATACTCCCGAGCTCATCTAGTTGCGCGATCGCCTCGGACGCGGTATTGCTGTTCAGACAGACTCGCAGAGCGACGTGCACCGGGATCTTGCTGCTGTCTGTGGGTTTGGCCCGGATCGCGTTCATGCACACGCCGACGGATGATGAGTTGAACCCGATCTTGCCGACGAGTCCTGCCTGTGTGGTTGGTGCAACGCGCAAAACATCAGTCTTGAAGAGAATATCAACAGTCAAGAGGAAGAAGAAGAAGAAGTCAACGGTCAACAGGGGGGGAGAAAGAAGGCGGGGGCGGGCGAGTTGTTCATCTGAGTCTCGTCCAAAACAAGTCACACAGGTGATTTAGTCTTCCGTATGGATGAAAGGGGGGTCCATGTGAGTGTGGTCTCAAGAGTCTTCCTTTTCTGTTTTTCCAGCTTACCTCATTGCAGATAAAGATCTTGGGTTTCCCAGGCTGCTCAATCGACATGATGACACAGTTCTCCTTGACTCTAGCCGTCCAATCCCAATTCTGAGCGAGCACCACTTTTCCTGTATCTTCGTCATCACCTTCACCAGGTTCTGTGGTAACTCCCATTTTCCAGCCCAGACTGGAACAGCCGTCGGAAAACAACCCCAGCGCAATCTCGCTGCGGCAGTTGAGCGCGACGATGTCCAAGACGTCCAGTCCCGCGCCCTCGGCGATGCCTTCCATCTCGACATACAGGTCTGGCGTCAGTCGCTGCAGTGTCGTCTGGTACTCTCGCGACACGGCTCTCACGGCGTCCCAGTCGAGATTGGACGTTCGGCGGAACATGGTGTCGTACACCCGGATCTGACCGCGGATTTGCTGGGCTAGGAGCGTTCCATGTTGGAGACCGATCTGTTATGTTTTAATGAGTTCCAGGTATCAATATCATGCTTGCCAGGTGGGGGTTGGAATGTGTTGGATAGTGGAAGAAGATGTTGGTTAGGTATCAGGTATCAGGTATCAGGGATCAGGTATCAGGTATATCTATCAACGTACCTCTCGAGGCGTCCCACTGAGTTCGATGCGAAGAGGCGGTGTCGTGACTTTGGCGATCATAGTGGCAGGGTAGAATATACTCGATGAGTGACGAGTGGATGGTCGAGGGTAGGGGAAAATGAAATCCAAGGCACAAGTAATAACAGAGAGAATCAGTTCTCAAAAGTAGTAAAAGAGAGTGTCGGTCTCAAGGATGACCATTAAGTGTTTGTAGGTGATAGACTCTGACTCCTTCCGATTCTGTTCACGAGGTGTGAAGAGTTCGCTTCTGTCCGGGCAGTGACTAGGCGATTGAAATAGGATTCAAATAGCGACTTGTTGTGTACAGTGTGCTACTGGTCTTCTTCCTTCTACTTATCAAAACCCCCCAGTTCGGATTGCGGAGACTGATATCGACCAATTCCGCATTCGACCAACCGATGCGGATATCGACCGCGAAGAAACGATCAAGGATCAACACTGGGCCAGGATTCTTTCTTGGTCCAGATAGATGGACTTGGTCGTATATGTTGACGGCTAGCAGTAGTAGTCTGTACTCTGTTCTCTGATTCGACCTTCTCGTCTTGACTATCAGAGGTCATTGCCAGCTTGTGGGAAGTACAAAGCAAAGACAAGCTTCTACACAGTTAGAGTACATCCTTCAAGTCCTTACATATCATCCCACAAAGGCAGAAAGAAAGAGAAGAAGCAAAAGGACAACGGTGACTATACCTCCGTATGCGATCCGTTCAGGCTTCTGTCGTGAATGAATGAGTGGTTGATATCTGTGTCTGCATCTGCATTTTCTGAAGTGATACATATAGCTACCAAGTATATGGTCCGATATGTGTAGACTCTTCACTGGAGACCTGTACCTTCGTTGACCGTCATCTTCGTCGATGTTTCAGATACAGCTTCATGGTTTCAAAAAGATAATTGGGGGATTGCAATCGCCAACGTCTTGTTCCACATCAGCCATCGATTTCGATTTCGACCTCAACCTCGTGGGCGATGTCAGATCGGTAAGGAATGGCGATGGCTATATCTTTCCGTTCCGGAACTCCTCGGCCATTTGGGCAAAGGTACACCATTCCACACCTTCATGTTGATTGATCCAGTCGATAAGTCTGATAGAAGCTCATTAGCCTGTCAATATACTCCACTGAACTTGAAAGTTGAGCCTTTTTGAGGGGTAGAGCGCAGGGAAAGCACGTTTCAAAGCGAGAGATGATCCACTTCTGGCAAACCACTGGTGTAACGTGTTTTGGATTGATCGATTGATCGTACAGCACCCCATTGGAGTGATAGGGGCGAAAGAAAAAAAGGGCAAAAGGGGAACGTTCAACCGACCTTTCATGCATCATAAGAACATGCGGTCGCCCGCTGACCTGCGGGTGGATGCTCATGGGGAAGATGAAGGTGTCGTATTCGCGGTAGCACCATTCGAATTGCTCCCGCCATTGCCGCTCGACCGTGTATGTATCCACGAAACCTTGCTGTATCGAGAAGAAAAGTCAATCCATGCCCAACTTGTTCCATTCCACTATTGTGCCAGTTGCAAAGAACACTATTAGGACAAAGTGGTGGAGGGTGTTCATCTTTTGCTGGAGAGAAGGCTGAACAGCTCTCTCCAGACAAAATGGAACAAAAAGGGTAGAGAATCGACACAAAAAAAGAAGAATGGCAGAGAAAAAGTCAAGGGGTTTGGGGTTGGGTCAAGACAAGCTTACGCTGTTTGGTCGGTCAGGCATGTACTGCAAAGGCGGCCAGTCGTCGAGAGTCCAGGAAGCTGTCGGATTTGGTGTTAGAATCGGCTTGCCACCGGCAGTGCCTCTCCAAGAGAGGGAGTCTCAGGGAGTCTGGAAAGTGATGTTCGTACGTACCAGGAATCTCCACCACCCCGGTCTTCTGGGCATGTTTCATGGGGACCATCCATTCGGTCGGCTCTTTTGCATAATCGGTCAAGACGACTTCATCTCGTCCGGTCGAGGCATAGTACGCCTGGAAGTCGTCATGCATGAATGAGTGGTCTGTAATAGAAGTCAATTCTCTGGTTTGCCAAACGTTTACTCAGCGAGACTGGACAGCAACAATAGATTGATGTATGAATGACCCGCTCACGAAGTAGACATAAGATGGATGTTTGAATGGAATGATCGATCGATCTAGACAAGGGGATTTCCGAGTCAATCGCATACCGTATCCAATACCCAACTTTTCCAACAATTCAATCTGGTCAGGACTGTTTTTCCAAGCAGGGGCAGTGAATCCTTTCGGTTTCTCGCCGTGGCAGAAGTTGGTCAGGATGTCGATGGTCTTGACTAGGATGGTTTCGAGTTGCTCTCGCGAAAGGTCGGAGGGAAATCTAGTTACATCGATATCACATGGTTAGTGGCTGTAAAAAAGGAGTCTATACATGCCACAAAGCGACGCATTGACATTGGCATAAGATGGGTGGGGGTTTCTTCTTACTCGTGCGTGTATCCGTGTAGACCTCTGTTTGAGTCGATCAATTGTTAGCCAGTACTCAAGCCTTACAGAGTAAAAGCTTGCTATGCCCACTTGACATACATCTCATGTCCGGTGTCCCTGATCTTGGCCATTTCCTCGGGAAAGGTCTCAATCGAGTGGCCTGGGATATACCTGAAGGTGAACGACAAAGGACATGTTAGCAAGTTCTGGTCATGACTCTTGATTACAGGGATGCCACGCCGAGGAGTGACCAGGGTTCGGCGACGTAGAGCCAGTTCGACAAGGCTCGCTCTCGCCAGACAATCAATTCGTGAGAATGAGATGTACGGTAGCTGATGTGTGTTATTCAAAGATGAGAATCCCGTACTTACCACGAAGCCTTGATGCCTTTCCGCTCGTACAGCTTGAGCAACCGCTCGACTCCACGAGTTGCTCCAAAGACACCTATGCGAGGTCAAGTGACCGAATCAGCAGGTCTCGCTTATCAACAAATAGTGAAAGGAGAAAGCAGAAAGAAGAAAGAAAGAAAATGTTGACCCAGCCGAGATCGAATCCAGGAAGCAGACATCAATACGCATATTTCACACCACAGGCCGGGAAATGAACCCTCATACCGCAAACAATGGTCTCCAAGTTCAGTAACAACCGCATAAGGTAGGGTGCATGACAGTCAGATACATACCACGGGAAATATTCATCAGATTCGGCTTTCCACCATGTGTGGTGTTGATATGATTCGACACGGCGTCCACGTCAATGCCATAGCCGACGAGCACCCGTTTGTTGACCATGTTGATGACCTTGCGAGATATCCTGATCGCGTATGACAAGACTGGATACTTCACCCGGGTAGTCTAGGTGCGTTTCAAGTAAGTCCTCGCGCTTCTTCCAGTTTTGGTGTCAGGATGATGGACTTGTCGAATCGATATTGACACTGGTGCTCGGTTCGTAAGGGACTGAGAATAGTAACCGCTCTAAAAGAGACACACAAGCTCAACTGCAATCTCGAGTGCTAGACTGCTAGTTGGCAGTAGGGCAGACAGCTTCGACGATTGACGAGTCGGTCGTTAGCATCGGCAACTGACCCCGAACCGGCCGACGGATTGATGCCGGAACTGGCCAACTTGTACGACGGGAGGACTCTGTCTGCATGCTTGTGGGGAGAAACGAACGACTGATAGCGAACCCCCCTATCTATGAGCCGATCTAATCCCATATATCATAGATGGATGCCATGGCCAGCCAGAGCGCGCAATGCCGAGATCCGCAGCAACGGGCGGATCTGCGCGAAACCAGCGACTGACAACAACCCTAGAAGCATATCTAGGTCGATAGATAGATAGAGATTCTCGCAAGTTGTGTGGCATGTGCATGCAAGATAAGATTTCTTGAGGATTGGACTGGTTAATCATCTGCATTTCGCGATCTTAAGATGGGTGGTTTCTTTTCAGTGTTCACCATCCACCATCACCGTCGGAAAGGGGATGCAGCGTTGATCAATATAAATATAGATATTCTAAGCATGCCACATAGGCCTAGGTAGATATCCAGGTACTACAAAAGTCACATATCCCATTCTCCGAAACGAAAACAAACCAAAAACAAAAATAAAATGTCAAAGCAAAGAGCCATCCTCGTCGTCGGCGGAGGCCAAGGCATCGGTCTAGAAACGACCCGCTATCTCCTCTCCCACGCGCCCGAGACTGTCAAAGTGATCGTGTTCGGCTTACATGTCGACGAAGAGCTGTTGCGTTGGCAGAAGGGTGGCAGCAACAAGCAGCAGCAGCACCAGCCGAGGATTCACCCTCAATCTCAATCCAGCAGACTTCACATCTTGCAAGGAGACGTCACCAATCCCGTGGACAGACAGAAGGCGATCCAGACGTGTCTGGATGTCGCGGGGGTGATTGATACGTTGGTGTATTGCGCCGGACTGATGACGCCGATCCAGAGGGTTGAGAAGATGGATCTGAAGGCGGTCGAAGGGGCGTTCCAGGTCAATGTCTTTGGAGTCATGGCTATGGTGAGTCGGCTGTCCTGTTGGTGTTGAAGTCACTGCTTTTCCATCGACGTCGACATGATCACAAACCCTGAGATAGCATAAGCTGTTCAACAACTTCCTCTCTCTCCCCATACTGGCTTGCCCTCCACTCTCCTGACCCCATATCCAGCTCCCAACTCTGTGGGGTTTCTTTTCTTTTCTCCCCCGGACATTGTTGCATACTTCACTCCCTGGCGGCCACCACCACCACCACCACCACAAACTAACGTATCATCATCTTGATTTCTCAATAGTGCCAGCTTACTCTCCCACATCTTCGCCAGTCCCCCAATCCTCGCATCGTCATCCTCTCTTCTGCATGCGACACCAACGTCACCTACCACGGCTGGACGTCGTACTGTACCTCCAAAGCGGCACTGTCGCGGTTCATTGGGATCCTGGCCCTGGAGAATCCAAGTATCCGCGTGCAGGGAGTATATCCTCGACTCACCGACACGCAGATGCCCGCGGAGGTCATCCGGGGCCGGTATGACGGCATCATGACGCCGGACGAGGTAGCGTTGTTCCAGGCCCGTGCGAAAGACGGGGTCACGCTTGAGCCGGCGGCGTGGTGTGCCGAGGCGGTGGCGAGGTTGGCGGTGGGGTTTGCTCAGGGAGGAGAGTCGGGGCGGGTCATGTACTATGACCAACATGTTCCTGAGATGTTGAAGAGAAAGGAGGAGTCAAAGAGAAAGAGAGATGCCAAACTGTGATTGTGTCAGGTCTCTGGTCACAGATAGATAGATGGTCTTGGGCTACAAGACTCAAGTAGTCGATGATTTGATTGCAGAAAGTGTTCACTGTTCAGGTCTGTTTTGATGCGGATCCGGTGCAGCATAGACTTTGCTGTAGAATCTCACTCATAGCATGGGCTTCTTGATTGGTCGAACGAAGAAGCAGTGACTGAGCAAGGTGAATGGGTTTCTCGTACGGTCCATCCTCATTGCTGTGGTGGTTTTGGTTTAAAAGGCAGACGGCGGCTTTGAATACAATGTGTTGCTGTATCCATGGAAGAAAAGGTGTGAAGGACGGTATAGACACATGTTCGTTTTCGATGGCTTGATCAGCCGAATCCAAATCCGATTGGGGACCCTCTTCGTCTAGAACCTTGTAGTTCTCGATCAAGCGTTCAGCATTCGCAGCTTCGTCGTCGACAAGGGGATGACCGCGGCATCGCGAGCAAGATAGCGTTTCGAAGACCGCTTGATGGAAATGAAACCGTCCCCAGGCTTGTAGAAAGCTCAGTGGAGGAAGATGGGAGCAAGGATGCATGCGCTGGAGCATGTCATTCCAAGATTGCATCCAACTCCCGAGTTCTTCGGTAGCCATACTTGTCCACTGCGCGGTGCGGGTTGTGTGAGCATGTGTCATGATCAAGTGGCGGTGGACCGAGAGTCGGATCCTTGATAGATTGAAGAGAACGTCCGCAATGCTTTTTGGAACAGCGACAGGTTCCAATGTCCACGCATGGGTGGTTGGTCGACCCAGAGCAACGCATATCTCCCTAAGAATGCCACGTTAGCCTTGATACCCTAAAATCGGCTGGCTTTCCGCATACACTTCTAGGACGAACAGGGTATTTCGAATCAGCTTCGATTGTTCATCTTCTCCGGCTGTAAGGTGTAAGGCGTCGTATATTGACAGAGCATGATGAAGCGCGGTCCAAATGTCGCCAGCCTTCCTGTCCAGCAACAGGTATATGCACATAAGAGTGAATAGCTGTAGTAGTTGCAGGTTCGGCGACCTGAGAGCTCGATGCACAGTTCTTTCACTGATGCGGAAGAAATACATAGAAGCCATGGTCGTGAGACTCGGTTCAGATCGACTCATCAATTGAAGTGACAGCGCGGTCACGAGCTGAACCAGTGCAAGTAGGGTGTTGTTATTGTTGAAGGTGTCGGGATCGTCAAGGTCCAAGGAATTCACGTGTGAGAACCACTCGTCGCCCAAGACAGGGAAGAATACCTCAATTGACTTACGGTAATGGGCCACAAGTGCTTTCGTGTAGACTGCCCCTGGCAGCCCAGCGTCTGTCGCTTCAGATCTGGGTCGACTGTTGATAGCAAATGCGTCCAAGAAGCGTCGATACGGTTCCGGGGCGAGTTGATTTGTCGGCGCGGTGACTTCGAGGTCTGATCCGTCGGATCCTAGATATGCTGCGGCATACGCACTGCTCGGGCCATAATACGAAACGATGGAGTCATTGAGATGACTGGTGCTCGGAACGGCCGCAAAGATGTCGAACATCTTCGTCCCATCCTTGTCTTGGACCTCTGGAGGGTGCGAGTCTTCGTGAATCTCGGCGTCCCCCTGCTTGTTCGAGCTCCGGAGACTCTGGTCCTGATCCTCGTCCTGGTCCTCATGCAAGCCGGAATCTCCATTGACCTGACCCCTTGGCGTGGCCGGGTCCAGTGCTTGAAGATGCTGAACCAATGACAGAACATATTGCCGTGGTATATCTTCACCGACCACATGGTCACGAAACTGACATTCTTTGCCAACTTGCATACAATTCCGGCAGCTTGGCAGACGATCGTCGCATTTGATACGACGTTGGCGACAGCGAGTGCATGACGGCAGCGAAGTCAGAGCTTGTTCGAGATCGATGTTCATGGCTGCGCCGCCTCATGGCTGATGATCATTGATATCTCCCTGGCATTGATAAGGATGTGATGTAGCTCGTAAGCCCCGGTCGTCTCCTTTCTTCTGGATGAGCCTTGATGCGAAATCCTCTGTCAGTCACCCTGGTCACCAAGCTTGCACTTCCAAAGACAAATCTAACAAGTCGTCATGTTGCTGCTTCCACTGGATACCTACTGACTGGCATGCAGTGCATTGTGGTCGGTCGATGGCTTCGTCTAAAGGTTGTTGAGATAGTGAGATAACGGAGTTAGTTCGTAGGCCCCATTGAATGGGCAGGTCTGCCGAGACAGAAGTCACGCCGTTTTAAGAGGCTGGACACCAGCCGACGACAGGGGGGATCATCACATTGCACTGTATAACACCAGGCTGTACATCGCTTGCGGAAAAGAGGCTTCACTGGAGCAAGATATACAGGAAGACATCATCTGTGATTCCTAGCCATTGCATCGTCACAGTTCCGAGCCGTCAGCCACTTCGGCCGGCTGCGCTAGAATACTGCGACTGTTCTTTTGCGGTCCAACTTGTTGCTTACCAACACCAATATTTATAACCATCTTACAGTGAGACAACACCGCCGCCAATCACGTCGCGGTTGTCCAGAAAGGCATATGTATGATGACCATGACCCTGACCCTGACCTACCGAAGGACGACAGCGACAACCTCCACGCTGGGTGACTTCTCCGTTGTTGCTGGGGCGTGCATCCCTCAAATCATGTAGCGATACCCCTTCTGCAGCAATCTCGCCGCGGCAATATCGAGACCCTCAATGTCTCTAGCCTTGCGTAACTTGGCCAAATCACGCTCCGAGAGAGCCACGTCCTCATTCTCAATTCTGTCGAGTCTCGCATTCTATCTGGGGAGCTGCTTTGCATGCCGACGCACATGATGGCACACACAAATGCAGAGCATGCAGATGACAAAGCCAGACAATAGTGCGGCACGTCCTGAGTTCGGTAGGTGAAGGGCGTCCAGACACTGCAGAGTTGCCAATCGAGTTGATGAACACCTACGCCACAACCTGTTTGGCAGGTGGTCGAGGAATGGCTCTGGCGATCCACGCACAACGCGTTCCAGTGCTGCCCCCACACAGCTGCAGTTGACGAAGTCGTAACCCTCCGGGCACTCGAAGCCCTGCCCAGACGCCAGACTATCTTGGTATGAAGCATCCAGAGGAAGCAACAATCATGCCGCTATGCAAACGTGACTGCAATATGTCTCCGATTGTCGGAGAAATTACATGCCTCCGTATCCAGCATGGCCGATGAACGAACGATGCGGCGCTGCTTCGTGTAGGAACAGGCTTCTGGCCCTTGGCGGCGTAAGATATAAGACTTTCGTGTCTCCGATAGTAACGGGTGCGTGGGACCATCTCAGAAGTTCGGACTGAGGAGATCATACTTGACGCACATCTCAACGCTATCGGCGCTTGCTTGGAAGAACCTCCGAGCTTCGAGTCCGACCCAGATTTTCAGCATTGAGAAATCGCCCTCCTTGAAGCTCTTGAGAACAGCTCCAGGATCGGACGATCCGATCTGTCGCAGAATGGGTAAAGCGCTCTTGAAAAGATCGAGATCGGGGTCCAAGGTTCTGCCGATGCCTTCTAGCAAGAGAATGGAGATGACCACATTCACAAAATCACCTTCCATCCGAACGTGGTGGGATCTGACCATGCTGAGCACTTCTGATAGTACGTCTCCAATCTTGATGTGGCCAAGGGCGAATGTCTGCCCTTTGATTGACAAGACAAGATGCTGCATCTTGAGGGCAAAAACCTCACCCTCGACGACCGCATCAGGCTGACGACATCTTTCAATCATCAGCTTTCCGGCTTTGTAGCCGTCAAACTCGGCAATGGCGCGAAAGAGGTCTAGGAAGTTGGCTCGATTCTTCGCATTGAGCTCCGTAACCAGGCCCGTGTCGATGAAGATGAGTTGGGGTCGATATCCTTCTTTGTCAATCTCCGCCAGAGCAGCGTCCCATTCCGCTTTCTTGCCGATGTAAGGACGCAGTCTCGATAAAACTGCTTCGGACGCGTCAATCTCGGAAGCGCTCGCGGGTTGTGTTGGGTCTTGTCGGGTCATGTACGGGAGTCTCACGTCTGGCTGCGTGGGTTTGTAGAAGTTGACCATGATGTTCCCCGGATGGAGATCTGCGTGGACGAAATTGTCTATCAGAAGCATATGCAAGAACGCGTCTAGGCCTTCGTTGGCGATTTCCTTCTGATAAGCGCCTCCGCCATTTTGGAGGAAGGCGGCCAGTGGCAAGCCTTGGGCAAATTCCTCGACCAGGACAGTGCGTGTGGTGAAGTCTGTATATGGGTGTGGAAACCAAGCCGTCGTACGATTCTGGAAATGTTTCCGTAGAATTGTCAGATTTGCCGCCTCGATGCGCAGATCAAGCTGCAATCGCATCATTTCTCCAAAGTTGGCGACCTCGTTGGGGAGATCCAGCCACTCCATTGTCGGGATGGCATTGATGATGGCGGCAAACACGGCCATGATCTTGATGTCGCGGCGAACATTTCTTTCCACTTTGGGATGGAGGACTTTAATGGCCACGTAAGCGGAGGGCACTCTTTGCGGGCTGGATTTGACCAAGGCATCCACATTTCTCCTGATACGGGTGCTGAGCTTGTTTCTGTCCTGGACGTCGAGGTCGCTGTCGTCGGGGATTGCAAGATCGGGTTGCAACCGTGCCTTGTACACCTGTGCGATGGCACCGACACCGAGAGGTTTCTCGTCGAACTCGACGAATATCTGGTCAAAGATGCGACCACCGAATGCTTCTGAGATGGTCTTCTTCGTATGCCGGAGGGAATGGGCGGGGGCATTGGAGTGCAAGTCAGACATGATCTTGCACATCTCGGAAGGGAAGATATCGGATCTTGAAGCAGCCCACTGGCCCAGCTTGATGAAAGCAGGACCACCCTTTTCCATAGACTTGACCAGAAACCCGTACCACCATAGTGTTCCAGCTCTTTCGTTGTCGTGGTCTTTCCTTCGCGGGCCGATGAAGACGGCGGGGATGGTGACGATGACGGGGACGAAGATGATGGCCAGGTAGACGAAGCGAACCCCGGTCGCAAGGGGCTCATATATGTACTGGTCGAGAAAATAGATGACGCTCTTGTATAACCGATGTAAGCCACGGGCATCGTCCGGCACCTTCTTGCTGATTTCCTGGCGGGATATCTCCAGCATCTGCATCTCGGTCGTCTTGCCCTCCTCGTTATCGGCCTCACCAATCTCGACGAATGCGACGGGAGAAAGCGCGGCGGCGGCGACCAAGAGGGTAGGGTATCGCCGCTGACGGGGGTCCTTCAGACTGTATTTTCGGGTGGTCCATTTGGCAAAGGATTGTTGACGTCGTGGGATGCGGTTGGTGAACAGGACAGCGGCTCTGCCTCCGCGGCCAACGCAGCGGCCGAAGAGGAAAAAGGACCGCATCAAGCGGCTGATGGACCTCGATGGGAGATCCCTGGCGAGAGAATGTGTGACCTGGATAGAGCTATATTCAATCGTGATGGGGGATGTTGATGTTGATGTTGTCGTCCTTGTCCTTGTCGTGTTGCCAGATTTGAGACTGTGAGATCATGTTGTTGAGATGACGTCGTGCTAGAAATCGCATCCAAATCTCAATCACCATCTCAATCTCAATCTCAATCTCAACCTCAATTGCAACCTCAACACCAATGTCCATCTCAATACTCTGTTCTGGCCTCGGATCCCCAGCAGCAAGTCGCCGAGGTCAGTAAAGTGTCGACAATCAGAGTGGTTTCGACACACTAATCAGACCCGACATCGTTTCTCGCAGTGCCTAGGCGGCTGGCAAAGCCCTCACACTCGGATCCCGCGCCGAGGCCCTAGATAACAACAACCTACAGATGGAGTATATCTCTATGACTAAGATGTGTGGCCTAAACAGGGGCGTACAGACGTGCAAGAAGGGGATGCTGATATTGAGCTTGTCGAGCCGCGAGACCTTTGCCATGGTCTCATCTCCAAGCCAGGTCGGATTGACTAGGTTGATCAATTGGCATTCAACAAAGTTACGCAGCAACGCAACGGATCTAGGGCCTGATCACGCTTGCCATCTTCCTTCTCATGAAATTGTCTATCAAGCAAAAGACAACCTGCAGTGAGGCAAGGCTCAACAAGACAAGTAGGACCATGCGGAGCATTACAATGGTGAAGTCCTTCCTCGGAGTTCAGTTTCAGTCGCCGTTATTTGAGTCCACAGAACTCGGCAAGTCCTCGAGTATCCCACGACTTTCCAGTCTGAGAGAAAAGGAACGACTGGCCTGTTTCTAGGGAACATTTTGACTCCTAATACGCAGATGAACTGAACTTGTTGCACTTGGATCGACGGCCGTCTTAACGTCTCGACAGCGCCTGTGGCGCGAACCATCAACTTGATGACTTGGCACGAAGTCAACCGTCCAGCCAGCCTTGCGCTCTTCATGGTACGCGACAAGGCTCGCCCACCTCCTTAGGGGGTGTTTCTTTTTTCAAGCCTTCGTGAAAGAGGAGCGTTGAGGTGGCAATATGATGGACTATATACTCCAGAACAGCAACAATGCCTGGTCCACCGATCATGATATTGAAGCCGGGAGGTCTTTTGAGGCCGTGGGCCCTGGCGAAATCTCGATGCTCATTTGTGGCCGGAGTTCAAACAGACAAGGTTTTCGAACCTTATCGTGCAGCATGTTGATCGACAGCTTAAAGCCCGGCAGCGGACCGTTTTGGTTCGATTTCATGACAAGGTTATTTATAAACACCAACAAATACCTCCACGTCTCCGGAATCACGGCGATACATCTTCAACGACCCTTGCGACGACTGGCTTCCCGCATATGGTTATAGCTGCTACGAACCTCTCTTCCATAGATGGTAAGCTGAGACGACCTTGCCGTTCAGTTTGAATTTAACCTGCCTTCGCCAAGTCTATCTCATCTCTCTTATTCTAGTCTGGTTCGTTTGTCTCGACTCCTCCCAAATTCTCGTGGTCTCTTCTATCCTCCTCTCGCCTCGTCAGTTCTTCTCTGTGTCTCTTAACCCCTCTATTCCCTGGAAGCCCACATCTCCTCCACGGCTCTGTTATATTATCCTCTTCTCGACACCCACCTCTCTTCTTGACACCCTCCTCTCTTCCTGTCCTCTGTCCTGCTCCATCCTCCTTCCCTCGCCACGATTCTCCTCCACCTAATCAGGCCACCAACACCAACACCAACACTATCACCCCTAGCTAGAAGGGGGCCACTATCACCCTACCTAGAAAGAGAAGAAGGGAAGGAAAAGAAAATGCATCCTCTATCAACCTACTTCATAACAGCCCTCCTCCTCCTCCTCACCACAAGCCATCTTCCCACCATCTTCACCCACGCTCAATCCGACACTCAACTAGACGACGCTCCAGTCGGCGAATGCACGACGGCCTGCATGACCACGCACCCCACGATCTCGCACTGCACGGGCGACGAAACCACGACGCTGGCCCTCGAGAGATGCCGCTGCGCCAGCTACAAAGTCAGCAACGACCCGCAAGTCGGCTGCGTCCAGCAATGTCCGTGGGAAGAGCAGCAGGCCTACGCGCGCAGCCTGCCCGCGCTGTGTGGCACGACCTTGTTCCTCTGGATCGACATGAAGACCGGCCCGCGGCCGGGCAGGGAGAACACCCTCGCCGCGGCGGGACTTCCTGAGATGGCCGTGGCGAATACGCGCGGGTCAGTGACTTCTGATGCCGCTGGTGTTGTTGTCCGTCGAACAGATCGTCTGGGCACGGTTGGGTATCTCGCTGTTGGTCTTATGGTGGTGGTTGGAGGTATGGCTATGGCTGATTAATGAATGGGTTGCTTTGATATGATATGAGACGAGCTGAGATGATGTGAAATGCTATGATATGATATGACTAATATGATATCTGGATTCAGTGTAATGCTCTTCCGACAGGATAGGTGTGACTGGTCTGATATGATATGATGGTTCAAGGCTCGGAATGTCACCTACCCGAGGTCTTATCAGCCTAGATCAGCGTCGAGCTCTGCGCCCTCCCATACACGAGGGACCAACAAACAGCACAATCAAAACAGCAGCAACAGTCGGGCTGCACCAACTGAGCTCGTTCAACAGAGGACAAGGGCAGATTCGACCACCGGATCCCGGAGGTTCCATCTCCGTAGCCTCTGAACCCAACCAGATTCCTCTCTTCTCCTTTCTAGTCGTTCCATACTGGATCCAACATAGGGTTGTGCTTTTGGTGTGGCATAAATGCTCGGTATCAAAGATCGATGACCACCTAGCACCTAGCACCTAGGTAGATACATGTCAATCAAGGCGAGGACCGGGTGCTGGCTTATCCTCAACAGCGTCTACCTCTCGTATTGGTGATGTTGGGATCAATTATTTCTAGTCTCTTTTTTTCAGCAGGTACTAGTATTGATCTGTCTGTGCATATCAAGGTCTGCGAGGGTTCTAGGTGGCTGGCCCGACTACAACCTCCATCACGCTTTTGTATTCATATGATTGCCTCAGGAATGGCCGCCTCACTCAATCTCATGAATCTCCCCTCCTGAATCTCATCGGGATGCTGCCTGCTGCTGTTGTGGCGGCACTGGTCCCCGCTGCAGCGGCCGAAGAAGTGGTGGCTGGCAATGGTACAAACGACTCGGTATGCGTTGCCACCGCCGTCCCGTTAGTTCCGCCATTGGTGCCGTCGACTTTAGTCGTGCCTGTGGGCATATCCAAAAGCCCAATGGCACGAGAAAAGAATCCCAAGGCGGCGATGGGTTGGTAGTATGGCACCTCATGGCCCGACTCGTAGATGCGAGTGAAGGAGAAATTGCCGTACTCTCGCGTCTCGCCATACTCCACCCCATCAACCATAAACGGGACATACCCGGCCGCGGCGAATTCTTGGGCATGCGGCCATTGTGCCGCCAGGGAGACGGCTTCCCCGCCGAACCAATTACAAATATAGTCGGCATCACCGTACACTAGCGTAACACGGACGGTCGATCTGTTGAGGATTTGCTCCAGGTCCTCAAGGAGGTTGATGTACACGAAGTCACCCGTTTGCTGGAAGGCGAAGTAGACTTCATCGTTGGCCGTCGTGGTGTAGTTGGTGTCGACCCCGAGCGCCTCCTGCGTCGATGCAAGGTTGAGGTAGTCGGCGAAATATGACGGTGGCGTCGGGTCGTCATATGGATGACGGATGTCGTAGACGCCGCGCCCGCCATAGTAGTAATATGGGGATTCGACGTTGTCGCGACACATGTCCTCCGCTTCAGTGCAGACAGCCTGGCCGCTTAGGGTCGTGGTGTCAGCTTCCGCACAGAGTTCGATCTGCTCCAGACAGCCATTGTGCATGAAGCAGGCGAAAGTCATGTAGTCGTATACGGTGTCGTTGACGGCTTTGATGCCGTAGGTGTTGTTGTTCGCGAAGCGTGGGTAGTACGGTGCTTGGATATATTCGTCGATGATGCCGTTCATGATACCCAGGTTGACAAACTCAAAATACTTGCCGGTCTGCGTGCCATTGGCAATTGCCTCATTTTGCTGGTAGAAGTAGTTGAAGAAGGCTGGCCCGTAATGTCCTGTTCCCAGATGAGTTGGTATTCCGACGACGAAGAGGTGACCGCCTACCTCCGTATGATTCAGTCCACAAGTTGAATTGGGTGGACTGTACCTTCGAGTCCAACTGCGGTAGTGCGGCATAGAATGCTTGGAGGACTTCCCAAGCAGCAATAGCAGCGAGATCGGTGGTATCTGCAGACGCGGTGAGATTTGGATGGTCCATATTGAGTCTCGGCCGGACCTACCAATAGCGCTGGCATTGATCACCGGGTATCTGCCGGTCACATTGGCTTGAGAAGCGTTGAGGAAGTTGCCCAGCAGTGGATCCAAGGAACCCGGTTCCTACAAAGGGATGTCAGCGCCGTCTCTTGCACAAGAGTGATGCTCCATCACCTTCGAACCGTAGGAAAAGCCCACACCGAGGGGTTGACTGAGGAAGATCATGTTCGATGCCTCATTCCAAGCGTACGGGTTCAGCTGCGTAACGAGGTCTTCGGTGACATTACATGGCCCCAATTCTGTAAAGGCGGTCAGTCGTGCTACGCTCGTCCCACACACCTCCATCGTGTACTTGCCTTCGAACAACCCAATAAGAGAGTCACTTCCCGGTCCACCATTGAGCCAGAGGGTGATTGGATCATTGGCCGGGTCATTTCTGGACTCGAAGAACCAGAAAAAGCTGTGCACATCCTCTGCTAGATTGACAAAGCCCGCGTAGGAGTTGACCCCGGGAGTGGTCTCGCAGACTCCTTCTTTCCCCGGCTCCTTATATGTGATGTTGACACCGTTGGGACTGACGATGGTCTGTACTCCAGTTGGCTCTGCTGGGAGTTGTCGTGGTAGGACCTGAACTTTAGGGCCACCTCGCTTGCTTTGAGCCACGGGACCAGGGATTGCAGATACACTGCCGGCCAATGCGCCCACGGCGGCCAAAAGTTTTACTGCTTGCATTGTGAACGCTCCGCAGTCCCCAGCAAAGAGCCTGATGTCGACAATGCAGTTTGAGCAATGCAATCAAACAATGACTTTGGTCTTGCGTGCAACAGCAAACAGCTCTGGTTTGACCAGGTAGCACGGCGACCAAGAGGATGCCTGTGTAGGACAAAACAACACGCTGGGATTCAGCACATGAGAGGGTTTGGATGTATTATAGCAAAAAAAAAAAAGCCATACTTGCCTTGATCATCGGTATCATTTGTGGACGAGGGACTTCCTGATCGTGGAAGGCTATCTGCACGATGATCAACACTTGTTCTAGTGCCTGCAGTAGTCTGGAGCTTTCTGAGCTCTTCACTGGCAGATGATCTGGGGTGAGTAGTGCTGACCCAACCACTGAAGCTCGAAAGCTGCCATGTTTCCTACCATATCGAGTATAGCCACGGGAAGATGGGGAGCTGTGAGTGGGAACCGCAAGCAGAGAACATAGCTATCCGGTGGAATCGAAGGTGCTATTGCATTGCTGTGCTCTCGAGCATGATCTTTCCGAGCTTACCATTCGTCTAGTCATGCACGTCGTTCCTGGAATGTCGATTTTCCATGACGTTGGTGGGATGGGAGGTAGCATTGAGTAGGGATTAAGCACACCATGAGACTTTGCTGGTGGAGCAAGATAGAGATGCAGAGTACACCTACTCGTAGCGACGTGTTAGCACAACGTTTAACCCATGGGCAACAGCTGAGTATCCCAGACCACATGTGGCAGGTAGTACTGGTGGTAGTATGAAGTTTGAATGGCGAACGGCATCGACATTGTGGAGCTGGCCGGGGTAAAGCCTGTCTGTAGTCCGCTGCATTGTCTCAGGACATACGATAAGAATGAATCGAACTCATCGGGAGCAGGCCGTGCAGTGCCAAAGAAGGGCATCTTCTGATGGCGGTGACTGGAGACATCGGGGGTTCCTTCAAGTGATCATGTAGGCAATGCAGTTGACCTCCGCAAGGCCATTCCTGTTGACAGAGGTGGACAGGTCACTCACTGCTGTAGCCAGGAATGATCCAACTGTAGCAGCGAGCTCGGCAATGTGCATTTCCGGCTTGATGCTCTTGCGGTCGGTGTCGTCTGTACTACTTGGTCAAGCATTTTGTGGCATTGCTTCTTTCTGTACATCTCCAAGTTGGCCTCTGTAGCCGCTTGAAGGTCGACTGATCTCGACGGAGACCTGGAGCTGCAACGGTCCGCAGGTAGCTTGCCACTCATTCCCACATTTCATCGTTTAAGCTATGATTGACCCAGATATCCGGCCGCTGCCGTACACCAGACTAGCGAGGGTCTTATCTTTTGCCCTCCGGCGGGGTAGAATGGTGAGGTAACATCGCTGGGAGCTCGAAAGGATTGACGTCGCCGATCAATCGGTGAGAAGGTGTTTCGAGGAAGGTCGGCTGGGTGGAAGAGAGGCTGACCATCCGCTGAAGAGGCGGGAAGTCCGTAGTCGCGGACTGGTGGCTATCTAACCACAGATCTAGATAGGAATGAGATGAACAGTACCGGCGGTGGCGGGGCTTGTGCTGAACCTCGGTTGTTGTTGAGAAGGGCGAGATGGTAAAGATCCGAAGTACTAGTAGTACAAAAATCCGAGCAAACCTGGCGAGGACTCATGTCGCTGATGACAGTTGAAGACCTGATGCTGATGCTGGTGCTGATGTGGACGCAGGAGGGAAGAATGGGAAGAATGCAAGGTGGCTAGCATTACGATGCGGTCAGACTGCAAAGCGTCACAGCAGCGCTTACTTCTATTCTAGTTGTTCTCCTTCAGTCAATGGACATCATAACAGCGACAGCGACATCGATTCATCGATTCATTGATTGTACAGGTACAAATTCAAACAGTCAGAGCCCTCTTCAACGTTCGTCGGTGGATGATCGAATATCACAAAATACAGCCGAGACCATGCACAGTTCTGTCGAATCCGAATCACCACTCAGCTCGAACATCCAAATCAAGATCCAAGTCACCAGTGATGTCCAGCGACTGTTCAGCATAGCCTGACGCGGTCTGTCGCTCATCCAACCCTGCAAGTCGATCCAAGAAAGACAGTTCGTCGTTGATAACGTGGTCATTGCCATCAAACCCGTTCAGCCACTGCACGTGCAGGTCGAGGCCGTCTTCACCAGCCAAATGCGACTCTGTCTCGCCCTCGGCATTGAACAGAGACTCGAAATCACTCTTCCTTGGCTCATCGACACCATCTCCATCGCTCTGGCCGTGCTTAGGATCCTCTGCCAGATCCTGAGGCGAAGCTGCCGCTCCGTCTGTCGCATGAGAATGGTGGCTTACATCTGAGCCTGGTGGGGTATACGCCGCCACCAGCTTCCGTTCCGCAGGTGCTAATGTGGAATGTGAAAGCAGCATACTCGCCGTCTGCATGGCCTCTGGGGGTGGCGTCAGAAGCAATGGGGAGACCGAGTGTGGTTCAGAACCAGCCACTGTGCTTCTGCTCGAACACTTCCCAGGGGGTAAACGTGGAGCAGCAAAGGATGGTGTCCCCAGTTGCGCGTTGGTCTTCCGGATTGCCGCATCGAGGAAAGAGAAGGCAAAGTCGGCAGACGCATACATCTCCCGCAGCCGTTGCAGAGCTTGCATGCACATTTGAAACTTGCGTACACTTGCTTGTCGGATGGAGGCGTCCGTGGACTTGATGTCAAGCAAATGTATGATGAGGGCGGGAAGAAGGCAGGTGACCCCGGTGTTGGGTAAGTATCGAATCTGGTCATTGACAAACAGCTCCTGGTACATGTCGGTGATGTCGTTGGCAGCTTCGCGTACCTTCTTCTTGGAAAGCTTTCGCAATTCGGGCGCAATGACGACGTCGGGTGCGGACGGCAGAATCTGTGGTCGATGTAATGCGCTGATGACGGTGAGGTAGACGCCCGTCAGCAAGGCGCGGTGCACGTTGACCACCTCTCCGTCAGTGTTGCTTGTCCGTTCGTGAGAGGCGGGAGATAAGAAGCGAAGGTTGCGAGGAAGCCCGTTGTACCAGCTCTCCAGTTCCCTGTCACACCTGATCACATCGCGTGGATCAGCTGCCGACCTGTTAGGGACCAGTCGCATGGTTGTCTCTTGCGTGGCGCCAATCTTGTGGCCCAGGGTCGAATACTGGACGGCGAGAACTTGGCTGATCCATACGCACAGCTCAGCCAAGGCTATGCACATTCTGGCCAATGTGACACGCTTCGAGGTGTCCTTGACCAAGGGACAACCTCCCAGCGTCCGCGTCAGTTCTACAGGTAATGCTTCGACTTCGAAGTCGGACAGCTCTAGCATCGAGACGCCACACTCCCCCTCGGTAATCCTCATGGGACGCCGCATGCCAATGGCAAGCAATCGGTCTCGCATGTAAAGCGACCACCAGATACGTTTCCACAGGCGGCGTTGCCGCATGCTCATGGAGGTTGCATCGGAGGTATTGCAGTTGAGACCAATGGTCCGCGCAACAGAAATGCCCACGCCCAGCCAGTGCCAGACATCCTTTGGGTCGTCCGGGCTATCGTACCAGTATGTCATCAACAGAATAGCCTGTACCAGGACGACGCGGTCAAGTTCGTAATCCAAGTCGTAGAGGTGTCTGATCTTCTGGAAGAAGGACTTGCGGACCTCTTTGCGGGTCTCGTAGCCTTGTGCGACCAAATACCGCATGTCCACGTAAGCGGTTCCGGCGAACATGACTGCCTGGAACAGTAGGAGACTGATGGCATTGGCGGGCTCATTCTTCTCGATTGCGGCCAAGAAATCCTTGAGATCAATTATTGGAAGATAAGGATGCACATACTGCACGTAGCAGCGAAGCAATTCATTGCGGAATCCTGCATCTGGGATGCTAAAGGCTCCTTTCTTCTGCAGGTATTCGAGATCCTCTGTCATGATCCGCGGTGGGATAGGCTGAATATACTGTGGTAGAGCAATCTCCGGTCGACGGGACGGCTGGGGGGAATATGACAAGCGGGCCGGCAACTGAAGGTGCGTTGGAAGAGCCCTGGAGCTCATGGCTGACATCCTCCTGGATCGCTCCTCCGCAGTGATACGGTGGCCTTGCGTTTGGTCTGCAGAGTCACCGTCAGTCAAAAAGCATGTCTGGGAAGTAGGGCGACCCTACAGAGCATGTGTGGGCTGTGATGGTTGAGCTCAAACTCCAAAGCATGACTTTGATTGTGCTCGGACTGGTCAACGACCGGATCCAAGTCGACCAGCCAGTCAACGTTGTCGAATATAGGGAATTCAGGTAGGTCGTTCTTTTCCTCCTTTACAGAAGAGCCGCGGGAAGAGTGGTGGAACTTGTCTCCATCTGCATGTGACTTCCTTCGTCGTTTCCCTTCCGTGACCACACACTCTACCTCGTCCAGTCTGCAGTTGGTGCAAGGGACGCCGCTCTCGACCACATCACATCGGACTTTTCGGGAACGGCAGCAATGACAGGCCTTAGAAGCTCTTCGCTTGACCGTCCTTCCGCCCATAGGCATACCTGCCACCGACACTTTCCTCTTCAAGGTGTTCTGCATGTTGTCAACCTTTGCCGTCGTCGCCATGTGGAGGGCACAAGCCGAAGTGTGACCAGCGAAGCGTTCGACTTGAGAAACTGCCCAAGAAGGGATACGAGCAGAAGATTGAGAAGCACTGCGGCCGGGGGAACTCCACGAGAAATACAGTCGCATGGGTGGGGACAGGATCCGAGCGCGGGTGCTTTGGATATCCATGGGGAAGCGTACACGGTAGACCGGGTCCGACTTAACCCCAAGTCATGGGGGTCCATTAGCGCGACAAGCTTAATGACGGGCAAGGCCTTTCGAGATATTTCCCGCCTTATACTCTGGACCCCGAAATTGACCTGGTTCCTTGTTGACGCCGAGTCTGGGGGCATCCAGGTAGCAGTGAGATAGATGTCTTCCAGAGGCGGGCGTATATGGTTGTAGGCAATGACTGCTCAAGTCCGCAAGGAACAATCACTTCTCAGGAATTCGAAGGCTGAGATTGCTGGCGGAGCGTGCCCGAGACACACGTGGAGACCTCGGCCATGAGAGCGATATCCCCGCCAAACAGGGGCCCCGGTCCCCAGATTACTGGTCGAGCGGTCCCGCCAGACTGTTCTTGCCAGGACTGAAAACTTTTCCCGTTGGCCGACGGAGCCTTCGTTCTGATCGGGCTATGTGCCGATTATCCTGAAAGGCGAAAACGGCCCCTTCACGCGACGCTGTGGCGTCCGAACACAGTGCCTTTCGATCCGGTGGCCTCGCGAGGTCCGGCGAGCCCGGACCATGAAGCAGCACCGTGCCCGTCTCGTCCACCTTGCGCTTCAGGTTTGCTGCTTCTGAGCTTTGGCGACCACAATTCTGCTAGTTTCACCAAAACCCCGCAGCTGGGAGGTAGCCGTTGGGAAGGAGACGGAGAGGCATGGGCACGAAATCCTGTGGTCTTGTTTAGCCTGCGTCGAGGGTGTGCCGTGGTGGATCATGTCTCCTCTCATACGTACCCTCTGTAAGTCTGGGGTTGAGTCGAACCAGACACAGCCCACCCAACAACACCACACCCCGCGTCTAGGCGAAGAAGAGACTTTCTCGAGAGAACAATAGCGTCGACAAGACTTCTCGATCCTTGTTTTCGAGAGACAGTTGGGGGATCTTGGCACGTTTAGCGATCTCATAAGATATCGTAGGACAAGTATTGGACGGTTCTGCCGGCCAGTAACCGTTGAGCCGAGCAGTCGATTAGCGTTCGCCAGGCCGTGCAAAGGTGAGAACTTGAAGTCTGGAGAACTTGAAGGGTGCGCTGCGCTTACGAGCGGGGAAGAGAACGATAGGACGAGTCAGAGGCTTTTGACTCGGTCGACGCCATTGCTGAATGTGATTCGGCTCCCATCTCCAAGTTGCAAGTTGACTCGCCATGTTCGAGTCGAGGAGGTGGGCAGACACCAGTGGATAGAATCACCGGTCCCCAACCACGAACTTGAACCCGTGCTGTAACTTGGCGCTGCCTGGTGATAAATGGTGTGCAAAAGCCAGCTGTTGATTGAGTTCGATGCAGAGGACACGGATAAGCATATCCTGCAACATTGTTGGTGCAGCCTGAACCCTAGTAGAACGCCAGCTTCTAATTGTCCTCCTAATTGAACCACTGCGGGTTGGAGTAAGGGCTGAGTGTACCTATTAGCCTTGCCGCCTTGGGACGAACACAGCGTTGTAGGGTCTTCAACCAGAATGCCAGGAACTTTCAAGTTGTGTACTGTGATGCGTACCTCTTATGCTACTCTGCTACCCAGCAAGAGGTACTACCTACCATGAAGACTAAGTGGCACCGCCGAATCTTAATAGGGGCACCCTTCAGACCTTTAATAGGCAGTAGGTACTCCTAAGGATAAGCGACACACCTGCATCAACCTCAGGCGCCACCTACTCTGTAAAGGTGACTCCCCACTGCATGTTATTATTACCTTAGATGTAGGTGCACCTACCGCCTATCATTGAAGTTTTGAAGGGCGCCCTACCAAGATCTGGCGTTGCCACTTATTTATTATCTTGTAGGGTGGCTTACGACCTACCAGGTAGGTGCGTCCCTATCTCCCTCTTCAACATATCGATAGCCTTCTACAACCTCAAACACAATGAGTATCACCGGATACAACAACTACTCGTACAATCCGGTATCTGGTTCGGAGACAGGTATCGAGAAACACTCGCTTGCATAATTCGATACGTTGATATCTTCAATCGCCTGACATCCTATACTGTCCTCCCTCTTGCCTGCGCCCTATATATCAGTTTTTACCACAAGAACGTCTGCGGACAATACACTCTCTCGAGACGTGCGGGTTACTGTATCTGGGCGGTCAAATAAGCCATTCTTCTTCAAGCTATAGAGAAGTTCGTACGAAACGAGGCATGCAAAGAACTGACTAAGAAGCACTATACTTTGATATGGTCTCATGTCTCGAGCTGGCTTATCACCCATCTTGTTATGAATCGGGTGGGAGCCCCGAATGTAACAAATCATTAACTACAGGCCTTGACTTCCGAGCCATAAGTACCTAGAATTCAAGTCCTTTTTGCCAGGGTCACCCCCTGATGGACGTGGGCCTGTTCGTGACACATCTCTCCTCCTGGGATTACTAGAGGGGGATTACGACCATGAAAAAGGGGGGAAGGAAGACCAGATTTTGCAATGACATGGATGTCGAGGAGGGAGATGTTTACTGAAGTCGACGGCTTGCAGTGGAAATTGCCGTGCATCAACGACGAGCTTCCGAGCATTTGTGCACAGCCTTCGCGAGCAGGGAGTCGATATGTCGCATCTCCCATGTCTCAGTCTCGCGGAGCTACGCTGTTCTCGTGGGTTTCGAGAGCTACCTCCGCACTCGAAGTAAGAAAGACAGGTTCAGCCATCTAGCAGCTTGAGGCTCAGGAACGACAAGTACGCGAAAGGAAGGCTGAGAAAATGTTTCCAGCAAGGCTGTCTCGGGCAATAGGCAGCCTGCTACTACGACGCCACAACGCAACTAACGATACAGGGACGAAAGTTGAAACAGATCGGCTCCCAGGAACAGGGCCGGAGGATGGTGTGTACCTGCGCCAGAAGGACGGCGATGAGGGTTGACATGGAAGGCGTCGACATGAGGAGCCGGTCATGGCTGTCGGCTGGCAGAAGCTTGTGTTGTTCTTTCCCTCCGACTTCTAGTAGTATTTACAGCCTCAATGCAAGCCTAAGGTAGCTTCTCAGATCCAGCTCCTTGCATCTCGGGGGCAGCATGCTCCCCCAGTACTGGTGTAGTCTCACCAACGAAGTGGCCAGACAAGCGGGTGACCGCGGGTACCTGCTTGCTTGCTCAACCCAGGCTGGCTCTTCCAGACGTATGTGGCGGCAGGGGCTTTGGGACAAGCACGACAGTCCCTCCTGGTTTGGGAGTGGTCGAGAGTACCTAGGTACAGAGGTATATCTTGACGCTGTGATTGACGAAATTGATGAGGTCGCGATCATCAGGGCAATGATGAAAGAGATGTTCCATCGCGGGGTACCATGTACGTACTATTGTCTCCAGGTGATGTCAAGCTGCAGCAGGCTACCTGGTGGCCACCAAAAAGTTGGCGAGATCCCTGAACCCAAGGATCGACTGTTGACATGATGGGTGGCTTCAAGTTCAAGTGTTAGGTAGGGACTCGGGGGAAGGATTGGTTGACATTGACCGGCGTCAGACTGCGGTCCGTCTTAGAATTGTGGGTTGGGAGTCGAAGTGCAGTCAGTGCAGTGGCTGCGGTGCAACCAGCAACCAGCAACAAGGTGCGCCCCTCGATCTACGAGTCACTCTTTTCTTCCTCTCTCTCTCTCTCAAGCCACCTGCACCCACCATAATGAATCGGGCCACGCGTTTCAACTCCATCCACCATCCACCATCCACCATCCACCATCCGACAGTGACAGCCTTCGGCCCGTTGGTCCCTCTCTTCGACTATCTGTGGCTGGTGATCTGGCTTCGTTGTTTGCATCATCATCCTCATCACCCTCATCATCCAGACGGCATTCGGCCCGGCAAGCTTTCATCTCAGACAGACGAGGGCTCTAGTCTCTCAATGGCGGCAGCCCCTATTCGGTTCGTTCGCCTACACTTTCTTCGACTTGACGGTGATCCCAGTACAAAGTATCCCATCATGGACGAAGAGTGGGTCACAGCCTCACCTACCAGATACCCTCGACGGTCAAGGATGCGAATCATGGTCTGTCTCAGGAAGACCGCAGTCTCGCCTGTCTAGAATAGCTGAAGCTGTTCCAGTAGGGAAAAAAGAATGTAGGTCCGCTTGGGACATGCACCCGGGCGACTGCAGACCTTCTCTTAATATGACAACGTGTAAGAGATGGGACAATGCATCAACATTGAGCGGTTTGCTACAGACGCCCGATCCATTGTGGACAAAGCTCCAAAAACCGGTTCTACATCCAGTGTCCACACCTCCCTCGTGGTGCGGCGGTGCGATCGATCAACGTTCCCGCTTCATTGTGCTCAAGCCACATTCAGCCAACCGCTCGGGAATACCGCTTGCCACCCGGACTCGATTTCCCATCACGTTGTTTGCTACCCACCCCGGACCCTTGCAGACATGTTGGAAATATTTCGTTCGTCAATACCTTTTTCCTAGAATGGCTGATTTCTCGACATTGCAAGGTCGACAACGCAAACTTCCGAATGCCGCTTTCATTGCACTGTCTGCAGCTATCCCCAGAATGTGCCCAATCCAGCCAGGCGGATGCTGAAACGACTGGCCAAGCAAGCGGTCAGCCTTTTCGCTCAGAGGAAGCGACTGACATCAGCTTCTCCATTGGCTAACATTTAGATCCTTGTTGGGTCTGGGGAAGACCCTGTCGTTCGGCCACGAAAGAGACATGCTCTTCCCTGTCGCTGTTTCGCCCGTTTGCAATTCCCATTCGCGATTGACCCTTTCTACCTCGATCGCTGATTCAGATTGGCTTGACTCCCTGTACCCTCTAAACCATCTCCTCATCTCTTCTTTCCTGTCATTCGATGAAGGCTCCCTTGGGTCCATTCTCCATCCAAGCTTTCTGTGCCACATTCCTGCCATCAAGAGCTCTCCATCCTCCGCTCTGACGCAATGGCAATTGCCTTGCAACCAAGTTGATGGTCAGCCACAGTAAGGCACCGGCTGTGTCATGGCCAGAAAACTTCTGGTACATCTCACAACAAGGTAGGGAACGATGGGCAGTGACGTAGGGACATTTCACATCCTACTAGACCAGATATACCTGCCCGTTCGACGCGTCGTCCTTCTTTTTCTACCATTACAAGTCCATCCTACTCAAAACTAATACCCTGAATTTGTACAATATATCAAAAGAAAAAGAACGCCGCGCAGCTTGAGGTTCAGAGCAGCGCCCATTCACGAAGTTGTGTGTTTGAGCTAGCTGATGACAAGCAACCGACTTTCATCGGCCTCATACGCGTATTATTCATTTCCCCCCACACCTAGTCGAGGAACACCTTCATCCAAGAAGTCTAGCCCAGAGACGGTCAGAAGCTACAAGAGCACCATGCCATCACCAGCAGCAGGCAGATCGGGCAATCCCGAGACTCCCACAAAGACTGGCAAGAGTCCTCAATCATCATCTACTTCCAAGCTTACAGGTCAAGAATCCCGAAAGCCAAACACACCAGCAAGCGGTCGGAAACCGCCCAAGTTAGGCGCTTCGAAGGCTACCCCCAAGAAGCCTACAGACACGCCGAAACCATCCGAGGAGCCCGAGGATGTCAAGGGAAAGGCCGAAGAGGTAGAAGAAGACACTCCTCCACAGATCAGCATGAAAGACACCGAAGAGCCTGGCGGAAAGGTAAGTCAGCCAGGCCACGACACCGGGGCCGAGAGCACTTCGGTTGCCGACACCAGCGAACTCTCCGAAGCAAACCCTGAACCGGTACCTGATAGCGACGAGGAGGAGACGGAGGAGGCCGAAGGCGGCAAGGACGGTGCCAAAGACGAAGGTACCGACGAAGGCGAGGAGACGGAAGAGCCAGTCCAGGAAACCGAGGATGACGCCGCCGAGGAAGCCGAGGACGAGGCCGAAGGGAAAGGATCTGGCGCCTTGGGCGGTGTCAAATCTGCCGTTGGAGCAGCCAATGGCGCTGGGAAGAAGGTTGCTGGGCGAGTGGGCGGTGCCAAGGACACGGCGACTGGTGCTGCGCAGAAGGTCTCGCAAGGTGACGTCGAAGAAGCCGCAGAAGACACTGCTGGTGATGCGAAAGACACCGTCGAAGATACCGCCGGCGATGCGAAAGAGGCTGCAGCGGAGACTGTCGAGGATGCCAAAGACACCGTCGAAGATACCGCCGGCGATGCGAAAGAGGCTGCAGCGGAGACTGCCGAGGACACCAAAGATACCGCCGAAGATACTGTCGCCGATACAAAGGATGCTGCTGAGGATGCTACCGAAGGAGCCAAGGAGACAACAGAGGATGCAGTTGAAGATGCCCCCAAGCCTGATGAAGCGCCTGATGTGGGCGAAGCTGCTGAGGGCGCCAAAGACACTGCGGAGGACGCAGTTGACGGGGTCGAGGATACCGCCGAAGGAGCCACCGACGACCTACCTGTCGACCTATCGGTTCTCAAAGGCCTGACAGTCAACGAAGACGGCGAAATTCTCGACAAGTCTGGCAACCCAATCGGCAAACTGGCTGAAGGCGACCCGGCGGATTTGGAAGGCTACGAGATCGCAGATGACGGCGAAATCCTCGATGAGGATGGCGACGTTGTCGGTCGTGCCACCGTTCTTCCCGATAAGGCCAAAGAGCTCGCCGACGGAGCTGCCGACGAAGCTGGCGAAGCGGTCGAGGGCGCCGATGAGGAAGTCGATGGCGTCAAAGACACGGCAGAGGATGCGGGTGAGGCTGTCGATGGTGTCGAAGAGGCTGCAGAAGATGCAGTGGAGACATATCTTCCTGAGCTCAGTGTCCTCGAAGGTCTGGAGGTTCAGGAGAATGGTGACATCTTGGACAAAGAAGGAAACGTCCTCGGCCACATCACCGAAGGCGACCCTGCAGATCTGGCTGGCATGGTTCTCAACGCTGACGGCGAGATTCTTGACGAGGACGGTGATCCAGTCGGCCGCGCCGAAACTTTGCCTCAACCAGTAGAGAAAGCTGCCGAAGACGTGGAGGCACAACTTCCCGGTCTTGATGTGCTCGATGGTCTGGAGGTTCAGGAAGACGGTGCCATCAAAGACAAAGACGGCAACACCTTGGGAAAGATTACCGAGGGTGATCCCGCCGACCTCGTTGGCAAAACGCTCAATGCCGAAGGAGAAGTTCTCGATGAGGACGGTGATGTGATTGGTCGTGCAGAAGTCGTTCCCGAGGCTGCCGAGGCTCTCGAAGGCGCGGAAGATGCCAAACCTGAGTTTGTCCAAGAAGCCCTGGACAAAGTTGACGGCATTCAAGAGCAACTGAAACCTAACCTCACCATTGTCGAAGGAAAGAAACTCAACAAGAAGGGTACTATTCTTGACGAGGAAGGCGAGGTGCTGGCCAAATTGGTGGAAGGAGATCCCAAAGACTGCGCCGGCAAAGTGCCGAACGAAAATGGTGAGATCCTCGACGATGAAGGCAATGTCATTGGCCGCGTGGAGGTGGTCGAAGGTGAAGCTGCCGAGGAAGCGATGAAGGAACTTCATCCTGAACTTGTCGACCAGCTTGAAGAGGCCCAAAAGGCTGCCGAGGAGGCTGAAAAGGAAGCAGAGAAGCAAGCAGACGAGGCTGGTGACGCTGCTGATGTTGCCGAGCAAGCAGCCGACACAGCCGAAGGTGCCGCCGACGAGGCCAAAGATGCAGCTGACCAGGCCGGAGCTCCTGACTTCGCTCAATTGGAAGGTCTGAGAGTCAACAAAAAGGGCGAGGTTATCAACGAGGATGGCGATCCTATCGCCAAACTTGCGGATGGGTTCGACATTGAAGCTGCCCGCGGCAAGAAGATCAATGAGAAGGGAGAAATCTTCGATAAGGATGGAAATCTCGTTGGCAAGGTCGAGTTCCTCCCTGAAGCCATTGAAGAGGGTCTCGTCCAAGTCATCGAGGAAGCCAAAGATGAAGGTCCAGACGTCTCGATATTGGAAGGCCTCAAGGTGAACAAGAAGGGTCTAGTTCTTAATGAAGACGGCGATCCCATTGCCGAGCTCAAAGAGGGTGACCTTGCGGCCGTTGCCGGTAAGAAGCTCAATGACAAAGGCGAAATCCTGGACAAAGATGGAAACGTGATTGGCAAGGTCGAGATGATCGTTCCAGAGGCCGAAGAAGAGGGCGAGGAGGAGACTCCCGAAGAGGCCGACGATGGCTTGCCTCCACTGTCCATCCTGGAAGGCCTCAAAGTCAACAAAGCCGGCAAGCTAGTCGACAGTGACGGTAACATCGTTGGCGAACTTGTCGAGGGCGATGCCAAGAAGCTCTGGAAGGCTGGCACCGCTTGTGATGACCAAGGCCAATTCTGGGATACCAAAGGTCACGTCATCGGCCGGGCGAAAACACTACCGCAGGAAGAAAATGACGGTGAAGGCGAATTTGCAGGCTTGGAAGGTCTCACCGTCGTCGCTGACGGCTGGATCGAAGACGAAAATGGCAACAGAGTCGGCCGCATTGTCGAAGGAGATGCTAAGAAGCTCGTTGGTCGCGCTGTGGATGAGGATGGCGACATCATCGACAAGAAGGGCAACGTTGTCGGCCACGCCGAGCGGTATGAAGAGCCTGAGGCCGAACCGGAGCCCGAACCAGAGGCAGCTGATCTTTCCGAGCTGAAAGGTCTCAAGGTCAACAAACAAGGTAACGTCATTGGTCCGGATGGGGTCCCTGTCGGTCGCCTTGTTGAAGGCAATCCCAAAGAGCTTGCTGGGCGTCCGATTGACGAGAATGGTCAAATCTGGAATGACCAAGGCAAAATTGTCGGACGCTGTGAACTCATTCCGCCCGAGGAGCGAGAAGCGAAGCCTGAAGGTCCGTTTGCTGGCCTGGAAGGTGTGGTCGTCGTCAAAGACGGTCTCGTCGAGGATCACGAAGGCAATGTCGTTGGTAAGGTTGTCGAAGGTGACTGGAAGAAACTCATCGGCCGTGCCGTGGATGAAGACGGCGATATCATCGACAAGTACGGCAACGTCAAAGGTCATGCCGAACCGTACGAGATTCCAGAAGAGGTCGTCGAGGAAGAAGACTTGTCTAGCCTTGCTGGCAAGGTGGTGAACAAGGCTGGCAAGGTCGTCGACGAACATGGAACCATCTTTGGAGAAGTCGCCGAGGGCGAAGTCAAGAATCTGATCGGCTGCAAGGTCGACGGCAAAGGCCAGATCTGGAGCAACGACGGCAAAGTCATCGGGCGTGCTAAACTCCTTGAAGGCGGTGGTGGCGCCCGTGCTGAAGGACCATTCTCCAACTTTGAATCGACCATTGTTTCCAAGGATGGACTGGTCAAGGATGCTAACGGAGATGTTGTTGGCCGTGTCATTGAAGGCGATCCAAAGAAGTTGGTGGGCCGCCATGTCGACGATGAGGGTGACATTATCGACAAGAACGGCAATGTCATCGGTAAAGCTGAACGATGGGAGCCCGAGGAGAAGGAACGGGAAGTTTCTCCCATGGCAGGCCTGCGTGTCAACAAAGAGGGCGAAGTTCGTGACCGCAACGGCGATGTCATTGGCAAACTGACCGAAGGCAATCTTCTGGCTTGTGTCGGCAAAGAGATCAACGACAACGGGTACGTTGTCGACCAAGACGGCAACAAGCTGGGTGAATGTACTCTGCTTGAGAACATCCCGGAAGAAGAGGCCGAGGAAGAGATGACGCCAGAACAGCTCAAGGAGGAGGAAGAACGAGAAGTTGCCAAAAAGATTGGGAACATTGTCAACCAGACCATCGAGAAGATGGAGCCGATTTGCAATCAAATCACAGAGGTAAGCATATAGTCACACAATCCGGCTTTGTTGAGTGCGGTTATACTGACATTATCATTCTTTCCAGCACATTGAGAAAGCAGACCGCACCCCTCGCGAGGAACTCGACGAAGAAGCTCTGGTCAATGCCGTCAAACCACTCATCGAAGAAGGCGGCAAGATCCTGGGCGAATGCAACGGCGCCATCCGCGGTCTCGACCCAGACGGCCACATCGCCGCTCAGGCGAAAGCACGCGCTGCCTCCGGCGAAGCCAGCCCAGAAGAGCATCGTGTCGCTGAAGGACTCAAGGAACTCACCAGTCAAGTGGTCAAGACCATCGACAACGCCAAGAAGCGCATCTCTGACATGCCACATGCGAAGAAGAAGCTCAACCCGCTTTGGGGACTGCTCACCGAACCTCTCTTCCAGATCATCGCTGCCGTCGGCTTGTTGTTGTCCGGCGTCCTGGGTCTTGTGGGCAAACTGCTCAACGGTCTCGGATTGGGCGGTCTGGTCAATGGTCTGCTCGGTGGTCTAGGTGTAGGCAAGTTGTTGGATGGAATGGGCCTGGGCAGTATCGCCGAAAGCCTTGGTCTTGGAGGTGGAAAGAAGAAGAAATAAACAGCTGGTCACCGAGACAGACAGAATCCAATGAGGATTTGAATGAGCTACATGATGCTGAGATTGTCACCAACTGTTATGGCATGGTCCGGATTGAATGGTTTGATATGATATTGGGATGATGTATTGCTATTGTTTGTCTGTCACGACTCAAGTTCTTCCCTCAGCGAAATGTCCGTCACAGCGATGTCCCAGATATCGGAGCTGCTGCGTAGGGCAACATGGATGGACACCTGGTTGGCCCCTGTCCCTGACAGCGCTGTTCTGGACACCTGTGATTGGATTTCCCAGCCGAGAAGTGTGTCTTGGGTTGGCATATGGGAGATCTATCTACATGTGGCTACTATTTGGTTATTGGGCAGGCATCTATATGTACATTAATGATATTTCCTTTGTTACGGATTTGAAAAAGAATTGTCTTGTAACTTGGACACTACATTGAGTAGTTGTTGAAATGATTTTGCCTCCAGCCTTGTTCTCTGTTATTCTTCGTTCCTCGTGTTTATCCCTGCAAGAGGGATGTGGTGCTGCATTTGATGAACCATTAAGGTCACTGGAGTGGTCACCGGAGTAGTCATTGCCATGTTCGGTGCAGACACCCCAGCCTCGTCACGCAGCCTCGTCGCCAAGGGCTGAACCACCGGATCACAGGTTTTAGTATACCTATAAATCAGGTTTAGTAACTTACTACCATATGAATCACATTGACACAATTCCTACCAACAATTCCCCAGTGGTGAGGTCAGGACAAGACCGATTCGCACACCCTGGGGCAGTTCCTGACCGGGCTCAGCGGTACAAGCAAGCTGCTGCTGAGGACTCCGCCGAGTAAGGCCCATTGCTTGATGACACTTGACACTCGTCCTCTCGAGTCCAAGTCCCTCTCAAGTTGGTGTAGGCATCGGATCCTGGGTTCGCCTCTACCTGCCAGAGGCTTGAGCAGACCGGAGGTCAAAGGACCTGACGAACCGACCGAGAAAAATCCCCTTCCTGCGACTGGGGGGTTTCCCTCGACTTGAACCTCTACCACCTAGCGTGTGGTAGGGCTTCGGATCAGAGTTTTTGGAATTTGGACTTTTTTGGTAGATGGGAGAGAGATTCTTTTTTGGTTTTGGGGTTTCATCTGTAGTGTGTGTGTGTGTGTGTGTGTGTGTGTGTGGCCAAGCTTTGTGTGTGCGTACTTACCTTTCACTGTATTCTGTTGTGTTGTGACTCTGTTGGTGCCTGGGTGCCTGTTGTTGTTACTGGGTGAACCAGTGAACCAGAAGGAGATGTAAACTGGATGCCTCAGGCATAACGGATATATGGCCTGGGAGGCCTCCGTCCGCCGATACCTAACTTAAAAGTCAGAACAGCCACCGTCATGGTCGTATCGATGATTCTATTCTTATTCTCATTCTCATCTTGGGAGAATAGATGATGAAGCTGAAAGCGACAGGACGTTCGTGTTTATATCAACGTCTTCAATTTCATCAGGAAGGTTCGCCGAGCACCGCTCAACCTCATTCCATGCTGACCCTGCATTGTACATTCCGTTCTGACCAGACATGATTGTTGGACACACCACACAGCTTTCGACATAGTCTGATTACATACAGCAGCAGGTCACAGTCCTAGAAGCGGCCACGAGGCAACAGAGGAAGTATGATATCTGGCATTCTATGAGAGAGAGACCTTGATCCATATCTTGTCCATCCCAGACGACGCACTCCCAACCAGTTTCACGTATATCACAGCTGGCGCTTTCAGGTCTCCTTGTCTACAAGGCTGGCAAGAGCTCTAACACCTCCAGAACTTGTCAATGTCGGCAAGATGCCTTCTGCGCCAACATGGATGATGCTAAGACAAGCACATCTATCGATCGAGCTACCTCGAATCTCAAACCCGTTGGATGAATTCGCAAGTCGACCATGTTCATAAGCTGCTCGGAAGACTGAACAGCATCATTACCAGTTACTGCACACTCCACGTTCCAACGATGCGCTTGACGGACCCTATTCAGCTTGCGCCGGAGGATCTGGCCATAGCTGTCGCAGAGATAGCAGCAATAGCTCAGTCATCTTTGACGATGACACCGTCGGGCCAGCTGAGGTTTAATGCAGTTCCTGCTGAAGAGGCTCGCAAGTGGTAAGAATCGGGTGTTGCGGCCGATCTTCGACTCGAATTTAGACACCCTCGGAGTTCGGACATGCGTAAAGATGGTCAAGGTGATGGCAATGCCATCGTCCGGTATGAACATCTAGTCATCCGAGACTTGGTTCTGCTGCCGTTGCCGCTCACCAAGGCAGAGGGTGCGAAGTGTGACGGTCGCATCGTGGATCATGTCGTGCTCAAATACAATCCGGTGACGACTTATGAGAAGGGATGTTCGTTGGCAACCGACGAGATAGATATCGCTGCAACGCCAATTGAAATTCCAACTTCAGCCCATAGAAAGTTGCATGGATACTGGAATGCTAGGGTCGAAGAAGCGCTCGACTCGCACTTCTCTGGTCTTTGTTGTTTCGAGGTTCGAGAACTGGCTACCTTGGCTCCGTCGCATCTGCGCAGAGGCATCGCCAACAAACTTCTCGCCTGGATCTTTCTTGTGAGCAGACGAATAGATGTGTCTGTTGTGCTGGCGGCTACTCCGCTGGGATATCCCTTTTACCTCCAACTTGGTTTCTGCTAATTTGGCAAAGAAAAGGGTTTTGTGGAGTGTAATTTGGCTGATTGGGGAGGGAATGGTATACACAGGCACATCCTTACGATCAGGAAGACCCAGATGTAAGACATGATATGACGGCATCCGAGGTATTCCCTGGTTGTCCTGCTTGTAGTGGAGGGTGCTATTCGGTATCGTCTGGCACAATTTGAAGACAACACCAACAAACGAGTCCTGTAAGGGCGTTGCAGTAGAGGTCGAGACAGAGTGAGGTTACTCCCCATAGATCGCTGCCAAAGCAGGAGCCAGGAGACTTGCCCATGAGCCATACCACAATTGCATACAGGACATGTTCGAGGTGCGGCAGGACACACTTGCAGCATGAGCTGATGCCTCGGGCCGTTGTCATTGCTGTCTGATGAGGTCCATCCACATATGTGCAAGTTGCCACTTCGACCTTACGTCTGAGGCAACATCGACCTATCGCATTCGAGCATTGTTCCAGCTTTCGAATTCGAACAGCATTTCTCTTGTAATGCTCTTAGGAGTGTTCTCAATCGCCTTTCTAATGTCCTCGGAGATGATCACGTCTCGGTCTGCATCAAACGCATATTCTCCGGCAGTCTGACAGATGGCGACAATCTCGGCTCCCGAGAATCCTTCAGTCGCTCTGGCAAACTCTTCAATATCTTCGTATAACTCCAGTCGTTGTTCCTCGTCGATCTTCTCTAACCGCTTCAGGAAGATCTCCCTCCTTGCCTCGAGGTCTGGTGGGCCAATGTATACCACGTTGTCGAATCTCCCTGGTCGCATCAACGCCGGATCAATGTTCTGGGGTTTGTTGGTTGCAGCCACGACCAGGACATTGCGTAGTTCTTCAAAGCCGTCCATCTCATTCAGAAGAGTCGTCAGGACGTTCAAGTCGCTTCCACTTCTGCCGCGAGAGGCAATGGCGTCAATCTCGTCGAAGAAGATGATGCTCGGACTGGCTGCTCTGGCTTTCCGGAACACTTCCCGCGTCGCTCTTTCGCTCTCGCCGACATACATGGAAATCAATTCAGCGCCTTTGACTGCCAGGAAGTTGAGGCCAGCTTCGGTGGCGAGCGCCCTGACCAACAACGTCTTGGAACAACCCGGTGGTCCGTACAGAAGGACGCCTTTCTTCGGCTGCAGTCCCAACTTTCTCATGCGATCGGCGAACTTCAACGGCCTTTCAACTGCATTGTGCAACTGTCGTTTAATCTCATGTTGCCCGCCAATGTCGGACCAGTGAACATTGGGTGTTTCGAGGAAAATCTCTTGTAGGGCGGATGGCCGTATCTCGCGAAGGGCTTCTTCAAGATCTATCGACTTCACTTCCAGCGGCGCAAGGGGCTCGCCCGAAGTATCTCGCAACGTTGTTCTGTCTCCCTTTGGTAAGGACTTCTTGCCATTGACCGTGGGAGGCGCATTTGATGGAGACCGATCGGCTGCAAGTTCCAAAGTCCGCCGGACGAGCGCATACAGGTCCGCACCGACGTAGCCATGAGTTCTCTCCGCCATCTCCTGAAGCAGGCCGGTTGGCGGTACAATGTCGTCACCACGCAAGGCGACCAAAATCTCCTTCCTCTGCAGCGCGGACGGGATAGGCAATTCGATCTCGGCCGCGAATTTCCCTTCAGATCGTAAAGCCCCGTCAACGTCATTTGGATGTCGAACCTCGCTCACGACCAATATTGGACTGTCCTTGATTTGATCGAACAACTTGTCAAGTTCGTTCACCATGTTAGACCCACCTCCTGCGTTGCGCAATATGTATCTCGGAGACAGGATAATCAGCTGGGGCTCATTTGATAGCCGAAGCTGTGTCCCCGGTTTCCAATCGACAACGGTTGGCCATCCGGACTGTGCCAGAGCCGAGATAAATGCACTTTTTCCCGTGCCCTTTGCCCCGTAAAGAAGGACGCCCTGGATAGGTCGATACAACTTGAAGTGACTCTTGACGACTGGTCGGCAGATTCTAGTGACAATGTCTCGTACCTGACGAACAGCTTCTTGCAACCCACCGAGATGGCTAGGACTGAAGTCGATTTCCAAAGCTGCGGTCGGTTCATTGGATGTACTAATCCGAAACTTGGTGTTCTTCGACACGCGCGCGATCATGGCATCATGGGCTGCAACATCCTTGACGACGAACTCCGTAACTTCAAGTCCCAATCTGAATCGCAGCCGCTGAGATTCGACCAAGCACTCGTCAACTCCAGGAATAGCTGATTTGGCATAAGTCTCCCAGAATTTCGTCCCCTCCTCGTCAAGAGTCGATCCGACATGTTCGAGGCTGACCCGGTCGGAGTCCTGCAACAATTGTGACGATCTGGCAATTACAATCTTATCGCCCAGTTTGAACCCGTACACTTCTTGAAGGAGCTTGGAGGTTTGAACAATCGAGTCTTTCATGCCTGCTCCGGAGGCCTCCCAGGCTATCGCCAGTTTCTTTTTACCATATTCAGCACTATCTGTGCTTCGCAGCTCGCAAGTGTCACCGGACTTGAGCTTCAGTGAGAGCATGGAGACAGCCGTCAATTTGATCCGAAATGGATCCTTGTCCGTGTTGGACGGACGGACAATGAAGGTTGACATTGCGTTTGAATGACTGCGTGGTGGTTCATCGCATATAAATACAAGGCTGAGACCAGTCTTCAGGGAGCCTTTCGAGAGTGGTGAGTTCTTGGGAAAATCTTGTAGTCGTCGGACTCCGTCTATGCGCAAATTCAACGAGCCGCCCAAACGATCCTAGGGCCAAATAATACGACAATAGCCCTTTCTATAGGATATGAAATTGTAAAACATCGCAAAAAATTGCAAGAATCGAAGTCATAAAAGATCTTGGCGCGTCTGTGCACGTGACCTGACTGTTAGCGCAAGGCTGCAAGGCTGCAAGGCTGCTCAGCCTCGCGAGGATCTCATGCATTTGAGAATATATTAGGTTCATAACTCTGCAAAGGCTGTATGCTCATACACTCAATATCACCTATTCCAGCGAGTCAAAGGATGCCTCCTTCCCTGCGCTGCGGGTAAGTCGTTGTGTCATACCACTGTCGTCCTCATTTGCTCGGCCAGTCGTGCCCTCCATGCCAGAATCGGCCACTTCTTCCTCCTGAATATCTTCGCTGGTTTCTTCAAGGCTAGCGGGAGAATGCGGAACATGTTCCCAAGCTTCTCCGTGGTCCTCTTTCGAAGCGGCAGCGATTTCTTTGACCACTTTTGCGCCTTCACTTTCTACCCCATTCCAAGCACCACACCCACTACACCTCCATCGTCCCAGCTCTTCCGGTGACTTGACCCCAGGAGGAGCTTGACCGTTGACTAAGCGACACTTGGAGCATAACAAGACAAGCCTATTTTTGGCAGCTGTTTCGTCCTCGCCGAGTAGGACATCAAGGATGCGGTCATACCAATGTGGACTGTGTTCGTACGCCGTACTAGGGGGTGGCGCTTGCGGAAATGCATTTGGAGCGAATCCTGGGAGGTCCGGTGCGAGATCCGTGGGGCTCTGTGCGAGCATGGGAGCCATAAGGGGCGATCGTCCATGACCCGGAGACAGAGGACTGCCATTGTTGGGCGGGCTCGTTGGCGGAGGGGACGTGAAATTCCGACCTGGAATATTTGCAGTAGGTGGAGGAGCAATCCCAGTCCTTTGAGGAGGTGGCTTCTCTGAGATATTGGCCTTTCGTTTACCACCTTGTGGTTGTCTGGACGGAGTCTTCGCTGGCGGAGCACCACCGTACTTCTGCAGTAGTTCTTGCGTGCTATCGTATTTGGTGGCCTTTTTCAGCTCCGTGATCTTCTGTTCCCTCTGTTTTTGCAACCGGTTTAGGTGTGCTTGTTGCCGATTGATTCTCCAGTCGAAGAAGGTCGACAGCAGTTTTCGTACAGCAAAGATGATAACTGGTGTCCCGGTGAGGCCTGCGTAGTGGTAAGGCGACCAATTTTGAGGGCCGAGAACAAGCACAATGACAAGGGTGTAAAGTAGGTAGGTCAAAGTGGTGTAGAGTGTCCATAGGGCTTTGATGCGGCGGCCGCGACTTCGACTGGTGTCAAGAGCGAGGTTTGCAGAGGTGATCTGAGCGGAGAGTTTCGAAAGGGCTTTTTCGAAGGAGGCCGGGGAGTTTGCGTCGCCCTTGGTCAGTCATGTTAGTGATGGTTGCGGTAGTAGTATTGATGTCTCAGAATAGTCCTCTTACCTTCCAGAGCCAGGACATGCTGGCTCTCCTCATTTTGGACGGATTCCCAGATGGACAGGGCCTGATGCAGAATAAAGTATGCTTGAAGGATGTCACCGAAGCACCACCTGTTCCAGGCGCATCATGGTATGTGAGATGCCCCTGTCACACACGCTGGTCGGAGTGTCACAGAGTGAATAGAATATTGTTTGTTGCCAGAGAGAAGGCAGGCTGCGTCATTCCTTCGTTGACGAAATGCGGCGACGGAGCACGCTGCTCTCAGATCAACTAGCAGAATAGCTACTAGTACTATCTTAGGTCCAGGTACTTAGTGAGCTACTAGTAGTAAGGGAAGGTACCTGCCGAGCTACCTAAGGTAATTGTGGGGGTGAAGAGTTGAATAATGGCGAGATTTCCTTCTCAAAGCAGATAATATCTTGGCACAATCGGCGACTCGGACTCGGAGGAATTGAACACGAGACGCGCCTCGTATCGCATCCGCATTCGTATCGCATTGATTTGTCTCCCTTGTGTCCTCTCAACTTCAAGTTGAGGACAGTTCAACCACCACTAGTATTTGCGCAGGCTACCGACATCCCACACTGTTCTCTGCCAGTGAGAAGTATTTCTTCACAGCTCGGTCGTTCGCATTGTCTCTAGCCGTTCCATAAGCTACTCGCTCACCGACCCCGACTGTTTACGGCTTCATTGAACCACTACTTGCAAAGATGCCCAGCATGTGGCTCACAGATGTGCAGAGTATGCGACCTGTCCACCCTACCCTGTCCCAGCACCTTCTGCATGATCAACCAGGCTAACTGTATATAGAGATTGGGGTGGCTTTCTGCTCTGGAGGTGAATGCGCCGGATCCCCTTACCACACATGAAGAGGTATTGACTGTGAAAGGTGGATTGTTTCTGTTCGGAGGTGTCCTCATGTTCTTTGATCGTTCCATGTATGTTTATTTGGTGTCAGTTGACCACTCTTTTGCTAACTGCATTCTAGGCTGGCAATGGGCAATGTGCGACATGTCTTCCCCTTTCCTCCCGAGGCCGCCATACTGATCCGACTGCCAGATTCTGTTCCTCATCGGCCTCACCCTCATCATCGGCTTTCATAAGACGTTCATGTTCTTTGCCCGGCGGCAGAAGCTCAAGGGCACAGCAGCGTTCATGAGCGGCATTTTCCTCATTTTGATTCGTTGGCCGCTGATTGGGTTCTTGGTCGAGCTATACGGGATCTTTGTACTGTTTGGGGACTTTTTCGCGACCATCGCCTCGTTCGCAGGTAACATTCCGATCGTGGGGCCGTATATCCAGATGGCACTGCAAAAGATGTCAAGAGGAAGACGGAATGCCGAACTGCCTGTGTGAAGACCGAATTGTTATGTTCGCAACAGGCCAGCACCGAGGGGTTCTTGTCGGTCTCAGCTTAACAAGCTCGCTGCAACTCAAAACATACCTTGCTGGAAAAGATAGCCACACTCAGGATTCAAAGGTAATTATCCCAATTACTGCAGACGGCGGGGCGACTGTGTGTGGCCATGACTTCTCCAGACTGTCCGGAGCGCCAAAGCCACGCACGGCTACCAGCATACTAGGCCGTCGACAATCCCTATCCATATCGAGATACTCTTCGGCCCGAAAGGGTCATCCTACGACTGCTCGAACTCTGCACCGTCCAATCACTGGCCTTTGCATCGAAGAGCCGAACACCGGCTATGGACCAGGATACGATACGCGACGACGGTTCGCAGCAACATATACTGGATTGATTGCCGCTGACGCCGGTCGTATCCCAGATTGTTTGCAGCATCGGGCAAAGATCTTCAGTTCTCCACATCCTTGGTGTCTCACCGCCTACAGCAGAGGCAGCACGCCCACCTCCGCCACCACTTCAATCCACTTAATCATGCAAACTGCATCACATCGAGGCCCGACTGCCATTCACAACCTCTACTGAAAGGCGAGGACTGTAGCAATTCGGACTTGTCAGCCCGCTCGCTCTGGGGCACAACAATTTCTGAGATCGAGCAGACTACAGTCGAGTGGGGGGACTGCTGACGCTCCGAGGGCCGGGCGATATCTGGGGGAACCGGAACATGACGAGATTCGTGCACATGCGTGCCTGATATACCTCTCGAGTTACGCGTGGCCGACATCTGCCGGGCAGATGTCTAAGTGGACAACCTGGAACAGGTGGTTGATGTGGTTCTTAACATCCATAGTGGTATACGAACACGAATTTTGACGCCACAATCTGTTGATTGTGACTGGAGACATGCCAGTACTCTGTTCCATGATGGGCAACGACTGATTGACATCATGGCTATCTTCCTGGGATGCTGCAAGCGCTCACACCCAATCAAGTCCCGTCTCTCCTTCTGTACTCCAGCCTGGGATGTCATCAACTTCCATTGTCATGTCCCATATTTGCAAGGGTCCACAATGATATGTATCTATAACGACTTCAATGGACCGGTTTTCTTTACAGTCGTACATCATATATCAGCATAACCCACTCCTCCTCCAACAGTATCTCCCGACCCCGACCCCGGCCAGCCAAAAAGACCACTCAATCCATGAGCGTTCACGTCGGGCGCCATGGCGAGCAGGTCATAGCCCATACCCATACTCCAGAGCATATCGTCTTCCGTTTGCCAGCCACCGTATGACCCTGTCGATGAGCCAGGACCAGCACCATGTCCCATATCTGGCTGTGCAGGCTGTGCTTGCGTGTGCGGCGACACCGAAACTCCGCTGTAGGGATCATATGCTGTGGAAGTCGGATTCGTATTTGCGGCTTCTCCGCCCATACTAGCGACTCGACCTCCATCTGTCGGACCGTTCGGATGCGTCTGGGCTGGAATCTGTGGCGGTTGGGTGTTGTATGTGCGCGGCGATGCTGTCGTACCATTTCCGTGATGCCCAGGACCAGAAATGGCATAAAGGTCCGTGACATGTTGATGCGCTCGAGGCTGCTGTTGCGGCGCAAGGTGTGACAACGAACGTTGAGGTTGATTCAGCTGATGTGGGTACGACGACGATAATTCGACACCAGTTGTTGCTGCACTTTTTCCTTCCTGTTGCTGTAATTGTTGGTCCATCCCGCCCATGTAAGCGCCATTTGGGGTGTTTGGGCGATCATGCGCAATCCCGATCCAACTTTTCTCGCCATTGTTGGCTCCGAGATTCCTTGTCAAAAGTCTTTCAAACCCATCCGCCATGGCATACAAGATATGACCCTTCCCAGCACGACAGCTGCGGAAAAGATCAATGACAGCCTCGATCAACGGCTTCGTTTTGACCTCCGGGTCGATGTTGACTCCGATGCCCCGCCATCGGGAGGACATTTTGATCAGGAATACTACGGCGAAGGCAATCACTGTATGTAAGTACAAGGGGATGCCGACCATGGAATCACGAATCGAGGGTTCTTCGAGAACGATGATGAGGATCTGGTGTGCTGAAGTTATGGCGTGGGATGCCAATGGTTGCAAGGAATTCGGCAGCGTCGATGTCGAGGAGATGGTGACTAAGGAACGGCCGCGGAGAGCGAGGGAGTTGAGCATCATTGAGGCGAAGTGGTAGTGGAGTTCGACACCTGATATGGTGAGGAAAAGGGAATGTTAGCTGATGCTTACTAGTAAGGAAAGAGAGAGGAGGATGGAGGAAGGTAGAGTAGACAGGACAGTATGGTCTTCGAGTCAAACGCATAACCAGGAGTCGTAGAGGATCAGACAGGAATGTGGAGCAGATAGGATAACATGACTGAAAGATATAGGTCTCCACAGAATGGTAAGACAGGAAGAGCTCCAGACTTACCAACAGCAGGATAATCACCGACATGAGCATCCCGGTTCAGCGCATGTCGAAACTGATACCTCCAGCGGTCCAAATCCTCGATGAAACGCTGATGGGTGCGTAGAGTATCATCATCGCCATCCATCAGTTTCTCAGACTCCAACCCGAAATGGTTATACGCCCTGCTGAGGATGATGAACAGAGCGACCTGCGACAATACGCGGCGGTCCGATGGCGAACACTCAGGAGCTTCGAGGAACACATCATACTCCTTGATGGCTTGAAGTTCTGTGGTGGCGGGCGGTCGACCATAAGCTATACTGAAATGATGGTCGAGCACGTACAGCAGATACCACAGCCGTGCGCGCTCAAAGGCATGGCCTCGGTCAATTTGGGATTGCTTCTGCGAGTAGAGTGCCTTGTAGAAGGCCTGGTGTAAGTTGAGCTCGGTGGCCATGCGGACGCAATGACCAGAAAGTTTCCAGCTTAGATCCGGGAGCCAGAATGCAGCTATGCAGAGGGCGCGGATGTCTTCCAGAGTGTGAAAGCGGTCGAAGAAGGATGTGGCGATGAGGTCGCGGAGGTGTTTATGGGCGGCGGCGTGGATTTTCTCTTTACCAGGGATGTGCAGAGATGTCACGGTGATGATGGCGGTGAAGAATAGAGTGGAGGATTCGCGGACGGAGAGTAGGGAGCGGGATTCGTGGATGGTGGCGGCATATAGATACCGCGACAAACTGGTTTTGAACAGGTTGAACATATCCTCTGCTTCTTCGATGGTGACAATGCCTGTAGAAACTAGATCTTTTTCCATGTTCTTGCGCGAATTGCGACGGGCGGGATCCCCGTATTTCAACCGACTTCGCAGCGTGTTGAGCTGGGTCACTTCATAGAGACTACCCATCGGAGCGGGCGCCATCTCCTGTGCGTCCTCGGGATTGGGTTCACGAGAGTTCTCCCGCGTAGTCTGTGCATTGGATTCCATGGGATTCGACTGAGAATGTTGTGTACTGGTGTCCAACATGGTAGATTGTGGATGTCGCGGGTTGGAGTCCACAGGGTTGTTAGAATTAGAAGGCTGCCGATCGGCGTCCACATGGTCATGATCAAGGTGAGGTACTTGGATGGATTGTTGAGATGGGTGGATTCGTAGATACGACTCCAACGGCGGCATCTTCAGCCTGGCGAGAATATCCTCGACAGCCCGGTCCAGCCGGACGATGGAGGGATGAGCATTCTCTCCATCGTCGTCCAGACTGACCCTCAACCGTTTGGAAGTGATGCAATCCAGACCCAGGCGTTGGCAGCGCGAACATCCCGTGTCGCCACGCTCAAGACTGTCACATTTGACCTTCAACTTGCGGCATGCCAGACACGCTCGACCTTTCCGCGAAACATGGGGTTCTGGGGGAAAGTGGTCGGCGGACCTCTTGCGGTCGTGCGTTAGTAGAGGCGAAGCATGATTGGGAGTGTCATCGATCGAGCCGCTCCATGATGGTTTGCGAGGATCTTGAGAAAAGGATGGACTGGACGGTGAAAGTTGGGATTGAGATTGAGATTGAGATTGAGATTGAGATTGAGACTGAATGTGGTGGACGTGATCCTTGGTCTCGGCCATCGTCGGCCAGGAAGAGCATTGGTGACAGGTGATGGCTAAGATGATAGGTGGTAAGATGGGCGACGCTGAGTTATCGACGACGGTGATACCGATGGAAGAGCGGTGAGTTCCAGAGCTGTCTGTTGACGTTGATGTTGTCGTCGCCGTCGCCGTCCGGCAACCGAATTCAGAAACTCACAAGTTGGAAGTTGCATGTTTTCTTCCCCGCAAATTGCGTCTCCCACTAAACTCCCGCAGTCTCTCGCTGCCGCAGCCAATTCAATTACCTACTACTCTACTACCTGTTGCTGGTAGGAGAGTACTACTAGTACTACCTTACCTGTAGAGCTACCTGCCTCTAGTACCTAGGCACCTATGGTCCCTATACTTTTCCATCCATTCTTCTCTCTCTCAGTCTCACTCTTACTCTTTCTCCAACTTCAACCCATTCAATCGCCATTTGCTGTCAAATCAGTCATCGGTCCAACGTCCTTCTCGCCCCTGGTTGTCCCTTTCCGGTCTTCGGGTTCAAACATCCTCCTCAAGTACCCTCGTCGCCTTCCTTACCACTGCGTATTCAGCACCCATAGTTCTCGCTGCGGTTGCAGCTAGCTTGCTCCTAATGTCCCATCGCAATGTCTCTCTCGACGAAATGGCTCTCGCAGATGTGGATGAGTCTCAAGAGCAAGCAAGAACATTGGCTTCAAGCTAATGTGTTCGATGTAGACGCCAGAGAACAAAGCCCATGTTAGAGCTCAAGACAGGTATGGCGCTTAGGAGCTGGGAAGGGAACTGTTGAGGACAACTTGGATTGATATATCACAGTATTCCCCGACTTACACTTCTTCTCTGGCCACAGACTTCCCCATCTCGTCAGTTTTGCACACAGACAGCTACCTCAGATGGGCACGTTACTTGTACATGCTGAGGGACAGCCTGATGATCTGCGTGCCTTGTTCCAACTGAATCTACAATTCAGACGTCTCAACGTTTCGCGCTCCCGCCTCCTTGTTGTTGCCGCCCCCGTTCTCGTCACCGTTGCCCTCGTTGACGTTGTTGTTGTTGTTGTTGTTGTTGTTGTTGTTGTCGGCGTCTTCTTTCTTGTCGTTGTTGTGGTCGGCGTCGCCATGCTTGTCCTTCTCTTCCTTCAGTTCAGCTTGCTTCCGCCAACCCGGAAGCACAATATTCATCAACTTCTTGACCAGCTCGTCTGTGATTTTATTGAACACGGCGTCCTCTTCCTCCGAGTTGTTGCCCTTGGTGAAGTCAAAGTCCTCGAACCCGTTTGGCCCGAGCAGCCGCGTAGCCATCTCAACCACCAGAGACGTCCAGCTGGTCGTGAGCGCTGCAATGTCTTCGGTCAACTGAGCTTCAAGTTTCCTCGAGTAATGCTGTCTTTCCATCTCCTCTGGATCCTCCACGTTGATGCTTTGTTCCTATTCATCCAAGACCATCAACGCATTGTCCTCATCCACCCTCAAGGTCGCCCTGGCGAGACTGGCATTGACAAGGAACTCGGCCACCTTGAATTCTGCCAGTTCATTCTCACCCGGCGGGTATCTCCCAATCAACTCAAGCAAGGCTTCGGTCTTTAATCTTGCTCGGCGCGCCTGAACGGTCGTGCTGACAATCAGACAGTTAGCACGCGCGTTGGCCTGCTTTGACGAATCCTCTGACGACTCCTCGGATTGGAGAGCTGGAGGATCTGCAGTGTGCGCGTCGTTGGCCAGGTTTTCTGTTGAATCGACTGCTGACTTATCCGCCTCGATTGACTCAAGTCTTTCCTCGTTTGTCTGAACAGACTCGCGCTCTCCCAAGCACAAGTCCCTCAATGCCTCTGCCGCATCATATTGATCGATTTGCGGGTTCGAACCAGGAGACGCCATTTTGGAAGGTGGGAGAGTGAGTGGTCAATCTCTGCTGAGTCGGAGAAACTAGAATAACCGCGGCGTCTCCTCCAGAAATCAGTCAGACAGACTTCAGTAGGCGCTCGTGGAAGAGATATGCTGAACAACAGTGATGATCTGGTCAGTTGCAGGCACTGTTGGCTGCACGAGGAAGGCTGATGGAATTACCTCGACCTCAGTGTGTGAAAAGAAGTCCACAGCCAGAGATGCTGTCGACCCAAAAGCGAGTGCACAGAGTAATACTGCGTGGGAAGATGGTCTGTTACAACAAAATAACTCGGTGTCAATGTCAATAAATGATGATGATTGCAGCTGTTTGTTTTGTGATGCGGTAACAGTAAGAGTCAGAGGCAAGTCGACCAAGATGGAAAATGGAACAGGGACTGAGGAAGACCAAGTTCTTATGGGGTTCTTTCATTCGATCCTACAGCGCCTTCCCTTTCTGAAAATACATCTTAAGTCTGGGTTTGTTTCTTGCTCCTGCGTTACTCCTTCCCTCAGCGAGCCTGGATGCCCTGACTTCATCTTCCACACCGAACTGCGCACAAGGACTGTTTAGTCTTTGGTTCAGATTCTACCGCAGATCCAAATGCATTCCTGGCGGCACAGATCATGAGGTTTGGGACAGGGGGAGATGCCTGTGGTCGCTACAGACCTTTTCCCTTTTTAGCTTCCCTTTTTGCTTCCCTTTCTGCATTCGCCTTTCACACCGCCGATCTCCCTAGGCTTGGACGCTGTCAACCTCTCATCACAGTGTACTAGTACCTCGTGAGCATGACTGCGTGGCGCATCAACACCCGCCAATCCATGGTCGCAACGTTCATGACTCGGTTGAGTGGTGGTCGTAATGGGACGAGCGAGCACACACAAGTGCGTTGCGACGACTGTAATGTGTTCTTCGGGAAAGCGGCACAAGCTATTCTTGATAAAATTGAATGCGACACGGAACGCCGCATCTAACACAATCGCCTCGACTCCTTGCAATCATTTTTATTCCCGTTCGACCTGGTCGCAGCGCAAACTCCATCAACTCAACACCTGTGGTTGCAAAGAAGAATCCTTTGATGACAATTCGATCCAGAGCTCGGGTCTCAACCCCACACGCACCGGGCCGCTAAGGCAGTGTCGTGGGCTATCTGCCATATCTCATAGACAGTCTTGTCATGGCTGATCATCAATAATCGTATCTGTAGCTGGGATCAACGCGATCTAGAGGATCCCATGGTTCTCTTGCCCTTAAGCAAATGAGCGGGCAGCGATGCCGTTTCATGTCGATCAGCCTCTCCCTGTCTGGCCATGCGGTTCCTCTGTCTCTGGCCCAATTTCGACATCCGCTCTGCCTTGTCGCGCTTCACCGGGTCGGTGATGCCACTGGCACTGACACCCAACCCATCCGTCAGTCTGTTCGTCTTGGGTGCCCGGGACACAGACCTGGCCCTTGCCGAGGGTGTGTCGAGGTCCATATGATCACCCGCCGTCGATTCAGGCCGAACATTGCGGATCTGCGCTCGGGCTCGATCGACAGGAGCAGCCGAGTCCAGACCGATCGAGTTGAAATGCTTTTCCATCTGGCCCACCGTCCGGGCCTTCTTGGCTCGCGGGATGTGCGCCTTGTTCTTGAGACTCTTCTTCATTCGGGCCTCGTTCATGATCAAGGTGCGCTTGTTACGGATCAGATTGGCCTTCATTCGGATCTCGGCGTCGTCCTCATCTTCCATACTCTCGCTCTCGTCATAGAACCCTTCGGCCTCCAAGCGCTCCTCTTCTGCTTCGAGTGCCGCCAACTTCTCCTCGATGTCCGGGTCAACATAGTCAGCAATGTTTTTGCCGTGGAAGAATTCCGGGACCTTGTCGTGATTCCATTCGGAGTCTGCCAGATCGTAGATCTTCTTGAGATCCACATTGTACACACCGGCACCACCGTTTTCTTCTTCGATTTCCCGCTCAAGTTTCCTTCTCTCCGGATCAGCCTTGTCGTATTTCTTGTAGGTGCCTTTCTTCACGGCTTCCGGAATGTACGTCTCGCTAACAGAACCTTCCATAGGCCTGGCCACGTGAATCCTAGCGAGAAGATCGCCAAGGCGTCCGGTAAGAGCATCGGCGCCGGATGGTTGAGACGCTTGCCCAGCCTTGAGCTTAGCTGCCACGCGATCGGCAATCAATCGGTCACAGACAGTGTTCTTGACTTCTTGTACTCCTTCATTGGTAACACATGACAGCTGCAGAAGCTCGGTGTTGGAATTTTGAGTGAGCAGGTCATTCAGTTGTTGTTGTGTTTCCGGGTCGAGATCTTCCGGCTTCATAACATCCGTCTTGTTGATCACGATAAAGACAAGTTTGTTGGCGAACAGTGGTTTGATGGAGTTGAAAAGAGCCATTTGCGCGGACACGGAGTAACCGCACTGTTCAGAAAGATCCATAAAGTAGAGAATGGCTGATCTCAAGTGAGCAATCGCAGTGATCGACTGCATTTCGATCGTATTCATTTCCTCAAGAGGGTGATCGAGGATACCTGGTGTGTCGATGGCCTGGAATCTCAGATACTTGTAATCAAAGTGTCCCACGAAGAGTGATTTTGTCGTAAATGCGTACGGTTGCACATCCACGTCGGCGCGAGTGACGGATTTGAGAAAACTCGACTTGCCAACATTGGGGTAGCCGCAGATGAGCAGTGTCCGGGTGTTGGGGTCGATGGCGGGAAGACGTCCCAAATGCTGTCGAACTTGCTCCAGGTACACCAGGGGATCTTTCAATCTCCTGCAAATTGTGGCCATCCGACCGAGGGCAGCCCGCTTGAGAGATTTGCATTGGAACAAAGACTGAGCATATTTCAACAACCGGACATAATCTCTAGCCACGGTCTCTATCAGCCGCTTGGCTGTGGATAGCGTGCCTAACGCGATCTTGAAATGGTCGGCATCGTAAAGAGTGTTGAGGAGATCTTTATGGAAAGGATGGATATCTTGCAGCCGCGGGAATCCTTCAAGGATGGCCTGAAGTTTTTCGCTGAATGTCTCGGCGGTGAATTTGACCTTGCGAGTGTAGAAGCCTGAAAGGATACATTAGCTGGGATGTTAAAAGCGCTGTGTCTCAGAATCTCTTACTTCTAATTCTGCTGATCTTGAAGCCCGCACGAATCTGCGTAGGTAGTCGCCGCTGGGTTCGGCTGAGAACAATGTCGATAAATTCTTGGGAGGTAGGAACCGGAGCGATATCCTTCCAAGTGGTCTTCATCTTGCCGGCAGACCTTTGGGGACGACGACTCTCGAAGGGAATGACCGTAGTGAGAACAGAAATCTTAGGAAGAACTGTCGGAAGGACTTCGAGAACAAAATTTCTGGAGGCGGTGACTGCGGAATAATTCTTATCGCTATCGGTGGGGAGGCAACTTAACCGAGAGCCAAAATGCGATAACGCCATGCCACTTTCGTGCTAGTTCCTTGTTAAAATCTGAGGGGTCCGGACGATAATGATATACTACACAGCAACAGCGGCCATATCAGCCAGATCGCCCGAATGACAACAGCGGATGCAACCTCAACGACAGCTGTTAGGAGGACATTGACATTATGAGTCACTGGTTTGTGGGATCGTGCTATATCTAATAAGGGGTTGCTCATATAGATACATTGTGTTATCTACCCATGCTTCTCTCTATAGCTTCTAATTCGCATTTCCAACGCAGCTTTTGTATCCCAGATGAAGAAGACCACCCGCCCAGTCTTGCCAGTCCCGGCACCGCCTCTACGCACTTCCCGGCTCCTCCTCCGGCCATTCCAACCATCCGACCTTGCTGACTTCCATGTTCTTCGTACCCAGATCGAAGTGATGATGTGGACCAGCACCGGCAAGGAAGACGCCAACCAGGAGGTCACTCAAGCATGGATGAATAGGTTCCTGCCTCCAAATGAAGCCACCACATTTAATTTCGCGGTGGAAGAATTGGCAGTGCCCGGAGTGGTCATTGGTGCTTTGGGATGTCACACTTCAGAGCCTCCAGAGGTTGGGTTCTTCTTCAGGAAGGAATACTGGGGCAAGGGGTACGCCACTGAAACTTTTCAACGTTGGCTTCAAGCGTGGTGGGAGCTGCCCAGGAAGGAAGTTTTGATCGACAGTGAAGGCGAGGATTTGACCGCTCAAGGGCTGGATGGCGACATTGACATGGTATCCGAGGTCTTGCGGGCTGACAGAGATGCGAGAAATGTTGCAAGTGCTCGTTTGCTGGAGAAATTCGGGTTTCGCCCGGTCGGAGAAAAGACAGAGGAGATAAATGGAGCTGTCGTCAAAGTCATAAAAGCTCAATTGCAACGTCCAAACTAGACGTCGACCGACACCGATGTCTATGCACATTACTTTTGCACTTCTGAGCGTCTTTCCTCCGCTTGCCGTGTCATCTCTGCCCGCATCTCGTCTTTCATTCGCGTTATCGTGCCCACTCCGCCGTAGACAAGGGCAGTGTAGACCATGGCAACATTGGCACCGGCATTGAGAACTTCCAGAGCTTGTTTACCATTTGTAATTCCACCAGTTGCGAAGATCACTTTCGGAGAGTCCGAAGGCGGTAGGTGAATCTCTGTTCCAAGCTGGTCCATAGCATCGCGTTGTGCTTTTGGCGGTAATCGGTCCAAGGCTTCTTTGATCCCCTCTAACTGAGCGGTCTCTTCAGGTGACTCAATAGCTGGGCCTTCATCAGATTGAGAACTCGAGTCTGGTGTATCTTCTTCTGATTGTGGGTTATCATACAAGCGCTCTTGTGGGAGTTCGATGAGAGGCTGCTGCTCCGAAGAAGAGATTTCGGGGACTGGAACAACAGGAATGACACCAGTGTCGATCGACGTGGTAACAGCGTCAGGCTCTGGCGTCGACGGTGACTCCGAACTGGCTGCAAGTTCGGCTTTGATCTTCTCGGTTTCCGCTTCCACGGCGCCCTTTTGTCTCTCAACAGGCGTCACTTGAGCAGGCTGCTCTGCCAGTAATTTCTTGTATTTCTTGACCAGTGCCACTGTCCGGTCGAACAAGTGAGGACCTGAGAAACCGCCCGTTTCGAGCAGATGTTGCTTTTCTAATGGAGACCATTCCGGCAAGTGTGGAAGCGCTTGAGGCCGCCGGTTGGTAGTGTTTCCAACGATAACCCCGTCCACTCCAGCAGCCCAAACTGCATCACAGATTCCGGCAATTTGGGCTTCTGAGTCTTCGTCCGGGCTGACCTTGACCATGACCGCAGGTCTAGTCCGCCGATCAACAGCATGAGCAGCCTTGACCACACCGCTCAGGATCGTTTGAAGCTTGTCAGCTTGCTGCAGTGACCGAAGTCCTGGAGTATTGGGACTGGAAACATTGACGACCAGGATGTCGGCATAAGGGCCGAGTTTCTCCACACAATACACATAATCCTTCGTCACAGCTTCGACATCGTCCTCCGGGGTGACCTTATTCTTGGCAATGTTGATGGCAAGCATTTTGCCAGGGACCAAGCTCCCGGGAGGCACGCCAGCGATACCGTCTAGGACAGCCTTCTCGGCAACCTCATCGCTGCCCAAGCCTAGGGAATAGGCGAACTTCCTCACCCGGGTCCGTAGTCTAGAGGCCACATGGTCTGCGCCTTCGGAATTCAGGCCATATCTATTGATCATGGCCTCTTGAGATGGCAGCCGAAATACTCGGGGCTTTGGATTGCCCGCTTGAGGCAATGGTGTCGTTCCTCCAATCTCGACGATGGCCGGGCCAATGGCAAAAAGGGCATCAGGGATATCGGCATGTTTGTCAATACCCGCTGAAGTCGCGACTGGGTTCTTGAGAATCCGGCCGAAGACCTCGACTTCAAGGTCCCCCTTCTGGTCGAGGTCAGCCCGTTCTCGTGGGTAGAGGCCCAGGTCCCACAGTGTCTCCAAGGCTTGATTTCCAGCATGATGAGCTTCTTCTGGATCCTTGTAAATGAACCGGAGAGCAGGAATGACAATATAGCGGTGGGCACTGGCTCTTGTGTCTGTGACGTAAAGATAGACGATGCCTAAGCCCAGGGCAAGAGTAGCGCCATAGCAGACATTGATGATACGTGAGCCCCAAGTCGAGGGTCTGTCAGTGGTTGAGGCGTATCTACGAGCAGTAATGCTGGCGAAGGGAGGTCGGCCTAGCAACAGGGAAGGTTGCAATCGCGGTCGTGCAGCTCTCCAGAGCAACCTCGATGGTATTTGCTTCATGATTGCTGGGTTACGCAATGGCTGGGAGATGTGTAGAAGTCTTCACCGTGACATAATCATCACGTAGCTTTCGACTGTATTAGTGAGGAAGGCTGGAAAGTCGACGAGACGCAATATGGTGGATCATGGATAGCCTGCAAGCAGTCGGAAGGCGGTGGAAAAGCTTCAAACATCAGACATGGAAGATGTGGATGAAGCCATCGAACATGATTGGCCGAAAGAATTCATCGGTCGACCTTCCCTTTAAGGATCTGCTATTTCTTGATTGTCACTAATGGCATGCCAAGTGTTGAGTCTTTTTCTGCTACTACTAGTACTGTCGACAGTTGTGATTGTTTTACTACAGAGAATACTCTTTACATCAAGCATTGAACAACAATATTGTTCCATGGTCTCGGCTAAGATTTCTATCTCGAACAGCCGTCTTGCGCCCTCTCCCAGGACATGGGACATTGCTGTCCAAGACGATGCCGTAGCTCAGCCACTCACCCAAGAGTCAGATGCCAGGCCTCCTGATCCCAACTCGAACCGGTGATCACAAGGCGGCCAGTACTCCTGGCAATGGGTGATCCGATTGAGAAGGTCGAGTCAGATGAACAGTACGGTGTAGTGACAACATCGCCATGCACCGTCAGACACTTGATTCCTCCGCCATACATCGATCGACGGCAGTCTGCGAACACGGATCACGGTTGCATATACATGTTCTTTGTACATTGCAAAAGTATAGATCTAGACGACCCCGACGAACGGTCTAGCCAGTCAATAAGATCGGAAGGTCCTTGGTCCGCCAATCCCTCGAGGCTAACTCGGATCATTCGTCTCTCGGAGCCCCTGATGACATTTGTGTTATTGGTTGCGTTCCAGCCAGCCAGCATGTGCTCCCCACGATTCTCGGTCTGTTCTCCATGAGCGATTTTCCTGGTTCTCATTTATTTCAACAGCCAATACGATTACGTTAGTCCCTGACCAACCGCTGTAAGTACAACTTACATCCCGAACCCAGGCGTCCAGCTGTGAGAGCAACCAGCTGTGAGAGCAAGCATCCATCTCAATATATCCAAATCAAACGTACTGCAGAACATGATCTCCTAACTTGGCAAGCCGAGGCCATGCCCCGTGGCCAGCTACTATGCGCATCGCGTGACTGTTCCAGGCCACGCAATGGTCAAAGGCATCTGAGATCATGGGCTCATACTATTCTGTAATTATATTTATATGACGAGGTCGTATCCATCGTGATCTAACACGTACCTTATCTCATCTCATGCATATTTCATCAGCATTGAAGTCATCGCACCGTGAAGAGACCATCTCACTGAACAACGCACCTCCACAACATCTCATCGGTCCGAGAGAAACACATTCAACTCCGTCCGTCCTAGCGGCCCGAAGAATCGTGAAGAAAGATCCGGGAAGCCGCACAAGGGGCCTGGCCATTGAATCAAGGTGTCTGGCCAACTCATCGCGCTGACGCATAGGCCGCATCAGCCCATCAGGGTTCAATATTCGAACATACAAGCATCAGAATCCAGCACAGACAGCATAGCCGTTTCCGTCCGCATCCGAACGGGGCCAACATCACCCACTCATCTGTCGTCCGGCTGCTCTCGCAACGACCGATTCTCCTCCCCTGACATATCCACCATATTGTAATTGTGGTTTGCGGCGGAGCTTGTGGGTTTCCTGTAGTGAGTTCCATGTTTTGGTGCACAAAGTCTTTTTTATTATAGTTGGTACTATACTCCCACCAGGACGGTCTCTTGTCTCCCTCTTGACTCTACCCCGGATTCAGAGATATCTATCACTTTAACTATCAAAGGTCTTGATGATCGGCAGGCCCGTCACCATGGCATCAACATCAGAGCCAGACATACTGCCTTCCTACAACACTCTCTTCCCCGAGGAAGAAACTAACAACGTCGTCAATGGCCGCAGACGCTACACCACCATTACCCTGCGAGAGATTCACTATCCCGGTGGCTGTCCCTGTCATCCCAAGGAAGAAAAGTCACGGAAGAAGGGCAAACAAAAGCGCCAACCGCCTCCATCATCAGCTGCTGGGTTTGACGATCCCGTCAATGAAACTGCATGGGTGGGCCACGCTGCCCCGACTCAAGCGGTAGCGGAACGGTCGATCAGCCAGAGCAGCGAGACGGCGAGTTCCAACCACAGCATTTCCGGCGATTCGAGATCCTCAAAAGTTCGACCCTGGGACTGGTTTACCCGCAGAACCTCCGGCTAGATGTGGTCGATGTTGATGAACCTACATCCATTTACCTTACGTCGTCCACGCCCAGATTTGTCACCAGTCTGATGAAATGGTGGAAGGTCAAAGTCCTGCCACCACCATCGTGCGAGATCTACTCGACCAATCTGGATTATGCCTACCATGAGCAGCAGTATGGAAATGAGACCACCGGGGCTTCTGACCGGAGAATCTCGGGACATTCACAGAAGCCATACCCTGTGGCTCAGATCAAGTACCCGGGCTGGGAAGGCATGAGCTGTCTGAAGTTGACAGACGCTGTACAACTTCACACCGGCCATGCACTTCGATCCTGCACTGCACTAGCGGCACGACGATAACTCGGAGATCCGCCAGCGCTGGACCATGGAACGAGTTGGCTGCAAGCGGGAATACGAATGACCTCCACGACCACCACGAGTCTACATCCAACATACACGAGGCGCAGTAGACCCAAGTCTGAGATCCTGACCCTTCTGGCGTGGACGATGGCCATGCTGCGGCGAACGGAGATCTGTGTTTCGAAGACCACACTGGTGGTGTTGTCGCCGTGTACAAGCAAAGACGTGACTATTGGGTCCTTGGGGCTCTGAGGATATTCCCACAGACTCTGGGTCTGGCTGCCGACACCAACGTTCAAAACTGGGAGCTCGGAATTGACAATGTTTCTGTCATGAGGCTGTCGTTCGCCAGCTGTTTAGCCGGTGTCTTTTACGAGCGGGTAGAATACCTGGCTTTGCTGGGATACTGATGCTGTCACCAAGCGAGGCCTGTCGATACCACTGCCACCATGGATCACAATTTCCATATTGCCAATACGACCCGCTCTTCCGGCCACCAAATTTCGTCGCCCATCTGCCACAAGTCTAGAGAATCGAAAATGCAGCTCTCTTTGCGGGTTCTTTTACTGGTTCCGCACTTCGCACAACAACAGCTCAGACTGCACTCCACAACCCAAAGCGCCGAGTCATAGTCAACAAGACAAAAACCAGTTACTACGATGAGACGAACTTACATCACCCTCTCAAGACTTATGGTAGCTGACCACACCCCCACTACTTTCTCCATTCCGGCTACCATACATTCTCTATTCCACACATCAACTACCAACCGAAATACGTTTACAGACGGTCCAACCTCGTTCACACAACCTTATTTACAGACGGCCCAACCTCGTTTACACAACCTTGTTTACAGACCGTCCAGCCCTGTGTGATACTCTACTTCAACCAGTTCTTCAACTTCGCATTCCCCTTTCCACAAAAATGGTGTTATGGCATATTGCCACGGTGATAAGGAAAAATCAGGAACAGGAAAACCGGATACCGTCGAGGTGACGTGATGGTCCTATTATATTATGAAAAGTTGGTCCAGGATCAGGATTATGGTATTTGGAGGCTTATTCAGGTTTGAAAATTGACATGCAATGAGGGTTTGTTTCACTCTTCACCACGACATGGCTTGGTGCTGGACACCTACCTGCCTGAAAAGTATGGAGATGAAGGGTTGCAAAAATGGGATTCTACTTCTCTTAACGAATACGAATACGAATACTTGACCTATCTGTAACATAAACGTACTGAGACGGCCGGAACAACGTTCTGAGATTCATTTGGGCCGGAACCTTCTGTGTGTATGACTCTGTAAACAACAACCTTCAAGCCCACGTCGGCGTCAGAATCAACAGGCAATATTTCATCTTCGTACCGAGATCCATCGTAACAGCATCTACAGAGACATCTCTATTTCCTTCTTCAGCAGCATGCTCTGTCTATCGGTTCAGGGACAGTCTGTCCTGCATTGCAAGGGGACAATGCCTGACCCTGGCAGTTGACTGTACCGAATCGATTATCCAGGTTTCTGTGTCTCCTATTCAAATGCTCTATGCTAGAATCAACACCCTTCTGGGACCCCTCGACTCTCAAGGTCGGCTGTCGGTATCCGTCACGGAGACTGCTGTGCCTCATCACACAGCTCGCACTACCTTAGTCCCTAGGCGAATAGCCCACACTACTTAAGTTGTGTTGTGACAAACTGTCCACTCAAGCCAAACTCGATAGGGGGATGAATGATTGTTCCTATCTACCTAAGGTACTTACCTACCCTACCCCTGAACCCCTCCGGTAATGATACATAAGGTAACTACCCCCCTTACCTCCCATTCCAGACTTCATCGCTCCTAACGAGCGAGCCCAAAGCCCAACACTTGCTTCAAGATCCAGAAAACAGCCTTGAAAAGCAACCCGATAATACCGGCCACGCCCAATCCGAATCTCACGACTCGAATGACAAAGACCGTGACCGCCATGAACATCAACAAATAGACGAAGCTTCTGGCACAATCGACTACAAAGCCACCGGCAGTCTCTCCCTTGGCCATTTTTAACTTCAACTTGCCGGTTTTGGAGTAGACGAGGACGACGGCCCACAGACGCAAGCCTGTTATGGTCATAGTCTGGCCCATCTGCCATGCTCGTTCCAAGACGTCCCAGCCGACTTTCGTTACTTGGGGATGCGTTTGGATCCACATCTTGGCTGCTTGAAACGGTACTACCAGCAATTCTCCAACGGCGTTGCCATATGCCAGAGATCCGAGACCAGAGAGTGACAGATCCAATGTAGATATACTGGTCCCGCTGACGTTCCGGCTTCTCGAGGCCTCGGAACAGGCAATGGCGAGACCTACAGGGGTAGGAACCCTCAAGCGAGATCCACTGGCGGTCCGAGGGCCTTGACTACCACCAGATGCTTCTGGTACTTGTAAGCCAACTCCGAGCACAGGCGAACTGCATCCCATTTGTCTTCGGGGATTACCATGGCTGTGCTGTTTTGACGTTGCTGACCCTGTGGCTTTGCGAGCTGCCGCCACGGCTTCATATGAATGGCCGGATGAGTCCTCTGCAAACAGACTCCCAGGAGTCCGGGGTTGTGCTGACAGTTCGATGGGAGAGATGCTACCTCCGGAAGTGTGTTTTGAATTACCGTTCTTTGGTGGCCTTGTGGAGGCGTTGCTACTGAAAGCAAGCCCGCTTGTATTCCCTCTGTCACTCGTCTTTGCCTCGACAGGGTATTCCCATTCTTCTACCTCGCTTGCGCTGCTGGGGCTTTGCGATGCGGACCATATGCTTTTCGTTGGACTCGGTGTGGAAGTCGGACTTGGATGTCCTAAACACCCTTCATGACAATCTTCGTCCTTGCAACAATCCGGACAACAAATAGTGTGGTCGCGTTCGTCGACAACGTCGGCCTTGGGTGACTTCGAAGATACATTCGATGAGGCCACTGCACCCTCATCAATATCCTCCGGCAACCCTGGTAGCGGACTTCCAGTGGGATGTAGCTTCCTAGAGACCTCGCTTGCTCCGACGCCGTCCTTCTGGCGGCCTGACATAGGGGTGACACTATCCATACTGCGTGGCTTGACGTCCACGAAGCCGTGATGGCAACGGCTGCATTTCCTCAACAAGCCCAGGCCTTTCGTCGTCAGCTCGTTGTTGATGAGTATCTCCTGGGGCGGGGCGAGCTCGTGACTTGGTTGTCGGAGCTTCAGCGGTGGTGGAACCAGGTCGGGCTCTGCCTCTGGAGGATTGAGCCTTATCATGGGATTTATTTCCTCGTCTCTCCATAACTGGGGATTTTCTACCCCTGTGGTGTTGGCTCGGTTGTGGTTCGGCCCCATTGTTGGTACCCCGTACATGCCGTCTGCTCGCACAGGCATTTGAGGTCGAGTCATTGCCCTCGGTCTTATTCTTGGGAGTGGCGCTGAGATCATGCTGTCTGTGTTGGAAAACATCCCTGTGTTCATGATGATGTCTGATGAACCTAGGGGAGGTGGTCTCGGTCCCAAACCATGCCGGCCATGACCCATCATCCGCGCTTGCGGCATCAACGGTCTTGGACCAATGCGAAGTGGTCTGGGAACATTCGGTCTGCTCATGTACATGTCTGTGCGTGTGGTAGTGGTACTCAGCAATGGGTTGAAATCCTCCTGTAGCCTGTTCGCCGGCTTCATTGGTGGATCCGGCATCGACCTGGGACCTTCTGCCTTTGGCCCTGTCATCCGCGTCAAAGACGATGGGTGCTTCGGCGGGTTGTCGTACACCGGTATTGCCATCATCCTTTCCCCCATAGGAGCGTTGGGTCGTTTTGTCGGTGTAGGCGTATGGTGCGGTGGCCTTGCTATGCGGACGTTCGGGTAAGCTGGATCGCCGCCTCTCGGACCTTGGGGGGGTGCCGTCCGCGATGAAGGGGGTTTGAATGTTTCTCCGCTGCTTTCCTTCATATCCGCCCCGGGCGGCGTCGATGCCTGTATCAACGGGGATTGGCCACTGTTCATCGGCAGACATGGTAGTTCTTTTTCGATCAGGGGACGGCCAGAGGTGTTCGGGGTCTCTGATTTTGGGACTCTGGATGCCATTGCGGGCATTTGTTGATCTAAAAAAGAATCCTCTGCAGCTTTTGTCCGCATGGACTCTATAGCCGGAGATGCAGCGTTTCCTGGGAGCGTCGGAAGGTCTTTGTCGACATTGTAAGGACTGACGATTCGCAGTCTGGGAGGAATTGGTGCAGATGAAGAACGCAAATCCGTATTGAACCTTGGCTTCTTGAGAATCGTGTCATCACTGCCGTTGTTACCTTCGAATCCTTGAAAGTCACGATCCGGCGGCGGAGTCTTTGCAGGTGGACTGCCCACAGGCCGTCGCCGCACCATGGGCTCATCTCCTGGATCACTGTTCAATGGTAAATTTGCAGTGTTGGTTACGGACATCGGTGTCCCGCGGCCGCGTGGGTCAAAGTCATACGTGGCAGTCCTGTTCTGTGATGGGATTCCAGTGGTTGTCTTGTGCACATCTCTAGGACTTGGTGGTGACCGGTATTCTTCAGAACTGTTTCGAATTCCGGTTGAAAGTCTCGTTGGTGTCCGGAGCTTGTAATAATGTGGTTCTGGCAGCATAGTCTTTGAGTGGGTGGAAAATGGCATCGATTGATCATGATCGAAACTGACCCACTCGTCACCCTTTTGCCTCCATAGGTTTGGAGGAACTGAGCCTTGAGTTCTCGCTATTTCATCCCGATCAAGAGAACTGTTGGCACTGTGATATCCCGGTGTCACAATTCCCGTCCTCGAATTAGCACCACGAGCGACCAGGTAGTCCTCCCTCTCAACCGGACGATGCATTTTCGAGATGCATTCAGCGCTTAGGCGTCGTCCGGGATCGTGTCTTGCCGCCACGGTCGGCGGTGGTTGAACTTGTGGTGGGTAGCTGTGGCCAACAAAGATAGTGGTTCTTCGACTTGACGTATCCAAGGGGATGGACGATATATCCACCCCCTGTGTAATGGTCACCGGCGGATGGCTAACAGTGAGTAGGCGCCCACTGTCATCCGGCAGCTCAAAGATGTCGGTCGAAGGTTCACTTCTTCGCTTCCGCCTTGTAGGACTTTCGTACCCTCTGCCCGCTGCGACGCTTGCACCAGCGGTGTCCGTCGTACGTCTTTGTTTGTCTCGAGAGGCACCGTAGCCAGACTGACCGGTGTATCGTAGCAAATGCTCGCGTAGGGAACCGTCGTACTCCTGTCTCCTCACCACACTTCGCGGAGGAATACTCGGACAAGATACAAGCGACGATGAGATTAAACGGCTGCGTCGACGACTGTCGGAAGGATAGGAGGCCTCGAATGAATCTGAAGATGTAAAAGCCATGGTACTCTGTAGAGGGAAATATGGTTGCTATGCTATGCAAGTCATGGATGGGGCATATACTGGTCTGTGCATGGTAGTGATGTTGAGGACAACGCCCCACGAGGACTGGTATTTTGACCACTGGTTACTCGGACTGCACGAACCCTGAGATCTAGTCTTGGTCCGTGCTGGATCGAGGAAGTCGCGACCGAATGGAACTCAGGAGGGAGTCGGAGCAGAGCCAAATGATTGAAAGTCATACTTTGGATAAAAGGGTATCTCGAAATGTCGTACTTCAGACTAAAAACGACCACTCTCCCGTCTGTGTCTATCGGGTTTCAGGTAACCCCATCGCTGCGATGCCGCCAGAGTATTGACGCCGCCTGTTGGCACGCTCATACGTTTGTCTGGGCTCACCGACCGCTTCTCTGGACTTTGAGACGTCCTTTCACGCGAGAAATTGGTAGACGCGCTCTTTCGCAGAGGAGAAGCTGCGTGGGAGTAAACACCGAGACTTCCTCCATCACTACCGGAAGCCGATGCCGTTGGTCGAAAATTGGGCTGTCGTATGGCGTTCAAAGGCCTCAAAGCCGACCCGGCCTGAGCAAGGGGAGCGGGCGACCTGAAATCCGGCGTTGATATACGCTGCCTGACTTCTTTTGAGCTCAGAACACCATCTGGATTGGTGTGCTGGGAGTAGTTCGGATTTGGGTGAGTCTTAAAGCCACGGTTAATGACCACCATTGGTGTATACACCTCGACCTTGTTGTACTGTTCATCACGAGCAGCGCTGTAGGACGCTTGCTCGCTGAACTGCGTCCCAACATCCCTGTATAGATGTTGTGTTCTCGGTCTTACGTATTTTGTGTCGTATTCGTGCATGACCTCTTTCGAAATGAACGCGGTGTCTTTGATTTGCGTAGAGTAGCTTGACTGTAGAAAAGACAGCTGTGCAGATAGAAGCAAAGCTAAGAACATGGCTGTTACAATCGTGACGCTTGGTCGAGGGTCCGAAGCTAGGGTAGGCAAGAAGAGCCAGTATATGAGCACATGGCCAGGACTGAAATAGCAAAACAGGCGCAGAGAGACCGGCAAAGGATCCCAAACAGCGACCTCCCATACGTCACGGACTGGATCCGGATGTGCTCTTGATTGAGCCGACTCTGTGCCTAGGATACTCGAAAGGAACCGTAAAGGGGATGACGAGACGGGAGAAGAATCGACTCGGACGCGTTTCGCAGAGGGTGTGCTCGGGACATTATCCACAGAGTTTTCGAATAAACGGTAATGCTTCTTCCGCCAGAACGTGTAGACGGCATTGACTATGCACACCAAGGTCAAGAAATGGACAATGAAGGTTGCCTGTAGTTGTTAGCATTTCCGAACAGTGTGACCGTCTGTTTCATCTCCCTACCAGCCACGCTGTCCATGCAATTCTTGGGACGTCTCCGAACACGTCGTCATAGCCCTTGGTAGACGCTTTGGAGTTCGCCCGAGCGATGAGAAACATGAAATTCAAGGCAATGCCAATGGGTGTAGCCCACTCTTTTTCAAGCTGGTCCCAACCATTTGATTCGATCTCTTCAGACAGCCAGAGGAGGAAATCGTAGGGATTGAGGTAGGCTTTAATTCGCTCAGCGAGGGGCTGACGCCGGACAAATTTAGGCATTTTGGAAGCTGAAGCTCTCAGAGAAGAGCGCGGCAGACATCTCCTCTAGCATGCAATTCAACGCAGGCCAGATTTTGCGTTCGCAGACGAGACGTTGTTGCGTGCCAGTTGAGAATGAAATGCGGAACGTTGGATGCTAAGTAGGCATCTATGAGAAGAGAAACTGCGGAGCGGGTAAACAATGTTGTACGCCAATCACGTCACCCGGCTCGATAAGATAAGATCCAGGTACCGAGTGAAGCTGCTTCAAGTTGCTCGACTTGACCACGAAGACGATACCACCACTGTTGGAAGGGCGCAGTGTCACATCTTTGCAGTCCAGCAGCTGCTCAATTCACTACTGTCAGGGACTGTGTCGTCCACAGGTTCTTCGATAGACATACGACAACTGTCATACACCAACAGGCCAGCAGTTTTAACGTTGGAAAGATGGCAGCGCAAGTGTCGGCCTACAAGGTACATCATCTTCCTCGTCCATCGTTGCCCCAGCTCACTTGTGGTGACAGGACCGACAATTCCTCGCTGTTATAGGAGATGAAGAGTATGTCTGCCCTGTCCACGTTAAACCGCCGTCTGTCACTAACCGCTCTTCGTACAGTTCGGTGACTGGTCTACTTCTCGCAGGCATTGGCCACGTCACAGACCCTCCCGACTCTCAGAAGAACTTCCTTGTTTGTGATTCAAAGACCGAGAAGGCCCAGATCGAGAAAACATTCAACAGCTTCACCAAAGAGCGAAAGGATATTGGCATTGTGTTGATAAATCAGCATGTACGTTTGGGTCATTATGCCATCAGAATCGGTCCTCGGGTCTTTTCAATGGCATGTAAAACAACAGGGTTGAGGCTGATATTTGGACAGATTGCAGAACAAATACGAGATACCGTCGACAAGTTCCGGGATGCGTTTCCGGCTGTTCTCGAGATCCCCAGCAAAGACCATCCCTATGACCCGGAGAAAGACAGCGTCTTGAGGAGGGTGAGGAGACTTTTCGGCGAATAGAGCGGTTCGCCTGCTTGCTGTGCTTATTGCTATGGTATGGAGTCCGGGAACGTGTGGGGATACGGGCTTGAAGCCCTCGAAGAAAAGGGGTTTGTTGCATGTTGCATCCAACGCTTCCAGCCGCCGACGAATATAATACGTTACAGATATTGACAGACTTTACGCATTGATGAGTGTACTGAGAGGTGTCAGCTTCTGGCCTGAAGAACTATGCGGTGACCGAAGGATCATGCAACCCACAGACTGTGCTCTACTCACCCCGGCAGCGACAGATGAACGACCGCCGGGCCACGAGTGTAGCCCAAGGGGTACGCACACTGCTCACTTGCTGGATCACCGTCCACACTACCGTTGCCGAACGGGTGTTCCCATAAGCACTCGTACATTGCAATGGGGCATGAAGATCTCTGGGTCTGAAGTACAGTCAAAGAAGGCTCTGGTGACATATCATGGCATCTACCCTTTAAAGGGATTCGGCTATTAGGGATGGACATTGCAGCGGAGGCCTATCCCACCTATTTGTGTTTTTGAGTCAGTCGTACCACATTATGCATGAAGAGCATCATGAAGAGCATCATGAAGAGCATCATGAAGCGCAGTAAACATGTCCGCCGACGAGATGGTGCAGATGAGAGTCAAACCAGGCTGGACCTCCTTATCAATCTTCCTACTCGCAGGAGTTGTTCCATCTGGGCAAGTCGCGCCCGTAAAAGCGGCGTGGTACTGCCAAGCCAATAGCAGTCGACATCAGGAACGCAAATGATTCGCCGAAGCGAACTGCATCTCGAGCTCCGAGAAACATATAGCAGAGCGTCCCTCACATAGCATAGCTGAACGTCTGTCTCACCACTCGGCCGGCGCCTTCTGCAATCCTTTCTGGGCTCTTCAAGATGCGTGCGACATCACGGCTTTTTGCGACCGTCAAGTCGGCATCCAAATACCTCGAACCATACACGCCGACAGGTCTAACCGGTCTGTCGACGCATCCGTCACCTCGACCAGCTCTCATCTACACATACCGCGAGACGCTCAAGAAATTAAAAGCACTGCCCAAGACCTCTGTATACCGACAAGCCGTGGAGGCGTTGACCAAGCAGCGGCTAGAGATCGTGGAAGCCGTCAAACCCGAGGGCTACGAGCAATACCTGGAACGAGTTCGCAAACAGATTGACGCCAACCCGGCCGCATACAGTCGGTTGATGCACGACGATGGCACTTTGACCAGCGAGAAAGCACACATCGAACCGGTAGATAACTGGGATGGTGTTATTACGAGGGCTGATGCCTTCCCGGAGGGCTCCAACAACCAGATTCAAGCCGAGCGCAAAGCTGCCGCTATTCAAAAGGAGGCGAAGGTCGTTGACAAAGAGGCTGAGGAGGGCAGAGCGCCTGAAGTTGAGGATCTCGAGGTCGAGCCGCCCTTGACGAAAGACCAGTACGTTTTCACCACCAGGCAGAGAAACACACGGGTGATGGTGCATGTGGACAAAGCAGCTAACATGTTCCGTCAGGATCGAGGATATCGAGAAGAAGATCGGTGCCGGTCTGATTGAAGAAGTGGTCCAGGTCGCCGAGGGCGAATTGGCGCTCGTTGCTGAAATGCTCCGGCATAAAGTGTTCGTCTTGTCTCTCCGATATGTGGCTTGCCGTATGCTAACACTTTTCTAGGTGGGAAGAACTCGAGGAAAAGGCGCCTCCAGGCCAGTGGGTGTACTTTGAGCGCCCAGATGCAGTTTAATCCTCCCTACGACAGCGGAGAATGAAAGGGCGTCCCTTGTATATATGATTCAACGTCGGACGATCGCAACACTTACTTCGATCAACCCTTTCCTTTCCCTCTAGCCTCTTGGTATTTTCATGTAATGCCTCGTAGCGCAGCAGCCCCTAGGCACAGATATCTCCAAACCAGTAATCTCGTTGTGCGAATACAAAACTCGAATGTCGATGTAGCTCCCCAGACTCAAACGATTTGCCAGAAAAGACGCTCTCATTGATTTTGTTTTGGTATTTGACTTGCTTTTGCGGGAAGAAGTCTATACTTCGGCTCGCACCACGAGGACCGCCTCCTTCATCTTCCGTGATATCTACAATCCATTGTCCTCGACCTCACGACAGACCATCCCCATATCGTTGTCACACATGGCCGTCCAGCTTCCATCACCCACTCTCCAGGTTCGTTATCAGGCTGCTCCCGTAGCCTCGATCGTGAACCAAGCAAACCGCATCTCCGTCCGATGTATGATTATTTTCTTTGATTCTCTAGAAAGGATTGTCCTCCGGTGGGATCTCTCTGACAAAGTAGTCGCCGATGACCGGTATTTTCTGCAGAATATCTTGTCGGACACGCGGGACGTCGCCGAAAAAGAAGAGCGCAAACACGCCTGTCGCGACGCCGTAGCCAGCTGCAATTGAGCCATAGCGGACGAGCTTACGAGGGGTCAGACCCATGAGGTTGGGGACGTGTTTCGTCCTAGAAGTAGAAAGGTGACACGGTCAGTTGCGGTTCACCACGGATCAAGCCTTGAAGTTGCGTAGACAAAGACGAGGAAACAGTGGCACTTGACTCGCGGGCTTGCCGAGACAGCCACGGCGGGTTCAAAGGTGTGTTTATGTTTTAAGATGTAGAGAGCAATTCGGCGTGCTCATGCACCACAAGAAAAGCAACCTCGACATCGAACACAGCACCAAGAGCAGTTGTAGATATCGGCATCTGTCGCTGCCTGCGCAGAGGTCTCGGGAGAAGGGAAAGCACGTACTTCGGTCCATATGGTGAAACATATGCGTGGTAGGTCGGCTGCGGGCCGTAAACGCGCAGCGGCGTGCGCCCGGATCCCTGGAAACCTTCGTACGAAGGCATTCTGTCGGAGTAGCCGCTGAGGGTCGAAGTCTGCCTTGATCCGCTGAGGGTGTTGACGGTGTGTTGTCGTGAGCTTTATGAGTGACGAATTAGAACTGCAATGTCAATGTCGGCGAGCTTTGGGTTTCTGGAAAGCTGTATACGGCAGACCAGAGAGAAATCGAAGCGCAACTCGAACTTGAATTCAATGGACTTGGCAAATGCAGCGAATCAGAGTGATGGTAATTGCCGCAAGTGTGACAAGGCTGAGAACAAGCAGCTGTGACTTGAAGCGGCGTCACATTTCTTCCCATTCAGGCGTGGGTGGAGCTCCATGCTTCCAACTTTCCGCTTTACTGGCGAAACGACTTTGGCGAGGCTGGCCCCCTACACAAAGGTGTCTTATTGTGAAAAGTTCAACGGTACTCCTCCAGCTCATGCATGGACATCTGGCACTTCAAATGACACAGTACTAGAGTCTGCCGAGTCTCTCTCCTAGATTTGATATGGAAACTCGGCGCCGGTGCTGGATGACTGGGCGCCACATTTCTCCTCTAGGGTTTGAGGGCGACTGAGTGCCGCCGTCTCCAGGTTCGTGAACCGCGTCAAGACACATCAAGACCCACGGAGCACCTCTCCCGCGCCGTGGCTGGCTATGACCCATGAATTGCGAAATCGGCAATGTCGAGAAGTCTGACTGCCGGTGGGTCCACCGTATTCTTTCCACATTCGCTCTTGAGAAAGGACAGGTCTGGTGTGCTTCCTCCTCGTCAACCTTACCTGGCAAGGGACATCTGCCATGTCACGATTGATACAACTTGGCCATTGAGTATCTATGGACATCACACCATACGCCACTCGGGATATCAACATGGGGTTTGTGGTGGGAATATCACTGCACGATAAGAGCGAACTTCCCGTTTGGGAAATAATGGTATCTTATCATATCAGCCTCGAAGTTGTCAGGTTCTTGGCTCTATCGATCCTTGTACGCTCAAGCAAGCGGAGGAGAGCGCCAGAGAAAGAGACAGTGCTACTGAAATGCAACCCGATCCAAGTGCCAGCCACCCTTCATGGCCCATTCAGGAAGGTAAGTGATAGAGGCCATGCCATATGGCCGTACGAAGGAGATGCTCTACAGCGGCTATCACGGGGGAGTTCTTCTGTGAGTAGCTTTGAAACGGGACATTAAAGTCGGCAACTTTGATGTTGCCTGGTTTTCAAAGTAAGGAACAGGTTTACACTGACAAAATGGCAACTGGCCTCGGGCTCGCCCATACCAATCCAACGAGCTATCATCCAAGCAAACCCACCGCAGCAAAAGTCTCTACGAAGGAGATCGTGGTGCCCAAGGTTCCCGTCCTGTCCAATGACGCGACTGTCGATGAAGTGGTGGAAGCGCTGAAGGTTCGACACCGAATACAATCTCAACGGACAACTGTGTTAACATGTCAACTTCCACAAGGTCGCCGGAGGATGCGTCATCAAGAACGCCGTTGAGCATAAAGATCTCGACCAGATTGAAAGTAGACAACCCTCGAACGCAGTCCGAGTCCGACGTCAAGTCAGCTAACACTGCCACAGAGGACCTCCGTCCGCACCTTGAAGCCGATAGTCCATGGGACGGGGAGTTTTTCCCGCAAGAAACACGCCGCTGCTACGGGCTAATACCGAATTCTCCAACGTGTGCCGAGAAGGTTGTCATGCATCCGCTCTACCAAGCGGTCTGCGACAAGTTTCTCACAACCAAGAATTGGTTCTGGAGTGGCCATAAGAAGACATTCGCAACCTCAAAGCCTCAGATCATGAACACAGTATGCTTCTCCATCCGACCAGGAGCACATAGCCAGCCTCTGCACCGAGATGACTGGTGCTATCATGTTGTTGCACAAAAGGCGGACAAGTACCCGGATGACCTGCAGCGGGACACCGGGATTGGGTGGTTCGTTGCCGGCAAGGATGCGACGTTCGAAAATGGCTGCACCCGCTTCATTCCAGGCTCCCATCTCTGGGCCCATGAGCAGGAACCGGATGATGACCTTTGTGCCTACGCCGAGCTGAAGAAGGGTGATGCTTTCATGATGTTTGCATCCTGCTATCATGGGGGTGGTTCCAACAAGACCAAAGACGAAGAGCGACTGCTGTATAGCTGCTTTATGACCCGAGGTTGGCTAAGGCAGGAAGAGAACCACTACCTCAACATGAACCTCGACACCGTCAGGACTCTCCCCCGCGAGATACAGGACCTGACAGGTTATACACTGAGTGAGCCATTCTTAGGATGGGTCAACTCTAACACTCCCCGGGTGATGCTTGACCCGTCCATCAAGGTGAGGACTCGCCCTCATCCACTGCATGAGCTTGCCGAACTGATAACTGGCAGGGCAATAAAGACATGGTGCAAAATGAGCAGCCTGCGTAGAGCACCGAGGATCAAACTGGAAAGTCATGTATCGGTCAGGGCATCAGATCATAGTATAAGTGCAACTGGCATACTCCCCAATATGGCAATATCAACTTGAAATCCCAAAATCCCCAGAGAAGTCTTTTTTGCCAAAATCGTACCCTCTACGTGCGCGACTTATTGGCGGCCTCCTGGCAGCCAACAAGCAGGCACCGTCCCAGCGTAGGTACTTGCGTCCACGAAAGGATCTCAGAGCACACCCGGAGAATAGCTAGTATAACATCTGTGCCGGTAGTCTGGCGAGCAGCCCCCTTCATCAGTAGTCATCCAAACAAATATTGCAATCGGGTAGCCTGTCCACTTGCGTGTTTTCGTTGCTGCTTCGAGTCAATCACAGACCCCCACCATACATGCATAGAGCCGTTGGTGATGTCTCTTGCCGACCATATTTCTTCGAGGAGGGAACTTGCGTCTTGGAACATGCGGTAGCGAGATTTTTTCAACCAGGTGTCACAATAGTTCCGTGAAAATGAACGTGCATACTGGTCGTTGGCCTCTGATCCAGCAAGAAACACTGGTAGAAGGAGCTGCTTTTGTATCACAGAAGATGATCGGCAGCAACGCACATGGTCCAATGTCAGTCGTGAGAAAGACACAATAGCCTTGCTCGGTCGAGCATCGCGGCGGTTCCATTTGAAGGTCCTTTCGATGTAGAGGAGTAGGGCATATTTCCACGCCTTCAGAGCGTGTGAACAGTCCAGCTCACTCTGTATCACTTCCTCGTCCTGGAGCTCGTCACTAGAAGCACTGGACCCTGGCAGTTGGCTGATAGCTGTCTCGAGTTCATGCACTCGTTGCATGTTGAAGGTCACCCATTTCATGGTTATCGTCTTCTCTCTTTCTTCTGCCAACTGCACAATCTCGTGAAGATACACGAACAGCTGCTTAGGGATTCCCGTGATACTGAACACACTCCAAGAAGACTCCGCGTCATATTCTGCGATAGTCTCGTAGTACTCTGGTGGAAAAATGCAAGCTGACCTAGAGACCAGAGACACTGTACAATCCCACCTAACGAAGAAGTGACCACGTTAGCTCGTTCTTCCAGAAGCTCGCAATAAGAGAAAATGCTCCAGAGAACATATCACATACCACAGGAACATGGCGACTTGTGCCTGTAAACGTGGCGAATTACCAATCTTTGACACACCGCCAGCGTTTTCCAGTAACCTGTATGCATTGCACAAGTGTAGCTCCCAGGGGGCCGCTGCAGAGTTAAGACTCTATGGAACAACGAATGAGTGATGTTGGTCGACAGTTCGAGGTCAGTTGACTTACTTCGAGTGTACACAATATCAGAGCGGTATCAATGAATGACAGTGTCGATGTACTGGTTTCCATCTCAAGAGCAGAGGTGTACAAGTGGACGGCTGTATGTTTATAGCTCACAGCTAGCTGGGATGAGGGATCCTGATCAGAGGTATCGTTCATGCGCACAAAATGTTGCATTGAGAGAGCGAGTATGGCGTGTAGAAGGTATTTCGTTCCGTGAGACGTGTTCTGTCGACAGCGGAAGGGATTTGCAACAATGTCGTGCGTGATGGGAAGAGAGCAAAGTTCGCGGTCATCTGTCCCAGTTGTAAGTTTAGAATCATATCTGGTGTCCGGCGAACTTACAGAGATTGAGAAGCTGCTCTAAATGGACGGTCTGAGGTAGGAACATCTGGCATGTCGTAAGCATCGACCCTTCAGCCAGTTTAAGATATGAATCTGGAGAATTCCACTGGTCTTCAACTGCTTCCCTTGCTCTGAAATCAAGTGATTGGGCTGGTGAAATCTGTTCATGGACCAGATCCTCGCCGCAGAGCGTCGAACTCTGGCCGAACAACGACGAATCGCAACCCGAAGTGCTAGGTGTTCTCTTGTTCTGATGACCTTCGGAAACATGGCAAAAGCTTCCCTCGCGTTGCATTGTTTCAATACGGGACTCCAGATGGCCATTGGCAGGAACAAGAGGATAAGTATCGTCTGCCTCGTTGTCGTGTATGAGCTCATCCAAGCCTACAAAGATCTCCGCGGATGTCGGGCTTAGACTGTCCAAGAAGTATTCCTTCTCCTGGTCTCTCGTGTCCTCTCGCATCCGTTTCGTCGCCACAACGACTTCATCAGAATGCAACTGTGAAAGGATTTCAAGGTCCTGGACGATTGATTCCTGCCCGCGAGGCTGTCCAGAGCTTACTCCATCACTTGTTGGTGGTGTTTGTGTTTGAAGGAGCCTGGGCCCAATACTGGGACCGTTGCCGCTTCCCTTTTGTTTCTGAGATCTTTTCTGTCGAGGTCGACCTTCCTTGAACCGAAAGCCTCGCACAGAAGTTGTTGTAGGGGCGATTTGATGACCATTGATGTTGAATGTCTTCCCCTTCAATTTGCCCCGTGAGGCCACGCCCGTTTGCCATGACAGCTGATAAGGGTAGCCGTTGCATTCTTCCAGGTTTGCGGCACACACACTGCATTGTTGCCGACTTCGATCACATCTTCTTTTCGCGGCCACGCAATTGTAGCAGTCAATCTTTGCAACGCGGCGAGAGGCCGTTGGCTGGAACGAAGGTAAGGTGGCCTCCATACCTGTACCATAGAGAGTGGGTTGGTTGACCAGGGTAACAGGAAGAAATGATGGAAGGAGGCACGCCTCTAAGCGCTGGCATACCCAGAGATAGTGGCAACCAGTCTTGATACCTATGGCGGGTCACTGCAGCCAACCTGGGGATCGATCCTGTGGGCCGGCCCGAAACAGGTGGTCACTCCAGCTACTCTGAGGGTAACATCCAAGTCGAAAGCTGCACACTTCTGAGACTGAGGGGGAGCCCACGATCCGTTTGTCAGTCTGGGTGTCAACTCCAGCCCGGCCGACCGTTATGACAGTATGAGCGTTGGCGGGTAGTTGAGATTTTTGCTGAGGAGGTACGTTTGTGGAAGTTCGCCAACAAGCCGCTCAGCTAGAGGATGAGCTAATGATAACTGATATTGAAGTCTCTTGATACTGAAGCCGCAGTCACAATCAGTTCACAAGGTGAAGTCCTTCTAGGGTATGCTGTTGGTCCAGCTACTGGTCTCGATAAGGTGCCAGACGCCGCCAGGCTTAGAGACGTCGATATGCAAATAACAGAGGTTGCCGGAGACCGACCTACCAGATGGGCTAATTTCTGTATCTTCGATGATCGCCAAAAGTTCAGGAGGAGAAGTGCGTCTCCACCATGAATTGGCTGGCTTGATAACATTCAACTTCCTAGAGAGGAAATAATACTGTCAGCGTGGAGAAGTGGAACCTTATCAGCCTCGCCATCTAGTTATCCTAGGGGGTAATCATATGCTGAGATATGCTGAGATAGGTATCGGCGGTCACACTGTCCACGCATGTATATATCTTTGCACCAGGAGGCCATTGGGCTCTCAATCGTCCTGGACAGCTCGATATTGCTGGTGGACCGTTGCAACGTCTTTTGATTTACGGCTGTTGAGACAAAAGCACTCCCTCCAAAGATGGCTATGGAGGCCAATAGTCAGACGGTCCCGACAGGGGATCTTGAGAAAAGACAAAACATGACCGATGTCGAAGCCACCCAATACATCAAAGGGTCCTACCAGGTAAGTGTGCTGAACAGCAGCAGGGGCAAGATGCTAACCTGGTTGCAGTTGCCGAAGTCCTACCATGTGTTGGGAGTCACCGTCTGGGCATACAGCCATCCTCGAGTCCAGGCAGTCATGCTCGGCTGTGTCCTCTTCATGACGGTTGGCATGTACAATGTCATCACGTTCATCGGTGGCGCTGGACAACAAACCGCGTGGCTCTCCGACATCGCCAATATTGCCCTGTACGTCGTCTTCACGGTATTCTGCCTCGTTGCCCCGGCATGTTTGAACTTCTTCGGCCTTCGCGCCACTCTCTGCTTCGGCGGGTTTGGGTATGCAGCATATGCGGCAAGTCTGTGGTGCTACAATCATACGGCCAACGTTCCTTTTGTGATCTTCGGAGGCTGCTGGTGCGGCCTCTCTGCAGCGTTCCTGTGGACAGCCGAAGGTACCGCCATCACGGCTTTCGCTTCTGAAGAGAAGAAAGGTCTCTACGTCTCCATCTTCTGGTCCATCTTCCAATTTGGTGTGGTCATTGGCGCCGCAATCCCCGTGGGCCAGAACTGGAATGCTGGCACCAACAACGGAAGCCGCGTTGGCGATGGGACCTACATTGGCTTGTTCATCCTGATGTTGTGCGGTGCTTTTCTCGGTCTTGCTATGTATCCCTGGCACAAAATCATCCGAGAAGATGGCTCTCTGGTCACACTCGAACATAAAAAGACCTTCATGGAAGAACTGGTGTCGTCGTACCACGTTTGTCGCAGAAATTGGTGGATTGTCTTCTTCTGGCCTTACTGCTGGGCCATCAATTACTATACCGTTTACCAGAACAACGACTTCAACGGCATCGTCTTTACTGTGCGGGGCCGAGCCTTGAACACCTTCCTCTCGGGCGTCGTGCAGGTTGGAGCCGCTTGGGTTCTAAACCTGTTCACAGACCTGTTGCCAATGAAACGGCGCAAGCGAGCCTTCTGGGCCCTGGTCTATGTCTTTGTGATGTTCAATGCCGTTTGGATTGGAGGCTATTTCGCGATGAGGGACACAAAACTTGGCCTTGATGAGGCCGAGCGTATGGACGTGTTCGACAGTGGCTATGGCGCTTGGTGCTTCCTGTTTGTCATGTACGGCTTCATGGATGCGACATACAACTGTTACGCATATTGGTTCATCGGCGCCTTAAGCAATGATCCTAGCGAAGTGAGTCCTGTCCCTTTTCTCTCCGTGCCTCTAAGTTGACCATCTGGCAGCTCTCCGTCTACGCCGCCATGTACCGGCTGCTCAATGCCGCTTGCCAGGTATGTGCATACGGTCTTGATCTCAACGGATACTCGAAGGAATTCATGTTTGGAACATCCTGGGCAGTAAGTCTTCGACAGTTTTGCTGCGTAAGCTCAGAGGCAAAATACTAACCTCCCAACTTCAGTTTGTTGCCGCAGGGCCAATTTGCGTCTTGCCTATTCTCAAGTACTGGTTGAAGGACACCAACATGATTGAGGCCGTCGAGACCATCGATGGCTCAGAGGTCGTAGCAATCGGTTCCTCGGCAACGGATGAGAAGACTGCCATCCCGACAGAGAAAGTAGCGGAGCTCTAATTCTCTACCTTTGTGAATTGCAGCCTGCAGGAGTGGCAAGAGGTGCTTAGGATGAATGGTCTGGTGTCAAATGGAAAACAGTCTTGGTGATGCCAGGTGCAACTGAAGTCAATGAGCAAAGGCCACGGTGACATTCTCTGCCATATGGCAGAAGCCCACGAGTTCGTCCTGTAAAAAGACACACTCCATAGAACCACATATTTCATTTTTGTTTTTTGTCATTCTCCAGACGGTGCTTCTATTGGCCCATCATCAAATGTTGAGTGTTTCCCCACCGTCAATGATGCACGCCGTCCGACCAATTCTTATCAACCGGCAGCGACTGATCAGTCTGTATGATTGGTATCAACAGAAGAGGTAGCCCCATTTCTCTTTGAATTCGGGACTGATCCGCCATGCACCAGGATCCCAGGCAACCGCACCAGTATTGACAGTGAACGACGGCATGGTGAAGAAGTCGAACAACAGGTCCTTGAAATCGACGACATCGATCAGCGCGATCATGTTATCCCGCATTCTTGGAAACGGGAATCGATCGATCCAGTCGTGGTGAGCTATCGAAAGTTGCAGCGGCGTCGGGTAGAGAGACTCCGGTATGTTGGGTGGTTGAGGACGTGATCGGATCAACTTTGAATCGCTGCAGGTGAGACCCAAGATATGGCCGTTGATCGAGAGAGCCAGAATCGCACTGATTTTGGACTCGGGGTGCAACAGATGATCTGATGGTAACGGCGCCGTCAGTGTCATTGAGGAAGATACTGCTGAGATCGACGGGGGGGTTGTAGCCCCGGGGGCCTCGGTTGGCATCGAAAGATATGAAGAAGATGATGACGGCAAAGTGACAGATGGTGCGGCCGTAATGTTAAGGTCCATATCCAGCTGTGATGAATCAAGATTGATCCCTCTGGCTGCCTCAGGTGAAGTATTGTTATTGTCGGATCCATGTAGCGCCACCACTGACTGAGCTGTGTCCTTGCCACTCGTCGCTGCTGACAGTCGTTTCCCTAGAGAGAAGAGAGAATGAGGCTCAGACAGGGCTCTGAAAAGGTTGCCGAATGATGACCCTTGAAGGACTTACTTCTGGCCCTCTGTGCCAGCCGATCCTGAATCTGTTTTCTTTTGCGAGGGTCCAGGACTCCGTGCCAGGAGTCTCGGTCATCTTTCTTTCCTCGGGAACTTTCCATGCTGGCCGCTCCACGTGTGCAACCGGCCGGTACTACTCTAGGATGATTGGCCATCAGCCTGGCAGGGTTTGCGATTCTTGCAAGCTGCCCTATTGCCCTCCTGTTGTCGTTTGGGGACTTCTCTAACCCAAAACACGTCTCCACGGGCCGTTCCAATATTAATTTTCCAGGCTCCCGCTGGCAGCACAACAGACATGTTTCGCACCCGCTTTGTGGATCTAGTTATAGAGATTACCAAATTCGGCAATTCTGCCCCAGTTTTCCATAATAGAGTAAAAAGGTATTGCCGTCTGAGACCACATTAAAAATTGAAACAACCAACTTGTCATGGTCCTCTACTGCTTCCTCTTATATATCTCTTCCAATCGCTCGCTCGTTCTCTAGGATGCCACGGTACCATACCGTTGCTGTCAGACACGATGGTTCTACAGGATGGTCATGAGTCCGATTGAACAGGTTCAAGAGAGTTGTCCTTAACACATCCACCGATTCCGTAGCGCTATCATATCCATCGCTACTACTCGACGGGCCAACACTCTCAAATGGCTCAATGGTTCTTCAAGTGAGGATAAGTTGGTAAAATACCTGCTGATCATGACCTATCCAGTGCACAACGCTCACTGATCAGGATGTGGGCTGAATCATGCTTGCGTCTACTACAGTGAGAGAGCATTTCCGCCGATATCAATCTTACGGCAGCTGCAGCAGATGCCGCGGGGTAGGTACGGAGACTGAGATAAGTGGTTCGATTACGAGACATCCTTCGGCACATGGTACTTGAGCGTGACCTCGCCGTCTTCACCAGTTGCGAGAATGAGCTTGACTTGCTTGAAGATAACCGTTTGATCCGGACGTTTGATCCAGACTGGTCTGTGACGGTCCCTTTATGTAAGGTGAGTGTCAATAAATACTCGAAGCAATGTCAGATACAATGCACACCTGTCCCATCGGGACCGCAAAGAGGCCATGCCTCTTTTGCATTGCTTGACCGTGGCCATGGTACTCGATTGACTATATACTATAGGTGTTGTGATAAGCGAACAACCTAGCACCATCTCAAAGACAGGAAAGAAATCAATACGGCTGTCCTACTCAGCGGGGAGTCGCCGACTGGCTTCTCAGAACCCGACTGGACCAGAGCATCAAGGATGGTGACCGCATTACCAACACCCCTGTCTCCTCTCCTGCATGCGGAGTAAGAGCGCCAGCCAACCATTCAGCATCTACCAATGGTGAGCATAAATCGCGGCCGTCCCATGAGCCCTACAGGCACAGCGCCAATATCATATCGATCCGTCAGAAAGGATGGCCATTGGCGTAACGCAACAAGAAACAGGAAGGGCGGATCGAAACCGACTCCCTAAAGATGCTTGACAACCTATAACTCCGGCAGAAAGTGACGCCAGGATCCGATGCAGCTCGACAGCCTCGCTCCTCCACACGGCTGGAATCTATGGGGGTAAAACTGGGGTATTGTCCGAACCATGTCCATCCGGTGGGTTTCCGGGGATCGACTGGTTCTCTTGTGTCCTCGCCTGAATCTAGCAGTTATGATCTGACACAATAATGATCCTCCACGTTGAGGCGGTTGTGGATGACTACCCCATAAGTATAAAATACTAGATGGATCCCATCCTTTCCTCTTCGAAACAGCTCCGCAGGGGACTCAAGAATCATTTACAACTTACTCCCTAGCATCCAGGTGATAGCGGTTTACTAGAAGCCAACCCCATTGACACCACTTTGGCGGTTGAAGACGCGCTCGCCACGATGAACGACAAAGAGATGGGGGAGCCACCCATCGCCGTGGAGGACGTCACGGAGCTCCACGAGTTCAAAAACGCTGAAGGCTATGTGATCGATGCCAGCGATCCCGAGCATGCCAACCTCAAACGAGCCCGCGATGGCCATACCATTCTTCTGCCTCAACCGTCGTCCGACCCCAACGACCCGCTCAATTGGAGCCGCTGGAAGAAACATATCATCCTCATCATCATCTCCATGACAGCATTTCTGCCAGACTATGGCAGCGCCACAGGAGCGGTGACGCTGCTCCCGCAAGCAGCCGTCTGGGGCATGACTCCCGACCACGTCAACCACTCGCAAGTCGGCAATGTCTTTATGCTGGGCGCAGGCGGCGTCGTCGTGGTCGCCCTCTCCGCTTACTTCGGTCGTCTCCCGGTTCTGTTCTACTTCCTCATTCTGGCCACCGCCACGGCCATCTGGTGCGCGGCGGCCAAGACGTTCGAGTCGTTCATGGCTGCTCGCATCCTGAACGGATTCTTCAGCACCGTTGCGCAGGGAGGAGGCCTGATGTTCATCTACGACATGTTCTTCTTCCACGAACGAGCAAGGAAGATCAACATCTGGGCCGCGTTCATCATTCTGTCGCCCTACTTTGGCCCATTGTTCGCCGCCTTCATCATCAGCACGCAACCTTGGCAGGTGCCTTTCTGGGTCTACGTTGCAGAGGTAAGGTGTTCCCAGCCTTGTCATGCCACGCCTTTTGCCCTCCGCCACACACTGCCCTTGGTGAATGCTAATGGCACTGCTACAGACTGCTCTATGCCTCGGCCTCACAATCCTCTTCGTCGACGAAACATACTACGACCGGCGCATTCCCGCATCCTCGCAGCCTGCCCGCGGCAGCAAGGTCTCCCGCCTATTTGGCATTTCGCAATACAGGTCGCGACACCTGCGCAACACAATCGGCCAAGCACTAATGCGCCCCGTGAAAGTCGTGTTGAAGCCGACCGTGTTCATCTCGTGTTTCTACTACCTCCTGACATTCGCGTGGGTGGTTGGGATCAACACGACGCTCTCCATTTTCCTGACACCCCTCTACAACTTCGGCCCGAAGCAGATCGGGTATTTCTACTTCACGCCGATCGTGGCGGCCTTGTTGGGTGAAGTGACAGGGCACTGGCTGCACGACTATCTGGCGACAAGCTACATCCGCCGAAATAGCGGCCATTTCGAGCCCGAAGTCCGACTGCGTGCCATCTGGATCTCGACGCCTTTCATGATTGCCGGCCTGGTCGGGCTCGGGTTCGCCCTCGAGGAAGGCTACCATTACATGGTCACTTCCTTGTTCTGGGGCCTGTATGTCTACGGCATCATGATCACCACTGTCGGTCTGAACGCCTATAATCTCGACAGCTACCCCGAGGCGTCGGGCGAGGTGGCAGCTTGGATCAATTTCTCTCGCACGGCAGGCGGCTTCATCGTCTCCTATTTCCAGGTCACTTGGGCTGAGGCTCAGGGGACGAAAGTCAGCTTCGGGATTCAAGCCGCCCTCTGTGCTGGAGCCTTTCTCTTGATCTTGTTCCTCCAGTTGTTTGGGAAGAGGTTGAGGGTTAGCAGTGGTGCGTTGAACTTTGCCACTGCCTGAAGAAGGGTGGACTGGCTTTGCTGCTTGTATGCTCGAGTTCTTGATGAGAGAAGGCCTTGGATATGGAATGGCTCGAGCTCTAGGGCAACGGGTGTGAATCTTGGAGTCCTGGGTCTTGTAGAAAGGGCAGGTCCATGGTTAGACGTGTAAGCACAGTCGTCGTTATCCTGTATGAAGGCACCATTGTTCGGGTTTCCGCTTATATACCTATATAAGAGTGTCTTCTTGGGCCATAACAACTAAGTTGTACTAGTAGTAGTACGTAGTGGATCTGGATCTGCGTGTGTTTACATCCACTCCACATTTCCAGCGTTTTATTTGTCATATATCCATCCATAACTGGACTGCACAAGGAGTTTACCACGACTACCTAATGTAACAGTGCCTGCTCGTTCAAAGTCTATCTCTAGTTGACTATGCAATGCTTCTCCCCAAACTAAGCCGTTCGTGTCTGCAACTTCGCAGCGGCCACGGGCAGCCTCAATGGCACAAGCTGCCAATGGGCCTGGCGGGTGCCAGAAACATCCCACCACCCTGTAGTCGACACAAACACACGGGCAACGCATCGAAACTCTCTCGGCCATTGCCCAAGGGAACATGGGACAGCCATATGCACGTGGTCGACCCGACACGGTTCCCTCTCGACCCTTCGGCCAAATATAGACCTCAGGCGCATACGTTGGCCGACGCAAAGACATTCTATTCCAGTTTTGACTCGGGGATCGAGAACATGGTGCTCGTGCAGCCCTCGATCTACGGCACCGACAACTCGTGTATGCTGGAGGCGTTGTACGAGCTGACGCCGAAGCACGGGCGAGCTGTGGTAGGCCTTGATCCCGCGACAATCCAAGGAGACACTCTCCAGGAATGGCACGACGCAGGCGTCCGAGGGGCGCGCGTCAATATGCTTTCGCTCGGTCGAGAGTGTGTCACCGAGTCGGAGTTGCGAGCTGAATTGGAGGCCTACGCGGCTGTGCTCCGACCTCTCGGATGGCTTCTCGAACTGTTCATCCCTCTGAAAATGGCTATCACGCTGGAGAAGATCGTGCCGGATCTCGGGGTGAAGGTCTGTGTCGCTCATTTCGGGGCGCCGCCTCTTCCTCAACCATATGATCCTTCAAGAGCGATTGATCCTTACGCAATCACCGGCTTTGCTTCGTTGATTGATTTACTGAAAAAGGGGGACACCTGGGTCAAACTGTCTGCCCCGTATCGCATTTCACATGATCCCGAGATGCGCGACTTGGATGCTATTGGGAGAGAGTTCATTCTTCAGGGTCCAGATCGGGTTGTCTATGCGTCCGACTGGCCTCATACTAGGTTCGACAACATCGACCCAGTGCCTTTCATTGAGAAGTGCTTCGAATGGTGTGGTAACGAGACGGGATTGATTGAGAAACTCTTCAGATCAAACGCCGAAGAGCTCTGGGATGCCCCGGGTCGGGCCAACTGAGACAACGTAGCACGATAGAAGGGGAAAAGGCAAGACCAGTTGTAGCGAAAGTGAGACTAGTCAATTGCAAATGCTTTGTACGCCTTCTTGAATTGCGATAACTAGACTCTCAATCAACAATAAATCCTTGAACCGAGGCGTCAAGTGCGAGTCCCATTCCAACGCCTAACAGGAGAAGAACCGGCAGGTCGATTTATGCATATAGGTTGGATGACTCATCCACTCCGCATCGTCGTCAATCTGCACCTCGTCTTCATTCTTTCGCAGATTTCATGGCAGTAATCATTGCCTTGAGAAGAAAACCGTGCTTTCCATGCATGTAATCTTCTCCTTATCCACAGTGTTGACATCGGCAAGGACGGTGTATTTGCCCGGGGGCTGAAGCAATGTTAGCTGGCTTATCAACGGCCACCTAGATTCATAGTAACCCACCACTTGTTTGGGGATATCGACTTCCTTCTTCAAAGTCAAGACACCCTTCTCCAATGGGCAAGTAATATCCACTTGGGGAAGGTTATCACAGAGATCCGCTTCTTGCTTGATGAGGGTAATCAATCCATATTTGACCTGGAGGAAGACGGTCGCGCCTGGCTCGATGTTCTTCGCAAATGTACCGTTGGCGGTAATGGTCAGTTTTTCACCTCTGCAGAGTGGTCAGCCACGAGTGTCAGGATGTTTCGCCAGTATAGCACGTACGGAATAGGTGGATTGGGCGAGAGATCAACATAGTCAATGTCGAGGATGTATTCGGCGGGGTCTGCGCAGAACTGCCAACTGTGAGTAAAAGGCGAGGCGGCGCGCGCTGAATGCGTGCTTACGTTTAGTGGGTTCTTTCCAGGCACCTCGAACTTGGGTTCGTCCACAAGAGCATTTTGGTTTGGAGAGAACAGAGATCGAGCTGCGACAGCGGTGGCGGTCAGAACCGAGAGGAAGAGAGTAGCGGTCTTCATCTTCGACAAAGGGAAGATGGAAGACGAAGTTGACAGATGAGGGTAGGCAAGTAGCCTCGGAACCACAATAACAGTGCTTCAAGTTTTGAATCTACTCAGTGGTTGATATCGCAGGAAGAGAGAAGGTAGGTAGGAAGATGAGGGTTCTGTCGGGCAGTGGTTGGAGCGAGGTTGGCTGGGCTGGCTGCGGTTGGAATCTACTACGTAGTAGAACTAGGCCCTCAATGCAATGGCGCATGATCCATCAGAATGCTCCGCCTTCTCCAGCTTCTCCTGTCGAATTATTGCATCACTACTACACCTCTGACTAAGCCCTCCACCGTACAGAGCTGCGTTATACGTATATAAATGCAACCGTACCTATTCATTCTTATAGCGGCAGGAATTGGCCGTTCCCAGGCATCGCGCGAATGCCGCTGTCTCGCCATCTATCTCTCGGGGCCGCCATCGATGAAGTCAACTCTCCCTATATGCACTTTCATTGCTGTAGCCACTCTTACTTGATACTAGCTTTGAGTGGCTCTGATACGTCGCGACCATTTACAAACTCCTTCGACCGACGTGAATTCTTTGTACGCCGCCCTCATACCTAGGTACCCAAACCGGGCTTCTTCACACACCTTTCTTCTCCCTACCCTGCGACTCCAAAACCACCGAGACATTTCCCGCTTCCAACACCGCAAAGCAGCTGCTGGTCAGGCTACACAATGAGGCCAGCGTTGCTGGCATGGGCGCTTGCAGCCACCTTCTCGATATCACTCGCAGCACCGCCGGTTCCAGCAAAAGGCGGCGTGGTTCTATCCGACGATGCGCTCTCAGGGGAGTCTCCCGCCGATGGAGGGGAGGGTTCGGATTACACAGTTTTCAACGGTGTTGAGGTGCCTCCCATGAAAGAAATCCAGGGCGACAAGTTCGCCGACACAATAAAGGAGGGTTACTGGTAAGAATGAAACAGAAGTTCCCCAGGAATGCCACTGACAAAGTGTAGGTGGGTTAAACATTATTCACCATATTGCGGGCATTGCAAGGCCATCGCCCCTGTTTGGCAAACATTATACGAGTTTTACGTGACCTCAGATCCTCTGGAAGGGCGCACTAAGGATGGCCAGCCAGACCTGTCTTCGCCTAACAGTTTCCACGGATATTACAACTTTCATTTCGCTTCCATCAATTGTATCGCCTACGGAGATGTGTGCGGGAAGAACGGGGTGAAAGCATGGCCATCATTCTTGTTGTTCAAGGATGGCGAACTCGTCGAGCGGTATTCTGGGGATCGGACAATGGAGGCTTTCAGCCACTATGTGGAGGAAAAGCTAGAACAAATCAAGCCGGGATCGCGGCCAAGAGAGGGAGTCAAAGTCCCCAAACCCGGCGCAAAAGGTGTCGATCGCACTGCCAGTCCAGAGAAGCCTCTTGCTAAAGACAAGGACTCCGCTGCTGGAGTTGCGGCCGGCGAAAAGCAAAACAAAGAAGCTGCGGCGATGTCGACCGAGACAACCTCAGCAATGTTGGCGTCCGAGACTGCCAAGTTGGGCAGGCCGAAGAATGCAAAGAGCGGTTCTGCGCCGAATGCGAAAGGCATGTCAGTTCCTTTGACTGCAGAGTCCTTCCAGAAACTGGTCACTACGTCTCAGGATCCATGGTTTATCAAGTTCTACGTGCCGTGGTGTTCCCACTGCCAGCATCTAGCTCCCACCTGGGCCGAGATGGCGAAAGAAATGGAGGGAAAGCTCAACATTGGCGAAGTCAATTGTGAACAGTCATCCCGACTGTGCAAAGACGCCAAGGTCAACGCTTATCCCACCATCTACTTTTTCCGAGGGGGCGAGCGTGTCGAGTATGAAGGTCTCCGGGGGCTCGGCGATCTACTGTCCTTTGCCAACAAGGCTTTGGATAGCGATGTCAAATATGTCGATGCCGCTGCATTTAAGGAAATGGAGGAAACGGAAGAGGTCATCTTTGTCTACTTCTTTGACGATGCCACAACTTCTGAAGACTTTGCCGCTCTGGACCGATTGACTCTGAGCTTGATCGGACACGCAAAGATCGTTAAGACCGACTCGGAAATCCTGGCCAACCGATTCAAAATTTCAACCTGGCCAAGGTTGCTGGTGTCTCGAGACGGAAGGCCTACCTATTATAACGCCCTTGCACCAAAGGACATGAGAGATTTCCGAAAAGTCTTGACCTGGATGCAGTCCGTCTGGTTGCCAATCGTCCCGGAACTCACCGCTGCAAATGCGAAGGAACTCATGGCCGGCAAATATGTCGTCCTGGGGATTTTGTCAAGGGAGCGACCAGATCAATTCATGCAATCAAGGCGGGAATTGAAGAATGCCGCTTTAGAATGGATGGACAAGCAGACTCAAACGTTCCAGCTCGAACGACAAGAACTCCGTGATTCGAAGCAGCTACGGATCGAGGAGGCCGAAGATCGCAACGATCAGCGAGCGCTTCGACAAGCGAAGAGTATTGTCATCAGCATCACCGAGGAGAACTTTCGCAAAGGGGTCGGCTTTGCCTGGGTCGACGGTGTCTTCTGGGAGCGTTGGTTGAGATCGACGTATGGAGTGGACGTGTCGAAGGGTGAGAGGGTGATCATCAACGATGAAGACGTGAGTATCATCATGGTTACTGCTTAATTGATTACGAAAGACTGACTTCTTGTTTCAGAACCGCCGGTACTGGGATGTCACCGATTCAGGTGCCTATATCATGCCCTCCCGAACCTCCATTCTCGAGACTCTGCCTCGAATCGTCGCCAACCCGCCCAAGCTCACGCCCAAATCCACCATCGGCACATTTGAGAACATTTTCTTCCAGATCCGCAACTTCGGGACGTATCACCCCTACTTCTCGTTCGGGATCTTGATCCTCTCCGTCTTTGCACTGTTGTATGTCCTTAAGAACGGCACCACGATCAAGAAGAGCTTGAGCCGGAATAGCAGTGGTTACTTCCATCTTGAGGGGAAGGAAGGGCTGCTAGGCATGACCAACGGCAAGGCAGATTGAGTTGTCTATTCTTGTACGCGGTCATCAATGAAGGAGATCTGTTTCATCTGAACTCTTCGCATAGGGTCGAAGGACGGTCGTTTTGGCTTCAACGGTATTATAACCTGAGGGACAGGCACGGCGATGGCGTTCAGGGAATGCTATTTTCCTCCAAACAGCATCAAGGATGAGAAGAGCAGTGTCCAGTTCGGACCGCCTTTTGGTTATCGAGTACGTAGTATAATAAAATCCCGATCAACACAATGGTACCTATTTCGGTGTCGCACCCTTCTGCTTTTACGCATGCAAATCGCACGTGGTAGGATTGCCACGATTTGATGCGCTCTAGTTGCACGAAGTTCAATCAAGTAGACATGAAGTTGAAGTTGTTCCGTTATGAGGCGTTCTGCTGCTAGTCCTGACTGTGATTTCTGCAATCAGTCGCGAAATTGGGTGGGCGCTCGTGGAATAACCTTCTACAGGTGAACAGCTACAAGAGGCAAAGGAACAGAAGATATGGCGATCAAGCTTCGTCCACAAGGACTAGGCGACACCTTTGATTGTGGAATTGACTTGTTGTCTTTTTTTCACATCTGATCATAGCAGTGGTGTCTAGCTGCATCCACCGCGCAAGCACCGGAGCTGCAGGCAAGTGATTCCCCATTCTCCCTGTCTTGGTCTGTCGGGTCATGGTGCAGTGGGTGAGATCACCGACACCAGTCGAAGACCCGGCACGACGGGCGAATCCGACATCAAAGATTGGAAGTTGACGGCTAAAGATACGCAAATGGTTGTTTTCTCAAGTCCACCACGTTCAATCATGCCATAGTATCCCCCCGGTATCACACTTTTTCCATGTGTTGGTGATGGATCTATTCCCTCCGTCCTGGGCGGTCGGTGCCGAAGACTCTGCGACCGCCACGGTCCTGGGGAGCTTGCTGGGCGACGGGGACGACGTTGACGGGGATAGAGTCGAAACCCAAGCTCTTCAACAGGTCCTTGGTGTCTGGGTCGACATCGAGCTGGCCGCTCTCCGTGTTCTGGGTGAAGTCGAGGGCCGAGATCTCGGGCACGTATTGATCTTTCCGTTCTCGCTCCTCTTCTTGCAGCTTGAAAGAAATGCCTCGCACAGGTCCGCGCTGGATACGCTTCATCAAGTGGGTGGTGTAGCCGGCGATCTGGAGACGAGGAAAAATGGTCCGTTAGTTTTCATAGATCCAAATTGATGGATGGCTTCGACGACCGCCGCGGTGCTCGGTCCTGAGTGCTAGGTACATACCTTGTTGCGAAGACGCTTGGATGCGATGATGGCAATTTCATCGCATATCCTCTTGTTGGTCTCGAAGTCGAGCGTGAGCTTGGGGTAGTATCGCTCAATGATGACTTTGGCGGACTTCTTGACGGTCTAGACGCGCATTCAGTCAGCTCAAACACGTTCATCTGCGAGTTCACACTTGACTGCAACTGACCTTCGTGCGAACGCGACCCATCTTGACGGTGTGCTGAGGCGGATTGATCGAAAGGAGGGAAGTCGAGAGTTGGCAAGTCTGGTGGTTGTAGCGAGTTGCATTGCAGTGCGGTGTGGTCGCTCAATTCAATTTTCGAGCCAAAGTCTTGGCGCGGCACACTGTGCGCCAAGTGATAAGATTAGATGCCATCACGTGCACGGTATCACTTTGGAACTCCGGAACAGTTTATTAGATGGTTGTGTCTCAACCTACGCGTACCCAGGTATCTATCATTAGCGAGTATCCCGGAGGGAGCGGTTCAATTAGGCATTGACACAAGCTGAACTTGATGGTAAGAGGTGACAGTATTTCTATATAATGGTACATCTAGATCTTTTTCTTCAAGGGATTCGAAGATGCAGCGCGGATCATCGCATCTATCTCTTCGCTGATGTCTTGACTCGGCTCAGGAGGCGGCCTCGAGCTCGAATAACGGCGTCTAGGGGAGTTCTTGTCAAGGCGTGGGATTTGCGACCCAGAGCGCTTTCTGGCTGCATTGGGGTCGTCTCTGGGTTTTCTTTCAACGCTGTTGACGGGAACATCGTCCTCCAAATGCCAGTTTGGTTGGAGTCGAGTCTGGATCTCGGCCTTGCCAGCTTGCGACACCGTAGCGGCAGTAGGAGTGACAACCATCTTAGGTCCATCCTTTGTGGGTTCCCATTTCCAGTTGTAGTCGGTCAATGAGGTATGGGTCGGCTGCGGGACAACGAATCCTGCCACACCCACAACCGGAATGTTTCTGTTGTGCGTAGTAGGGATGGACTTTAGTAGTCGTGCTGGAACGGGCGGTCGCGTGTCTCGCGGACCAACCATTATGTCATTCTGCGAGAACATCTCCGAGCTGAGATATGTCAATCCGGCAGAAGGATGGGTTCGAGGTGGCCCCGATTCCTTGTATGGATCCGCGGCTACCGTGTCACGTCCGTAGGACCATGGATCTGTCGTCTGGGACGAGGGCCGTGGTCCATCCGCCAAATCGAAAAATTCGGCAATGAGCGGACCGAATTTGCCTGGCTCTGATCGCAGGTGTCGAAGGTATTCTGTAACATCTTCCTCGGTGACTTCTGCGGGCTCTGTTGAACCAGCTTGGCCCTCTTCCAGTGCGGCTGCACGATGTTGTTCATCTCTCTGCACGCTCAAGTGGCCTTTGACATATGCCCTGAACTCAGCCTTCCTTTCTCTATCGATCTTCTTCAAGAAAGATTCGAACTCCATTCCATTCAGCCCTGCAAGGTAAGGCCCAGAGTATCTCCATCTTCTCGTCGCCTGGGCAGAGAGTGACGGGGCGGAAGCTTGTTGAGTTGCAGATGCACTCTCGGATTCTGATGTCTGTGCTCTCGACTTCGCGACCTCCTGCAAGGTCTCTTTCAAATGTTGAGGCAGTTGAGCTTCACGCTCAGACGCGCTCATATGAAGCCAAGAAGAGGGAGTATATTTCTTGTCAAGCGTCGGAAGAGGTTCAGCTGCGGTGTGATCCACTTCATGGTGAAAAACGCTCGTTCGAGAAGTTGACCTCCTGTCTTTCGTTGCCGGCAGCGTCACTCTCAGATTCAACTCATGGAATTTGCGGAGAGTGATGACATGGTCGGCGGCGGATTCGAAATCGGCGATGTGCTCGCGAGTGTCGATCCCATTTTGTATCCGTATGGTCGGGGTCCCGGTCTTGGTCGTGGTTTCAACGGGCAGAGACCGCTTTAAGCCCCAATCTCCCCTCTTCAGAGAGGTCGTCGGAGTTTCTAATGCAGCTCGGAGGGGATACGGAGTGGTCGCTGTATCAGAGAAAGCGACGGGCTCTGATGAAGGTTCGGTGGGTGGCAGAGACAATGGATTCGGAAGCGCGAAAAGCTTCGAGTTGCGAAGCAGACTCGCTGCTGGCGACAGACGAGCAGCAGTCATTGCTGCAGAGTCAGGGCCGCCTATTGCCGGCACACGGTTGAAGTTGCGAGCTGGAAACAAGAGATGAAGATTCACGCAACTCGAACTCCGCAGTTCTGCCATTGACAAGTTGTGCCAAGACTACATTTTTACGGTGGATCACAATGCTTTGCAATGTAGTGGTCCGTCGGACGAGGCCGACCCTCAGGGGCTGACTTCGAGACAAAGAAAACCCAACAGGCCGTCTCCCTTACATACGGAAGAAAAGACTGGGCCATGAGTTCATCTATAGGGTCTGACTTCGAACCGATGAAGCTACTGAACAGATGGAACCAAGGGCCATGACGCTGGGAATAAAAGTGAGCTTGTTGCTGGAGACATCCTTGCGTGAAATGCTAGAGCACGGCAGTCCCATCAAAAGCCACAAAAGCCATGCGCTTCGTACTTCCCACGGCGCAAGATATGAAAGGAATCCCCACGCTTGCTTAGTGGAATCCCCTTCAACAGGGGCACGCAGCTTAGCTCTGTGGATTTCCCAAGCCTAGTTCAGTACTTCACCAACTAGGATCAGCAACATGGGGCCTATGTTGGCCTTGCGGAAGATGGTGGAGATCTAGCCAAAAGCCAAAGCCAATGGCCGCATAATGGCAGTGACACAACCAAGGTCGCAGGACGCTGTGATACAGGTTTTGCACAGTCCGCACAAGGTAAGCATCATCCAGTCCCGTGGAATGGGTCAGCGAACGAGTGCTGTCAAGCCTCTCGGAAGGTTAGCATATAAACCGTTGGTGAAAGGGGCCAATATCGGTTCGAGTCCTCGAGCCATAGTATCCAGCACGTCTGTGGCCGGTGACATGGTTTGGAACCTGGTCGGACCGGCGAACACGCACAGATCCCCAAGAGGCGGCTACCAGTAGGCTGCGAAGCAGCTGGTAAGGTATCGCCTGACAAAACTCAAAAGGCAGGTCGATGAACTCTTATGGCATGCTCTCAGGAAGAGAATTGCTTCCGGTCATGTGCAGGATCACGGTTGCACCAAGCGAGCATGACCAAGCTGCCGTGCTGGCCTCCTCCAATGTTGCGAGCCAAGACAGTGTCCAGTATCACCAACTTGAATGTGGTGTGCTTGGGTTGGGACTACGCATCCGATAGACCATGCCGTGGACTTCATCGCATGACTCAATCAAGTCTCAGGCTGCAACCACTGCCGCTCTCGGGTCAACCGTATTGCGAGGATTCGTCGTCTTCGCGCTCTGTCAGAAACACCGTCCATTTCCAATGCAATCGCCGGCACAAATTGTGGTTGCGATGAGCTCACAAAAGGTGTCAGGCGGAGAGAGAGTTTCAACAATCTATCACCCTGGTGTGTCTCACTTGTGCCGCGCGTCCGTGGGAATTGAAAATCCTCTCGTCATGAAATCGCGGTTCTTTGCCTTGGACTTGTCGGAAGTCTTGCTGTACAAGGAACTGATGTTGTCATTGTGTTGTCGTTGTCTTTTCCTTGCTGCCTCCTCCTCAAGGACTCGAGCAGTAAGACTGGCAGTGGCAGCATCCTTGATTCCGGTTGACATCCGGGGAGCGGATGATCCAGATTGTGGGTTGGCGGTTCCATCACCATTATGCGGCTTGACTATGGAGTGTCCGTCAACAGTGTTGCCTTTTGCGTGTTTTCTCGGTTCATCTGCGGAACCCGGTTTCAATTCACCGTTTGCTTTGCGCTTCTTGCTCCCGCTGGCCTTTTTCAGAGAGTGTGTCAAGCCGAGTGATTTCAGCGTATTCATTCGTTCAATCACCAAGGCCTTGTCTTTTTCCGTGCTTGGAAGGATGGGAATGACATCTCGTTCCTCATACGTTGCTCCACACTGCACGCATTTGCCGTCGCCCTTCACCGCATTGATGGCCTCTTGCGAGAATGCATGACCGCATGGAACGAGGTAGACCGCTTTGACATTTGGTCCCAACTCCTTCGAGGTCACAGGGCAAATCCATTTGCTCGTCTTTGCGTTCTCGTCGTGCTCCTCCTCAAAGTGCACCTCGACCACATCTTTCAGCGATTTAATGCGTCCTTGAATGAATTTCTCGTATTCGTCCTTGTCGACCGAACTTGCCTCAGCGGGCAGGAGAAATTGGATTATGGCATCTTTATTGTAGAGTTCTCCGGTGTAATCCGAAACGATGGGTTTGACCAACGGTTTATGCGACACTGGGCATGTTGACCATCGGTGGGCAAGGTGTTCCTTCTGCTTGTCTTTTAATTCGGTCGCGGTAGGATTTCGAGCGGCTTCCTTGACCAGTTCGCGCCGGGTGGGGATACTAGCAAAGAGTCAGTACCGGAAATTGAACATGGCGGGATAAAGGAGGACACACCTGCCACCGTCGTTACCCATGGTATATGAGGTGGAGAGGCGAAACGGCAAAGAACAGTATGTTCGCTTGTGCAGGGTAGGAGTGAAGACTGCCGCCTTGATGGTTAATGGATGCGGAGTGGCGCACTATGCCACTGCAGTTGGCTGTGGCTTGAAAGCGGCGCTCTCGTGCGGTGGCGGAGGGCGGCCGCTGCTTCGACGGCTGCGGGTTACACCGATACTAGTATTACTGGCATCAGCAACACCCAATCTTGTTTCGACCTCTTCCGCACTTGTCGACATGAAGGGAACTCGAAGCCAATTCGTGGTCAAGGAGTGCACCAATTTTGGCTGGGCATTGGCCTTTCCACCTCAACGGCGACTACAATTCATTATTCGCAAGACCGCAGGCCCCTTAGCCGCCTGTTTCGTGTCAGCCAAACCCCCTGAGGGCATCGCAGATCAGGGTCTCTCGGGCATCCATGCAAACACACCCGCCAACGTGTTCTGTGAAGAAAAGCCTCAATAAACAAGTCACTCTTTGTTGACAGACCCAAAAGACCTTGAACGCAGGAGGATGATGATGATGATGAGATGAAGGACTTGTCTATGACGGGTTTACCTCAACTTCTCAACTCCGTGGAGAACAGAACAGCGCAATGGTGGGGAATCACGGTCGAGATATTCGCGAATGATCTCCATGGTGGGTTGGGTCGTCAAGCCACATGTCGGCATACACAGTGACACGCCCTTCGTTATAAATAATAAGTACTAACGTGGATTCGCCGCGCATTTCTCCAGATTCTCATTTACTGTCCTCTCACGTATCGGATGTTTGCCGACTCATAGCATTGACTTCGACTAACAAATCTTCTGCTACCGACTTCCATCACAGACAATAGTCTAGCACTCGTTGTTGGATCTCAAGCATTACCAGCACCCGAGCAACATGAAGGTCCTTCTCACAGGTGGCTCAGGCTTTATTGCAGCACATTGCGTCGACGTACTCCTCAAGCACGGTCATGACGTTGTTTTCACCGTCCGATCTGACGACAAAGGACAGAAAATCTTGAAGAATCACGCTGGGACCCCGTCGAGTAAACTCAGCTATGTCATTGTTAAGGATATTGCTCAAGAGGGAGCTTTCGACGACGCCGTCAGGTCTGACCCGCCCTTCGAGGCCGTCCTGCACACCGCATCACCGTTCCATTTCAATGTCACCGACCCCAAGAAGGACTTGCTTGATCCGGCAGTGATCGGTACAACGGGCATCTTGAAGGCGGTGAAGAAGTTTGCCCCTACTGTCAAAAGAGTGGTCATCACCTCGTCCTTCGCGGCCATTATCAGTCCCAACAACCATCCCAAGGTTTACAGCGAGGCTAATTGGAATCCCATCACTTGGGAAGAGGCCATCCAGACACCCAGCAATGCGTACCGAGCGAGCAAGACCTTTGCAGAAAAAGCAGCATGGGAGTTTGTGGAGAAAGAGAAGCCGAACTTCGACCTTGCAACGATTAACCCGCCCTTAGTGTTCGGGCCTGTCGTGCACTACCTGAACTCGCTGGATGCCATCAACACCTCGAATGCTACGATCCGGGATATGATCGAAGGAAAATGCAAGGACGCAATCCCACCAAGCACTGGTTTTCTGTGGGTGGATGTTCGGGATGTTGCCCTTGCGCATGTCAAGGCCATGGAAACATCGGCGGCCGGAGGAAAGAGATTCTTTGTCACTGGCGGCCACATGAGCAACGGTATCGTTGCTTCAATCATTAGAAAGGAGTTCCCGGAGTTCGCCGACAGACTCCCTGCCGATATCGACACTTCCTTGCCTGCAGACATCTTCGGATATGACAACTCGCGAAGCAAGGAGATTCTGGGGATCGAATACCGAAAGCTGGAGGACACTGTAAGGGACACAGTGAAGTCGCTGCTTGCAGTTGGTGCATGAAGGAGGCTTAGCTAGATCGAAGGTTACCACAGAATCATTAGACAATCGGCTTCTTCAAATACTGGTGCGACGATATGGATGTTCTCTAGAGTTCTAGATACCTAAGGTACCTAGGTACCTAGGTACCTAGGTACTTGGCCATAACATAAAGGAACGACCATCTTATGTGACCACTTTACGCGACCTCGGGAAAGCTTCCGTGTCAGTCACATCACGTGAGCAAGCACACAGCTAGTGACGTGATAAAGCTCTGACCAATGACATACCACACACGAGAGCGGACGGCTTCCGGATGTTTAATCTTAATCCGGCAGGTTGATTCAACGTCCAAGTTGGCCACCACTCTTGTCCATCTCAATCCAATACTAGTACCTGGTCGCCATCTTCCCTTGGAGCGGCTGTGGCAAGCACAGACGTCCCTCGACAGCTGCAAGAGTAATGAGGCCTTTGCCACTCAACGGGTTGGTGTTGCACTGATCATACTAGTGAATCTAATCGAGAGCAATCGCAGCACGGAAGGCAGGCGGACAACTGCTGTGTACTACATCTACTAATACGATCCTCATCCGGAGTCGGAATTTTCGCACGGAGTCTGGGGAACAAATTCCTTAGGTGTGATCCCTTTAATTATGTACATGGGATGTGATGCCTCGACTCTGCCAGCACTAGTCAATCTCTGACGCGATCTTGAATACTCCTCTACACTGTACACCGCACTGTGCAGTGCAGCATGGCGGCATTCAGTACCGTCGCGCATCTGCCCGACACTCCCGGTCTACGCCCGCATCGGGCCTGTCGAAACTGCGTCCAAATTAAGGCAAAATGCATCCCACTGGAAGGGTCTAATGATACAACGTGCCAAAGGTGAACCCGCCGTCCATTATGCACTCAATATCACTGATGTTGAGCAGATGTCATCGGTTGCGGAGAGAATGTACAACCCCGGTACCTACACCTCGTAAACGATCGCGAACCAAGTCCACGTAAGTTTCACCCAGCGAAATATTTTCTGGGGGGCATGCCTTGCCCCTGACAGCGTGGTACCCTCATCCGAGCGTCGTGAGATCACATCATGTGTGCACTGCACTGCATCTCGTGCTATCCTCGATGTACCATCAAGCCGTCTTTCTGATGGACCTCCAGGCGAGTGTCAAAGCTTGAAGACCGACTCAACAGTCTCACCGAACTCCTCGCTAACGGAGGGGAACTTGACGGAGTCCGACGGCCACCTTCCTCTTTACCGACACCACCCGTTTCTACGACGCAGGAAACGGATCTTCCAGGCGGAACCAGCCCCGCGAACCCTCGTCTTTTTATCACAGAACTCTGCCACCCACACCTGAAGGATGACCCCAAGTCAGATAGCAGCAACATTTTCCATGTTCTGGCTCCAGTGGTCGAGGAAAAGCTTTTTAGTGACTTCCGGACCCAAATGAGTCAATATTTTCCGTTTGTCATCATTGCTCCCCGCGCAACATTGGTCGAAGTTCGAGAGACGAAGCCCTTTCTCTTCAGAACGTGCCTAACAGTTGCTTGTCATGGCGAAGTCGCCTTACAGCGACAAATGGTCGAGGAGTTGTTCAGATATCTGGGGGACCACCTGCTCATTAGAGGAGAGAAATCCATGGATATTTTACAGGGGCTTCTGGTGCTCATTGCTTGGTAAGTCCTTTACTCCCAGCCCCAGTGGGATGTGCCCATGGACCCGGGACCTGGACAATTTAATCACAATGGAGGCCTTGCGGATGTCGACAACGGCGAAATCAGGGCAGAACTCTACCATCCTGTTGTGTCGTCGTCAAGGCATCAAGCTGTATACGTTACAGCCCTGCTGACTTGTGATAATCCGCTAACACGCCCAAGGTGTCAGTGCTACAATCTGCAGAACCCTCAGATGATGAACCTGGTCCACCTTGCTTCAGCGATGCTTCTCGGGCTTGCTTTGAACAGACCTCCGCAGCCTAGTGTCTGGCGGACCGCCTGTACGTTTCTTGACGCACATAAGGTCCTCCATGGCACAAGTTTTAAGGAAGGCGCTCGAACCACTGATGAACGTCGGGCAGCTCTCGCAGTCTACTATTTCACCAGCAGACTGCCCTGTTGTGAACCTTTGCGCTGGAACCCTTACCTTGACGAATGTTGTGACGTCCTCACGGCCGCAACAGAGTATTCCACCGATGTCTACCTGGTGCACTCAATTCGGATACAGCGCATTGTTGATAAATACCTGTCTCCGGGTTGCCTGAGCCTGACCGGTTTCGGTGGTAGGCTACCCATTCGAACGTATGTGAAGTGTTTCGAAGACGACTTCGAGTCATATGAGCGGACCCTTCCACCCGAGCTAAAGGAAAGCAGTAAGTCTTAGTCCTCGGGTCCTTGACGCTGTGGCACCACCTACCGTTCACATACATACACATTCTGCTTCGTCGGCCTCCCAATGCTTCGTGGCATTCGCTAACTGAGACCTATAGGCTTTGCTCAGATGTACAAACAGAGTGCTTTGATCATCCTCTATGAGCCTGTGCTGACCATGGAACGTGATGAAGCCATCCAGAAAGCTGAAGCCCTGCATGCCTGCGTGGAACATATCCGGTTGTTTTACGACAGCTTCGCAGCGCAGCCTCCAGGGAGTCTGCAGCTACTGCCGTTTCTAGAATGGCTACCCGTTCTCTACGCACACCTCGTGTTGGCAAGACTGTCCTTTCTAGTTGCAGACGGATGGGATTTACAGTGTTTTAGGTCGTCTAGCATGAGCTTCTCGGCCGTGGCGGATCGCTTGATGGCTCAGTTGCAATCCGCCGCCCAACAGAGCCTCGTGCAATCTCAACAATCCTCTGAGATCCCAGTATGTTTCTCGCATTATATCGACAAGTTGCGACTCTGGAAGAAGTGGTACGAGAACAAACTCAAGACAGAAGTCGAAGTTCAGCCATCCACCACTCCAGACGTTGGCGCAGCTTTTTCAGCATATGATTTTTCCGTCGAAGGATTTTTTGGTGGCTTTGAGGATCTGGTGGGGCAGGATTTCATAGGAGATTGGAACTCCAGCTTCCAGGATTGAGTCCACGACTTCGATGGATCCTAAGGCACCCTGCTACTAGGCTGCCGTCAATATGGTTTGTCAGCCCGGGCCCCGGAGCCCAGCAATCGAACTCCGGCTGGAACGCCTCCCTGAGTCTTCGTGACCGGGTTCAAATGTGTCACGTGACCGGAGCCGGAGGACAACTCAGTCTCCTTATCCACCGCACGGAGAGTCCGGCGGGAGTTCGAAGAGTTTCCAATATAAACAACAATCGGCAACCTCAAGGCCAGGTCTGGTATTTGTTCCAGATCTTCCCGGTACCATTGTCCAAGCAATAACACAACAAGTCTGTGAGTGGAGGTATATTACTCGACATTGAGAAGCCTCCCGATCCTACAGCCTTCGACGAGACACCGACAACCATACCAATGACCGCCACCCCTACGTCTCCTGCGCCCGAGGCCATCACCGAGTCTGCATTTTCCATGGAGGCAGATGCGGAACCACACTATCTGGGTCCTCGAGCCCTCGTCGCCCTGATGTCCTCTCTTTTCCTTGTCGTGATCATGTATACCCTCGACAGCTCCATCATCGCGACCGCAATTCCCAAGATTACGGACCAGTTCCATACGATCGCCGACATAGGCTGGTACGCTGCAGCATATCAGTTGACCAGTGCCTCGCTACAACCGCTCACTGGCAAGGCTTACACCTATTTCTCCCTCAAATACACGTTTCTCTTCTTTGTCGCCCTCTTCGAAGTGGGATCGTTGATCTGTGCCTTGGCGCAGTCAAGCACAATGTTTGTGGTGGGTCGGGCAATAGCAGGGATGGGGGCTTCAGGGCTTCTGAATGGTGCTTTGACGATTCTTGCAGTGGCGGCTCCCCCGTCGCAACGGCCAATGCTGATGGGACTTATAATGTCCATGGCAGGAATCGGCCAGCTGGCTGGCCCCCTCATTGGTGGTGCCTTGACTGAACATGCTTCATGGCGCTGGTGCTTCTGGATCAATCTTCCCATCGGCGGCGTGACCCTGGCAATCATGCTGTTTGTCACGTTCCCGCCATACAGAGCTCGCAAGGCAAAGTGGACATTCAGGGATGTCATGCACGATTTCGACATCACCGGGTTCGCCATTTTCGCACCCTCATGCGTCATGCTTCTCTTGGCCTTGGAATGGGGCGGCACTACCTACTCTTGGTCATCTGCCACAATCATCGGATTGTTTTGTGGCAGCGGGGCTGCCTTTGCTGTCTTCTTCGTCTTGGAGTACTTCCACGGCGAGGCCGCCATGATTCCAATGTCGCTTCTGCGCATACGCGTGGTCTATTCCAGTATGGTGACTACAGGCCTACAGTTTGGTGGTATGCTCATATTCTCCTACTATCTTCCTCTGTGGTTCCAAACCATCAAATCAGCCTCCCCGACCATGAGCGGTGTTTATATGCTCCCCACTTTCGGGACACAGGTCTTTGGTGCTATCCTCGCAGGCACAGGTGTGTCTCGTCTCGGTTATCCAATGCCATTCTCCGTGGTCGGGTCCGCCCTGACGGCCATCTCTGGAGGTTTGATGAGCACCTTCACCGTTCATACAGGCACCGGCAAGTGGGTCGGGTATCAGATTCTCCATGGTCTGGGACGGGGAATTTCTTTCCAGCAGCCTATCCAAGCAGTTCAGGCGGTCGTCAAGCCCGACATGGTGGCCACGGCCACCGCAGCGGCTGCGTGGGCGCAAACCTTTGGAGCAGCCATTCTCATAGGATTGGCACAGACGACTTTTATCAATCTTCTACGCCCTGCGCTGAAAAAGTATGCTCCTGGTGTTGACGCCGACAAGATCGTTGCGGCTGGTGCGACGGATATTTCAGCTGCTCTATCTGCATCAGACGACGCTCAAACGCTGGCGGGTGTGCTGAAAGCGTACAACCAGGCCATTACCCAAACCTTCTACCTAGCTACGGGATGTGCGGCTGCTAGCGTTGGAACAAGTCTGGGGATGGGAATGACTCGACTTGAACGCAAGCAGAAGGACCAAAACAAGGATGAGGAACAAGGCAAACACGAGCACAACGGAGAGAGTGTTGGCACTACACAAACAGACTCAGCTTCTGTGGACGAGACCGAAGCCGAAGCCGCCATGGAAAATTCGGGTCCACGTCCTGTAAGCATGGCCGAGGACAGACATGACTGATATGGCTGTGATTTCAGGACGAAATTCTGGTGAATGCCTGGTCTTACTCAACTAGGTCAGGAAGGACTCGGCAACAAAAAGCATAGATGGGCGGATGGACGAGCATACTGCTACTACACCAAACTCATGTAAGTTATCAACACCAGGATCGGAAAAGGCGTTTGTGGAAAATTTAATGCAGATAATCACAAGTAGAATATTAATAGAAAACACCCCCTGAAACAAGGCGAATTTCCCCCATTTTCAGGTGCTGGATATGCCATGACTTTTGTCTGCCAGCAGCTGTGGAATGGTCATGGTTCACCTGCCAGTCTTTACCTCATTTCCACTTTGTCCTTTTACTAAGCTCGTTCTGTTTTTCAAAAGGAAAAAAGAAGAAGAAAAGGCGGCAATATCTACGAGCTTTCCAACCCTTTGAAGACACGATAACAATAATGAAGATGACATTATCGACGCCTCTCGGATATCAACAATAAAGAGGCTCTTATTGGACCGCGGACGTCTCAAAGAAGCCCCTTCTTTTGCAGGGAAGTCTTCGAGGGATCAGATGGCCAGATTGCTGTAGGATATTGAGTTCAGGGGCCTTTTATGTGTTGTTGGACTTGGATAGACAAGTATAATAGGCATCCAGCTGCAAGAAGCTTTCTATCTTGCTTCTTCTCTTGAACGATCATGCCCAGCTACCCTTCACATTGCTCCCAAATACACACTTTATTTTCAAGCGAATTTGATACAGTCGAATTCCAGCCAGCCCAATGGCAAAGTGTACTTCTCACCGCTCGCCCAAACTGACAAGTAGACGGCCCAATTCTGTCGTGGTCATGTCACTCACTGAGCTATCCTGATACAGACTTCTATGCAACTGTGTTTGAATTGTCGGAACAACTGAATGCCGGGTTGGCCGACGCGCTGTACGTCTCCTTGATAGATTCGGCAGTACCGTAGCTGTGAGGAAAAGATATGTCAGCAATGGGTTGGAATGCAAGGGGTCCAAGTTCTTGAGAGAAAAGATAGAAAGTCATAGAGAGTTAAGACTCACATTCCGCCCACGACCAGAAAAGCTCCAATGAGCAGGATCAAGATGTGAAAGGCCCACGCCAATTTTCCAGTCCAGCCCCGGGCAAGTGCCGGGCGGCCATCGTCGTACATCCACATGAAGGCCGGAAAGATCAAGCTCATGGGCGCAAAGGCGAAGGAGCCGGTCAAGGCAAGCAGGTAGTTGAAGACGGGGATCGCCTCGGCGAAAACGAAGGCCAAGAAGCCGAAAATGATGTTGAGACCGACCCAAGTGGACCAGTGTTGCCATGTGTTGGACTGGAAATGCGGGCTGTTACGCATCAGGCGGACAAAGGCATACTTTGCGGCCGAATGGTTGAAGATGCCGCCGCTGATGATCAAGCTGGGCAGGGCGATGCCGTAGGCGACCTTCTTCACCAGGACACCGGCGCTGCCGAGGGACGGGGTGGCAATCCACACGCCGCAGTAGTAGTAGATGACCATGGAGAAGGCCAGGTAAATGGAGGCGACGATGAAGCCGACGGGGATCACAGCCTTGCGGTAGTCCTGAGGCCGCTTCATCTCGGCGATGATGGGGACGTAGACAGGGCCTCCGGCGGAGGCGACAAAGATGGTGGCACAAGCGGTAATGCCGGCGGCGAAGTCGGCGTGCGCGACGACGTGGAATCCCAGCTCAAAGGGCCCGGTCTGTGGCGCGGCCGCGGGTCGGTCTCGCAGCGACACCCCGATCACGACAGACAGGACACCGGCCATGACGCAGATGAACCCGGCCGTCATGGGCCAGGTCATTCGGTCCCAGGTGCGGATAGACGAATACATGATGATCATGACCATGCCGACGAAGCTGAACCACACGCTACAGGCGCCGTGCTCGCTGAGTGCGTTGAGTGCAACCGAGATGCCCAGCAGTCCGGATCCGCTGCAGAGCACGAAGGCGACCACAAATATGAACCCCACGAACTCACGCCCGATTCTTCCCCACATCAAGCCGCACATGTCGACGAGGGCTGAACGAAGACGAACATGTTAGCCGTCATGAATCTTATTGATGGTTTGGAGTTTGAACCACCGGTCGGGGCTGGACCGAGATTAGGTTTCTGGGGTGGAACAAGGGGACGACTCACTGTGGCATTGAGGGTGCCTGTTGCGGAAATCGATCAGGATGCATGCGGTATCTGTATAGCAGAGGTTAGTCTCAAATGTCTTGATATGAGACAAGCGAGCGCCATCGCTCCTCGACGCAAGCGTCCGGGCAACGTACAGGTATTCAAGGCTTGCCAGCCGACAATGACCAACGCCCCCGGCACGGCACCGAGAGATCCCATGGCTCCCGGGATACCCAGGACACCAGTGGAGACTTGGACCTTGAGAAGGAGAATGATCAGGCGTTGCCAGGTGATGGTGCGGAAGTCGACCTTTCCCTCTTCCTTGCGGAAGACCTCCTGTGTCTCGAGGTCGTTGTTGGAGCTGCCATCCTTGAGGTCTGCTTCCATGTCATGGGGCTCGCCGACCATGGGGGTGATTGGGCTCTTCTCTGCCGTCGAGTAATCCATGGCGAGGATTGAGTCGCCCGAGTCTGTCTCTGAGAGGATGTCTGTGGTCTGTCTCGATATAGGATATCTGTGTATCTGAGTACAGAGGATGGATGTCCGTACGCAGGTACTCAAGTGGGATCGTAGGGGGACAGGGCCAGGAAGGGAAAGACCTCGTGGTATATCAAGACTCAGTCGACTCGTGTCGCGACCACTGGCTCACGGCCACTCTTATAGACGTGATATAGTGTCGAGCTGTAGATAAGCAATTGGACGAAGCGGTCCAGACTGGCACTTCAACCGCTTTACTCTGCCAGTATCCTCACCCTTCTCACAGCTGTTATCAGCAAACCCTAGTGGCGAGGTATGTAGAGGCGTCAGTCAGATCTGGGAGGTTGTAACAAGGCTAAAACATGCACTGATTTCCACATGTGGACAACGACTACCCAGGACCTACATACTAGGTAGACAAGGGAAAAGTGGGTACGGCGTTATCAATGATCCAACGAGGCTACTTGCTGACCAAAGCGGAAACCCGGAGGGTCGGACCCACTCTAGTCTGATCACGGCATCGGTTTGGTTAGGCGCACCACCCGCTCGAATAGCGGAGGTTAGCATAGTCTCCGAAAGGGCAACCGGGATCGGGTCCCTCAGTCTCTTCCGACGATAAGCCAGTCAGCGCTTACGCTCCTATGCTCTATCTTCAGGCCCATGTCCAATTGTAGTATCACTCACCAGCCCTGTCTACACTGTACTGTCAATTCGTCTCCGCCTACCACGCATCTTTCCAGGACCAGGAGACCGGGGTTTGGTGGCGGATCCGTGCGGGACAACTCTGCCACCCCCGTCCTTCAACGTGGATCCAGACGTTGGAAATGTACCTCGATAACTGAATGGACAGTGCTCATCAACTAGACTGCCGTCGTGGAAGTTCCGCTACCCGACTCCCTCCCGCCAGGGTTCCCAAACTAGGGTTGGCATCGAGTGATGAGAGACAGATAGAGAGGAAATGGCGGGAGACAAGATGTGCTCCGACTCTCAGCCCCCTGTTCCGGCTTAGTTGATGGTCCAATGGTAGATCGATTTGGGTGACGCCCAAAGTACTTGACTTGATACGAAGACAGCAAGGTAAGTCTTGGTGGTGATCGATTGTCAGAGTCAAAGTCAAAGTCAACATCAAAACATTCTCGATTGTCAAGACTCAAGAGCAATACTATATTTTGCTCGTCAGCCTTTCAGCCATAGAGAAACAGCACCGCAGCCATGGGCTCTGTTCAAACACCACCAAGGAAAAAGGTCCACCTCAACTTCTTCGAGACAGCGTGCAAGGGAAACCATGAGTGTGCCGGACAATGGGCTCGACCGGGCGACAATACATACTCGAAAGACACCTTGGACTACTACATCAACATAGCCAAGCTGGCCGAAAAGGCCAAGATCACCTCCATCTTCTTTGCCGACTCGTACGCTGCTCATGACATCTACGCCGGGTCTCCAGACGCCGTGTTTCGCGCGGGCACACAGGTTGCCAAACTGGACCCGATGGTCATCATTTCAGCCATGGCGGTAAGACAAATTGACACCTTTATTACCCTCTCTCCCCTCTCCTCCTCTTGTGAAACGGCCATTTTGGCAGAAAAAAAAGAAAGCAGTAACTGAGAAAGCGATTGCCATTTGTTCTGTTCCAGGCCGTGACAACTTCGGTTTCTTTCGGCGTGACCGGCAGTACCAGCTACCTCCCGCCATTCTCGCTCGCTCGCACGATGAGCACTCTCGACCATCTAACCAAGGGTCGCATCGCATGGAATGTGGTGACCAGCTGGTCGCTGGGGGCGGCCGAGGCCTTCGGCAAGCAGCTTCTGCCTCACGACGAGCGATACGAGGTCGCCGACGAGTATATGGACCTTGTCTACCGGCTGTGGAACGGCTCTTGGGCCGACGATTCGGTCAAGTGGGACACGGTCAATCGCATTGCCTACGACCCAACGAGGATCGTCAAGATTGACTTTGAAGGCAAACATATCAAGATGAAGGGTCGCCATCAATTGCATCCTTCTCCTCAGCGGACTCCGTAAGTTTTCTTTACTTTCCCCCCTTTGATCATGATGATGAGGGACCTGGGTGCTTTTCTGGGTGGGTAAAAGAGCAACATAAACACTGACTCTCCCTCTCTCTCCAGTGTCATCTTCCAAGCTGGAACCTCCAAGGTCGGCCAGGCCTTTGCTGCAAGACACGCAGAGGCCGTCTACATTGGTGGACTCGTGCCCTCTCAGGCATCCTACCAGATCAAGGCGTCTCGCGATATTGCCCGCGCCGCCGGCCGTGACCCTTACACCATCAAATTCTTTGCCGCGATCAATCCGATCATCGGCCGTACCGTGGAAGAAGCACAGGCCAAATTTGACGAGGCTATGAAATATGCCGACATCGAGGGCGCTCTCGCCCAGTTCTCCGGCTACACGGGCATCGACCTGAGCAAATACCCAATGGACGAGGAATTCAAGCTCGACATGTCCAACCCCAAGGAAAACATCGTGCAGGGCTTCTTTGGCAATTTTGCCGATAGTCAAAAGGCCGGAGACGTCTGGACTCCTAGAAGGCTGGGCGAGAAGATCGCCATAGGAGGCTTCCATCCCACCCCGGTTGGGACCCCGGCAATGGTGGCCGATGTCATGGAGCAGGTCAGTTCCCAAAACTTTGCTTTTCTTCTGTTTTTCTTTTGGCTTCTCCTCTCTTGCCGCTATCACTATCACTGGTCCAGTGAGCTAATCATATTGCTGCCTAGTGGATCGACGAGGCCGACGTCGATGGGTTCAACATGGCCTACATCAGCAACCCCAGTTCTTTCGAAGACATCGTGGAGCTGCTCATACCGGAGTTGAGAAGAAGAGGTCTCATCTTCGACGACTACGCTGTGCCTGGAGGCACCTTTAGGGAAAATCTTCTGAGAGAACCGGGCCAGAAGACCTTGCGCTCTGACCACTACGGAAGCCAGTTCAAGTTCGAAGGCGATTTCCCGTACGTAGAGCCAGTTAAGGCTTAGAGGCTAGCTCCAGCGCAGCATTAGATGCTCTACAGAATGTACACATTCTCCCTGGTTCTGATTAATATAGAAGTCATGCCTGGAATAATGTACTTTTTGTCAAAGACAAAAGCAAGAATGAATTGAAATACGGACTATAGAGAGTTGAGACAGTTTGCAACAATGCCCATCTCAGCCCGAAGTTGACATTATTCTCATCGATTTTACTTAGTTCTTGAGCATGGTTTCAACAAAGTACTCGAAAATCGTTTCCGAATCCAAGTCGGGTGAAAAATTGGAGCCCTTGATTTCACGGCAGACGGCGTCTCGTCCCAGGCTCTTGGTCAGGGCCTTGATATTGTCGAAGTATTTCCATAGCACATCGTCCTTGGCACACAACGCCAGGATCTTGCAACTGGGATTCATCTTGGTGATGGAGTCGCCAACATCATGCTCCCAGATACAGGCGTAGATCTGGGATCTCCCCTTCCAAGCCCGGATGTGGTCGAGGGCTTCCCGCTGCAACAAATCCAGGTTGGTTTTGGGGATACCTTCCCAGATCAGGTAGTCCCACGTTTTGATCAGATGCTCTCCAGACGGAACCGGCCGATTGAAAGGGTCCAGGAACGTCTTGGACATTTCCTTTCTCGCTGCCGCGTCCATCACGCCTGGGCCCACAAAGGTCAAGCTTTGTACAAAGTCGGGGTACCTCGCCGCAAGATCCGAGCCCAGTGTGCCCCCTGAATGGTGACCAATAAGGTGGCATCCGCGCTTCTGGAATTCGGGAAACTTGGAGAATGTGTTGTAGTACAGGTCAGTGTACCAGGCGATCGCGGGCGGATCGTATGCGGGATCAAAAGACGAGCCGAACCCAGGCATATCAGGAGCATAGCAGGAGTATCCCAGTGCCGCCAGCGATCGCATCAGAGAGTGGAAGCATCTTGACGATGATGCTGACATGTGCAGCAGAAAGATCGGTAGCCGGGAAGAAACATCCTCAGAGGTAGCAGAAGTAGGCGAGATGTGATAGTAATGGATCTGGCCTTCAGGAGTGTCCACGTATGCTGCCTTGAGCGCGCCGTCGTCCCCTTTAGGGAGGGTTGTAGAAGTCATGATAGATGACTAGAAAGACGCCAGGATTCGTGCCAGGAGAATGAGAAACAATCTTTCTCGTCGAGGGAAAGAGGGACAGTGAGTTCTTCGTGTACAGAACCAAGGCAGCCTCCTCAGCTACCGGCAACAATTATGGCTGTAAGATAGGTTGTGAACCCCCCAAATTCTATACTTCTGGATGAGAGACGTCTCAATAACCAATCATGACTTGCGTGAGGATAAGATAGGACGGTTGGAATAAGCCGTGGCTGATCTCAAATCACTCGGTCGGAAACTAGTCGGACAGCCGAAAGGTCCCCATCCCGTACGACTACCATGGCTCGAGCACCCAAGCCGACTCACATGTCAATCTGCCGCCATATTGTGGATCGTCAATATGTGACATACTTCGGAACATGTTCCAGTCGAACCGTCAATGTCGCCTCCAGGCGGAATGCTCTCGAACCAGTTTGTCGTGGCCGTGCCTTGACTGTCCGGGCGGAACGACTGTACCGCACACAGGTATTCTGCGTCTGTGAGTGAGACACGTGTGTCTACTTCAGAAAGAAGGTGGAAAGGCAAAGATTCGAGGGCAAATACACATGTGGCTGTCGAAATAAACGAAACCGATACACCTTCGGAGACAGGAGTTTTGTCGACCACATTCGCACGACAGCACCAGCAATAGTGAAACCAACCGTCATGGCAACCGAGCCTGTACTTACCCTTGAGCCGCGAGTGAAGGACAGTAGAGGCTTCTGGAAGCAAAAGCGGCTCGAGAGGAAGCCACTGGTCGCAGTGAGCGCGGTCGAGATCAACCAGAAAGAATCATCGAGTGTTGTTGAGACGGTACAGGACCGACAGAGCGAAACACTTGCCGTCCAGAGTCCAGCACAGAAGCCCGCATCCCAGTTAGATGAGGAACAATACTCTAGCGAGGAGCATATCATGAGGCAGAATGCCTTAATCATCACACCCAATCGATCATATCAACTCATTACCGACTTCCCAGTATCGCGAAAGCTTGCACCGGGGGAAGTCATGATCCGAAACAAAGCGGCAGGCCTCAACCACATCGACTGGAAGAGCGTCGAGTACAACTTCTGCCTCCCGGAGCTGCCCTGGGTCACTGGGCGTGAAATGGCAGGTGTGGTCGAGCATGTCGGGCCAGGAGTGACGAGACTGAAGAAGGGTGATCATGTTTGGACCAGTAAGTCTCCTCTGCACACAGCTGTAAAAGGCTGCATGCTGGACGAGCTGTTGAACTAATTCTGATTCTTGCAGGCACATATTACCGGGATCGAAGGGCAGGCTGTTTTCAAGATCTTGTGGTAGTACCGGAGCACACGGTGTTCTCCATCCCCATCAACCTGGATTTCCATACTGCCGCCATCCTGGGCGTGGCTGGCCTCACGGCAGCAATGACACTGTGGAAGTGGCTGCGAATCCCAATGCATACCGATTCACAGGATCAACAGCAAGAGCCAGAGCGAGAAGTCATGCTGGTCTGGGGCGGCTCAACGGCGACAGGCCAGTTCGCCATCCAGCTGGCAGAGAGAGCGGGCATCGAGGTTATTGCTGTCTGCTCGGAGGCGACCACACAGCTAGTAACCTCGCTTGGTGCCACACACGTGGTGGCATATACAAACAAAACAGATCCTCAGATCATCGATGAAATCGTGAGCCTGGCACGAGGACGACTGACCAAGGCCATTGATCTCGTGGGGGCCACGACGGCGAAGCTGGTGTTGCAAGTGATTACAGCTTGCAGTGACACAGAGATCGATTTTGCACCGGTTGCCTACATGTCGAGTAAGGAGGTGGTGCCACCGAACGCCAGAGTCCACATCGTGGAGATGAAGCAGTTTGTGATGGACAGCAGCTGTGGGATTTACGGAGAGCGACTGAATCAACTGATCGAGGATGGAGCCATCAAGATTCCGACCGTCAGTGTGCTAAAAGGAGGCTTGAGTGCCGTAGAGGACGGGTTACGACTCGTGAAGGAAGGGAATTTGGCAGGGAGGAAGCTCGTTGTTTCCCTGTGTCACTAAAAGGCGGGTTCAGGAGGGAGTCATGCATCAATCAGGCCACAAACAGGTGTAGAGTAGGAGTATATGTATTCGGGAACTTGTTTTTATATTTCACCCAAGGATCTCATGCGAGTCTCCCCATAATGAACATCATATAGATATAGATAGATATAGATATTGATGATGCTGATGATGATGAATTCCTGCTGCTTCAATTCATGTTATATAGTACAGCCTTGCGCCAAGACGCTACCTCCACTAATTGCAGCTGCTAGTCGTCTAAAGTACAGGTAGCTTCTTATCACTTATCTTATCATCACTCACTATTAACTGCGATAATGTTATCACCTCGTCACACTGCCTGTGCTAGTAGTAGTAAGAGGAGTAGCAGCTTTCATCAAGGTAGAAATTCTGCTATAATCAAACAAGGGAAGACTGATCGTAACTGTTGAATGCCGGGCGAGAGCTGCACGCATTTGTGCTTGTGCACTTATGTCTTGTCGAACATCGGAGGGACCCCTAAGACCCCTACGACTTATCGCAATCACTTGCCGACGGTCCATGGGGCCTGGGCGATGGTTGCAGCTTTCTCGGCACGGTGGACCGCCCCTTATCAGTTCCAGAACCACCGAACCACTGCCACTGGTGGGCATGGCGACAGATAGCACGCTCGACGTCGGCCTCGTTCCTCTCCGGGCACATCAGACGACCTCACTGCGATGCTGAAGTGCGATATCTCTCTATCCTACCCTTTGGTACGTGGTACGACGACACAATGGAAACAGAGCCTTTAGGACTGTCGAACGGCCTGCCCTTGGCGCCTCAAGGGCGTCCATGGCCGTCTTACTCCGGCGCTTTCCTGATGGAGCAGGAAGATGATGCAGAGCAAGAAGAGCCAAGCAGGGCAAAACGGCCCAGAGTCACGCTGGCCTGCCAGCGATGCAAGACTAGCAAGAAAAAGTGCGACGGGTGCCAGCCTTGCAGCAAATGCAAGTCCAGCCATGCACACTGCGAATATATCGTGCCACAGAAGCCCATGCCTTTCGGCAAGAATCAGTACATCAAGTCGCTCGAGAGTCGTGTCGCTGAGCTGGAGACCCTCCTGTCGACGCATGGCATGACCGGCCTCAGCAACGACCACTGGAAGTCGGCCTCGCCCAGCAACAACAATTACAACAACCACGTCAACAGCAACAACGACCCTTCCATCCATTGGGAAATGGCCCAGTCCGAGGGCAAGTCGACGTCCAGCAGTCTAGGGCCTGACGTGGCGGACCCGGATGCAGCGGTCCTGGACTGGCAAGACGGTGCGGACTCGGTGGTGTCGGTCCTGAGAAGCTTGTCGCTCGATGTCAACGGTTCGGGCTACATTGGGGCTTCGTCACAAGTGGCCATGGGCAGGTTGTTCACCTTCCTCGGCCGAGGTCGTCGACACCACGATCCTGTTGGCTCAGTTGATCATAGCCATGGGACCGCGACGACCACGACTACCGCCACTGCCACTGCCACCGCCTCGTCCTTCTCTTCACGTCCGCAGTCCTTCCCCACCGGACCATCAACCCCGTCGTCGTCGTTGTCGTCGGATACTCTACAGCCCATCGACTTCACCGATGTCCCGGACCAGGTGGCCGAGCGCTTATTCGGCGGGTACTTGAAACACATTGCCACGCGGCTGCCCGTCATCCACACGGTCTGGGCACGGGACGTCCATCAGAGACGACACTCTCTCACCGACATGTTCGAAATCACGGTCCTCCATCTGGTGTATGCGACGGCAGGCCGCTTCATCGAAACGACGGGGGAGTCGGGTATGTTCCACGTGAAGCGACATTACATGTCGGCGGTGCAGACGCTGGACACCATCCTTGAGTACAACGATATCCGAACCGTGCAGGTGCTCATGTTGATGGCCATCTATTGTCTCCGGGATCCCATCGGCCCAGGAGCCTGGACGTGCAGTCGGATCGCCCTTTTGATCGTCATCGAGCATGGTCTCCATCGACAAACAAAGGCACTGTCCCAGTTGACTCTGGAGGGGGAGCTGCGGAAACGACTCTTTTGGGCGTGCTATGCCTTCGATCGTCAGATCTCCATCCCCATGGGCAGACCGTTTGGGATTTCTGATCGTGACATCGACCTGGAATTCCCACTGGACATCGACGAAGACATCACCGAAGAACGGCTGGCATGTTTGCCCGTAGAAACAGGATCTTCGCCGACCACCTTAAGGAGCACCTCTCTCACCCCATTCTTGCTCATCACTCGACTGAGACAAATCGAATCCGACATTCAACAGACCATCTATAGAGTGGACAAGAGTGGCGGACCTGTCAGCGAGTGCGTCACGGACGAGTTCCTAGCACGACTGGAACAGTGGAAGAGCATGATCCCGCCGGACACCCACAACCTTAAGGATGTGGGCGACGTGCCCTACGATGGTTACGATTTCTATGTGAGCTTGAACTATCCATGCATCACATCACCACGTTCGCGTGTGACGGGCACTAACCATTGACTTTTGCTTCCAGATGATCTTTTACTTCAAATGCCAGCGCCTGCTGTTGTATCCACTGATTTCAGATCCCAACGTCGCGCCTCGCTTTCTGAAGGAGTGTGCTCGAGCTTGCGCCGGCGTGTGCGGTGCCTATCGACGACTGCACCAGACCTTGCCCGTCGGGTATTCGTTCATGGCGGTGCAGACGGTCTTCATGGCAGGTGAGTGTTGGAGCAGAGAGTTCTCCCGGCCGCGACCCCGACATCAGGAGCTAACAAACGGGTGTTTTAATAAGGCCTGACTCTCGCCTACTGCATCTGGATTTCGCCGGACGACATCTTCGACCTCACAGCCAGCAACGGCATCCACGACTGCAGCATCGTGCTTTTTGTGATCGCCGAGCGTGTGCACTCGGCCAAGAAGTATCGCAACGCCTTCGAGGTGATCCGCCAGCGTCTGATCGACCAGAAAATCTCTTCCCAGACGCATGCCAGTCGTCGACCTCGCGAGGCCGTCGTCGGTCTCACGGAAGAGCTGGCCCCGTCCGTCCATACGTTCGACGTCAACATGCCCTTTGAGGTCGACAATGGTGGGTACGAGCAGTTTTCGCAGATCATCACCGACATCACGGGCGAGGATTTCTTCGCTGGGATGAACCGTTTCGGCGCCCAGGTCGCCAATCCTACGGGTACACCTAGACCGGGGCCCGGGCTGGGAACTGCGCCGTTGCATGGAATGTTCAATCCGGTTTCCTTTTGGACCATGGAAGATGGCTTCTAAATGGTCGGACTATTAAATATAAATTTATTGAGGAATTCCACCTGGCTTTGCCTTGCCTCCAGAGACCAATCTTCTCCTCACTCTTGCTCTCCCTATGGCTTCTTTCCCACTATGACCCTGCCTCTTCTCTTCGTCGACAGCATTCTATTTCCGCTGCTGGGCTGGAACACAAGGACGAGTCTTGATTTAGCGACCAAGAAAGAAAGAGCATGTTCAGTTCAGCATAAATCATATGTACATGGGTCCCTATACTCTGTATATCTGTATATGCATAAAGCATACAAAAGCCTCTACCCAATACCCAGATTTCCTTATCTTGGTGGAGACGGTTTGGACCGCTTTTGTCGGCCCAAGTTGTGGATTGTGGATCGATGCGGGACAGATGGCCCTCAACGTCGGTTCATCATCCCGCCCTGCGGTAGGTTGAGCCGCCTCTTCGGATTGTGCTTCGGCCTCTTCTTATCTCAACCCTCTCGAGCCTCTTTCACGTGGTTCCTTTGTTGACATTCCGACAATTTCCCATCCAAAGATGGAGAGCTTTTTTACATATGCTATGCTGCTATGGGTTGTGCCGCTTCAGCTTGCATGGCGACAATGAGTACATACTACATAAGAGTAAATTCATGGGAGAAATGTCATATGAGTTTGACCATCTAGTAGGTGACAAGGAGACTGGGGTGCCCATCTATTGTGTGATAGTAGCAATCGTAGTGCAACAATCACCATCTTTCTTTCCCCCTTGCCTGTGGTCGTCTGAAGACTGACTAGTCAAGCTCATCAGTTGGAAGCGGCTTCCATTTCAGCCTCCTTCAAAACACTCTCCAACCAAGCCGGGTCTCGGGCCTTGTAGTGACAGTCGTAGTATCTCGGGTGGGCGACCAGACGATCGTAGACATTGGAGAAGTCCAGCGGGTCGACGTTAGGACTGCGGCCTTCCTGGCTGCTGCCGTCCATCTCAAAGGCCAGAATCAGCCGGGTCAGCAGGGCGCAGATGATCCTGTTGCTGATGGCGACGGCGGGACAGATGCGGCTCCCCGCGCCAAAGGTCAGATGAGGCAGTCCCGCGCCGACAGCCTCGCTGCTGTCGATGAAGCGGTCCGGGTTGAACTTCCAGGCGTCGGCGCCGTAGTGGGCTTCTTCGTGGTTGGCCTCTTGGGCGTTCATGACCAGCGTGATGCCCTTGGGCAGAGTCACGCCATTTGGGAGTTTCACTTCCTGCGTGGTCCGGCGCGGCGTCGCATACGGCGTGACCGTGTAGAAGCGCAGCGTCTCCTTGTTGATGGAGCTGATCAGAGGCACGCGCTCTTCGCGGAACGCCATGTTCCATGCCTTGGTGCGGTCCCCGTGGTAGGCGTCCAGGATGGCCTGCAACGCTCTTTCCTGCGTCGGCTTGCCTTCGGGCGACGACAGCCACGCCATGGCCTGGTACAGGCCCGACGCGACCGTGTCCGGGGCGGCCTGCAGAAGCCCCAGACACGTGCCGTGGATCTCCTCCGTCGTCAGCCCATCCTGGGTCAGCGACGTGACGATACAGTCGACCGTCTCGCCGCGAGCGACGCGGTCTTGGTACTGCTGGTACAGGATGTCGCGGTGCCATCGCCGCGTCTTCTCCGCGGCCACAATCTGGCTGGTCGGCTCGGGGATCAGGCGTGAAATGTGCACGAAGAACCGGTATTTGCGGGTCGTCGAGCGAAACGCCGAAATCGTGTTGATCGACTTGATCAGCCCAAGCGTGAATTCGTCGTCAACGTCGCCAAAGCGCGCTCCGTAGGTCAGAGACAAGGCCAGGTCAAATACAATCTGCCGGAGGAAGGCGTACGTGTCCATCGCTGCGCGTCCGTTGTCGGATTTCTGGTACACGGAAGCAATGAAATTGGCTGAAGAGGGTTCGAGGAGATGATAGTATTTGGGCCAATTTGGCTTTTGTTTCGAGTTGCTGTCAGCATGAGGTACGATAGATAGGAATTGAGAATATAGGGAGGGGATGTGGGCGGCAACGTTGAATCCATGTAACCAGCTGAAGCTTGCTACATACCTTGGCCAATGCTCGCATCCCAGCAGCCCTGCATTTACGAATCTGATCCGTCATACACGATCCCGTAAGATCGATGCCCAACTTGTCGAGAAAGCCAGGCTGGTGAGGTCGGTCAATCAGGGCATTGGACTGTCTCAGCCAAAGTTCCCGGATGGTGGCCCAGTCCGACACGATGACGGTCCTCTGGTTGCCAAAGAGGCATTGGAAGACGGGAGACTTGAGCTGCTTGCCCCATTCGGTGAAGATGGTACTGTCATTCTGGCCAGCTCGGCCACCCAGGCGATAGAGATGGCCAATAAAGGGTAGAGCAAAGGGAACCTCGGGAATGCCTTGGATTCGAGGGAAGTCGGCATGGTATGCTTCGCTCTGTTTGTATCATGTGTGAGCAAAAGGCCGTGCAAATGATTTTAACTGTGTTGCCACACAGTCCCAGATGGGTATTCCACTTACCACGAGAAATATGACGACGATTGTGACAAGGAGCGTCCCCAATCCTTTGGGCGAGAGCACTGTCGAGTGAAGAAGGTCGAGCACGTCCCCATGGCTCGAGAAGGCCGGGTCGCTCAGAGAAGCCATGATAACTGGAAAGATAGACGCCTTCAGGGCTTGATTCACCTTTCTTGGTTCCTAGGACCAATATGTACTTAGGTGAGAGCGACCAGGGTGTAAACAATCTGGCTACCAGACAGACGAGGGTAATGTATCCAGACGGAGATAGGCCAGTCGGGACACCAGAATAGACAGCCGCATAACAGTGACCAAGACAAGATGCGGTAGTAGAGGATCAGTAAAGACGGAACAGACCCTGTAAACCCCAGAATGAATGGATCCTATGCCATGCGGATCATTAGTAAGTCGGCAGTCAAGTCTCGCTCCCTACCGGATACCGGGTCCCTTCAAGTTGTAAGGGATGCCACACTCCCAAAGCGGCAATCGTATCCACATTAGAAGGGTTCCTCCTTGATGGTCGGGAGGAAGACTAGCTTCCGCTGCGCAAACCAGCCTCCGATCGATCGACCTCCACTGATACCTCTGGGCGATATCCCATGTGCCAACGATGACTGCCGTGCCAGGTACTGTGTCTGTCACCTTATCACGTTGTCCCGGATCATATCATTCTTGGGGGGACAAAATGTCCTTGGCGAGCCCTGAACGAGATGTGTGGAGATGAAAGGCCGGAGGGGGTAAAGCTTGAAACATTCCACTCTCAACGCAAAAGAGGACAATATAGCCAAGAAGGACAAAGTCTAGACTTCCTGTTGCTTTGATTGATCCTACAAGTAGGTAGACGGCCGCGAAACTCTGCGTTTCAACCGCTTATCAAACTCTGTGGTCGATGACTGGGTGAAACGATGGCACCCAAACAAATCCAATTGTCCTTTCTGGAAATCGCATGTGTCGGTGGCTATATGGCCTCGGGCCAATGGAAGTCAGTCAATTCTTTGCTGTTCCCTTTGATGTGAATCAAGATGCTGTCTTGGTGTCTCACAACCATCACATATGCCACACGACAAACTAACGTGCTCCATGATACATGTAACAGGAGGCCCGACGACACGTCGACCACCAAAGACAAGATCAAGTACTACACTGATCTGGCGCGGCTCGCTGAACGGGGTAAGATCTCGGCCATCTTCTTCGCCGACTGGTTCGTCGGCTTCGACGTCTATGGCGGAGATCTGAATGCCATGCTTCGATCGGCCCACCAGGTCGCTCACCTTGATCCCCTGCTCGCGGTGTCAGCCATGGCAGCGGTCACAGACAATGTTGCCTTTGCCGTCACACAGTCCACGACGTATGCCAGGCCATATGTGCTGGCAAGGCAATTCTCCACCCTCGACCATCTCACCGGCGGCAGATGTGCGTGGAACATTGTCACCAGCTACACCAAGTCGAGCGCAAATGCCATGGGCGAGGAGAACATCATCCCGCATGATGAACGCTATGTTGTTGCTGACGAGTTCATGGACGCTGTATACAAGTGAGTTCCTCGGCAATCTGCAAACCACATTGATGGGCTCCCGGTCCCAGTCCCCCCTCCTCCTTGACTTGCTGACTCGGTTCTCGTCCTCCCCAGACTCTGGGAATCTTCATGGGCACCAGACTCGGTGATTCTTGACAAGACCACCGGCATGGGCTTTGACCCGGATAAGATCCAAAGAATCGAGCATAAAGGCAAATACTTTGGCGTCTCTGCTCGTTCCCAGGTACACCCTTCTCCACAGCGAACGCCAGTGCTCTTCCAAGCCGGCACCTCGAAATCAGGCTCGGCGTTTGCCGCCAAGCATGCCGAAGCCGTGTTTCTCAACACCTTCAATGTCTCCCAGGCCGCCAAAACGGTTTCTGAGATGCGTGCGGCCGCTGCCGCCAATGACCGCGACCCCCAAAGCATCAAGTTCTTCCCCTGTATCATGCCCATCATCGGCAGGACCAAGGAGGAGGCACAGGCCAAGTATCAACGAGCGGTCGACAACGCCGACCCAGTTGCCGGCCTGGCCCAGTTCAGTGGGTATACGGGGATCGACCTGGCCCCTTACCCGCTGGACGAGCCGATGGATCTCAGTGGCATGTCGCAGGCCATGGCAATCCAAGCTGTGTTCAAAGCGCTCGAGGCCAGCGAGAAAGAGGGCGACAAGCCGTGGACCCCCAGGCGGTTGGGGATGCAAATGGCCTTGGGCGGTCTACATCCCTGCCCGGTGGGGACGGCCGAGGAAGTGGCAGATGTGTTTCAGCAATGGGTGGAGGAGGCCGACGTTGATGGATTCAATATTGGGAGCGTGACGAATCCTGGCAGCTGGGAGGATGTGGTCGATCTCCTAGTGCCGGTCCTTCAAGAAAGGGGGATGATGTGGAAGGACTACGCCGTTCCTGGGGGCACCTTTCGAGAGAACCTCTTGGGCCAGAAAGAGTTGAGGGATGACCACTATGGCTCCAGCTTCAAGTGGAAGGGCCCCAATGCTCCTGTTGTCGACAAAGTCAACGGGGAGAAGCAGAAGGTCAATGGTGTTCAAGAGGTCACTTGCTAGAACCATCCGGGAGGAGATCAGTCTTATAGCGAGATTGAGTGGTATCAATGATTTCAGAGCATGAGGATTAACTGGTACTGAGGCTGTCAATGAAAGATTCATATGTAGAATGAATTGACCGACCGAATGGTGAACCGAAGCTTGTAGTCCTCTGATCGTCACCTAGGGATGGAGCGCTGCAGCGTAGGAGATTGCGAGGAAATGCTCTTAGACACAGATCAACTAGCGGATAAAGGGGTTGCAGCCTTGTGCTGGAGACGCTTGACCCGCGTCACAGACTCATCACCCAAACGAACGTCTTCTTACCTCGCTATTTTGTCAACAGGCCACCCGCCGCTGTGTCTCGTTGATCGCTGCACACGCTCGACCTCGACATACAGGGTCCCATTTGCAAGAGCAGCACAGCCAGGCTGATCGGTGCATAGGTTCATGAGTACTCGACCGTCGATGGGCAAGATCATTGGGAAGCAACCACCCCACAGGGCCCTAAGGAGCCCGCGCTGTGTAAACAGTCTTCAGCTGGAACCCTGCGTCTGCTATCCCTTCGGTCTGGTGGCTTGCTGCAGGGCCAAGGGGCTCCATGTCGTGCAGCAAGCTGGAGATGCACGGGTGACTGGGTATGCTCCTCTCAGCCAATCCCAACTGACCACATCTCATCACAGAAACTGTGACGGCTTCAGCTGTATGTAATGCTTGAAGTCTGATCTGATCATCCCTGTTAACTAGACAATTCTCTGCACATCGAGTGTGAGACGCAACGATAGCGGTAAAGGCTGGCATGTCCAAAGCCGAGCTGATATGGCTGCACTGGAGCGGGGGCTGGCTGAACTGTTTGAGCTGAGCATGTTGACCGCCTCTGGTTGTGAGGCCAGCCATGGAGATCAGGGTCATTGTGTATAAAGGTGTGTAGGGGGTCTTCTGAAGGATCGGCTTGACTTCTTTGAATGAGAATCCATCAAGGTGTGAAGTTGTCCATCCAACCCTCTGAATACATCCTTCTGCCCTTCCTCTACAATGTCTATCGAATCTCATCGAGCCCCATTTCCCCGTCACCGTCTCGGAGGCTGGCTTCCAGCTGACCGTCAACGTCTGATCAAATGGACCAGAGGGCTCGTCAAGAAGGTCAACGACGACCCGCAGCCGTTGAACGATGCGCTTCAGCAGTTCAAGGCCTTCATCGAAGGGGATCCGACTGTCCGCCAGCTCTTCACCCTTATGTTTGAACAGGTTCCAGCCATACCTCCATACAACCAGGATCCCACCGGGAAGCCAGAGATTCGCAACTATGATGAGATGCTGGCAGTGTTCAATCTCTTGATGACACAGGGCCCGCATTGGATATACAATACCGAAGGCCAGAAAGGGCTCATTGGATTTCCCATCAACGCTGTCTTGGTAGGCGATCTCATCTTGTCTGCCTTGACATGAGTTGGCTGCGCATTTCACTCTCTCTCCTGTCAACTCACGTCTCCGGGCAGCTGAAGACCACCGCTGACTTGGGCATTCTAGGACTGGCCAATGGGTACCGTGGCAGGGTATGCTGCCTTCCTTCGCCCGGATATCAACGCGCAATTCAAGGACGTGCTGGATGCATGGGCAAAATATCTTGCCTCGCCCGACTCTGCCTCGGTGCTCAGCAGCGATCTCGAGGGCTGGTTCTGTCCCGAGGCTCTGAATGTCATGGCTGAAGTCGCCAGCGAGGCAGACCCTAGCCACCCAGTGACATTTGAGGAGGCCTTCGTGTGTGATCCGTCTAAGCCGGCGTACGGGTACACTTCGTGGGACGATTTCTTCACCAGGATATTCCGGGAGGGACGCCGCCCGGTCGAGTACCCCGAAGAATCCATCGTCATCGCCAATGCCTGCGAGTCGACACCCTACCGTATAGCCCGCAATGTCAAGGCTATGGACAAGTTCTGGATCAAGGAACAGCCATACAGCCTAAAGGACATGCTGGGCGGAAGCGAGCTCACTGACCAATTTGTCGACGGCACAGTCTATCAAGCCTTCCTGTCCGCCCTAAGCTACCATCGCTGGCACTCGCCAGTCACGGGCAGGGTCGAGAAAATCATGCAGCTTCCAGGCTCGTATTATGCAGAGAACTATTGGGAGGGTTTTGCCAACCCTAACGTCAGTGTCGGACCCGACCCAGCTGCGCCAAACAACTCGCAGGGATATATCTGCGCCATCGCCACAAGAGTTGCAGTTTTCATTCAGGCCGACGACCCCACCATTGGCCTCATGGCCTTTCTGGCGGTGGGAATGGCCGAAGTCAGCAGCTGTGAGGTCTTTGTGAAGGAGGGCGCCACACTCAAGAAGGGAGATGACCTGGGCACTTTCCACTTCGGCGGCAGCACTCACTGTCTCATCTTCCGCCCAGAGGTAAATGTCAAGTTTACGCCACAGGAGCCGTTCAAACAAATAAACGTGCCTGTCCGCTCTGCGATTGGATTTGTCGTCAAGCCAGAATGAGGGAGTCCGGTCCAGTCGAAACCACTTTAGGCCCCTCAAGCTGAGGTCTCGTCAGACACCAGCTCCAACTGAATCTTTGGTAAAAGTATGGCACAAGCATTTAACCATGACTTTAATGGAGTTCATGTTGAGCAAGTACTAGTATACATAGGTACCATTCACATACACTCGCTACGCAGAATCGAGAGAGCTCAGTCAAATCAATATAGGTAGATACTTGCCATCAATGCGTGTTGTGGTCGACCGTATATGAATTGCGCTTGGCGGCCTCAAGGTTCTACCGTAACTGATCTTGGCGCTGCGGAGGGAATTCGAGCTCCGGAAAGTGAAAGTTGAAGTCGAAGTTGAGTGTAGAGACGAATTTCAATTGAAACAACGTCTACCTCGCATCCAGCAATATTCGTCCCGACTTGACCCCGTCGACTGTCTGTGCAGGGGTCTATCCTCTATCCCTATTTCCCAGCATAATGGCGACTTCACAACGTGCCTCTCGGTCATTATGTGACACTTTCTCAAGAGCTGTTGCGCCGCGATACGTTTGCCGGACCTGCAGAAGTCACATTGTCCAACCCAACGTAAAACAAATCCGTCAAGCCACCTACAGCACCGGAGCCAGAGAGAATAGAACTTCTCTGCGACCTAAGGCATGGATCCAGAGGGGTGGTCAGCCTGGTACAGCCGCAACCTACGCGACGACAGCGTCTCGATCGCAGAAATCGTTGGCCGAGTCGGAACCCTCAGCAGCCACGGACGGGTATGAAGAAGCACATACATGGGACGGGTATGAAGAAGCACATACATGGGACGGGCTGGAACACGTTGGACACCAAGGACATTGGAGGGATCTTCCTCCAAGGCCGCAAGATGACTACGAGCCGTAGGTGGTCTCTATTTTATACGACAATGGCGGTCACTAACTTTAATCGTCCAGTTGGCTTGTTGCACCCGCGGCTCCTGTTGTCGACCGCAATGAATTTCTAGGGTATCTCTATGTCGCATTGGTCGAGAAACTTCCATACAAGGGACAGAACCCGGCACTACAGCAAACGACAACCGACCGAACGCTCGACGAAAGCCTGCCCATCGATGTGTCTTCGTTGCAAATCAAGCTTTCAGACTCGGGGACGTTCTCGCACCTGGAGGACAAGACTGGCGCAGGACAGGGCAAATCGGACACTACCGCGGCGGAGGCAAGCACGTCGAGCGAAGGATCAAGCCGGCCGTTCGAAATCTCGGTGGCGGCAATGGAGGAGCAGCTGTCTGGTGCGAGATTCGACTTCTCAAGCCCTCTAAGTTTCCAGGTGAGTCGAATCGGAGTCGAGTGACATCTTTGAAGGTGTTCCGGCCAGCAGTGGCGCCCAGCAACAGAGTGAAATGATTTTGTCGTCGCTAGTAACTGACTAACACAACTCGTGCCTCGCAGATCCTCAAACGCTTTTCCCAGCTCTCGGGCTTCCGGGTCCCCGATCCGGTCCTCAACGCCGTTCTGCGCGGCAACAAGACGGCCCTCGAATTCGTCGAGCTCCTGACCCAGTCGTCCAAACCGAAACCAAAGTCCGTGGCGGAAGCCCTGATCATGAAGCAAAAGCAAGCCTTCGGTGTTGACGCGCAGCCATCCTCGACTTCTGCGGCGGTTGAAGCCCCGAACAAGAAGAATACTCCACCTAAGCCGCTCGGGCCGAACGTCATGGTCCTCTCGCGGCGCGAGACGCCCGTGGACAAGGAGAAGGAAGTCGGTCGGTGGAAGGTGATCGAGCGCGAACTCAAGGCTCGCGGGCTGCCGGTGCTGGGACACAAGGTGCTAGCACCGCAGGGGGAAGCGTGGAATGAGACGCTGAAAGAGAGGAGATTATAAGTGTTTGATTCTGGCGATGCCACAACGACAGCTAGTTCGCCTGCACTTTGTCTAGGGGAATTGATGAGGACCTTGCTCTTCTTGCTCTTCTCTCTTTCTGTCCTAGAGATCGTCACGGATGGCTAAGTACAAGATACTTGGGGACGTTGTCGACCGGACAACAGACTTGTGATTGGGCATTGTATGATCATGTTGTAACAGAATACTCCTGTATGGAAACGTGCCAGCGGAAGTTGGGAGCAGGCTTCGGAACGTGAGACAGGCTCTTGTAATAGTTCTGGCCAATGTACAACAAGATATATTGATATCTACCGCCAACACGACTGACAGTCGCCGGCGTGCCCTGAAATAACAACTTTTCGATCCTTTCTTACACCCCTGCTGTACTATGCTGCAAATAAACCCTTTAGAGCCATGGAAAGCCCTTTCCCTGATATCTTCTCACTTGCTATTGGGACATGGTTCGCTTCAGGTCTGCCGCAACGAGTAGTGCCTCCGAGATAACGAAGATTAGGCAGGAGATCTGCATGTTGATTGTGATCTTCGTGTCTTCCGAAAGAGGAGACAGCGCAAGATATGTTGATAAGAGCACTGGCATGTGGACATCCCATATGAGACCTCTCGACCCGCTTTGAGTGTAGCTGGAGGGAAGAATCCAGATCACAAAGTCGGGTTATGCGTGGCAGGTTTCGACCGTACATCGCACACCAGATGCGGTGGGGAGAGCACCAGCATCCATTGAAACTCAGCCCTGGTTATGGTGACAGATTTCCTTTCAAGACTGTCGATCTCTCCCTAAGAGGCAGACTCGGATCCACCCTCCACGTTTCCACGAGGCTTGGACGTTTATTCTCTCACGAACAAGCCAGCCATGCCCATACCGGTGCCGATACACATGCTGACGACACCGACTTCACCCTCATTCAACTGGGGCAAAAGGGTGGCCAGTTGTCTTGTGCCGGTCATGCCCAAGGGATGGCCCAGAGCAATGGCGCCTCCTCGCGGATTGACCTTTTCAACATCCAAGCCGAGCTTGCGGATGCAATACAGAGCTTGGCTGGCAAAGGCCTCGTTGATTTCCCAGATGTTGACATCCTCGGTCTTCAAGCCGGTGTAATCGAGGAGTTTGGGGATGACGACCGCAGGTCCGACGCCCATCTCGTCAGGCCGGCAACCTGCGACCTGAGTTCCGGCCCATTTGCCGATGATGGACTTGGCGAGACCGAGCTCTGTCGCGGTGGACCGGCGCATGAGAAGAGTGGCGGCCGACCCATCAGATATCTGAGATGAGTTGCCTGCGGTGGAAGTTCCATCCTGTGCAAAGGCGGGCTTGAGCTTGGCCATCTTCTCTGCACTGGTGTCATGTCTGATGCCGTCGTCTTTGTCCACGACCACTTCTTTGGGGGGAGCGTCAGGGTGCTCGGGTTGGTATTGCTTGACTTTGACCGGCACGATCTCCGAGTCGAACAGGCCGGCCTTCTGGGCCTTGGAGGCCTTTTGATGCGACGCGGCCGCGAAGGCATCCTGGTCGGCTCGGCTCACCCCGTATCTCTTTGCCACGTTCTCGCTGGTCAGTCCCATGGGCATGATGCAGTCCCGGGCATTCTCGACTGGACTGTTCCTCAGCTCATCCCACAGGGCCGTGGGAATGGCCTTGCTGCCGTAGTTCTTGGTCATGCTCTCCATGCCCGCTCCGATGCCGACGTCGATTTGCCCGACGGCAATCATGTTGCCTACGCTTGTCACGGCTGCGAGCCCAGAACTGCATGCTCGGTTGATTGTGTGCAAGGCCGTGCGCTCGTCGAAGCCGGCATGTAATTGTGCCATGCGAGCAGCTTTGGATCCTCCTAGCTCGGCGAGCACAACGCCAACCGCCACATCGTCGATCTTGGCCGGGTCGAGGTTTGGGTTTGCGGCCAGAGTGGCGCGCAACACATGGGAGAGGAGTTCATGGTCGTAGGCGTCTCGGAAGCCGCCCTTCACGGCTCTTGTGACGGGAGTCCGCAGGGACGAGAGAATGACCACATCGGAGGGTTGTTTGGAGAGTATTTGCTTGAGGCCTTTTGCGTGGCTCATCTTGTAATGCCCGGTCGGGGATGGATGGATGGTATGGGAGGTGGTCAGAGGCGTAGCAGAGTAAATCGTCTGGAGAAGCGCTCTAGTCTGCGGCAATCTCTTGGAGGATGTAGTGGTTCGATATGGAAAGACGGAGCAGGAGCAGGAATGGCGAGAGGTAGTGGAGAGCAGAAGAGATGTCACGATGAGAATTATAATATAGAGAGAGACAATCCTGCAGGCATCGAGTGCCACTGCTGTTGGTCGGCCGGATAGAGAACATGGCTCAATGAATGGGGTCGCCGTCGGATGAGGGCATCGGCAATGGTCCAGCGTCGATTGCATTTCTCCTGTTGCCTCCGCCCTTAATTCCCTCTGTTCTCTTTCTCTTTCTCCATCTCCATTCCATCTCCATCTCCATCTCCATCTCCATCTCCATCTCTTCCTCCGCTTTCGGAGCGAACCGCTTGCTTGTTTTCTTGGACGATGAAGAGGACGACGATACGAACGAGGCTGAAGCTGAGGCTGAAGCTGAGGCTGAAGCTAAGGCTGAGGATGAGGAAGATAGGTGGCCAGACTTCAGGATAGAGTCTGGATACAGTCTGAGAACAAACCGTATACGGCCCCAGACGGGTTTCAATTTGCAGTCACCTTGGACAATCTTGTGAGATCCATGTGAGGCATATAGCATACAACAGCTTCGTGTCCACGTCCGGCAGACCATCCAAGTTCGCATTTGCTCTGGCAGCAAAGGATGTCTATCTGTTACAGTCAATCTTGTTGATGATGCCAGTCCAGGTCACGGTGTGTTTATGATTGTGACTGAATAGCAATTGTTGTTACCGAGGGCAAAGATGGCAATGTATAGGAGACGGTAGGTTGTCGCTATACAGCTTGAATGGTTTGAACCTGCTTGCTTGCTTCATACTCACGCCTATAAGTCACTCATTGTCTTGAGCGGTTCACTTTCACTTCACTTCCACTTCAATGTCCTTCACTACTGTCGTTACCGTGTGTGTTTAGTGACAGCTTCTACAAGTATATATGATACCCTTGCGCGCGCTATGGATTCGGTTCTTCTTCTTTGTTACCCTTCATTACTTGTTCAGCCGACTCTTCTAAAGGTCTTGTGCAGCTTCTTCTATCTCGCGACTCTTTGCCCTGCTAGTAGACAGAGTATAGCGGACGTCACGATGTCGGCCTTGCAGACACCTATGGCATGCAAAGCGGCCCGTCACGGAGATGGCCAACTCGTGAAAGAAGAAGAAGGACAAAACATACTTCAGCAGAACAGCCATGCTTCAGGCACGTCACAGCAGACCAACAAAACTCCCGACTGTTTCCGAAGAAGCAGTGAACAATTCAATATAAAGATCAGACTATACGACAAGCCGAGAGCCGAGAGGAACGATGCCAGCGCACTCGAAAGGTCCCTGGATGGCAGTGGGGATCTGAAACGACGAACTGTCCCGGCGCTGCCATCAAACAAAGGCTACGACTTGGATTATGTCGAACGCAAATACCTTAAACATGAGGTGTTCTCTGGTTACAACCACGGCTTTGTGGAGACCATAGACGTCGTCGCAAGCAGTCAAAAGCGGCCCAGGGAGACGATCGCGTTTTGTCGCGCCAGGCTCATCCGACAGGATAGAATCAACGCCAAATTCTACCAGTACATAAATCTGCCATGTGAAGAGGCCACCCTGCTGGCGTTCGACTTGTTTGACCGCTACGGCAAGTTCAGTCACGACTACCAGCATCATAAGATCAAGAGAGGCTCCGGGTTCTGGAAGAACCAAATAGATGACGGAGATATCCTGCTCATTGAGGACGTCCAAGTCCAAGAGTCGTCTCGGCGATGTGGCCTGGGGCGAAAGATGGTACAGGCCCTCCTGGCAGCGACGCATGCGAAGACCGCCGGTGGGCGATTTGTCGCGATTGTCTGGCCAGATTCGTCAAAGCATTCTCGATCACATGAAGCCCCCCAAGCCGTTGTAGGGAACAAGGGGAGGGCCAAGGTCTTTGCACAGGAAGATGCCAATACAATCAGGTGGTTCCGGCACCTGGGCTTCAGAAGGATAGGCATCACTGTCTGGTTCGGATTGTGCGGTGCCAGCACCACCCCAGATCAAAGCCTTGCGTTGGCTGATGACTATGATCCGCCCAAAGCCCCTCCCAATGACCATGGATGGCTGCCAGAATCGCTAATCCAGTCCCTCAAGGGTTCGATAAGGGGGGAATTCGTCACCGTGATCAAGCAGCACTTCGGCAATGCAGCCTTCGACGACCCACGGTGGTTCGCCACCAACGAAGACGGAAACACTTTGCTTCATATTGCCGCTCGTCGCAATTGTTTGGATGCCGTAACCTGGATTCTGAGCCAAGAGTTCGGCTCTCAGATGATGCAGATGCGCAATTGGGTCGGTGATACTCCGCTGGAAGTCCTGCTGCTCGCGCTAGAGACGAGGCGTACTCGGATGTGGTGGCGCAATTCCATCATCGTGACGGCGGACGACTTTGAAGGCTACAAGCCGAAGGCGGTCAAGTGTATCGCCATAGGAAGGCCTGCCGCTCGATACCGATGAAACCACGAAACAACTATCTTACGGTTGTACCTGCGGACAGTGTATTGATGGCTTTCTGAGTCCTCGCACGGCCAGTATTCTGAAGTATCACGCCTCTGTCGAACACTCAAAATTCTCAAAAGACATAGACACGTGGGCACAGCCAGACTTCGTTGACGACGCTGAGGAGGGCTGGATGATGCTCCTGCGCCGGGCTTGTCGAGTGAGCATGACGAGGTACAAGTCTGTCCGCCAAGGGTGTCTGCATCTCTTCCGATGTATAGAGATATGTCTCGACTCCGGCATGGCCCCTGATGTTGAGGGGATCCGGACTGTTCGTCAACAAGGCCAGAATTGCACGCTCACAAGTGATGCTTTCATGGCGTCTGGCTCCTTTCGTCCTGTCGGACTGGTCGTCTTCCAGCGTGCTTATGACCACAATGAGATGACGGGCGACTCCTGGATCATCTCTGGTGTGGAAGCGGACAAGAACTTTGAATTCTTGCCTGAATGTCGGAATGACTTTGACTTTCACCTGGTCATGCGCAAATGCGGCTACGATGCCCAGGAACTCGAGGAATTCAGGTAGCCCCGTCTGCGGCATCCGCCTCGCGTCCTTGACTGTACAACCAGGGGGCGTTTAACAGAGGGAATAAAATGGAGATAAAAAGTGGCACTTTTGGCAACTTGTCAATTGCACATCGTGATCTCGTCGACGGTCGCAATTCGTCTCCTGGACTTGCCAATCGGTACGGCGTCATCCCATTCGCCTTCCCAGCTACTATGGCATTAACTGGGCTTGGTTATGTCTCGGATGCTTTGGTTGCTCGCGTCCAGCCGGCCACTTTGCGGTGCTCAAAGAGAAGAAGATGTCTACGCTGTTTGTGAGGCATTCGAATTGGTGGTTGAGACAGAGAAGGAGAGCTTTGGCCAGAAGTCTTTCTTCCTTCGGCAGGAGCAAGGCAGAGATTCTCCCGTAGTATGCGACTACGAGGATCTCTTTGCTGTCGACGAGGAAGTATACGGCATGGCAGTCCACGGATTCGAAGAACCTGAGCCGGACGACTCGGACGACAAATGAGGCTTTTGTAGAGGCAAACCAAACCTATAGAGAGAGAGCGTTGCTGTTGTTGAGTCGAGGGCGACTCGCAAGGATGAGGGGAGGTATATAGTAGGGCAAGCATATACACAGACAAGTCAAGTACTCAGTTAGCAACAGAGCAAGCGTGTGCAATATGGACAGAGAATCATGCTATTGAACATTGTGTTCCTAGCCAACGAGGCTCTACGTGCTCTACTCAATACTCTTTGATATCCTCCGCGAGACGCTTGGTGCGTTCAACAAAATAAAAAGTGTACCAGCCTGATGAATTCTGCAAGGTCTGAATGGATTCTTGGATTGCCTTGTCACTTTGTCAGCTATCATGTACTACTCTACTCTCCATTCTGCCCCTTTTCGTCTTCGTCTTCCTCCTCGTCTTCATCTTCATCCATTCCCTCGGCAGCATCGACACTGAACGCCATGCTCTGATCAACCCCGACGTACGAGTCACACATGAGGAACAAGGTAAGATCCTTCTTCCCAGCCGTTGGCACGACATACTCCAACTTTGTAGACAATTCCTTGCCAATCGTGACACGTTTGATCGCAAGCAGAGTCTTGGTCTTCTCCTCCGCAACCACCAACCACCAATTCTCCAGCTTCCGACCTGGATAGAAGGGCGCGTGGACGGTGAGATCCACTTCGCCTTCATCGTCGTCGACTTCGCGCGTGACCCGGATCTGGAGGTACGAGGGCTGCCCCGCCGTGACGGCATCTTTTTCGAGGACTTCAAATTCCAGTTCGAGACTCGGGTATTTGTTGTTGGTGAAGTTGGCGGCCTCGACGAGCTGTCGGTTCGTCAGGCCCATCGCGGCCACGAGTTTGGGTTGGTCAGAGTTTTCGCTGGGGTCCATGGCGGTCATGAAGTCGTCAATGTCCTTGATGCCGAGCTTGCCCAGAATCTCCACGATCTTGTTGTCAAAGTGTGGGATTTGCAGCAACGGGCTGTCGCGGTCCCACATCGCCTGCACCACCATCTGTGACATTTCCATCGCGTTGATCGCGTTCAGATGTCCCTCCGAGCTGAGCACATCTACACACGCAGAGAGCAGACTGAGCACCTTGCCGAGGATGACCTCTTGGTCTTTGGCCAGGTCGATTGTGAGCTGCATGCGAGAAAAATGTGCTTGGAGAAGGACCAAGGCCTTGAAGTGCGGAGAGTCGTACGCCGGTTCGGACATCTTGACAGGCACACGGTCGTAGATTCGGCGCAGAATGTGGTCTTCGTGTCGCCGCATCTGGATATCCTCAAACTCGGTGGCGGAAGTGACGATTTCGAGCATGCCCTTGAGCTTCGTCCGGCCTGTCAGCGAGAGCAGGAAGGTCTGCATGGTGATGAAGGAGATGTTGTAGTATGCCGCGATCATGGCCGGGTTCAAGGGCGACACTGAGTCATCCTCATCGTCTAGATCGATGATCTTGGCTTCTGCAAGCTCTTTCAAAGTGTTCTCCACCAGTTCCGAGAGGAATGTGCTGAGGCCCTCATGTGAGGTATCATTCAGACCGTAGAAGCTGGGATTGGCCAACAGACGCCGGTAGAAGTATGTGTAGGTAGACCAATCCACCGCATCCTGGGTGGAAGTGATTGTCTTGGTGCTGATTTCGGTCACGAACGCATCATGCAGCCAGAGCTGGAGGTGGCTTTCGATGGGCAATGCCTCATTGAGGAATTTCTTGTAGTATTCTCTTCGGACTGCCGGCACCATGAGAACACCTTTGCCAATCCTGTCCTCGCCTGGTCGAGTAGCTCGCCCAAACATCTGTAGAACTTCGCTGATTTGATAGTCCACGTAGCGGTGTTCCCGGCCCAGGAAATATTGCGTGCCCATGACCACCACCAGATGTGCCGTCACAGGCAGCTCCCAGCAGACGTCTCGAGAGGCGAGCATGACTTGAATTGCGCCAATCTTGAACAGATGGGCCACGATCTTTTTGTCGGTGTTCGTCAAAGCTTCATGGTAGTAACCGATGCCGTGGGTCAACGATTCAGCCAGTGCTCGCTCATTGATACGCTCCAAGAATGGAGTCAGCTCCTCAACGTTGGTGTGGAGGAACCGTTCATCGTCATCATCCATAATGCAGGCCTGAAGGAGGTCAAGAGCAGTCGATCGGACTTGCTTCCTGTTGGGCACAAAAATAATGGCTGGCTTGTCCGGCGATAACTGCAGAATGGCTTGGTATGCTGGTCGGGCCATGGCCATCATCAGTGATGGAAAATGTGGAATGCTGAAAGACTGGATGTGCAACTCCAATCCAACAGGACGCGCCGATGGGCTAAAATTGTAAATGGTGTGCTTGTTGGCGCCCAGCCATTCTCCCACGTCTCGAGCATTAGACAATGGGACACTCAACCCGACAATGCGCATGTTGTTCTCCAACTGAATGTGGATATATTGCATCCTGGAAACGATCACCTCGTACACAGCACCATTCTCGCCGCCGAGCATGTGGAGCTCATCGGCAATGAACAATTCCACATTTTGCACGTTCTTTCGCCGCTGCCACTGTCGTGACAAGACATCCCACTGCGTAGGTGTGGCCAGGACCAAGTCTGACTTGTCCAATATTCGGAGGTCGGCTGTGATCTCGCCAGTCAGACTCGAGATGATCTTGCCACCACCAATTTGGCTGAGGCGCTGTTGCCAATCGGCGAGACGGCTGTCCACCAATTCTTGGAAAGGTGCAATGTAGACTGCTTTGCCAGCCTCGGGATTTTTCCAGTGCCGCAACAAAGCAAACTCGGCACAGACCGTCTTGCCGCTGCCCGTGGGCGCACCAACGAAAACGCTGTCGTTGCTGTCGTATAGCGACTTGAATACTTGTGTTTGAATCTTGTTGTACCGGTCCCAGTCCGAGTAGATATCAACATAGTCTTTGATCTTCAAGGCCTGCACCGGTACCGGCTGCAGATCCAACAATTGAGTGTGAGGCGGGAACCGCTCCGGTAGGATGAGCTTCTGGAAGGAAACTGGGATTCTGGTCTCCGAATGCATCCAGCGGTCGGACACCAACGAGATAAAGTAGTTGGGCGGGATGGGCTCGCTGATGGGAACGGTGAAATCCACCAGATGATCTGTCATTTCACCAACAGCAAATTCTTTTCGAAGTATGAACTGGTCGTGGAACAGCAGATCTTCGCCATCACAGTCCTCGACGATGATCCAGAAAGACTCCGCCACTCCATGGAGGGCGTCATCCCACACGAAGTTTGGTGTGATGGTGAGCTCCACATGGAGCATTGACCGCGTGATGGGCTGGACCTGCGCTTGAACCTCCAGCCGAGGAAACTTCGAAACAAGATCGCAGACGACGCGTCCTGCCTTGGGCATGCCCAGGAGCTCACCCATCCGAGGCGGATCCAAGTCAAAGTAGCTGGGCCATGGCACCTCCACTCGCTCGGCCTTCTGCACATATTCTCGGGGACACATTGGGAATTGCCTTAAGGGGGTCATGGTCGGCCACATTCGTTTCTCGGCCATTTTGCAAAGGTCGAGCGCGGTTTTTGCGACAGAAGCCCAGCCCTTTTTGAGGCAAATCTCGAAGATGGCTCTCAAGATTCGTCCTGCCGATTGGGTGACGTAGACAAGATCCGCCATCAGGGCCAACCCCTCGAGCTTGAGCCGAGAAATATAGGCCTGCAAGAGAACATTGATCTTGGCTTGTGGCTCTTCCATGCCTTCTTTTACCGGAATCGGGACCCTTCCCAACAGTTTGGCCAGCTCCAATTTCTCATCCTGTCGAACGGGAATATACTTGAACTCATCACTGAGGGCGAAAATTCGGAAGAGCTCGATAGTGCTGATCGATGGCTGGAGATGATGATTGTAGGTTGACATCGAGTTGTGCGTGACATAGTAGTGTGAGGCGATGCGGCCAAGGTCTGTTGCTTGCAGTTTACCGGTCTTCTTGTCGTATTTCACCAACCCAGCCTTCTCCAAAACAAAGGCGGCCGAGTGAACGAGGTCGACACGCTTCTGTTCCAGATTCTCATCGTTGTCGTAATCCGCCCCGACACTGTAGAGGCCCGGTGACCGAATCATGCGGACAAATAGGTAAGTGTAACCAAGCCACTCGACGCCATCATCACGGCTCCGAATGTTACCCAAGACAATCTCGGCATTGAGGTTGTCGGCAAGCTTGCTCATCATTTGACTTTCAATGGGCAATTGCTGGTTCATCAGTGACAGATAGTACTGTATCTCTGATTGTGACGTTATAATGATGCCTTCGCCATAGGAATCGAACTGCGGCCGCCCAGCACGTCCCAACATCTGAAGCACATCTTGAGGGCTGAGCTCGACCCAGCTACCTTTTTCGGGAGAGTACACTTGAGTACCCTTGATGATAACGGTATGCGCAGGGAGATTGACACCCCAGGCCAGTGTCGCTGTACAGACGAGAACTCGTAGATAGCCATCCGCAAAGAGATCCTGCACAGATGTACGGTCGGCAACACCCATTCCAGCATGATGGATACCAAACCCATAAGGCAAGAGGTCTTTCAGGGCGGCATCATGAACAGCATCAGCTTCTTCTTGGAGGACAGAGCGGCTTGCGGCGTCTGTTCTCATGATTTGGCCAATAGTCTCCAGCTCGACTGCTTTATCCCGGATATGTTTGGCCGTTTTAGCAGTCTCTTTTCGAGAATGGACGAAGATCAACATTTGCTGCTGATTTGTGCCGACATGCTCAATGACTTTGGCATAGCAGACATCATTCATGGTCTTCAACATCTTGATCGCTTTCTTCTCAGTAACACCGATGAATTCCTGCCGAAGAGGACATGGTCTGTATGAACCATCGAAGTGGAAGAGGCCTTTTTCAGGATCCACTCGAAGGAAGGTAGCCACGTCCCTGTAATTAGGCAGCGTCGCACTCAAGCCCACAATCCTGACAGCGTCGCCAGTCTGCTCGATCTTTCGGATGGTTCGACTAACGATGCTCTCTAGAACCGGCCCACGATCATCGTGCAGGAGATGGATTTCGTCAATGATGATCAGACGGACCAGTCTTGTATAGCTCATATCGGTAGCCTTTCGAGTGATAACATCCCACTTCTCTGGTGTCGTGACAATGACTTGAGTATCGGCGATTTGCTGTTTTGTAAGCTGTCGATCGCCAGTGAGTTCCGCAACTCGGATACCGTAGGATTCGAGGCGCTTTCCAAAATTGCCCACCTGCTCCTGGACCAAAGCCTTCAAGGGGGCAATGTAGATGATCTTGAAATCATCCAACATGATCTCCCCTGTCTCCGGATTTCGATGTTTTCCAATCTCACGAAGCATGGTCAACATGGCGACGTTAGTCTTTCCAGAACCTGTAGGAGCACAAATGAGCATGTTGCCGTCGTCGTGGAAGGCCGACGGATAGCATTTGGACTGTATCCGATTGAGCTCCTTCGCGGATCCGAAGCCTTGCCTCGCCCAATCGGGAAGATCCGTCGTTGGGATATTTTTCTCTCCTGGGTCTCGCCTAGGCTTCGGCGCCGGGACGTGGATTTCTTCGTATCCTTTGAATGTTCGTTTCGTCGAACCTTGGGGAAGTATGACTTTGGGGTTGGTCATGAGATGATTTCCTTGCTCAAAGACAAGGTTTTCAAGGTTGATCAAGCGTTGAGGCTGTAGGCCACCTGAAAGAACGCCGTCCTTCTTCTCCTTGTGCTCCTCCTCCTGGGCTTTGGGAATGTCGAGATCCATGAGGTCTAACTTCAGCTTTTTAGCAGGTCTCGGACCTTCTGTGGTTCGGTCTGATTTTCCAAGCAGCTCGTCGAGAATGCTGCGGTGGCCGGCTTCGACCATTTCGCTCTCCACCAAGTTCCGGGCGTCATCGTCTTCAGCAACTCTGCGCCACCTGGTCGCCCAGACGATTTTGTCCCGGTTAGAAACAAGTTTGCTTACCAACTCAGGGTGCTCGTAGTCAAACAAGTCCATCAAGTCGTTTTCGATATCCCGAAGCGACAAGTCTTCTCCCTCGGTTGACTTGCCAGACAAAATCCGCAATGCATCTTGAGTCTTTTGCTGTTGGATGTGCGCATCAGAGTAAATGGCTCCAATTTGACGTTGCAGCCAGTACGCATCGATTTCGTGAATTGGAATCGAGTCGCTATCGTCGCGCTTCCGTCGGCTCGAGTCCGCAATGCCAGCATCGATTACCATTTCCTCTTCAATGTCTTCATCCGGGTCGATCTCTGGTACTCCCGCGCCGCCAGCCTCAGCGGCCTCGTCAAGTCCAGGTTGGTCTTGCACATCCTCCTCTTCATCTGAGGCGTCGTCTCCATCCCGGACCTCATACGTTCTGTGTACGCCATCTTCGTCCTCGTCTGATTCATCAAAGACGACCGCGACACCCTGCCGTTCATCGAGCTCGCCCCCGTCTGCGTTTGCATCGTCCATGTTTTCGTCGTCGTCCTGAGCATCGTAGTCGGTGATCTTCTTGCCCAAATTGACCAACTCGTTGAACTCTTTCGGGGTCAGCGTAGTCCCGACAATGTCATCGATTTCTTTCTTCTTGTCCAAGTCCTTGAGATTTTCATCTTTCAGGTATTCGAGGATCGCGTCGGCAGCGCTGCGGACGACTTCCTGGGGAACATCACCCAATGCATTGGCGGTGACGGTAAGCAGAAGGTCGTAGGTAGCACGTGTGGCAGGTGTTCTCGGACGATACTTGAGCCCTTCGATCAAGGCATCGCCAGCGGACAGGACGCCGGCGCCGCGAGTCTGGGCAGGTTCACCGCGCTTTCGTTTTCTCTGCTCTCGCTCCAGAACATCCTCGCCTTCACGTATCGACCCTCTTTCTACCTGCAACCCAGAAGGCGTCTTTTTCTGCTTGGGTGCCTGTTCTCGGGCGACACGCGACCCCATGTCTCGAATATTGAGTCGTCCAGCCAAGGATTCTGGGTCACCAGTGTTTTCGTCCTTCGCACGCGAGACGAAGCGGCGGTCCACCTGGAGGACCAGGTTGGACATCGCCGAGTACTTGTACTGCGAGACATTGTTGGGATCGGCCATGTTGGCGATGTACAGTCAATCGAAGCTCGGGATAGATGACAGGGTATGGTGCCTGCGATAGGCGTGGAAGTAGATTGGTAGAGTGTACCGTGATACTGCTGGCTAGTACAACATTATATAATGTCTGGCGGTCTGACAACGGTGACCCTGGCAGACACAAATGGTATGAAGTCCCCGTCACGTCTCGATCTTCCCTGCGGTGATCGATGGGGCTGCGAATGGCTTGCGGCGATATGTCCTACGCCGCAAGAAAACTTCATGTTGCCCGTCTCCAACGTAGGCTTGGCACGTACCTGACAAGGCTTCGGGAAACCTGCTTGATCGCGACGAGGCTGAACCAGTCTGAATTGGGCTATGGTATGCGCAGCCTCGCCAGATTAAAGCCTTCTCAGATCTACACATTTCACCCCAACGGGTGGCACACTTTCAACTCTGAAATCTATATATGAATGCAGGACGCTGCCAGACTCTACGGCTATGCTAGAGATTCTTTATCAATTTAAGAACTCGACTTATGGAGCGCGCTCTGCTCGCCATGCGATTCCCATAGAAGCATGAACAGCTCTTTGATCTGCAGTAGTACTTTCTCGCTACTGTGGCGCATACGCACTATATAACCAATGCATACGTTAACACGTTACGCATTCGGCCTCCAACATGCATCACCAGCTTGAGACTCCTTGCCCATAAGCACTTTTCTGAACATACGACCATTCGACAACTTCTTCCATACCTGTCACAATTTGCACACCTACTACATGATCTCCAGCTGAATGTTTCCGCTCCAACCCCGACCTCGGCGCCCTCCATCCTGACCCGACCACCATTTTCCTGACTTGCGCGCTTATATCCTCCTTCCACCTACCTACTCATTGTCCCTACAAAAGTCCACCGACAATGGCGCAAACCGTCTTGGACATATTCTACTCCTTGTGCAATTGCCTATATTGCTTCCCAGGCACGCCGCAACTGAAGATCAACAACCGAAGCTTTCGCATGCTCCGGCTGCTTGGGGAGGTAAGACAGTCCATTACACCTGACCTCTTTCTATATCCATTACCACTTGCACCACATATGTACTAGTGGGCAGGACAATCCTCACTCCGTTCTGGCAATAAAGAACACACCCAACTAACCGTGGGCCTTCTCACCAGGGCGGCTTCTCCTACGTCTACCTGGTCCAAGACACCACCGACTCGGCATTATACGCACTGAAGAAGATCCGATGTCCATTCGGACAAGAGTCAGTCTCGCAAGCACTGAAGGAAGTTGAAGCATATACACTATTCGCGCCACACCCGAACATCATCCGTAGCATCGACCATGCGGTGCAGAACGACTCGACGACCAAAGTGTCGGGGATAGGCAACGACACGTCGGCCGGCGCGGCCAGCAAGACCGTCTACATCCTGCTGCCGTACTACCGCCGAGGCAATCTGCAGGACATGATCAACGCGAACCTAGTCAACCACACCCGCTTCGGCGAGCGGCGACTGATGCAGTTGATGCTGGGGGTCTGCAAGGCCCTGAAAGCAATGCACCAGTACCAAGTGCGCAACACGCCTTCACGAGCCGTGGCCAAGGCCGTGCGCGACAAGGGGGCCAGCGAGGACCAAGATGCGGCGCGGAGGAAAATGCGCGCCCAGAAACAGAAACGAACCATGACGGGCGACCAGACGCACCAGGACGACCTGGCCGAGGAGCAGGAACAGCCGCTGATGCCGGACGACGAGGTGACCCGGGCTCAGGAGGGCAAACAACCCGGCGAAACCCGCGCATATGCCCACCGCGACATCAAGCCGGGAAACATCATGATCGACGACGACGGACGCACGCCGATCCTCATGGACCTGGGTAGTCTTGCTCCGAGTCCGACCCCGATCACGTCGCGGTCCATGGCCATCGCGGTGCAGGACACGGCGGCCGAGCATTCCACCATGCCCTATCGAGCGCCCGAGCTGTTCGATGTCAAGACGGGGAGTGTCATCGACACGAAGGTCGACATCTGGTCGCTCGGCTGCACCATGTACGCCTGCCTGGTCGGCAAATCCCCTTTCGAAGCCCGCTCGGACGAGACCGGCGGTTCGTTGAGCATCTGTGTTCTGAGCGGGGACTGGCGCTGGCCGGGAGAAGGAAATGCGACAAAGGGAAAGGATAAAATACCGGCCCAAACACAATCCGCCAATGGTGACGCCAATCAGGCCACGACAGGTAATTCTCCAGTTGGCCCCACGCCAGAGGGGAAGAGGATCTATCCTCACCCAGCGGCTCGCGAGGTTGTTAGTCGGTGTCTGCAGGTTGAACCGTCCGAGCGGCCGGATGTGGACGAGCTGATGACTCTGATCGATACATGTCTCAGCGAGTTGCCTGAGGACGACGAGGGCTCAGGTGTCGAGAACGAGGCCGAGTAGAGACGTTATCCGATAGATACTCCATGTCTCCCCCAAAGCGCCTTGTCTGGCTCAAATTGGCTTGGAATGCCTTTCATTCTACGGATATTTGTCCTTCTACTGTGTATTACTGAAAATCTTTGAGAATTACTGATGTCCCTGTCAGCGTTGGGACGCAATGAACAGATTTACTAGCGAGTTATTTAGGGGGTTGTGTGTATAACCAGACAGATGGAAACATTAATGTCGCATGCTTTTTCCCATATCGGATTCATTTTCAACGGTAGCTCTCAATTGCTCATTTTGCCCTCGATGTTGATGGTGAAGAGGCAAGCGGATTCCTGGGTGAAAGCCAACATTCGTCCTGATCTGCCCTGTTCGAGCGTCTCTATCACAATCTTGGGACTGCAGGACATGTGCATCACCAGCGACGCAATTGAATTGGTCCACCAACCTAATCAGGTCCAGTCTTCAAGGCCCGTCACCAACCTGTAGTCCTTAAGTGCGTCCAACAACCAACAGCTCATTTCATCCATCCATGCCAGCGATTCATCTCGTCCGATAAAAGAAAGAAGAAATCTTCGTGTGCATCGGAAACATCCTCGGTACCAGCTCGATGCAATTACCCAGATCCACGTAGTCTCCATCGAGCTCCATCGCCGATTTGTTTCATCTGCCGGCATCTCAATCTTGGGGTACCGCTACACCTTTTCATATTGACAGCTCCTCAATCGACCCATCCCAAAACTAGTCATAGCTTTATAAGCTTCGACGTTCATTCAGTAGCCTTAACCACATCCGCAGCCTCGGCAGCAGCTTCAGCTGACTCGGGTGCTTTGTCAACAGCTTCAGAGACACCAACTTCGGGTTTCGATGATTCCTCAGCAGAAGTCGGCTTCGATTGGTCGTCAGCTGGCTTCTCCGGTTCAGCGCTTGCCTCGGTGGTCTCTGCAGGCTTGTCAGGCTCGGGATCGACCGGCTTCTCTTCAGCGATCTTCGCAGCCTTGTCATCCTCGGTCTCCGCCGGTTTCTCCTCTGTTGTCTCGGCAGGTTTGTCGGCGGCGGCAGGAGGCTCGTCTTTTTTCTCTGTGGCAGCATCTTCCGACTTCTCCTCGTGCACACCGTTGGTGGCTGGTGACGCTTTGCCCTCTTTATCCGCACCCGCCTCCGCGTCGGTGGGCTCTGAACCGAGGATCTTATTCCACTGGCTTAGAAGCTCGATCGAACGCTTGCGGAATTGGAATTCTTCGTCTCGAGGAATGGTGTTGAGTTTGATCAACGCCTTGAGAACTTTGTTGATCTTGGTAGTGCGAATGACGCTGACTTCCAAATCGGTGTAGCCTTCCAATTTCTTGATGAAGGTGGACATTTGGGGCATTTCTTCTTCTTGAGGCGCCTGGTCTCTGGACAAAAAGCCTTTTTGTAGCTTGTGTCGAAGGAAGAGAACTGAACCTTGTCAGCAGGAGAAACTATACGGAACATTTCTTCGCTCACCTTCTCTCTCACGAGCTTTGCGTGCTTCAGCAGGGTCTAGAGGCTTCTCCTCGGGCTCGGGCTGAGCATCAACCATCTCCTCATCGCTCGTTGCAGCCTTGGACTTTCTCTTCTCAGATCGAGCTTTGCTTGCCTTCTCCTTGGGCTTCTTCTCCTCGGTCTTAGGAGTTTTGCTGGTGGTCAACTTGATCTTTGTGGTTTTCGGAGTCTTGGCAGGCTACAAGAAGAGTCAGGACCAGGGTACGGGCGCAAGAGCAGGTGCACTTACCTTTTCGGATTCCTCGTCCTCGCTATCAGCCTCCTTCTTGCGCTTCTTGGACGATTTCTTGGGCGCTGGATCGGCATCATCCATCTCGACATCTTCAGTCTCGATCTTTGCCTCACTCTTGCGCTTCTTCTTGTCAGACTTGGCAGCTTTCTCAGCTTCACGGGCCTCCTTTGCGTCTATCTCGGCCTGGATTGCAGCGGCATGGTCGTCGAGCATGCTCTTGAAGTATTGCAGGTCATGGTCCTCTGCGGCGACTTCGTAGGCGGCCAGCAGTGACTTCGACTTGCCTTTCTCTGAGACATCCTTGCAATCATCGGGGTTGAGTGGAGCGAGGTCCGTGTTCGGAATCCAGGCACTAGACCGGTCAGTGGTGGGCAGTTTGAACTCATCAAACGAACTCACAATTCATTGGTATACAAGAACATGACAGGGAAGGTGCGATCAGTAACCTTCTTGCCACCATCAGCGTATGGTTCATTGTAAGTGCCGTCCGCCTTCTTGGTGGTGACAGGTCGGGTGTTGAGGAGGATGTCAGGAAGCATCTCCTCATCACAGATGATGGCCGGCCATGGCGGGTAGCTCTTCAACCTAGCAAAGTAATATTCGCCAGGTTTTGCGTCAAGATTCGTCATCTTGGGCATGGACTTCTTCTTGTTGAGCTTCTTGCCCTTGTGCTCAGGGACACCAGCCGATGACTTTCTCCGTGAGGAAGAGCCCTTCTTGTCCGCTGGGGCGCCATTGGTCTCTGGTTGAGCAACATCCGCCTCTCCCGCCTCCTTTACTTCTGTGTCACCAGTGGCTGGAGGTGCAGTCTCGGGCTCAGGCTCGGCAGCAGGCTCAGCCGTGGTTTCGACCACTTCCTTGGGTGGCTCTGAGGTAGACTCGGCAGTCCCATTTGCTGTAGCGGCATCTGCACGAGGATGTCAGTAGTTGTAGATCAAGAACGATCAACATGTCACGCCTACCGGTAGACTCAGCTGGCTTCGGCTCACTTGCAGGCTCATGATCTGCGGGAAGGGCGCCGGACATCTCTGCGACCACACCAGAAGCGGGCTCTGCTAAGGTTGGTGGAGCTTTATCTTCAGGTTCCGGAACCTTGACCGGGACCGTGGTTTGGGGAGCTTCAGTTTCGGCATCCATGACGGTAGGTCACAGGGGATGAAGCGACGCGTTGATGGAGAGCGCGAGAAACAAGGAAGCGTCTGGTAAAGAAACACATTAGCTATGGGAGCTTTGTCGCAAACCTGGTGAAAACAAGATCGGCTGGTTCGCGATAGCCTAGATCGGTTGGAGTGGGCAGCTGTCTAGAGTGACGCGATGGGGAGAGTGAATGTCTGAAGCCACAGAACTTGGGGTCGGCAACACGATAGACGGGGAGAGGCACGAACCGATCACCTCTCGATAGGAGGATGATGACGCTGATGAAGAGGCGATAGAGAGTTTGATGTTGTTGGAGGGTGTCGCAAGATGATGGGGTGCCAGTAGTGGTGGAGGGAATAAAGCGACTGCAACAATGATGGAGAAAGGAATTGATGAGAGTCGCAGCAATTGAGAGTCGCAACTTCAACTGGAGCCCAGAAAATGGAGGCTTGACCAATCATATCGCCCAGCGGCTGTTCTCCTCGCCAAGAGCGGCTCCCACGTGACCAGACTGCGCTGAAGCAGCCGCAGGCAGTCTGATTGGTTCACCGTCTCTCACTGCACTGGTGCCTCACATACAGCAGATGCGACAGTAACAACGCCATAACAACGACATGCAACAACAGCTCTTTTCTTTCTGTGCTTTATTCCATTTCTTGCAGGATGATAGAAGACAACCCACAGCACTTACATGTACAGATTCGTTCCTCGTTGTCGACCCGTAGCTACCGGGGCACAGCAGAACACGGCGCTGAGGTCAAGGTCAAGATCAAGGCTGACGTCCGATACGGACTCTTGTTTGGTCTCAGAGGAAGAGAAGGCTGACGGTGATGGATGTTATAATGTACTGCTCGTAGAATTCAACGATGGCGTGGTGGGCCAGATTCCTTTGAAATGGTCGCCGAAGGAAAAGATTGTGCAAGATTGAGACTGAGGTACCCGTCGTCTGCAACCAAAATGGTCTCTGTAAATGGTGCATGTGAACTCAGCTTGTCGGGTGAGGCAGTCGTCATTCACTGCCTCTTCTCATCACTGCAGCTTCGGTATATCACGGAAATCGAGGCTGTGGTCTGAAGTGTTCCATCTGCAAACATGCAACCATAATGTGCATTCTCGGTGTTTGCCATGCATCTCAACACAGTAGGTCAATTCTATTCCGACATTCTTAAAGCGTAGCATGCATGCGGCATCCACCTGGCCGTGTTCCAAGTTGACCGAAGCCCGATCTCAACGACGGCGCAACAGCGGTAGCACTGCTTCACCGGACATCTTGGCAGGTTATGCACAAGAGCCTCCTCCGTCTCACCCTATCGAACTCACTGCTGCTTTAAGATACCCCGACTGGTAGTTAAACACCATGTATTCTCTAACGAAGATCTCAACGGGAGGGTTCCTGGATCACGACTAATAATAAGACATTAATATTACTATATGCTCATATACCCAGAGAATATATCCAACAACAGAACAGTGCGAGCTCAACCGTTGCCATCGCGCATAACTTCATAACGTCATCCTCACCTCAAGACGTCGTCCCCTTGCCTGCCAAAGGCCATGTCTTGCAGGACACAGTAATGTCGCATCAAGGAGGAGGCCGTGAGACGAGCCTCTAGCAAGTCGAGACAGTCTTGGTGATAGTGCAATTGGTGGTGCTCCATCGGCCGACCAACAATGGAGTTCGAGGAGGATCGGATCATAGGACATTGCAAGGTCTGCAATCATTAGGGTAATTATGTTGTCGTTGAGGGATAGGTGTGCGCGCAAGCGAGTCTCACTCGTTCACAACCGCCAGTCGTTCCGAGTTCCAGGCTTCTATCTTTCCTCTTCTCGCGGCGGACGCCAATGCATGGGCATCAACGGGTGCTTGGACAGGTTTATGTATCCGTACAACCCATAGAAACCAGTCTTCCAAAGGCAGAAGGTTCAACAACATTGGGTTGATCTTCCATCCAACCGCACAAACCATTGCGCCAGCGACGGCGTCGAGGATGAAGTGATTTGCTGTAGAGACAATCGCGACAAGGATGGCGAACGGGTACAAGAAGCCGAGGGTGAGACAAGCGAGACGACGAGGACTCGGTAGATTGATGGCCGGCGCCAACTCCGGATGGGTGTTGTTGAACAAAGGAAGATGGATGGATTTGGAGCGACGCATTTCAGGCGCCAAAGGAATGGTCATGATGGTCACGCCAATCATGAGGGAGTAACCGAAATGAAGAGACGGCATGGCAGCTGCAGCAAAGAATGAGTATCGATCGACAACAAATGGATCGTGTTCGGATCAGCCTCACCGTATTGATTGCAGAACTTGTTCTGTGTCCAGACACTGCTGGCCCCTTCCTTGCCGTGGACGGTGTCGACAAACCCATGACTCTTGGCCAGCATAGCGTCAGGCCCCTCATACTCTGGGTCACTGAGCAGACGAGGTGGCATGCATGGCCAAAGTGTGAAGACCACGAATGCAAGCAGGTTACACACTGCCATGGTGCGCCTCAGCGCTTCATAAAGCCATGGTCCAGTAGGCGTACCTGTGCCGCGCAGGTGGCCTCCGTTCTGGGCCAGCCGGTTACTGGTGATGGTATAGTAATACAGCCAGACCAGAAATGCAATCGTTCCAGGAATGTGAATGAAGGAGTAAAGCCAGTTGATGTACATCATGAGGCGTGGGTAGGACATGAAGAACTTCTGGATAGGAATCTCCCAAAAGATATGGAGACGTTTCTCCACCTGGATGAGCTGGAGGGCATGTCGACGGGCAACGTCCACCGTGCCTTCAACCAAAGTCACTGCTGTGAATGCTCGACCGAGTTGGTAGACCTACGCGATGGTGATTAGCACAGGCAACGGACCGTAAGGGATGGTGTCTTTCCGCACCCAGTAAATAAGAGCCCAATACCATGCCTCCACCAAGAAAGGATATCTATGGAGCACCCGGCTGAGTAATCGATTGCGGAAGACGGCGGTGTTAGGTGTCTCGACCACCTTGCGGTAACCCAGAAAGCAAATGTCTCGTTTACGCCATTTGTCCTCCTGAGACGGCAATAATGATGGCGACAAGGATCTTTTGGAATGTGTAAGGTGCGCCTCCTCTAAATCCAGATCTTCGTCCTTCTCGACCGCTTGAGCGACCGTCGATGGTTCATCCCACCGGGGACTTCTCGCAGACACGGAGGAGTCTGTGGCTCGGTTGATCCAGGCTCCGCCGAAGAGCAGGACAATGACTGTGAGAGGCTCAAGGAATGCGCCTGCGCCCATGATGAATCCCGGGTTTCCCCCTCTTCCCTTGCTAGAGACAGCGTCCAGTCGTTGAAGCCACTCGATATGATATTCTCGCGATATAAGGAATGATACAGGGAAAAGGAAAGTCGATGGTAGTCCAGAGGATAGGATCAGGCGGGTGTCGTGAAGAAGAGAGAAGAAATGAGATTACGGCAGCAGGCGCGGCCAGAGCCTCGTCTTGGGATGAATTCCTCATGACAGGCAAGAATAGTCTTCGACTAGGGCGGGCCGGTCAAGACGCCGCCTGGCTTCAGACAGACCATTTGGCTGTGTTGACCGGCCGATGGCCATACAGAGATGGTGCTAGGCAGCAGCATCTTGGGTGCTATGGTCACGCGGCAATCCGACAAAAGATGAAAAGGGCCGTCGGAGCGAATGGCACAGAGCCATGACCGGGTGGAGCGATGGACTGTGGCTCGATTCGGGGGGCCTTGGTGGTCCGAGATCTTCCACCGTACGGGGGTGGTGGACCGAAAGGGTAAGGGAGCTGTCTTTTCGCATGATCGATACTCTGTAATAATGACAGTATACTAGTGTGCTAGTAGTATATCGATATTAATAAGCCGTGGTGGAAGCCAGGTGTTTGGTGGCTGGGAGCACAGATGGAAGCAGAGACGTCGAAAGAAACAACGTTCGGATCGTAAGGCTCCTTTGGGTTCCACCAGACAAGGGTTATGCCGGCACTCTATACACATCATTCTATCGTCATCCTCTTGTTCCGTCTATCCAGCCTTCCGTCTCTCCGACAATTCCGTTTGGACCAGCACTGGTGCTTGTCGGATTCGTGCCCTTCAGGCAACATCGTATAAGCGACAAGTCTATTGTCCGCTTCATGATTGCCTTGTTTGTTGTGGTCCTTCACGTTTAATCATAGGTAATCATGACATATCAAACTTCACCAAGGGCGGGGGCCCGAGTTTCAGTAGATCCATGACTGGCGTCGCCTGGCGTTTTTCCAATTCCACCATGTACCTAATCCATAGGTGGTCAGCATAACTCGGCCTGTCAAAAAATCGCTTATCCACTTCCGCAACATCCGTTAGCGGCGAAATCGAAGTACAGGCGATTTTGCTATTGGCCGACGGCCCAAAGGTCCGGCGAGAAAAACCATCCGGCTACCACAAGTAGGTAGCGAAGCCAAACTGTGCGCGGCGCCTTCGTACGCTAACCCGCCTTCGTACTCTTTGATCCTGGACGATCCGGAACGTCCAGCTTCCGGCGCCGACATGGATGGAGAGCATAGCATCCATGGATGCGAACTCTCAAGATGCCGCGCAAGGCTGTCGGGCAGTCAAGTGGTGGATGAGAATGCCACCTCACTCACTCACTCTCCATTGCTGCGGGTGGACGTCGTGCGTCGCGATCGGAACACCCTCTTGAGGTGCGCATTTTCTTCTGGGATTTGCACTTGCGTGAAGCAGGCACGCAGAGAGGCACCGACAAAGCCAACGCCAACACTCTCGTTTCGCGTGGTCGGGTGAACACAACAGTGACAGTAGTATCGCGATGTAGGATATGCGCATCATCCAACCTTCCGGCCAATATTGCCCACTCCTCTCCCAACAATGCTGAGCACGAGCTGGCCTTCGCCCTTTTCCCCAGCAGCATCTCTGATACCCCAACCCGCAGTGCCAAACGCATTGAGATCTCTCGCCAGCTGGATGACATGCTCGGAAGCCAACACGTCCCGCCCTAACTGGACTCGGCCGACATCTTCAGATCCCATCGCCATCAGTGTGATCACAGTGGGCGCGGCCTCAAGACTGACACATCCGCCTCTCTCCACGCTCTCGAGAAGCTGAAACGCGCATTTTCGCCCGATGTCCTCCGCCGGCTGGCCGCCCTCGGGAGGACTGGCAGCATCTGCCGAATAGAGACAGCCCGTCGAGCTCTCTGCGACCAGAGACAGTCCGAAGCCAAGACCGACCTTCTTCTTCGCGTTAGGGTTACTCTTTTCAGGTGCCGGCACAAGGCTGGCACTGCTCATATCAGAGAAGATGTAGATATCTCCGACGAACTGGTTCAGGACTCCGCGCGCCGCCTCGATCATTCTCGCATTGTTACTCCCGCTCACGCCAGTCGAATATGCCACACCTCGAATCTTCTTCACCCGTCCTGGATTCAACAGATGTAGTGTCTTGGGCAATCTGACCTGGTGGCCAAAGACCAGCTGGACTTCTCCTGCACCACCCACCCCCCGCGGCCCCGGGTTCGACCTCGTGAGTATTCGAAGTTCAATGTCTCTTTCGATCCCAAACTTGGCGTAGAGTGGAAGTATTGCCGTGCGTACACTGTCCACGCTCATGTCACCCCATTTCTCCGTCGAGCTGGTGATCACCCCGGGTCCAGTGAACACAATGTTGAACTTTGCCTTGCTGAACGGTGCGAGCAGACATAGCGGTAGAAGAAAGTAGCTGAGACCCCGGGTGTTGTTCGCTGGGATTTCATGCCGTAGCACCCCCGAGCTGGAGGCGCCGCTGCCCGGCGCTGATCCGGTGATCAAGCCGGGTTTGTAGAGCAGAACCGTGCCGGTATATGAGATTTCGAGATGGGATCCGTTGGTGACGGCTTCGAGAAGCCTTAGGAAGGAGATTTCATGAGGCGCCAGGCCAGGGTTCGTCGGAGAATTTGGGCGGATTTGGTCGATGCGTACGGTGCGGCCGAGGAGGGTTGCGAGAACGAGGCGGGAGGTGAGAGACTTGTGCGAGCTCAAGCGCACGGCAGGCTGAGACGTCGACATGTTGAATCGCTGATCGCGGGATGAGAAGGAGCGTTACCGCAGGTTCATGGCTATACTAGTAGATGGATTGTACTCGGTGATCGATTCACCTTGCAGGGAAGGACTTTGACGTTAGAGTCGCGCCGCAAACGAGTTGTCGGTTCTCTGAATTTTTTTGCTCCAACTCCAACTGCGATCTTCCCCGCGCTGGCACCGTCCGACGAGCGAGATCGAACCCGCTGACATTTATCTATCTCCTCTCCAGTCTACTGTGGGCATTTGTCAGTCGTGGGCATTGACAAGATCACGTTAGTAAATCAACTATCAGGCATCTTCATTCGGGTGTGGTATCAAAGCTGTCATCTGGAGCTTAGGTTTGTGACTCTCAGCTCGATACCGTACTCATCTTCCCTCGCCAGGTCTCTATCTCTAGGTACCTGGTCAACATCAACATGGCTGGCGCCGCACTGAATCTGCCAAAATGGTCCGTCTCCCTCTCATCTGCACAGTACTGGATGGTTCGACACGTCGCTGACTCTGTGGCAGGCTCAAAGACAACGCTCATCTCTTGCAGCCTCCCATCAACAACTACTGCGTCTACCATCCTTCGAATCCGGCCACGAGCGGACTGACTGTCATGGTCGTCGGAGGACCCAATGCGCGAACAGACTATCACATCAACACCACCCCAGAATTCTTCTACCAGCACAAGGGTTCCATGCTCCTCAAGACGATGGATACCTCGACAGATCCTCACACCCCTGTCGACATTCCGATCCATGAGAACTCGCTCTACTTGCTTCCGGCCAATACTCCGCACAACCCTGTGAGGTTCGCAGATACGGTCGGCATTGTACTGGAACAACCGCGGCCAGAAGATTCAGTGGATATAATGAGGTGGTATTGCAAGAAATGTCATCACATCGTCCATGAGGCGAGTTTCCACTTGACGGACCTCGGGACTCAGATCAAGGAAGGTGTCATTGCCTTTGAGAACGATATGGATGCTAGAACGTGTAAGAACTGCGGGACGGTTGCCACTTCAAGACCGGCAGAAGGGGAGATCCAACAACCGCCTCGGTTTCCGCCCGAGTGACAGTTCTGACTAACCCTGGTGTTCATCCTGCTGCTGCAGACATTGAGGGGGGACGGGCTTCTGCACTGCCCTGGGTCAATGAAGCACTCTTCTTCTCCGAGATATGTTGGAGCACACTCTCCGCCACCTTAAGTGCGGTAGGAGGCAAGCCGGCGAGCTTTGCCACTTTCAAAGCATGAGACTGTCTGTTTATACCCTTCTTCAAACGGTGCACAAAAGCAAATGACCCACGTTCATCTTCCAAGACATCTGTGCAGTAACATGCCAGCAAGGGCCAGTCTCGCGTCATATCGGCGAGCGCATGGAAATGTGTCGCAAACAGCGTCCGGCATCTGTTGGTGTAGTAGAGGTGATGAAGACTCGCGTAACCCACGGCAGTCCCATCTTCGGGAGTTGTGCCGCGTCCCACCTCGTCCATGATCACAAAGGATCTGGAAGTGGCCTGCTTCAGTATCGCGGCAGTCTCGAGCATTTCCACCATGAAAGTCGACTGGTCGCGAAACAGATCGTCAGCAGCGCCAATGCGACTGAAGATCTGATCCACGAGCCCAATCTCAGCGTATGTAGCCGGGACATATGATCCTGTCTGCGCAAGGATCGTAATCAGCGCGTTCTGCCTGAGGAACGTACTTTTCCCGCCCATGTTAGGGCCCGTCACCAGCCACACCCTCTCGTTCTGGTCGAGGACCAGATTGTTGCTGACAAAAGACCGACCTTGTTCTTCCAGGCCAAGTTTCACCGTGGGATGTCGTCCACCGATGATCCTGTGTTCCGTCCCGTTGTTCACAAGAGGACGAACCCACGACTGCTCCTTGGCCAAGGTCGCAAATGCGCTGGCCACGTCGAGTTCATCCATGACCGATGCATTCCGACGTAGTTTCACTAGATTCTGGATGACCAGTTCTCTCAGAGCTGCAAAAATCCTCTTCTCCTCGTCTCTGATGTTGAGCATCGCTTGGTCAATTCTCCGTCCAAGTCGTGTCCAATCAGTCAGATAGAAGGATCTAGTACTTTTGGAAGAAGACACCATTTTCGCATGCAGCGACTCAAGCTTGTCTTTCTTGAATCCAGTCGCGCTCCGGATGTGACAGATATAACCAAGACCCGGCGTCGATTTAAGCATCAGTGTAGGAGCCTTAAGGTCTCTTCTCAAGCTCTCTGCAAGGGCCACTTTTTCGGCCTCGAGATTGCTCAGCTCCTCATGGAGCCGTAGCAATGTATCACTGGCCTCCCGACGCATGATCCATGGTTCAGTCAGTTCGATTTCGTCTTTCTTCTGGTCATCAGACTTCCTGCTAGAGCGTACCGCCTTTGGCAGTGACTGTAAGTCTTCCGGAGCGCTTTGGAGGACGACCTCGTGTGCGAGGGCAGCTACGCTCGCTGCTTCATCCTCCTCGAGCCGGTGTTTCTGCAAGAGACCTTCCTCGTCGATGGCAGAAGCTACACGGTCTCGAAGGTGACTGGGACCTTCTAAATCGAACCGTTGCAGAAGCCTCTCGAGCGGATGTTCCCACGAGGTTCCAGATTCGGAATTATGACCTGAAGCATTGCTTGATAACGTCACAACAGCGCGCAGAAGGTCACGAGTTGCAACCGTTTCGGTGATAGCACTAGCCAACGATAGGATGTCGTCGGCGTCGCCTTTGTTGAGCGCAAATTTCTGGACTATCCGTTGCACATCGTACGTTCTTCGCAGGCGGAATATCAAAGAGTCTTTCAAATCCTCCGACTCGAGAAACGTGGACACGAGCTCGAGGCGGTCGTTTATTTCCTCCAAAGAAGCCGAAGGGGAGGATAGGCGGTCCCGCAGCAGTCGTGAACCACTTTTGGTCACAGTCCGCTTGACCGCATGAAAAAGGCTGCCCCTTCCTAACCCGTCTCTTGCAGTTTCCAGTATCTCAAGTCCTCGCAGACTGCTCCGATCGATGCTCAAGATCTGATGCAGCTCCCGCTGGCGTGGTGGTTGCAGTCGTAGCTCCAGCCCCTGTAGTCGGTGTTGAACATAATCTAGGAGCCGGTGGCCCGCCTGTTTCTCCCCAGTGCTAAAGGCCGAGTCGGCATCTTGGTCCACGGGGGATTCTAGCATTGTGCTCCATTCAGACATGGACACGAAGTGACTTGTCTCCTGATGCAGTGTAAGGAGTCGGTGGTCATAGCCCACAATCTCCTGTACTTCATTCTTGATGTCGGCGGAAATATCGGCAGGAAGAATGATCTCTCGGGGAGCGATCCTTGTTATGGCTGAAGGCAATGCACCGCGGTTGATACTCTGTGTGAGAAAGTCACCAGTAGACAGGTCCAACCAAGCAAGTCCAATACTCTGTTCCGGCCCTCGTACGTCTCCCGAGCTATCGTTTGCAACGGGAGGCAGCGGCTGGAGCGAGAGGAGAAAGTTGTTCTCATAAGGATCTAAGAACTTCTCATCGATCAGTGTGCCTGGAGTCACCACTCGTGTTACACGACGGTCATGCTTCAGGCCGCCTGACTTGACCTTGCTGGAGACATTGATGAGGAATTCATCGCATATGGCAACGTATCTGTTCAGATCTTGCACCAGGGTCTTCAGGAAGCGGTCTAGTTGGAAGAACGGAAACCCAGCCATAGGGACCGGACCTAGCTTCGTCTGTTTGTATCCCACTTTGAGACTGAGGAGGGGTCCATATTCTTCAGCCTGCTCAAAGTATAATTCGTAGAAATTGCCAACTCTTGTGAGCAAGACACAGTTGTCAAACTTGGCCATGTTCTGTTTGGCTCCTTGGAGCACGGTAGGATATTGGGGCTCATCATCGCCAGGCATCTCGGGCAGTGCTTCTGCTTGTATGGCTCCCTGTTGCAACTCTTTCAGTCTTTTCCTTGCCGTGGTCTTTGCGCCCCTGCGCTGCCCGCCTCGAGACCTCCATGCTGGGTTGGGTGCGATTGCAAGCGGTGGAACCGGGGACCTCGATCTCAAAATCAGGCCAGGACGGATGATACTTTCGAGAAGTCGCAGGTCTCTGCCATGAAACTGTCTCTTAATCGGAAGCATTGAGTTTGCCACAGACTCTTGACTGGGGAAATAAATGGTGATCAAGACGCGTCGCGTAAAGTGCTTTGGAATGCTGTGCCGCCGCTTTAAAGGGATTTAAGATAGAACAATATCTAGATGATGATTTCTCAACTTTTATCACAAGGCCTAGGTGGAGGCAAACATTCTTTGTAGTCTATAAGGGGTGATCGAGTCCACTCCTTGTTCCAATTCTCCGGCATTCCTACTTCCTAGAAGCCCCAGAGACTGCGTAGGGCTCCCCCCGTCAAATGTCAGACGCCCAAAAGCATTCACCATCAAGCTCAGCCTGTTTCTGTCCCTGGGATCCGTGGCGAAGCGTTTCCTTGAGAGTGTAGGGAGGCATCGGTTTCTGTATACTTTAGCCCAATCGGCGGGGAGCATGACGACTGGCATGCCTTGCATCGCTGGTTCCATAACATCACGATGATGTTTGAGTTGCTGCCTTGTGAGTCAGTCTCGCAAAAAGGCCGTAGGGGAAAGACAGCGTGACTTGGCAATTTGTCATCACAAAGATGCGAAATTGGTGCATTTCGTCTTTGATCTCTGCCAGCCTGACTAGTTCAGCCTGGCCATTGCCGAGTCTCGTTCTGGTGCAGCTCAGGGACATGAGGGTAGTGAGATGTTAGAGATTTATCGAGATCCAGGCTGTGGAGGGAGAAGTTTTCTTCATCGTGATCAGTCGCTGTTGGACTTGGTAACACTGTGCTGGGTGTCAGAGAAGGCTGATCACGTAACGGTCCTTCGGACTGCGGGCTACAAGGAATAGAGGCCTCGGGGTCAGCATTGATAGGCCATGGCCGAGCTGATGCTCTGCGCGCTATATTCGAGCGGATGAACGCGTTGTCCAGACCGGGCATTTGCCTGGAGGGTCGGCACTTGGCTTTGACGAACACCTTCAAAGCTGGCGCCGAGGCACATATAATGGCAAGATGTGCCTCGATATCCGTCAACGCCTGCAGTCTTGGTCAGCAAGGGTACAGCGAGGCGCTGGGTTGACTCACATATGTCGGCCAGCCATACCATGTAACATCATGAGTGTGAGGACCGAGCTTGTAGTTCATCGTGACCTTGACGAAAAAGACCATTCTGGCAACTCCAACTGCAGCAGTCACCAGACCTGCGGAGAACAGTGCGTACAAGCTGAACCGTTGTCTCTGTGACAATTTGAGCTTCCTGGTGAGAAGCATGGGCAGCACGGATGAGTAGACGTCCGAGAAGACCGAGGCTGCGGCGCTGAAGATGAGAGGTCCGCCCTCGTCGCCGCAAACATACTTCCTAGTGTAGGTTGGGTCGTAGGATTTCCAATAGGACTCCAGCGGGCGACAGACCAAGAATACCTCCAACACCAAAGCAACAGTATATGCGATCGTGAATGCAATTGCCCCCCACGTCAGTCTGATGAACCAGTAGCTGTGAGTTCTGCTGGATATCTTGCGGTAAACCAGCAAGATAGAGACTTTGGTGCAGCCATTGCCGAGAAGGAAGAAGACTTCCACGAGCCACGCCCCCAGCCGCACGTATTCCATTTTGTCGATCGGGATATCCCAAAGATGCTTGTTCCAACCCCAGGTCTTGAGCGCCCTACATTCGGCGTACGTTTGTCCGATTGACAGGACCTGCCATCATTAGCTAGGAGACCATGGTTCGTGAGCTCTCGTACAAATCCAGCTAGAATTAGACCATCATCCAGCCCAAGCGATCGTGTGATGTAATGTCGAGAGTAGAAGCGAAGAACAACGATGACTGTTGTGATGACCAATGTGGCAATAAATAAGCCCGGAGAGCCTCGCGTGTGAGGGTTCTCATAATTAGGCAATGGCCATCCTTCTGGCCATCCTTCTGGCACCATTGCAGCGGTTCAATGTGAGGTTGCGTTGTAGGAGTTCGGGGCTGCAAGGTACGAGAACGTAAGAACGACATGTTGTGACAGATATCATGATCGTTGTAACATCGAATTCTTGCGTTTGTGTAGAAGTGAACCTAAACATTCAAGAAACCACTTGCGTAGTAGCTTTCCGTCATCTGTTGCGAGCCGTGAAGCCGTGTTGGGAGCCACGAGTCTTGGGCCCTGAGTGAATATATCCTCCACGGTGAAGTTAGGAATAAGGGATTTCTTTGCATGACTTGGTGGGAAAAGAGGGCAGGTCTATCCAGGGGTCATGAGAGGCAATAGTCCAGCCGTTGCACTCATCGCACCGACCACTTAGTGACGAGTGCACGGAGTCGTATTGTTGTTCCCGGTGATGCTCATTAGGCTGTCACTGTCGGTCAGCGGAGCGAATCACTCACCTCGATCTCTGAAGCGTCGACTTCCCCAGAGTTTAAATTCTCCATAGCGGGTCGTCTTCGTCTTCGTCACTCACCATTACACCCAGACTTGGTCGAGGGTTCGCGCTCGAGCTAACGCAGTAACCACGCTTCAATATCGGCATGTCAGGCTGCTGGTTAGTTTGGAGACACAGGAGGCTTAGTTAGAATAATCGGTGAGTGTGCTGCCAGGAGAAGCTTCCCCATACCCCTACCCATACCCCTACCCCTACCTCTACCCCTGCACCTACCCCTGCCCATGTCCATCATCTTGGGTAATCGAATCTCTCGACTTCGAGTCCGTGAGGCCTGCCGTTGAAGATAACAAATCTTATTTTTCGTCATGCCGTCGCATTCTCGTCATCCAATAGGCTCGAAGAGTGAAACTGCCGTGGCGATCCCTGGCAGAGAAACATGAGGCAGAGACAGCCTGAAGCCAAGCCCGAGACTCTCCACAACCCAGCACAGGCCTGGTCTATAAATTCCTGTTGTAAATGAAGACTGACTTTGAATCAAATGAGGTAAGTGGTACTAGACAAGACGGATGCTGGCCAACTTGAGGCGTTCGTGGTCCACGAGAGAACCCGCAGAGAGGTCGAGAGCCAGGGTCTTGCTGCATGTGTGTTGTTTCATTCGAGCATTCGCAAATCGGATACTCTAACTTACAGTATGTGTGGGGGATAATTTGGGTCTCTAACCTGTGACGGAGGAAACTTTGCATACCTACCTGAAACGTAGTAAGCACTTCGAGCGGATGGTTGAAGACAGGTGTACGTAGTCTCAATCGAAAAGGCCTGAAAATGTGAGGCTCGGGGGCCGGGTGAGCGCTCACTCTGAATCCTCCTGTTGCCCTGAAGAAGCCGATGCCAATGGGTCAGCTTGTACTCCGTACAGACAACTGCGAAGTATACCTTACGGATGTACTACTACCCCGATGGCAGAGGGAAGAAGCGTCTGTTGACGAGGCCGTTCCGCGTTAAGGCCGGCCCAAACCGTGTCAGACTGGTTTGGGCTGACGCCCAAAAGCAGCAATATAATCGTTCCTGTTTTAGACACGGTACCACATATGTACAGTGTACAATAGATCATTTCGGCCAGCCTCCTTGGGTACCTAAGGATGTCTCTACATACAGTAATGATGTTGCTTGTTTGAATATATCGAGAGCTGACGGTTATACTGGCTATGAGAAGCTCATTACGCTGTTCCCGAATCCAGCTGCACCTCCAGAGCGCTCTCAAAGTTTCCTTCGCTTGCCGAGTCTGTTAGATCTGATAGAGTCTCAATCAGCATTCGGAAACGCTGGCTGAACTCCTCGCATGGGACTAGTCTATCTGCAAGCATCTCGAGAGCAGTCTGACCTTTAGCATTCGCTAAGGAGAGGTCAACGCCAGCGATATGTGGCCCCACAGCTTTGATTGTGTCTAAGCCGCCATGGAGCGCAACTATATGCAATATAGTCGAACCGTCGCGACGCCTGTGAGTCCAGTCGATTCGACGCTGCAGCAATGTCTCGAATGCTTGCTTGCAGTCGTAGTAGATTGTTTCGAATAGAGGGGTATCGCCATTCTGGTCAAATGCATCAATGTCCGCCCCGAGGTCAAGCAAGGCCGCAACGTTCCCGGCATGGTTTAAGCAAGCGGCTGACTGAAGGCATGTGACCCCTCCAGCATTGTGACTCATTATGTTTGCACCAGCCTTGACCAATGTCTCGATCATCAAAGGAGCGTCGCTGGCCCAAGCTGCCACCAAAATCGCATCATCGCCACGTTTGTCTTTCAGATGCACATCGCAGCCAGCAAGCAATAGCAGATCAACACAATGTACGCTTCCGGCTTGAACGGCGTAATGCAGTGGTGTACGGCCCTCCAGAGAGATCGCCTTCGGATCCCCGCCAGCTAGGAGAAGAGTCTGAGTGGCGGCAGCATCACCCCTCGATGCAGCCCAGTGCAGGCAAGACCTCCGTTGTGAGTCTCGTGCATCTATGTGACTGCGATGCGTAAGATTTTTGATCTCAGTGGTGAGGTCTAGAGGTAAGATACCGAGGACGACACGGTGCAGATGAGAAAAGTTCCATAGCGCCATCAGGTCAACATTGCTGGGCAACTCAGACAGCCCAGCCTCAATAGGCTGATACTGACCTGTGAACATGACGTCTGACGCGATCAAGGCGCTATTCATCTCATAGTCATCCTCGATTTCGAGGTCAGCACCTGCCGCAACAAGAATCCTACACGGGTCCAGGTTGTTACTCCTTATAGCGTACTGCAAACCCCAATCAAATGCTGTCTGGCCTCCTCTGAGACTCAAGTCGTTGGGGTGAGCACAATGCTGGTTCAATTTCAGCTTCATAGCATCGACGTTGCCATTTCTCGCGAGCTGAAACAGACTGTTGTCAAGAGTATACTCAACCCGGTTTCTGAGCGTAATGCTGCATTCGGGGTCCCCTTGTGAGTTCTTCCCGCCGACAAGATCGAGTGTCCGCTGCATAAACCATGATGGAAAAGTGTAGACCACTTGAATTGCTTGGACTTGAGACTGATAACAAGAGCCACTGTCACAGCGAGCACCAAGCGTAGGCAACCCTGTGTAGCCAACGAATATTGTGCCAATGATACGCGGCAGTACATTCCACTGTGACAAAGGAGAACGTGTATGGCATGAGCAGCGACAGCGGAGGTCACATGGTGATCGACGATACGCTGTGACTGTGAACACTTTGGCAGAATGCCCTTGTATCCTTCGAAGCCCTTCCAAAGCAAGTGGCACTGCCTCTGCTGTGAGTGGTGGTCCCACATCATCAACAGGGCTATGAATCGACTGGGAACTATCAGTGGACAAAACAGCTCGGATCGACTCTAGACGCAGGTCGATTCTCCCCAGCGGAGTCATGGATGCACTATTAATGACATCCCGGAGTGTTTGACGCGCTCTTCCGAGTTCTTGTTGCAATCTCGAAGCCGAATTTCTCTTGCGAAGCCATCTGTGACGCTGAAATTGTGGATCGAGACTAGGTCGTTCTTCGAGCACCGTCTCCAACAGCACGTTGAGCTCCTGGAAGATTGACCTGATCTTTGCCAGACATGCTGTAAATGCTGTCTCGGAAGAATGGTATCCCACATCTGTGCAGTCCCTTTCAGGACAAAGAAAAGGTTTCAGAGCTTCATACTCCACCAACAGCATTTTCAGGTCGCTCAGCTCATTGTGCAAGGATAGTATTTCGTTGGGCGCGTTCCGTATCGTTTTGATCCATTTCCCCAGCAAGTCGGAACAGCGTCCGGCAAAACTGATCAACGAGATGACAGATACCGGATCCATAGATGTGTGCACGGCCCCAGTCTGAACAATACATTGAACTCGTCCGTTGTTCAGGCAGCTCGAGTTAGAATTGTATGCCTAGACTCACCTTGCGAGTACTGCGCTCAGAATGACATCGCGGGGACTTGCCATGTTCGTGTCGCTCAACCAGTCTTTGCGGGGTAAGGTCCTATCAAGGTCACATGGCAGAGCAGGACCCCACGTGTACATGCCACTATCATGGGATATCAAAAGTACCTCCGGGAGAAAACCCGATGCAATGCGGCACAAACTGGCGTGGGAGTCAGGTCGGTCGACACGCATTGAATACGTAGGCGCAAGAAGCGCTATGTCAGGAACAGTGGCATAACTGCTGTGCTTCCACCTTCGCACAGTCCAGCGGTCATCGACAACTAGAATCTGCAAGCCCATGAGAGTAAAGGATGGGAAGCAATGCGCGATCAGGCTTTGACGTGGCTGAGGTTGGGGAGCATGGCGGTCACGTGCCAATCCGGGTGGTCTCTACCTAAGTATTACGTAACAGCCACGTGAACAAGCTCGGCCTTGGCGCTGATCAAGACATGCCAGCGCAGTCAGAAAGAAGCCTTCAGTGGTTTTATACCAACTTTAGAGCAACCAGTTGAGCATCCTACCATCCTCAATCGATCCACAGAGAGAGAGAGAGAGTCGGCGCAAACAGGAACCTCTTCGCATAGAACTGCATGTCCCGCACTTTTTCCGTTCCCCGTGGCACTGATGAGCCCGTCGAGATCAAGATTGCCGAGCCAGCCCTCCGTGCACAAGGGTTGAGTTTGCAAACCTGGACCTCGTCGTATGTGCTCGCCAATCTATTGCACAAGCTTCATGTGGACATACCTGCTTCAGACGGCGCCATACCGGTGCTCGAACTCGGCGCCGGGACAGGACTAGTTGGGTTGACGGCTGCAGCCCTGTGGAATGTGCCTGTGGTTCTCACGGACTTGCCTCCTATTGTCCAGGCTCTCGCTGGAAACATCCAGCTGAATGCCTCCATCGTCAATGGCCTCGTGGATTGTGGCTCTCTAGATTGGGCTGCACCGGAGCACCTGACCCTGCAGAATGGACAAACCCGCTCCTCTCACACGAACAAAGCTTCTGTAATCCTCGCTGCAGACACGGTGTACTCGGAAGAACATCCTGAATTGCTCACCAAAGCCATTCTTAGCTGGCTTGCCGATGGATCATCGTCTCGACTCATCCTAACCTATGCGATGCGCGTGGCATACTTGGACCAGATCCGCGAACTGTGGCAGCTTTTGGAAGCTGGGGGGCTAGAGGCCATCGCAGAAGGCCGTGAACAAGCCAGTGTCGACGACTGGGACGACGAGTGCTTGTGTGAATGGAGCGTCTGGAGATGGAAACCGAGGACGGATACAAAAGCGTAGTCGCCGCCCCCCCCCCCCCCCCCGAATAGCCCTCACACCGCCAACCAGACGGCCGGAGTCCAACTGGCCATCATCTTCTCAACTTTGACAGTCGGCATGCTTCGAAATCATTTTAATTTTTACTTTACTGCACCAAGATCGCCGTCAGCATGTCAAGCGAGCCTCGGCTTCGGCGAGATTACTACTGATGAAGAAGAGCACTTGCGACGTGGGAACTCTGCTATCAGGACGCATCCACAAACCCAGTTTTCTGTGCCGTCAACAACCGTGCAAGATGTCCATCGATATCGTTATAGTTGTCGACTTTTACAACCACCGCACGTCTATGCTCGCCTAAGGGGACTGTCACACAGTCGTTGATGTGTGGTTGGCTCAGGGGTCAACGGGTGGTCTGTGGATCTCCTGCCGGATTGGTCGATAGCGGATGTCGTGATTCTACATGGCGATGGTATCATCCAGCAAGACACCGCGCGGACGGTAACACATGGGGGTCCTTGGATACTACTGTGATGCATCAATCGACATCCCGCAGCCAGCATGTTCAGCATTCGTTGGACTGTCTGGACGGTGGTCATGTCACCTTGCATGTCCACAGGCGGGGTGAAATATCGCGACCATGGATATCGGCATGGACGTTTGATATTCGGGACGGCAGAAGTCCATATATCCTCTGAGCACCCGCATGGCTGGATCGCTCGACTCCCACATCTGCCAGAGCCCTTGCGACCCCAAAAACACAATGGTCGCCCAAGAATCCTCGGCCCCGTTGGGAACGGACGACAAGATTGCCGCCATCCAGAGCAGTCCAGCCTCACTGGCCAGCCTATCAGGCGACGACGACGCCGCCGACCTCGACGACAATTATGACCTGTACAAGAGAAGCGATGAGCAGGAACTCGATCCCGTCGCCGCCAAGCGCGTTCTGCGTAAGCTCGACGTGCGCATCGTCCCAATCCTCTTCCTCATCTACTTGCTGCAATATATGGACAAGAACGGCATCAACTATGCCAGTGTATATGGGTTGCAGAAGGGCACACACCTACACGGCCAGGACTACTCATGGCTAGGATCTATATTCTATTTCGGTGCGCATGTTCCCACATCCCTATCATACGTCCTTGTCGCTGATCAGATTCAGGTTATCTTTGGGCCCAGTTCCCTGCTGGATACTTGCTGCAGCGGCTGCGTATTGGCAAGGTCATCGGCGCCACCACAATATGCTGGGGTATCATCCTCATCACCACACCGGCATGTAGCTCGTTCGCCGGGATTGCTGTCAACCGTTTTCTACTTGGATCGTTTGAGGCCGTCGTGAACCCGGGCTTCATCTTAATCATGTCGATCTGGTATACTGCAGCTGAGCAGCCATTGAGGTTGGAGTCTTACTATTGCACAAATGGCATTGCAACCATGTTTGGCGGGTACGTGCAACCAGCCCTTTTCTCATCCACTTCATCTAGCCAAGTCGCTTGTGCCGCCCCCACCACGTTGAGCCCGGTTCTTGACATGACGCACCCAAGCATTGATCTGCACCATGAAAAGCTTGTACTGACAAACCTTCAGCTTGATCGGTTACGCTGTGGGGCATATCAAAACTGGCCTTCCGCGGTGGATGTATGTGTTCCTGATCTTCGGGAGCATCAGCATAGCGTTGGGAATCGGGGCAATGATCCTGCTGCCAGACCTACCTTCGACCGCAAAGTTCTTGACGGACCCGGAGAAGCTAATCGCCGCTAAACGTGTAAGTGCCAACCGCCAAGGAATCAAAAATCGACACTTCAAGATGTACCAAGTATACCAAACGATGCGGGACCCCAAGACGTGGATTTTGTTCATCATGGCCATCGGTGCGCAGGTCCCGAACTCGGCAATCACGCAGTTCACCAGTCTGGTGATCAAGTCGTTCAGCGTCGACACCTTGGGCACGCAGTATCTCCAGATCCCCGGCGGTGCTGTGCAATTCGTAGCCCTGATCGCTGGAGGGATTATCTGTTCCAGGTGGCCGAACCTGCGGTGCATCACAATGATGGCCGCCAACACCATCTGCATCACCGGTTCCGCGCTACTCGTCGGCCTACCCACCAGCAACAAATGGGGCCGAATGGTCGGGCTGTGGTTGTGCTACTTCCAAGGTCTGGGCTTCAGCTTGAGCCTGACCATGGTCAGCTCCAACATTGCCGGCTACACGAAGAAACAGTTGACGGCAGCGATTCTCTTCACTGGATATTGCGTCGGCAATATAATTGGTCCACAGACATTTAAAAGCAGCGAGGCTCCGCATTACCATTCAGCATACGTCGCCATGTTGGTCGGATATACTGTCAAGCTGGCCGCCGTGGTCGTACTGTACATTTACATGTTCTTATCAAATAAGAAGCGGGACCGCGAAGCCGCCGCCGCGGGAGTCCTGGATGCCGAGGAGGAGAAGCAGGCCATCGAGCATGGCATGCACGATGTCACGGAATTAGATAACAAAGGGTTCAGGTACACGCTCTGAACGACGTGTCTGGCCCATGAAATTTGAATGAACAAACCTGTCGACCAATAATATGTCACTCTGATTCACTCCTGGTTCAACTTCACTTGCAGAATCTTCATATACAAACGCCCCTGCGCGATGGGTGAAGAAGCCCAACTCGGACCAAACTTGAATTCCTTGTTCGTGAATTGTGACATTCTGAAGAAGTACCCCGGTCCCGGTCTGCTCCCATGTCAAGCCCAGTTATATACATCCTTCAGCGCCATGAATGGCCGAACATGACCCACATGACCCAAGATGGCAAGGCAAGATCAGAGAGCCTCATTTTCGGGCGAATGCTAGAGATTGCTCTAAAGTTCCCTATTGCAGTGGTATGCCTCCATCGATGTTGTTGGGAGCACTTCTAGATATCACCGACAGTCCCAATCGTCCTTGGACGCTTCCAAGGCCTTCTTAGCACCCGGACTGGTCAGGCCGGTAAAGGTCCTGGGCCTATGATTTTGATCTCGACGTGGTCTTTCATGCCCATGTTTTGAAGCCCATCCACCCTCTGCCAACCCTTAGCTTTCGCAATGTGCGTTCTGCTTTCTATATCTATCTCCTCGTTCTTCGGTAATCTCCGAAACCCTCGGAACCGGGAAGTAGGGGTGTAGCACGGAGGGGTGGGAGAAAGGACAGAAGGAACGAAAGACAATCTCCGGGAGTTCGCCATTCGTCCACATCAAGGAAATCCATTCAAGATATCATTTCTGTTCTGGTTGTATACACACTCGTATCGAAGACATGGAAGTGGAAGGAAAATGCTGCACGCTTGAATTTGATATGAACCCACATGAGCCACCTTTCCGTCGTCGACTCATCCCATGATTCCAATGACCAATGACCAATGACATTGACCGCCGATCACACTTCCACCGTAGATAGCGTGTGTTGGAGCAGAGGGCGGCGTCATGATGGTTTGTCTCTGTCTTTCTACTTTTGTCTTACTTTTCTTCCCTTCGGTCATTGGGCCTGGTCTCAAAAGAGAAATCGGGAGTTGGATCATGCAATGTAGTCTCGGGCAGTAAATCTTCCTCTTCCTCGTCCGAACCGGCCTCGACCCCCGCCGCGGCCTCGTCCGGCTCCCGTGACGTTCCCGGCGGTGCCTGGGGCGGTGCCAGTACCTGCAGCGGCGGCAGCAGAGGTCGTGCTGGCTGCAGCAGCTCCGGATTCTGCAGCGGCGGTTGAAGCGGCAGCGGCGCCTCCGGCAGCATTGTTGGCAGCGCCGTTGCCAGCATTTCCCGTACCTTGGCCGACGGTGAACTTGGTGCAATCATCTTGCGCACCTCGTTGAGCGACCTGGGGTCCTGTTAGCTGTGTGATTGCAAGTTTCCCTCGGGCCTCAAACTTACGGGCATGAGGACCGGTTGATGGTTGGAAGCGCTGTTCATGGTGCAGACTCGGTAGCTTCCTGCAGGAAGACCATCGGTGACAGTGGCCTGGAGGAGACCTTGACCATTGCCGGCGTCGTTGATACCCTTGAAGAATGCAAACACCTTCGGGTCAGGAGGAGTCTTGGTGGCAACGTCTCCACCTAGATCCTGGATGGTAACGTGACAATGGCCGACAACATCTCCTCCTTCCAATTGTTGAGGGGCGGCATAGTATGTGGTAATGGGATCGGTGAAGGACCCTGCCACTAAGTTGCTGATTTGTACTTGGACGTTGAACGATTGATCCGCCGCAATGTCGTCTCCGGGACCGGGGAAGAGGATGATCGATGAAATCATGTTATTGTTGGAGGGAATGTCACCCATTACAATGCCGTTGCAGGATCCTTGCGTTACTTGAGCACCGTTCGTCAGGGTCTTGCCGGTACAAAAGTTGATGAAGTTCGCTGGGTCACTTTCTGGCTGTCAGCAGGCATGCCCATGGTTTGTCAGGGATCAATACGTACGTGTCCGAAGGTGCTTGACCAGCATCGCCTGAACCTCCGGGCGAGTTGCTGGCATCTTGGACATTGTCGGCGAGAAGGACAAGATCGTTGCCTCCGCCATTGTTGTTGCCGGTGGCCCCGGTTGCGGCACTGTCTGTGCTAGCAGCAGCAGTAGCAGCAGCAGTAGCGGCCGCAGCAGTGGTTGCTGCTGTTGTAGCCGCAGCGGCTTTTCCTCTTCCTCCACGTTGGGCGACTGTCGAGGAAGCAAATCCCAAAGCAGCAACGGCTGCGGTCAACATCTGAGAGGTCTTCATTTTTGTTGTATGATCGGTGCAATTGTTGGGCTATGGGTCAAAGGGGGTCGAGTTCGAGACGGATTCGAGATATGCAGTTCAAAAAAGAGCGTTTCTTTAGGCAACGAACGGGAGACTTCGCGGTCAACGCGGTCAAAACTCGGCAACGAAAGGAGTGGAACAGAAAATATGCAAAGACAAAGCTGCGTCCAAGACACCAGAAGCTTGAAAGGAATGGAGAGGCACTGCCACGATGAGACAAGAATCCGACAGACAAGACGGAAGAAAACGACCTCTTATGCTTTGCACTTGGCAGGCCTCGGGTCTGTGCTGGGAACCGGAAGGGCGGCCAGGCCATGGTGATTTCCCTTGAGGCTGGAAACGTTTCCAACGAGGACTGATGACACAAACGACCTCCGGATGCTTCAGGTGCTTCATGTTGCTGGAGGAAATGAACAAGGTTGGAAGGTTACAGGTTGGTCGCAGCATGGCGCCGCAGCGTCGACGACGGCGCAGACAAGCATTGCCAATGTTTTAGGATGGTACTTAGCTCACCTAGGACCGAGACACTCAGCATAGGACAGAGACGAAGCTGAAGCTGAGATGGTTTCGAGATGTGTCGGAGAAGAAGGGAGAAACAACACGTCTGAAACGGGCGGCTGTGGCGAAGGCGAGTTAGACGTTGTAACAGAGTACATCTACTAACTCAATATGAATTAGTGATACGGTTAAGTAGGAGTTAGCGGCTATCATTGCCACACTAGTTGTGTTTTAGTGCCATCCCGCTCCGCCTCCTGTCCGCCTCCTATCGACGTCACATGGTTGTCCCTTCGAGCCTTGGGAGCCTGTCCATTCTCCCTCCATCCACCACCTCCTGCAATGTCCACCGACTCCGTGCTGTGCTGCTTATACCTCCGTCCTGTCCTACACCGAACTGTAGCCTTCATGCCACGATCTGTCATCCCCGGCTCCACTCTATCCTAAGCCAGCCTCGCCCTTCCCTTCTCGATCCCCCGGAGCAGAACCACTCCGCTTCACGATCGGATTGGGATGCTGCCGCAAATAGAACCTCAGACACCCACAGCCGCTCATTTTTGCACACAATGCGCGATATGCAGGGATTTCCTCCCCCCTTGCACTAATAAACAGTGCCTGTGCAACACATCTGTCTTGGCCCCTATCAAGCTTTTGGTCAAGCTTTGCCTGTGCCGATTACCGAGCGAGTTGATTCCAGGCTCAACATGAAGCAGAGCCTGGTCGAGCCCTGGGGTGAGCCAGGCGGTAAAACATCCAAATGAAATGAGTACCTGAAGTGACTCAACGGTGCTCCCCTATCTAAGTGTGCACCCTTCGCTTGGTCTTGGACTGTACTGGGATACTCCCATAAACTCCCGAGGGCAGTGATCGGCAAGCAAGACAGTGGAACCCTAGAAACCCTTTCACTCCGTCTCGCCCACTTCGAGCCTACCTTCGCCCATCGTTGATGCTAGGCCCAGACCACACTTTTCAACTCCACCTGCGGCCCGGCCCCAACTCCGAGCGCATAAATCTTGATCGTGCCTAGAATCCGAGAAGCTTGCCTTCGCTCATCGCACTGGCCCTGCCAGACAAGATGACATTCGTGATGCTCCGCGATCCGTCCGTGTCTGTCTTCACATCCACTTCGACAGCGATGGTGGACACACGGCCCATCTCAACACCCTGTTGAATGCCAAATACTTTCCTTTCAGTCTTCGCCTCGAGCTTCAGGTCCTCGGCCTTCTTCGCCAGATCGGCATCCTGGTCAGACGGTTTGGGATCTTTGGCCTCCGACGGACCATGCAAGGCCAGATAACATGCCAGGGCAGAGCAACCGCTGCCGCTGCCGCTGTCTTCGGTGCCGTTCGTCATCATTCGGACTTGAATATTGTGAATGGTAGGCTCGCCCGGTTGTTCAGACTTGGCCAAAAGCTTGTAATACATGCAGCCAACAAAGCTGGGCGACCAATTCTGGTCCAACTCAGCCTCGGGAGCCTTGCCGGGTTCTAGAGTTGCAAAGAGCTCCGGGTTATCTGTGAAGTCGACAAGCACGAAGCTCAGGCCTTTGACAATGGAGACGAGGGGAAACGTCCGGCCCTTCTCCTTGTCGATCGTGGGCACGATCTGTACATGCGGTTGGGTGGAGATGATCCTTTCCATCGGCACTTGATGTGCATGGACGTGGAATGTAGTGGGAACGGCGCAAGCCGCAATCTGTCGATACGGGTTGAAGAAGATTGGGATCTTTCCGGCCTTGGTCAACAACACCGCCGTTTGGCGGTTGTTGTCTCGATCCGCCGGGCCGCCGTATTGCAATTTCTCGAGATAGATAAAGATCTGCCACGCAGTTAGATTGGCACCTACAGTCCGTTTCCTCTGGTTTCCTCACAAAGTGTGCGGCTCCGATAACCTGCCCCGAATTAGTTCTGTGCTGGCATCTAACAGTGCCGAGATCAAGGTACTGACTGGATGTCCGAGGAAGGGAAGTTCCTCGCCCTTGTCTGTGAATATCTCCAGAGTCCGGGGCTGTCCCGGTCCTGCAGCATCATGTAGAAAGCAGGTCGCCGGGCATCTGAACTCCTTGGCGATGAGAGACTTGCGCTGTTGGGTGAGCGAATTGCCGTGGACAGAGACGATTGCCAGAGGGTTGCCTTGGAATTTCTCGGCGGTGAAGACCTATCATTCTCAGTCTTATTTTCTAGGGTCCGGGACCCGACCTTACCGCCATGGTCGCGAAGGTGTTGGGCCCGGAAGCCATCGTAGGTGATGTTGAACCGGTTTGGGCCAGCGGGCAGGAGGTGTCGGCAGAACGCAGTCCTTTCAATTCATGCCACTGATGCCGGGTGAGAGCATATGTGTTGCAGACATACAACGCCAAAGTGAACAAGGTAGGGAGGAAGGGCTGTTTCTTGCAACAAAAGGACTTGATAACCCTGACGTTGTCCTGGATCCATTATTTACGTAGTAGTACCGTGTATTGCCGTGTTAAGATGGGTTCCGTCGGGTTCTTGGCGGGAGCCGCAGGCCAAGATTCTTCCATCGTCGCCAGTTTAATTGACTGTATACAGCTGAGGTACATTATACTCTGTACACCCCAATCTGGCATTGATATATCTCGAGCAGAAGTAGCAACTTATACCTGATATTCATGATTTTGAAGACGCGGGCGTCTGTGGTGACTCCTTTCTATGGGACTGTAAAGAGGGATAGACTCCGTCAACCTTTTGTTCAATCTGATATGAAGGCTTCCTTCATTGATGCTGATAGCAGGGGGTGGACAAAGTTGCCTTAGGTGTAATGGGCAACCTTCAATATGAACTATCCTTCGAGTATATATTTACATATTTATATCCGGTCTGAATCTGGCGGGGGTTTTCAATTGACATCTGTAGACGAATCGGCGGCAAAGTGTAATAGTAGTGTATCATGCTAAACAACCAGAAGATCAATTGTCAGTATTTCTCAAATACCAGTACCATATCTCCCTCTAATACAGAGCAAACTCTTGTCTATCCCGTTGCATAACACAGACGAGGCTTGCCCGAGCATAAAATAGCCTCGCGAGGATCTCGAAACGCACCAGGTGAAGTTGAGTAGATTGATCCCATCGCACAATGTACATCGAACGTCTGAATTAATGTACAGCCAAGCGCGGTGTCGACTTCTGGGTCATTTCCTGCGCTTCATAACTTTTACACACATTTCTTCCAGGCCGTCCTTGGCCTCCCCGGCTGGGAAGAAGCTTATAGACGCAATGGCCTTGTCGGCGTACTCCTGGGCTAGAGCTCGGGTTTGCTCCAAACCATCACTTTGGATAACGATTTCTCGAGCCTGTCGTAGAGTTAGCTTTCACGGAAGGACCTAATAAGAGACTGCTTTTCTCTCACCCTTTCAACGTCGCCCTCTCCTGAGAATTTCCTGCCGACCAACTGTCCCAATTCGGGTCGACTCCTCCAGGCGAAAAGCAACGGAGCGGTTGCAAGACCCAACTCCAAATCCGCGCCGGCCGGTTTGCCCAGCTCAGATCCACTGACGGTATAATCCAGCATGTCATCCACGAGCTGGAACGCCAGGCCCAGGTTTTTGCCGTATGAATATGCTGCCTCAACCACGCTGGGTGCGCATTGCCCCAGTAAAGCGGCGGCTCGACAGCTTTTGCTGATCAGACTCGCAGATTTGAGATATGTCTTTTGGAGATAGTATGTGATGGTCTGCTCGCTCCACGCCGGATACTTCTCATCAGATGCGGTGTTCTTCAATTGCATGAACTCGCCTTCCACCAGGTTGGCAATCACGGTCGCCAACAACTCGACGACCTCGGGATCCCTCAGGCGTGCGAGTGCGACGGACGCCCGTCCGAGCATAAAATCCCCAGCGAGTACGGCCATCTTGTTACCAAAAGCGGTGTTTGCAGAAGGAGCAGAACGGCGCGTTGTCGAGTGGTCAATCACGTCGTCGTGAAGGAGAGAAGCCGTGTGAATAAGTTCGGTGATCTCGGCCAGCCGTCTCTGTGATGGCAAGATCGTCGCGTCGTCCGGAAATGCATAGCGAGCTTCCTTGGGTGTTTCTGTTAACGGGGAGGAGGGAGAGGTCTGATCGGGGTTGTTATCGTAGAGCACGGTAGGAGACGATATGGGCATGTCAATATTGGTGTCTGACAAGTTCGGTGTATCCGGGCGAGGTTGTTTGGCCGCAAAGGCCGTCGCTCTCGACATGAGCAGTACCAGTAAAGGCCTGACATGCTTTCCCTCGCTCTGCGTGTAATACTTGGCCACCGTGTCGAGGATGGGATGTCCCGAACCCAGGAGCTGTCTGATGTTTTTATTCAGGAACTTCAACTCCTCCGCCACGATTTTGAGGGGATCGATCGTGATGTTCCCGCTTGACGGCCGGATGGGTAATACGTCGCCCACAGCGTTCTGGAGTTTGGACACGGCGGCGGCCCATGCTGAAGATTGTATCCGGGAGCTGGAGAAATGCCGTCTCGAGTGCCGACTTCGAGGATACTGTGATCGAGTCAAGCACCAAGGACAAATGGCTGGAGCTGAAGATGTTGAGGCCGCCGGTTGCAAAATTGCAGAGTTCGGCGGAATGCGCACACGCATGGTCGGAGATGGCTGGATAGGACGACTCGATTACAAAGCCATGAAGAAGACGCACAATCACACAAGCAAGCGAATCATTTGTAAAGTAGTGACGAAGGGTTGGCGAGAGCGAAGCTCGGAAGCAAAAGATACAGCTATGCGCTGACGATGCCAAAAAGCCAGAAGCCAGAAGCCAAAAACTGCGCCAACGAAAGTATAGAACAAATAATAAATGCCCCTTCAACTTGATCGACTTTCCGATCGGAGCAGATCTCGTCTTTCCCTGTCTCTTCCGCCATTCCCCCTTCGGCCTCATGCTCCTGAATTGAGATACAGCCAGTTTCTAGTTGTCCGATGCTCTTGCTGCACCATATATAAACCGCATAATCGCGCATTGCTCCTACTATGATGGCTTTAGAGACTATTGTGGCATCGGCTGCGTTCCCCACGCCCGCCGAGTCTATTGTGTCCGAATACGACGCTTGCTTCATGAATCGCTGCCCTGTACATTGCTTGATATACAAGCCAATCGACCTGCTTTCAATCGACGCCTTATCGAATCTATACGCATACGAGACGCCCGCGGAATAGCTCGGCACCTAGAGAATCTCGGACCGGTTCGTGAAGAAAATACTTGCATTTAGTGGTAGGAACATTGCTCGTTGTTGTTTGGAGATTCTCGAAGATATGTCTGCTCCCTTTCTGTTGAGGATCAGCCACACAGATTGTTTTATTTTTGACACGCTGGGGCCAATCTCAGAGTCTGATATAGGTCCGCTTGCGCTTGGGAACACATATGGGACATTCGGCATCGTCGCCCGGGAACGGGAGTGGTTGAGAGCGACGGGCCCAGGCTTTCTCCTTGAATCATTGCTTGCTTATATCTCTCGAAGAAGTCGGTGCGACCACGGCTCGAGTCATGGGTAACATGGCATTGACCCTGGCCGAACAAGTCTCTGAAGTGAGGAATTGAGCTGTGTGATCCGTAAAAGGCCATGAAAATCGTTACGGATGCTGGACCGCCCTCAATTCAGAACTTCACCGTTCTTCTCAACCCATTGACGCCAATCCTGCCATTCAGCGTATGATGCACTGGCTTTTAAACCTGTATACCTAACCGCCCGAAAGTCTTGCACTTCGTCCCAGGGCTTAGTTGACTGCTGCTCGCTTGGCCTGGCAGATCCTCTTAGAAGCCGTCTTGCCACACCATTCCCATAGCCCCCATCCCACCCAGCTTTCTTCATCAGACTCTCCACAGTCTGCTCCTTGTCCCAGCCTTGCTCGACCGCAACGTCGGGAAGGTACGTCGCGCCATGTCTCCGGTTCCTGTAGGTGAAACTGATTCTGAGGCCGTGTATCCCTAAGGTCCAGTCCATAGCATCTTTGCAAGGCTCAAAATCTGCAAGCAAGGTCAGAGAGCATGAAAGTGCCGGTAGCAGTGACTCTGGGATCGGCGAGAATCGCGTGTCATCGAACGCTGAAGTTAGTGCATATGTAGAAAGTCCCGAAGCGAGGGGAAGAGCTTCAAAGGTGCCTATGCAACCACGGAGAGATTTGTGTCCAGACCGAGATACCGTGTTCCAGGTGACGAAGAGTGGATATGATTCCGTCGCAGAGACTTGTGAAGCATAGGTTGGTGGTACAGACTTAATAGAGGTGGCACTCGAGGGAGTGGTCAACTGGGAATTAGATGAACTCGGAGAGAATATGGACGGGGAGGATGTTGAAGAAGACCTCGAAGATGACGACCGCGCCTGCAGCCGGGAAATACTGGGAGGCTGAAGTGCAGATTTACCAACGGTTCGACGTTCAATACGTTGGATTTCTTCGTGGGCACCATCTTCGTCGTCGTCTTCTTCCTCATTGTGGTTGTCATTCGCGTCATTTCCCGCTACATGTGACTCCATCTCGACATCCTCTTCCTCGTCGGCTTCTGTAGCCTCATCTTGGGGGAGTGCTTTGGCTTTGTAGGCTTCATACAGGTCCAAGACCTTTTGCAGTGTAGGCGGGTCTCGGTGTTTGAAACTGGCGGCCAGTGTTTCAAAACAGTAGAAGCAGTGAGCTGGGCTTGCCATCAGTTCTGAGTCGGACGCGAACACTGCGTCAAGAAGAGATCGAAAGAGGGCAGTCAAAGCGGGTCGGATAGAGGCAAAGAACACCAACGAGGTTGAGAACGCGGATGAGTGTTTGAGGCCCGTAGGGAGCGTGGTTGCATAGGATTCGCTGCGAGAAGAACGAACGTATCACCTTGAGTGAAGGTAAAGAAGGACAGAGATATAGGAAACAGGCAAAAGACGGAGAGTTAGAAGCAGAGATAGTGCTGGCACAAGAGATGTCGGTGCACCCGCACTGCATGTGGCTGTGTGTCCACAAAGTCCGGATGGCCCGCAGGTTCTCCAGGCATAGTGCAGTGGAGCATTTTAAATGGGTGGCCCGGGCAGCACATCAAGCATCCATTATGGGTGATAACTGCCCCTCCAATTGATCCGTTAATGATGATGTTGTCCAGGATAGAGTCTGGCGGCTGGTAACAGCAGGACCTATAGAGGCAGATAGCTGCTCGGTCGGCGGACAGTATTACTACTTGGGACAATCACTTCCAAGCGTCCACGTAGCCTACACTGATACCCAAGCCCGTATCACTTGCGCTTGTTCCCTGGGATCTCGCGCTGCTCGCTCGGCCCCTTCCCAGGTCTGAAGTGTCTTCTTCGCTGTCGTTGTCTTGGGGAACAAGTCGCACGGCACCACCTCCCTTAGCTCGTCTCTCATTTGTACGAATCTCATCTTCGGCCTTTCTCTTTTCCCATTCGGCAACGAGGTTGCGGTAGTATACCTCTGCCTGCACCGTTATACTGTAGTACTCGGGCGTCCACCCAGCCTTATTCTTACGCAATGGATCTGCGCCGGCTTGGATCAGAGCCCGGACAGCCTTGAGATTTCCCCAAGCACTTGCATTGTGCAAGCATGTGTTCCCTTGATTATCCTGCGCGGTCACGTCCGCTCCGTGTGCGATGAGCGCGTCGATAGTACCGTTGTCCTCGGGTGAGTGGCCTGTTGGCTTCGAGATCTGGCTCTCGAAGAGCCTAGGCAAGCTCTGGGAGGAAGACGCGAGGTGAAGAGGGGTCTGTCCTTTGTAGTCACGGCGCATCACGGTTTGAGGGAAGTGCTGGCAGAGAAGCTCGACAACTGCGGCCTGGGAGTAGGTGGCGGCCAGATGTAGAGGTGTCTGCCCATCCGTGTTTACCGATATTCCTAGGTTGTTTCCATTGTTACTGTAAATCCAGTCTAGTACGGGATGAGTACTGTCATGACCCAGCGAGATCAAGAGTTCCTGAGCCAAGGTCAGCCACAGCTCCATGGCTCACGTCGTGTTGTAGACCTACTGCAACTTCTTCAAAGCCATATTGAGCAGCAAGGTGCAACGATGTGTTGCTCTTGTCCGCAAAGTCAGGATTGTGGAGGTATCGGGGATGATGTTGTAGAAGTCGTCGGACTAATGCCACATCGTTCAAGCGGATCGCCTGGCGCACTGACACATCAAGTCCGGTCATGATTGTGCCTTGATGGTGGCAGGAAGCGTCTAGGTCTGTGACGCCGGGTCATTGGTATTCCTGACATACGGTCAGATTAATCAAGGTGCTCGTGAATTGTACCTAATCATCTCAAGGGAAGAGCAGAGACAGTGTGATGGTCAAAGATGCGCAGGCAACACGACGACCACCAACCGTGCACCCTCCTGCCCCTTAGTAGGTACCTAGGTAGTTATTTGCACTCCACCCTACAGGTGATTGGGGACGCGGGGAAAGTGGACAGACATGGTCATTCCGCCAATGAGTGTTTATGTTCCACCCTATTCTTCACCAAGATAAGGTACGTGCTTTCAGATTATGGTAGCACGGCATGTTGATACGAGAAGCCTAGGTAGGTATGCAATGATTGCAGTGGTTCAGAAATAGAAGTGAAACATAACGCTGCCGCCTATACGTAACACAGATGTTGTCATCAAGTTTGGCATGCTGCCATTGGTACCTAGAGCCAAGGTAGAACACACAGTCTCTCCGCAACAATTGATCGTGTATAAGGCAAACATCTGCGGGCGCTTATGTATATTTCTTTCCCTTTTGCGCTTCTCGCTCGGCTTTTCTGAGAGCCCTTTTTCTGATATCCACGTGCATGCTCTTGTTGATCCCGAGTAGAATACTGTTCATCGGGCCCAGAACTCCCGTGATGAGGGCTGCCAAAAGCGCATGGCTCCAGTAAGGACTCCCACTGTACGGATATCCAATGCTACCTCCTCTTCGTCCGATCTTCGATAACACGGATCTGACAAACGATCTCTCGGACGGAACTAGCCAGTTGGATCGACGGATCTTCGACATCGCAGAGGTGACAAGGTAGGAGTGGACGAAGAAGACCTCAATTCCCGTCGAGGAGAGCTCCGATGCGAGAGCGTTTGACCACTGTTGGAGGAACGCCTTGGAACCTGAGTAGGTTGCCAACAGTGGAGTGGGGGTGAGGCCGCCAAATGAACCCATGGTCAGAATAAGCCCTTTCTTCTGTGGCACCATGCTCGGCAGCACTGTCTGCGTTGCTCGCAGTGTTCCCAGGCAGTTTATGTTGATGATCGACGACACTTCAGACAGAGGGGTCTCCGCGAAGGGCACGGGGATGCTGTGACTCTGTCCCACATTGTTGATCAGTATTGAGACTTGTTTTCCCTGCACGAGGGTTGCCAAAGCACTGTAGTCCGAGTCGAGGTTTTGAGAAAAATCCATGGCCAATGTCTCCACCGTGATATTCGAGAACGATGTTTTGATTTGAGAGGACAGCGTCGCAAGTTTGGAAGCAGTGCGAGACACCAGTATGAGGTTGAAGCCTTTCTTCGCTAGCTGTAGGGCATACTCTTTTCCCAGTCCATCTGACGCGCCGGTCACCACTGCCCAAGAGCCTTGAGGGCCGAATTTCGAAAGCTGTACGAACAAATGGTGAGCAACAAAACCAACACACTGAGGGCATCTCTTCTTGTGAGAAAACGTACGGAGTGTCCAGGCAAGATAAATGTGCTTAGCAGCACTCTCAATGTCGTGAAGAGGACAGAGATAGTGGTGAGAGCGCCCACGCCGAGCAGGAGAGCAGAAGGTGTGCTTTGCTGGCCGAGAGGCCCCAAGTCGATCGCCATATCGTAGTAATAGACACGGTCGTCGGGCGCAGGGCTATGGATTCTGGGAAAGGATGGCAGATATCCTTGAATGTGTTGTTATCTGAGGAACTGTACAAAGGTAGGTAGATAGAAATCTGAATGTCATTGGTGGCAGGGATCTTGCAGCCGCTGCGAAATTTACGTACCTTTATTTAGTCGCCCTCACCAAAAGCTCCATGACCTTTTCGAATGCGCAGATGAACTCGTGTCAAGATCCTCCCCATTAGTAGAGGTCAACGATTTCTCAACGCCACCACATGACTTCCTTGCTCCCACGGTCAGAGGGTTATCTCCCTCTCTACATCTTATTTGTGAGTACTTTTGCTGTCGCGTCAGGGCTCGTGGTCTCTAACACCTTGACGTAGGTTGGCGTTACTGCCATTGGCAATGCCATCCAATGTTACACCACTCTTTCGTATACGCAGCGCCTGTATCCTGGGCAACCTTCGACGTCCACCAGCAAGACCTCGAACGCACAATCATCACCGGTCACTCCTCTCTCGTCAAGAACATTTGGAACATGGACAATTGCAGTCGGCCTCGTAAGGGTCTTCGCGGCATACCACATACACGAAGCGTCCTGGTATCAGATGCAAATGTTGACCAACATCATTGGCCTCGTTCATTTTAGTATGGAGGCATTTGTATATAAAACGACGAGACCATCTGGCCCTTGGCTGGCTCCCATCAGCGTTGCTTTGATAGGCACGTTATGGAGCATCGCACAATACGACTTCTATGTCAGGTAGAAAATGCGAAGCCGGAGAAGTTGTTTTGATTGCTTCACGGGACACTTTTCTCGGGCGCAGGCGGATTCTGTACACGCGCTCCGTCCTGGAGCCTTTTTCTGTATAGCTCTCCGCCACATTTCTGCAACCTGAGCGTTGCCTGTTCGGGTGTGATGTCTCTTTGTGGCTCGGCCATCATTTCATAGCCGACCAAGAATTTCCTGACGGTCGCACTTCTCAGGAGCGGAGGGTAGAAGTGAATGTGAAGACTGGAGCATTCAATTTCCTCCTCAGTACCGTCGAGTGGTGCCTGATGGATACCCATGCTGTATGGGAAGCTGGTCTCGAACAGATTGTCATACCTACGAGTGACTTCCGCGATTGCTTCCGCCAGATGCATTTGCTCTGTTTCTGTCAGGTCAATCAGAGAGCGAACATGTTTGGCGGGCAGGATCATGGTTTCGAATGGCCAGACCGCCCACCATGGACAGACGACCAGGAAAGTCTCGTTCTGGAAGACAACTCTCTCATTCTTTTCCCGCTCTAAGCGAGCGTAATCGACCAACATATGCCCACCACCTTGCTCGCGGTGATACTTTCTCAGTTGCTGCAGTTCAAGGGCAGGCTCTTCCGGCAGGGAAGTGGTGGTCCAGATCTGTCCATGAGGATGTGGATTCGAGCAACCCATCGCAGCACCTTTGTTCTCGAAAATCTGCATCCATCGGTACTGATCCTTCGGAGTGCCAACGTCTGCATGATGGTTGGTTGGAGGGAGGTGGGTTGGTCTAGCCAGAGCCGCCAGAGGTGATTTGGGAGAGATGTGCGCTGTGTAGATATCTGTCCAGGTCTTGACAATATGATGGATTTCCGTGGGCGACATGTCGGCTAATGTGATGTTGTGAGCAGCGCTGAAGGTCAAGACATAGCATTTCCCCTTGACTGGCTCTGCCCGCAACAGGAGCCCGGGTAGACTTCCTGGCGGATCTGGAGAGGTATAATCGGCTTGCGACTCCTTCACAGCACTGAAATCGTTCACAAAGACGAAGGTATCCTCGTAACTGGGATTGGTGTCTCCAGACGCTCTTTTGTTGCCTGGACACAAATAGCAGCTCGGGTCATATGCAGGGAGATCAATGACCCCGGGACTTTCCTCTTGCCCTCTATAACACATCAATCAGGGATGGTTTTGTGGGGTGGCGCAGATCTCTTACTGCCATGGTCTCTTGGTTCGATGTGGAGACACGAGAATCCAGCTTCCGCGGAGAGGGTTGTATCTGCGATGAGAGATGTCGTCGAGAATCCTGTCCGGCATTTTGGGGAGTAGTGCTGCTTACATGCGGAAGGAGAAGGACTGGCCGGGAGCAGTGAGTTCGTAAGAGGTGGTGCGTTCAATGCTATATGGAGCGATGCGGCTGGCGGGTAACAGGCGGAAACGGTGTGGAGAAAAGCGGATATGTGCCACCGAGTCCAGGCTATTCAAGAATGCTCCTCATGAGAGCGTCGTCGCAGGCGTACTCGAATTGTCTTTGTCCTCAGAGGACATGAAACGGCTAGCAAGAGGATGATAACATCCCATACTAGGAGGCAATGGAAGCCCGTTGACCTACAAAGATTGGTGGTGTTGATTTGGCTGTTGAAGGCCGAGTCGCTAAGTCGCCCACTGCATTATTGACGGCAACTGCCCTGGTCTACTACTAGCACTGGAAGAGCCCAGCACTGCAGTGTGCAGTGTTATAGGCCTCCGGCCTCCTTAGCCCCTCAGCCTACCTACCTGATTATCGCACCTATCGATAAAAGGATGCGGTTCCCTCCGTTCATCGGCCTCGTGCGTTCTCTTACTCGTAGAATTATCACAAACACATCCCTCATCTCATCCACTTTCCGGCCTATGCAGGGACTGATCTTTCCTCGACCTTCTCCTCAGAGGTTGTAGTTTGCTGATATCGATGCAGCACTGCTGCACCAGGTCATGAGGCCATTGGACATTGGTTAAAGCCATATCAGATGGGCGCAATCTCGCAGGTCTACCAACATGGCCCCGGATCCGTTATGTCTCTATAGCCTGCCGAACGAGGTACTGTCTTCCTCATAACTTGAGCCAGGAGATGCTGACGGGGCAGATCTTGGTCTCCATTCTCTCCGGTTTTGAAACACAAACTCTACTTCCCCTAGTAGTGGTATCGCGACGCTTCCACTCAATAATCCTTCGTATTTTGCACTTTCGTCTCCTTCTTGCGGCAGCGTTACCAGAGTACAAACTCATTCTGGAGGCCTACCATCCTAGCAAACGATACACTGATCCCTACCTCTTCTGCACGTATCTTGGGACCGATGGCCTTAGTTCGAAGCATGAGGGCGAGGGCAGCCTATATGAAGATTGTGCAGGAGAACAAGGGAGGCTTGCAAAACTAGGGGGGCTGTACAGTCGATTCCGGCCTGAAAGACCAAGCGTACAAGGCTCTATGCCAGCCCGGCGCATCGCGGGTGCGGTGGCCGCCCAGGTGTCACCCAATCCTACCCAACCAATCTATGCTGAGGGCGGCGACGGGGGAAACACAAAGGTCCTGCATAATATGAATCTTGATGCCGACGAACTCTTCGGCCAATTCTGCGCATATGCTAGCCTTGTCAGGCTTGGGCCACGGCGAGGAGTGTTCTTGAGCAATGCACATCTTGTTCAATCTGGGCAGGGTGTCATGAGAGTGTGGAAGCAATGGCTCCAAGATCGCGCGTGCGAACTATACGAACGGGAACAGAATCCTGGTATAGAGATGGACAGAGCTCCGACCAAAAGTGACACCTCCATTGGCTCCGATAAAAATATCCTTTGGACCGATTACAAGAAGAACGTCGGGCTGCGGGTAGCAATTCGCGACCGCGACGGCCGATGTCATGGCAAAGACCCTTGCGAGCTGGATGATCTGCCATTGAGCTGTTCCATTGAAATCCAAGGTGATGTGTATTGATGACAGAGTGAACCAGTGCTGACATTGTACAGAGCTCGTCGTGCGGACAACGCATCTGATGCTTGCTGTAGAGACATCCACGCAGAAGCAGGATAGTCGATCAGGTAAAACTCTCATCTTCGGCGCATTTGCTACAGTGTCCTCGCCCTCAGCGACGTGAGGATCGCATCTGCCCAATTCAATAAGTGCTCTATACGGATACAAGAGCATCACGAGTGGCGGAGCTGTTCAAAGGCTGGACGTCAGAGCCCCGGGCTGACTCTGCCACAGGCCTTTTCTATATATCTTGGGGTATACGGTCGATGGAGTAGGATGGCATTTTTTCATTTGCGACCATGCACGCTTTAGACCTGGGACTGATATATGTATTACTGTGTACCGGAGGGACAAGCTCGCAGAGTCTGGATAGCTGGCGCCCTCTCACTTTGTTTTGGTTTCCAACTAATATTGGCGGCCAAGCTGATCTACAACTTGCTACCTGACATAGCAGCAGGCTAGACACCTCAGATAGGCAAGCGACATATGCGAGGAGCTGAAAGAGGATTCTCGGGTAGATGGGCTATGGCTCGGTTGAGCATACGCGGATTGTGTGGCGTTTTGGTTTGTCTTGACAGTGCCATCACTGCGATGGTCGTAGTATAGTATCCGACACCTGCACTGCTTGCTCACTCCAAGGTCGGCCAGCTCCATTCTGTCTCATTTGTTCTTTGGGCGAGGGAATTAAGAGTTACAGTTGCTGCTTCTCGTCGTCCAATGGAATCGTCGGAAGGCTCAGCCTCGTCACGTCTCATGACGGGCTTGAATTATGACGTAACAGCATCTAAATGGTACTATGACGATGTTACAAACGTACAACCTTCGAGTTACCTCCTATCACAGTACATTGCCTCAGGAAGTCCTTTCCTGGCGAGAATGTCGCCGATTTTGATTTGTTGCCCGGCATGTTCAGCCTTGCGCTTCACCAGTCAGAGGTCTATCCATCGTCGATTTGTGGATGACCAGCAGCCACCAAGTCAACACCTCCGTCCAATTGACCAACGGAGCCATCCGTTTCTGCCTGCCATCTACGTGCCCAAATCCGTGGGGAACATAACTGACATACCCGTAGCCCAGTGATGATCAGCCTCTAGTAGTAGCAGATATAGGTAGGCGTGTATCCCTCCCTATGAAGAATCTTCCCACACATTCTAGTCTTGGTGCTTTCTTTAATGCCCTTGCTGCAGGGCAAACGGTCGTTCTCCTTATAGAGATCCTCCCGCTTTCAATCCGTCTCTCCTCCCTGCATCTTATCACATAGAAACCTTACCATACTCCCCACCGTATCAGTCATCATCGAAGCGTTACCGGGTACAGGAAACCATGGATCCAGACTTTGAGGGTCGAGTACTGGTCATTGCAAACAGACTTCCTATCACAATAAAACCCGATGCAGAAGGTAATTTTGACTACACCATGTCCTCGGGCGGACTAGTTTCGGGGTTGAGAAGTCTGGCCAGAGTGGTGGACTTCAAGTGGTTCGGATGGCCTGGTCTCGATGTCCACCGTAACGACAAAGACCGAGTCAGGGGTCAACTGCACGACCAGTTCAACGCTGTTCCGATCTTCCTTCAGAAGGACCTCGCGGAAAGACACTATAACGGATTCTCTAGTAAGTTCTCCCTCTGCGGCCCCTGCGGCCCCGTGGTGTTTTGGTCGCCTTACACGGTCTCTGCCCCTAGATTCTGTGCTTTGGCCACTCCTGCACCGTATGCCCGAAAAAGTGGGCGAGGACGGAGGTTGGTCGGACGCCTATCTCGAGGTCAACGAGATCTTTGCCGACAACATCGTTCCATACGTGGAAGATGGGGACCTGATCTGGGTCCACGACTACCACTTGATGCTTCTCCCTGGAATCCTTCGCGAGCGATTAAGCAAAAAGAAAGATCTTCGAATTGGATTCTTCCTGCATACGCCTTTCCCAAGCGAGGACTATTTCACCATTCTGCCCTTCCGAGAGGAGATCTGTCGTAGCCTCCTGCTTTGCGATGTTATCGGGTTTCATACCAACGAATATGCGAGAAACTTCTTGGACAGTGCTCGGACAGTGCTCAAGTAAGTACCACCCAGTCTCCGATCGTTAGTCTCCCAGACTGACCCTCAGGGATGTCGCCAAATCACCGCATGATCTTCACTGGGCTGGGAGGCGGGTCATTCTACATGGCTTCCCTATAGGCATTGAGCCAGAGGAATTCACTCAAAAGGTGCAGTCCGCGGAGGTCCAGAAGGAGATTGCCAAACTGGAGAAAGAATTCAATGGCCAGAAGATCCTGCTGGGTGTTGACAGACTTGACTATATCAAAGGAATACCTCAGAAAGTGAGGGCTTTTGACAGATTCCTGACGGCGCATCCCGAATGGGTGGGCAAAGTTACAATGATCCAGCTGGCCATTCCAACGCGAGCGGACGTTCCTACGTACCAGAGGCTGAGAGAAGAAGTCGAGCAACTGATCGGACATGTCAATGGCAAGCACGGTATGTTCATATGGCGGGTTTTACCCCTGTCTGAAGTTCTTTGTTCCTGATCACGCCTAGGCACGTTCACCCACACGCCCATCCACTATCTATACAAATCGCTGAACCCAGAACAGCTTTCTGCACTATATGCTGTGTCTGACGTGTGCATTATCTCCTCTCTTCGAGACGGCCTCAACATGGTGAGCTATGAATATGTTGCAAGTCAGGTGCAACGAAAGGGCGTCCTGATGATGTCCAACTATGCTGGAGCGGTCAAACTGCTTCCTTCCTGCGTCGCCATCAACCCATGGGACCTCCCGCGATTCGCTGAGAAGATTGGCGATGTGTTGGACATGCCGCCTGAAGAGCGGGCGAGACGACAGGAGGAGAATTACAACGTTGTGAGCAAGTGGACCAGGTGAGCCAGGAATGTACCCTGACAGGCAACAGCGATGCTAAATCTTTGGCAGTGTCAGTTGGGGAACTTCATTCTTGAATACCATGATCACGCTGGAGATCCCGCAGACCGAAGCACCCATAGATCGTGATAGGATCGGCGAATCCAGTGTGAAAGACGAGGAGGCGGGAAAATTACAGTCATGACAGATCTGACCATACTGGCACCCGTCTCTGTGGTACCATGGCCGGGATGTCGGTTGAACATACCTTCCAGGACTCACTCACGTTCGCATCGGGGACATTTTCTTATTGCATCTCATAGCATATGACAGCGAGCATACCACGGCAAATCACCACACGGATGCAGGATCAGCAAAGCGGCACGGCGTATCATGCAGCACATTGGCCTCGCGCATGGCGACAGACGCCACAAAGCATGGCATCCCATCTCCGACTCCTTGGTCAGACTTTTCATATTTGATATGAATTCGGCGCCCGTGGGAGTTGTCGGGCTCGCGTAGTATTCAACAACACCCTCGCTTGACTGTGCAGGCATCCACCGAGGTGGCGCATCACCACACAACCAAGAGAAACTACTACAATGGGTATTGGTGGACTTAAGAGTCCTCCATCCTGGTAAGCTGAACATAAATACAAATATGAGTACTACTGTGGTAGAAAGCGAGGGAACACAATTCCATCACAAGTCGATATCACAGTAATCATTACCTGGTACATCATTTTAATTATTTCGGATTCCACACACTTCCCCCGCACTCCTACAAATTTCATCTACAACCTGCATTTGTACAGTAGTACGTACGTTGTAACAACACATTTTCCAAGTTACCGCCTCACATCCTCCCTGGTGGTGCCGACGCATGATGTCGCGCATCGAAGAGCTCCCCGATGATTTTGACGAGAGTGTTGATCTCAATGCGACGCCCAGCGCACCCTCGATTGACGAGCTGTACAACCAGCACATCAGTGCGCCCGAAACCAAACATGTCTCAGACAAAAGCTTCGAGGAGATTGTGCAAGAGATGAGCAAGACACCTCTGTTCATGAACAGTCTCGATGAAGCGACTGACGAGGGTACGCCGGCCCCAACCGCGGCTACACAGTCTGGCTGAGCAACGTGGTGCGCAGATGGACAAAATATCATGGTGGAAGCCATCAAGGCCTTACAATACGAGGGCACCAAAGCAGAGATCGCCCAGGGTTTCAAAGAACGTGGCAACGAGATGGTTGCAGAAAAGAAATGGAGCGACGCCAAAGAGTTCTATACGAAAGGCCTGGCCGTCTTGGTTGACAAGAGCGAAGACAAGTGGGACAAACCTACAGACATGGATGCCGAGATGAAACAACGTATAGCCCTCGAGGAGCAACTCTATACAAACCGAGCACTGTGCAATCTAGAGCTGAGTGCGTCGATCCACCACCGGAGAATGGGATGACAGTCTACTGACGTTGCAGAAAACTATCGGTCGACGACTCTAGACTGCGCAGCCGCCCTTCGAATCAACCCTACGAACGTCAAAGCTCACTACAGGTCGGCCGCCGCTTTACTCGCGCTGGACAAGGTCCTAGAAGCTCTGGATGTGGCATCAAGAGGCATCAAGATCGATCCAGAGAACGGCGCGCTGAAGAAGTTGTTGGACCAGATCCGGACCAGAGCGAAGGCCAAGGAAGAGCAGGATCGACGTCGGCAAGCTGAACTCAGGAGGAGGCAACAGGAAAAGGCCACGTTAGATGCCGCTCTTAGGGCCCGGAAGATCCAGTTACACGGCTCGAAGCATTCTCCAAACTTGGAGGACGCAGTCATCCGTTTGTCACCAGACCCCTTGTCGCCGACGAGCCAGCTTGAGTTTCCCGTCATGTTGCTCTACCCGATGCACAACCAGTCGGACTTGATCAAGGCTTGGGCGGAGAAGGACACGATCAATCAACATCTCAGCTATATCTTGCCGTTGCCGTGGGACGGCAAAAATGAGTACCGGATGGACACAGTGGAATGCTATATGGACACAATCAGTGGGGGATTGATCAAGATTGGAAAGCAATTGACATTGCTTGAGGCCCTGTCCAACGGTAAGACACAGGTCGTCGACGGCCTAGTTAGGATCTACGTAGTGCCAACATCCATGGCGGCCCAATGGATAGAGGAGGTGAAACGGAAAAAGGGCAAATGATACTACGTACTTAGTATGGCATCACCAGGTGGTCTTCATAACGTCGCACTCTTGATGTAGAGGTATGCCACTATTAGAGAGTAAGCATACCTTAGAGGCTGGCAGAGTAGCACGATTTAGTCACTGGTGGTTTATCGGCTGTGCGAGGGAATCCGGACAGGATTAGATCCTGTCACCTCTTTTCCTAGCCGATCATCCGCTGATTGATTCTTTCGTCGCTCCTCTTGTCGCTCATCATCGCTTCCCGCTTCCCGCTTCCCGTTCCCCTGCTACTCTCCCTGGCTTCCCATCTGCCAGTGAGCCTCTGCATACTACTAGTACCAGGAGATAACCTGCTAGCCCCGCCCTTCCCGCAGGCCGAAGTCGCCCTGGCGTCTCTTTAGCTCTGCGGCCTCCGCCACTGGCACCTGTCCCACTCAGCTGCACCGCAGTCAAACTGTACCACACTCGCTCCAAGGCTGCTCGTCGGTACGTTTCCAGCATCAACGAAAGCCGTTACTAGTCGCTTACGCCCAATCAAGCACCCTTCGCACCCCTCGATAGTCATGAACAACCCCGCTGGCGTGCCGATGTACGCTTTCAGCAATCCCCAGGTTGGAGGCTCGTATCCCACTGCTATGTCCCCTGGCCACCCTGGCCCCCTATTCGACAACGCTCAGACGCCTTTTCAGTCAAGCATCAACCCAAACCACCTGCAGAGAGTATCCCATTCCCAGCAAGGTCAACAGCTGGCAGCTCAAAATCCCTATCAACAACATCCACACCCAGGACAGGTCATCCCCCGACCAGAAAGCGCCGGTGTCCACTTTCCACCAAACCAAGGTCAGTCGGTTTGCAAAGCATCTTGCTGGTGCTGTTGCTATCGAGGGTCTGAAGACTAATGCAGTTGGCAGGGCATTATCCCAATGGACAATCTCCTGTCTCGATGAACCCAGCGCCAACTCAACCGTTCCCTTCCGTCCAGCACCAGCCGCATGCAAGTGCTCCTCAGTCACAGCTTCCTTTGTCTGCGCCTACGGAACTGAATATGGCATCAAGCGTTGGGCTACAAGGGCAACCCAGCGCGAGTCTGGCCCAACAGGCACAAATACAGCATGCGGCACAAGCGACGCGCTCGGTTTCTCAACAAATCCCTCCATCTGGGGCTGGATCAGGTCCGCCCCTGTCGCCACAATCAGCTGCTCGAGAGCGTGCGAGGGTGTCGGTCCTCCTGGAAATCAATACACATTTGCTGCAAGAAGTGGTCTCACTGCAAGCCCAAGGAAAAGCAGGCATCGCGCCAAATGCGGGCCAGCAGTCGCCCACATCCCCTACATCCACTGATCCAGGCAACGCATTGGCTAGTAGCTCTGGCGAAGCACCGAAGGGCGCGACCTCTTCCAAGCCGCCCTCCCAGGAGTACGCCGACTGCATGCGGCGTTTACAGGCCAATCTCGCTTACTTGGCTGCGATTGCGGATGCAAAGAAGAAGGCGGGCGCGTTGCCATCTGGCCCGGCGATCATGGTTCCACCTCCGCACTTACCACAGGTTCATGACCTCTATAAGAAGCTTAACGCCCTGTTTCCGGAAGCCGGGCATTCTGCCGTCGGCAAGGCAGTTGCATATGCAGCGGCACAGAACCAGAGTCCGCACCCGGGCGCAAAGCAACAGCAGTCTGCTTCGGTACCGGCCCAGGGTTGAGATGGGCCAGCTTTTTAGGAGTTTTGCGAAGGCAAGACACCATGTGCATCATCCATGCGCCAGAATAGGGCCACGAGGATTCACTCATACCCACATATACTCCTTTCTTCTTGCACAGAAGAATGTGCCCTGACTCCGAGATGCTCGGGGCAGTGACGGAGACCATCATGGGGTGTCCTCCTCGAGCTCATCATCCTACTGGTGGTTGTAGCGACAAAAGCACCACATCAACTCTAGGCTCCAGGGCTCTCGGATTGTCGTCGGGAACGTCCAATGAAAACATGGATGTGCCCGCCTCGACACGATCGTACCGAAGATGGCCTTGCGCAGCTACATGGGAAAGGAGGACGAACCAAGGCAGAAAAGTGATGCCGTCCATGTTCATGCCTTGGGAAGGGGAAGCGATTGACAATAGCGTGTCTGCCTGCGACAGTCCAACATTCGTACGGCAGCTGACTGCTGGCTCCGGTCTACGAGGCAACGAAACTCCTTGGGCGATCAACTGCTTTCGAGACGCCATGACGAGGATGCGAGTTGGACGGGCCATACTCTCACATTCACTGTCACATGGTCCCGGAATCCAGTTCCCGGACAATACCAGGAGAGGGTACGATAGTGCTATCTGGGAGTGGGAGACCGAGACCGTGGCTGTCTAGGTAATAAGGGGGGTTCCTTCACACATTCGAATGGAACAAGTCGAAGCATCAATTTCCACATATAGCTAGCTGCACTGTCTCTGTTACGGAGACGTGTATGTACATGACCTTTTATTCCCGCTGCCATACATGCTAGTAGTACTCTTCAGTGCGTTGAGTTGTAGTGCATTCAAGGCCGACTTGGGAGTGCCATTAAAAGCGCCAAGACAGGATCCAAAATGGGAATGGGCGGAAATTCAGTTCCTTCGTTGAACTCCGAGTCCAGCTGAGTTCATTCATTATTCGACGAGTCGCGTGTCCGCATTATAAAATATGGCCGTGTTTCAAAAGACAGAATTCTGACCTGCAAATATCGGAGGTTCTGATATCATGCCAACGAGACCCTACCTCACATCACTGCATATAACCATTAAACCTTTGGACGCGAATGAAAGCTGTCAAGGAAGTACGTTCAAGAAGTGGTAGGTTTAGTACTAGTAGTAGTAGACACGTCGAGAAAGTCGGGGACTCGTTTCCGAAATATCGTCATTTGACTGTGTACATTTGGTTCGGAAAGCGATGAGCCACTCCGGCCTCAGAACAATTACTCTGTATATTGCTTTCAGGCGGGCTGGTCACTGCTACACGAGGTAGCCTTGCGAACACTGCTGTCTTTTCGAGCTTCTGCAGAGATCTTCTCTCCACAGGATCTCCTGTATGCTTCTTCATTCCGCTTCTGAATGATATCAAGAATCCGCCCCAACCTCAATAGGGCATCTTTTTTTCAGTCCTGTAGTACCTCTTGCGCCACGGTTCCTTTACACTTACGCGCCGACCTCGGTTTCGCAAATCCTGCCAGAGCTATCATACCTGCCGAGTGCCGCCGACCGATTACTCGTGCGCCGACGATATACAGCCAGTTCGCACGTTCAGCAGCATCTACTGCCGCCGGTCGTCGCAAAAGCGTCAACGCTCGTCGTGTCACCTCCGCCATGTCAGCTCACGGCGAAGCTCGACCCAAACGAAGATCAAGTCCGGTTTCGGCCCTAGAGAGACCGAAAAAACAGCTCAAGCAAGAGAATGGGGTACCTACACCGGGGGACGCCACTCCGCAGAACGGTTCGGTCTATGATATCGAGGCTAACTCGAACTCCCTGCCCATAATCAATACCGTTTCCGCGGCGGGCGACTCTCCCGAGTGGCAGGCTACAATAGAGAAAGTGATCAAGAGTGTGGTATCAATACACTTCTGCCAGACATGCTCCTTTGACACCGACCTTTCCACCTCAAGTCAAGCAACGGGGTTCGTGGTGGACGCAGAGAAGGGCTACATCTTGACAAATCGCCATGTGGTTTGTGCGGGACCTTTCTGGGGGTATTGTGTGTTTGACAATCATGAAGAAGTGGGTTCCCGCTCCGACCATGCTATAAGAGCGGTTTGCTGACGGCTGTAGTGCGACGTGCGACCTGTCTATCGTGATCCTGTCCACGACTTCGGTATCCTCCAATTTGACCCCAAGGCTATCAAATATATGCAAGTCCAGGCGCTGAAACTGCAGCCCGATTCCGCGCGAGTGGGGGTCGAGGTCAGGGTTGTGGGCAACGACGCCGGAGAGAAGCTGAGCATCTTGTCGGGCGTCATCAGTCGATTAGATCGCAACGCTCCCGAATACGGAGAGGGCTACAGTGACTTCAACACCAATTATATCCAAGCTGCAGCAGCAGCTACTGGTGGAAGTTCTGGCAGTCCCGTAGTCAACCTCGGTGGCAATGCGGTAGCTCTGCAGGCAGGCGGCCGCGCAGACGGTGCTGCCACCGACTACTTCTTACCGCTTGATCGGCCGTTACGAGCCCTTCAATGTCTCCAACAAGGGAAGCCCATCACGCGAGGGACGATCCAAACGCAATGGATGCTGAAGCCATTTGACGACTGTAGGAGACTGGGGTTGACGCCGGATTGGGAATCGGCGGTGCGCAAACACTTCCCAAAGGAGAACAGTATGCTCGTGGCAGAAATCGTCCTGCCCGAAGGTCCAGCCGACAACAAGATCCAAGAAGGGGATGTCTTGATCAAGGTCAACGGGGAGCTACTGACGTCTTTCGTCAAGCTCGATGCCATCCTCGACTCGTCTGTGGGAGGCAAGGTGGATCTCTTGTTCCAACGAGGCGGAGAGGACCACGAGGTCACACTGGATGTGTCTGATTTGCATGCAATCACCCCCGATCGATTTGTCACGGTGGCTGGTGGTAGTTTCCACAACCTGTCCTATCAACAAGCACGATTATATGCCATTGCTTGTAAAGGATTGTATGTGTGCGAGGCAGCAGGCTCGTTCAAGATGGACAATGCTCTATCGGGATGGATCATCGACACGGTCGACCAGAAGCCCACTCCGGATCTTGATACATTCATTCAAGTCATGAAAACCATTCCTGACCGGTCTCGCATCGTCATCTCATACCGACATATCCGAGACCTTCATACTCGGGCCACGAGCATCGTACACATTGACCGACATTGGCACCCCAGAATGAGGCTGGCTGTCCGCAACGACCAGACTGGCCTCTGGGACTTCAAAGACCTCGCCAAGCCACTCCCAGCCGTCCCACCCGAACCCAAGTCGGCCGACTTCATTCAGCTTGACGGCATTAATCTGCCTGCCGCGGCCGATATCGTGCGCTCATTTGTCAAGGTTTCATGTTACATGCCGGTCAAGATTGACGGCTACCCCCAAGCCCGGCGGACCGGATTCGGACTCGTGATCGACGCCGAGAAAGGTCTGGTGGTGGTCTCTCGAGCAATCGTGCCGTACGACCTCTGTGATATCACCGTCACCGTGGCCGACTCGATCCAGATTGAGGGTAACGTAGTTTTCCTTCATCCCCTGACCAACTATACGGTCATACAGTATGACCCGAAGTTGGTGGATGCGCCTGTGCAGTCGGCCAATTTATCGACGGAAATGATCAAGCAAGGCGCGGATACGATTTTCGTCGGATTCAATCAGAATCACCGGGTGGTGGTTGCGAAGACCACCGTGACCGACATCACGGCGGTGGGGATCCCTGCGAACGCGGCTGCCCCCCGGTATCGTGCTGTCAACCTCGATGCGATCACTGTGGATACCGGTCTATCGTCGCAGTGCTCGTCCGGCGTTCTGATCGGTGCGGACGGAGTTGTTCAAGCCTTGTGGCTCACATATATGGGTGAGCGCAGTCAAGGTAGCCACCGCGACACCGAGTACCATCTTGGTCTGGCGACCAGCATGATCAACCCCGTGCTCGACCAGATCAAGGCCGGCGTCATCCCGAACCTACGGATTTTGAATATGGAGTCGTACGTGGTGCAGATGGCGCAATGTCGGATCATGGGTGTTTCGGAAGAATGGATCAAAAAGGTTGCCAAAGCCAATCCCGCACGCCATCAGCTGTTCATCGTTCGGAAGGTGGACTGTGGTCCAGCCAACGGACCGAGCGACGGCCAGTTGCTCCAGGAAGGAGACATCATCCTCACGCTCAACGGCCAGCTCATCACGCGGGTGTCGGACTTCGATATCATGTATGACCAGGAATGGCTTGATGCCTTGGTCGTGCGGAAGGGCAAAGAAGTCCATCTCCGGGTGCCCACCGTCCCGACGGAAGATCTGGAAACTTCTCGCGCCGTTATCTTCTGTGGCGCCGTGCTACAGAGACCTCACCACGCGGTGCGGCAGCAGATCAGCAAGCTTCACTCGGAAATCTATGTCAGCGCCCGAAGCCGAGGGTCACCAGCATATCAATATGGACTGGCTCCAACCAACTTTATTACGCATGTCAATGGGGTGAAGACACCGGACCTAGACTCCTTTGTGAAGGAGGTCAGCAAGATCGAAGACAACACCTATTTCCGGTTGCGGGCCATGACATTCGACAACGTGCCGTGGGTGGTGACCATGAAGAAGAACGAACACTACGTAAGTGCCAGTTGGGTCGGGGCGGATTTTACACAGGCTAACATGTTGTACAGTTCCCCATGTCTGAGTACGTGAAAGATGGAAAAACGCCGACAGGATGGCGAGTAATCTCCTACAATGCGAAAGGAAACAAATCGGGCGGCAAAAATGACGGTGCACCGATAACGGCTGAAGGTATGGATGAAGAGGTGGGCGGAAGTGATGGGGATGGGGATGAGGTCCCGGACACATGCTTGTGAAAAAGGAAGCAAGCAAGCAAGCAAAGGCTCCCGCAGATTCGGGCCAAAGTCCAGGATGCTTTTTGATACTGAGCCAGGATAATAGAACACTGCGACAACAGCAAGGCTGTGCGCTAGGGGTTGGACTAGTGCCTGTGATACAGACTTGGGGCTGGATAAGCATACAGACAATAGATATGTTGGTTGAGTGGTGGTGGCACACAATTAGTAGTTATCACTACCTAGGAGTAAACCATTTAATATACCATGCCGTGGTGGTGGTGGTGGTGGTGGTGGTGGTGGACAGTGGCGCTGGTGACCCCAAGATTATCACATGTCAAACCCCTTTTCCTGTGTTTTCTTTGGGGCAGTGGCTTCTGGGTATAGAATGTTGCGGAACAGCCTCAATGGCACAACATCATTGATGTCTTCTTATTAGACACACTGTAATTGTGTTCGTAGACAGTGCAGTACTATACGAGCAGTGGCACAAATGAGGTCAGAAGGACTGCTTGTCCCGTGCTGTCCTCTATAGTAGTAATGTAGTTAGTAATTGCTATCTGCTACTCTGTACACAGTACGTATTTACACTACTGGCCAGATATGATGTAAGATAATATGGTGGAGCATTGACTGGCTGATATCACTCTTTTGTACCGAGTTAAGTGCGCACGCGATCAAGCTCTTTGTATGGATATTGGACACCGTAGTTAATTGCGGAGAACTTGAATAGAGCGAAGAGAATGAACAAGGTCCTCATACGTAACACAGACTGTCTGACTTGTCAGTGGGCGAAGTGGCCTGGTTTCGGTGGAAGGTTCACGATACACGATCCCAGTACCAGGGTAGCACACGACAGCAGTCCAGCAGCCTGTTGCGTCAGAGGGGAACACTGCACAGTGCACACTTGTCTGCCGTGCCCCGGGTGACATTTCCAGGCATCCACAGTACAGAGGATCAGTAGCCGGCAGGTTAATTCTCAGTTTGTAGCTTACAACAGAGATACAGCAGAGTCCTGGGCATAACTTGCATAGATAATAGACAGACAGAGACGACCAGATAGACAAGCAGATAATTGATCAGGACGTAGGAATCATGAGCGATATAGGCGATGTAGCTCGGAGGCCACTTTTAGTACTAGGTACCGTCGCTGGTAATACTGTGTACAATACGTTGTCAACCCACTTCACTGCTGTGCCCGTCACCACTGACCACTGGAGCTCCTCCCCTCAGCCTGTGCCTGTGAGCCTGCGCCAAACAATCTCGTCACCGCAGTGCCAAACAACCAAGTTTCCTGCATCTAACCTACTACCTTACTACCTCACCTTCCTACCTCTCCTCCTTCATCTGTCCACACAAAACCAAACCACCTTCCACTCCAGAATCGTGCCTGCAAACTTATCTTCTTTCAATCAAGAGCAGTTGATTCATCAATCATCACTCTCGCATCCATCGATTCTTCCCTTTCATTCATACTCCCTCCACCGCTTCCCACCACTGCTTCATATCTCGCACCCACTCCATTACCGCACTTTCTGTGTCTCAACTCAACCACTACGGTATCCCCGTCCAACTGCCTTCACGCGGAACAACAGATATGTCTTCTGCAGACTACCAGCCGTCGTCTGAGCTTCCTACGCACACCGACATGTCTACTGCCGAGACTCCAGCTCCCACCACCAATGGTGCCACAATGAAGGACACTCTGGTCGACAGTAAGGTATGCAAGCTTGACCCTGGACGCCTTCTACAGCTCCTACATGTGCTAACAACCTGCAACAGACTTTGAACCTTTCTCTCCTCCTTCTCCGGTACTGATTTTTCTCAAGACGCAGCTGCGGCCGTCAACACCGTGCAGAATCACCCCATCACTCAGAATGTCGTCAATGGTATGATATAATCGAGTTGGAACCCAAATCAGAAAAAGACAGACATAGTAACAACACTCTCTAGGACCCGTTGCAACCTCCATCAAGAACGAGGCCGGTGCCACTGCTTCCGAGTTCAGCAACCTTGCTGGCTCCCGCAAACAACCGTCCTACACTGCCGCCAACGACACCCCTCTCACCCGTACGAAGCCTGGAATCCGAAACCATTTGCACCTTTGCTAACCGGAAGTAGACTACCATTCTTTCTTCTACACCTTGTTGAGCGTAAGTAGCCAAACAGTCCTACACGAACAGGCCTAGCTGACCCGTCATAGTGGAAGAACAAGCGAGCTACCGGTGTCACCTTTGTGTCCCTCGTCGCCTTCATCTTTGCCTGCCGATACCTGCCAATCTTCCGATACCTTCTGAAGATCTCCTGGATGACTCTCGGTGGTATGTCTGCAAAAATACGTTGCTTTCGAATCAGCCACTAACACATATCTAGTCGTTACACTTGCGGAGGCTTCTAGCAAAGCCCTTATGGGATCGAGCGTTGCAGGTGCTGTCCGTCCACGACGATACTACACGATCCCAAAGGAGACTCTCGAGGCCTCATTGGAGGATCTCGAGAACCTGATCAACTTCTTTGTCATTGAGGGTCAGCGCATCGTGTTTGCCGAGAATATTCCGGTGACGGCAACGGTGAGCAATGCGATCTCTCACGGACCTCGACACTTTGCTGACGCACATAGGCTTTCTTGTCCTCGTTCGTTACCTACTATCTTATCAGACTCCTTCCGTTCTGGGGAGTGGCATTGGTTGGAACAGTGGTCGCGTTCCTCGGTCCTTTGGTCTACCTTGAGAACAAGGAATTGATTGATTCTCAACTCCAACATGCTGGGCATATCATCAACCAACAGACTAGCCAGATCAAGGATTTGACGGCCCAGCAGACAAGCAAGGGTTTGGAATCCGTCAAGCAATATACTGGCACCTATGCTGCAAAGGCTCAAGAGGTCGTTGGAAGCGCCAGACAAAAGATTCCCTCCCCAACTGCCACCAAATCTGTCAACGAGGCGGATTTCCCAGCGGCACCAAAGTCCGACTTCTCATCCTCGGTCGAGGCACCAAAGTCCGACTTCGCATCCTCAGTTGAGGCACCAAAGACCGGGAGCGAACGCGAACCGCTCATTGCAGCTTAAAGGGTCAGTTGGTGTGATGGCTGCATGACGTGCAAGTTGCACCGGGCCCAATGCCCGCACTACAGCCACACATTGCTGCAGGAAGACCTGATCAGGGTCAACCAAATGCGGATCAGGCAAGAATGACGTTCTGTGACGTTGACGAGTGTGTACCTTTACGGCAAAGCAGTCGACGCTGCCGAGTGTCGGAGTATCTGGGGTTTCATGGCTGGAGAGCTGGACGAGCAAGAGCAACTGCAGCTAGGGTGAGTCCCTGCAGTTGTCCAGGAACAAAAGTGAAGTCAAAAGGCTGCCTTGCAAAGCTCTAATGTATGATAGACAGCAAGCATGAATTTGGCAGTCTAGGAATAGCATGCCTATTGTTTTTTGTCTGTATCGGAGTGGGTGACCGTCGTGCGAGCACATGCCCTTTTAGTGTTCTCTCCATGTCAAAACACGCAAGAGGACCATCACTTCGACTTGTAGGAATGACATCCAAAGGTTTTGTTTGTCCATGAAACACGGAGCATGACCAGCCCCGGCGTTGGCTTTGGCCATCTCGACAAGAAACTGTTAAGTTTGACACTCACATGAGGTTGCTACGTACGTTTCGATTATATCCAGGAAGGCGGTACTGCGTCTTGCTTCAGATGTCTTGGTTGTTCCGATAGAATCCCACTGCAGTAGATGCAAAGAGTTTTCTTGGGAGGTTACAGGTGTGCCCTGACCCTTCCATCCCGGACGACATGGCCTTTCTTTCCCTGTTTGGCCATGTCTCTCAAAACACGTCGAAGAATCTTTCCACTCGGCGACTTTGGAATTTCATCCACGACCTCAACCTCCAGAATCCACTTGTGCCTGACCTTCTTGTCCTGGACGTACTCGATGAGCTTCTTTCCCACGCCCTCGGGGTCGGACCGCTTCGACTGGATCAGCACCACATATGCCTTGGGCCGTTCGCCCGAGTAGTCGTCGGGGATGCCCAGAACAGCGACGTCCTCGACATCCGGGTGGCCCAGGAGGAGATCCTCCAGCTCCGCGGGCGCGACCCCGATGCCCTTGACCTTGATCATCTCCTTCAGCCGGTCAGTGATGGTGATCAGGCCCTCCTCGTCAACGGAGCCGATATCGCCGGTATGCAGGAAGCCATCCTGGTCGAACGTCTCCTCTGTGGCCTTCCGGTTGTTGAGATAGCCCATGACGATCTGCGGCCCACGAGCCCAGATCTCGCCGGGCTCGTTCAGCCCGCACTCGTTGCCTGTCTCCGGCTCGACAATCTTGACTTCGGTCGATGCCACGACCGTGCCGACGCGGACTGCATATTTGTAGTCGTATTTGGAGGGCGGATGGGCCGTGATGCACGAACATGACTCGGTCATGCCGTAGCCCTGCTTGAAGCCCGTGCCCGGGAAGCGCCTCTTGAGCAACTCCAGGATCTCGGCCGACAGGGGCGCCGCGCCCGAAGAGAACCGCTTCAGGGTGCTTAGATCGTACTTGCGCAGTGTTCCTTCGTCACGGACCATGCGGATGAGGATGGGCGGGACCAGCAGCATCTCCTCGAGTTTGTATTCCTGCACTGTTGCGAGCATCGAGTCCATCGAGAAGCTTGGAAGCATGTAGACGTTCGCATTGAGAATGACCGGCAGGTGTAACTGATGGACGAGACCCGTGATGTGGAACAGAGGGAGCACGGCCAGGATCCGGCGCAAGGTATCCGGAGTGATCTGTTGGATCTGCAGACACTGTGCGATCACATTGGAATGTGCAATCATGACGGCTTTCGGCAGTCCTGTCGTTCCGCTGCTAAAGGACAAGAACCCGCACACATCCTTGTTCTTCTTGCCTGGTGGCAGTCTGAACGGCTCAACCTGACCATCGGACCCATACGACTTGCCTAGCTCCAGCAGCTCAGACATGGTGGTGAACCCCGGCATTTGGCCCTCAAGCAGAAACACTCGTTCTTGCGGGATCCCGGCGTCTCGGGCGGCGGCCGCGGCAACTTGCATACTGCCCGGGACGGTGAAGAGAAACTTGGCCTCGGCCGTCTTCAAGGCATAGGTCATCTCCTCGACATTGTAGGCCGGCGACGCTCCGGACACGACGCCGCCCGCCCGCAGAGTGCCGAACATGGCGCAAGGATACCACACCGTGTTGGGGGAGAAGAGAGCCACCGTCTGCCCTGGTTGGAGCCCATATTTCCGGACCAGCGCTGTCGAAAGGTGCGTGGTATGTCCCTTCAAGTCGGCGTAACTGAGATGCTAGAGACAAAGTGTCAGTATCTGGACTCAAGCAGACATAAGCCCACTGAAGACGAGATTGCCCCACCCCCCCCCCCCCAAAATAAAATACATCAAGAACACACACCTCTTTGGTAACTGCGTTGGTATACCCCTGGATCTCTTCAGGCTTGTAATTCCGCAGCGGGCTGTATTCGGACTCGAACAGCCATGTCCAGACGGGCAGATGCCAGGGCACTACAGCATTTCTTCTATCAGCCACTATCCGAGAGGGTTAGGCCAGGTCGAGAGACTAACCGTCAATGGGCGGTTGCTGGGATTTGAAGATAGGCATCTCAGGACGGGTCGGATGTCAGGCGAGGGCAAAGGGGATGAAGGACAACAGAGAGAAATTGAGTTCACTGGTGAATACCACGACGTTTTCAAGAGAGAAACAGGGCAAGGAGCACATAATAGCCCTCCAGGTTGGAAAGCCGTTGAGCCGTTGAGCCATTGAACTGGCCGACCCTTCAACCTCACATCGCACCTCGATCGGTCAGGGTCAACCGCATATCCTCGGGCATCGAGAGTTCAGGGACATCATCACGGGGCTCCCTAGGCCCTTCACAGGAAGTCCTCGGCCCCATTTTTGAGTGGTAGATGCGGAGAGGAGAAGCGACCTTGGTAGAGAGGTAGTACGTAGAGGACGAGGAGTAGGAGTAACTGCGGCGGTGCAGTGGTAGTAGTGGTCAGTTCGGTACGGAGAAGTACTGCGTTACTTCAGATGGAGATTCGGATGCGGGGAAAAGGCGGAGACAGAAGACCACGTGATTGTCGGCCCCGTAGCGTCCAGGTTCATTCAGCCTCGCCAGTTCGCCATAATTACTACATAATGAAGAACTATATTAGCAATTACACCGGTAGAACACCTCACAATGTAGTTGAACGGTAATGGAGACGGGAAAAGAAAGCGGAAATTAGACTGAATTCGACGACTAGAATGAATGTCAACGCCTGCTCATTATGAGTCCCATGTCCCGCCGCTAGCCAACCGAACGCCAGAGCCCATTGAATCCGTAGTATCCAGCAGTGAAGACAACTAGTTGTTCTTACCAATGCAGCGCCGTCCCGCCAGTACCCAGCCCATAAGCTCCCATCCCGAGTTTCTCTGGCATGATCTTGTCGTCAGGATTTTCTAGTGAATGCACGCGTGTTGCTCAGCCTTCTCCCATCGTTGCCGAGCTCTCATCTCGTCCAACCGACATCTTCATCTCAGCCGATAAGACGGAATGTCTCCACACCCATGGTCGGAGTCTCCACTTGATGATCTCGTGGAACACCTTCCTGCTTCCGTCGGGCATAGAAACCTCGACACTCGTTCAGAACCTGGGTCCATTCTGCCAGCGCCCGTCCGCTGTACCGAGCTGTATTCATTTCACAGGGTTGCGGTTTCAGGGGTCGGACTTCTGCCACCTTCGACCCCGTCCTAGAGTCGCTGCCGGTGCTGCTTCCACTGCCACTGCTTTCAGAGCTCTGTCGTGATCGAAGTATCGTCTCTGCATTATGTGGTAGTTGCGGCGCTGCCAACTCTCGGTTGGGAGTTCTCCGATCGAGGTTCTGAGGCGTAGAGCACATTTCCAACGAGAACTTGAAGGAGAAAGGCTGATGTGGAGGAGTGACTGGCCGGTAAGCCCTAGCCGCAGTAATAGCACCATTTGGGTCGGGAATGCTATCGCTGCTCGTCGTCACACCAATCTCCTCCGGGCTGCCTGGAGGAGTCACCTCGCCAGGGCGGTTGTTTCCGGGACTGACGCCAAAGACGTTCAGGCCACGAAATAGGCTCCATCGTTTCTTGACCCCTGGCCGTGGTTCATCGGCGGACGGAATGGTGCTCAGCACAGATGAATGGTTCTGATAAGGAGAGCCCTGGGTGACTATTGCCGAAGGAAAGTGATTCGCAAAGTTCGTCCGAGATGCCGACAGGATCGGCTGGCTATCGGTGCGGAGAATGACGAGGACGCGGTTTGGTGCCGGCGAACAAGGAGCCGAGGATGGCGGCAGTAGGCCTCGCATCTCTGCTTCCGCGGCGAGGTATTGATAATGTGCCCAGCACTTGTTCAATCGCAGTGCCAATGTTTCCAGGATCTGCCTGTAGTGATTGCGTTAGTTTCATAAGTCGGGTGGTACAGGTGTGCTACTTACAGATCTAGCTCCGTAACCTCCCCATCATATCTCGCCATCTTCCAACACAACAGTCGGTAGAAGTAGTGGCGAACCATTGGCGACCAGTGGCAAAAGTTCCGTTCGAAGATGTCAGCATCCAAGAGCCAGTCTAGGACAAGGTCGCGCTTTCTGTCTTCATTAAGAATTAAAATAGACCATGTACTGTACAAGAACGCGATCAATCGTATCTGTGTCAGGCTGGTGTGACTCTGCATCATTCGCTTCCAGACTTGTAGCCAGAATGGCCAGTCAAGCACTGCGGTGTCGCCGTAGCTCTGCCTATACCGCAACATGATAGGAAGCACTTCTTCCATGAAATCACAAATAACAAAACATGCTTCGTTGTTGTACAAGGAGATGTTGCGCGTGGCGGCTTTGATGATGATGTCGAATGACCCCATAAACAGACTGCGGAAGAAGGAAAGTTCGGGCTTCGTATCGCCAAGCACATCTCTCAGCAGAATGATGAGTCGGTTCTCTGCAATGGACCGGGAAGCGTTTGCCATGGTCATGGGCAACGGAGCCATGGCATCTGTTTGTTCCATGCGATAGCCTGCGCCCGAAGAGTAGTTGTCGACCACATTCTGTCCCGCCTGTCGATAGATGGTCGTCTCGAGGACCACCAGTGTCTGTGCCCATACTGGGACGAGACCAGGTACACCGGCGCGATCTTTCATTGGTATGTCTTCGGGAAGGAATTCGGAGATCAGAAGATGGTATTGCTTGGTGAAAGAGAAGAACAGGTCACTGTCTCGCCCTGACCATCGAGTAACCCAGTTTGGGCCCCAACTCACGTCCTTCCATCCTGGAGGGAGCTGGCCTCGCTGTTGAAGGTGGCGCCAGAGACTTGCTTGGGAAGAGACAGACAGGCTTCGGACTGGAGGCGGGAAGTGTCTGGTTAGCGTGCTTGAGATGAGGTCCAACCTGTCGCCATGACTGATGCCTAGCTCGGTGAATATTCGTCTCAGCGTGCCAGATGGTAGACGCCAGGACCTGACAAGCATGTCTGCCACACCAGGACAGAAAAAGAACGCATAGGCACAAGCTTTCCCTGCAAATGTAACGAGGCTTGCCGGCGCAGCCCGCAGGGACAGTTTTTCAATCACAAATGCCATTTGCGAGAGCAGATTCTGGACAAAAGTGTTCCGGACGTTCTGGTGAATAGTATCGACCAGGAAGTCCGCCTCTTCCGATTCAAGAGAATTGGTCGACTTGGATTTTGATATCGAATTCTGCGGCGGAGACTCCCCGGGGACCGAAGTAATCCCCGGCACTCTCCACTCAGGTCGCAACATGATCATAGTAGCTGACTCCAAAAACGCCGGCCTATCTGTCCCGGAGATCGCCTGGTTGTTCGTGCCATGCAGCATTTCAAGCAACCCGGTCCACCACTTATTCAAGATGGCAACGCGGCGGTCCAGGTCCTCGGCTCGAAGACGTTGATTGGAAGGATGCTGGGCATATTTGATCAAGAATGGCTGTAGAGTAGTGCGCAGCAGCTTTGCCTTTTGCAAACTCGTCTTCGATTGAAAACTGGCGTATTCGCCGTCAAGTGCCCGGAAAGCGGACCATAGCGGATCTTTCTTCTTGCCGACTTCGATCCCAAGAGTGGCCAGGCGCTCTGAAGAGTATGACGCGGGCAATGGTGGTACTTTGCCCAAAGAGATTCTCGAATGGGATTTCTCATTTGAGAGCTCACTCTTCAGCGACATCGACGACGAGTTCCTCGATATGTGTTTGGGGCTGTTGCCAGGTTTGCTCTTGATTTTCGTGGACTCACGTCGGATACCATTACTCTTGGCCTGCACTTTTGTGTCAAGCGGGAACAGAGATCCATCCCCTGGCTGGGTTGAGGTGCCAGAGGCGCATGAAGGCATCGGGTCCTGGACACCCTTCGGAGTCGTGGCAGGGATTTTGGCTTTAGCCGGCGACCAACTCCTATTCCTCTCGAGCCGATCACCCTGTTTGTGTACAGGGGAAGAAGACCGTGACGAAGAGCCCACCCAGGATTTGCGAGCCAGTGAGCGGATAGTACCAGTAACCGACCCTCTCAGGCCTTTGGGCTGTTGCTCCTCTTTCTCAGAGGAAGATTTCCTACTTTCGCGAGGCTGACTGTCTTCGTCGTCCGGAGACAACGAAAAGATCGCGCTCGACATCCTTCTCTTCGCCTTCCTCGAAGCCCGGCGGAACAGCTCCAGGTTGGCAGAATTGGCGAGTTCGTTCACCTTGGTTGTGGAGTCAGGCGGCAGTGGGAGGACGTTTTCCGAGAAGGTTCGCTTGATAGACGGGGTAGGGATATCCTTTCCTGTTTCCAGCGCAGGTATGTAGGTGTAGCTTGCCGACCGGGTCAGATCCGTTGAGGGACCGTCTTGGATCAGTTCAGAGGAGGGAAGAGAAGTGGTAGAATGGACGGAGTTCAAGGCATGAACAGGCAGCGCGGGCATGATCTGCCCCTCGATATGTGCAGACATCGCGGGCAGCCTTGCGTAGATATGGACGGGGCTTCACCGCTATCACAGTTGCTCGGGCTATATGTGACTTCTTCTTTCTGACACCCGCCATCAGACATGGGCGGTAGTGAGGGTAAACATCGGCCGGAGAGAGAAGAACCAGAGGCTCTGGGGAGTGTCGGGAGGATCGGATAACGCTGAGCTGGATGTGGTGATTGCTTGACGACTGGGACAATAGGAAGAGGATATAAAAGCACAAATACCCAAGACACCCAACAAGGAAGAAAAGAAGAATGACACGAACGAAGGACACATGTGAACAGGTGTAGAGCGAGCGACGACGGGTGCATGAAGATCTCGAAAGGTGAGCCCAGCTGCATATTGTGGAAATGAACCTTGATTCCAATCAGGGTGGAGGTCGCAGGCGCAGCGTCCGGGGCTTGAACGGGTGAAGGACACCATCGGCGTCATCAACCGCCGGTGCCTCTAGGTGCCTTTGAGCATCTGGGCTGATACAGGCGTTGAAACTTCAGGGATCGCTCAATAGTGCAGATTACTTTGCTCGCGTCCCGGACGGCGCTGCGAGACTCTTCCTCTTATATCGGAGTTTCTTTCTCTCCCTAGAAACATGCCACAGTCACAAAGCGTCATCTTTCCCGCAACCCTTAAAACATGCCAGTAAGCCGCGCACGTACCCGCTCGTCGCTCCTCGGCACATCATCCAGGACCTCGAAGTTTGATCTTTGTGTGTAACGGCCAGAGGTCCACCTGATTCATTTTGCTACGGTACACGTCCAGCCTTCGAGCTACGCTTTTCGCTTTCCACGGCTCGCGCCAGGCAATAAGACGGCGGAGGTAGCCTGGCAAGTCTTTAGGTTCTTACAATGCCAGCTTCGGACACGGCGTACAGATAGACGAGAATTCTGATGACACGCGCATCGGCCGCGGTCTGTGGCGCGGCGGACATTGGCATACATGGGTGTTTGACACCTTATCAGTTGACGGCCTATAAGACTCCTTCCTTTGCCCGTGTCGGTTAGTATTATCATAGACACAAGTCCCGCATTGCAGGGAAGTCCGAATCCGCCCACATCTGTCCCGAATGCATGAAGATGCAGAAGGACATGATTCGGGATTGCAAGGCTCCTACTAGATGTAGTCGCAGGGAGTCGGCCAAGATTGGCCCATGGTAAGGGAATCCCTTTTCCAAGGCCATGATTCGGTAGATGATGTTAGTAGTATCGCTGGCTGCATAGATATGCACATCCATAGTATATATGGTGCGTTCAACAACACGGTTCAAGGCTCGGAGGGACTGTATATTGGTATGCTCTTCTTTGGTATTGCACAGCGACCAGCCCAATACAACTGCATTGAATGGTATTTTATTTCATTCCCGTATGTGCTTGCACGAGCATTCTAGTTGAACCGAGGCCTCCCGGGCGATCAATGATGTGCCGGTTCGTCGTCGTCTTCCTCAATATCCTCGAAGAAGTCGTCTTCCGCCTGCGTTTCCCCAGCTGCGCTCTGCCCCTCAATTTCCACGACTTGTTCCTCGTATTCCTTCATTTCGCTGGCAAGATTGGTCTCTTCCGGGGACTGGGGAGGCGGAGGAGGAGCAAATTTCTGGACGTGACCTTCGGCATCCGAGGCCTTTTGTGGGGGAGGCTTGTATGCTCGAAGCTCTTTCAGATACAAATCTTGGATGAGATCGGCTGCAACTGTAAGTAAGTGTGTTGACATAAACGACCGGGTTACGCACGCATCTTCGAGGCTGAGGAAACTGCAAAGCTCCGACGAGGAGTCTGCACCGTTCTGATGCTCGCACGAGCTAGAAGTCGAGCCTGAAATCCTCGTCAATTGTAGCCGCATGGCACTGGATCGGGAACTTACACTGGCTCTTAGGGACTGCGCCATCATTGCTGCTGGGTTCTATGGGGACGGTACAACGGGTGCTCGATTCATCTTGAATGTGAAGCTCGATTCCAGATTGATTCCTGAAGCTCAGTCTCACGCTAGTCCCATTCCGGGACGATAATTTTCACGTGATCATGCCAGCCTCTGACAAACCTCAAAAGGCACCCGCGCCCCATCTCATTTCCATCACCTTCTCTTCCTCATTCTTGCCACCTTTGCATCGCAGAACTCGTCAAATATCATCTCTGGCGACTTCAATTCCATCACAGAAGGGCATACTTGACGAAGCGCACATCCTCGAACGACGAACTGACAGCGGCTTTCGTGTTACGAGATCGTCTTTCATCTGGACTCACGAGACCTTCACTGGTTTTTAAGGTCGAAGTCAGGTCATCGCTCTTCTTGCGCCAGTTCTAATCACCAGCGATCTCTCAAGTCACCAGATTACTTCACGTTTGCCAAAGGTACTTTAGATAGCTAACACGAGCAATGGTTCATTCCTCGTTTGGGTTATCTCATTAACTTGCTGATGACCTGACTGACCTGTGGTTACTGCAGTGTATGACGATCCACGGCTGCAAGTCGACGTCTACACTGCGAACTCGGTGGCTCGAATCAGAGAAAAGCAAATAAAATCGTCCGTTCAATAGACATCACTTCCATTCCATTCGCTGCTCGAAGTGACAACCGAGTGACAACCAACGGCGAGGTGAGGCTCACAACTTCTGTCTGGACAGAACTTGGCCCTGCCGGCCTTCACCTCCGTCACCGCCAAACTGTATTCTCCATTGTTTGTCAAGGCTTTCGCAAACAACCATAACCTAAGAACCTCCTATCACAAAATCAAGAAACGCCAGAATCAGCGCATTCAGGGAAGATTGAGTGGGCACATTACCAAGAGTACAAAGACTTTCTCCGTTACGAAAGAGGGCAAAATGTCAGCCGCCGTTGCTGCTACTGCGGGCATCGAAAACCAACCGCCGGACGCACCAGCATGGCGCGAGAACCTGAATACACATCTCATCTGTCCCGATTGTAAACAAGTGCCCCCGGATTTGATCGAAGAGAACGCGGACACAATCTGCGCCAACTGTGGCATGGTTCTCGCTGAGCGTCTCATCAGTTACGAATCGGAATGGCGCACTTTCAACTCGGATGAAGGCAAAGGCGAGGACCCCAATCGCGTTGGTGAAGTTGATAACGAACTTCTTCTCACCAACAACGCGGGCACAATGATCGGTGGTGGCGGGCCGAATGTATCAAAGGAAACCCGCAAGCTCAAGAAGGCGCAGGCTCTGCAACTTGAAAACAAAGCAGACAAGGCTCTGCAAGCGGCCTACGCGCAAGTTGAGGCTTGGGGAGAGAAGGCCAAGCTCACTGGTCCCGTCAAAACTGCGGCGAAGATGTACTTCAAGCGAGTGTACGAAGCCAATGCCCTTCGAGGCAAACAGACAGATGTCATCCTCGCTGGATGTCTCTTCATCGCTTGCCGTCAGCTCAGAACTCCCCGATCTTTCAACGAAATCTTCGGCTTGACTTCTGTCCCTAAGAAGGAGATTGGCCGCGCCTATAAGAACTTGGAGAAGTTCTTGACCAAAGCAGCCCATGAGAACATTCAGGCTGTTGAAGGCAGTGGAGGCATCGCCAATCGGGAAGTTCTTGAGTATCGCGGTACCCAGTCGACCAAGCCCGAGGACCTTTGTGGCAGGTACTGCAACATGGTCGGGCTGAACTTCAGAGTCGAGTCTATTGCCAAGGCCCTTGCCAAGAAGATCCCAACCATCGAAGGCCTGGCTGGTCGCAGTCCCCTTTCCAACGCCGCCGCTTGTACCTTCTTCGCCAGCTGGCTGATCGGCTTTGGAAAGCCTAGTAAGCAAATTAGCGAGGTCGCAGGAGTGAGCGACGCGACCATCAAACACGCCTACCGGTATCTCCTGCAAGAGAAAGAACGCCTGGTTGAAGACAGCTGGCTCGGTGAACAACCTCCACCTCACGGTGGCTTTGGGGATTTGAAGAACCTTCCAGGGGCATAGATGCCGGATGCTGACAGAGCAGGAGTGCGGAGCATGCCGTTCTAGGACTTCTCCTCGTTGACCACGAGCCAATCCAAGCAGGGATGTCAGCTCCTTGCAGGTGCAGGTGCGATTTCAGTGCATCCTGGCGGCGTTTGTTACTGGTGGCAGGTTGCATGAGGGTATTCCGATCTTGCTTATCTTCGGCATTTGCCATGACGCTGGCACAGGCCCAGTCGTATCTTGTGGCGTTTTCAAGTTATGGCAGGTCTGACCTTTCTTTCTGGGGGGAGCCAGAAGGGGCTGCCCATCGTGTAAAGCCACAGGGCCGTATACTTCATATGGCTTATGAATCAAAGATTCATCTACTAATATTCTTTCGAAGCATCAACATGCTACCGATCTGCTGCTTGTTTGCTTGCCTTCCACTCTAGTGACACCAGCAGCACACGGACCATTCATAGCCAATGCAATATTGTGGTCCGAGTCGGACAAATGCCGGTGAGTGGCTCTGATTGGTCAGCCTCGCGACAAACTACTGAGACTCATGACGTTGCCTTTGCACCTTGCGCAAAGTGCGCAGACACTGGCGAGCTTCCCCATCGCCATACACTTTCTCGTATCCTGGGGCGCCAGTGCCAGTTGAGGTGAGTAGTCCGTCCGGGCCGCCAGCTAGTCAAGCACTTCTACTCCGCATGCTTGTGTCCTCCCGTCTGTGAAGAGGCTGATACCGTTCAGTCATGGCTCATATGCGGTGTGACCATCCTGTCCCGTGCCATCTTCCGTGTCCAAGGTCGATGAAAACGCAGAAAAGCTAGAAAAGCTAGGTACCTACATATATTGCTTGACACAAGTGCCACCTCTTCCGCTCTCACTCAAGGTTCTGTTTTGCGCTGCGCAATCCAGGGCAAGATCATGTTGTCCATACTATTTCCCATCGCTCTCATCCTGGGCACTTGCGCAGCGCGCCCGAAGCTCGAGTACAACCCAGTGCCGTTCACAGCGGCTCTTCAAGCGCGGCAAAGCACACAGAACTCAAGTACTTCGCTGCGGATTGATCTTGGATATGATGTATATGAGGGAATAGCAAATCGCACTTCTAGACTTAACATCTGGAGAGGGTAGGTCGCAATCACGACACCTTATGAGTGTCCGACACTTACACAGAACAGCATACGCTATGCCGCGCCGCCTACGGGCTCGAATCGTTGGCAGGCACCTACGGCACCACCTCAGAATCGGTCCTCAGTTCTCAGTGCCGGCAGTTTCGCACCAATCTGTCCCCAGGGACCCGATGCAAGTACTTCCATTAACGCAGTCAACCAGTCAGGCGCCAGCGAAGACTGTCTTTTCTTGAACGTCTACTCTCCCAGTAATGCGTCCGGGCCCCTTCCTGTCCTCGTCTGGATCCACGGTGGCGGGTATGGTGCCGGTAATGGCAGGCAGGATCTATCATCCATCATCAACGCCAATAACAACAGCTTCGTTGGTGTTGCTATCCAGTATCGGGTTCGTGACATCCATTCCTCTACTACATATCTGTTATCTGATATTCAGCAGCTTGCCGCGTTTGGGTTCTTGTCATCTGATGAAGTGTTCCGAAATGGTGTGGTGAACGCAGGGATTCTTGACCAGGTAGGTTTCGAGTTGCGGATTAACATGCACTCTGCTAACAACCATAAGCATTTCGCCCTGCAGTGGGTGCAATCCTATATAGGACTGTTCGGGGGAAATGCCTCACAGGTGACCATATCTGGAGAGAGCGCTGGTATGTTCAGCATCCTGTTGAGAAGGGCGATCTACTGAGTTCTCTAGGCGGCGGATCCGTCATGCTCCAGGATATGGCTTTTGGTGGGACTCTGGGTCAATCATTATTCACCAACGTAAGGGCTACATCACCTGCCCAAGTCGTGACTGACTCCCGTTCCAGACCATTGCCGCCTCACCTTATTTGCCTATGCAATATGGGTATAAAGACTGGGTTCCTTCTCAAGCGTACTACGCATTCGCAACGCAAGCAGGCTGTGCTCCGAGCCTCCCCTATGGAGCCCATCCCCAGACAATCTTCAATTGTCTAGTGGCAAAGGACACGGACACTTTGATCAATGCAAGTGCGACGATCTCACAGTCTGGAAACATTGGAACTTGGGCTTTTCTTCCTGTGTATGGTCCTTTGGCACGGCCGCTTACTGTCAACATGAGCTAACACTTCCTCCAAAGCACGGATGGCATATTCGTTCAAGATCTCCCAAGTCAACAGCTGCTACGCCGACGGGTAAATGGCAAGAATGCGTTGATTGGAAACAATGCCAATGAAGGCCCGTCTTTCACTCCCCAAAACATCACAACAGAAGAGGACTTGATAGCTTGGTTGCAACTGACATTCCCCCTGTTTACGAATGACGATGTCGCCAAAGTCCTGCTCTACTATCCCAGCTCCAACACCTCAACACACTCAGGTGCACCTTTATATGCCACGTCTGGCGACATGGGAGCGAGCGCACTCAACCAAAGCTCGGTGGCTACAGGACAGCAACAGAGAGCAGATGTGGGTATACCATTCATTGGGATGTCTTATGCTGCTAATCAGCACCCCAGAACATCTACGCCGAAACGACGTTTGTCTGCCCCGCTTATTGGATGGCTATTGCGTACAATGACTACGGAAGGTCGTCGTACAAATACCAATTTTCCGTTTCACCGGCATTGCATGGTGCGGATGTCAGTGGATGTATGTCACGCCTTCAATTGATCTGTGTTCCCCGGGAGCTGCCATCTGCACTTCCAGAACCACCCTGCGGCGTATGTCTGGACTGACTTGGTATTGGGATGTCCAGATTTTGGTCCGCTAGCCCCCAACATCGGCCCGGATCTTGCTCTCGCGGTTCGACAAATCTGGGGAAATTTCATAACAACGAACAACCCCAGCATACCATCGACTATCGCAAATGGTGCCTCGTCGAATTTGTCGTCGTCAAATGATGCGAGTACTTGGCCCCAGTTCTCCATGTACTCCCCATACCAGATCAATTTGAACCAGGTAAGTCGACTCTGAACGATCTCGATCATTGTATCGGGAGACATGGTGGCTGTCACGTGGAGCTGACGACCTGGCCTCCTTTTTCAGACCGGGGGAACGCCTTTCTCGATAAACATTAACCAGATTGGACACAATATCACCGAGTACGGCATGCCAGGTCTGCAGAACAACATCACGCTGGTCAACGCCTGGACCTGGGAGGCGGGACGAGGCTATCGGTGCGACTTCTGGCGTAGTATGGGCGGCATCGTGCCCGAGTGATTAGGGTGTGTAATTCCGTCCGTCTTCTTATGGATGGAAGACAGACTGATTCGGTGCTTTCGACAGGTGGTGATGCCATATGCTCAGGGAGGGTGTAAATATGTTCTTTACCCTTTTGGGGCCCATCTGATATTGCGGCTGGGCATGAAAGGAATCAGAAAAGCAACCGATGTCTAGTATGGGAGCGTATCTTAGGTTTCATAAGACTGACATCGTGGACGTCTAAGGTCCCGAGGTCATCTAATAGCAGTACAAATGACCTCATCCCCATCACAAGGCGAGAACTGGGGTACTAAGTTAGTAGTCCACTTACCAAGCACGACCGTATACGCGCTTTGTGCAGTATATCAACTCCAGCTGACTTTCCGCAATCGTCCCTCGTGCTTCCTGTCCGGTGAACGCGAGTAGATCGCATGCAACAGACAATCTCAGCCGCTGTTAAAACATCAAGAGCGGACTCGAACAAGATTCGGGTGATCCCAAGTCACAGAATGGCGACTCCGACGCGTTTGACATGCCTATGCAAGCTCGTTTACGAACCCGCTGATCTGCTTTCATCGTCGACTCTTCCACTCGAGTGCACCATCTGCCACTGTGATACTTGTCGCTACACCACCGGAGGTTTGGGAGTCTCGTGTTTTTCTCTCAAGGGTCGTCCAAGCGACAAGTCCCTGAGCAATACCACCGCCTACAAGACATCGGAGAAATATACGCGGTTCTTTTGCAAGCATTGCGGATGCAATGTATTCTTCAGATCTGAGGAGGATGGCCAGTGGTTAGCCTTCTCCGGTATCATCGAACCCGATCACAAGCGGGCAGAGGAGGCAAACGAAGGTGAAACCGGCGGCAACGACGAGAACGTCGCAAGAGTCACGTCTCATATCTATGTCGGCGATGCACATGATGGTGGGATGGCTCCATTCCTTACCAGACTCGGTGGGAGGAAGGCCCCTTGCTATGTCGCTGACGCACAGGACGGCGTGGAGCCGCTGGGTGAGACTGAGCTGCAGGAATTGAGGGGAGTGGGACTCGATGTAGCATCCCATGAGAGAGGCAGCATGATGGATGTGGCATGTCATTGCGGCGGTGTTCAGTTACAGGTCGTGCCGCCAGCCTACAACGAAAGCAGCGAAGGATGGCATGTTCCCCCAGACCGAAGCAAGTACTATGCTCGAGTCTGCTGCTGCAGGTCGTGCCGTTTGGCCCTCGGCTTCTCGCTGCAGCCATGGGCGTACATCCCACCGGCTCACATCCTCACCAAGCTTGGAGAGCCCGTCGTCTTCGGGCCCAAAGCCAAAGAAACAGCGCAGCTCGAAAGGCTCAAGCACTACCAGAGCTCAGAGTCTGTGCTGCGGAGCTTTTGCACGACCTGCGGTGCAACAATCTTTTTTCAAAGCTTCGAGCGGCCGGACATCATCAATGTCAGCGCGGGCGTGGTACGGTCCACGGCCGGGAATGCACTTGCTAGAGAATGGCTGCACTGGGATCGGAGGGCGGTGAGCTATGGGGGCGAGGCCGTTGACACTGAGCTGGTTGAGGCATGGCTGGCAGATTGATCCGGCAGTGAGGTACCGGTTTGTAAATCAGGTTCAAATAGCCATGATGTTTGCACCGCAGTGCACTGGAACGTATCGGGGTACATTTCTAGATGCGTGAGGCAGAAGCGAGTCGTATCCGCATCGACAAGATGTCTTGAAAGATAGCGCACAGGCAGTAATAAGGAACTGGCCTCGCTGAATTGCTACGTGGTTTGCTGTGGTGGTTGTTTGGTAGGTATGTTGGAGTCAAAATAGTAATACGTAGTATGCAGGGAGTAAATATAATATAGTAAGTCTGAGGGGCACTTCAACTTCAACTTCTTCATCTCCATCCTCTGACTTTCTTGCCCTTCAACCAACCAACCCAACCTTTTCTCGACACCCACCTTTGCGCATCGACTTGTTTCTTTGACGACTACGTTTCAGACGCACGAAACTCGTCCACTTCTCACTTTGCTGAAAGGCCGGACATCCTAGCCATGTGTCTTGAAGACGTTTGATTCTACAACTGGCGTCCACCTCAGCGACTCCTGCTCCCTTCCCCGCCTCAGACTCAACGCGAGCCTCGGTGCCTGGAATATCTATCTGTGCCGCTGTGTACTCTCAATCTCTTGGCGTGTTCTCTACATAGGTACATTCACTACACCGTTGTTGTTCCAATATGGAAGGCAGCGCGGCACCAAACCGGCCCCCTCAACCTGCGCCGCAACAACAAGCCTCCCTGATCCGCCCCGAACAGGTCCAACGGTTACCGCAACTCAATCCCGCCCAAAAACAGCAATACGAGCAAGGCGTCAAAAGATTCTGGGAAGTTCTGAATACCACACCTCAGGGAGATCCTAAATACAATGAAGCCTACCAAGGCCTGGTGCGGACGTCAAGCCAGTTGATGGCCGGCATGAAACAGTGGCAGCAAAGTACAAAACAAAGATTGGCCGCTCAGCAGCAGCAGCAACAACAACAACAACAAGCACAGGCGCAAGCACAAGCACAAGCACAAGCACAAGCGCAACAACAGCAGCAAGCACAACAGCAACAACAGGCACAGCAGCAGCAACAAGCGCAGGCGCAGGCGCAGCAACAGGCACAGGCATTAGCGCAGGCACAGACACAAAAGCCGACCCAGCCTGCAGCGGGCCAGACCGGTAGCAGTGTGCAATTCAGCCAGCTCTTGCCCGAAATTCAGCGGAAAGTGAACGAACAGCACTTTTACTACCCGCCAGCCATGACCAAAGGGACAGAACCAGCTGAAGTGTGGCTCCGTGAGGCAAAGGCAAGACTGGGACAGGCACTCCAAAGACTCCAGGTCGCAAAACAGAAAAAAGCCGAGTTTCAACGACAAGCCCAGCAGCGACAGCAAGCTGGCAATCCTTTGACGGCAGCGGAGACTGAGGTATTCAACAACAAGGTTGCACAGTGCGACCGAGCGGTGAATGAGAGTACCCAATTTATGAAGAAGTTCAACGAGCAGCAGGAACAGTTCCGCATCGCTCAGCCTCAGCATCAGTACACCAAGCAAGCCGCACCAGCCGGAGACGGCGCAGATCCCGCTTCTGTCACTCCGCTGCAACCTGGAGTACAAGGCCCAACAGCTCACTCGATCAGCAGTGCTGTGTCTGCTGCACGGAATCAAGCAAGTGCAGCCCAAGCCGGCACTGCTCCTGGTGCGACACCTCAAGCCGGTCAGAGCGCAACCGCAACCACGCAGCAGACACCCGTCAGCGCGTCCCAGCCGCATTTCCCATCTGTTCAGCCAGAAGCCGCGGCAGGGCCTCGTCCAGTATCACATCAAGGTCAAACTATACCGCCTCAAGCCGCACCACATAGTGCTCAGCCAGGCGTTCACCCGCATCCTCTTAACACCAGTATCAACGGCGCGAAAGCGGCCACTCCAGTCATTACCAAAAATTTGCAGGTTGCCGAGCCAAAACCTGTAGTCATGCCACCTTCCAGACCGACCCTGACCGGTGGTGCCGGTGTGGGACTACCGGGCCAGCTTGCACAGCCGGCGATCACTGCACTGCCGGGATATGTTTTAGAGTCGAGCGAGGATGGAAGGGTTCTTTCGAAGAAGAAGTTGAACGAATTGGTCCGGGAGGTATGCGGCCCAGGACCGGAGGAGCAGCTTGACCCGGAAGCCGAAGAGGCAAGTTTTTCGTCCCGTTTAGGCCGAGTGTCTTTACTAATATTCTCTCCAGATCTTCCTCGCCATCGCAGATGACTTTGTGGACGAGCTGGTTTCAACCGCTTGTAAGCTGGCGAAGTTACGTGGTTCTTCGAGCCTGGAATTACGTGATCTCCAAATCGTCCTGGAGCGTCAGTACAATATTCGCGTTCCCGGTATCTCGACCGATGAGATTCGAACTGTGCGACGACCTCAACCTGCGCCGGGCTGGGCTCACAAGATGAGTGCCGTCCAAGCTGCCAAGTTGACAGGCGGAGGAGGTGCAGCGGGCGCGACTGGGGCCAGTGGAAAGGATAACTAGCACTATTCATCATTGCAGCATTTTACGACGGACGGTTCGATGGCGTTGGAAGAGCGACTGTATCACCACACTCGCAGAGCAATTTGGGGCATATGAATGGAGTTATGACCCGACGGCTGCATAGTGGGTATCATGACAATCCGGCATAGGGCACAGAAGGTACTGCCAAAGGATGAACGGAAGGTAGAGCTTCAAATCAAGTGCTATGTTATTCTCCATAGACTTGCGAACAATGTACTGTCATGAATAATCCCTAGTGGCTATGTTGTGCTCTGGGGCGAGTAGCCCGCCACGATACACCATTCCCAGATATGGGATTCACAGCGCCAGTATAGAAGGATTCGGCCGGTGTAGTGTAGGGAAAAAGAGCAGCCACCTACTTATCCCACATAGCCTATGCACCTGCAGTTACTGGACAGCCGACCCGCTCTGGTCGGTACGACGAATCAAAAAAGAAGAGTCGTTGCAGTCGAGCATGCTGGTCATATCAGGGGATCGGAAGATGTCGAACAGGGAAAAGAGGTGAGGAAGGTAAGGCTGGTAGGTTTGTAATAGGTGATGTCCAATTGTTAGAGCAAACAAGAAGGCTGAGGTCGGCGGCGGTAGGAGCAGCAGCAACGAATATAAGGTACATGTAAGTTATGAGGCTCAAGTTGCAGTCGAGGACGGCAGAGGCCAGTGAGACACTTGAGGCATGAGGCGGAGGCGGAGGCGCAGACGACGTCACCCGCAGCTGGAGCCCAACTTGGTGCCCAGTTGGTCCCCTTGCAATAAATAGTATCAAGTTAGAGTAGGTTCGTAGTGTGCATGTAGTACTATAGTACGTAGTGACTCGTGATCATCCGCTGGAGGTGTGTTTCTCAATCTGCCTGGCCACTGCTGCCACTGCCATCCCCTTCACACAGCGTCCCAATATTTACATCGGTCTCGGATTCTTGACAAGTGCGCTGAGAGCTTGCGTTATCTCCTGTGATTCTTATTGCCAGTGCCAACCCCAGCTCACCACGATCCGTCCACCTCGGACTCTGTCTGAGAAGCCCAGCCTCATAAGCAGGCCAACCTTATCAGCTCATTCGGCGCCGACTTCGTTCAGCACAGGCAGATTGTTGCTAGTCAGCTATGTCTCGCTACCGGCCCGACCCTCGTTACTCCGAAAGCAGCCTTCCCTACCGCGATCCCCCACCTCAGCGCTGGGACACTGACCGTTTCGTCCGAGAACGAGAGATTCGAGCCCCTCCCGTCATTGATCAGCGCCCGCCTGTTGCTGATTATCCGCCCCGAAATAGTCCAGTATATGAAGACCGGCGGTACTACGAGGAAGACCGGATCGGCCCGCGAGGAACAACGGAGCGCAAATATTTCGACGAGACTGAGTATTATGATCCAAGAGCCCAGCGGAGTCAGTTGGTCCGCTATGCGCCCGAGCGTCCTGCTAGGCCGGAGGCACCACCACGGCCAGGTCTGCTTCGCCGTCAATCGAGTTTGGACACATTCGACCGCCAACCTGCCCGCCGTTACCGTGACTACGATGATGGTTATAGGCCCCAGAGGACTGTCCCTTCAAGAGAGCTGATCCCTGTCCGGGCGCCGTCGCCCAAACGTTATCCCAGATACGATGAGCGATACTATGACGACGTGCGTGTTCAGGACCCCGATCTCTATGGGGATGATGGCTTCAGAGAGTATCGTGAACGCGAGTGGGTGTCGCGGAGGAGACGGAACAGCAGCCCGTCCCCTGAGCGTCGAACGGTAAGAGAAGAATTCTTCGAGGAAGTCAAAGAGGAGACCAAGGAAGTGAAGCCGTACCCTCGCCGCGGCAAGACCCGTATGCCAAAAAGACTTGTGCATACCAAGGTTCTGTACGATCTAGGCTATCCCTACTATGAAGAGGTTCGACAATCCTCCCCACTGACCATTCACGGTTCAGGGGCTAAAGGCAGCAGGACGAGCGTACCATTGTCATTGAGAAGGCCCTCGGGCCGGACAACATTGATGAGGTCTTTGCCCGAAGCAAGGAGTATCGTGAGCGTGACGGTGAGTATTTCCAGTCTTCCAAAGTGCTGCTTCTGATGATTTGCAGTTAATACGACGCGTCTCATCGATGCACCGCCCACAAGGACACGCGGCTCTGGGGCTCAGGGTGATGTGGTGATCGAAAAGTCTGAAAAGTTCGAGCAAATCAAGACTGTGCCGCTGACCGAGGCCCCTCGCTCGGTCCGGGAGTGGGATGGACTTTCAGTGCGTTCCCCGTCTCCAAGATCACATCGTTCTCATTCCCGGCGACGATCGCGACGCCGATCTTCACCTGGGCTTGTCAAAGAGACCATCATGGAGAAGAAGGAAGTGGTCAGAGAGGTGTCTCCAGCTCGAACGCAACGATCGACTACGACTCGCCGGAGGGGCTCATCTGTCAGCGATGAAACCTTGATAGAGCGAAAGATTACACGCGAAGCAGACTTCGAGGACTCCAACTCCGTCCACGTTGGCCCGCTGGCATTGGTGGTCGACAGGAAGCCACCTCGCAGCGATCGCGACATTAAAGAACAAATCCGCATCCTTGAGGCTGAGAGGAAAGCGTTGAGACGAGAAAGGAAGTACGAGCGCGAAGGGGGCACAGAGATTGTGAAGATCGAGCGTGTTCGGGAGAGGTCTCCCTCCCCTCGTGGCGAAGTCATCATTGAACGACGTGGTGATGAAATTCTTGAAGTCAAGAAGGACCGGAGAGGTAGGATGTCGTTGATCGCCAAATGAAATTGAGGATGGTCCTGATGGCGTGACAGGTCGCTCACGCTCAGCTGCTCCCAGCCCCGCAATCATCAAGGCCATGATGGCTACATTGACCTAGCCGGGTGTCTTCCCAGCAAGCTTGCTGGCAATTCATAAGGTCGGAGGTACCTATATGATGGTGCATGTGCTTGGGGAGAATATCAATCATGCTCATACTCAACTCAAACCGCTATCTGGCCATGACGATTTACAATTGATCAACGAGGAATGAGGAATGTGGATTGCAGACAGACGGACGATGCCATGATTACTTAGGTGACGAATTTCCTTTGTGAGGTAGCACGGGTTTTTCGTGAGAAGAGAGACGAGATTTGAGTGAAAGGGAAGTACAGAATCGATCCATCATTTACATCAAAGCAGGAGGTTCTGGTGGTGAAGGACCTCTGTCACAATCACGGTCCTGGAGCTGGCAGTCAACACACATGTGAACGGCGGACGGCAGCCTTGGTAGTAGTTGCAGGCACATGTTCTTTGGAGGACACCAGCTAGTACTATTTTAGGTTATCATTTTAGGCGCAACCCTAGGCTATTAGTGAATACTGTGATAGAGCTAACCTGCGTTATCCCTTATCCCTGATCCCTCTACGATCCCTAGTCCCCTACCACGCTGCTGGTAGTACAGAGTAGTCTGACTCTCCCCGTCTAGACTGGCTGCCTATTATCCAAAACAACCACCGCGACAGTCAGCTTCGCACAGTCCAAACATCTGCAATTCATCCCATTGCATCTCTCCTCAGTGTACCCTTCTGCTGCACACATAGCCAGCTATTCTGCACCACCAACCGTCATGGACAAATTCTCCGCCTTTGGGAAGAACATAAGGTGCGCTCACATTGACGCGTTCCCGACTACCTTGATCCCCTAGTTGGCTGCGGAAGGCATACCATGGCAGCCCCTCCGTCAGCTTAATGATTGCTGACAGTTCCATTGCTGCAGTTCTGCTTTCAATTCGACCGTTTCTCCCTTTGCACAGCGGAGTCAGCAATACCTGAAGGAACAGTTTGGCGGGACAGAAGACAAGGTGCGCGGTATCATCCAACCCCTGGCCTCTACGACAGACTGACCCTTCCCCTCTCCAAGACCGAACTTCCTGCGGATTATGTCGAACTTGAGAAGAGAGTCGATGCGTTGAAACAAGTCCATCAAAAACTCCTCGCTGTCACGTTCGTAGTATCCCTCCCTTCTCAGACCCTTGGGCTGCCTATTGACAACCTGGCAGAAACCAATATTCCAATGAGGCTTACGATTATCCTCCCAACATCCGGGAGTCCTTTACCGATCTAGGGCGCAGCATTTCCGAGAAGGTGACTCTCCTCTCTCATGCTTCAAGTCCCGGCGAAGCGCAAGCAGCCCTCACTGCACCTCCCTCCGCCAAACCTCAGCCCAAGACTTTCAACCACGCAATTGCCCGGGCATCCCTGGCCAGTTCTCAGCTGCTTCAGCAGACGAACCCTTCCGGCGATGATCCACTGGCCGCGGCGCTCGAGAAATACGCATTGGCTGAAGAGAAGGTGGGAGAGGCTCGGTTGGCCCAAGACCACGCAATCCAGGCAAGATTCCTTGCGGGGTGGAATACGACCTTGAACACCAACATCCAATTTGCCGTCAAGGCCAGAAAAGCGGTCGAGAACAGTCGACTGTTGCTGGATAGCACCAAGGCGTCGAAGAAGAGCCAGGTTATTGGCCGTGGCATGAATCCCGACGATGAGACCGCTTTGAGCGAAGAAGCACGAGCCGAAATTGAGGCCAAGGAAGACGAGTTTGTTTCGCAGGTTGAGGACGCGCAGGGCGTTATGAAGAATGTAAGTGACTTCGGACATGGTCGAAGATGCATGCATTGACGTTCTCTAGGTCCTGGACACCCCTGAACCTCTTCGAAACCTCGCCGACTTAATTGCGGCGCAGCTGGAATACCACAAGCGAGCCTACGAAATTCTCTCCGAGCTGGCGCCCGAGATTGACCAGCTCCAGGTGGAACAGGAGAGCAACTATCGTAAGAGCAGAGAGGGTGCTTGAATGCCATGACTGACATGTGCGGGAGCATTGTACGTCGCTTGCTTTGGTTGGAACTTTTTGCATCTACTACGTAGTCTCCTTTGCTCGTCGAGCAGCATGCTGTAGAGCTACAAGCCTTTAGGCTGCTTCCGATTAGCATGATCCCCTGTATTCACCAGCTTGTCGAGATCAGTTCTCCCTACTTCTACTCTTGCCTTTAGCATTGTAGAGCGATGACGGTGATAGTGCACCGTAGTTTACGTGCTAGAGCGGTGACCTGCACGCCATCTCCAATTAGGAAGGTTGGCCGAACACGTCCATATGCTCGTACATCGTTGAGCTGCAGACAGCAAGATGCACTCGATCTCTATTCACGGTCCTCCTTACTCAGCGGTTGCTCCCACTTCCCATCATTCCTCTCGAGTGTCTAGAATAAGCGCTCTTGATTAGGAGCAGGAATTCTCACGACGAAACGCCACCGCCTCCCAAGGACGTCCATATACTGCCTGAATCTCCGACTTGCAGCGACTCGAACTCCTTAGCCCTGGGTTCTGTGACGAAACACCTTTAGGGAAGAGAAGACAACTGGATACCGGAGCTGGGATAAGGTCGGAATTACGAAATAGAAGATGGCGAACGGGTATGTTCACAAAAACGGCTCTCATCCCAAGCGGCTCCGTTGCCATGGACTCAGCCTCTGTTTCCCACATGGTCCCTGTCATTTCCTCTGAGCTTCCACGTCCCTTTACGCCTACATCTGGAGATTGTGGATAGTCTGTGGGACGGGAGCACTATGTATGCTCTGGCATATTGGCCAAGCCTCCTCGAAAAAGAAATAAAGACAGAAAAAGATGGGCACAGCCCCCATGCCTGCGAGCTGTCAAGAGAATCATCCTTGGTGAATTCTGTGTCAACTGGGTCAGGCATTCAGGTATTCAAGAGGCGCAGCTGCCCTCATCGGACAGAGAGCCATACAGCCTCCATTCATGACTGAGAAACCTTGACCTTCCGTGAACTCCAAGTGCTCTTCCTGGATCCCCTCAAACACCCAGCATATACCTCGAGCCGCAGTCAAGCATGCGCAAGCATCCAGAACATAAACGCTGACATGTTCACTAGGTGGTCTCTGATTATCGGCCTTGTTGTCATTGTTGCCCTCAGTGCTGGCGCGTGGTTTCTGAGCCCAAAGGGCGAGAACCAAACGTATGGATCACCCTACCCTTCTCCGTCAAATGGCACGTATGTTGAGGGTGAAATGAAATACTGACTTGCTACCTCTTAGCGTATGGAGAAGCACCTTGATCCTGACTTTCGCCAGTTGTTATATCATGTGGGGTACGTCTTGCTTTTCTCTGTCCTGCTTTGGCCATTCAGTTGTCAGCCCTTCTACCCCCCTCAACCTTGTTATTCAAAGTGGCCCTTGTTGTCTTCAAGCCTTTGCTTCAAACCTTTGCACAATATGTAGCACTAACCCCTGGCTACAGCAATCACTTTCCTAGCCCAATGGCACCCCCTGATCGAACCGCGGATGGCCAAACTGCGGCCCGGCTATAGCGGTGGAAGTTGATGGGAGCAAAAGAATCAAAGTGTTGACCTGGAAACATAAATCACGAAGGGCGCAAGGGAGATCAGGCGTATCCAGGCGTTTGGGAGAGTTCAACAATGCTGGGTGAATCAGTTTTGCTGGGCCGCAAAAAATGACAATGGACCCTACAGGATGGGCGAGCAGATCATTCTTTTGTTCATCTACTTTGTACTGTGCTTACTGTACCTCTTCCACTTCGAGATGTCTACATCTGTCATTTGGCATCGCACCTAGGCTTGCGGTCATGCCGGGATAGGACATCATTTCGTCTTCAAGGGAAGACCCAGTGCTCTTTCTAAATATTGTCCCGGGCCAAATACATATTGACCATCATCAGCGTTGAGCATTGCACTTCGAAGATGTGATAAGCGACCTTGCCTCTACTTTCAATAGGACATGCCGTTCTTTCATCAATGCTCGTCTTCCTTCGTGTCTGGCATCTCCACCGGAGTGCTCTTCTCGGCCACAGTGTCCCCGTCCCCATCCTCCTCATCCCTCTTCTCTTGGACATCCAACTTGATATCACTACTCTCAGATCCCTCGTGCTTTGGGGGTTCTGTCTGCTCATTGTCTTGATCATTTTTTGGCTGTCCATCCTCGTCGTTCACATCGCTGGTATGTCTGAGTATCGCGTTCAGAAGATCGGGGCCTCCCGTGCGAATGCTTCCTCCTGAAGGGGACGTCACTTCCTCCTCGACGTCCTCCTTGTCTTCGTCATGTTGCGGTTCCTCAATGACTGGCGTTTGCAGCTGGGCTGGTTCGCTCGATATGCTGCTTCCAACCTTTTCTGGCCGCTGGTCTGCGGCAGAAAGAGGATCAAGGTCATCATGGCTCCCCGTTGGTGTAGGGTCTGCAGGGTCGCGAGGCTCGTACTGCGGGACTGTAGCACTGATGTCTAATCTGGGTAGTTTGCCCTCGGCCGGGAAATCTTTCTCTCTCGGCGACGACTCGGCTGTGTCACCGGCGGTGCTGAACGGTTGTGAGGAATGCTTGGGGACAACGATTGCACTGGTCACTTCTTCATCTTCTTCGTGGCCCTCGGCGATGGTGGCGACGTGGCTGCCGGTGCTCGGTGTATGCCTGTGGCGTCGCGCAGTTGCTCCAGTGCTGATCGTGGTTCCTGCGGCTGTCTCTGAGGTATCCGATGATGAAGCCGCCGCGTCCTCCAAAGGAACTGCCGACGAATCATCTTTACGGAGGATTTGTACTCGTTGTCCGATGTCTGGTGCGTGTCCGACATCCTGTTCCTCGCTAGAGTCCTGGCCATCTTCTGCTTCCCGAGGGATAGTGTAGCTATCCTCTGGAATGAGGTGGTATTCGTCGCAGACCACTTTGAAGAGCATATAGAGGCCATATGTTGCCTCGACTGCCCAGAACACGTCTCGATGCTGGAACCAAGCGTGGGCAAAAATACGGTACACGCGGCGGAAGATGTTGGTGAGTTGCCGCATACTTTGGATGGCGCTTCCTGCTTCTCCGCCCAACGCCAGTCTTGATGGAAAGTGTTTGGGACTTGTCAGCACATTCGCTGCCCAGTCCAGTGTGTGGTTGCAGTAGTCAATAGCACAGCATGACTTAGGAGGTTCGTGGACGGCACAAAGATACTGCCATTCGCTCGCCCTCATTTCAGGACATGTGGCGCTCGAGCAGGGAGGATTGTCGTTCATTAAAAAGATGGAGACGATGTTGGCCTTTTGTGTAAGAAATCTACAGAGTTCATAGAGCCATAGATTCCTGTCCACGGTTTCTGTCTCGTTGATCGGGGGTGGTGTGGCCAGTTGGAGCGCCGTCTCTTTTGAGATGGGGATGGTGTTCATCGACCCGGGGGTGTGCGTCAGGTGTGAATAAAGAGCTTTCAGATGTTCCTGAAGCTGGAAAGGCGAATCTAGCTGCGACAAGTTAATTCAATGTGCGACCCATGCATGGGCGGCCAAGAGACATACCTGACTTAGCGGAACGAGCGGGGGTCCTATCGCCATGTCAGCAGCTTTTGTGCCTGGTCTTATCCGTCGTGTGGCTCCTTCATCTGGTCTCGAAATAGCGTCTAAAGACAATTCCTTGGAAATATCGCCGACTCCTGGGCTCTTTGGACCGAATTGCACCTCAGGGATAGGGGGAGGGGATGGTAGTCGTGGGGAGCTGGACGGCGAGACGCCAGCCCTGGAGGATGTCACCGCAGTCATGTCGTGTATGCTCAAGAGAGTCGTCCAAAGACCCAGTTCTCGCTGGTGTTGCAGTGCTTAGGTCGAATGCACACTTGGTTCGGTTGGCGCTGCGGCGGCTGCAAAGTTCTCGCTGAATATCCTTATAGCATTGCGTTTCTCACAAGCTTCTCCGGCTGTCGTTTGGCAGGCAAATTTCGGCAGGATCTGAGGGCGCAGCGCATGTAGAGGTAGAGGTGGGCTTGTAGTCAACAAAGCGATGGCAGTCACAACACTGGTTCATATGTAGGAGTCAGCGACACCTCTAGTCTTTCGGACCAAAGAGACAGCAGGTCTCCTTCAGCTAAAGCAGGTGGACAGAAGCTGCCACAATTCCACCCTATCAAGAAAATACTCTTAGTTGAACAGGTATATGCATTCACCGCGGAGGATGCTAGAGGACGAAACGGATGGTGAACTGCGGTGACGGACAGGGAATACGCGCCTGTCGGATAACTTGCCCTCTTAATTAAGGGTGCGGGATCAACAACTAGCGCAGCGCTAGTTGGAAGCCTCGGCACGTGGCGTGATGACGTAAAACTCTGCATAAACGGACGACAGGGACACTTCGAGATGCTATTCTAGTACTACGAATCTGTGGCTGTCGTTGCTGGTTATTGCAATTGGTTTCTCGGCGCAAGAATGGACGACGACGTACCTGACCTTGTCGACGTCAGGGAGGCTGTTGGCCCGTCAGAAGCGTCTCCCGCTACGGTACCGCTGAAAAAAGTGCCCATCACTGTTGTGACAGGTAGAATGAAATCCCTTGGCCTCGCTGACTAGTATTTCTGTACTCACCTGTGACCAGGCTATCTGGGGGCGGGGAAGACTACCTTGCTCAACTACATTCTCACCGCCGAGCACGGCAAGAAGATCGCAGTCATCTTGAACGGCAAGTCCACGATCCATACCAGCCCGATCATCCCACTCTGACGGATATATGTGGCATTAGCATTCTTCATGTTCTTTCCATTTCAGTCTGACGTGTTCTAACCTCCAGCAGAATTTGGAAACACTGCCGACATTGAAAAGTCTCTGACTGTCAATCAAAATAACCAAGCCACTACGGAATGGATCCCATTGGCAAATGGGTGTATCTGCTGCAGCGTCAAAGACAGCGGGGTTGCGGCCCTGGAGTCTCTAGTTGAGAGACAGAAGAACTTTGACTATATCCTGCTCGAGACGACCGGTGTTGCAGATCCCGGCAATATCGCCCCGATGTTCTGGCTGGACGAAGGGCTTGGCAGCAGTATCTACCTGGACGGTATTGTGACGGTTGTAGATGCAAAGAATATTCTAAAGAGCCTCGACGAGCCGGCGCCTGATGAAGTGCCAGAATCGGAAGCGGACAACAAGATGCCCGACAGTTCGGATGAGCATCATCACCACCAGTCTCCGTTGCTTACTACTGCTCACCTCCAAATCTCCCATGCCGACGTGATCATCTTGAACAAGACGGATCTGGTCTCCGATTCGCATCTAACAGACGTCCGTCAACGTATCTCCTCTATCAACAGCCTCGTCCGTCTCATCTGCACGACACGTTCCCTCATCGATGAATTGAGTGGAACCGTGCTCGACCTGAACGCCTATTCAACATTCCCCAGTACCTCCGCTCCCGACTTCTCTTCAAAGGGACATTCGCATCTGGACCCGACTATCTCGACCCTAACGCTGCCTCTGCGAGCAATCGACCCGCAAGAACTGCCGGTGCTACAAGAGTGGCTGGAGACCTTGCTTTGGGAGGCCGAGGACCGCCAGGAAGGACAGTCACGCAAATACGAGATCCACAGAACGAAGGGGCTAATTCGCATCACCGACGGCACAATCAGAGTTGTCCAAGGTGTCCGAGAGATTTTCGACATAATGCAGCCTCCGAAGATTACAGGTGATGGTACTGGCGGCGATTCCGACGACGACAGCAACCCTCAAGGTAGAATCGTCTTCATAGGCCGAAACCTGGATCTAATCTCTGGAGCTGTACCCATGCCATTCAGTGCGTGAGAAACACAGTCCTCTCCGCCTCCCCTTCATGGTGCGGGTGCCAGCAAGGCGCCCGGCCACTGCTCTGGACAGCTACCACCATCACGTCACACCGCTGACTCCGAAGAGCAGAGCGTGATATTGATTTAACGGCGAACATATTAGCTCGTCTCATATTCGTCCCATACTCGGGGGAGGGGTGATATCTGCTATGAGATGCGTCACATATCCTCAGTATATATCCATCAGCTCGACGATCAGATTCGATGTCAAATAGAACGCCGGATGGTCCAAACTAAAGGGTCCTGTGCGTGTGGCCGCCTAATCATCACAGATGCTGGATTGGGGCTTCGAGACAGGCGGCTGACTTCACGACCGGTCCAACATAGTTTAGTGCTTGAAGTCCAAAACCAGAATTCACAAATTGATCGTTAAATTGAACAAAATACGAAGACCCTTACTCATGGGTGGTCCAGAAGAATGAATTTGAGCTGTCTCTTTGCACCCACGTTGCATTGATGGTGTTAAATTCGTCCTTGGACGGTACAACATGATATCAAATTCAGCTCCGTAATGCAAATCATGGGAACGTGTCGTAAATATGGTAAGGCTAATCTTCAGAGGCGTCGTGTCATGTCATCATCTTCGTCAGAGGCTGCGCATAGCAAGAAAAATAGTCAAGAAAAGCCCCAGAGTCTTGCTGTTGGGACACTGCTCTACAATATCGCCCTGCTTGACACCGCCTGATACACCATTGTGTCTGCTTGACGGCTCAGTAACTCATACCTAACCAGATAAATATCCTTGGATGCTGGAAGCCTTCGCGACAACCAGGGGGCAACCCATCGATCCTGCATGCTGCACGAAGGACAGAGCCAGTGCAGCCACCGCAAGGCTCACAACAATGGGAAGAATGGCGGTTGCTGCAAGGGCGTCCAGTGTGAATGACTCGGTATCCAGTAACTGTGCCGCAAACATTTGTGACACTCTATGAGGACGTCCGCCCTTGTCGAGAGTCGTTAATGTCATCAGCGTGCAAAGAATTGTTCTGATGATCGGTCTGTGTGGCCAGCCCGGCACCTGTGTTGGCCGAGTCTGTCAATATCGGAAATTCGTGCATCGGCGCTCCTGGTCCATCGACCTCATCCTCTGTGAGACCAAGTGGCTCATCATATCCGCTATCTGCGTAGCATAGTCGTGGAGGTGGACTGGCAGGCGCTGGATCTGTTGAATCGGCACACTTCCGAGTGCCAGGTTCAGTAACTTTGTCTCTTGTCAGAGAGTCACTGCTCCAAAGTTCGGTAGAGGCATTCGTTGCGGTTGCTTGAGGAGTCTCTAGACCTGGGTCCGGGTCCGGGTCCTGAGCCAAAATTAGTGGACCACTGCTATCTGCTGGTGATCCCACAGTGGTTGACGTTTCAAGCTCGCGACGAGCCAACGTAGGTAGTACTGTATGGCTATTGCGAGGGGTACTGTCGGCTGTTTGCGAGTTCATGGATGGGAGAGAGGGTCTTCGGGGGTGAAATGGGACATGCGAGTCTAGAGGACCAAGCACGTCATTTGTAGGATTGCTTGATCCCGACCGTTGGGGTTGCAAGTCTTGCTGCTGCTGGATGGCTGATCGCTCCAGCACTTCCAATTCTTGATTATTGAAAGTTCGGCGGGATATCAGGTATGGATGACCGTCCAAGTCAACTTCATCAAACTCGCGTTCAAGTCCTGGGGAGATGGCCACGATGTTGGGTTCCGGTTCGTCCATGGAACTCGACATTCCAGTTCCAGCTTCCCAATGATGTCTTTCATTTCTGCCGAGATGTCCGTAGTTGGTGGGTGGCATTCTGCCCCTAGGACCGTCGCAGCCTGCGGCCTCGCTGTCGAACTCGTAATTTGACGACCTAGGCCAGGTAAAGGTGTAGTCGTCCCTTGAGCTTTCCGGTGAATAAAGCATCTGTTGGGAATCTTGCTGATGCAAACTCAGTCTTTCAATGTCATCTCGCCCAACCGCATCCTCAGGATCGATGTACTCCCTCATCGTGCGTAATTTCAGCGCAGGCTTCTCATGTTTTTGTGCGTCGACAAATGCGCCAGGTCCTGGAAAGAAGTTGATCAGTTCCTTTGCCGCTAACCGATCTTTTGGGCGAGGAGACAAGCAGATCCTGACTACGTCCTGGTACCACTCAGGGACCTCCGAGGGAAACTCCTCGACGCTCAAAGGCGGAACATGTCGCTCAGGCTCGTCATCGTCCATGGCCAGCGCCCATAATGTCATTCCTAATTGATACAAATCCGACTTCTCACCAATGTACATTGATATCCTCTGTTGACTAGCGATCTTGGTGGCGATTTCGGGAGGCTCCCAGCCCACAGGACATCCTCGTCGATTGATGTCGATGATCTTCGCATTTCCGTCGCTATCGACAACGATGTTGGAGAGCGTGAAGTCACCCTGAACGTATCCCTCCTCGTGGATTTCACTGAGTCCACGAACTGCGTGTTCGGCCCATCTACAACGATCTTCCCAGGGGATAGAGCCGCGCTGATCGTAGAGCAGATCGACAATCGCACCTCTCTCTGCAAAACTTATAAGTAGCCCCTTGACGAACTGCCGAGTATCATCGAACACGATTGCCTCAAGCTGGATTACATGAGAAGAGCCATGCAGCGCGTGCAGAGCGTTGATCTCATACAAGAACTCGTCCACTGTATCCGGCCCTGGAATCTCTTTCTTGATGTAGACATTGTCTCGACACCGGACTTTGTAGACGAAGCCAGACAAGTGGGAGTGAAAGTCCAGGTCGCTCTCCCGTACTTCCATCGGACGGAATCTGTCGTCCTCCAAGATGTGGGCTACGGTGTGGCGCGGAGGGTATGGAACGATCTCATTGACATCTTCGGTCACATGAACATGGAGTCTCCCATCGGTGGTTTCCAACTTGAGATTTGTTACCGAATCATAGAATTGGATGTCGGGCAAAGAGTCTCTGATGGACTCGTATATTTGCAGGCTCTTGTCTCTTTGGAACTGAAGCTCCTTGAGATCCATCTCCAAAGAGCCCGGCTCAGCGTTGCGATAATCACAGGAGATGGTGACGCGGCGCCAGTGATTGGGTGTCTCTGCATACGTGACAAAGAACTTTTCACGATCGGACCTATCTCTGAAATGCATGCTGAGATTGAGGATCCACCGTCTGTCAAGTTCGTCCCTCAGATCAAACTTATCATCAAAGACGTCAAGCGTTGGGAAGTGGGAGTCGTCGGATGATGTGATCGAGGGAGGCCGGGGTGGGCGATGGCCATCTTCTGAGCACATGTCCTCCGAAGCGTTTGGGGGCCTAGCAACGACGGGAGTGGAAAGGCCGTCTATATGAGAATGGGGAGGAGTAGCATCCGCTCTGCTCGAAATCGCTAGAGCCGGAGCAGAGATGCGTGCTGGGTTCCACGTTGGCGGAGAAGAAGTTGCCCGTGGTCGTGGGAGACTCGTTGAGCCATGTCGCGTGGAAGACGTGGCTCTTCTTTCCGCATGGCAAGGCTGAACGGGGAATAGACGATCTCGCCTCTCCGAGTTCTGACGCCTAAAAGTCGCTTGTCGAGGGAGACCAACCGCGAGAGGCCTTGTGGATGGGTCGCCTTTGTCGGGACCATGGCTGTTCGGCCATGTCTGAGGCCACTGCTCATCCTCGGGACAGTCAACTGGACTTCGGGTGGACTCGTCTTTGGCAAACAGGTTATGCAGTTTCTGCCACATACCCGACCGGATGAATAAGTGCCTGGGATGATGTAGCTCGGATTCGACTTCTGGCAATTGCGATTCAGCATCGTGAGGCGGGATGCCCATGTTGTATAGGTCGCTCGCGTCTCTACTCTTTCGAGTGAGGGGCAAGGCTCGACAACAATCAGCAACCTCTTCTGAACTGGGAAACACAACACTGTCCAGTACTTAACGCCCGCCAGTCGGACATCGAAGGTCAGGTGGTTGTACAAGGAGGTGACGGAAGGGGTTTTGGTTGCGACTTCGCTTGTGGGAAAGAGATATTACTGGTGCTGAGACATTCCACGGAGGTGTAAGAGGTGGAGGGGAGTTGATAGGCGGTGAGATGGCGCAAGCCACACAGCGGTCCGTAAGATATCGCACACGGACTGCTGCACGACGTCGGAGGTCGGTCTCAAAAGTGATGTTACTGGCAGCAGGGCGAACAGCGCAGGACAGAGCATTCGAGTTTTGCAGAATGACGGCACTAGGAGAACGAGGAAAAGAGGAGGAGGATGGATCGGTTTTGAGTCGCGGCCAGGGCCAGGTTGGAGTGTTTGTCTGAGTATTTGCCTGTTTGCTGGTCTGTTGACGCAACGCAACTGGTCCAACGCACGGTGTGGAAGTAGGGATGGCCTGGATCTGAATCAATTCCTGGCTGTGATGCTGGACGAGAAGTAATGATGAGCAGGTGGCTGGGAAGGTGAGGTGATGGGGCAAGGGGTGGAAGCGGCGAGTTTATAGCAAGACAACAACGATAAGGTGACGCAGGCTGATGCCAGAAAGAACAAGGTGTTTAGAGCAGGAGAGCGACACGGCGTTTGATATTGTTGCTGTCTGTTGAATCCCAGATTGTTCAGATCGAGGGTGGAAGATTTGGATACATATCTGATCTTACTACGTATTACATCGTAGTACGTAGTAAACTGCTGCGGGCTCCGGGCTGTCATGCCTGAGGCTAGTGCCTAGAAGCTAGGGATAGTATTGAGAAGGCTGCCAGTGCCATCACAGTTGATATAGGCGCCCCCAAGTACAGAGCAACCAATTGATCGCCTACACTTATGCCTCCCTGGCCCCCTTACAGCTGCTCCAGGCTGGTAATCCTGCTCCCCCCGGCCCTTATGCACCTGTGCGCAGGGCTAAGGGGCTAAGGCTAGGGAGGATAAGTTGTTTATCCTTCTCTTTGGGCATGAGGGCACCGCCCGTAACTTCAGGAGGCCCAATGACAGCAACAGGGTAGTTCTGTGCATTCCTTCCGAGCCTTCTTTTCTTTGCTCATTAGGTGAGATGTGATGTATATCTACGTAGTGTTTGCCTACAGGCAAGGCAGATAAAGTTGCGATAAAAGATGAACCTCGAAGACCACGGACCGTACAAGTACCTTACCTATACATAGGTAGTATCTTCGCTGATAGGTGGTCAGGTACTAATCATAGTACCTGCTACTAGGACCACAAATCGGAAGTACCTTCCTTTTCCCCGTCCACGGGCCTCTTCCATCTCTGCCTGCGCAGCGGCAGCAACTGCTACCATCCCGATGACTCTTCTCAGGTATGGTTCTCTCACCGCCGGTTGTCATTGTCTCAAGCTCCTACTAGAGCCTCATGAAGCCCAAGACATTGCGACTTCGAGTACTATTATTGTGACATAACTCCCGGGCAGAAGGCAACTGACTACTAGTACTTCCGCAATCGCATCGAATCACCATTCTGCTACCCACTGCACAGTCTATACCCGACTTCCTTCCACCTTACGAGTCTTTCCACTACTGCATCACTGCAGAGACATTCGCCAGCCAGAATCGCGGGCCACTCATCTCGAATCCTCCGACCACAGTATGCCCGATTTGTCGCCTCACCGTTGGGCTGCAAAATTCACGTCTTCCACAAGGTCCATTGGCGGCTCGCTTCCTATATCGATATCCTTCTTACCGCCTCCACCATATTTTGACCTAATCGTTGCTAGCATTGGGGACGAACTTGATGCGCATGATCTCATTACATGTTGAAGCCCGACTAATCAGCAGAGAATGGCCCGGGCCTCTTCGACGTGGCCGATGTGCTCGGCCTGACATTTACGATGCGTTTGGACATTTACCACGCCAGCACATGCGTCGGTAGCCACCTGCAACAATCCCTGATCTCATATTGCAGAATAGAGGTTTCGTACTCTGCTCGTTCAGGTCACCAGGTCTATTGACCGAAGGTGGTGGCTTTGCGAGGCCCCTTTTCAGCCTCGGACCGCACCGCTAATTTCCCCTTTTATTGCTCCCTCTCCTTGGATCCGTGGCGGAGACAATACTTTTGGAGTTGTGAGTGGAAGGCGATGTACGAAGTGACCCGCGCCTTGGAAATACTGCTGCCTGACCTTTCGTGAGATGTATTTCCGGATGCAGCTGTGCACGACTTGCACTGCGTTCTCACCAGGGATACCGGGCCACGGACTTCTGGATGCTCCGACTACGTCCTCAGACATCTTCTCCTGCCGCCAGGAATGGTGTCACCCGAACGAGTCTAGAGAGACGACTTTGCGCGGAGCATGAAAAATATATCATCCCCCACTCTGTCCTCGGATGCTTGGTGTGGTGGTCTTCCAAGGACGTACTCGAAGCTTGCCAATGATGGTGTTTAGCACCGTCTCCCAAGATGTGGACAATCGATATTCATCTTTCTTCCTCTTTTGGCGGTTCTTTAAGACCGACTGTTGCGACCTGGATATGTGTTCACTTTGGTGAACGAGACACTTGTGATCCAACTCGACGAATATCGTCAGGGGGCCCCGACCCGTTCCCAGATTCTTCCCGCGCCTGTTGTCCATGCCGTCCACTGTTGTTAAGGCGATATCAGCAGTACGCCGCGACGCTCCAATGACCGGTTGTCACAGCCCTGGGGGTGGTTGTGATTGAAAATGTGTCTCCCCTCTGGCAGGCCATGTCCAAGATCTGGGACCGGGGAGTCTTCTGATTCCTTCTCTGGATATGTTCTGGGTAGAATGGACGCACAATGCTGGGCTGCCACATCTTGACTTATCCTTGCCCCTGGGGGCTTCGTTTCGCCTGCGCCGAGGCAGAACCATTCCTCGGAGACTTCTGTGAGTTTACAATATAAGACAAAACACCATCAGATTTGGTAAAAATTATGGATTCTGAGATATGAACATCTCGTGCTAGTACAGAACCTGTGCCCACGTGTCCCATTCGATGTTGTATTGACTGCAGAACTCCTTCACATGATTCCCAGTGCTTTCAACCACAACGCCTGTCGCCCGTTTATGAGTAGGACATGAGCACAATGCTCGTTGGCAGATATTAGAACAGCTCAGGAGTAACTGGTAAACCCTGCTTTTCGCAAGACCCCATCTTTTCCCATAATGAACAACGTTTTGGACCATCTCAAGCTCGAAACCTCAGCCTGAATCCGACTTCTCCCCCTGGTCCGTCTAACTTTCTGACTTCGCGCCCATGACTGCCTATAAAATATCCTGTCCCATCACCCCTAGACCCTTCCGTACTTACTCCCCGGCCGTTCTGCTGAACCACGTAGATGAACCTCGCTATCGTGTCGGCTTCATTCAGTTGCTGCGCATTGAAGTGCTTGCGAACAGCCGTGGCGAGCTGGGACGCTGGTTCACGGGGACCAATGTAAGTCATGGACGACGAAGGATCTGTTTGTTCAGATACAGGGTCAGGAGGTTCGATGGATTTGGCCACTGAAGGAGCCGTCCTTGTTGGCGGCTCAGCTCTAGACTTTTCCTTCTCTTTTGCTTTTGCCTTGGTTCCCTTACCAGCCCCGTTCCTCTGTCCTTGCTGAAGCTTGTGGTCGTGGTGTCTTTGCTCGCGAAGCTTGCGCCGAGCTTGCACCACAGAAGGTGCTCGTAGAGCAATATCGGACGAAGTATACGTCAACTCCGCATGAGGGTGGTTATATGCCGAGGGAACAGATAGGCGATGCGCGATTCGGTAAGTACGGAGGATGGATGTGGACATGGTGTTCCATTCCGTCTGCAAGCGATATCGCCGGTTAGCCATCTCTCCGAGTGCACCGCGGCCCGATGTGCCTTGCATGCTACTAGACCAGAACTTACCCGTGGAAGGTTAGGGTCTTTATGGTCAACGTCTGTCGGTGCAGCTGCGACAGAGCCAATACCGTTCGTAGCGGCCTTTGTCGCAGTCGTCGAGGTGTTCAGGTTCGACGCAAGTCGCTTTCCCTTGGCCACGCCCGACCCGCTGGTTGGCCCTAACGCCGCCTTATCCTTCTGGTTTGTGACAGTGCTGGACGCTTCGGATCTGGAGTCATCGATGTTTCGCGGCCGCGCAGGCGGCATGGCGGGTTGGGTGTCTGACTTGATGATACTCTTTTGTATGGAGACTTTAGGCTCGTGTTAACAACAGTGCAGGTAGCGAGGACGATCCCTGCTCTCGATTCATGGGCAAGGACTGAAGTACCCAAAGGGCATTCTTTTCCAGAGTGATCGCTTTGCAAACACAGATAAGACAGGTATAAGCCTGTTACCAGGCATCTGGAGCATGGTGTTCGAATTGTGAGTCTCAGGGACAACACGCAATCAAGCGCAGGCAAATTATCGACGTGCAGTGGTTCGGCACGGAGAATAGAGGATGATCTCATAGGACTCGTAGCAGCCAGCCAAAGGGAGGAGCGGTTAGCACTAACACGGATGGGTGCAAGGTGCAGAACCGGCAGGCTTACCTAATATAGTTAGTGTTTCTATCGGGCAATAACGGCCTCCATGCCGCGGGCCCTGCAGAACGTGCACGTGATGGCACCGAGGGTGAGGTCCGCCTTACCTCTGATCTGCCTAACCATTATTCACAAGAGGCCTCATGAGCGGCATGTACCTTGCATCAACTACTAGTATCGTATACATACCCAAGGTACCGTAGGGTACTTGAACATTCATCCAATGGTCCTCCCAAATCTTGGCCTCGGGCGAAACCTATACGTGAGGAACTTGGTCCATCTATGCTTATCCCTACGATCCGGTCGAGGTTACAAGTTTGCAGGCAGCGCCCTTACGAGAAGCTGGTCAACTCTGGAGTTGGGTATCATATTCCGGCCCTGATATTGGGCAGACGCCAATGCATGTCAACGTACCTAAGGGCGATGTCCCAACTATTTGTCCCGTTTAGAAGAGCACAGCATTACAGACAGAGGATGGCATACACGACCTATCTAGTAGGTAGGTACACTAGACCGGCGGACTAAAAGCCCATTCCACATGTTGTGTTCCTCGCCAGGTATGTGTATTCAGGTTCAGGACGTCTGTTGAACACAGGAAATCTCTCCACATCTAGCCCTCAGCGCCCGCTACGCGGTATAGGATTAGGATGTGGCACAAGAGCGGCGGTCACAGGGCCTGCTATTGTCCATGTGGACCGCCTCAATTCCTACAGGGGTTTTCAAAGACATGTAGAAGCATGTTGCTTCGTTGTGTGCACAAGCTGACTCTGAGACAAGATGGTGAACAGCGAGGTTCCACTGAGGTGACTGTCGAAATCGAGATGTGCTAAAATGATGGAATAACCTCCAAAAGTACGACGAATCCACGACCAGCCTGGAATGACGATGTGAGAAAAATTCTTTGCATCCAGACCAATCCAAGATCAATCCCAGATGACAATTCTGTTGTACGCGTGGGCAAAGATGAGGGCTATTCGTTTCACTGTCTCCAAAAACTGGTGATAAACCCTTGGATGCGGGACTTGGTGCTGGGCCACGCGGCGTCTTTCACATCAGGACTTGAGAAGCTCCGGCCATTATCGTTCTCAACATTCGACATCTCGGAATAATCGTGGCGAAGGGTAAATCTCAGTCATGAAACGTTGGTTCGCCGCAAGTATTCTGTGCAATGCCGGGACGCTATGAAACAAATTCCGGTACAGGGCCTCTGAGAGAAAATGTCGGTGTCAAGGTAAGTGTGCCCTTCCGGGACCCCTGTCCAAATATGCTAAGCAGGCACCACCTACCATGGGAGGTTTGCCTCATATTGTACTCTATTATTGAGACAAGGCTCCCCAACAAACCGAGACTTTGCCGCCGACGAGTCTCAAAGTCACATCCTAGTAGGAAATTTGCGGGGCCGAACTCCTCTCGGGCTTTCTAACGCCGACTGCAAGTTTTGTTTACACATGATTTCACATGGCAAAGACCACTGCACTCCGCACCCTCAGACACAGTACTATCTGTATGGCGGGAATATTATTAAACACGGATGCCCAACCTACGGAGCTCTGACATGTGAACACTGACTGGTGAGAAGGTGACATTAAAACACGGACGCTACTAGTCCTCCACGGAATGGCCGAATCCGGAAGTCCCGCGCGGCATTTTCTTCAGTCTCGATTTTTGCATTATTATTATCGCAGAAATTTTCCTGTCTGTCGGTTTCTCTTCTTGACCGGCGTTCTCGATAGGTTTAGTTCCACCCGCAGCAGAATTTCAACTGGGGTGTGGACTTCAAGCATAATGACGAACTTAGGAGTCGGGCAGCCTAGGGCGAAAAGGTTCCTCGGTGAGCCTTGTGGGAGCCTGACACGTGGTAATCTGGACAAGCAGCTTCAATAATAAATACAGTGGAGAGGCCCGCCGCCATACATGCAATCGGTTGGGACTGGGAGCCGCTTCGGTAGAATGGCGGTAAAAGTAATCTCGAGACCCCTCTTTCACGTATCCCGCTCCCGTGCTCTGACAGTGGCCTGAAATACATACCTACTATGGAACAGAGAGCTCGGGATCAGTGCGGGCCTTTTCCGAAATGAAGCATTATCCGAACTCGCTCTCGCTCACGTAGAAGGTATCTTGCCGATTTGCCTGTAGCATAGAGCTGTTGGCTGTCGAAAGCAATATCAGTCATTAACAGCAACTAAACTTTACTGCGCAGGGAGAGCATGGTGGCCAGTCCTTCCGCACAAACATGGCCGGTAAATGTGCTGATAAGTACCTACCTGATGGAGGCCCCTCCTTCCAGATTCGGGATTGTTTCTGTAGTCTTCCACACGCAGAAGTTCTTGACGCTGTTCACGAAGTCACGATATGTGATGTCTAGAAACCGAGTGTTATCTGGTCTTCTGCAGCAGAGGGGCGAACATAATCAGTCCACCGAGTCTGGATGTGCGCTGGTCTCGATGCTCTTTATTACCCTCATCAGAACACCCCGCTGAGAGCGGAGACGCAACGATAAGAGATGAAATGGCCAATTTTACTAAGTGTCAGTCACTTGTCCGTTCTCTGTTCCAGAACCAACGACCTCAGTCCTTCCCCACAAGTGGATTCTGGGGAGAATACCAGGCTGAGGTCGAGCAACCTAGGGCGACGATATCGGTCGTGGGGTGCCATGTGATCAGTACAGTCAGACCACGCCGCGGAACAAGAACCAGGAACGATTGCCGCGGTGGGCTTTCGTTGAGGCGAGAGAAGCGATTTCATCGATCCAAGTAAAAGCAGCCTGCAGCCGTCGATGACTCGCAGGTGGTGAAAGTCATAATCATGACGACCTCGAACAATAATGGTTTCATTGTTAGGTATCGAGCTCTGATCAGCACAGGCAGTGCAAGCCCTCCTTCGTATCAGCATGGGCAAGTCGGTTTGGAGGTCACCCTCACCCAAGCAACCCCCATAAGCACACTCAACCTCCGTACCGATATGATAGTCCGCGTGGGGCTGACGTTCATCTTCCTACTAGTATATTATAGAACAATCCAGGTGTCTATGACATCTCACTGAGTCCTAGACTCTTGTCGTCCTGGGATATCAGTGGACGGGAGAAGTGCGAGCTGTCATGAGTAAAATGTAATAACAATATTGCGATTACCTGGTGCAGGCCACATGCTTTGGAGATGGGCTCAGGCCGCCGTGGTGTGCTCTTCACCGAATTGCACATGCACTCCTTGATGGGGGTCCACTGGCAGAGGACGAAATACTAGATGGTGTCGGTCTTCAGCCGATTTCTTCGAGCACAGTCCTATAAAGTATTGTTATACATATCAGCATTGTCTGCAGGTTTGTACCATAACGTAATCGGAATCCTTTAGTAAGGCATAGCTTGACTGTAAGTTATGCTGACGAGTTGTTGCTGTCATTTTGATATTCCATGGGCTGTGAAAGATTAGTGGGAGGAAAGAGCCGTCCGGAGGAGCCGGCGGTTCAAGTAAAGTTCTGTGTTTGAGTCTGGGGTGAGGATCCTTCTTCCGCACAATCTCCGATGGGCGTTTTCGATCGCGAAAGATTCGATGAAAAAATACCAAGGTTACAGTATGCACTGTGCACCAATAAATGATATGTGGGGAAATGTTGTTCGTACAAAGTACTCTGTAAATGGCGATATGCCGGCCTAAAATGGCATAAAGTGCTCGCGAACAGGTCCAGCCCTGCAGTCGGCATGTTACTGATGCTTTGGGTATTCTGGCTGTTGTTTGGACCTGAGAAGAACAGAGAGAATATACATCATGTCCTCGGCATGAGTTGGTATCATTAGAGTCGGATCATCATTAAGGTAGTAGTACTGTCGGCAAAACCCCTACCTACCTTATCTGAAGGATGTAAGATAGGCAGGCTCAAGGAACCTTAGGTAGGCACCGCCCGACTATGTACGCTCCTCAGGAGACACATGGTGACCTCGGGGTTGGCAGCCCGAGATTATTCAGCCAGACCGACCGGGCTCCCGGCCTTGTCCTCCACTCACACAGAGAGTCCCCTGCGTCAGTGGATATTGTTACCGCATGCCCGCGACCCGCAATACTACAAGGTACGGGGGCGGAAGCGGGAGTCTAAAAGAGTGAAGATAGCAGTATCTACTAGGTAGTACGAATAGTAAAGTACTGTCGAAGCACATGCCTCACAGCATAATCGACAGTGGGACAATCTCGCCGATGCGATGATATAGGCTTTCCTTTGGGCCGGTGAAAGACGGCTTATGGCTGAAGCACTGCCTGGAACTGAAACCTTCCAGGGCTTCGGAGGCTAAATGGGCGCTCGGGATGGCAAGTTGTGGTTCATCTCGGGCAGCGGTGCGGCCAGACCTCGGGCTGTTGCTCCCCAAGAGATTAGAGTATCCTGCTGAGGGTTATAGTCCGGAGTCTGGGTTGGGGCAAGGCGCTCCGGGGCATTCTCATGGCTTCTATGCCAGAGGCATAGTGGTTAGCCGGCCTTCTCTCGACACTGGCAGAAATAACATTAAGAAGACCGGCGTCAACTGGTCTCGTCGTCTTACGACACGGATAGTCAGATGTTACTCCGCACCTAAGTAGAGAGAGACTCCAGAGTTCGATGATGATCTGTGATGGGATCATGATCGCAGGTCATGATCGCAGGTATCAGGCATGAGTCAGGCGGGGGAGGTACCTAAGGCTCCCGCATGCCAGTGCTCCAGAGAGACATTTCCTTCCGACTTTTTATCGTGACCGGGAAAATCGGTTGAGGAAATTGATGCGCCAGACAGAAACGGGCGACTGCCTCGGAAGGGTCACTTTTCCCCCGACCTCTCTGCCGAAGGGTACATCGTACATGTCGGGCTTCCCCATCTTTTTTGCTGTGACCGTGTTCTCGCCCCCATATCTTAGGTACCTAAGGTAGGTACGTTAGATATCTACTAGTCCCGTAGTCTGTTGCGGGCGGACATGCCTTAGGTACCACCACGCCACCACCCAGAGCACCACCAACGCAAGCCAACGTACCTGGTACCTGTTACCTAGGTACCTATGCCTGCTTCAAGCTGTGTCATGATCATCCAGGCGCATCTGCGCATTGGACACGATCATCACCGGCATGTCCCTAAGATCTTTCAATTTATTAGAGTGCTACTCAGTAGAGAGTCGCCTGCGGAAAGAGCGGTTCCGTGAGTACTGAGTGTATTATTGAAAGACCCAGGCTGGTCAACTATCTACCTGATACTCTCGCTCTGGCCACCGAAACGGCGCCCGCCCATCCACTGTCAGCATCCCAAGAAAATTTCCATTAGAGGCCAGACCTTCGCAATTCACTCGCACTGGGCTTGCCACCCTGTCCTTCCCCGGATCTGACTCCTGGCCAACCGACCGCACAGAGCCATCATCCTCGCCCAGTCCTCTTTCTCGTCCGTGGCCCTCGTACAGCGGTGGCACCCAGATATAGGTTACAAGGAGACAACAAGAGACAAGAGACAGGAGACAGGAGACAAGAGACGCTACGCATCAGCCAGAGAGATCGCCCAGACACAAAGCCCTGTGCGCTTGAGGTCAAATAAAACGGCCGAGGAAAGGCAAGTGTGGGACAGGAAGTGGGCGCCTCCTCTCCAACCACTTACTGCCCACGCCGTGCTCCCAACGGAGGCCTGTCGGCCATCTTCTCCTGGCACCCGCAAGCGGCGCCGGCACCACTGGGCAGGAGAAGAGTGATCCTGGACCCATCCATCGGTCTGCCCGCGGGTCTGTTCGCTCCCCCCAACTTCCCCTAGGCTCAAGAGAGAGATTCTCAGGCCCCTTCAGCTCGTCATCGTCCGTTTCCAGCGGTGGTCCGATAAGGACTATGCTAGCAGATTCTCAGTGGGGAAAACAGACGACTGAATACTTAGGGACATATCGCCGCCAGCTCGGTATCTCCCACTTTTGTTACGACAACGCCGGAGAGACCGCACACCTGCCACAAACCCACATTCCCAGGAAATAATTTCGCAACCTCTCAATCCTCGTTCCTTCCTGTATCCTTCCGTCACAAACGAAAGGCAACCGAGAGACAGAATTCAGAACCCAATCCCTGCCGGCCCCCGGTCTCCAGTTTCCTGTCCGCATTCCCGGATCGTGTCCTTCGCATAAGCAACTGGACAGATTATTGAAGTGAACCTTCTCCCTTCTCCAACATCCACCGGCTCTCTTCAGTCATTTCTTCTCCTCCTCCCCCAGTTTCTCTGACCACACCATTACTCTAATCAACACAACCGCACACACGTCTTGCATATCGCCTGCCCGGTCTGCGTGACCACCCACGCTACCACACCAGTCCACTTCCGCTTCGTTCAGCCTGCCTCTATCCGACCCCAGGTCCGCCGCACTGTACCTCCGCCACGCCGCAGTCGGATCTTACCTAGTGGCTGATTCACTCCACGATAAGCGATCGTCTTGGGCGAACAGTTTCTCCCTGCTCGGATGCAACGCTCTTCGTCTGCAGTAGACTTTACTGCCATCCTCAATCCCACTCCTCCTTCTTCCGAACCTGTAACTCCCTCGCAAGAGACGCTTCCTACAACCACTGCCACCTCCACGAGTGCCTCAACCACCACCCAGACCGACAACAACATGGCCGCCGCCGTCAGCCTGATGCCTACTGCGGTAGTTCCGCAGTCGAACCACAACGAGGAGAGGCAGGATCTGCCTCGCCCGTACAAGTGTCCGCTTTGCGATCGAGCCTTCCACCGCTTGGAGCATCAAACGAGACACATTCGAACACACACCGGAGAGAAGCCTCATGCCTGCCAGTTCCCTGGCTGTAGTAAACGCTTCAGTCGCTCCGACGAGTTGACTCGGCATTCGCGCATCCACAACAATCCCAACTCTCGGCGAAACCAGAAGACTCATCAAGTTGCCGCTGCTGCGGCCCTGGCTGGTCTTCAGGATGGATCGAACCAAGGCTTGGGCTCTCCGGCGCATATGATGCCGCCGCCCAACAACAAGAATAGTCTAGCCAGGTCTGCGCCTGCTTCTGCCATCGGCTCGCCGAATGTCTCCCCTCCTCACTCTTTCGCTGGCATCCACTCTTCCCACGGTCCTCATGTGCCCACGCACCTAGGACCTTATGGACGAAGTGATGATCGGAATGCGATGGACATCAATCTTCTCGCTACAGCGGCTTCGCAGGTTGAGCGAGACGAGCATGTCACGAGGGTGCCCTACCAGCATCAGCATCATTTATTCAGTCACCGCTCGCACAACAGCAACGGCCGTCTGCCGTCCCTATCCGCATATGCCATTTCTCACTCCATGTCGAGGTCTCATTCGCAAGAAGGACACGAAGACGACCACCGCGCGAAGAAGTCGAGGCCCAATTCGCCTCATTCCACCGCTCCTTCATCGCCGACCTTTTCTCACGCCTCAATCTCACCAACTCCTGATCACACGCCGCTCGCCACTCCTGGCCATTCTCCTCGCCTTCGGCCCCATGGCAGCGACATCCAGCTCCCAGGTCTCCGCCATCTTTCTTTAGGCCACACACCGCTTCTGGCACCGATGGAGCCTCAAGCCGATGGGTCATACTCACACATTCCACCACCTCAGCACTCAGGCCCGTCCATCGCCGACATTGTCACTGGAACCCAACGGAAACTGCCTGTGCCTCAGCTCCCAAAACTTGGAGTTTCTGAAATGCTGGGCATACCTGCAGGGCTGAGCTCCGGCGAATCAAGTACAGCGGCATCAATCAACGGAGACTTTGGTCGGTGACCAGAAGGGCCACTTCAGGTGGTTACGTGAGTTACGGTATTTGGGCTATGGCCTGCAGTTGAGCATTCTTTTACGACAGCTACACTTCCTTCACGTTTTATATGTCCCCAAGGAGTTTGAGTCTTCTTTTCTGTGATCCACGCGGTAGATCCGCCAAGGATAGGGTTGAATGGATATCATGGAAGAATAACAGCGAGGAGCATGCTATAGACCGGACTGGATATCAATGGAATTGCGCCGTACAACTACGGCAGATAGACGGGTATATTGGTGAAGTGAATGGGACGGGACAAGGGCATCAACTCAGGCAACGGGACTCTGCTCACGATTCACAGCCAACCCCAGGTTTAGATGTGCAACTTGAGATAAACCAATCCAGCTTGTTGGCGAATCCCTGGTACCCTGCGCTTATGATTTTCGTTCTCATTGATTTCGATTAGTTGAGGAAGGACTCTGGTGCGTACCGCAGTCAGATATCTCCTTCCTCCGAGTCTCTCCCTCTGCGCAGACCAAGGCGCTCCTGCTATGTATTGTGATGCCGCCGACCTGGCAAGATAGTATATGCCGGCTGAGTCACTGTACGTGAATGCGAAGACTCCGGGATACTGGCATTTCTTCGTATCTGGTTCTCTTAAGGCTTTGCATCAATAGTCCCCATACAGGGATCTATCGAAACCTATCGTTGATTATGCGGCGCCCACCATGTCAGACTGTGCAACAACCGTCCCCCACACTACAGGAAGCCCAGGACCTGATGCGATTGCTATGATGGCTCGTCTCGACAAACAGATTACCAGATACGAGATAGGGACGCACAAGGGGGTACTGAACGATAAATCTAGGTGATTGTAACCGATCTGCTACTCATGTCGCAGACAAATCAGAAAAAAGGAACCCATGCTGTTGACTCTACACAGGTCGGTCTTTTGGGGGTTCAATTCGTTCCAGGCGACCGGGCTGCCTGTCCTCTTGTCTGCTAAATTGGACTTGGGCTGCAATCTTTCTCATCGACTATAGACTAGTGAGTTTTGCAGCGCATCATTCCAGGTAAGCGATTAGAACACAGACTGGGGCAATCGTGGAGTCCCCAGATTTCTCCTCCTCGCAGGCACAGTCTACCTACGCATCCATGGCGAACTATCGGTCCATGCTGCAGGCAGACGAGCATCGAATGTGATGACGGAGCACATATCAGGTGCATCAGACGCATCGCGCTGCATTGATCCAGCTTCGGCAATGCTGGTTTATCATACCTCAGCCTGGCCCCCCTGTCGGTGATATTCTCAATTATTTCCCAGGGCCAAGGCGACTATCGACGAAGGATCGATTGAGTCTGCAAAGCCGACCATGGTCTCTCGACGCTGCTGGATCCAGGCAAGGGATGGTTGATTGAGCCTGGCTTTGACCATGATGATGGCAGTCAATGCTCTGCCGTCGGTGTGCGACCGCATACATACCTACCTACCGAGCATACAACTATCGACTCGGGGTGGAGCTAAACACTGAGCGAAGGGTGTCTTCTTCGTGGGGTCTCGAATCAATGGCAATAATGTAATGGAACAAGTTGTGGCCCGAGTGGCACCATCATTCTCCTTTCTATCACCTCCGATCTGATCCCTCACACCTCAGGACAGGGCCAGAGATGCCATTCAGGTGCCACTAACGTGCTATTGCGCCTTATCGGACGGGGATGGTGCAGTCATAGCTCCACGAGGACAGTGCTCACAATAAATCGAGCCTGGGGCAGCAGAGGCATATGATCCCCGACACGGGCTCACCGAATATGCGATCTGGAGATCCTCAACACCTGCGACGGCATCTCGTCGACGCAATATCTTTTCGTGCGTGAGGATGGGCAATGTGATCTGCATTTTTGCCTGGAACCAGACATCGTCAGCACAGCGTATCGCACGGACAGGGGACACATGTATTCTTGCGTGTATCGAGGGGTGAAGTCTCTTTCCCCAAATCTTTCCCTTCAGATCATCTTCCTACTTTCCCCGGTTATTATTGTTGTCCATTTCCCGTCACAGGAGCCGGCATGGTACGTACCAGAGCAAGTGATCACCAAGGGGATGTTATTCTCCTCGTATTCATGCAACTCTAACCAGGACAGACGGATCCCACCACAATGAAGTGGATCTCTGTACTGGGGGCGACATATCCGGGGCGGCTAACAAATGGCCCAAAGGCTGGGGAAATTCAAAGCGTGGGCTCCCTGATCCTCGCACAGCCTACAAGTACCGTGCCCGGGTGACTGATGGTGATCTGGAGCAACCGCCAGTGCACCTCGACAACAGACAACGAAGACATCGAAATGGTGTTCACGCGGTCTTTGCAGAAATCCTACCGTTCCTTTAGCGGTGCCATCACGGGGCCTTCCAGAGCCAGCTTGATGAACTTGATGAGCCTGATGCCCAATCCCAGACTTCTCACGAGCACATGCCAGAGCTCTCGTAGCATCCCGCATGACTTAATTATGACATGCTATCTGCATGTCAGAGCAGCGCCAGAGACAAGGATGCACCCTTGTTGATTCCTGGACGTCTTTCTCCCATTTCTCCTCTCAGTGCTGGACGGCGGACGCATCAGCCACGTTATCGGTTTCTTGAGACTTTCATCGGAAAGCCGGCGACGAGCATGCAGAGCGGTGTCGACTCCGGCCAGCCCGACCCCTGGATTTCGGCTGAGTACACAGTGTGTACCGAGTCGGTTGAGCCCTCGACCTCAGCTCGCTGCGACTTGCTGAATCTCCTCAACATCTAATCCCGCGGCTTTTCTCCACCACCTGCACATCCGATCCTCCATCAGCGAAAGCCATGCTGGATGTCAGCCTGCCGCAGTCAACCCTCATCAATGCAAGGATCTTGCTGATTATAGATGTGGAGGTTTCAGAGGCTTATTAAAGCGTGACCGGCGCCTCCAACAGATGGTTAATTCGCGGTTGGTTGACGCCATAGGCGTGTGCCAGTGTGCCAGTTCCCCTGTGGCATGCATGTTGTTGTGAGAGCTGAAGACCGTCAATTGTCTCCGCTTTGATGGGAGTCTGGGGATTCTCCCCTCGGTCAATCGCAGCGTATCAAGTCTGGATTGTGACAAGTTACCACCTTGATGGCTGTGACCTTCGAAAAGTCAGGTTTTCCACGCTCGCGGCATGTCACCGGAGCACCACATCACCCGATGGGGTCCCATGGCTGTCATTGTTTCCAGTCCTCCTTTCGGTTCTTGAGGACGGTCGACCACCAAGACGTTGCGTTCTCTTAAGGTATGTTTCGAGCTGCACCTCTTGTTCAGCTATCTTTTTGTTGGTCGAGCGAAGCTTGGAAGACTTGGTGACAGAACGACGACTGAGACCTGATCTCGCCTTACAGACTCCAACAGACTGCTTTAGGTGTGCAGGTATGTACGTGAGATACTCGATCGATCGCTTAGGGCTGAGTTCGACCCTTCCCCCTTTTCCGCCTCTCATTCTTATTCTCATCCCTTCCCTACCGTTGGGTACATAAGTACGTATGTATATACTTTCTTTCTACAAGACCTCGTTCGTGGCTTGTCAGTCGAGCAACCGGAGGCTGCCAAGAGCAAGTAGACCTCGTGGAAATGGATGAACAAAATGGAAATGTTCCCCGTCCTGACAAGGTGTCTTGAATGACACTTCCGGCCCTTTTAATGAAATCCCTTCGACGACTAGTCTTGATTGACGTTGACGGTGAACTGCAAGCCGGGTGCCATTATCTCGCCCCTTACCTTCGGATGGCTTTAGCACCTCCGTCAACCTTTAGCATACTAGTAGTAAACATTGACAAAGGTAGCTAGCCCTCTCGGCCATGTCACGTCTACGAGGGAGTTTGAGCTTATGAAGAGAATGAACGAATATGCCCCTCTAATGACTACGCACCGGGTCGCCGAGCTGGAAGAGTCAGGGTTGATGTTGTCAATTTCCCCAAAGCCCAGTATGGGAAGCTTAATCTGGAAACCAGGGAAAGATTTTCCTTGCAAATGAGGATCATGCTTTGCAGCTATAATACACTGCTGATAGGGTTCTCCATGAGACATGCTCATGGGTCTGAATAGTCGTTATTTTCGGAGCCCGAAACATGCTCCCCCAATCGACTCCATTATCCTCAAACGTGATACTCACTTCCATGCGCTCAACCCTGCCCACGGGTCTTGCTCCTGCGACCCTTGACCCTGCGGTTGTGCAGATTGCGGGTTCTGCTGCTGGTGTGCTGGTCGGCCGGGTTGCGCATAGCTTGCGTATCCGCCTGGACCGCTTGCCCATACTCCTGACGGATTTGGGGGATATTGGGTCGTGGAGCCTCCTCCAGGCGGCCCAGGAGGCGGGGGAGGCGGGATGTAATGCTGCGGCATGTTGTAGGGTGATGGCTGATAGTTTTGGTATGGAGGTTGGGATTGAGGCACCTGTGGATGCGGCGAGGGCGTCGGGTATGCCCCGGACCCTCCAGGCTGGGGGAAGGCGAACGGAGGATGCGAGTACTGGGAGGGTGAAGTAAAGTTCATCGGCTGTACGGGTGTATGCGACTGAGGAGGGGGCTGGTGCGGATAATACGTGTTCATTAGCCCAGGCGGAGACGTGACTGGCGAAAATGCATAGTGCTGCTGGCCGCCTGGTTGTTGGATGGGAGATGTGACGGATCTTTCTGGGTAGGCCATGGGATTGTATCCCGTCGAGAGAGGTGCTGCTGCACCCTGAGCAAATGCATGCTGAGGTTCGGTAGGAGAAGGATTGGCCGGTTGCTGCTGGGACGGTGGCTTGAGCTGATTTGAATATCCATTTGCCGCAACAGGCGCCGGCGAGTGACGCGGTGGTATGGTAAAACGAGGATCGGGATTCGTGTTTGGGTATGATGGAGAAACAGGCGCCGGGGATCTGGACGTGTTGATGGCTGTTAGATGAGGCGGTATGCTGGGAGCCTCGGTCTGTGATGGCGATGCTGGTTTGGGCTCCATTGACAACCGATTCATCAGCTCTTGCATTCTCTTTTGCTCTGCCGCGGCCTGGCCATCGGCAGAGCTATTCTTCGTCTGCTCGATTTGATGGAGGAGCTGTGCGCCTTCTGCCCTTCGATTGCTGACAAATGATTCCACGTTCTTCTCCAAGCTGTCGACGCTTTCTCTCATCTCGTTGTAGAAGGCCTGAGCTCGCCCAAGGCCTTGTATGAGATCCTCATGAGCATTGAAAATCCTTCGGTACTTGTTCAAGACACTGTTCTTGCTCTTCTGCATCGCATCGTACCTCTGTTGGTCCGCACGTACTCTTTTGTCTTGTAGAAGATCCCCGTAGGTCTTGGTTAATTCTTTGAGTAGCGATGACTGCTTGTGGACGGTCGAGATGAGGCGGTTTTGGTGCGAGCGGAACTTCTCCAGCTCTGCCTGGAACAGCTGTGTTTCTTGATTTGCAATCGCCTTCTTGTTGAGGATGAGCACGTTGGATATATCGTCTGTGTGCACCTTTTCCTTCAGATCCTTCAAGACTTGCATGCGTTCGCGCTTCACAAGGTTGAGCTTTCGCAGCAGATCTTCGACCCGCGCAATCTGGTCGGCAACCGACAGACCACCCTCCCCATAGTCCTCATCTAGAAGACTGCCCTCGTCCGCGCTTCTGGTTGCTTTCGACCCAGAATCGGTCCGGATCAAGGCTTGTTGGTACAAAACATCGGGCTCGCCCCGCTCGCCGGCTCTTCTCACTTCTTCGAAGTCGGCTTCGTATTGTCGTGCCGTAGCAATGAGCTGCGAGTCACTAGCTGAGGCTTCATTGACAGTATCACGATAGCTTTTGATGTCGGCTCTTAGTGTCGACGTTAAGCGGGAACTCGGTTGCTGGGTCCAATCCGCGCCATATTTGGTCCGCATTTTCTCGCAGACACTCTCTTCCATGTCCAGTTGTTTCGAGCTCTTTGCCAGACTTTCCAAAACTGCCTGCTTATCCTTTTGGAGTTGTTCGAAAGCGCCATTGAATGGTTGATGCCTGGCGATTTCCTGGCACCACTGTTCGAACTCCTTGTCCACCCCCATGTCTTGATCCAAACCACCTTTAAGTACGTTCAGGCTGTGTGGAAGTTTCAGATAGTCGAGACTCGCCGCCATCTCACCGTTGGCCTGTTCGACCTTCTCCGCCTCCGATCGGATCAGCTTGGCCTTCTCCTCGTCATACATGCTGGCCGACTCGGTCACTGAAATTGGGACGATCTTTTGAAAGATATCAGGTCCGATGATCCTTTGGATGTCCTGTCCTTGGTAAAGATCGGATAGCGGAATGGCCTTCGCTGCAGGCAATTTCGTCACGGGGGACAATGACGCTTCTGCCGGGATGGTTTGGTGATATATGAAGTCGTTGTCCTTGACCAGTGTGCTTAACTTCTCTTGGACGTTTTCCATTTGTCGTCGTGTTATTGCCTGCAGCGTCGAAGCAGTGTCGGATCCAAGTCTGGACTCGGGAGATGGGTAGGATGGAAACGATTTTGCGTACGAATATGCTTGTTTGCTGGACTTTTCTGCCAGCTGCAGGCGAGCAATTGCGGAGCCCTGGAGATTGGTCTCATCCTCGGTCAAGCCTTGATAATATTCTGCAAGCGAAGACATGTATAGCGTCTTGATTTGGATCAGTTTTAACCACGAAGAGTCAAACACGCCGCGAGAATGATCCGATTCAAGTCCCTCTTTGGCTTGAGCGTATAGAAATTGTGCCTGGGCTGCTAGTTTCGCCAGCAGAGCCGGCTTCTTCCCATCTCGGATTTGTTTCTCTAAGAACACCTCTTGGGCCTGACCAAGCATGATGTAAATCAATGTTTTGACGGTGTCGCGACTCAAATCAATGGACGGCGCATGGAGGAAGTTCTCGTTGATGTAGGTGAACATGCCGGCGGATGCTTGGAAGGAATGATATGCGGTCTTGAGGTCTTTGTCCTCGGCGCGATTCTGAGCGGCTGCATGACAAGAGAGTACGGCAGAGATGTTGAATATCACGGATGCTTTCTCAAATGCCAGAGAGTGCTGAGAGGTCGGTGTGCCTCTGAATGCATCATACCTGGCCGGAATCAGCCCTTCGCTCTCAACTTAACTTGACGGTGCCTTACCATGTAAAGCTAATCTTTATATGCTGTTCGTCCACGGGGAACCTCAAATCCAGCAATTCAAGTTGTCCGTAGTATCTGTACAAAAGATCCCGTCCCGAAGCGGAGTCGTTGCTGGCACCTCTCATGTCTTGCCTCAGACGTTGCAGCGTTTGAGTCTCCTCCGAGTACTTTTCCGGATCGTCCCCATAGTTGTTGGCGATGAAGTTCTTCAAAGGAGTGATCCAGTCGATCTCGTTGGTCTGCTTCAACGGGCAGGACAGCATTGGCGCTTGAACCATCTTGACGGCGTTGATGGTTCCAAAGGGTCGATGGCTGCAGGCAAATAAGAGAACGAACGGCGGGATCGAGATCAGTGCCTACAAAGGTCGCCCATGGGAAAGACGGACGGATAAAAGGGATTCGGGTCGCGGAACAGGCGCCTAAAGTTGTGTAGCGCAGCGCGAGGCCGTGAATTGTGATAGTCTCGCGGATTCGCAGTCTCGCAGCGGATTCGGGGAAATCGATGATGTTACACCCCAACCTCCGTATCACGTGCAGCATCAGGCTGAGTTTCTTAAGGGTTCGACTCATCTACTACTAGGTATTTATCATAGATGTGTACTACGGGTTCAGTATTATACCACAAAAGGGCGTCCTTCGCAATCAGAACAAATATGTGGCAACTCAGACATGCTATTGCCCTCTCTTTATCAGACTGATTTATCATTTCACGGATGGTTTTACATTGAGTTGACGGGTATCTTCCTTAATCATGCGCGCTGGATGTCGACCAATACTGTACAACTTTTTGAAGCCAGCCGGTGGGCCATGCAAGTAACGAGCAAATGTCGCTGGATATGGACCCTTCTATATCATATCATGCAATTTGCATCCTTCGGTCGCCGATGCTGTGAAGTATAAATTAAGATGGATCGCTGATGGAGGATCTGGGAAGCCCAGTCCAATCATCCCGTGCCTGACGCTTTTTTGGGTTCATCTTCGTCTTTCGTCTCTGACTTGCCCTCTTTCTTGTTCGTGTCAGGCTCCAAGTCATCATGTTGGTGCGTCAGCTTGTGCCAGGCTGACTTCAAGAATCCCTCATTCTTATGGTCTGCGGCCTTGTTTGATGGTTTGGACGACTTGTCACTTTGGTTCGATCCTCTGTATGATGGGTAAGCAATTGGCCCGAACCAGAAACAAGAACTTACTGCTTGTATTGACTCGGGTTCATGATCCTTTTCGCCGTCTTGTCGCCCATCTCATCGGCCAACATTTCCAAGAGGGTCCGTTGATTAGCGCTCAGTGACCTGGGCATGGACACTTTAAACTCGACGCGAAGGTCGCCCGAAGAAGCGCCGCGCCCACTGAGTCTCTTCATGCCCATGCCACCCAACGTGATCCGATCACCGGTTGCCGTTCCTGGCGGTACTTTGACCTTGACATCTCCATCGAGAGTTGGGACAGTCACCTCACCCCCTAGCAATGCAGTAGTAACAGGTATTGACGCGGTGTAAAGAATGTCAGCTCCGTTCCGACTAAATCGAGCATCCGGCGCCACTCGGATGTGAACATATAGATCGCCCGGTTGGGATCTAATCTTCGGATTTGATGTCGCACCGGTTGCAGGATAGTCACCCTCGGAAGCGACTCTGAGCCGCATTTGATCTTCCACACCCGGCGGGATGTCAATGGAAATGGTCTTTCTCTGTCGCACGACGCCATTGCCTGAACATGTATTGCACTCTGAGCCTCTAGGTATAACCGTTCCAGTACCGCCACAAGTAGAACAGGTCGAGGCCATCTGGAAGCCGGCTTGCATGACATGAACCCGTGTTCCAGTGCCGTTACATGACTTGCAAGTCTGTCTTTGTGATCCCGGTTTCAGTCCTTCTCCTTTGCACGTCCCACACCGCACAAGAGGCGTGATTGTGATGTTCTTGGTCACACCTTTCGCGGCATCCATGAAGGAGATGTTCGTTTGAACCTCGATGTTGTCGCCGACCAGAATCTCCTCTTGGAACGGCGAGGGCCCTCTTCGTCCGCGGCGACCACCGGTGAATGCACCAAATAGATCTTCAAAATTAAACTCTGCTCCAAAGCCTCCGCCAAAACCAGAGAACGGGTTTCCGCCAGCTCCGCCGAAAGGATGCCCACCCGCACCAGCAGCACCGGGATCGAACCCGGCACCCTGGTCGAAGGCGGCCGCGCCGAACTGGTCGTAGGCAGCTTTCTTTTGAGGATCATTCAACAATTCATAGGCTGCTTGTGCATCTGTAAACTTCTCCTTCGCACCAGGGTCTTTATTGGTATCGGGATGGAATTTCTTCGCAAGCGCGTAGTATGCCTTTTTTATTTCGGATGCAGAGGCATCTCGGCCAACACCGAGTGTCTGGTACGGGTCCTTGGTCGCATGGGAGACCGGCGTTGCGGAGAAGAGCCGTGTCTGTCTCGATGGAAAACGACGTTTGTTGGAAGGGTTTATGGGCGTCGTGGTACTGGACAAATGTCTTGTCTGAGCCTTGCGAGCGAGATTACTGCAATGTCGAGGGCATTGTATCGATGTTCGGATTAAGCGGGGGACCGTGCCGGTCCAAGCAGCACCTGCAACACTCATAGAGTTGGTGTTCAGCTGTGCTGTATGTACATAGAGACGAGTTATTCCGCTGCAGTCGGTTAGATGGTCAAGATGTCGGACAGTGAATGGGTGTGATGGCGCAGTAGTACGTAGTATAGTACAGCGTCCAGAGTAAGAAGCGGTATAAAGCAGCGCGCGAGTCAGAAAGTTCCAGGCTTTTCGCTTCTTGGGCAAAATTTAACTCCGCTCGCCGCAGTTTCCCTTCTGGGAACAATGATGAGTTCAGCACCTGTCCGCTCTGTCCCCGAGTATCTGGATATCTGCAGTGCTGTATAGGCCCGCGAACGGCAAGACAGGCATCTATTCTTAACCCCGACGCACCACTCCCTCATCCTCCTTCATCAATCCATCTCAGCTTCCTCAGCTTCTCCATCTGGCATAGGACCTTCCTGCCCGAATCCTCTTCATCGAAGCCGAGCCAGATCAAGGGGCCGCACCTCAGCGTCCGCCACCGCTCCCACCTCGAAACCCGACATTTGCCAGAGCATGCTCCGTGGCCAAAGTCTACCATGGAGGATTGCGCTCCGGAGCAGTCAACACAACCTATGCAGGGACTGTAGGCGACAACTGATTCAACGCAATGCATTCTCCTCGTCTGCGACCGCTCGACGGTCGACACACGCTTCGTTGATCGCAGCTCGGCACGGCTTACAAATACGGGAATTCTCTTCCCATCCAGTCCGCCGGAAAGACAAACCACCTGAGGATGATCCCTCGCCGCAACCGGAGGAAGCTGATGAAAAGGCCAAAAAGGTAGCGAATGAGTTAGATGAAGCACCTCGGACTGAGGATGGCGTCGAGTCTAAAAAGCCGCCGCCTGAACCGCAGTCGATACCCCAGTCTGCCAGCCAGGCAAAGCCTACCTCGGCGGGAGGGAGTGGCGGGGAGTCACCATCATCTTCATCTGGAAGCTCTGGTGGAGGCGATGGCACAAGGCGTGGACGAAAGAGTACTCAGATATCGAAGCCGACGGTCCCTGAAACGTATCCCCAAGTCATGGCCATTCCGATCGCAAAAAGGCCCCTTTTCCCAGGCTTCTACAAGGCTATCACGATAAGAGACCCGAACGTGGTCGCTGCCATAACAGAAATGATGAAACGAGGGCAGCCGTATGTCGGCGCATTCCTGTTCAAGGATGAGTCTGCCGACAAGGATATCATTGAGAAACCTGAGGACGTTCATGAAGTCGGCGTTTTCGCTCAGATCACAAGCGCATTCCCGGTTCATGGCGACGAGCATAGCTTGACTGCAGTACTCTATCCGCATCGCCGCATAAAGATGACTGCTTTGATACCTCCCTCCACAGGTGCAGAGAAGGGTCCGTCCGTAGTCGATATTCAGCCCGTGAAAGAGGACAAACCAAGTTCTGATGGCGATCCCGAGAACAAAGGCGATGTGGTGGCAAGTTTCGAGGAACCGAACAAGGATCAGCCCGCCCAATTGACAGTATACGAGCCAACAGCATTCCTTCGAAAGTACCCAGTCTCGCTGGTGAATGTGGAGAACTTGACCGAGGAACCTTACGAGAGAAAGAGCGACGTGATAAGAGCCTTGACGTCCGAGATCGTCAATGTCTTCAAAGAGGTGGCCGGCCTTAATCAGCTGTTTCGAGATCAGATCTCTGATTTCAGTGTTTCACAGTCCGCTGGCAACGTGATTGAAGAACCGGCCAAGCTCGCTGATTTTGCAGCCGCAGTCTCTGCCGGGGAGGTGGACGAGCTGCAGGACGTCCTCCAGACTATGAATGTGGAGGAGAGATTACACAAGGCCTTGGTGGTCCTCAAAAAGGAATTAATGAATGCCAAATTGCAATCGAAAATCTCCAAGGACGTCGAAAGCAAGATTCAAAAGCGCCAACGTGAGTATTGGCTGATGGAACAAATGAAGGGTATCCGACGAGAACTCGGCATCGAATCCGATGGAAAAGACAAACTTGTGGAGAAGTTCAAAGAAAAGGCCCAAAAGCTCGCCATGCCTGAAGCTGTCAAGAAGGTTTTCGAAGAAGAGCTCAACAAGCTGGCACACCTGGAACCCGCGGCGTCAGAATTTAACGTAACAAGGAACTACCTCGACTGGCTCACTCAGATCCCATGGGGTCAGAGGAGTGCCGAGAACTTTGGCATCAAGAATGCCATGCAGGTGCTGGACGAGGATCATTATGGTTTGAAAGACGTCAAGGACCGAATCCTTGAATTCATCGCCGTGGGTAAGCTTCGTGGAACTGTTGAGGGCAAGATTTTATGCTTTGTCGGACCCCCTGGAGTGGGAAAGACATCCATCGGCAAATCCATTGCTCGTGCTTTGAACAGACAATATTACCGATTCAGTGTTGGGGGCTTGACGGACGTCGCCGAGATAAAGGGTCACCGTCGCACCTATGTTGGTGCTCTTCCTGGGAGAATCATTCAAGCCCTCAAGAAGTGCCAAACAGAGAATCCCCTGATCCTCATCGATGAGGTTGACAAAATCGGACGCGGTCATCAGGGTGACCCTTCTTCCGCGCTGCTTGAGTTGCTCGACCCTGAGCAGAATTCGAGCTTCTTGGACCACTATATGGATGTGCCTGTGGATCTGTCCAAGGTTCTGTTCGTCTGCACCGCAAATATGACAGACACAATTCCCCGGCCTCTGCTCGATCGCATGGAGATGATCGAACTCAGTGGCTACGTCGCAGATGAGAAGAAGGCCATTGCGGAGCGCTACCTTGCGCCTCAGGCAAAGGATCTCTCCGGTCTCAAAGATGCCGACGTCAACTTGGACGAGTCCGCTATTGAGGAGCTCATCAACAAATATTGTCGCGAATCTGGTGTGCGAAATCTCAAGAAGCAGATTGAGAAGGTGTTCCGCAAGTCCGCTTTGAAAATCATCCAGGACCTGGGCGAAGAAGCTCTGCCTGAATCTGAAGCGCTGACGGAGGAAGGAAAGGCTGCACTTGAAGAAAGCAAGAAGGACGCCTCGGACGTAAAGGACACTCCAGAGTCGATTGAAAAGGAGACCACAGAACACCCCCGGGTCGCCCTCAAACTACCCGAATCGGTCCATGTGACAATTACCAAGGACAACCTGAAGGATTACGTTGGCCCTCCTGTCTTTACATCAGACCGTCTGTATGAAACCACGCCACCTGGCGTTGCGATGGGCCTTGCCTGGACGAGCATGGGAGGCGCAGCCCTCTACGTCGAGTCGATCCTCGAGTCGGCTCTGTCCCATTCCAGCAGACCAGGGCTTGAGCGGACCGGCAACCTGAAACCGGTGATGAAGGAGTCGATTTCCATTGCGTACTCTTTCGCCAAACATGTCATGGCCACGCGATTCCCGGAGAATCATTTCTTCGACCATGCCAAGATCCACCTGCACTGTCCGGAGGGCGCTGTTCAGAAAGACGGTCCATCAGCCGGCATCACGATGGCGACATCCCTGCTGAGTTTGGCTATGGATAAGCAGGTTGATCCAGCGCTAGCCATGACCGGCGAGTTGACCGTGACGGGCAAAGTTCTCCGGATCGGTGGTTTAAGGGAGAAGACAGTTGCAGCCAGAAGGGCGGGATGCTCGAAGATTCTGTTCCCGAAGGATAATTGGGGCGATTGGTGCGAGTTGCCTGAGGTAGGTTTCCTTCTTCCATACTCGTTGTGTAGACCATACTAACCGACTATACAGAACATCAGAGAAGGCATTGAAGGTCATGCAGTTGACTGGTATGACGACGTGTTCGATATTGTCTTCCCCAACCTTGTTACGGAAGACATCAACTCCTTGTGGAAAGACGCATTGAAAAAGTCAAAAGAGGATAAGGAGAAGGACAAAAACCATGACGATGATGACTGAAAAACATGGCATCGGCGACTCCTTCGGCGTCTCAGAACGACCGGATCCGAGACACTTTAGACGAACATTACGTCTGGTCGGAGTCTCTCCGGGAGCAGCTTGCGAGGCTTTATAGACATGCGTTCGGCTGTCCAGTTGGCTGAAGCTTGCCTTTTGCTAACTGGTCCGCTGCAACTTGCTCCGCCCGTGATGCGTATCATACGGTCGTGGACAGGATGAGGTGGTGTCCACATGCAGCCGGACTCCATGGTATGCGTGGCGCGCATTAGCATTTGACTGGCCATGCATGGCATTTACTTGGAGATTGAACTTCATGGATCGGTGTTGATGATGGATATCCATGAGAACAGAGAAAGTGGCTGAGAGGGTATATTGAAATCTCCGCTCCGCCTTGTAAGATCAATAGAAAATAGATGGAAGGGCTAGCGCCGTCGAGCTGCATGGCAAAGCGGCAAATGGGTATCTGGTCTGCTACCACGTTTTTGAACTCCCAGACTTCCCTTCAACTGTAGTGTTTGCTCTCCTGTTGGCTGGCCGGAACGTGCTGTAGCGTCCTCCGTGCGTTCTAACGTCGGTTTCCGAAAACCCCAGAGAGCTGTGTCTGTGTTATTCCTCGTCGCCGTCTATATCTTCAACTTGAATGTCTTCTTCCTCCTCCTCCGATGTTGTGTATACACCAAGCGCATCCTCGGACCCTCTGATGCTGGCGTACCTATAACTCCTAAGAACAGCGAGTTCGTGGGTGTCGAGAATCATTTCCTCCTGCTTTTCAGAGGCGCGTCCTCCTCGAAGAAAGAGTCTCGGAAGCTGTGGTTCGTCGGAATCCGAATGCAAGCGGTCGTCGTCGTCGTCGTCGTCGTCTTCACTGTCAGCTATCTCAAGGGCCTTACGCTTATTGGACCGAGACTGCTGAGATAATTCGTCGGGGAGCAGAGGCAGTTCATTCCGAAGTAATGTGGCTCCCACTCCGTTCACTTCGCCCGCCAGCTCCTGTTCACTACTCGACATATCAAGCGTCAAAGGATAGAGACCGTGCGTCAGTATGGCAAACGGCACCGGCGTCCTGTAGACGTCCTTGCGAGCGAGTCGCTGGACCTCGGCATAGCGCAAGCCCCTGGCCTTTATTTCGGACATCTCGACTTCTTGTTCCTCGTCCGGGAAGTCACGGTACAGCATAATGCGGGTATGCACAGCACTGTCCCATGCTTGACTGGACAAGGCAGGTTTCAAAGTGGCCTTTTGTCCGCTTTTCAAATTCATTGTCGCACTGGTAAGCACCAGTACGGAGAGTCTTTTGAGGGCAGCTATTTTAGACATGGCGGCGGCCAGACTCTCGATGACCTGGAACCGTCGTCCAGCAGCCTTCTTCTCCATTTTCTCCCGGACAGCAGCTGGAGCGCCAGGTTTTAAGGATTTGGGATGCCTCGAGAACGAGCCGAGCACCAGATTTGACAAGTCGTCCACAACAATCAGGCAGGTTTCTGGCGAGGGAGAGGATCTTGCGGGATGCAAGAATAGCGCCAATAGCCTAGGTAGAGTGGAGGCTTCAAGATACGTGAACTTATCCTTGAGGGATGCTCCAGCGTCGACAGGGGCAGACGACGATGAAGATGAATCCAGTTCACCTTGCAACCGTCGCGACGCTAGTAGCTCATGAAGCCTTTTCTCTATTAGGGGAGAGCCTGTATTGACCCACAGGACATGGTCATCGTCGGAAGAGTGCATAACGTTGACGGCAACTTGAAGGGCGAATGTCGTCTTTCCCACCCCTGGCGGGCCAAATACCTCGGTTACATGCCCTCTCTGGATCCCCGGCGTTGCAAGAGGGATATCGCTTGGTAGAAGAAGGGAGTCCAAGGCGGGAAGACCGGAGGAAATGCCTTTCGCCTTGACCGACGCGTTCTGAAGGGCTTCGATACCAGAGACGGTGGGAAGACGATGTTGAGAGGGCAAGGTGGAGAAATTGTGGCTGTCTTCTTCTGCACCTCGATCCTCCATGCTGATACTGTACCACGGGTTCCCCAGGCATCGTGGAGCTACTGGTACAGCAGAGTCTGTTCTGGCCAAGGCGTGTCAAGGTAGCGGGGTCGCGGTGAAGCTGCTAAAGGTGGCAGAAGCGTGACAAACAGAAAGACAGCAGCGTCAGCGTCATGTTTGAGTCGACAAGGTGTTGAGATTCCATGCAGGCCAGTTGTCCGACTTTGCGTCGATAAAGGATTGTGGCCGTTCAAGTTCGCCTTCGACGCGGGAAATGCGAGGTTGAAGTTGCGAAGGCGCGTCGTTTCAAATGACGTGCACCTACGTGATTGCGGGCCGCGGATTGCTCAAATGACTGCCATTCTAACGTCGACACGACGCAGGCACGTTCAGCATTTCACTTCTCTCCATCAATTAATCTGATTCATTGCTGATACACATTCACCAACATTGCAAATACACAAAAGCTTTATGTCTTCTTCTCGGACATCGCTCTGCCAGTTCTACCATTAACCTTGGATCCCTCGGGCTGGCCATCGTGCACAATATTTCCTCCGAGAATGTATAGCCAGAGGACCTTTGCGGAAAGTTGAACGAAACGACACACGAAATATAAGACTAAGATGGATCACGTTGCCACCCTTGCCCTTCCTGTCCTTCTCGCAATAACCGTCATATGCGTCCAAGAGGCGTGGAGGATGCGTAACGTGCTGAGAGGCTACAAACGATTGACGCTACAGGGCGCCTCCAATATGACCGACGAATACCATGAGAGATACACTCGACCCCCGGGTACCCCCTCTGATTCGCAGTGGAAAGTCAAGGCTTTGTTTGTGCACCCTATCAAGTCCTGCGCGCCGGTCGAATTGGATGGGGCAGACGTCGACAGTGCAGGCTTTACCTGGGATAGGAAATTCGCATTTGCTGAATTAGTCAAACCTCAAACACGACTGGATGCTTCCGAAGAAGAAAAGAAACCGAGATGGACCTTTAGGACGCAACGTCAGCCTGGCTTCGAGAAGCTTGTCCGCGTGAGACCAGAGATCTGGCTACCAGATACAGCTGCTGCCAAATCGGGACATTCGGACGGGGGATTCATGGTTGTGAAATATCCCCGTTCTCCTTCTGGCCCATTTGCTGGGCTGATAAAGCTTCTTGTTTGGGTGGGAATCATGTCTCAGGAGAAATCGTTCCAAGTACCTCTGGTTCCTCCTAACAACCATAAATACCCCTCGGAGCAGGTAACCATCTGGCGGGATTCCCCTAAGTGGCTCAATTATGGCGTGCATGTCCCAAACGATTTTCGCGCCTACATTGGCGTGACCAATCCTCTGACATTGTTCAGAGTCGATCCAAAGAGCTACCGTGAGGTGCATCGTTGCGCTCCAAGAAAAGAAGAATTGGGTTATCAGTCTGTGGTTGGGTTTGCTGATGCGTACCCGGTGCACCTTCTGAATATTGCTTCAGTCCGAGATGTGGCTGAAAGAGTCAAGAAGGATATCCCACGTTTTTCGGCGAGAAGATTTCGTGCCAACATTGTGGTTTCTGGTCCCAGCGCCTACGATGAGGATGACTGGAAGAAGATCAAGATAGGGAATCATGTCTTCTTCTGTGCCTGTCACACCGTCCGATGCAGGTTACCGAACGTCGATCCTGATACCGCGGAACGACATGCAGTCGAGCCGGACAGAACACTGAAGTCATTTCGATGTATCGACGACGGCGATCCTCGCAACGCTTGTTTGGGGTTGCAGTTGGTGCCGGCAGAATCTGATGTTTTCCAAATTCAAGCTGGAGATGAGATCCAGGTCATGGAAAGAGGTGAACATCATTACATCAAACAGTGAATCCTGGTCTTTCTCGCTAAGATCTCAACTGATATCGACGAAGTGGGATAGTTATAACAACGATTCTGGATTCTGCCCATCCGTTGCCAATGGAAATCATCTTCCTTGCCCGCACGCTATGGAGCCATCCTGGGAACGGCCTGCATCTGCCTGCTGTTGGAGATCTGCCTCTCCTTCACGCCGCCAAAGATACTGAAAAGCCCTAAGAACCAACGGTGGTCTTGATCGGTGTCAATCCGATCAGTACTGGATTGGAGAACTGGGCGGGGGGATCAGGTTCGTGCAGGTCTCGTCCAGATACGAGCATCTACCAGAACTGTCCCACGAGCCTTGCGCCTCAGACGTTATTACGGGGCTCGGCAGAATTCATTGGCCTCGGCTTCAGCATATTCGCTACAATCATTGTGTGCAAGAGATTTGGTAGTCCTATCATGTAAGTCTAAGATAGCGTTGCGATCAATAAGTTTTTACGGACTGCTAACTTGGATCACTAGCAAATCCTGTTCCGTCGTTATCGGGTTGCTGGTTGGATGTTTCATCGCAGCAGCCACCAACTATTTCGACGCCTTAGGGATCAAGAGCGCGAAAGCTGCTTCGTTCATCTGGGTCGAACCGTTCCTCTTGTCCCATCAGTGCCCCAACTCTGCCCTGAGGACCCCGGGTTCATGAACGGATGTCGACTTGGAGTCGAATGCGGGCACCGCCGTAGCAAAAGATGATCATCAAGGATGAGTGATTTGTGAGATGGCGGGTGCCTCAGGGGAGGGGCGTGAAGTTAGCGGGTTGGTTCAGAAGGCTTTTCTTGTGTCCTCAACAATCTATCACAGGGTTGTCGCCGACATCTCTTCCATGTAACGGGAGACAGTCAGTCTAGCCGCCATGTATATATTTCTCGTCTCAGCTACTGAATATAGCCCCATAGCTCCATACTCGGGGATGTATCGACCACCCACCTCTTCTCTCGCTCTCGAGAACAAGAACAAGAACAGAACCAATCCTGCGGCGGAGAAGTGCCGTTACTCATAGACCGTTTTATAAGAGCCTTGATTGGCGCAATGAAGATGAAGATGAAGATGACAGCCCAACCCTTGCGCACCGGTCAGCCAACCAGCCCTTCTCGGATTGTTTGGGTACATGATCAAGGACCAGGTAACGGGCCAGCCTTCTGGTTTCGAAATGTCCTCAGTTGGGTTTACCAGGCTTCAAGATCCGGTTACACTATGATGCGCGTATCGTGAATGTATGCACTTCGCCCAGCAAGACTAGATATATCCGATGTGCAGAATCAAAGGCGAAATCTAGTGCGGGTGAGAGTCAAACATTCCAGTAGTAAGTCAATCCAAGCCAACGGTGTCGGGCTAGTTACATGTAGTATGCAGTTCGAGTTTCTTGCGTAGAACAACTTGGCGGACGTGGAACCATCCAGTTTGCCCAGCACGTACCAGTACTAGATGCCGAGCAGACACGGGCTCAAGTGGGGGCCCGGGGTATTGGCATCGGGCAACGAGTGAGGAGTTGGACTGTTAATACATGGAGAGAAGGCGCGGTGAATGTCCCATATTCGCCAGTAGTGAATGATCCGAGATGGATGAAAGAAGGTTCGATGAGGAGGGGACTGCGGTAGTTCGATCGATACAGGTCCTGGTGACATCTGTTGAGGTCCATGGTTCGAGGCCTCCGAAGCCCTCCCCTGTTGCAGGACCCATCAGACAGACACCCTTCGTCCCTCCAAAGCAAGACTAAAAAAGATCGCGTTTCCTAACCCATGCCATAACCGAACAATCAACTGTGTGCTGCTACTACCTCTGTAGATAGCAGCTAGCTGAACATCTTCTCCGGCTGGGGCTGCGGGCTATCACATCGACCTGTCCCACAAGCGGCGTTCCTCCTCACTACCCTGCTCCTGCTCGTCTGCCTCTTCATCATCCTGTACACCCCGGTAGACACTAGCCAGCGACGTCTTCCTTCCAGATGCACACTGCACCGACATGAATCACAGCTCGATATCAGCGCTCTCTCGCTCGCATACCGGCTTTCTTTTTCATTTCCCGTACCCTCGTCAGATGGCCGAATCGTGACAGTTCGCAACCAAGAGATCACCCCGGGTCCTACCTCAAACCCCCACACCAGATCGAAGCGCATCGGAGACCTGCCATGGCTGATTGCCATCGAGACACTGCGTAACCTGTACTCGATCTCGACTTGGACTTGGGCTGGGGCTCCAGAGTCGGACTTGACGAGACCAGGACTCCAACTTCGACTTTCAATGCAACAGCCATCGCCGTCTCGGCTCGTCGCGTTTCGTTCGTGGTTGCTAGCCCTTCAACGGGTGTGAGACCAGTGGAGCAGTCATGCCATTATGCTTTGGGGGCGACGACAAAGAGCCAGAGGACGAATACGACTCGATTCCTTTCAGCCTGCGGTGGCGCATACGCTTTAGCAAGAAAGAGACAGACCCGAACACTGGTGAGACGGTATTGCGGCTGAGCAGCAACAAGATCCTCAAGACGCAATGCGCCAACACCGAGTACCAGGCTCTCAAGCTGATCGACCGCAACACGTCTGTGCCCACGTACAAGGTGCTGGCCGTCTATAATCGACCGGAAGGGAAATGGGTGGAATATGAGGCATGCCCCGGCAAACCGCTGCAAGACGTTTGGCCCAACATGGCTGCGCACCAGAGGAACAAGGTCGTCATCGACATCGGCCGGTTTGTCGAGCAACTGCGTAAAATGCAGCCGCCCAAACTGTGCGTCGTTGGGGACGCGACGCTGGGAGCTGCCTTGGACAAGCGCTTCGGTTCTGGCAAGGTCGGCCCTTTCTACTCGATCGCCGCGTTCCACGATTTCGAACGCAGAGGACATCCGCCTCACGACTTTCCCGAGAAGGAGATCCAATCGGTGCACGACCCGAAGAAGGAGTACGAGCTCAAATTCACCCATGCCAATCTTTGTCCCAAGAACGTTCTGGTGGACGACGCGGGGAGGATAACGGCTCTGATCGGCTGGGAGTCTTCAGGCTGGTATCCAGAGTATTGGGAATACACCCAGATGTGCCACTTGACACCAAAGACCATGGGCGATTGGCTTGATGCTATGCGTAATGTCCTGCCTCGCTATGACCAAGAGTTGGCGTGCGAGGAGGCTCTTCGATCCCATTACTGTGGTTCCATATACGATGCTCCGAGAAGTATTAGGGCCCAGAGTCCCAGTCCCAGTCAACTGCTGGCCGACCAACGGGACATCGAGGATAAGAATACAGAGAGTACAAGTGGCTGAAAGAGGAAACGAAGCAATGAAATGGACCCATAAAGGTAAACGATTGACGTCGACATCGGTTGAAGGTTGAGAGGCAAGACAAAAAGGCGTTCAGTGGAGCCTGCATGGCGTTTGCTGGGCTGAGCTGTTTTGATAGAGACAGCAAAGATGCATCAGACAGAGGGCGTCCACTGGCAGGTTTTTTCATCGCAGCATGCAGTGCTGCAGTGTGTGGTTGCGACCCTCTCGGCGTCTACTGAAATGCGCGCTGCTAATTGCTTGCTGCTCGGCGTTCCAGCACGCCTGAATACAATATGATGTTACTGAGTTCGTTGTTTTGTCTGTTGGTACTCTATTCTCCGTATCAGCTAAGGGCGTGTGACCGGCGAGAAGCCCAAGACTGGCGTGTGTTCTTTGCTTTTGCAGCCATCTGCTTTAGCTCTGGCAAGATACAGGAAGCTGACATTGCCTAGGAGCGGACAAAGAGATGTGCAGTTCCCTTCGGCATGAGACAAACATTGACAAGTGTCTCAACTGCAGGTTGCTATCAGAAACGTATCTTACAAATTTGTGTCATTGCATTCTTGTCTGATGATGATGAGCACCTTCTCCATCAATTGGCTGCCGTGAACTAACAAACAGCATCATGTTTCTTGAGTGAATGGCAATGAAATGGACCAAGACTGGATCTGTGGACCATGGGAACACAGAGGGGAACTACCTGATAAAGCTGTATATCTCAGTCTTGCGGAAGGCTGCCATCCGTTTTGATTGACTTGAGAAGCATATACCTATGGCAGGTGTCTGAACTTTTGGCAATGTACCACTCAATGTAAGATGGAGTGGACTTGGAAAACCGGCCTGCTCAAGTCTGGTCATTGATGATGTTTGCCAACAGATCGACTGACTTCCTCTACACAGTTGCTGGTCGCAAAGAACATCAATAACTCCGTGGCAACTCCAGGACCTTTTCACTGATGAAGTTCAGTATCATCTCACGACTGACCGGCGCTATTCGTGGCACGAGGCTTTCTCTGAGATACCTCTCAACATCGTACTCCATGGCATATCCCATACCACCGTGAGTCATGACGGCCCTTTCACACGCTCTGAAGGCCGCCTCGGCAGCCAGATACTTAGCACTGTTGCAGGCGACTCCCACTGCCTGTGGGCTGATGGTCTTATCTGTTCTGCTTCGATCGTACAGCCGCGCCGCATGATAGGTGGCCAACTTGGCCGCTTCGAGGTTCACATATGCATCCGCAAGAGGGTGAGCGATAGCCTGGTTCTTGCCTATTGGCCTGCCAAAGATGACCCTTTCCCGCGCGTATCTGGCAGCCCTTTCCAATGCCGCATAGCCAAGACCAAGTGCTTCTCCTGCCAAAAGACACCGCTCTGCATTCATCCCATGAAGGATGATCTTGAACCCTTGTCCTTCCTCTCCGATCAGGGTATCTTGCGGGATTTCATAGTGGTCAAAGAACACCTCGTTGGCATCTACTGCTCTGCCACCCATCTTTTTGATCCTTTTCAACTCCAATGCTGAGTTAGACTTGTCGAGATCTATGCAGAACATGGACAAGCCTTCACTTGGCTTCTTGACCTCTTCCACCGGGGTGGTTCGAGCGAGTAAGATCATCTTCGAGGCCACCTGGGCGCAAGTAATCCATATCTTCTGACCTGAAAACTCGAGTCAGTGCTGTATGAGCATGCCCATCTCTCCAGATCTTGCGTCGAGAGGACCATGGCATTGAACAGACTATGTAGAGGGGCTGCTGCATGCTAGGTTCGTTTTCCACAGCGCTTCTTTGTCGTTGCGAACGGATGCGCTTACCTGTGATCACATATTTGTCACCCTTCCGAGTGGCAGTCGTCTTCAATCTTAGGGTGTCGAGACCAGTGTTGGGCTCTGTGACGCCAAAGCAGACTCTCCATTTACCGCTGATGATGTTGGGAATGGTCGACTGTAACTGCTCTTTGTTGCCGAACTTGGCCAAGGGTTGTGTCGCATATACATTGGCATGAATGGATTGAGCCCCCGCCATGCCGGCGCCTGATTGAGATATAGTCTGTAACATGACCGTCGCCTCGGATATGCCCAGTCCTGCACCCCCAAACTCCTCCGGCAGTGCAATTCCAAGCCACCCATCGGCAGCTAAGGCTGCGTGCAGTTCTTTTGGGTCTGTCTCGGATTGATCATGTTGTTGCCAATATTCATTGGGAAATTGAGCACAAATCTTCTGGACCGCATCTCGCACTGTTAACTGCTCTTCTGTAAAAATACTCGTGTCCATCATGCCGTAACTCCTGCTTATGGAAAAGTGCCTATGTCCGCCGTACTCGGAAGCTCGAGGCCAAAGCCCAGGCCGAGAGGCAATGCTGACTCGGCATCTGTGAAACAAGCGTAGCAGATGGCTACTACCAGGACCTCTTACGGCCATATCAGCTACACAGGGAGAGGAGCTCACGTGTGTTTGATTTCTAAATCATGGCAACAATGGAAAGGAGCACTATAGTCTGTTGGAACTTTACCGCATAGTATATGTACGAGCTCGCTAACACTAATATTTGGAGAACCTCCGAGATCGCTCACTCTCCGAGATGAAAGCAACTGCTTTCGAGATCTAAAAGCGGGTGATCTCGGAACTCGAAACAACTGCTTGACCAATGAGAATCCAACTGACTGGTTAAGGTGATTGCCCACTCGGGGAATGACCGGTAGTACTCCGCATCCACAGACTTGAAGCGCGACCAACCCCACTGCACGTGACTGGGTGTCTTTCACGCGGTGCCAAGATGTAAGTGGTGACCGACCTTGAGTCCGAGCTAATACTTATTTGGCAGCCTCAATAACACTCGAGAGTTGTGAGATCTCAACACGTCAAACATCATCTTCCACCGACCTGGCAATGCCATCTCTGGCGTCGAGAGAGAATCCTTCTACGAATCCTTACCGAGATCCCCCGAACCCACCCGTGATTTACCTCCCAGACCGGATCATATTCCGTACAGGCCGCGCAATGGCTGCCAAAGCTACCGCAATCGGGTCAGCCGCCTGGATCTCAGCTGAGAAGGAAAATGCCTTGCAGTTACTGCAAAATGAGAAGGAAGAGGTGGTCTTTCCAGCACAGCATCAGCTTGAGTGGCTAAACGAGCATATGGCTGAGATCTTCAGCAAGAGCAATGTGTGAGTGGCACTTCTGAGCTGCGAATGTGTACTGGGAAGCTGATGCCGTCAGTGATGTGTCCAATGTCTTCAAAACACCAGGAAAGCTGCGAGGAAAGACGCCACGTACGGCGAGAAAACGCAATGTTCAAGATGCACGCATAGTATGTTGACTCCGTCCATGTTACCACTTTCTAACGCCCACGCCCTAGCCGCTGAGTGACGTGTTCTCGTCGAAGCCACCCCAACGACAGAGCCCTGAGAAGCATTTAACCATTGATAAGCCTCACTTTGTAATCGCCCGAGACGCAAGCGAACAGAGCATACATGCCTTCAAGTCGCAGACTGATTCTGGCTACCACGGCTCAAGCCAAGGCGATGTCGAAGCGGAGACGCAAATGCATACTTTCCAACTAGCCGGCCCAGCGAAGATGGGACAAGGGACCCCCGACGGGCTCCTGCATGGGCATATCACAGATGAAAACGCGCTTTCAGAAGAAGTTCGGACTACAGAAGGATCATTCCATTCTGCAAAGGAAGAAGCAACTACCAAGATCGCGGACTCAGAGCCTCCGCCACAACAACCCGCGGCTCAAGAAACAATATCGAACAACCAACACTGTATAAAAGCCGAACCAGTGGGTAACATGCAATCAGATGGACCCCAAACCTTCGATGAGGTCGGCTCGCCATCGGACGAATCAACGCCAGAAAGACCTTTGGTGAGGAAGAGCAGCTTGACTTTCGCTTCCCTCCCAGCGCGAGAGCCCATGAAAACGAGTATAGGTACCAGAATGTCGCGGACGAGTCACATTGATCAGCCACGTCAACCTGGGCCGTACGGCGCGCGGCAAGGGTTGGCCCCAAACCAGACCGGGTCGATTCTCGCCCACGATAATGATGGAGCTGTTGCAAAGATTGCAATGAACGACGACGACGAGATTGTTGAGATTCTAGGGCACGATGAATCCCCTGCGGAGCTACATACCTCCAAAACCCATTCGAAGTTGTCGACACAAAGATTGCACGAAAAGATAGACATGTTGGGAAAGGCACCTCAACCACGTCCGTCTGAATCCATTCCGTCGGGTGCCACCTTGGCTACGAACAAACAGAACGATGCCCATGACCACCATGAGCGACAGGGCCACCGGAACCTATTGATTCAGGAAGATGATGATGAATGGATCAAGCCATTAACGTCCCCTCGTGTGGCCATTTCATCGCCATCCAAGAGCGTCACTACGAACAGCGCAGAGGATTCGGACGACATGGACGAGTTTGATATTCGTGCTCCCGAATTGATAGCCCATGAGGCACGAATGAAAACACCCATTCGAATGTCTCCCAGCCCGGGAAAGTTCAGACCCGGGTATGGCCACGCCAAATCTGCGTCCACGGCCACGCTGGCTTCGCCCGCAAAGGCAGCAATGGCACCGCCTGCCAGCCCTGCCAAATCGATATCCATCTCAAATCCTCAGCTAACAACTACTCCGCAGGGCTCCCCTAAACGGTATCTTGATCTTAGTGCTTCCAAGTCGAAGTTGCAGTCCATCATGAAAACTGCAAAGGGTCTCTTCACCACCAGTGCAGGAGTGTCCGCTGCAGCCAAGCTTGAGACACTTTCACCCAACGCAGTTGATGCGATGTCGAGTGTAATGCCAGGCATGTACCCGAATCTTGGTGCGCTCAGTGATGACAAACCGTTGCCGCCTAGTCCTCACAAGGCGGTGAGGAAGACTCGCAGCTCCACAGAACGGGAGAAAGAGGAGAGACGGAAGGAGAAAGACGCCCAAATCATGCAAAAGATGGATGAACAACTGAAGAAGGCACGAGAAAAGGAGCGGAGGAAGATGGGAGAACAACGTGTCGCGCAGGAAACGACCTCAAACATGATCAAGATGGAGCAACCCAATCATCCGAGTCCCAGGCGTGCGGCGGACGAGACCAATCACCAAGACCAGACTGAGCACACAGCGTTAACGACCAAACCAGCACGACCTGGCAGGCCAGTAAGAGAACCCCCAACGAGCAAGGCTAAACCAGCGCCTGTATCTATCAGGGTTGGGACTCTTTCTCAACGAGTGCCACCCAACGCCCCACACGCTGCTTCAAATCCACAGGAGATCATGCCCAACGAGCCCAAACGCCCAGGATTGAGCAAAAAGACCAGTACCGCTTCCTTGCAATCCGCGACCTCCACCGGTTTGAAGTCATCGATGCATGGCCAGCCACCCAAACCGAGGGCGCTCCTCGCCGCAGAGAGGAAGAAGGAGCAGGACGAGCGGGAGGCCCAGCGGAAGCTGGAGCAGAAGCGGGAAATCGAACGCAAACGAGCCGCACAACAAGAAGAGGCCCGAAGACAAGAGCAGAAGCAGCGCGCAGAAGCAGAAAGACGTGAGCGGGAGCGATTAGCCGTAGAGCAAGCGAGAAGACAGGCCCAACAACAGGCCATCGAACGGAAGCGACAAGAGGCGGCTAGAAAGGCAGAGCAGCAACGATTGGATCGGGCTGCAACTGAAGCTGTGAGTATTTCGAAACCTTCTGAAAATCATCCGTTGACCACTTACAATCAGGCGCGTCCATCTTCACGCCTCGGAGGCCAACCTGTCGGCCGTTCCTTGATCAACCATGCGTTGCCCACCAATCCGGCAAAGCCGCCAAAACGGCCTTTGGAGGAGGACGTAGGCACTTCACGAGTCCAGACTGCTAAGTACAACATGGGCCCGCCTCAGAACGATGCAAAGAGAAGAAAGACTGGAGAGGACGAAAGTACTGCCGAGCCTACGTTCCGCCCAATGGTTTCAGGAGCACCGATCCGTCAATCCCAGCTCGGAAAGAAGCCGTCAATATTCAACCATAGCTCTTACACACAAGCACAACCAGCCGGCAATCTTGGACAATTCCCACAGCCGCCAACTCGAGCAGCACCTCCTCAGATGCAGCAATATGCCAACGGTGCCAAGATTCCATTTGCAGATGCTCCAAACCCCCCGGCCCATTCAAAAACTCCTGTGTCAATCATGCAGCAAAAAACAATTCAGACGGTCAAATCATCGCCCCAGTATCCTCATGGAGAAGCCATCAACCTTCCTGAGATTCCGACTGATTCGGAGGATGAGGACTCTGAAGATGAAGGCAACGCATTCCCAATTCCTGACTGGGCAACGCCAGGCCACTTGACCGAACAGCTGATTCGCCAGGAAGAAATGGACGGAGATGTTGTTTTCGGCCCAATTGCGCCACTCAAGATGGAAGAGATATTCGCGAAAGGCAACAAAGATCGACTCAAGCGACTTCGAGACCGCACCAGCAGTGCTAATTGGGCTCTTAGTGGTGATGGATTGACCCTCGAGGAAGTAAGGGCGGATCGGGAGCAGCGGGAACGCATGAGGTTAGAGGGCGGTTGGAAATTTGGAAATTGACTTGGGACTTGCGGGCCACAGTCAGCCTTGTTGGCTTGATTACACGTATCATGAACGGGACTGGTGTTTTGGGGCGATAAGGCGCGTTCCGGCGTACGCATGATATGCCATTGGTCCTCGGACAACTGGGAGGATATTGATCATGCCTGGAAGCATCGAGGAAGCCCAATTTCGTCCAGCACTAGAAATCTTCAGTCTCTTCCATCTGATACTGTGCATTACGCCTCTGGAAGTGTTTGAGAAGTCATCTTGTCTGATTTGGGTCACTGATTGGTACTAGAAGGGGTTATTGTTATGAGGTCTGCTTTGGGACTAGTGTCGGAAATGACGCCATTTGGCCGGTACCAGCGCCGTGCATAATCGTAAGGCTGGAGTGAAATCACAAATCCGCAACTCAAGATTTTGTGATATTGATGTAGACTGCCGACCTCAGGTATCCTTCTCGAAGCTCAATACCAATCGATCGCGCTCAGATTACTCTCATACGGCTCGTTCCGCTCTCCTCATAGCATCAAAGGATGGCTTCATCGGTCTCTCGCTCTTTCCTGCGCTCATTAAGACCGGCCGCACGGTCACGACCTAATGCCTCGTTGAGGTTCAGCGCTTCTCCATTCGCGAACGTATGTCGCGGGTATGCAGCACCTGCTGGAGAGCAACCTCGTCTGCGTCTCGGAACCACGGCCCCAAACTTCCAGGCTAAAACTACACATGGCGACATCGACTTTCACAAATTCATTGACAAGTCGTGGGCAATCCTCTTCAGTCATCCCGCCGATTTCACCCCAGTCTGCACCACGGAACTCGGCGCTTTTGCGAAGTTGAGGGGTGAATTCGACAAGAGGGGGGTCAAGATGATAGGGCTGAGCGCCAATGATCTCAAGAGTCACGGCGAGTGGATTAAAGACATCAACGACATCTCGCAGACAAACTTGCAGTTCCCAATCATCGCGGATGCTGATCGGAAGGTGGCCTACCTGTACGATATGGTTGACGCGCAGGACTTGACCAACGTCGATGAGAAAGGCACTGCTTTCACCATCCGGAGTGTTTTCATCATTGACCCGGCCAAGAAGATTCGATTGGTCATGCTTTATCCGGCGTCTGTCGGCCGAAACACCAGTGAGGTTCTTCGAGTCATAGACAGTTTGCAGACGGGCGACAAGAAAGGGGTCACGACGCCTGTTGATTGGCAAGTTGGAGACGATGTAATTGTTCCTCCCACCCTTTCGACGGCGGATGCACAGAAGAAGTTCACCGATGTCCGAGAGGTGCGCCCATACCTCCGTTTCACGAGCGGGAATACGAAATAGAGTCCCGGCTGAACACCGCTTCGTATCCATCAATCAAAATGGCCTTGCTACGTTAATCGACAAGAATAGATGGTTATGAGATGTAGATTAAACACTTTAATCGTTGTCAGATTATAGATGATAGGAATAAACCCCTCGAAGCGTTGGGGAGTGAGCATCTCTCCCCGTGTAATTTGGGGGAATGGCAAAGGTCCAGCAGTAGCTACGAGGAGTGCCGCCACTTCAAGTTGGAGATGAACGAATCGGACTACTAGTATCCCATAGTACAGACAACAATTCCTCTATTTTGCCCTTACACTCATTCTAATAGTTGCCAGCGTCTATTTTATTTTGCATACATTACTTCTGCAGATTGTCAACGCTGGTCCAGCCTTCTCGGCTTCTAAACGCATCATCTTGGTCCGCACAGACTCGCAATCAAGGGCCCTATTATATTCCACCGGTCTGATCTCAACACCCTTCCCCCGCGAAACCATACCGATCCCAAGAATGGCTTCCACTTCCTCCGCGGCGGTCCTGTTGGGCAGACAATTGAAACAAATGCAATCTGATAAGGATATCCCTGGAATCAGCTGCGGGTTGGTGGACGACAACATCTTCGAATGGACCGTCATCCTTTTGATCAACGACGACTGCAAATACTACGGCGGTATGTCATCCATGCTATCTACGTTATGGTTCTTCGTGCGCAGGCTGACCCAATTTCAGGTGGCCTCTTCCGTGCGCGGCTGTCCTTCCCACCAGAATACCCATTGATGCCACCCAAGATGAAGTTCGAAACTCCGATATTCCATCCCAACGTCTATCCTTCCGGCGAAGTATGCATTTCGATCCTCCATCCTCCCGAAGAAGACAAATATGGATATGAATCAGCCGCCGAGAGATGGTCCCCTGTGCAATCCCCCGAATCGATATTGATCTCCGTGATCAGCATGCTGAGCAGTCCCAACGACGAAAGCCCGGCTAATGTCGACGCGGCAAAGTTGTGGAGAGAAGATCCCAAGGCTTTCAGGCGGAAATGTCAAAGGATAGTTCGGGAGAGTCTTGGTGACGAATAACGACAAAGGGACAGCTATCTGGGGTTACGGCATACGATGGAGTTTGGGTTTGGACAGAAATGCTGGGTGCACGGATTATTCCATGCGAAGTCGCGAAGCCCTGCGCTACAAAGGGATACATACAACCGCAAGTGATTTATTTCGATCTCAAGTGTTCAAGCATGGAGTTGGCGGCCAGTTCGACCTCGAGGAGGCATCTTTGTGTTTGGGTTGCCGGCTCCCGCCATTCGTGTGTGAGGTGGCGCAGGAGAATGTACCCGTGCCTGGGTCACCATCCGGCAGACTCAAAGCAGGAAGATAGTTCGGGTTCAAAGACCTTTCAAGCGCAGTAGTCGGCTTGGAAAAGAATCGAGGTCAAATACCCAAAGGCTTTGCTTGATGGTGCTCGTAGGGCTTCACCTGCGCTACTGAACTCAGAGCACTCCCGACAGCTTGCTAAGGCATGCAGACGTGATTGAGACGGGACTTATCAGTCGTTCAAGTTACGAATAGGTAGGTACCTAAGGCACCAACTCCGTTAAAAGCATCGGACACCAAATGAAGTGATGAGGTCTGGCTCAGTAGTGGCGAGGCTGAAGTTATGGTGTAACTAGTACTAGTATGACTGTGGCGCAGTCAAGACAGCGGAGAAACATGGGAGCCTGCGGCCCAGGTATCGCATTCGTCAGCTCTGTACTACTGAAACACTGCAGACCGAAAATAGGCTCAGTTTCCATTATTGGAGCCTTTGGGATAAAGACAACGTGCCGTCTCCCTCTTTTCTATTTTCACCTCTACAACCCTCATCCTTCTCGATTCATCGATACTTACCTATTCTCTCCAACTGCTGTCACCATGACTCTGACGACTCACATACTTCGCCGCGGGCTTGAAGCTGCCCATGGAATACATGGGGCGATGTCCGATGCCGACCAAGGAGATGATGGTCATTCCGGCGGGGAAGCACCGTCTCGCGTCTCGCCTTGGGCTGCTCTGTTGTTCTTCCTGACTGCTGTCATTCTTATGGCTGCCTTATTCTGTGTAAGTCATACAGTTCGCCTTGACAGGCTGGCCCCAGGCTGACCTAACGGCCTCCTAGATTGCCTACACCTATGGCCACGTCATTCCCACGCTGTGCATGATCGAAGCCCCCGAGACCGAAACCTACCTTCCTGTCGATGTCATTGACCCTACGGAACCTCCGCCATACTCTCCAGCTGCTCCACCAAAGCCAACGGATGGCGCTGCGGACGATCTGGAAGGCAATGCTCACGCTGATCACGAAGTTCTCCTCATCCGCAACAAGCCATATACATCTTCCATCCGTCAGACCCTACTGCACCTGAGGGCTCGAGCAGGGTACTGGTCTCGACTCCGTGGTCTGTCCATGTTCATTGTCTGGAATTTGGTCAGTGGCTTGCTTGTGGCGATCTTCGGTGCGGCTACTGGCAGCCGGATCGGCGTTGCATTTATTGCCGTTGTGGTCGAAACTCTTCTGTCCAATCTGCATATGGCGTGGGTACACATTGTTATATCCGAATCTCGACCCAAAAGATGGTATCAGCGCATCCCTGCGCTCAGGACATGGACCAAGATTGCGCCCGCCGTGGCATTGTGGGCGACAACCAACCAGATTGTGTCTATTCTTCCCATCCTGGTTTGCGGCTCGTTTGGGTCCCTGAAGCATATGAACGATCCCGCGTATGAACCTGGAAAGAAGGACCTTTATGCTGTCGGCGCACAAGGGTTCATGGGTGTGTTCCTAATGTTGGCACTGTTTGTGCTTTTGCAGATTCCAGCCACAGTTACCCTTGTGAGGGTTGCTGCCTCGATGCTACCAGAAGAAGACGAAACCATTGTTCCGTTTGACCGCACTTTCGGTGGAAGGACGACCCCGGCCATCATTGGGGGTCAAGGCAAGATTGGCCTGGTGGAGGCTTGGAGAAGCTTCCCATGGGCAAGTCGCATCCGATTGCTGAAGCTCATGATTAAAGTGGCGCTCATAATGATGGCTTGCTGGCTTTTGTTCACAACCGTGATGGTTGCTGAGGCTCACATCATCTTTGGGGAACAGCTTGGTGAGGTAATGAAGGCAATGCATGGTATGACTGGCCCTCATTGAGACCGCTCAGGATGTCGGTCTAAAAGAAGCGGAATGCTTCGTATATTTCGAGGGACTGAAACTGTCAATGTCTGGAATACATGGAGTCTCGGTGATCATTGAACAGGAGTTGGGACGTTGTGGTGAAGCATGTATACTGGGCAACACCTTCTGTCCTACATAGCCTTGTATCAACATATAACCGCCTCCGCAGTTCGTTTGCGGACCGATTGCATGACATTGTGTCAACAAAGGTCTGCCCGAAGGCTGAGCGTAAATCTGAAAATTCCACGTACATATTTTGCTATGAAACGATAACAATTCGGGGAAGGCTGGAGAAACGAACAACCCCCACGGAGAGACGGATAAAAGGCGGCCGAGTCCCCGAGCCTCGGCTCAAGACAGGACACACAAACATGCATCCCTAGTACTCAGTAGTATATACATATTCGTTTCACAAGCTCGAGGCCAATTTCAAGGGAGAAGTGCGCGCGGTTGGTCTATTTTGATTTCCAACCGACTTCAGATCAGAAGCTCCCATTTACCACGACAGGACAGCGTTAATCCCAAGAACAAAGCCATGATATCACGCTGCTAAGCGAGTCCTCTCCATCGCACGTCGCGGTCGTCAGCCCCTCCTACGAACCTTTGGGCGGCTGATCTCTTCGCTCCATCTGTCCGCTTAGACACGTTCCACCGAAAGGAAAGCAGAGATTAACAGAAAACACATATCTGAGGGGTGGAGCGTCACCATTTTCTTCTCTGTTTCCCAGTCTCGGGCTCCTGCTTGCACAATCTCACAATGGCGCCGGCGACAATATCGACGTCTGTCGGGGAGCTCCCCTCGAAGGAAGAAGTGAAGGAGCAAGTCAAGGAGTCGGCGAAGGGTGCTGTATCTGGGCTGCGATCTCTGGCTGCAGGAGGTGTGGGCGGCGTGTGCGCAGTCATTGTTGGCCATCCCTTCGATCTGGTCAAAGTGCGGCTGCAGACGGCGGAGAAGGGCGTCTACACTGGTGCTATTGACGTGGTGAAGAAAACAATCGCAAGAGAAGGATTTGCTCGCGGCCTCTATGCTGGTGTCTCTGCGCCCTTGGTGGGCGTCACACCCATGTTTGCAGTGAGCTTCTGGGGTTACGACATGGGCAAGCTGCTGGTCGACAAGTTTGCAACGGTGCCAGTCGTCAACAACACCCCCCAGTACAGCATTGGGCAGATATCAGCAGCTGGTTTCTTCTCCGCGATCCCCATGACCTTGATTACGGCGCCTTTTGAACGTGTCAAGGTCCTGCTTCAGATCCAGGGACAGAAACAGCTTGCTCCGGGCGAGAAACCAAAATATAGCGGCGGTGTCGACGTCGTCAGGCAATTATACAAAGAGGGAGGGATCCGCTCCGTTTTCCGCGGCAGCGCAATGACCCTTGCCCGCGACGGTCCCGGTTCAGCGGCATACTTTGCAGTCTATGAATATGTCAAGCGCAGCCTCAGCCCGAAGGACAAACATGGCAATGCAACGGGGCAACTAAGTCTTCCTGCGGTCATGACGGCCGGCGGTGCTGCTGGAGTGGCTATGTGGATCCCGGTCTTCCCAGTTGATACCATCAAATCGAGGCTGCAGTCCGCAGAGGGACGACCGACCATCGGGGGCACTATAAGCAGTGTCTATCGGAGCGGAGGCATCAAGGCTTTCTTCCCTGGGTTCGGCCCTGCGCTGGCTAGAGCTGTCCCGGCCAATGCAGCTACTTTTGTTGGCGTCGAACTGGCGCACAAGGCCATGACTAGGATGTTTGATTAAACACAGACACCATGTCATCGCCTCATCTCTTCATTGTTCTCCCGACCGGACTCGAGGCATTACAGTGTTATAGCCGGTGCATGGCGCTGGGATCTAGATCTTAGGCAAAAGCTGTGATGGGCAACGTGATGACCCTATGATTAAATTGGCACACTTGTACTTGTTCAGATTCTCAAAAGTATTTATATGCCTCTCACCGCATCAGCAGAACTGTGGTATGCGGGACAAAAGCATTTTATTTATCTGACGCTGCTTATGGATGGAAGTGGAAACAGCCGCTAGGTAAACGCGGAGTTGCCGCTTTTCGGCAGCCGACCGTCGCGACCACTTCTGGTTTCTACAACTTCTATTCCAGTAAACGTTCTCCTTGATCAACATTCCACGACTTCGAGGCTGGTAGAAGCGCCTGTCCGTGACCCCATCCACCCATGTGCTCTTCGATCTGAACATGGTTCTCTCATTCATCCTCATCCAGAACCGCCAGGGCAAGACCCGGCTGGCCAAGTGGTACGCTCCTTACACGGACGAAGAGAAGGTCAAGTTGAAGGGCGAGGTAAGTCGAAGCTGTGGAATCCATTGTGTTTTGCTCGGACGCTGCCTCTAATCTACCTGTTAGGTTCATCGTCTCATTGCTCCTCGAGATCAAAAGTACCAATCCAACTTCGTCGAATTTCGCTCCGCCCCCAGTTCCTCGGCTTCGACCTCGCACTACAATCAACCCCTAGTCCGGCAGAACCTGTCCTCCACAAAGATTGTGTATCGGCGATATGCGGGCCTCTTCTTCTGCGTCTGCGTTGACGCTAACGACAACGAGCTCGCCTATCTCGAAGCCATCCATTTCTTCGTCGAGGTCCTGGATCAGTTCTTCGGAAACGTATGTGAACTGGACCTAGTGTTCAACTTCTATAAGGTTTACGCCATTCTTGACGAGGTGTTTCTGGCTGGAGAGATTGAAGAGACGAGCAAGCAGGTTGTCTTGACAAGGTTGGAGCACCTTGACAAGCTGGAGTGACGCGGCGTCAGCGTAGGCCGAGAACAGCAACGGCGAACAAGGTGGCTACACCAGATGAAGTCACGTTCATGCTGGTGTGACGATAAATCCGAAGACACGGTATTTGGTCACACAATTCTACCACCAAGCCGGCGGCAGGTTCGTCCTGGGCGGCAAATTAGGTGGGCGTTCAAAGCATGAAGCACCACCCGGTATCTCATATCACATGAGCGAGTGATTCTATCACTTCCAGAGCGAGACCGGAGGAGACGTCAACAAGAGCCGAGCGCTGCGACTAGCCTCAGCTACACCAAGACCTAGACGGTGCCCGGAGCGTCGAACGAGGATGACGCTCGGTGGCATCCTGCAGCATGGATGATCAGTCCCTGAAAGCATTGTCCTACTGGCCGACTTGGGACACTTGATCAAAATTTGTATTCCGGTCTCTATGGTCAGATGGGAAAGAGGCCCAACCGGCGCCGGCTCCAGGAGCTTCGTGCCGCTGTTGAGGTAGTTCAATTGCTGCCGAACGACATCAGGCTTGACTTCGGAACGGTGTGAATGGTCGTCTATATAGGAGGCCCCTGGGCGTAACTTCCCTTCCTGGACGAGGCTGGCTAATGTTGCGCGTTACAAGTGCATAACATGGTATAGCCCGTGCCTCGTCTTCTACGAGATCTCATCTTGAAATGCACATCTTCATCTTTCTTGCTTCGCATCATCTCTTCAGCGCTGAAAACCTCTTCGCTAGATCATCCACCGTGGGGACTTTGCCAGGGACACCCTCTCCTCCTACCGCTGCCGCCCCTTTCGGTTTCAGCATCGACTTAGTTGTCGTCTTGGGCTTATCGTCCTTCCCAACCTCACCGCCGCCAGGGAGCTTGACTTTGGGGCTCGGGTTATCCGTTCTTGCAGCAGGCGGAGCGACAGAAACAGGGCTCTTCATACCACCTGGCGCTAAGCTCGAAGGCGGAGTAGCATTTTCTAGAGAGCCAAGGTCGATTTTGTGTGGCTTCGTCGGCGTGGCCGGTGTCGTACCGTCTGCTGGGATGGGCGGCTCCTTCATACCACCACCAACACCTTCGTCTGTATCCTCATCGTCGACTTCACGGCCCAACTCCTCCACCTCCTCTTGGTGTGGCGGCCAATCCACACCATACGTTCGCGCAATCTCTTCCAAATATGCCTGAACCAGTTTCTGACTAGGCGGGTCGACCTTGAGCCTGTCCACCACCCGAGCAGGGACGCAGTTGTCCTGGTTCTCGTTTGCTTTGATTGCGAACTCTTTCCCGAACCGCTCAATGAGCATGTTTCGCACAATTCCCAGCTCTCTCACGTCCCGTGGTAACCGTGGAGCAGAGTAGATGATGCTCGCAGCCGCCTCCTCGAGCCCGGTGTCATCGATACCCGTAGTCATGCCCTCTTTAATGTTTTTATCTCTGATGTCCAGTAGGCCGGCTCGCGCGAGGAGCAGCTCGGCGTATAGCTCCAAGATTTCCATGAGTTCGACCGTGATGTCCGTATGGATAATGTTCTCAACCCGTATGCGCGCAGACGCTTCGCGTGACTGGGCGAGCAGTTCGGCCATCTCGCGCCGGGAGGCGATGGAGAGTGCTGTGTCCTTCTTCTGGGCATTTCGCAGACGTGGAATGAGGAGGCGAAGGGTCGATTTTAATTTAATCTGTAAAGAGAGGAGAGTGTTAGCAAGGCAGTCGCAGTGGCCGTCGCCTTGGATATACAGGAACTGGATGACGACGTGTGGTTGAGGGAAAGGGTGAGTGTTCAGCGGTCCGGGAAGAGCATGCAAAACATCAAACCGCGTTGTGAGACCCGTTGCTTCGAAAGCAACGGCACATGAAGACTCACTGTTTGAGGCGATGCTGCCGGCATCTTGACCACGGCGAGTAGATGTCGACGTGCGCGAACCAGAAACTGCGACTAGACTCGGTTCCTCGACTCAGAGTACAAGGGATAGAAGCCTTTCCTCAGAGTCAAGCGTGAAGACCAAGACTATATCAATCACACAGGCTCACAACGATGATAGCAGGCTGCGGGGGTTGTCTGGTAAATGGAGGGATCCGAGCAGGTGTAGTCTCTGACGGGATAGTAGTACTGTGATACGAGCGCGGGGAACTGAAGCCGCGGGTCACTTAAGGATGCTCAGCCACTCCGGGGGTTCTGTGGTGATACTTCTAAGATATAAGGTATTGTACCTAGTTAGGTAGGTACCCAGCGAGAGCGGTTTATCTCTAGATTCAAGGTTGCGCGCGGCAGAAGACACCCCGGCGCGATCCAAGGGATACTTCTCACCCACTGCACTGATCCAACTGTATACTTCGATATGCCACCCCAATCGCTCGTATTCAAAAACTCGGCCCGCCTTCAGCAATAATGGAAACTGTGCATAATCGAACAAGATGTATCAACCAATCCACCGACAGGCTCTAGAATACAGACGTAGATATCGTAAAAATGCGACGCCCTTCCACCATCTCCCAACGAAACACATAAAATCATCCTTGAATCCATATGCCAACTCTCCACATTGTCCTTTGCCAGCTCTCCCCGATCACAAACATAGGACAAGAGTGGTTGATGCTGCTAGTGTCGACGTTTCCATAAAGATATGGACAGAAAAATGTATGTATATCATCGGAATTACCGAAACAATGATTCGTAAACATCCGTGACAGAGAAACGAAGCCTGTTGCTCAACATATCCAGCCGACTCATGTGCGGTAGAGGAGACTTGGAGAGTAATCTGCAAGGCCAGCCTGCGTCAAGTTTCCGAGGGCCACAGCCACATTGTTGCTCAGATGAATCGACCGATATGCAAACGAGACCAAGACGCTTATAATGTGAATAGAAGGTACAGGCCCAGGCCGTAAAGGATGCTGGCGAGAGAAGATTGAATGCAGAACGCTGCACCAGTTACTGATTCAATGGAATGTTGCCTTGAAGGTCCCGAAGGAGTCGCTGTCGCCTCAACAGTGCTGGATTCGATAGTAACCGCGGCCGGAGTGAAGGTGGTCGCATTGACGGATAAAGAAAAGTAAGCCGAGTATGTCGGCAGTCGAGAGGTGGACGAGGTCGTGGAAAACGTTGATGATGATGAAGAAGAAGAAGAAGAAGAAGAAGAATAAGAAGAAGAGGAAGACGAAGACGAAGAGGGTGGCGTCGAAGACCAGCTTGAAGGCTCCCACGATGATGACCAAGCACTGGCAGTCGATTCCAAGGAAGATGAAGGGGGTTCACTCCAGCTTGATTCCGTCGGGGACGAAGACAACTCAGCTGATGTTGTGGCCGCAATTTCTGCAGAGCTGGTGGGCTGAAAGAACTGTCCAGCTTTCGCGCCGCTTGTCGATGATTTTGCGGCGGCTTCACTGTCGCTATCGTCGCCGCCAGTACTGAAGACCACGAAATTGGCCGTCGATCCCTTGGGGACTGTGACCACGCAAAACGCGCCGCCCCCTGCTCCATCGCTCGCCGACCCTACCATCTCGTTTACGTTGTTTTTGGTGGGATCGATGGCACATGGGAGACCATTACAGTTACCATCGGGACAGTCGATCTTGACGCCCCAAGATGGCATCTGGGTGCGGAATGGCGTTGCGGGTTCGAGGTAGATAGGGTTCCAGCCAAGCTTGATGAATGTTTCACCGGACGTGTCGATGTTTGCTCCCGCAACATACGGCGACCAGTTGCCGAACGGGTTTGCCTTGGTGCCCCAGACGCAGGCTTCGTCGGTTCCGACACCGGGAGGGTTGATGTAATAATGTGCCGCTGTGCCACACCAGTACTGTGTATCGGGCACGGCGAGGGTGGCGTAGCTACTGACCAAAGTGGGAATTAACATGGCCTCGTTTCCTGGAAGCACAGTTTGGCAGAACGAGACGTGTGCACCCGCATTGTTCACCACCCCAATGTTGGTGTCCGTGGACTGACAGTATGGCCTGTCCGGGAATGGTTTCTGAACATTCCCGTCGTCATCGCAATATAACCCGCCGTTCTGCCGTGTAATGAGCTCACTGTTCTTGCAAGATAGAGTAGGGGGCCACGAACCATTGATTTGGGGTAGGAGTAGGACGTTGCACTGGGATCCCATTGCATTGATACTTCTCCAGGCGGACACGCATATGGACAATAACTTCCCGGCGTACAGGGCTGATCGGGACTCATGGCCCATCCGGCGTTCAATTCGCCTGGGGTGACAGCGACGAGACCTGCGTCCGTAGGGAACGCACATTGCCCTCCTCGCTTTTCCAGAGCCGCTGGAGTTATGGTTTCCGCGATTGCCCTTGTTTCGACGCCTTGTGCTCCATCCTCGGCCGTTGACCTGGCGCCCAACCGATGATTGGCGCGATGCCGTTTGTGAAGCGCTTCTAGGTGCTCGTGGACTCCGTGCTTTGCGCCGAGAACAGCAGCCGTGAAAAGCAGCAGAGCGCTCGCGCTCGAAGTCAATGTCCGTTTTCGCATTTGCGCAGGCGACTTGTGTGGTCTCGCGTTATGGACGATGGTGCTGCATGAGAATCGACTTGCGACGCCAGGCGGATGTCCTTGGGTACAGCGCGTGATGATGCAAACCCCAAATGAGCGACTCAGGGTCAGTACTTAGTAGGGAACGTGGAGCTCGCAGAGCGCGCGACAGCAAATATCAACGACAACACGCCAGCGACGGCGAAAAAAGACGTGAAAAGATACGACGCAAGAACAGAGAAGGAAGGGACATGATGAGCATGCTAAAGAGACGAACAAGGATAGGAGAGGCGGACCAAGGCCAAAGAGTAAATTGGTTGTGACCAAGAGCCTACCATGGCAGGCCGCCCTCGAGCCATGCAAGGCTGGTGCATCACGGCGCCATCCCCGGCCCACTGTTTACCTTGCCAGTGGGGGAAGGTCAGGGGTATTTACCTTGATCGTGTCGTGCCCCGGCCCGCATGAGCACTGTCAAATTTCGCGAGACGAATCAGAGATGATCCGACTTGCGCCTAGGACCTGAGATCGTTGACCAGCGTCAGGGATAGCAAATCAACCTAAGCAATTCATCTCGGCGTCAACATTGCATATTTCGCAAATCGCCGAGTTGCTGTGGGGTGCGGCTTGAGGCGTCAGGAATGCCGTCCGCAATTTCGGTATGTAATTCTGGGACTTGGATTCACTGTTTGGGCATTCCTGAAGATACCGGCTGTTCGAGAACGCAAGCCAAACATGGCCCCTGCTTTGCACGAGACCAGTCGATATAACGCTTTCTTCTCAAGCTCGCCAAATGCTGTCCAGTACGAGCCGGGCGTAGACTGGATAGATTTAGTGGGAGAGTGAGGTCTCTGCTTGCTTTATTGCTCGGCTGACGCATTTTCACAATTTGGTTTGGCATGGTTCTGAAGCGCCGTAGGTTCGGATAGTTCTGCACACCGCCTACCAATAGAAGCCGCAACTTAGGTGTTGACATGCAAGCATCTAGCATACAGGCACAAGCAAGCATCGACATGCGTAGTTCTTTGCTGTATGACTCCAGTGGCACGTCCCCCACCTGTACAATTGGCTTTTTAGCGATAGACGTTGACAGACTGGCAGATGAGCAATCACAAGTTGAAGTTGAGCGGCCTGCACTTCAAGTTCAACACCCATCATCAGTCTTGGCATGCAGCGGACCACGTGACCAGAATGTTGGTAGAAAGAGACAGCATTTGTTAGGGCCATCCAGACTACCATTGCTGATGACCTGGAATCTGACCTGGGCTCAGATGGCTCTCAAGGCTCAAAGATACGGCCGGCTCTCGTAGGGTTTGTAACTGAAGCCGTTGTTGCATGGTGTGCTCCATATAAGAACCACAGTCATCCCTGGTCATTCGGCGTGGGCAACTCCTTCCAGCGCGAGTTCTCTTCATACCCGCGCCAGCCCCAGCTTATGCAGTAATGCTTTGAGAGAAGGACGAATTCTTCGACTTCATCCATCCATTCCAATCCATCAATCCGCTCCTTCTCCTCCGGGGCAGTCCATCGTCGCCAAATGAATTCAATATCTACCGCTTCGGCACCTGATCTAACCCCATCATCTCCACTGAAACCGTGTGCCTTCAACCTTTCCTTCTGTTCCGGAAGTCCGCAGTACTTTTCTAGGGTTTGTAACTGAATACCCCTGCTCATGAGATTGCTGACCATTGTCCTGCCAAAGGAGTCATGGGGCCGAATCGGCTCATATAGGACAACGGCAACAGGCGTAGTAGCAGGAAAGAGTTGGCTGAAGTATTGCAATACGGCGTCAGCATCTTCGGGCGAAAGATAGATAAGACAGCACTCTGATATGATCAAGGTCGGCAACTCCTTGTCCAATCCTGTAATATCTGCATCAACATGAGGTAGTTGTCGCAGATCCTGTGGATGAATGTTATATTCCGGAGACGTTAGGGCTGTCCCGTCCTCTGAGATTCGCACATCAGATGCATGCATGTCCACTCCCGCAACCATCTTCGCCCTGTCTGCGAAGGCCACACCGCGCAATCGATCAATCTTTCTCCGAGTGTTGGTGTGGAAATCTATTTCGTGGTAGACAACACCAAAGTTGGGGTGTTTGTGTTTCAGGCGAAAGTATCTCGTATCACTGCCCGCGCCCAGGGAAACAATCTGCTTGCGTGCATGACCTGTAGAGGACAGAAACGTGTCGACAATGCGGTCAATAGATGCAGTACGCAGGTATGTGCCTGGAGACGACGATGTAAGAACTATCGCTGATCGCCCTCACAAGAAGCCTACCTCGGTTCATCAATGGTAGCCGCCTGCTGACAGGCTCATCCGCATTCATCAGCCGCGCAAATGGATCTTCCAGATAGCCAGCCTCCACTGCGCTTAGCCGCGAGGCAGCAGCATCATGATCGGTATGTTGGATTATCTCGTCCTGGACCTTTTCCCTTGTGTGCCGATCTCCAGAATTTGACGCTGCATTACCTCGACCCCTTCCTCTTCCTCGCTGACCGCGACGGAGCGTATTCAGGTTGGGTATTGTTGAAGCAGACATGAAGGAATGCTAATTTGCAGAAGAGTGGCCCGCGCGGTCACCTGCTGCTGCTTGTTAGTGAGATTTGCCGGCGTAGTTCTACTACTGTAGATGTCAAGAACATACCATGCAGGTAAGTGCTATCTGATCTACTAATAATACTAGTAGGTCGTCAAGACCCGCCAAGAATTGTTTATTTTCAGTCCATTTGCGGACATAATAGTCGTACTACTAGAGCATCAAACTACCTAGGTAGGTACGCAAGCTTGCAGAAACAGCGGCGGACTGTAATATAACACGCTATATCAACTCTACTGAATGAGCATCGTCCGAGAAGCTGTTACAGAGCCCCAACCTGCACCGTGTGCTCGCGCAGAGGCGTTATTGAGTGGTAACAATGCATCATGTTCTCGGATTTGGTTGCCTACGGGCGCCAATATGATTCCTTCCAAAGGTGAATTGCAGCTGAGCGGTTCCGGCCTGTATGACCTTTGGGCGTTTTCCAGCATGGCGTTGTTCCGAAACGTCCAGCAATGTCAACGCCTTGCTCAACAGAAGAGGTCTTAACCGGGCGATCTCGCCGCCAATTAGATCCAGGTAAAAGAGCCTCCTTCTCATACTGTCTTCGGCGGCTCGCAACGTCGCGCCATAACTCCATAGCAGCATGAAGATAGGCTTGAACGTAGGCAAGCCGCGCTGAACGGTGGCCGACTTCCGAAAGCAGAGTAGGCATCGTGCACGGTGAACTCGTCAATTTCGGTGATCCCTTTTCAAGCGTAGTTGAAATTGTTGCGACAGAGCGGACAGCTCGAGCTGTTGGAGCTTTTGAACCATCTGAACAGGCATGTGCCATGAAAAGTGTTTCGACAAGTGCCGCATCTCTTGTTCGGTGTTTGCATGTCAGTACCGATGATACTGTAGCATATAGCACATTCACTTTGACCTTTCAGAGCCCCTTGGACGTTCCGGCGGAATGCTATCAGACCTTCAATGATACTTCCTGTACTAAATATGATGATCTGGAAAGTCCTAAGCCATGATTGCCAATTCTTTTCCGAAACACCGACTCGCGTACGCGAAGATACGCTGGGTGAGTCAAGAGGATACGTGGCGGGTAATGAGATAGCCAAAGTAATTGGGGGCGATTCAGGATCGACGGCGACCGATGCCACGATTTCGGATCCTCCGACAGATGCTTTGGCATTCACCGAGGCTTCACTGTCATCCTCCGGTTGGTTGGCAACCCACTCGGTGACTGTGCGAATCGCGGCTGCAATCAGGGACGGTGAAAAGAACTTTTGAGTCCAGCTCTCCAGAGGTAATTTCACACGGTTCTTCTGTTCGAGGAACCATCCTCTTGTCAGACTCGGAAGGTAGAGCAAGCAGCAATAGTACAAATGCATCGAAAGCCTTTGCTCTCCTTTTTCGTCCAAGTCGTCGGGGCCTAGCTCGAACGTTTCAAGATCGACCTTTGAAGCATCCAGAGGACGACTGCCGGTGACGCGACAAATATCACAGATCACTTCTAGAAGTCTTGGAAGGACGTGGCCCTCTTTGATGTCTGAAGTGTACATCTCCCGAAGTTTGTAGGACGCCTTGGTGAAGTGATCAAATATCAGTTGCCAGCGAAGCAAGTACGTCTGTCGATTTGAACCGGGCCCTAGTTCCAAGGACCCTGTCGTATTTGACAAGAGGGACAGGAGCTCGTCGGGCAAATGAGTAATTCTGTGTTCGAGGGCAAGCTCCAATGAAAACTGCTCCTGTTGTGCCGGGATCGAACGATGCAGGAGATCGTATGCGGCACCTCGAATTGCGGGCTCTCTGGACGATAGGAAGGAATACAATTCCGCGTCGTGTGAGAGAGAAATATGTAAAAGCTGTCTCCGTAGCATTTCCGCAGCTATCTGGCGTGGTTGGTCCATTTCCTCTTTCGGGTCCTTGAAAATATGCAGGCATCGCACCAAGCCATCCTCGAGAGACGCCTGGGCAGCTTCCCATGAATCTCTCACATCGTCATTTGAGTCATCCGACGCAGCGAGACTTCTGAGACGCGCGTATAGGCGCAGGGAAGCATGGAGAAGAGGGATGTTATCTGCCAAGTCGTGTCCATCATGCCACAGTGTGAGCAGACACGTTAGAATGCGCTCCCAGTGTGGGCCATAGACATCTTTGACGGCAGAAAGGACTGGATCTAGTAGTCTCATCGCTTCTGTTTGATAGCCTAGGTCATCCGACTTGTCCGTCAAAAGGCGCGTTAACGTCTGTACGAAGAAAATAAGTCGTTGGCTCGGGATCTCTTCCAGAGATTTTGACCTGCCGTCAAGAAGCAAGTCAAGTAGTACAAGCGACCGCAGCCCTGCTACAGAGCCCTCCGATTTAAGCTCCGTGCCCATAGCGATCAGCTCATTGAGAAGTCTGCGACCTGACGGACCGCTAATGATCTGATCACGGCAAGCACATATGAGGCTTGCGGAACGTGTAACCTCGGGCGCGTTGTACATCTCTTTCATCTCAATATCAAAGGACGACGTAATGCGACTCGGCCCAAACTCATCAACATAACGAGATGCGATATCTGTGAATGCTAGACCTTTCAGATACGACTCTGGCGTCAAATCAGCTGTTGAGCGAATCGCGTTGATCCAGGTGTTGATCAAGCCATCATCTTGAATCCATTTTTGGACGAGAGAGTTTCCTTGAGAAAGCACGTCCGCTGCCTCCTCGATGACCTCGTTGCTTGTATTCTGCCAAATATCGTTCGCGGATTCCATTGTAAGCTTCTCATTCACAAGCTGCAATGCCAAAGGATAATGAAAGTAAAGTACTCCGAGTTGCTCGGCGGGTAGGAGAGGAAGGATGTGTGTGTCGGAGGCCATCCTCGTGACATACAGGACTAGTCGAAACAGAAGAGAAAACTCGTCCGCATCGCGAAGATTATGGGTCGATTGTTGGACATTTCCCTGCTCAAGCATAAATACGATGCCGTGAAGTGGGTTGGTCACAACTAATGAACGAGGTCGCTTTCCAGAAATGTGACCTTGAAGGGCGCCGACCCACTGAGAGGCGGATGGCAAGAGCGCCGCCACCGACCCGGCTTGGTCCGGCGCTGTATTCTTGAAAGTGTCTTTCGCAAGGTCGATCAATGTGAAAATAGACAACGGTACACCAGTGCCGGACAGCTGGTCCGTAATGACTTTGGCGGAGGTTGAGGCAGCTGTGTCCTGGCCGGAAGGGGCTGATCGGATCTTTTCTATTAACAGCTTCGCCAGATCTGCTATCTCGGAGTTCTGTGAGTCTGATAGCAAGAGACTCCGTGACAGCAACTCGCCTCCTGTGCTGTTGGAGATCGCAAGAGCGCTGTCGGGACCGCTAAATAGGTCAAGGAGGAAATGGAGTGTGACCTGTTGGGAGGCTGCATCTCTGTCGGAGGATAACCGTCCGAGAATGCATTTGAAACAGCTCTCCCAAAAGTTCGAAAGCCGAAGCTTTGGATTCCGCAGAATTGCTCGGGCCATTCGTTGGACTGCATCCTCCTCGAGTGCAGAGGATGTCTTGTGCAAGACAAAAGCCTCGAGCTCGGGGTTATTTGATAGTGTCTCTTCTGAAACCTGACTCAGAAGCCTTGAGATTGCGCTTATAGCATATCCGCTGTCCGCAGAATGTATCAAATTCGAGACAATTTGTTCGATATTTTTACCACGATTTAGAATGATGGTAATGATATATTCCGCAGAAGGGCTGTTGAGTAGAGCCATGGCATCTGATGTCAAGAAGTCTTCCAGCCATTGGGGCGTTGGCGAATGGGGATCGACTACCACGCGCTCGAGTACAAAGGCTGCGGAATAAGGCTTGCCGTTCCGAGACCTTAGAAGTTCCGTTGCAACGCCGAGCAGTTTTTCGTCACCCTGTTGGAAGACACGTACTGCATATGAGCTCTCAACAGGACCAAGACCACCCGATTTCAAGACAGAGGATCTCAATTGAAATAGACGTTGTGCTTGAGCAGTAACAGAATCCTGAGACTTTGAAAAATCCTTGGAGGTCTCCGGAAGGGACAATTTCATAGCATTGGAGAGCTCTTCACATACCCTTAGCCAGGCACTTTCGAAAACATCATGCAAGCCGTGGCGGAGAACGCTGACCAGTATGCTCGTCGCAATTCGCAGGTCACAAGAGGCGGGCAGTTTCCCGGAGGTCTGCGCCATGTCATGAGCAATGTACTGAGTGACCAAAGGGACTAGCTCCTCGTTCATCAATTTCGTCTTCGAGTCGTCGTCGCGGAGCATATCCAAGATCCAAAAGGATATCTCGACGTAGGCTAACCATGCCGTCTGCAGGTTTTGGCGGGGTTCTTCAGGGCTGGTGATGCCGGCACGCAAGGCACCGATCAACCTGGTGGCGGAGGGTAAGTCCACCTTGCGGTCGACATGTTCCGGAGCCCATACCTCGAGGGGAATTCGTTTGAGAAGTGCGGCAATTGCGACCCAGAAATCCGCTGGTCCTCTTTGCGAGCCGTTCTTGAGGTATTGATGCAGTCTTTTGGAAGCAGGTGTTTTCGACGAATAGTCGGACGTCCAGATTTCAGGCCGGCGTCCCGTCAAGGCGAGGAGTGCCTCCGACAGCTGACGTGACGATCCGAGTTGGCTGTTGTGAAGTGCCTTGCCAATAAAGCATGCGCTGATTGAAGGCCAGTCCAGGTATGCGTCGACCGTCTCGGTACAAACAATAACAAGAGCACATATGGCTTTGCGCAGATTTGGATCTTCGGAATATGAATATTCCCAAAGCCTCTTGTCTGTCACGATCTGTTCGAGGCGCTCAGGTAGCGCAGCCGCGTTTCCGTCAGCGGGCCCCGAAAAGTTGTTCCTGAGAACCTGACAGAGCATGTAGATGGCATTCCCGACAACTCGGACAAACTTCGCCTCGGCATCGTCAGGTGTCGTCGACCGTTCATCGCTTAGAGTACTAGGAGTCTGAACCAAAATCGCGTCCTCGGCATATTCAATGAGAGCTTCTTTGTAGACTTTCCACAATGCCCTTCTCCTATCCTCGGTTGTAAACGCAGTCGAAATCGACTCTTGCGCTACCCGCGCTACCAGCTTGTCACTGTCATAGGCCCCGGACAGCCACGAACCGATCACCTTGGACAAATGCGGCGCTATTCGTCTGCCGGAGGTTGCCGTCAGAGTGCCTTGGATAGTATGTGCGAGTTGTCGAACTCGTCGACTATTGTCGATGGAGGTGCGCGGATATAGACCGACCTGTGACAACTTCGTCAGTCAAGAGTCAAATGCCATATCAAGGTTGACACACCCATGCTTCTAGTAGACCTGGATCGATTTGTTCAGCCGAGCTAACGGAGCTGATATACTCTTGCAATTCTTCCAACGCTTTTGCTTTTGTAGTACTGTCTTTCTTGGTCAAATTCCGAAGGGCGACGACAATATTAGGATTAGACACGCCGCTGAGGTCTGGTTGCTCCGTGATATATGATAACGACGAAACAGCGGATCTGAAACCACCCGACAGGGAACCGACACCAAAAGAGGATGCTCCAAAGGCAGCAGAGGCAGCACGGGCGCTTGAGGCCTGTGATTTGAATTTCTTGCTCATGCTGAGCGTTCGCCCTCGTCGTGGTAGTAGTTCGAGATTTGCTAGATCGCGAATGTCTCGGAAATGATTCACTTCGGCGCTATACCGCTGAGAAGCCTTTTGTGAGTCGACTCCAAATTTTTGGAGTGTATTTATGACGTCGGCGCCGATCGAGCAATAATCGTCAGTACTTCTATAGGTGGTTTGGTACCTTTGCAGATGGTGCCTGAAACTAAAGGACAATACGCGCCTCATACCACTGTCTGCCTGCGGCGACCGCGTGCCACCTTGCTGCGCTACTTCCACGCTCACAAGGAAGGGCCTTGATTCCAAGTACTTGGATAGTTCTCGCCCCAACCCATCGCCTTTTGACGGCAGCACTGCAATCGTTGAAGTTTCAAAGTATCTGAGATTCATGCCAAAGCTGGAACGCCGAAGTGGTGGCCAATCCAGGTCACTCCCTCACCATGAAGTTCTTCATCGAGTATGGATTGCCATGCCGGTCCGAGACAACGTTGACTGACCAGACATAGTGATCTCCCAGTCCTATTCCCCTATCCTCGAATTTACCCCGAACAATATGCATACATGTGCGATCTCAAACGAACCCTTGACGCCGGTGGTCACTGCGTTCTCGAGATGCCTTCCGGGACGGGCAAGACAGTCTCTCTACTTTCTCTTATTGTCGCCTACCAGCAACATTACCCAGAGCATCGAAAACTCATCTACTGCTCGCGTACAATGTCGGAGATCGAAAAGGCGTTGGCCGAGTTGAAAGCGCTCATGAAATACCGTTCGGATCAGCTTGGCGTTGTGGAAGACTTTCGAGGCCTCGGATTGACCAGCCGCAAGAACCTGTGTCTACATCCTTCAGTGAAGCGAGAAAAGAGCGGTGCCGTTGTTGACGCCAGATGTCGGAGTCTGACCGCGGGATTTGTGAAGGAGAAGAAAGAACGCGGCGAGGACGTCGAGGTCTGTATATACCACGACAACCTGGATCTTCTGGAGCCTCATAATCTGGTCCCGCCAGGCGTCTTTACACTGGACGGCTTGCTCAGATATGGGGAAGATCACAAGCAGTGTCCGTACTTCTCCGCCCGAAGGATGATGTCTTTCTGCAATGTCATTATCTACTCGTACCATTACCTCCTGGACCCAAAGATCGCAGAACGGGTCTCCAAAGAATTGTCAAAAGACTGCATTGTGGTCTTTGACGAAGCTCACAATATCGACAATGTCTGTATCGAGTCCTTGTCGATCGACCTAACGGAAGACTCGCTGAGGAAAGCAACTCGTGGTGCGAACAATCTGGAACGCAAGATCGAGGAGATGAAAGCTTCGGACGAGGAGAAGTTGCAAAACGAATACCAAAAGCTTGTCGAGGGCCTTCGAGAAGCCGATGAGGCTCGAGCAGAAGATGCGTTCATGTCAAACCCAACTTTGCCTGATGACTTGCTGAAGGAAGCCGTCCCCGGCAACATCCGTCGGGCTGAACACTTTGTCGCCTTTCTAAAGCGGTTCATCGAGTATTTGAAGACCCGGATGAAGGTTCTATACGTCATCCAGGAGACTCCTCCCTCATTTTTATCCCATCTCAAGGAGCTAACCTTTATCGAACGCAAACCCCTTCGATTTTGTGCCGAACGTCTGACTTCCCTTGTTCGGACGCTCGAATTGACCAATATTGAAGATTACCAACCATTGCAAGAGGTCGCCACTTTCGCCACGTTAGCTGCGACCTACGAAACTGGCTTTTTGTTGATTTTGGAACCCTTTGAGACAGAGCAAGCCACAGTGCCGAACCCGATCTTACACTTTGTATGCCTCGATGCATCGATAGCCATCAAACCGGTCTTCGAACGCTTCTCCTCGGTTATCATCACTTCGGGAACCATATCTCCGCTGGAAATGTACCCCAAGATGCTCAATTTTACTACCGTCTTGCAGGAATCATATCCAATGTCGCTTGCCCGACGTTCTTTCTTACCGATGATTGTCACACGTGGCTCGGACCAGCAGTCGATCACATCCGGATTCCAATCTCGATCCGACCCCGGAGTGGTTCGAAATTACGGCGCTCTACTTTTTGAATTCGCAAAGATCACCCCAGATGGCATTGTGGTTTTCTTTCCTTCCTACCTCTACATGGAAATGATCATTAGTATGTGGCAGGGCATGGGTATTCTCGATCAGATCTGGACCTACAAACTGATCTTGGTCGAGACTCCGGATGCACAGGAGACGAGTCTAGCCCTGGAAACGTACCGCACCGCGTGCGAAAACGGGAAGGGCGCAATCCTCCTCTGTGTAGCCCGTGGCAAAGTATCCGAAGGTATCGATTTCGACCATCACTTTGGACGGACTGTACTGTGTATGGGTGCTCCTTTTCAATACACCGAATCACGAATTCTGAAAGCTCGATTGGAGTTTTTGCGCGAGAACTACAGAATCAAAGAACAAGACTTCCTTTCTTTCGACGCCATGAGACATGCGGCACAGTGTCTAGGCCGTGTCCTAAGAGGAAAAGACGATTATGGAATCATGGTTTTGGCCGACCGTCGCTTCCAAAAGAAACGCAACCAACTACCCAGATGGATTGCCGAAGAGATTCATGACGGCCAAACTGGATTAAGCACTGATGCCGCTGTGGGTATGGCAAAGAAATTTTTGAGAAGCATCGCACAGCCGCTGGGAGCGGTCCAAAAAGCGGCTGACGGCACCACAAAAGGCAAAGACAGCTGGGATTTGAAAGAGCTGGAGAACTTCCAGCGTGAGCAGAAGATGACGAGAGGAGAAGGGGACTTTGGGAGGCACGACGCATATTCACACGACTATATGCATAGCGAGGTCAACACTGTACGAGCACCAAACCAGAACGGTGCTGTAGCTCGTCCAAATGCCGCAGACGAATTTGATGACGACATCGCGGACGAGGACCTGCTGATTGCGGAAAGAATGCATATCGAAATAGTCGGATGAAGTCCCAATAGGTTCCCGATCAGGCCCGAAACCGGCGAGTGTTCTACTTACCATCCAGTGATCCGCAAAGGATTCATCGGATAGCCACTGATTTTTTGGTTGTCGAGCAGCCAATTGACCACCTCGCATCGATCATCACCTCTTGTCAACCATTTCTCACCTGGCCCAGGTTAGTTCCGTCCAAGGACGCCTCCCGAAACATTGGGGATTCTGGTGTGCCACAACCTCAAGTCACAGATGACGATGCTTTGGGAATGCCAGGTTGGACGGGATGCCTTTTTCTCGATTTTAACTCCGGCAGTGAAATACGAATCTGGCCCGAGTTACGTTCACCGTGTGCGCCTTCTTGAGCATCAAGTCCAAAAGCCTGCTGTGTCCCGAGCCAGACCTCGGTGGAGCGGCTTTGCGGGATCAAGTCGATTGGCGGAACGTTCACAACGAATGCACAGGGGTGGTCATGATGGGCAAAGTCGGCGTCTGAGTGCACCGACTGCCTCTGTGGCGGCGAGTCCGGTGTAGGCGGCAGGACAGAGTTGCCAGTGCAGGAGGTCATTTTTGGTCTGGGCCCAGCACGGCTGGAGTGATCTGCGTCGCGATCGGATCTGATTCATTCTGCTCGACAACTAGGCCGTCATGCAGATTTGAACGAACTGCCCTCTCAAGGTTTCACTCGTCCAGCCTACCGTACTCCTGCTGGGTAAAACTCGCACAGAGTACGACAGAGTCGGCCCCAGGGGCTGGAATGAAGAAAATGATCGGAGTGCCGAATTTGACCATGAAGATTTTATCCTACGCGAAGCACTCTGGAAGGCGAGGCATCGTTGGAGAATACAGGAATGAAGCCGTGATGGGCTGCAACGGGTCAACTGGGACAAGGAGCAGTATTATTCGAGTTGGATGGATATTGCCACTGAGAAAACATCTCCTAGATTCCTTGCATGGAAACGACTGCCCTCTTTATTGCCGTCAGGGTCAATCAAAGACTCGCTATCGATCGCAATGCAGAAGAGTGTATGGCCGAGCCACGGGCAAACTTGACGAAGTGAGAGAGGCTCCCTACAGGCCCCTTATGCGGGATCCCTCCTTTCGAAGGTGACATGATCATCGAGGCTGGCTTAGATAGGGTGGGGGCCCATTTGATCGGGGAATGCTGTTTCGGAGCTTGACGCGGCATTGTTCCGCCTAAGAGCTGAACAGAAAATTGCTCGCTCAACGATGTTCTATTTGATTATTCCCTGGAGCGACCGGTACTTGCAATGGTCCGCAACCTGCGTCACTAATCGTTGCTCATACAGCAAGCCCATCATTCATGAGATCACTACGAAAACGCCTGAGAGCCTTCCGCGTCGGTCATTCAAAAATCATCGACAAGTAGTCCAAGACCCTTCTCTTCCGCCATGGCAAGCAGTTCTCGGGCGATAACGATGTCCATGATGCCCAACCCTACACATTTGAAGACCACGTTCCCAGCCGCTGTTAGCGGGTCGTCGCCATGAAGCTCGCCAATTTCGATAAGCTGATCTGCGGTGACATTAGCTTTGATCAGTTCTCCCGCCTCAACAAGACACCCTTCCTTGGTGTCCACGTAGATGCGACCTCCAGAGAGCAATGTTTGTGAATCAACCTCCTGCATGAAGGGCTTGTAAGATCCTATCAGCGATATGAACCGTGGCTTTGCACTGAGATAGGTATAGGGAAAATGTGGTGTAGTCGCTGGAGTGCAGCAAAAGATAACATCCGAGTCTTCAAGACGGCTGCGCAGTTGCGAATCGTAGTCTGGAGCTGTCTTCAGTAGCAGCGTGAGTTTTGTTTCTGGGTATCTTTGCGCCATCTCCTCGAACAGTAGCTCCATCCTTCGCGGACTGCTCCGATTGACGACAGTGACTTGTTTGATGTCGCTCAGGAGAAGTGCCAACTTGATATGCCACTCTGCTTGTCGGCCAGCTCCAAAGACGACAACTTTCGCCTTCGAATGCTGGTATCGGGCATATGGGATCATGACGGCCAGTGCCGTTCGAAAAGCAGTGACTTCAGCCGCATTCAAAACTCCAAGCAAATCGCCCTCCGGAGCGAAAACATTGATGGAGCCTTTCAAGCCGCCAGAGCTGAGAGTGACAACTTTGATACCCGTCGAGGTGGTGGTCGACGAGGGCATGAAAAGGGATGTGTTGCCCAACTTGGTCGTAATGGACTCTCTTTCCGGCTGATGAATCATTCGCTCCTCGGGTGCAACCCTTGTGTTCCGAGAAAATTCTCTCAAGATGTCATGCAGCCTTTCAAGTAGCCGCCGACTCTCTTCCTGAGAAAGACTCGAAAGCAGTGTCAGGACGTCTCGGTCCCTGAGCACCAGCATGGCTAGCTTGCTGTGGGAGTCGTCACCAAACCTTGACTGGAATAGAGGCCTGTAGATGGAATGGAGGAGGTGACCGCGGTAGACGCTGTTATGAAAGACTTATATGTTGAACATGAACGTGGCTTTGAAGGTTATCTTTAAGGTTTGGAAAATCATTATCACGTTAATCAGTTTGATTAAGTTACTACTAGTAGTACCACCTAGTTGTCCTAAGTTGTAACCCCCTATACCAAGCTAGCTAGGGACTAATTTCCAACACTGCCAATCGGCACCTGCACTAGATTTCAAGGTATACTTTAGTCTACCTCACTAAAGGATAGGTAGCTGTATACAGAAGACAATTAGGCACTACATTGCGTATACGTAACTTAGATAGCTTGTGAGGGTTGGAGGCTTCTTGTAACGGCGCACTTGAGCCTTATTGATTCTTTGCCTAAAGATTCAACAGTTTGACAGAGCTTGTCCAGGAAAACAAGATACCTGTTATACAAGAGATCCAACTTTCCAACGAACGGCATGCTTTTACGTTTCGAATCGCGGCTGGTTGAATACTGTGATGATGGCATCAGTTACCACGTAAGCAGCTGGAAAACCCGCGTCGAAGTTCCTAGGCCCCAATTAAAGAGCAATATTTGCCAAAATCTGAGTCCACAGTTAATCGCTCCTGGCATCCGGCCTCCAGGACGACGTAAACATCAAACCCTTCTGGAACTCCGTCCGTCCTAGTTGCGGGCAATACTCCAAGGACACCTTCGAATGGTGGCACCGGCAGACGTATCGCTGTGGGTAGCCCCAAGCCGAAATCGTATGCCTGCATCGCCCCCATTGACATCCAGCTGGTCCCCACGACATTTTGTGGGCGCCAATTCCATTGTATTTGCTCCTTGCCTGCGACGGCATGGCCCACTTGGAGAAAGTTTGGAATGTAGTCAACATCAAAACTGTGTACAGAGCGGCGGATGAGCTGCGCAGCTTTTGCAAGCCCGCCGGTGCCAATGAGCTCAGAAATGAGGATAGGAGCAGTAGCAACCATGGAAAAGCCGTTGCCGAAGTACTCGGCTGGCACGACACTGTTGAAACACGCACGTGCGTTGACGGGGTGGCCGAATTCGGTAGTGACGGTTTGTAGGTCTGGCTTGAGATATGGAATGCGTGCACGCGTCATGGCCTGCCATGTGAGCGCGCAAACAACATCGTAAGACGAAACGAAATCGATACCAGTTCCAGTCGCTGGCCAGCATATTCGCTTCAGTTCCTCGATGCTAGTCTTCGGAAAGTGATACATCTTGATGCTAGCCACCGGCGGTTTCGGGGGATCGTTCAGGGGCTTGGATGGAGGCTCTGGCTGGATAGGGTGGAAGGAGAACCCGCTGATTTTTGACTTCATGTCTTCTAGCTTCTCCTGGCTGGGCAAGGATGCTGTAGCATTGAAGTAGGTGCGGTCAATGGACGGATGAAAAGTAGGCATCGGTGCCTTGTTCGCCGCTGCGAGAGTGCTGTTTACCCAGAGCAGAAACGTGTGGTCGATACTCTTCGCATCGCCGCAGCAGTGGTGTAGAGGTAGTGTCAGTATCAGACCACCCTTGATGAAGTTTGCCTGAAATACGGCAACTGGGCAGCCATCATCACGACGAAGCCCAGCTAGATTGGAGCCCGGCGGTGTCAAGCGCAATGCGTTGGCTGAGAAGAACTCGGCGGGAAATTTTGCAGCAGAAAGGCTCTCATAAGTCGGAAAGTCTGGGTCTTCGTCGAGGTGATTCACACCAAGACGAATTGGTTCGTGGTTTTTCCGCAAGACCCAGAGGCGCCCATCCTTCGTCAGCAGCTCCCCTCCAACAAGGGGAATGCAGGTAAGCACATTCTGCAGCCCAGTTCGTAGGGGTTTGATGAAGTCGTCCTTATCGCCAGTGAAAGGATATACGATACATGGAGTTGTGTGGTTGCCAGTCAGCACCTGGTCAATGTCTGATAGCTCATACTCAGTAGTCTCTGGCAGCGATTCGTGGTCGCGAGGTAGGACCTCGAAGGTCTCGAAGCGCGTATCAACCATCGTTTCAACCTGTTGCCTTGTGCGTAACGCGGCGCGTCCTTACATGTGAGGTTGAAAGATCGGCCAGGGACCGTCATCGTGTTTGTACCCATACTAGTAGGACGCTGGACCAAAATAGGGAAACGATACTTCCGACGCTACAGCGGTAGGATCAAGACCAGTTCGCAAGCGGTTTCAGCGGAAAAGCTGTGCAATCCTACAGAATGCTTGTGCCCACAGGAAGGAGAGCGTTGAGACTGGAGAATATAACCAAGTGGGACTAGTTTATCAGGCAGCCAGAAATACCAGATTAGGAGTTCATTGCGAAACGTATATACTTCTCCACTAACGATTTTCATGAATGTTGTCGACGACCCTACAGGCAGGCATTAAAACAATGGTGTTGTGTAGAACATCTCCCTTAAGACTTGGTTAGTATAAGAATACGGATTGTTTGAATATATTTTTATGATAGAGCCATATCGCTGGTTACTCCACCTGCTTACCCAGGTAGGTATTTATATCATCTCCACAATGGAGTGCCTTATACTCTGATGCCCAACATAGGTGCCAAAGTGGCCGACACAAAAAGCTTCAATATGACTACTCCACCACGTGCGTCAGCAGATGATCCTTACCAATTTTTCACACAAACTCCACTCCTTCAATAATGGAAAGTGAGTCACACGAGTTGAGCAAAGGCGACGCAAAAGGCTTGTCGGCTTATGATATCGTGATACTTGCGAGTAAGCATAAAAACTACAGCATAGTATGGGCATCAGGGACTGTCACCGCTACTCTTCTGCCCAGCTGACAGCCGGCTTCTGTTTCTTCACAAGTCCTGAAGTCCTGCCAAAACGGCAACCTAGTCATCGTGATACTTCTCGCGACTTCCTGCTTGGGGTACTGAGTATATCCGGAAGTGTCTTCGGAGACCGGGTGGCGAAAGTCGGTGATATCCTTCAGGCCCATCGGATTACAACCAAAATACACCCGCCTCGAATATGACCCGGCGTGGACGACCAGTCGGAAGATGCGTCGTCCCCGAATGGATACACCCCCCTTGTAGACCTGCATCCTGGAGTGTGGTCCACATATACCGACGGAGTACGTACCACTCTGCTTGCGTGTGAGCTGACTGGCAGTTCCACGTGCTGCCTTGCTTGCTTGCTTGATTGAGTGGTTGATTGCTAGACCTGTACGGTGCCCTCGAAGGGATCGCGAAGGTGGTATCTCTAGGCGTGCCCGGTGCCTAGTCTATACCTGAGCGATCCCACACAAGTGTTATCCACCGACGATGATTGTTCTCAGCAATATTGGCGATGGTGAAAGACGGAGACGTGAAATGGGCTGGTTGAAGTAGAAGCTCGTCATGCAAAGTAAGGGTAGGAGATTGCCGACAGAAAGTTTCGCCAGAAGCTAGTCCCTTGAAACGGATGTTTTGTTCAGGCTATCATGTAGTTGTAACATCAGCATTCTCAAGTCAATAGAAGTATGTGCTGCTCGTGCAATCAAATGATAGCGTCACTTTTCCACCATGTATGCCCGAAACGCCAACAGCAACCTGCGCCATGTTGATACTCGAACTTCCTCCTCAGAAGCTATTTTGAAGAGTGATTATGGTCGTATACACCATGCAGGCGAGTCCCAATACCATAAATACAATATCTCCGGCTTTTGTCCACTGTGTCCGAGCAACGCCGAGGTAATGCAGAAGTGGTGGATAGATGTATACCAATGGCACACAGCACACTGAACCGATAAGAGCCACGAACCGATCTAGGTTGCTCGCACCGAGAATTGAAATTAACGCACAGAAGGTGACGAGCAAGGTCCTGAAACCGTTCTTCTTCCATTTGGTGAATGTATCTCTCTTGCCCGAACGCCGACCAAAAATCTTATTCTCCAGGATCCGCAACGCAGGAAACAACTGAACAGGTGTCCCGGCCAAAACTGCAAGTGCGTACAGAAATTGCACTGCATTGACAAGCTTGTTGCTCTGAGGGAAATTGGAAATGACTTCAATTTTGGTTGCTGCCCCGAAGGTGGCGTAACACAATGCCCCAACTGAGGTAAAGATGATTGTGATTATCAGCATGATGGTCCAGAGGAGTGGCTCGAACCTCTCTGGCTGTTTCATTGATGACTGGATGGGGAGAATGAGACCAATGCCCTCAAATGTGAAAATCGCAGATCCAATGGTCAAAGTGTAGTGGTCGGGGTTGAAGAGTTGGACCGTCTTGTGCAGCCCTTGGTCCGCCAACGTCGCAATGTCATAGTAGTAGATGTAGGCGAGACCTATGAGAATGAAGATATCGGCCAACAATGCTGCAGGACCAAGTTTCGAGATGTTCCGAATGAATGACAATGGGATCAGTGCAAGTAGTTGCAAAGCGATCAGAACGTTTGTTGACAATGGGCTTTGTCCTTTGGTGACCGCCTCCAGGAAGGAATACAGGTTCTGCGCCACGAAGACGGTACCGGCGCAAACGAAACCAATCTGGGAGATTGTGACCGATCCTAGGATGATGGCTCTCATTTTTTGACCCCCGATTGCTTCACCAAGCTCGCCGTATCCGCTTTTCGAGTGTACTTGCCGGCACTGCAACAACAAATGAAAAGCCAGCGTAGTAATGACAGACACTAACAGCAGTGTAATGGAGGAGAACAAGATCCCGCCGTTGTTGAAGGCTTTTGGCAGAAACATGATTCCAGTGCCAATGAATGCCTTCAATAACGTGAAAAACGTCTTGGCCATGCCGGAATCTCCCTTCTTCTCTCTCCTCGTGGTCCGCCGCGTGCCGAGAAGAGGTCTGCGTTCGGTTGGTGGTTGCCCTTCCTCCTCATCCTCGACATCTTCGATGGCTGATTCATCCTCGGAGTCTTCCAGATCTTCACCGGCGAAGCTTCCGTAAAGAGAGAGAAATTCAACGAAGTTTCTTGTCACTGGAAGAACGGCGGGGTTAAAACGTCCATATTTTTGCTTTATGAAAGCTCGGCGAAAACCTCCAGGTGCAAGTTGCTCCGCAACGGAAGTATCTGCAAGCGGAGGCGTGTCATGCGGATGGGAAATGGTGGCCGCACGTTGAAGAGGCTTCCCTCGTTGGTGAATCTTGTACAGATCCCTCGTCATGTCACCGCCTTGCAATTTGAGAGACGATTCAGCTTCAGTCTCCACAGACTTCCTATTCTCTCCATGGTCACTAACAGGATCGAACTCGGCGGTATAGCCTGAAGGAAGGTGGTTGGAGATGATACGGGCAGCTTGAACGTCTTCTGTAGAAGTTGATGGTTCTGCCATTTTGGTCTGATTGTCGGAATTAGAGGAAGCGATAACAAACGATGAAGCCAAAGCTGGAGGTAGCACTCAAGCGTACGCAAGCTGATTCGTGATTGTGACAACGCAAGTGGTTGAATGAGCTTCCACGAGCGGTATGTTAGAAGTCATATAGGTTTGTGGTACCTAAGAGGTATTTCAAGAAGCTCGAAAAGTTTTCCGACGTCATCAGGGCCGATGGGCAACTTCATGAAACCTCACACGCTATTGGCGGATGTTGCAGATCCGGGGTAGGATTAGCTGTGCATATACAGGCGAGCATTGAACGGGTTGCGCACTCTCACTATTGACCGCAGCTTGCTTTTACCGCTTTTCATTAACGCAGCCTCTTTTCTCACGCCCATCTTTGACTCTCATTTTCTTCAAACGGGCAATGGCTGCAACCTCTAACAGCAGCATCTTCCAGCGCATCGCATCGCTTTGGTGCCATCTCTTTCCCGGCTCAATCAGCTTCCATCAAGACTTGATGCCACAGCCGTTGACGACCCAGATGCTGGAGCTCCATAAGCTGCTCAACTTTGGTCAATATCCTCCCCTTAGCCTTAAACCCTATTACGCCCGCATGCGCCCAGTGTTCGAGTCCCTAGCCTGGAAGTACACGGTGAACATGATGAAAGATGATGGGACCGATATACCTGTGTGATGGATGCCCAAAGGACCAGCAGCCTGATATATCACCCGCAACCCGCTTGCCTGACTTGGAACCTGCCATCCCCCGTACAATCAGTTGTTGGATATGGATTTCAGATTCCTGCACAGCCATTGCGAGATAGCGTTTTGTTGGAGGTGTCGAGGATAACGTGGTTTCGTAGCCTCTACCTCGAACATTGATAGGCCTTTATCGCTGCTTCGGGTCTTCGTTCTTTCGTCCTGCTCTCATCCCAATATATCGTTCATGACCGGTCTAAAGTACTCTCTATGAACGCTCCATACACACGCGGTCTCTTTGTAGGGGCCGCACCCCATGTCAATCTACTCGAAGAATTCAACTTCATCCGGCCTTCCTTGACTGACAAGTCGCCCGGCGGACAGGACAACACAACAATCGGCATTTTCAACAGCCGCTGCGCGATGTGCGATGGTTATAATCGTGCTTTCTCGCAGTTCTTCTTTGAGAACCTTTTGAATCTGGGTCGACGTGTCAAGGTCGATGCTAGCTGTTGCCTCATCCATGATGACGATCGCGCTTCGCCTCAGGATCGCACGAGCGAGCCCAACAAGCTGTCTTTGTCCTTGACTGAGATTGCGCCCTCCGTTATCGATCTGCGTTTCAAGCGTCCACCCGTACTTCCCGCAAACCCTGGACAGAACACCTTCGCATGCATGGTCAGAATGTTCTTCCATCGGGTCAAGGTTATGTCGTAACGACCCCTGGAAGAGTATTGGGTCTTGGGCAAGAAAAGTGACTCGACTCCGTAAAGCTTGCTTATCAACTTTGGAGACATCAATGTTGTCGATCAGGATACGGCCAGACTCAGGAGTGATCGTTGCTAACAAAGCCAACGCAAGAGTTGACTTGCCCGAACCAGTTCGCCCGACAATGGCATTGGTGGTGCCCCCCTTGAGATGTAGAGAAACATCTGAAAGTGCTGGGTCGAGATGAGGCTGGTATCGAATGGTGACGTTCTCAAACACAATATCGCCACCATAGGTCGGCCAAGCAGCTGGAGGCTTCACAAGACCAGGCTCTTCTTGTTCCAAGTGGACCAGTTCAACGACACGCTCCACGCTGACGAAGTCAAGTTGGAGCTGGCCATATTGTTTACAGATCGCATGGGTTGACTGGACAAACTTGTCCGCTGCAACGAGGACGAAAGCAGTCAGACCAGCTGACAAGCCCGAAAAGATCGCCAGCAATGTCAAGAGAAAAGTCGAGGCGGCTGAAAGACCGTCGAACCGGTACATCAGCCATGCTTGTAGACTCCAGTAAAAATGATCCATCTTTTGGAAAGAATCTGTGACTTGGATATTCCGTTGTTGAAATTCTGGCTGAGCACAGAATGCCCTGACCGTCATGAGCCCATTTAAGAGCGCCCCGAAGTTCGACATGAGAGGGCTGAGAGAGACCATTTCGAGACGGCGCAAGCTTTGCGACGTGGGTATGAAACGCAAGAAGATGATCACGAATGCAACGGTCAAGGCAATTGCAAAGACGAGGAACAGAGGCGTGACACTGCCGATCACTATCATGGATGATATCCATGCAATACCATACCAAATGACGGTCAAGAATTGATCTGCAATATTGCCATCAATCGCCCCAATATCAGAGGTCAGACGATTCATGAGTCTGCCCACCGGCGTCACATCATAGAAATGAAAGGTCGAATTGCTGATCCGATCCATGATGTCTCTGAACATTCGCTGTGCGGCGGTAAATGTAACCACCAGCATGGACGCTTGCGACAAAAGAACAGCAATTGTTTCCCCAAGCACAATAACGAGAAATCCTAGAAGCCAGGGTTGGACGTTTACTGCAGGGTTCGGGAATTTGTCGAAGAATCCTTCCATGCGATTCTTAAGTAGGTGTGTGCCGGAGTCGAACGACTGGAAGCCGAGAAGTTGCAATATAGCCCAATTGTAGGCCTCACCCCATTCTTTCAAAAACCAGCTCTCACCGACATATATGATGCGGCATAAAGCAGCGGTCAAGACGACCGTGAACCACCAGGTCAGCCTGCCGGCCCTAATATACTCCCAGTAGACAGCCAGCTGCACACCGCCATGCACTCTGCGTTCTTCTTCCACAAACTTTTCGGGCACAGCCGCCGTCTCATCGATCTCTTCACCATGCACATCACCAGAAGTTGATACACGAGGTTCTGGAGACGTGGAGACGGTGAGATCCTCGTCAGAACGATGTAACGTGGCCGTTCCGTGCGATATCTCGACAAGTTGCGACGCAACGTCCTGACAAAGATCAGTGCGATGCGTGACGAGGACTACAGTACGCCCTTCCATCAGACTGCCAGTCAAGCACTTCTTGACTATCCATTCTGCGGTTTGCTGGTCCAACGCACTTAGAGGGTCGTCCAACAAGAGGATATCGGCTCGACTGTAGACTGCTCGCGCTAGAGCAACCCTGGCTCTTTGACCTCCTGAAAGTCCAATGCCGTTCTCGCCAATATAGGAGAGGTCTCCGTGTTTGAAACTGGCCAAATCCGGAAGAAGAGCACAGGCTTCGAGGACCCTTTTGTATCGAATCTCCTGGTAGGGAGCATTGAGGAGTATATTCTCGCGTATGCTCATGCTTTGTAGCCAGGGAGTTTGCGCACAGTAACCGATCGGGCCTTGTGGCCTGAACAGTTGTCCTGCAAGAAGATCAAGCTCCCCGAGCAAGGCCTGGAGTAGAGCGGTCTTTCCGGCTGCAACCGGGCCGTATACCACTGTGAGTCCTCGAGAGAATGAGAGATTGAGGTGTCGAAGAACTGGTTTAGAGAGTCCCGGCCATGAGAACGTTGCGTCGCGCAATTCAAGTTGGTCCTCTGTAGAGTCCTGGAATTCCGAAGTATCGGCCTTTTCGGGCTCCGAAATAAAGTCCTCGATACGCCCTACTGCCACGGACGCGTCTAGTAAGACAGTGATCAAGTTCGGAATTTCTCGAAGATTTTCTTGCATAAGTGCGAAGAGTTGCAATGCGGGGAACGCAATATCGACTCGTAGTTGCTGGCCTGCCAAGGCGGTGTAGGCATAAAAACAAGCAACTGGAAGCATTCCGCTGGCGACAGAGTTGACGAACTTGATACCGCAGTTCCAGAGGTAGGTGATGACTTTCAATCTGAGTTCCCTTTGTCGGGCCGCCATCACCCCTTCAAGCCATTTGAAATGCCACCCATACCATCTCAAATGCCTGATAGCTTCAACGTACTGTGATATCCTTTGTAACTTTACGTCAGTCGCCTTCCGACGCTCCTTCTCCCAGCTGATCAGGATGCGAGCAAGGATGTAGTTGAAGATCTGTGCGATAAGCACCACTGCCACGCCAACCAAACTCGACCACCCAAGCATACGCCAGATCAAGACAATCGATAGGACCAGCCCCAGAGGTTTGTTGATCAAGGTCTGAAATTCCCAAAATCGTTGAGCTACCTGGTAAACGTCGTTGCGCATCAGGTTAAGAATCTTGCCCATCGACGCCGCGGATTGGATTTCGGGAGTCCTATGGCTATTCTTGAACCTTGTCCGTACCCAATGGAGCAACTTTTGTGCTCTTGTAGACAGCGTCGGTGGTACATCTAGCTGCAAGTCATGAGGTGGTGGTTCTGTCAGGGGGAGGGAGTTGGTATCTGTAAGTTGCGGGCCATCAACATCAATTTCATCAGCCCGACACAAGTCCTTCTCAGCTTCTTGAGCAACGCTGCCTAGAATTTTCCTGTTCAGTGTCTTTTCGTATAACATTGTGATCATTTCGCCTCTTGCTCGTTCATAGCATCGTCTTCCAAACCATAAGCTGAACACTGCGCTCTGAGCCGCAACGAGCCTGATCATAAGGATCAGCAGTGCGAATGTAACGGCAGGTCTTTTGCTGTGTTGTATCGTCTCCATGGACTGTAGCAAGCTTTGCAGGAGAACTGGGGCGGAATAGTTCGCCGCCAACTCGAAAACTGCCAATAGGCTGAGAAGCACGAGATCAATCCAGTTTGCCATCAGGAGACGCCTGATAAGGGTGCCCTCGAGTTCGCGGAACGCATCATGCAAATGACGGTGTTGAAATTCATAGCCTAACTGCCAGACGTCTTCATCGTGTAGCTGTCTTTCGTTCCCAAGTTTGATCAAAGGGCTCAGCCAAGACACTGTCATCCATTGGAAAAGGGTCAGATTGTCTTCGGGGGACCGGAACGCGTGGCTGGACGGTGCAAAAACTGGACCAATATCATCTTGATTTGTCGCAGGATCTCGAAGAGGCATGTTGATCATGATCAACAAGGCGACAATGGCCAGCAGCGTACTCAGACCGGCAAGAAGGGCACCAGATCCGTAGACATCCTCAGAAAAGTGGAAAGCAAACGAGGCTCCTCCCAGAATGGCAATGCTCACAAAAGCAAGGAGCAGTGGTACCGAGGCGGTGGTTGGTCGTATTGCTGCAGCATAAATTCCTGCAAGTCCCCATAGTACCGCAGTAGCGATAGTCCAAGGTAATCTTAACGCGATGACAATCTGAACTGCAAACCCCGCGGTCGACAATGCTATGAGGCATGCTGATGACCATGATATTGTTCGCCATTTGCGTACAGTCTTGGGCACATCCGCAGGCTCTCTGATGAAGGGTCTTGGCCAAGGAAAGCAGATGCTTGAGAAGTGAGCAACGTTACTATCTGCCTTGGAGAGCATCGTGTTCGCTCAAGGCCATGACCACGTATCTGAACCGCACAACTCCGAAATTGAGACAGGCGAGAAACAATGCAGGTCCTTGCTGGACCAAGACACTGGGTGAGGAATTTGGAACTTTTCTCTGACAGCCCGCCGGTCCAATTCCCCGACGTTTCTGTGCTTCAACCAAGGGTGGATGGTCAGACAGTGGAAGAGGAGAAGTGGAAAGACGGAGTTTGCATTCTGCAATCAGACCATCGGGTAAATCGGGGAGCCAAGACGCCAAACTCCATCCGGGGTAAAATCATTGAATGCAGCAGTTGCACTAATAACGCGTTTCATTATTACCTAGGTATTAGGAACACTGAGTCTGGCATCTGATCTAGGTTTTCATTCTCGAAGCAAAATCCTATATGCGGTGCTCTGCAAAGCCGGCAATTGCGCCCTATGATGTACAAGTCCGGCCAGCTCTTGGGGTTCTGGAGTGCATTCCTCACAGCTGCTTTCATCCCATCGACATGAAAAGGGGTGATTGATCTCTTGCAGGTCCTGCTTCACGCCTTCAGAGTCTCCTGGTATACCACTGGTTTCCCATACGCAGAGCTAGCGGATGAGGTCTCAATGTCAAGCTATACTGCAATCGATTGATTGGACATATTGTGAAGGCAAGAATGAGCATAGTAGTCGTCGAGTTGGTCACATGGCTGGGGTCCAGGATCGAAGAATTGCTCGTCACAGAAGGGGAGGCTTGTTACACAAACGCCTTGACGGAGTACATGTCCTCCATAAATGCGTCATTCGCGAAAACCTGGTTTACCGCGTTGCTACCAACCACTCTGTAACCGGACCAGCCCTTGAGGCAGCTTATGGGTATCACCTCACTGTTGTTAGGGAAGTTTGCAGTCAATGCGATCTTGGATCCTGGCCATCGCGCCATTAGGTTATACATGAATGAAAGCACGCGGAATGACGGCAGCTTTCTCAGACGTTGAATATCGCTCAGAGCTAAGAAGAAACGGAAGGGTACCTCAAGTAACAACTTTCATATCTTAAAAGGAGGAAGCTCGTTCAGGTTAAGTAGGCGTTCCATCTCGCTGATATGGCTGACGTTCCTGTGCAACTAGTGAAGCTCGGATCGGACTTCTGGCGTGAGCAATGCGTGTGTTCTGCATCATAACGTTCAAGGAGTGTTCCCATGTGTACCGGTCTGGAAGCATCGCAGCCCTTGCAGGTACGCGTTCCTGTCCTAGATATATCCCGCGTATCTATTTCTGTCCAAGCTACCTACCAGTGTACTTCAGCTCCAAAAATCGCAGTGGGACGAAAGCTAACACGGAGAAGGCGCCGCTAAAGATCCAACCAAGTTCAGCGCCATCAGGCTTGATAGCTTTGGCCACCACACCGACATACCACGTCTGGTCCATAGAGAGCACCGCGCCCACGAAGCCCATGGCGATGGCGAAAAACCCAGCAATGCCGTGAGGTATGACTTTCATGTTATTCCAATCGTCCAATGGTAGTTGCTTCTTACGGAAGTAGAAGTATTCGATGGGTACGATGCATAGGAAAGGCGTCCCCGTGTACCCGATGACCGACAAGAACGACTCCAGTACTTCGGCAAATGAATTCTCGGCAGCAATAGCAATCGCTATGAAGATGGCCGAGCCAGTAACCGTCCATACGAACCGTGGGACCTTAAGCATGATAGGATGAAAATTTTGACACGAAAAGGCAAGTGAATAATTGTTGACCAAGTTGCAGCCGATGATGCTCAGAGCCGCGAGGACAAGCAAAAATTTGCCGAAGCCGCCCAATGGCTTCAGTGCCTGACCCATGAGGCCGCCGACACCACGAGATTCGTAAGCGGCGGCAAATTTTGGGTCAGCGGCCACAGCTGTCATATAGGCGGCACCCAAGACTTCAGGAATGGAACAGCCAAAAAAGTTCCCGGCCCAAATGGAAAAAATGAGGTTTCGCTTGTTGGTCCTCACAGGCATACGCACGTTGTAGTCGGCAGCAGATTGTGCCCAGCCGGCCACGAAACCGTAGATGACGGCAATGAATGACATGGCCGACGCAGCCTCCGCCGACCCAGAGCCCATCGGAAGGGCTCCAGCGTCAAAGTGCTTCGCACCGTAGCCGATAAGGAATATAAAGATGATGACCTGCGGGATCCAGCAGAATCGTTCAAAGTAGTGGACCGCGTAGTAGCCGAAGAACGAGATGATGGCTGTGCAGACACCGATAACCAGATTTCCAGCCCACAGCGGACAGTTCCCATCGGAAAGCTCATTGAGGACTTGTGCACCAGCAATTGAGTTGACGCTCGACCAGCCGATGGCGCCACAAATACTGAGGGCAATGATAGCTCTGGTGCCCCACTGGCCAAATGCATAGCGACCAACAGACATAGTACGTAGTCCTGTAAGGGGCCCGAAGCAGCCAAAGAGGCCGACCACGAAGCTGACGAAGAAATTGATCAACACAATGATTGCAAACGAGTCCCAGAAACCAAGCCCAAAATTAGGGCCCAATGCGCCTGTCGCAAAAGTCGATGGACTAGGAACGGCCCGTTAGCAAACTCCATCACTGGTGGATTTCATTCGACTGCGTGGATTTGTTGACATACGTGAAATTGGCCGAAGCCCACACAGTATATCCGTCCCAAATGCTTTGTTTGACCCTGTCTTCTTCCAAAACCCGTTCAATACCTCTTTCCTCGACGGGCAAGTAGCTGACCAATTTGAGAAGTGGGCTGAACCACCCTTTCGAAGCCTCGACCCGTTCGAGATTGTCGACCTGACTTGTGAAGCCCCGCTTGCTCTCAACGGGGCCTTCGGTATTGTCCGTTAAGCCGGGCCCGGTGGTGGCTATGGGTCCACCCTTCTCGGGATCCAAGCCGTCCATTGTTGCAATTTGATACCGGGAAAGGTACTTGGGTGGATTGAGGGAGTCGAGGAGTCGCTCTTCTTTCTAAGATTCAACAACGAGACCAAGTCACATATTCGGCGTCTCTTGCTCTATTTAATATCTGTCTTATCATCATGCCGGGCCGGTTGGCTCTATCGCTCCCGATTAGGCAATATGCTAATCTACTGGGTGATCGAACTGCGAAAGACGATTCGGAGCACGCCAATGATAAGGACTCTTTCAATCGCTGATCACTGCCATAATCTGCAGACCTAAATCAGACACGGGAGAATCCTGGCCCGTAATGGTGAACGCGCAAAAGCATGAGGCTGGCTATCATGATCTAGGTCAACTATTGTCTCCGCCCAACTAACTTTTCTGGGGTAGTCTTATCAAGACTTATCTCGAACGACCGCTGAAGTCCATCGGCTCAGCCGATATGCACCATCTCAAGGCAGGTCAACTGGTGTTCGCGAGCGATTGACATGGGCAAGTTCCACCCATCTGGCTTAGAAGGAGATGTCGTGCTGTTGGCTATCTAGGCGAGCCCCGATGGTATGTTGTACGCCCGTACAAAGGCCATGTACGGTCGGTGTACAGCGAACGGCATCCTTGCTCCAGCAAACCAAATCAAAACCAGGCACTCTTCCACTATGCTACGGCTTTCGAACTGCGAGACAGACACTGCGAGACTTGTCATGGCGGACCACCTCGAACCTCACAGTGTCCAGCCCTTTGGATACTACGGGGCCATCATTCACTCTCTCTCTCCTGAAACGTTGGAAATAATTGAGCAAGGGCTCATTGTCATTGACGGAGCCGGCAAGATCGCTCTGGTTGAAAGAAAGGTTGACCGAAGCAAAATCAAGGAGGTCCTGGTCAAGCATGGGTTCGACGGATCCACCAAGATTGAGATTCTTGACAATGGGCAGTTTCTCATCCCAGGCTTGATTGACACTCACAACCATGCTCCTCAATGGACACAGCGAGGAACTGGACGCGGAAGGTTGCTGATGGATTGGCTCAATACGATCACATTCCCCCACGAATCCAGATTTGCAGACCCTGAATATGCCAAAGTCACATACGCTTCTTGTGTGGATGGTTTTATCAACCAGGGGATCACAACTGCCTCTTACTATGGCTCGTTGCATGGCGAGGCTACCAAGATACTTGCCGAAACTTGCCTAGAAAAGGGTCAAAGGGCGTTTGTTGGCAAGTGTAATATGAATCGAAACGCCCCCGACTTCTACAAAGACGCCAGCGCCAGCGAATCTATCCAAGTCACTGAAGATTTCATCTCCCATGTCCGAAAAATCGACCCGACTGCCCGTTTAGTCACACCAATTCTAACCCCTCGTTTCGCTATAGCCTGTGATGCGGAAGTCCTTACAGGACTTGGACAGATAGCAGCGAAAAACCCCGACCTGCCTATCCAAACCCATTTCGATGAAGCGGAGCAAGAGATGGAAATCACGAAGGAACTCTTTCCAGAATTCGACAACGAAGCTGATCTCTACGAGCATTTTGGTCTGCTGAATAGAAGGTCCATCTTGGCGCACTGTATATATGTTGGAGAGTATGAAATGGGTCGATTGAAGGCCCTCGATTGTGGAGTCTCGCACTGTCCAGTGTCTAATACCACCGGTGGAATGTTCGGCATGGCACCAATACGAGAATATCTCCGAAGAGGCATCAAGGTGAGCCTTGGAACTGATAGTGGAGGCGGATATTCTTCTTCGATTATTGATGCTATGCGACAAGCTTTCGTAGTCTCCGTGGCAAGGGAGACTCTCTGTGGCGGCAAAGACACATCCCTGTCCGTGGCCGAGTGTTTTTTCATGGCAACCTTGGGAGGAGCACAAGTTTGCTGTCTCGAAGACAAAATCGGAAACTTCGTGGTGGGAAAAGAATTTGACGCTTTGGAAATTCAGACGGTTGGCCCACACTCTGGTACTATCACGCCTATTGAGGATATCGACAAGCTCCCGGATCTATTTGAGAAGTTTATTATGACCGGCGATGATCGAAATATAGCTAAGGTGTATGTGAAGGGGAGACAAATCAAGGGCTAGACATCACGTAGCTATAAGAAGGCAGACTTCGAAATTTGAATAAAGCAAAGATAGCCATTGCAAGCTTTATACTGGTCTATATTCACAAGTCAGCTCCGGACATGACTCCTTACCAAGGTATTTATTGAATTCGTGTTAACTGCCCCTGGGATGCCCCACTGGCTATTCTGCCCCTTCAGATTGTAGAGCATACGTACCAGCATCTGGGCATAATAAATTACAACGGAGCAGTAGACTGGCCTAACAACATTTGCTGACTTGCTCCCCAGCATGCGTCCAGAGTCTTCGTTCAAAAGTAACATGACCCACCATCCGTACCCAGCCCTCATTCGTCCTCCCAGGATGTGAAATAAGATATACGCCACTGGGAATGAGAAAACACGGATGTTGTAACAGTATGGAGTCGGACAAAGCTTGGACCACTCCCCACGTCGCCCACTCCGCTCCTTTCCGCCCCTGTCCGCCCCTGTCCGCCCCTGTCCGCCCCTGTCCGCTCTTGCCCGCTCTTGCCCGCCTCCGCAGATGACGTCTTATTGGCGCCCGCACCTCTGTTGGCACCGATCCTCAGCGTCCTACCAATGGTCCTCTCAAATACTTTCCTCTATTTCGAGTCCCCGTGTCGAGCGAATATCGCATCTAAATCGATCGTCCCACCAAAAACCGGTCGAAGCAAGCATACCCAATGCTTTGGTGGACCTGTTGATCACAGTCCCGTCTTATTGCATGTCAGTTGGACCACAGTAGCTCTACTTGAAAGGTATATATTCCCCCAGTGACCAGCCACTTCTCGAAACACTCGGGCACTCTTCTTTAAACACGTTCTATCCGTTCAAAAGCCAGCTTTCAAAATCGTGATAGCGTGGTCGGTGCCATGTCTCCTAAACTCATTGTTGTTGTCGGCGCCACGGGAACACAAGGCGGTTCGGTCGTCGACACTTTCTTGAAAGATCCCGAATGGAAGGTCCGAGGTCTCACCCGTAACACTTCCAGTGCTTCAGCGGAGAAACTAAGGACCAGGGGGGTGGAGGTCGTCTCGGCCAACCTGGGCGACCCTTCCAGCCTGGTGGCGGCCTTTGCGGGAGCTGACGCAATCTTCAGCGTAACCGATTTCTGGGGTGCCTTTCTCGATCCAGCCAACAGCTCCAAGCCGGCTCCAGGGCAGGCACTGGTCGAGTGGGTATATGAGTACGAACTCCAGCAGGGCAAAAACGTTCTCGACGCGGCATCCCAGATCCCAGATCTCCAAAGATTGGTCTTCTCGAGCCTGGCCCACGTCAGCAAGTGGTCTCGTGGAAAGTACACGCACGTCTACCATTACGACAGCAAAGCGATGGCGGTCGAGTACGGCAGAGCAGCCCACCCGGAACTTTGGAAAAAGACGAGCATCATCCAGCTGGGGTACTATCTGACCAACTTTTTGAGAATGCCGCAATTGGTCCAGATAACAAAGGTATGTCAGTATTTTTGAACATGGTCAACAAACTGTTGACGAAGAGGACAGGATAAGGAAGGTGTGTACAATCTTGCTAGCAGGCTAAACCCCAAAACCAAGTTGCCAATGATCGCAACGGATGAGGACACCGGCTTGTTTGTCAAAGCTCTTGTTGATACCGAGCCCGGAAAGAATCTCATTACCTACCGCGAATGGATGTCCCTCGAGGAGTTTATCAAAGTATGGTCCAAGGTTTTGGGCGTCAAGGCCAAGAACGTACCCTTCCCCGACGATTTTGCGTGGGAGGGAACCCCCATTGAACTCAAGAGAGCAATAATTGAGATTTTGGCATTCTGTGACGAGTTTGGCTACCAAGCCCGGGATGATCCCTCCGTCAATCATCCTAAGGATGTAAGTGTTGAAATTGATAGTCGTAAGCAGAATGCTGACATGTTATAGTTGGGCATCGAATTGAAACTCGGGACTGTCGAAGAATGGATCAAGAAGCAAGATTGGAGTCGATTTCTGTGAATGGACGCTATATAACAGAAAATGTGATCAACTTTCCACCATGATACCATCCTCGACCTCGAGAAGCTTCAAGTAGTCATCTAAAAGGCATCAGAGACGAAGCATGAAAAAGCTTAGCAAACTTACCACATATTCTCCATCTATCTCGTAGCATGCTAAACGTATCGATGATAGTTGTCAGGGCCATCTTCATCCCTGACTGGCAGTTTTCGCGCAGAGACCGCGCACAACGCCCTGCGGCTTGATAGAGACAATGACATATCAATGGGCTCACTGCTCCAATGTTCGTCATGACAGCCTCTTGGACACGGCCAGCCATTCTCGCAACAGACAATCCTATGGTGGCCATGCCCTCAATCGAAGCCTTCTGAATATCTGTGCCGTTATACCGTTGATTGTATGCATACATATTGTAGAGTATCATTCGCGCACTATAGCAGAGCGCTCGGCAAACGTCGCAGTCTTTAAATTCACAACCAGTCGTGGGATCTTCAAAGGTCGACTCCAGCGCGATGATGGCTCGGTTGAGTTGAATGGCCTCATTCAATTTGTCTGGAATCTCCAAGATGTCGTCGTACTTGTGTCGAACAACTCGGCCGAAGATATGGCAGGTCCGACAAAGAGTGCCGAACTGGCCACCTTTCAATGACCTTGAAGGTGTCGAGGAAAGAAACGATTCGTTCAAACCAAGAAGACCGGTATCCCAACTTGCATCGTCGCAAGGCAGGAAATTTTCTTTGACTGGATCGCATGTAATGATTGGAAACCCGTAGGTTCCGGCATGGAGGTAACTGAACAGGTTAGCAGAGTCACCAAATGTCCCACTGCACTTACCGATCAACGAGAAGAACAGCCCACCAAGTCCTTCGTTCTTCTTCGCGCTGTGTCCACGTCTCTGCTTCGTGGAACATCCGCGCAGCTTTCCCTCGGTAATGAAGTCCCATCATGGTCCCATGCCGAGCCGCCTGAGCGATAGTCAGATATGCGGCCGGGTAAAGGCCCTGGGAGAATTCGTAGACTGCGATGAGAACAGAGGATTGCAAAAGTGGGATGCATATTGAGCCAGCCGTCTCCACGCAGAAGTAGAATTGTTTGGCCAACTGGTACAGTGGCAATTCGAAAGCCTTGTTTCGATGAGGTGTTGTGGTCACCAATTTCATACATGTCAGTAGTAAGACAGTCGTGCCATCATACTTCAGCTGCGGATCATTGGAAGCTTGCGTGAGTCGTGCCTTGCTTATCATTGGAAGCCATCGGTGGATGCTTGAAAAGTATAGGTCCCGAATTTCCTCGACATTTTGAAGGCCTTCCAGGAATTGTCCGGGGACTTGGCCTTTTGGGCCAAGTGATCCCGGCGGCAGTGGATTGAAAGAGTCTGTGCTGAGGAACAAGGCGGATACAGCACTGCGTGGAATATGCTGTGGCATGCTACAAGGAGGAAGGTCGTGGCAATTGATCTTCTGTGGTTGAAACTTTCCCTGACCAAGATTAGCCTGCAGAAGTGGTCTAGGCAGGCTGTCGATCTCATCGGTCGACCTTATGGATTGCTCCATGCGGCCAACACCAGTAGCCACTGGCTGGGTATATCGTGTGATTTGATGTTCTAGTTGTTGGATCTTTTGGAGCAGGAAATCGATCTCCTCGGAAGCATCCAGAGATTTGGTAGGATAGCCACAAGGTTTCCCCAAGCGAAGGCACTAGCAGTGTCAGGAGTTTAACAACAAACTGTGCTTCAGAACTCACCAAAGCGCACGAAGGTAACTCTCGAGTACATTTTCTCTTGAGTCTTCTGTCGTACATGTCAGAACAGCATTTTCCATTCGTCATTAAAGTCAGATACCTGCAAGGTCGACAGGCTTGTGCCGAGTGAGATGCCATGAATGAAGACAGGCAGATTAAGTCAGATACGGCGCAGATGTCTCTTAGGCGTGTTCCTGTGCTCGCAACAGAAGGACAGGGGAGTCACAGGTTAGGTCCAGGAAGACGTACGGATTATCAATCTTGACACCGAACGACGGGCGAAGGACCGGTTCAAATCCGGGTTGTAAAAACCTTCGACTTTACTGTGATGGAAGAGACTATCTAGGACACTGACCGGACTGCCGTGCACAGTCGGCAGATTACCTATCTATCTAATCTACCTTAGGTACCTAAGGCAAGTCCTCCGAGACAGGTCTTGGCGTATACATGACGTACTTCCAATATATGTACCTAGGTATTATTCACACATCGTAGACCCAGAACGATTCTATCGAAGACTGGAGAATAACAAATAAAGGTTAAAATGTTCCTTGTTCTCTGTTGAAGGCCCTGGGGCTAGTCTCTGCTGACTAGATGCCTCGTACTAAAATGGTAGGGCTGGGAATGCTAAGCAACAGTTTGCTGTTTGACAGAAAATAGGTTGCGAGGCGTCTTGATATAGCCAATAGATCATACTATCCAGTAAGCCTACCTAAGCCTTTTGAAGTTGAACCACTGTCCAGCCGGTGTGTCTTCCATCCCTACCTTTCTGTATCACTCTCAGGATTTATGGGGTATACAGAGAACAGAAGAGGATGCAAAAAGATCTCGTACCGAAATCAGGACTGATGTTTCTCTGGAGTGTCCTCTTCCGCTTCATTTCCATTCGACTTCTGTTTTCGATAGTTTTTGAGCAAGAAGATGAGACTGAGAACAGTTCCGAGCCCCGTCAAACCGACAGAGAACCACAGAGCGCCCCGATAACCATGAAGCAACTCTGCTTTGGTATGCCCACCATGATTAATATTGGTTTCGATGGTGCCAGCAAACCCAAGACCAAGTGATATGCTGTAGTTGACGATGGTCATAACCATACTAGCTCCCATGCCTTGGTATTGCCGGGGCACCACGCTTGCGAAAATCATTATGGCGGCAGGTAACGATGTGTCCATTCCGATAGTGGCGATGATGGTGCCGAAAAAGAAGTAGGTCCAATAGATCGAGTCTGGAGGCCGGAAGGCCATGATAATAGATGTGACCAAAAAAGCAATCTGTCCAACCATCATAATATACGGGGCAGGAACCTTGCTGATTATGCTGCCAACGGTCAAAGCTGAAGCTACTCCGGTAACAAGAATGGGGGTAAACCATGCTGCCAATTGAATAGGAGTTTGGCCACCTATATCAAGGGCTTCCCGCACGACGTAGAAGAGCTACACTCAGCGTTAGTTGAAATGCTTTCCCGTTCAGGAGTATGACCTACCCATATGCCAAATGTGGCCCAGCCTGCTGCCGTGCATGCGAAAACGAACATTATATCCGAAGTAAAGGCAGCGATGGGCAGAATTGGATGGTTGGCTCGGTAGATTTCAATGTAAAAGAATAGTGCACCGAAAATGAAACTGAGGATCAGGCACACATAAACGTAGGGCTCCCGCCAAGTAACAACCACGGCCTGATTCCACGCCAAGTTGAACAAGACTAGAGCCGTCACGCCAGCTGCACCTCCGGGAAGATCCAGGCGGTCCAACTTTTGACGAAGTGGTCGTACCTGCTCCTCTTGTAGAGGCAAATCTGGTATTGTCCAGGCAGCAAAGGCGGCTACAAAAGCAACACCAATCGCCTGGCTCCAGAAAATCCATGGCCACCAAGCCATCGCAAAGAGGGCGCCGAAAAGGAGACCTGTAACGGCGCCAAGTGGCGCTGCTGCTGAGAACCATGCAAAGGCCATGTTTCGCGGGCCTTCAGAAAAAGACTTGCCAAAGATGCCGAGAGCATTAGGCAAAGTCAAGGCAGGACCCATACCCTGGAAGACGCGAGCAAATACGAAGAGCACATGATTGGAATAGACGGAGAGTCCTGCCACCAAGCTCCACAAGGAAAGCCAGCTCATTCCCAGGACAAACATCTTCTTGTTGCCAAACTCATCGCCAAGGCGCCCACCAATGAGGATGAATGTGCCGATAGTCAAGCTGTAGCCAGCAATCAACCATGACAATGTACCAGGATTGCTGATGCCAAAAGAGTCTCCGATTATGCGGAGCGTCGTCAGGGTGTTGCACAAGCCCAGCTGGTTGATGTACATGCTTATACACACAGTCACGATGAATAGAATCCGCCGTGGCAGTGAGAAGGCATCGGCCGGATAGACAGAGTCGTCTTTCGAGGACTGCACAGCCTCGACATCTAACGGTCTCCAGGTCAGCAAAAAGGTTCAAAAAGGCTCCAAAACAGTTTTCTGCTGAAGCCATCTTGGGGCCATCCCGGGAGCTACTCACCTGGCGATGTTGTTGATGCGTTGTATGGCAGTGCGGGATTGCTATTCCCCTGTGTAGATGATGCCATGGCGGACGATGGCGTGCAGGAGGTGGTCGTGATGGGTGACGAGCTTCACAGACGAGGGAAAGCATACTGTTCATTAATCTTGAGGTTATAGCTCCCCTGAGCCCTGACCTCCGGACTCATGTAAGGCCTTCACCTGACAATTAGCTAATTTATCCTGTCCTGTTTAATGAGAATTAATAGGAGTGACCTTCAAAATCCGGAGGCATTGGACGATCGACATCCAACTCCGGGAACGCTAGACTATCCGGCCATGCAACTCCGGACAGATCGAAATCTTCGGAGATGCGTGGCTGTCACGTGACCTCGTGAGATTAGTAATACTGCTACGTACTTGTATACCACGGACATCCTGCGTCACTAGACCTTGTCCCTCCGCGATGCTCTGCAACTCATCACTCATACTTGAATATTCTATCAAGGTGCTTCGCACCCCTAGAAGATCTGATCCCATTGATCCTGGTGACCATGGAGTCAAACATCGCTAGTCCGGAGGCTAATCAGTTGGTATGCGAGTCGTGCTTTAAGTCTTACCAGCGGCGTAGGTTTCTGCTATCCACCTTTCTCATTTTGCATTTTTTTCCAATCCTATATCGCCACTTTTCTCCGTCGCTAACACTATTGACACAGGTGACTTGCTTATGCGTCATCGAAGGCGCTGCAGAGGTCCCGCCAAAGGTGGGAATCGCCGTAAAGCCTGCGATGCGTGTGTTCAGGCCAAGGCCAAGTGCTGCTACACCCAACCTACGTGCTCTCGTTGTGCGAAGAGAGGAATGAAGTGCCTCTATAGCGCACCATCAGCAGCCAAAGCCTGGAATTACACCGACCACACGGGGGAAGCTTCATATGTTCGGAATCAAAACCTCCAATCCTGTCCATCCGTGAGTAGCCAGCCCTCTGTCGCTGAACTCCCAACTTGGAATTTCCCACTCTCTCCGTATCCGCTGGATACCTTCGACTTGGATATAGCAGACTTTGCAAACGTATCTCCTGTCCAGCACATCCGGTCTTTGGTCGAGAGATCTTATATATCGCCAATAACTCATGGCAACTCTCCCTCTACATCCCTTACGCAAACTTCGAATAACAGCACGGGGGGCACTTCAAATTCTCCGACATTGTCGACACCACTCATTCTCACCCGTATACTTGGCGACTATGCTTCTTTGCTGATCAAAGGATCTTGTTTGTCTCCATTCCTTCACTTGCCAAAAGTCAAAAATGTTGAACCCGACTTGGCATCTTTCCCTTTCACTTCAATGGCCATTTGCAGCAGTGCTGGCATGAATCTCTCAACCGACAAACCTTTTTTTCGGCGGGCCATAGACGCTGCGCGGCATGGACTGATTGCGAATTTCGTAAGTGCTACCGAGGCCCAGCTCCGCTTCTGATCAAATACTGAGTATCTGTTAGCCGTCGTACGAGTGTATGCAGCAGTGGGATGCGATACACGCTATACTAATCTACGAAAGCTTGGAGATTAAGGAAGGCATTGGTAATGAGTCTGAAGCGTGGAGTCTCGCTATTCCAGTCAAGAATCTCGAGATGGGCTTTCTTTTGAAGGTATGGCGCTTTTCTTATTCCTATCGCAGGCCAATCTTATTAATACTTGGCAGATGACGAGAACATACATTGAGCCATACCTACAGATTCGCAGTCCTGACCTAGATGCTTTCTCTGATTTCAATTCATCACCGTGTTCACCGACGACAACGACATGGGGTCGGTGGAGAACCACCGAAACAACACGTCGAACAGTTTTCATTGTCAACATGGTCAACTTTCTCAACAATTATGATCCTAGGACGAGAAAGACCTCCCCCTACTATGAACCGCTGAACGATGATCTTATTCTCAACATGCCATTGCCCTGTAGCCAGAATATATGGCTAGCATATGAAGAGGAGAACTGCAGACTTGCAATGAAGAACCATCTGCCTTGGGTCAACTATTCCTCGCCTGACCATGATCAACCCACAACGGAAGCGCTATCAAGAGAGACTTGCTTAAGTACCATTCTGTCAAATTATAGCAAAGAGCGGATTCAAGCTGCAATTGGCCCACACGTTGGGGTGGGCGATTCAGATGATTTGAGGCGTCTTATCATACTCTGCGCTACTGAACAATTCCTTTGATTGTTGCGATCGAGATTTCAATAAAAGATGATACCCATAGTCGTTTTTGCCGAATTTTCCCCAACAAACATGTCGCCATGAACGCTTCAACAGGAATCGAGGTCTCTGGCCGGCCGCTGATCCTTTGCCAGGACGAGTGACGGGGATGGGATGTTCTAACGGCCAGGGGAATGTGCTACCCGAAGCATCTAATCTGCTATCTCTGTCTATATCTGCAGGGGTTTCTGGGTTCTTGATCCGAGGAAAGCTTGATGTTGCCTTGCTGGAAAGCTACTCCTTTGATGCTTTCAGCGGAGAAGCTCAAGGAGACCTTCCTGCGGAGCATGGCCATGGATCCGCAACATTGTCAGAAATGGTGTCAGATACCGCTGGAAGCAGCACTGGCCGAAAGAGCTACGACTATCGACGCGCGGAATCGAGGTATTTAGATTTCCACAATTTACTCGTGGTCCTTCCGGCAAAACGCAGCTACCAAAAACCATCGGCTCATGCTCGACTCCGTGGGAGGTAACTCCTTATCGAAGGCCTTGGATGAGAGACATCAAGCAATGAATACTCGTCACCAGTACAATGAATACACGGGTACAGCAGCCGATTGCAACCTAACAAACTACCTAGGTAGCCACGGAAAGAAGATGGCTGCCATACAGTGGTATTCAATATTGCATCGTCATATTTCAACAATCACGGAACCAAAGGATTCGCTCGCATTAGGTGCAGCGCATGTTACGAGTGCTAGACAACGACCGCAAGCAGCTTATCTCATTCTGAACTTGTTACCCATCGTCATAAATCACGTCTTCATGTTGTTTCGTAGCGCCGTACATGGCACCAGCAGCGGACCCAAGGTACCTTCAGATGTCGTCTCAGTGATGATCTACTATGTTCCCACCGACGCAACGGTAAGTCAAGTCGCTCAATATGGTATTCGTGCTTGATAATCAACGCATGGGCTGGAAACCGAAAGTGGAAGCCCCACTATCCAGCGAACTCCGGTAATAAGTCAGCAACAACGAAATGATATCATTCGTATTCGTACTGCAAACAATATTTAGTATCGGCGGCAGATATCATCTTTTCAGGCGCGCCTACTCTGCCTCACAACGCCATATGATCCAGGCGTGATACCACCCTGCAACCGTATAGGTCTGTTCCGAACGAGTTTCTCTGAGTTATGCCTTCATCTTCTACCTGGACTCCGAAGATTTCTCGAGGCTGCCAACAGTAAAGAGTCTTCAGTCATGCGTTTCGTATTAACAAGCAGCAATCAAGCGGCCTTGAATCGTACGTTTGGCAAGGAGTTTGTTGTCAATGGAAGTATGTGGAACGAGGAGGCCATCAAAAAGGCATTGCGTCCACCCCCTTACGAGGAAGAACGCGGCTGGGATGTCTATTCTGCCCTCAAAGCTCAAACTGAGCGTGAGATGTGGACGTTCAGCAAAGAGGAGAATCCAAAGTTCGTGGTGAACTCGGTCTTGCCGTCTTGTACGATCGGAGCGATCTTCCACCAAAAACAGGCAGGCAGCACAGCCAAATGGGTACTGGACACTTTCAGAGACCCAGCAAACCACGCTTTCCTGAAAGAATTCGGTGCCTCGCACTTCTGCGACGTCGAAAATGTGGCGCTCTTAAACATTGGTGCCCTAACGCAAGAGGATGTGAAGAATCAGCGATTGTTTGGATTTGCGGGAGCCATCAACTTCAATAGCTGGCTCAATGTGTTTCGCAAACTAGACGCTAGCAAGCCGTGGCCCGAGAATGACCCTGCCCAGCCGCATGACTTGAGCAAGATTGATGGGAAGACGGAGCTGAACCTGCTGAAGCGTTTCGGGAGGGCTGGCTGGACAGATTTTGATGAAAGCGTGCGGAAGGTCTGCCTAGAAAGTCGATGATATTTGCGACACAACTTGGGTTGGCAACATTATCTGGTTGATAGGTAATATCACGAATTGTTCCGTACCACGGATGGAAGCGCAGATGCTAAATTGTCGAAGTTACTGGGCAAAGAGATGTCCAATAGCATACGAGCGCCTACACACGAATATGAATATCAGAAGGTGCGCAGTGCTGTTTACATGATATTGGGTCTTAGCAGCTTCGTCCCATCATTTCGGTTACATATCTTGGATCTTAGGCTTGGATTAAGTAGTCCAACGGCGTTAAGGCTCTAAAATAAAACAGCTGTTGGTGGCAACGCTGCGGTTAATATCGGAGTAGAGACGTCGTTCCTCGTCAGGAACTCGGCCGTACGATCGCTCTATTAATGAATTACCTTGCGCAGTCCTCCGAAGCCTGTAGAACCGTGGTTCAACGGTTCCACCCCGGTGATATGTACAATTCCACGCTTGAGCTGCATAAGGCGGCATCTAACTCGTGTTTACTGCTACCATATGATATCCCGATACAGATTTGCTAACCCTTGGCTCTGTAAACCAAAAGATTAGCTGCCTCAGCCTTGCAATAAATGTAGAGAAACGTGCCGAATCGTGGTACTGGAATCATTTTTCTGCCCGTTCCTTCGTCTAAAACATTGTTGGGTATTTTCGATGTAAAGATCTACGAGAGAATGCCTTGTGACTCTCTAGAGGTGTTCTATGAGCAAATCAAAGATGCAGACATCGTCATTATCACTACCTTCCTAATCAGATCGATTAGCCTGGACCAAAAGGCGACCCAAGGCTGCGGGCGATTATGATCATGTCCGTAAGAATAGACTTTATCGACTTGGAAATCTGCAAACAGCGCGGAATATGGGTGCTAGATTGTGCAAACGCCAATACCAACTCTGTGGCCAAACATGAGGTCGGATTATATTTGGCTGCTCGAAGAAAAGTGGTCGAACTGCCTCAACGGACTATACGCGGGGAATGGGCAGACCAGGGAGCCCTGCTCGGAATACTACGCGACCACAACGATCGAAGACCGTTGTCTCTCAAAGACGAGAAAGTTGGGATTGTCGGCTATGGTTCGATTGGTATGGCGCATCAGCCTAGAGGCGACACTTATAACAAACTGACCATTGCGTCCGAGCTAGGCCGACAGATTGTAGATATTTGTACCTCGCTTAGGATGAGTGTATGTCTTTGATAGAAAGCTGTCGCGACAGCCTTCTCAGATCAAGCGCACGAGAACACCGTCCCAAGAGATATTGCAATAAAGCATTGTTCTCTTCTTGTTTGTGCCGCAAAACGCGGATATTGTTAATCTCATAACCCACGCAGAATTGAATGCTATGGATGCCCGAGGAGTCCTGATCAGCGTAAGTAGAGGTGGCACAATCAAGGAAGAAGCATTGCTTCAGGGTCTTCTGCAAGGATCCACTGCCAGGGCTGCTGTCCACGTGTTCGATTCCGCGCCCGCAGCGGAGGACAGTCCATGCTTGGTGCGATATCTGGAGAACCAAGGTATGTATCGCCACTTGCCACTGATAGTGATGCCTTATTTGGCCTGGTTCGGCGAGGTGACAGTCTCCGATCTACAGCGCATGGCGAAAGAGAATGTGGAAGGGTGGAAGAGCGGAAATCTCCTCGTGCAAAACTTGAACGTTGTCGTATAGTCAAGAAACGAACCAATCACAGACATGCGCTCTCCTCCGTCCGCCATCGGGGAGGGTCAGGCAAGACAAGTGCGCGACTCGCCGATGATCGTGGGGACCAGATCTCGATCGAACTGGCATCAGTCAGGTCCTGTCATTTACCAGTCGATCCCTTCAAAGTAAATCGACTTCAACGACGCCGAGCACTGTCTTGCGGACCATCAAACAGTAAACCCAGGCAAAGCCTTGACACTGCTCACCATTATCACCCTAAGGCCCTCCTTGAATCCTACCAACGCACAGCTGGATACCGACGCGACACCCCTGAATAAGACAATACAGAATTCGTGCCACTTGAGTTCGACTAAAGATGGTGGAATGAACCGTTTCTCGGGCAAGAACACGGATTAAAATTTGCACGACTAGTTTGTAGCAGAGGTGACTCGAAGTATAGTTGCTACTCGACCTAGCCAACAAAGCAGCACTTTACCAACTGATCCAGGCTCTTACTTAGTAACTGAGGCCACCAAGGCAAGTATAATAGAACTCTGGAGGTGCCATATACCTTACAGGTGCTGCAATTATTTACGGAGTCAACGTATGACATAAGCTCCGCTAGTAATCGTCAACTAGCCCAACAAAGAAGGCGCCCGATTCTCCGCCAGCTATACTCGGCTCACGAGTATAAGGTAGGCAGGCGAGTTTTCCACCGAGTTTGGCTATGGCCGAACTAGTCTCGACGGCATGACCATGAGAAAGAGCTTGAGCGCAATGGCTACCTCGGACCGGTGCCATACTTCCTTCCAGGTACATATCAAATAAGGTCCCATCCTAGACGCCGCAGAAAATAGTTACGATTATTGAAGGGGCATAGGCTATTCGATGGTATAATATGTTAGTCCGAGCCGGGCAGGTGAGAATTCTCATATTCCATCATTGGTTAATCACTAATAAAGGCAAAGCGTGTACGCATCAGGGAAAGTGCCCGCTGCGATGATCTTCGCTCGGTGCTGGGACGGAATCATTCTCAATCCAGGCGAATATACTCCACCTAAAGAGTGAGTTGAAAGCAGACTACTCGAACTCACACCGATGTCCTTGCTCTAGTTCTGCTGTTTCTGCAAAGGGTCCGTCTGGAAGCCTACCTTCGCTGCGATGAATACGTCCGCCAACAGAAAAAGCTTGCGGTGGATAGATAGACCGGTTTCGTAAGCTGCCTATCTGTATAATGAGGACGGAGAAGGGATGTTACAGTGCAAGTTTATGAAGGGTAGCGTTGCTTGATGCCTGACCACGTACATCGACTCTCATGTAGTCCTAGGGTTTCAGAGAGACAAACAGGTTTTCCTTGAATGCCAATAGTCGATTCATTTGACTGTCTGGAATCTATCCATCCCCGCACGACCTTTTATAAGAGATGGCCCCCATTTCGTGGCCCACATTTCGCGATGTAAAGCAAGTGTGCAGGTAACCCGTCCAGATTGCCGAAACATGCCCCGGTGAATCCACTACAAAGTATACAAACATCAATCTCGGTAGATCCCACCCTTGGCGTGGTTTCAAGCCTGTCAGCAGCGATCCGGCTGGGATTGAAGATCAGGCGATTGTCCGCTGCAAACACCTCATCGGCCGAGAAGCTTGATCTCTAAGAGTCGAAGAGGGTAATAGGACAGGGCAGTCCAGGCAAAAGCGACAGGCAGTCCGAGCTGAAATGCCGAGTTAGCCAAAGCAAGGTCAAAAACATGGGCATTGCCGGGGCACTTACATCGGCACCATATTCTCCCACCAATCTGGCAATGGGACCATAGTAGTAAGTCTGACCCATGCAGACAATGGCACCCGCCCAGCCGATCAAGAAGCTGATGAGAGCAGCGATACCCACTGGCAGTTTACTCTTATCATTCCAATCTTCCCATACAAAGCCAACCCTTCGGCGGAAGATGAATTCATCCTCAAGGACGATGGCGATCCAAATGATGACCCAGTACCCAATGAGGCCGAGGAAGTTCAGGAAGATGGAGAGGAGATGCGCTCGGCCGGCGATAGCACAGACCATGTATATGATAGCAGCCACCGTTGTCCACACTGGTCTGGGAATCTTGGAAAACGGTGTGCAGAGTTGCTGGAAGTTCAAAGCCTAAGATCTCAGTGAGCATGGTGTCCAAGGCACGAAAGGGTTTGGGGGGCATCTTACCGCAGCATACGTGCCGGGAATGTTGTTGGCTGCGACCGCCAATGCGAGGACAACAGCACAGAATTTTCCAAAGTCCTGTAGAGGGGCATATCCGGCCACAACCAATGCACCGACGCCGGAGCTCGAGAAGGCTTCGGACCAGTCCGGGTTGGTTGAAAGTCCTGTGCCCAGACCGATACCCAAGAACTCGATCAAGAGCTTGCCCAGGGTCATCCCAGCCGTGGTCATGAAGCACACCCATTTGCGAGAGGTACCTTCTGGATAATATACGAAGAAATCCGCGGCAGCTGGCACCCAGCCTAGAGGGCCAGAGGCAGTGAGGAAGAAGTAGCTGACGCGATTACCAGCAAGTGTTGCCCCGGAACCGACTGATTTGGAAGATGCGTCAAAGTGAGGCGACGCGCACCCGATGAAGATGAAAAGAACCAACACCGTCGGGATGGCGATCCATCTAGACAGCTCGGTCAGTCATGGGCGACCTAGTTGGCAAATGGTTTTGCAGCTAACCTCTCAAAGGTATGGAACCATTTGATACCAAAGGTTGCGACAACCCACTGTCAATCATGAGTAAAACTTCCCAGGCAGAAAGAGGGAAGGACATCTTACGGTGATAACAGCAGAAATGACGATACCAACAATCACAGACATTCCTCGTCCGTTGACAGCAGAGAGGATCAAACCGGCTACGAGGCAGTCAACCAGACCATAGCCCATCTCAATAACCCAGTTCAGGATGACACAGATTCGAGAAGGCCACCATCCCATCGAGTATCTCTGTCAACCCCGTTAGTGACAAAGTCCACATCGCCATGCATCACACTTACCGCAATGACCAAAGTCCGGTTGCCTGATATTGGGCCAAAGCTTGCGATGTATCCCGAGCAGGCCGCGCCGAAGATGGTGCCAAACATACACAATCTGTCCAAGGTTTCAATGGGTGTCCTTCTCTCAGTAGGGAGGTTGCTTACAGCACGGCGTCCACAAAGCCCAGACCATAGGACACGGGACCGAGGACACCCAAGGTCATTTGGTTTGCTGTGCAGCTGCGTTTCAGAACAACGGTCAGCGATGGGCCCATGCAAAAGGGCTGCTGGGTCTGGTCGAGATGCAGATAAACTTACTTGATACTGAACCACATTATGCCAATTCCAAGGTAATCAGTCAGCCCCATTTTCCGGTCCCGGAGCTCGGGAGGGACGCGCTCAATGCCACGAGACTCGACGCCAGCAAGAGCATCGAGGCGGTTTGCAAGGTGCTGAAGTCTGTTATGAGCAGGAATGGCAGTGAGATGGCCAGCTTCTAGAACGCCTTGTTCAGTGGTGGATGACGGGGGAGTGCTGCCTGTGGGCTGAGAGGTCTTCTCAACAGTAGACGCCATGGTCACGACTGTCCAGGGATGTCGGTCGTGGGTGGTCTCAAAGGTTTGTTCGATAAAGGGGGATAGAGCAGCAGGCCTTTCATCTTTCATATACTCCGTATAATCTACCATCCTTAGCAATCCGCTTTGGGACTCTTGGAGACCTGGACCAGCTCTATGTCTGAGCCGTTGGTCAGTTGTGTGGTACCCTAGCTAGGTCGAGCAAGTCCATTATCAAAGTGGATAGATAGTACCTCAGGATCGGACCTGGTCGCAATTATTCGGTGGCCCCGCTTATCTCTTGCTGTGCCTGACACTGTGCGGGAGTATGTGCGGAACTCACGGAGCGGTAGAGGGGCGCTTAGCGGAGCCTGATCCGTTTTCTCAATGATAAGGCCGTTGGGCTCTACTGTGCGATACACAATGGTCGTGACCGACGGGCCACTCTTATCGAACCTTGATAAAGCTGGTGCCACTACTCCGTGAGTCCTCAGTCTAGGTCTTCACGTCCGGCCATGCCTAGGTGCAGAACCTCTCCACTCTATAGCCAGACCGTAATGGGCGATTCTTCTCGTTAATGATTAATTGCTGAACGAGAGCTCTTTGCCAACGTGAGAAACACATACAATTCAGATCCAACAAAAACACAAATTATTAATTTTGCAAGAAACAGCACCTTGCTACCATGGCCGTCGAGACTAGCCACGACGCAACAGTCGCGAAGGTGCAGGTACAACGCTCCCCAAGTCTTCACCCAATACCTGCTAAACCCTGTTAGCCTTCGTTCGAGATCCCACTCGTTGATTTCGGCCGCTACCTCCATGGCTCAGAAGACGAGCAGAAGGCATGTGTGGACGAGATCATGAAGGGATTCACCACCTCGGGCTTCATCTATGTCCAGAACAGTGGACTTGATCCGCGTGAGGCCTTCCAGTGGTCCGAGAAGTTTTTTGCTCTGCCGGCGGAAGAAAAGCAGAAGTACCCCAACCATGACTCGGAGGCGAACAGAGGGTGAGTGACCCGGTCATGACCTACCCACCACCGGAAACGAGGTAGAAAGACCCGTCTACTGATCTTGACACAGCTATTCCGGTATGGGGGTGGAAAAGGTCACCAACGCAGATCTCACCAAGGAGGAGAACATTGAAGAACTCCGCAAGATCTTCCCAGATATCAAGGAATCACTAGAAATTGGCAGCGAGGCGCCCTGGGGCTACCCTGAGAAGCCATACGAGAACCATTTCCCCGAGCATCTCATCCCCGGCTTCAGCAAGGGCATCCAGGACTTTTATGTGAACTGTGACCGCCTACATAAGAGCCTCATGTCGGCGATCGCAACAGGGCTGGGTCTCAAAAAATCCTACTTTGAGCCGCAGATCTCGGGAGGAGACCATGTCTTGAGACTGCTCCATTACCCTGCCGTGCCTCAAAGTTTGCTGACTCAAGAGGGCGCTGTCCGTGCTGGAGCCCATACCGATTACGGCACCGTCACCCTCCTCTTCCAGGACGGCAGCGGTGGTCTGCAAGCGCGAACTCCCTCGGGGCAGTACGTGGATGTGCCACCGATTGCAGGAGCTATTGTCATCAACGCTGGGGACTTGCTGCAAATTTGGTCCAACGATATGATCAAGTCCACATTTCACCGCGTTGTCTCACCCCCCAACGCCCCGACCACTGATGATGGCAAATTTTCTGCCAGGTACTCTATTGCTGTATGTCTGCCGCCCTGACTCTGATTGAAAGTGGTGGCTAACCGAGCGACAGTTCTTCGCCCATCCCGACCATGACAAGGTAGTAGAGGGGATCAAGGAATGTGTGACTGAGACCAGGCCCCTCAAATACGAGCCCGTTCTGCCTCTCGAGTGGATGGTGAAGCGTCTTCAGGCAACATACTAGCCCCTATGTGGCTGGTGGACGAGATGAAGCAGACTTGGGGACCCGGTGGTGCGGACAGTCCCTTAGGTGAAGATTAATGGCAGTGCTTTCATATTACCGTCTAGTAGACGTTTTCGGCTTTCGAAAATCTTGAGAACTGGCTATACAACAACTACCCCGGGGCCATCGATCCGGAAGAAACCAGATTCCTCAAGCATTATAAAGAAGATCTTATCCCTATCCTAGTAGTTTAGGGTCAGACATGTAGCGTGGATCGGGGCCGAGAATAGGTGGTGGAAAAATTAAGGTTTGGGCTGTAGCGTGAAATCACATTGTAGCGTGAAATATTCTGTAGCGTGAAATCTCAGCCTCGCCGAGCCATACACTCTTACACTCGATGGCCCATCGCGTCCCTCAACTCCCGAGGTATATGAGATCGACAGGATTCGAGCTTCTTGCTCTTCTATTCACACCATGTCCTCTCCACCCTGGCTTTGCAGCCTCAATCTCATTGTCAGCACTCCCGAGAACGCGTTGATTTGCACATTGTGTCGACGAGCGTTACGCGTACATCCGCGCCTCGTCCAGCAACATCTTACCGAAGCCCACTCAATTAGTGCTAGCCGGCAGACTCAAGTGCCTGACCTCGGGACTCTTCTCTTGACTGACATTTCTGAGCTTTCCGCTCGCGCCGATTTCTGCCCCGAGGACCCCAGCCTCACCACAACACCCGGGTTTGCGTGCGGACATTGTTCCAGCCGGACCACCAGCCAACAACTTCTCAGGCGCCATCTTTCTAGCCAGCATAACATCAAGCACCTCGACACCATCGCCGACCGCGACTATCGACCGGTTTCTCTTCAGCAGTGGACCACGTCAGGCTCAGCCGGGCGGCAATACTGGATTGTATTGGCGATTCCTCGCGCCGTTACACTCACTCCGTTACCGACTTATCGTAAGCGAAAGCGTCCTCTCCCTCTGAGCCACCGCAAGTGTTGACCGAGGACGGAGAAGTTAGTCGATACACGAACCTGGCAGGCCCCCATTTCCCCTCCATCCTCGACCCTTCTTTTCTCTATCCACCAGGAGGAAAGAGAGCAGATGGCGTCTATTCCGTCCCT